TTTTAATAAGTTTTTCGCTCAATTGAAAATTGAAATTTGCTGACCCGTCAAGTTATGAAGACAAACCACGCCCCTGAATGCTTCTCCCGTCATCCAACTGGACAAAAGTTGTATTCAAAATACTTAAGAATCGCACGGTAAATACGGGGTTATATAAACGGATCGAAAGGTGGTTATTTCGAGGGTATGTTCTAAAAGCCCTCGAATTCACGTGACGCAGGGGCTTGAGCAAATATATAATCGCGTAACCCCCCGGAACTAGAAACCAAAACCTACTGATACGAATCTAATCCACTAACTGAACTCGTGTTTTCAAGTTTGCAAGTTCGTAATACAACTTTTGAAAAACGGGCACAACTTGAAATATTCATGTTTTCTTGGAGAATGATTAGGAATGTTGACATCGATAATCTGATCATCAAGGAGTCTTCTTTCACAGAGCATATTATGATCTGAAAAATAAGGGTTTCACTTTGAAAACTCAAATTTACAATATTGCTTTCGATGACTTCCGCTTTTATTATCCTCCCTGAGCTACGTTTGTTTCAAAGGGGACGTGTAATCAAGTCGCTAGCTAAGACTTCCTGAGATCTAAAAATCCAGCTCAATATCTTATGTCTTCTCTTTTTTATGCATGATCTGGCGGATTAGATCCGCAGTTTCGAAAATTTCGATCTTTTGTGGCCGCAAATCTGTATTTTCGCTATAACAACTTCTTCGTTTTGAATTACGCCCTTGCTGTTTACGTAACAACTCTATTTTCCGCACAGTACTCAATTTTCTTTCTTAACCATCTCTCGGGAAAAACTGTCACGGAAAAGCGGATTTTGTGGATCTGCGTAATTACGCGCCTAACTTGTTAAGTTGTATAAAGCAACGTGCCGAGACGACGTAAAAATATGCGCAGCTGAAGTATCTCAGCTTTTTTGGTATTATCCAAAATTCACTAGATCATGTCACGTGACAGCGGAAGGAGAATAGCAAGGGATTTGTCATGTGAGAAATTTTAGGAGGAATGTCTCAGAATATTTCTGACGCAATATGCAAATCTAAGACATTCGAATAAATTCGAGAATTTGAGCCAATCAGAGGTGAGATGAGCCAACAAAAGCGCCCTCCATCGATCAAAATTATCGGAATTATGATTAAATTGCTCATCAAGTAAATCAATCATCAGCATCCTTTTTCTGGCTATTCATCTTCTGACCATAACTAAATGCATTTCAATGAACACGTCAAGATACCAGTGACCGGAATTGGTGCCGTAATCCACTCGGAAGCGTCCTTTCTTGCTATAAAGGTCAGAAGAAAAGTGATCCGATTTCTGGTTCGATCAAGGCGCTGCCGATTCCGCCAGTGGCTTCTTCTGTTCTTTTGAGCGCCTTTTCGGGAACAAACCGCTACGAAGGGTTTGGACACCTCTAGGTTACATAAAATGGAGGCAAAAATAAGATACAGTAAAAAGAAGCTGCTAGTCTTGAAATAACCCTCATGTGTAAAAAAGACCACGTTCCAAATCAAAAGCCATTTTGGTTCGAACATATGTGTTCGATTTTTTTCCCAAAGGTCGGTGAATCTTTCTTGCGGTTTGAGATTCAGCATGGAACGTGCCCCTGCGCATACGATGTTCCCTCAACTCGCCAACTAGTCTGAAAGCTGAAAAAATTGCGTGTAATTTTGATGAATGAATTTCAGAGCCACCTTGAACCTCCAGCTGAAGTTCTTTGTTCACAAAGAGCTCATGCCATTTCTCATAAAAAACGGATAAATTATAGAAATCAAATTTTCATCCGATAGATGGCGCTTTGTCCTCGCAAACGATATTCTGATTGGTTGAGAAAGATATTTGAACAAATCTTGAACTGAAATTGCCCTCGTGAATTTCAAAAAGCTGCCGCGTTTTCTCAAGTCTTTTTAAGGGGTTCAAAACACAGCCGCCCTCAACTCATTCGATAATATTGTTTTGACCCTCGGTTGAAATCTCAATTGGCCAATATTCCCGCTGTGGTTGATTCTGCGGCATTTTGAGCTTCTCTTTCCACCACGTGTAACTACCGAAACATCTTTCGAAACTTCCTCTGACGTAATTTTTCCTTGTTCTTCTGTCTGTAGCAGTTCCATCCATCAAGGTTTTCTGGCCGCACGCATCCGCCAATTTGGCGATTTTTTGAAGGCTTCGCTCAATTTAAATTGTCGTCATTGTAACAAGTACCGTTACGAATTCTGGGTAGATTATTTTCCGGGGCTGGTTCCGTTGGTTTTTGGAACACGAGATATTTGTTTTTATCTAGGATGATAATCAAAAGATATTTTTCTCTCCGGTCTATTCTCAGAAGTAAAAGCATGAACAGAATTATAAACTCTTGAGACCAAACTCAACCACTCAATTTTCAAAGTCAAGAGCTTCACTTTTCCACTCAAAAAAGAATTTGTAAAAATAGACGTGTACTTCCTTCCATTTAACCTGTCAAATTCAGGAGAAGCCGTTCATTTGAGCCTTCTCTAAGAACACAAAGCTGTGAAAAAAATGCTCTAAAGAGTCTAAAGATTTCGATAATTTCTCCAATAATCGGTCGAAAACACGATTTATACTCTAAGATGGATGTGTCTATGAGAGGGTTCAACTCAAAACGAAACGTGGCTTCTTATTTTAGAATAAATGGCCGTTTAAAATGCTCCTTCTGAATACGGGAACGGATATCTCCGCTCAGTAGAATCGGAGACTTTGCTTCCGCATTACGTTCTCAGAACGGAAAAATAAGTTTACTCTGAATTCTGGCTTTTGGTTTTTTGAAAAATATTAATGATCTAAAACGGGGTCTTGCTTTGATCCCCGCTGACTTTCGAGAAAATGCCCTTTCGTTTAACAAAAAAGGATGAAATTCGAATTTTCCCCACACGCGAAAATTTCCTTCTGTGGCGCAAAAATCTCCACGCTCGCTGAATTTGCCATTTGCGTTGACGTCAGAGTCCCGTTTTTCGTGTGTGAGTGTGTTCGTTGGGAGCCTTTTCGGAGTTGTAAAAATTCGCGAAAATTCCGCAAGCTCATCTTGAACAGGTGTTTGAGTCAGACTCGCAACGAAATGCGCGAATGCCGCTGTTTTGTTTGACTATGACATACTGAGCGCAGTAGAGTTGTAGAAGGTTTCTTACGGAATTTTAAGTTACAGTAAAGCATCCTTATATGAAACTCTTGAAACCAACCAATAAGAATTATGATGGCGCTGTTGAACTCTTATCCAATCAAAATGTTCGTTTTATCGACATTTATTTGGTCAAAAGTAATGATGAAAAACTGAATTCAATAAGTCGACAAGCTCGGTTTTTTTTCAGTCAGATACTGTCATCAATTTCCTGACCATTCTCCATGGTACCGTAAAACTTTTGTTAACCCTCTTAACTTTTTCTTGAAAAAACCTGTGCCCGGCCATAATCTGCTCATTCCTCAGTTAGAACATTTCTGCGGTAGTTGCTGCTATTTTGCCCAGCGAACCAGCAATTTCCTTCTTTCTCGACATCTGTGCTATTTCCGCCGATTGAGTTATTTTTTCCTCGATCAACTTCACTTTTGTTCAACTTAGAACGAATAATGTATTTAACCAGCACGTGCTCTATTTTGTGCCGTTTTTGGCGTTATTTGATTTTAACCCGTGCGCGCGTGGCAGCGCTTAGAAATGAAGCTCCATTGTAAGTTCAAAAAGGTGCCAAATTGGTTTTAACTCACTCGAGAGTCTCTCGAGAGAGCACGTGGGTTAAGGACATTGCTTCGAGTAGCGTAGATGCTCGAGAATAAGGGGAAGGTTCGCGGCGATATTGGATTTATCGACCGCGCGATTGAGATTATCGCCACCACTGGTGTATAAATGTGTCTTTTTGTTGTCACATCGGCCGGCGCGATGAGTTAGGTCTTGATAGGATTCACAAATCTTAGTTAAATTTACGAAGTATATCATAATTCTATCGAATTGTCAAGAATAATGAAAACTTGAGTTCGATGAACAAACTAGAGTTTTATGGCGTCTACTTTTGTCAACTTTGTTCGTCTCTTTTTCTTCATTCAGGAATTTTCTTCGCGGAAACGTTCCCTAAGACCTTCGTGAATTCTCCTCGGCCCTAGAATTCTGAGCAAATTAGACATGCGCTCTTCAATTCAACGAACCTTTAAACCCTGCTTCTCCCATAATTACTGATTCATCATAATTGACCCAGCTCATAATTAACCTCTTAATTAACTAAGAAGAATTTTCAGTTTTCTATTCTTATTTTAATTTCTACAAGTGTCCAAATATTATTAGTATTTATATCAACTTGTTCGATATGGTCGTCTTTAAACCGCAGGACATAATACCGTAAACCTTTTGGATAATATTTTGCCTCGGAAAAAGGAGCAATCTCGCGCTTGTAATTGAACAGGAGGCTAATTACTAGTTGTAGACCAAAATGTTTTAAATGAAAGTCTAACGGAACAGGCTTTTTCATTGCTACTTTCTCCGACTCAAAACAAGAAGTATAACTTTATACCGGTGTAGCAATGTTTGGTACTCACACAAGCGTTTTTGTATAATAAAAAAATCCCTGGAATTTCATTTTTTCAAATATTTAGTCAAACAGAAAATGTCAAAAGGGGGCAATTTTGTGTTCAAAGCGGTATACGTGTGAAAAAAGGTTAATTTGTAAATTGCAAATTGAAAAATTTGATAATTTGTTTTGCAAATTTCAGTTTTTGCAAGATTTGATATAAGCTGCTCGGGCGTTATTTACGTAAATAATCAATTTTCGCGCATTAATTATTTTAGCTCAACATATCTACTTAGTTTGTAGTTGCATGTACGTGGCTCCCCTCCCTCTTGACCTCAGCATGGTACATTGCATGATCCTTACTTTACAAGCAGAATTTTAAATTGCATTTTTCATTATCACAAAGGTCTTCTCAGGGCAGAAAAGCGCTCTTCATAAAAAACGCACTTTGCTCAAACTTTGCTCTAACAATTTGTATTCAGTTCGACTTGGAGTTGAGGGGCGACAAACTTCGGTACAGCTCATCGATACTGCTGGCAAGGTAATCAACGGACAGGAGAAATATTTTGTCAATGACCCTGGAGGCCTTTTTAGAAAGTAGTTTAGTAACCGTGATAATAAACTATCCATGTAACAACACGTTTTCAGGGATATCATTTTGCAAAGTTATACCCAAAATTGCGTCTTATCAGCTTGACCAAATCGGTCAGCTCTCCTGCCGAGATTGGGTCTCTCTTATCACTTTTCATTCGAAATTTTGAAACAAAGAAATATGATATTTCAAATATTTTTTTAGATCAAAATAATTTAAATTTTGAAGAAAAAAATATGAATCATCAAAATCATTCGAATCTTTGATGATTTCAAAAAAAATTTCGCGGGCCTGGAAATCTTCAAAAAACTTCTTGTCTAGTTTTGAAGAGCTCGTCGAGACGAGTCGAATAATATACAAAACTCCAGATAGTTTTAAGATTTTCTGCCAAAAAAAGTGATAAGAAGGTGTCTTATCAAAAATTTTCTGACCGGCGCCGTTTTTGTTCTAGAAAAGCTGACGTGATGCTTGACCCCGGAAAATGATCCTCATGGGCTGTTCTATTCCGGCAAAAAATTTCAGCTCGTCATCATTTACCCAGCCGAGTTTATCGTAAAATTTCATTTTCCAAGGAAAATGGGACTGTAAATGGGCCGGAAACTAGGAACGTGCAGCGACAACAAAATGCACTATTTTTTTGATTTTTCGCTGATAAGCACAGCAGGATATGTGAGGACGAGCTGAAATTTTTTGCCGGAATAGACCAGACCATGAGGATTATTTTCCGGGGTCAAGCATCACCTCAGCTTTTCTAGAACAAAAACGGCGCCGGTCAGAAAATTTTTGATAAGACACCTTCTTATCACTTTTTTTGGCGGAAAATCTTAAAACTATCTAGAGTTTTATATATCATTCGACTCGTCTCGACGAGCTCTTCAAAACTAGACAATAAGTTTTTTGACGATTTCCGGGCCCGCGAAATTTTTTTTAAAATCATCTTTGAGCAAAAATATGAGGGCTTAGATAATCGACATTAGCAGGAAATACCGCGCGGTGAAAAAAAGTAATGATTTTCACCTGAAAATGTCTCCTTTTTTCACGTCCATGTCCCCCGCCGTCACGTGTTCACCCGTTTCCATTTCCGTTCGAGTAAAACATGACACGAGATCACGTGTCAGATCCTGAGCTGGACAAGGAACTTCTGCTTAAAATTTTTCAAATGCAGAGAAGTGTCATTTTCGACACGCTCGCGCCGGAAAAGAAGACGCGTTTTATGATAAACTTAACAATGATTCTTTAGCCCGAATTCGGACTCTTCAGAAGATTGAGCTATCCAGACGCGGAAGTGTTTTTGCTGTGCTTTGATGTCTGCGATCCGAGAGCGTTTGCCAGGGTTAGGGATTATTGGTTCATGGAGCTCAAGGATTATAAAAGAAAGGTAAGAATTTTTCTTCAGATTATAAAGGACCTTTTTGCATGTGCATATTTCATGACTTGAATTTATATTTGATAATCGTTTCTTTGAATGAGAAAAAATATAAACATGATTTTAAATTATTAATTTTAAGGGTTTCAAAAAACATTGCTCTAGAATTTTTTTAAGGAAAATAAAAAGCCCGAGGAAATTTCAAAAACGTGTGCTTTTTTTGCTATCTTTGTTTACAAGATTTTTTGCTAAGGTTAGGGCTTTTATCTTCCCATGCTTGTACGTTGGGTCTTCATCCCTCTAAATCTCAAAAGACAGTTTCTGTGAAGTTAATCGGGTTAAAAAATGCGTGAACTTGGCGAGCCGTACAAGTGCTCTAAATATTTGCCCGGTCGGGTTCGTCTATTATGACTTTCGAAACGTGTAAGACATGCTCCCATGTAATCGGAAATTTTTGAAGAAGTGCGCTTAAGGATCCACCCGCTGGAAAAGGTATCCGTTTTAATAAATGATCAGGGTAGAATAAAGAAGAAAAAAAGCATGAAAAAATACTTAAAACTTATCATTTGACTGCTTTTGGCAACAATTTATAACAGTTATTGATGGCTTTGTTTCATTTACCTCTTTAGACTCCTGTAATTCTCGTCGGCACCCAAATCGACCGCCGCGGCGACTTCAACGAAATCGCCCGTCTCGGCCGCCAAAACCTCCGTCCGATCACAACTCAGCAAGGACAACAAATGGCCCGCAAAATACGCGCCAAAAAGGTAGGCAAATCGCATTTTCAAAGAAAAACTTGATAAGAAAGAGCGGCTTCGAATGAGACATCATCGTCAACGTATAATTCCACCACTAATTGATTCCCAAGCTTCTGAAGGTCTAAAATGATTTTGCCTCTTCCGCTAAATGCATCATTTGTTTAGATTTTTAAGCAAGAAACTTTCTCTAAGGGAGCTTCAAAAAGTTCATGATCGGCATATTTTCTTCCGGAAGTTTCCATTTGCAACAAAATTAAAATCCCGCAACCGTTCGCGTGCCGTAAATGCTTTACTTCCATCATCCGATCTAATTTGCGAGCAACGGGCTTTAGACTATTTCGCGTAAATATCTTCACCCCGCTTTTAGAGATCTTGCAATGTAGAACAGAGGCCGCCAAGAATTTCGTTCATTTTTCTTAAGTTTATGGCCACGTGATTGTTATCACGAAACGTCAACAGTTCGTCATCTAGCGGGACCACTCTGAAAATAAGATAATATAAGGAGTTTTTCCTTGTCTTTCTTGTGAAAATTTGAACAAGCCACGTTGCCTTGACTCAGAACGGCGCTTTTGAGTTTTCATGTTTCAGGCTTCTTATGACAAGAGTAACACAAAAAGCACGCTCTCTTACAAAATAGAGCAGCTTAGAATGTTATATTTCTAAGTTCCGTAACAGAGGAACTTAGGTGCCACTTAGGAAAAGCCTCTCAATATGCATAATGTGCACACATGCATTTCAATTACAGTCGCTTTATTTTCATGTTATTTTCATTTTGACTCACGTTTTCTCACATTTCTTGCATAAATATGTCTTTTTTACTAAAAAAATGATTTCCTAAAATTGAAGATTTGCCAATTCTAGCATTTTCTAAGACGGAGAATGACGACTCTTATAGATAATGACGTTTTTTTTCCAACAGACAATGATAAGTTTAATCATTGAACGGGCACTAGACTGCTAGCAAGGCTTCTTGTTGATTCCATGAAAAGGAAAAAGTCTTAAGAAAATGATAAAAAAATTTTCCGGGCTTAAAATTCTCGATTTCAAAATTATAATTTTTGATTAACACGACTTTCATTTTCTTGAATTTTATTGGCTATAAGTTCGAAGTTTGAACCTTTTTAGAAAAAACGCGTACATTTGATAACAATATTTTTAGTACATCGAATGTTCCGCTCTGACGAAAAAGAATCTGAAGAGCGTCTTTGATTCCGCCATTGTTGCCGGCCTGGACGAACAACTAAAACTTCAAAAACGACTACATGCTTCCTCCAGGCTTAGTTTCGGGTCTAAAACCTTCACTTCACATTCTTGAACACGTGGCCTTTAGAAATCGGGGAAATCCATTTTTTTCAAAGAGATTGAGCGGTTTGGATTAACGAAAAACAGACTCAGCTGTTTCAAATAGAATCTTTACTTGCAGCAAGATAAATTGATTGAAAAAGGAATTAAAGAAAGGAGGTTTATCTTGTTTTTGAGGTGAAAACATGGACTGTGTTTATTTGCGAATGAATACAGTTAAATTTCAATTATTGAAACTATAAAAGCCTTCATAACCTCAGTTTCCGTCGCCTCTCTGACGAGCTGCGAAAGTCCCTCCGCTCTCTGGAAAAACGAAGCTCAACGCATTCTGGTTCAAGCCGCTCCAGTGCAGCCAGTTCTAGAGACAGTTCCAGTGGAAGCAGCAATTCTAGGAATGGGATAGAAAAGAGGCTGTTTTGCGTTATGCGGCCGATTATGAGGTGCTGCATTACTTTGAGGGTATTTGGCTCGGTATTTTAAAGCACTGTGGGAAAAGGGGACGCGAAAGGTCAACATGTAACTCTTTCGGGAAAAGAATGCTTTTTGACGGGTTAAGCGGGCATAAGACTGTATTTTCTATAAGGTTCTTTTTCTATTACATCTGTCATGGCTAGCCTTAAATATTTTTAAAAGAATGTTTCTGATGAATTCAAAGTTTTATATCGCAAAATGAAGCAAGAACTTGGCAACGTAAAATGATCGAAAAATTAAGCGTGAAAAGGTATGACGATGCGAGATCATCAAAGTCATGTGTGATCATGTTCGAGGGATGAATTTGGGAAGGCGTTGACGCCGAAACGCATGTCTCGCTAAACCAGCGAGAAATTCCAGCGATCTAGATTATCGCCCCCGATTTACTCGATTACTGTTTTTGCCCGTCCATCATTTATTTGGATTTCTATACTCTCAGCGCAAATTAACCGCCATCTAAGGCTACGAAATCTGGATAAAAGATGGACGTAATCTTAATGACGAAACAAAGTACATCACTCAGCGCGGGTGACTTTCTTATCAGTACCAAAGTCGCAAGGCTTCTGCGATAACATCCCGGGAGGGCCATCATCTCCTTGTCTCCGATGGGAATTTCCGTTGATAAGGCTTGTCCCGCACGTTGTTGCGGAATTAATTGCGAGATCTAAGATCTTGTGTTCTACTTTTCGGCCATTTTTCTATCCAAAAACTCAGCTCCGACGAATCCGACTACACGAAGCCAACCTATTCGAAGACTTTCAATCCGGACACGATTTCTAGTGCTCCAAGTCGCCCCCGTCCATTTCTCAACTTTCTATGCATGCGCTAGCTAGACCCCTAAGCATCTACGATTCCACCCTTGAAAGGCTAGAATTCTAGCCACTTCAGATTTTCCAAAATTTGTTCCTAACTTATTCCTTCCTATTTAAATTTGTAAATATTCCACGATGTATACAACTTGTTCTTTACATAAAATTCTACTTTTGACAAATTTGTTTGAAACCGCTTTCTGCTTCTTAAAAATGACTGAGAAATGGACCGTCAACTGGACCCGGTCGAAAAAGGTAAAAAAATGCTTTTGTGTAAATAGATTCAGAGAACGAAGATCCTAAAATCCTTAATTGCCAGATGAATGAAAGAAGCGCGAAGATGTCGTTACTTGACACAAACATGAACACAAGCTTACTGTAAATAAAAGCTAAAGTACATTCTCTATAAGTTGTACGAAATCAATGATTTTTATCGTTCTCTTCCTTGATTTCAAGAAAAAATATGACTTCAGTGACCTTCCAAGCTGCCTGAAGCTGTCATTCGTGGACATTTACTGGCATTTTTTCGCTGATAATTGCAGTTTCCGGAAATCTTTACCGAAAAATACCAGTATTCAAAAATCATTTTATCATTTTAACCATGCCAGATTGGGAAGCGAACTGCAGCTTTTGCCGCCAGAGAGGAAAGACTGTCGTTTTTGAAAATGAGATTTGGATTGTTCCAAAAACTGTTTGTAAAGTACAACTGCCTCGTGAGCCTGAAAAGCCTTCGGTTCAATTTATCTACGACGATAGACGGATTTTAGGGAATAAGTACTCGTTTTTTATTTTTCTTCCTTTTGAAATCTATCTAGCGGGTTCGAAACATTCAAGCAGAAAGTAACATTTGTCTCCTTATCATCAATATTTTGGATTTGCATTATGTTTGCAACGTCTTATATTGTTTTCGAAGGGAAAAAATTTGTCCCAGGATTCGGTTCAGCCTGCGTTCTTGAGTATAAAAAGTGCATTTTGTTGAGACAGTTTTCAACCTGCCTTCGCCCTCTTAGAAATTGTGGAAATATTTATCACGAAGGCAGTGGTTGTGAGTTTTAATTGACCATTGATTTAATGCAGCCTATCAACCAGTTTCAGATTACAAGAAATTCATAATGCCTTCGGAAATTTCTACTATCTCAATAGAAGATCAAATGCCCAGGAAAAGAGAATATTACGATGAATCCGAGAATGAAGAAAATCGAAAGGAGTGTCTTTTTATGATAAAGAGTGGTGGTCGAATGTGCAAGGAACTTTGCTCTTTGCAGGATATTACGGACTTTCACCCGTTCGAATTTCTACCGACAGTGCATCGAGTAAGCGAGCAATGCTTTCATATTTGTGAGCTTATCGGAGTACCGACGGAGAAAATCTGTCCTTTGAATTCTGGTTGTCGTGATGGATGTCCGTGTCCAGGTGAAAGCCAGAGTAAAAATTAGTTCTTCATAAATTTTTAGAGTACAAATGCACAAAAACCCTTCCAAAGAAGCAAATAACGATTATTGATTCTCGCACTTATTCATGTGATCATTACAATGATAAATTGAATGATTACAATCCTTGTAATGACTATCCGGCTCTTAATTATTTTTCTTTCCTGACATTCAATCAAAATCTCACTCGCTTAGAGATTTCTAGCACGAATGTTCCGATTCCCTCCTTGATGAAGGAAGTACGATGTTCGACTTTTTTTCAAGGAAAACACTACATATTTATGTCAACCGGAAATGTTTTTCAATATCACAACTATGTTATCGTTAATGGGATAAAACTAATCTAACAAAATATATTAAGAGAGAAGCGGTCGAGATCTTTTTTCAATCCGATCCCGACCATCTTCCGATAAAGTTTTATCGCTAAATGAAAACTTTGAGACTCTAATTATTGATGAGCATACACTAGAAAGTCATAGAACAGGTTAAAGCTAGGCCCTTGAATCTAGGGAGGGTGCTCTTGTGGCACTTTCGTTATATTTGCCCCTGCAGCACTGTCTTTCCTGTGGCACTTGCGCCCAGAGTTGTAAAATACTTTACCTTAGCCTCAAAGTAAAGTAAAGTATGTTAAAGTAGAAGCTATTTTTCAGTTTCACTTTACTTTACTTTACTTTAAGATTTTGAAAGTGATCTCTACTTTGCCAATACTTTACTATGGAAGATGAAAGTGCTTTCTACTTTACTTTACTTTACTTTATGGTTTTCAAAATGAACTCTACTTTACTTTACTCCACTTTAGATTTTCAATAATGATTCTACTTTACTTTGCTTTATGTTGGAGTTTTCTCTAGAAAAATCTATTGATATTTATGAAATCTTATTTTACGCTTGAAAAGCGATTATTTCTCTAGACTTGCTATTTTCGCAAGCATTCTTCAATACATTTTCATAACACTATGCCGCCTAAGCGCAAAAGAGATTCCTTGGAGATTTTTCAAGCCCCCACTGATGAAAAAACGAAGAAAAGACTTAAAACAATCTTGGAGCACGAAGATATTGCCCCATATAATCTCAAGTCGTTAGAACTCGGACACATTGAAGGAAAGCCGACTGGCCTCGCGCTTTGCGAATGCGGACAAACCTTTGTCGCTGGTTCAAATGGAGCTCTACATCTCGACAAAAGTATTTATTTCCTGGATAATTTTTAGTCATATTTTGATTCTTAGTAAGAATACATTTGAGTCGTAACCACGCATCTCGATCATCGCCATGGGATAAAAAATTGAAACAAATCCCTGAAGACCTTGTCAATGGTGTTCATCGACAAAACGCTGTTTGCATCGCAACACACAATCTCCCGATGAATATATTTTCTGAGTAAGGTTAAAATAATTGTGTTGAAAATTAACATAAATAAGGCAAGCATTTGTGGAGTGCGATCGAATTCTGTTGAAAGGATTGTCACATGACCCTGAAGGGGCTCAAGATCTCAAAATGAGCAGATATCTACTCCGAAAAAGAATTCGAGATAATGCAATATTGATGAAAGAGCAACTTGGTGGAAATTTCGTTCTTCTTGCGAACGAAGGATTTATTTCTTTGTTATACGATCACAAGACTGTCGGAAACAAGACCTCCGATTACCAGGATAATATTCTGTCCTTGGTATGTCTTATTCATCTTGGAAATCGATCCAAGCCGTATACGCTTTTCTTCGAGCCTGTTGATTCTCTAACGAAGCTGGACACTGTACAAACGATTCGAGACGCCCTCATGAAAGACTACGGTATCAACCTTGATGAAATAACAACTCCGTTGCCGATCACAGTGGACGGTGGCGAATATCACAGCGCTAAAATGCTGTCTGTCGCATTCAATGTTTGCCTCGCACATTCAATGAATGTTGCTTCAAAGGTTTGAAATCGAGAACATAGGGTTTCTTTTTTAAGCACAAGTGCGCTAATGGGTTAAAATGCCAATTTTTCGGCACAAGTGCGCTCATAGGTTAATATGTCAATTTTTTGGCACGAGTGCGCTCATAGGTTAATATGCCAATTTTTTGGCGCAAGTGCGCTCATGGGTTAAGATGCCAATTTTTTGTCACAAAATGCGCTAATGGGTTAGCACGCCACTTTTTTGGCACAAGCGCGCTCATGGGTTAACATGCCAATTTTTTGGCACAGATGCGCTAATGGGTTAATCCACAATTTAAAATAATTTAAAAATCTTTACAGATTAAGGAATATTTTTAGGGCGCTGTAATTTATGCACAACGCTATTTCGACCTGGAAAATGAGGAAAAACGAATTGACAATTTTCTTTTGAAAGCACGAAAGGGTCTGAGCAAGGAAGAACTCAAAATCATGAAGAAAGAAGGCATGCCACAAAGCCTCGCGGATTTTTTCTACGATCTTCCAGTAACAGAAAAAGATTCCGTGAAAATCTTCAAGATGAGGAATCCGGAGTCAAAACTAGAAGGCGATGCGCTCAAATCGATGGCGGGAAAAAAGATCACCCAGTATCCAATGCCGGCGAATCTTAACAAAATAAGATTCAACAGAATGGATCAGCATCTGGACTTACTTCTCTGCTGGGAAGGTAGAAAGACCGTTATTTTTTTTCCTTCAAAAAGTTGTAGATAACATGCTGATGATGGACTCCGCCAGCTCCAAATACAGATATCTTATAACTTCACTTGCCGATGATTATCCAAATATGGCCTATGTTCGCGCGCATAAATTGGTCACAACGATATTCAGGAAGCATATTCTCCGTGCAGAGAAGAACTCTACTAGGGTGCCAGATGTTTCTCAAATTTTCGAAGATTGTTTTCGAGACATTTTGAGTCTCAATTTGACTGCGCATAACTATGATCTAGAGACTGCTGATAATATAAACAGTCTTTGCAAAGGTAAATTTTCAGTAAAAGAAATATTATTTTTCATTATTTCCAGGCGCAACTTTAAAAATGATGATGATGGTCTTTGGCTCGGCGCGTGTGCCTTTTGAAGGCTCATTTACTTTGAAGAAAGGAGACGAACCACCTAGAATGACTTTGGTCAACAAGGCGTCAATGTTTATTGACTTCAATCGCCAAAAATGCAATTTTTGGCGACTAAGAGAGGCTTACAGAAATTCAAAAGGAAGGATTAATATAAATTTTTAAAGAAGATTTTATCTTTATCAAAATAATTTTTTAAAGATCCATTTAAAGACCCGTTTTATTTGGCTCAGGAGCTCGTCATTTGCAGTGTCACTACCGATTGGCCAAATGAAGCTCGAGATTTCGTTGTTCAACTATCTCAAAAGCTTGAAACGGAACCAGAAGAACTAATCATGGACGAATTGGTGATCGAGGAGCAAAACTCGGACATTGATCCAGATGTTCTGAGACAGTCACGAGGATCTCAGCCAAGAATCAATTCACCATCAGTTGAAGGTAATTTACTTCTATCGAAAAATTATTCAAAAAAAATAACAAGGCGAAATCGAGCGATTCAAGATTTCCGGGGAGAATATGTGGAGGGCTGCAATAAAGGCAGTTGAAAAAATGGGTGCACAAGTTACTGCCAGCTCATGCTTACGGTCTTTCTACAAATTGTACCGGAAAGACTTTCCAAGATTAGCAAAGATTGCTGATTATGTAAGTTGACGCATGTATTCAAATTTATACTTTTACTTAAACTTTTAAGTTATGCGCAATGAATGGTTCTGCAAGTGAGATTGAGAGAAGTTTCGCTAGTACTACGGCGCAGGTCCAAGATCCAAAGAAAAACAGAACGAAAGCGGCGAAAATTGAGGAAACACTTCAGTTCAAGCAGTCCAAAGAGTTCTTGGACATGATGAATGAGGCGCTCAAAATGGTCAAAAAGGGCTTATAAGGCTATTTTTTTATAATCAGATTCTATTTTAATAAAACTTTAATTTATTTTCTTTACTTTGAAACGTTACTTTACGACTGGCGAAGTGGGGTCCGTTTCACTTTACTTTGCTTTACTTTAGAAAACGAAAAGTGAAGTCTACTTTGCTTCACTTTACTTTAAGATTGTGACGGTGGGTTTTAATTCACTTTACTTTACTTTAAGATCAATGTTTTCACTTTTACTTCACTTTACTTTACTTTAAAATGGCCGAGGCAATTTTCACTTTACTTTACTTTAGAAAATTTTAAAGTAGATTTTTTGACACTACTTTACTTTATGGCAAAGTAAAGTATTTTCCAACTCTGCTTGCGCCTGTTGTGGTATACCACAGAAAAAACAGTGCCACAAGAAAGACAGTGTCACAGGAGCACCCTCCACGTAACATCTTACTCTTTTCTGGAATAACTTACTTCAGTTTATCGACAAACATTTGGAATCAGTTTCGGGGAAATATGTGGACATGGAGTTTTTACAACGGAAATAGATCAAGACTTTGCAATAGACAAGCATGGAGTTTTTATTTGTCATACTAATGGATTCGAAAAATGCAGGGTTATTTTTCCACACTCCCCAAAAACTCTCTACTCATGGTTTTCAGATAATACACTTATATTTTTAGAAAATCAATTGTTCCTCGATTATTAATTGATTTCTCAAAGCCTACAAAAAGCCAGCCGCTGAGGTTCCATCGTTCAGAAAAGGCATAGACGGCTCGGAAGTGAGCACTTATACTTTCCAAGGACGTTTTGTAAGTAACTTTGGTCAATGTATAGGAAACTCGATGAAAAATGAGCTTTTTTGGGCTTAGTAGGGAGGGAGTATAATAGAGTTTTTGAAAGCCCAGAAGCTGGGGATCATTTTGACTATTGATAGTCAGGGGTTTAACATATGCCCTGGGGCACTTTTGGCCTTCCGAAGGGCCAAATATCTGGTACTCTCAGGATAGGGGACCGTAACTTCTAGTATCCCGGGTCTGTGGTAATAAAACCCATACTGGGTTGTAGAGTAGGCTCTGACGATTCAGAATATGTGTCAAAAACCATCGTTAGGCCCACTCTGGAGGGCGCTAGAGGCTCTAGAACTTAAGGAAGATGGCCGAAAATCCGCACTCTTGGTCCCAAAAAGTGCGAAACTGTTATTTCCTTCGAATGAAAAACGTTTAAGGACATTTTTTATCGATAAAAATATGTAAGAAAAGTATTTCTGGGTCATATGAGATATTCCGGGGCGAGTTCCTACGAAAATCTCTTTTTTTGTAAAATATGACCCCAAATGACCTTCAATGACCCCAAAATACTTTTTCATATATAAATATCGGTTTAAAACGTCCTTAAACGTTTTTCATTCGAAGGAAATAACAGTTTCGCACTTTTTGGGACCAAGAGTGCGGATTTTCGGCCATCTTCCTTAAGTTCTAGAGCCTCTAGCGCCCTCCAGAGTGGGCCTAACGATGGTTTTTGACATTATTATTCTGAATCGTCAGAGCCTACTCTACAACCCAGTATGGGTTTTATTACCACAGACCCGGGATACTAGAAGTTACGGTCCCCTATCCTGAGAGTACCAGATATTTGGCCCTTCGGAAGGCCAAAAGTGCCCCAGGGCATATGTTAAACCCCTGACTATCAATAGTCAAAATGATCCCCAGCTTCTGGGCTTTCAAAACTCTATTATACTCCCTCCCTACTAAGCCCAAAAAAAAGCTCATTTTTAATCGAGTTTCCCTATCAATGTAACTACTACTGTATTCTAACTATGTAACTAAGCATTATGCTTTGGGATTTTCACGGAAAGGCGTAATTTTTTATGCTTGTTCGTTTTCAGACGATTCTCTCACAACAAATGGGTACTGGAGTAAGTGGCCTTTACTCAAGTGAGTTCGAACCAAACATAAAGAATCGAAGATCTGGGTCACTTATTCGTGGAAATTGGAAAGATAATTACTATCAAATTTCATATTCGAAACGATCGGAAATAAATAGTTTTTGCCTAACAACTTATATTTTGTTGGCATTGTTCCTGACTCATATGGAGTCACGATCATTATGAACGACAGGGACCCGCAAAGAACAATAGCTGTGATGGACAAATATGCCACAAATTTTTATGTTTCAAGACTAGGTAGATATATCGAATAGATATCGAATTGTAACGTCTTTATATTTAACTATAAGTGGATAACATATTGGTTGATCTTGCCGTTTTCAAATCAACTCATCGTTTTGGATGGGCCAGTTTCAGTTCCTTTATTCATATCGGCAGGTAAACATAAAAACCTATACAAAAATTGGTAAGAATATAAATCATGGCTTAGACGATTCTTTATTGTCCAACAACAATATTTCTGCCGCGACTGTCAAGGAAGAATGGCAGACTGCATGTTCCACAACTGTAGACCTTACAACCCAAGCGATTTTGTTCAAAAAATGTTAGAAATATCATGGATAGAAGGTACATTTACCAAAAGAGAATTCCGCGATGTTGGTGATCTTTCACTGAATGAAATTCGATTTTTGTGGCCAAAAATTTTGGGCTAAAACTGCAATCAAATTAAATTATTTTCTAATCATAATAAATCAAAGTTGATGAGTCTTCGGTGATTGAGACAGCTGAATGTGTTTGTCTTTTCAGGCCACAGTGGCACTATAAAAATCACTTGAATTTATCATTGACCAAATTGAGTTAGGATGTGACGTGGAGCAAAAGTGTCAAGATTTTCCATGAGAAAATTCAACAGTAAATTTGCTCAGAAATTGATTTTCTTGTAATTTGTTTTCAAAACACTGTCTATGGAATTCGTCTCAAGGTTAACCTTACGACGCCAAGTGTGTCATATATGACACCAAGAGTTTCAAACGCCCGTAACTCATTTGTAACATGGTCTGAGAATTTCGCTGACCCCCCTTTATGCCCCTACTTTTCGCTAAGCTTTCACGTGGTATCAACTTTATGGGCGCTGCTTCGCTAGAAATGGATGAGAATAGCGAATTTCGCTTCGCTACTAGTGTGTCGTATATGACACACGAATTCATTGAAAATGTGTCATATATGACACATTGTCGTCGGTAGGACTTTTTTCCGCCGGAGAAGAAATTGAATTTTTGGGTTGTGGGTCGGGTTTGGGTATCTGTCTGGGTCTAAGTTCCGTCCCAGATTCTGATTTTGGCTAAAGCTTGTATTTAGACCGGAGTTCGGCCTATGAAATGGCCTCTAGAAGGCGGTAGAGGCGATGTGTCATATACGACACATTGTCGTCGGTAGGATATATTCCGCCGGCAAAATTATACATTTTTTCGGGGATTTCGGTTCGAGTTCGGGTTAGAGTTGAGGCTTGAATTTTGTTTCAGAGTTTAATTTTGGTTCCAATGTGGCATAATACCCTTCTTTGACTTCTATAATCGCCTCTAGAGGGCAGTAAAGGCAATGTGTCATATACGACACATTGTCGTCGTAGGGGGAAATTCTCGTTTGTCGTCGTAAGGTTAAGGTCTTTTATCAATCGTCATTCTGCATCAATCATTCTTCTCTTATCAGCCCCCGTTTGTCAGCGAGACAGCAAGCGTCTTTGTCTTGAGTTTATGGTATGCAATCATGCGTCAGCTAATCTCAATTCTTGCTCAATCGTTGATCCCCACCCATGATCATTACCTGATCCTCTCAGCACCCGCCGCGAACTTGGGCGCTAATTCAACCAATTACCCCTTCACCGGACAATCTGATTCGAGCTTCAAACTTTTAAAAGAGCACAAAAACAGAGAATCAAAGCTTGGAATCAAGGAAGAAAACCTCCTCTATAATTTCGACGATATCGGTATTTAAATGATACAAAATCATAGAAAAAAGGTTGTCTTGACAAATTTAAGCCGCGCTATGCGCGGCTAGTTTCTGATTCAGCTCGAAGCCGCAAGCGGCTTCTTGGTTTTACTGATTCAGTATTTCTGTAGCAAGCGAATATGATTAACATGCCACTATATCAGTGAAAAGTAACACTTACTGAAGCAACAGTATTTGCATAGCATGACAGAATAAAAAGTAAAATATTGACAGTGCAGGTGACGTCGAGCAGGTCCCTGCGCTCGGCTGAATCAAAGGGCCCACGAACGAAGAATAGCAAAGAAAGAGAGAGAGTAGTGATTCACCGCCGCCGATCGAGTAGAGGTCCATTCAGTGGTGAAAGTTTCAAAAGAGAGAAAACATTTTCTTCGAAGCACTTGAATTTTTGTAAAGAAAAAAATCGAAATTCTATTGATTCAAGAGCTAAAAATGCGTAGAACTACAATCATTCCCTTTTTCAGCGCGAACTTCAATATTTAACCGTCAAACAATAGATCCCGCTTACCGATCAAGCAGTCTGAAATTACAGCTTCAAATCTCCAGATAGAAAGATAGAGAAACGAAAGAAAGCCGAAGGTCAAAATATTTAGCGGCAGCTGGTGTTTTCAATTAATTTTAAGAACGAGGCGTTTTTACGGACTTTTTCGTTTTGTCCCGGAGATTACGGTTTTGTTGTTTTTTTTCGGTGAAAAGCTGGGTTTTTTCTCGGCACCCGGAATGAAAACGGAGAAAGAGGAAAAAAGAAGCGACACGAGAAAAATTTCAAGGGAGTAGTAAACGTTTTATGGCGTGGAATTTGGACCTTCATCAAATTTCAAAGAGAATATGACGGAATTTTAAGCAATTAAAGTCATGAAAAAGAATAATTTCATCAATATTTTCGGCAAAAATTCGGGTCTAGGAATTTTAAATCGTAAAAAACACTAAGATCAATAATTATTGATGATTGTTTTTCTTGATCATAATTCAATAGAGCTTCCGTTATTTATTCCTATTCACGATGAATTGGTTTTATCTTATTTATAAAAAAGGCGTCTGAGAGACCCGCTGTCTGTCGCTGATTGTCTGTCAGTAATTGTTGTCGAGGTTTGATTGAATTAAATCAAAGAAACAGGGGATTAGTGCTCCCAAAAATATAATATCGAGACAGAGCAACCGAGGGCCAGGGCTGCCTGGGTGAAAGGGCATTTCTTTGTCGCCCGCGGAGCTCCCGTCACGTACGACAAATTCTAAACTCTTGTTCGCACTCGACTTCTTACAGAAACAAAGACTCAAAATTACAGATTTCGTTGAAAAATTATTTTGACAGAATTAAAAAGATAGCAAGAGAATGCGGTGAACGGACAAAATGAGCGGCATTTAGCCCAAAATGGCCGAGTAATTACTGAGCACTACTAGTGAGTCAGGCAGAGATTTTGTCTTCTGTGTTTGTTTAGGCCGATTTTTTCAGTGAACTTTCAATCTGAAAAGAGAGAGAAGTTATTGTGATGTTTAGAAAAAACAACTGGTCAAGGAGGAGGATCGTTTAAGTGTTTGGGTTAGAGAGGAAGCAAAAGGCCACTCTTCGGATTAGCCAAGCGGCAATTGAAATTTTTCAAAAGCAAAATATTTTTATTCTATTTTTTAATTTATAAATTTGGATTTTTGTATTCTGGTTTGAGCGATTTCGAACTTGAGCGCAACGAAAACCAGGGCGTATTTTTAATTTTTGATGGGTTCTCCTTTTGATCACTTTCCAGCGCGCGCGGATGGAAAAAAGGGATGAGCTCAGGTGAAGATTTGAGGCGCTTATCACTCCTTCAAAAGAGAAATGAGCACTTTCGAATCACTACGAATCTGTGTTCTACGAACACTTTTATGATATTTATATTTTTAATAGAGATTAACGAAGAAAACGAAATTGGGTGAAATCAACGAAGAGAACTTTTTTTATCAGGGATTGAATTCGTTTTTTTTTTGTTCTAAAAATAGTTTCGACTCGTCTTTTTTCGCTAAATTCAAGTAGGATTTTATTTCTTTGAATTCGAAAATAGATATTTTTCGCTTTGAAAAAGGGATTTTGAAAACTCTGATCGTCTGAAAAGCTCGTGAAAAAAATCAAATTCCTCTGTGTTATTATAATAAGGAAGTGAACCGGGAAACTGCATTTTTATGGCTTTAGCTGCAAAATGCGACGAGCTGGGCTCATGGTCGTTTCATTCTTTTCTTAGCGCGCATTTTACAACCGCACATGCGTAAAGCCGCCTCAATTCAAAACGCCGCAATTGAACTTTTTTGATTTATCTCCCCCTACTCATGTCCTAGAGCTTTATTTTTAATTGAAAAGAAAAAGAACGGAAGATTAGCTTAGGAAAACCAGCAGAAACGGGTTAAATTTCGGTCGTAAAATTTCAAACGAGAGAAAAAACGGGCGACGTCAGAATGCTTTTTTACCCTTCAAGATTAGCTCGAGGATCTGACGGGATCTTCCTGTCACTCATCCTGTATTTACTTGTCCTATTCAGAAAGGGAAGCGTCCAAAAGGTCGACCTTTTATAAAAACGCGTCGTTATATTTTCTTCCTTATTTCTATACTCCCTAATAAGCCGCATCCGGTCCTACATTTTTTTTCGACAAAACAGAGAAACCTTCAAGTACAGTCAGATCCGTTTTTAGTCTTATTTAAACTATTAGAAGAAGATTCTATTATTCAATTTTAAAGCAAACTGCTCCTTCTCATAATTAAATTCTTTTGAACCCAGTTTGCTTTCAGTGGGCTGCCGAAGTGACGCTACTGTAGTAACACAGTGAGCCCTGTGCTGTGCAGTACTCGAATTTGATAATGAACACGCCCGAGGGCGAGCCACTGTTCTACGAGAGCACCCATCGACGTGACAAAACCACGAAGACCGTGGGAACATTTTTAAGCGTTTTTTTTATTTTTGAATTATTTTTTTTTAATTCTGAAAACTGATTGAAAGAGAGAATCTGACGAAAATATTAACAGCCTTCGTAATCAACATCCTGATTTATATTTATAAAGCTAATTTTGAAGAAAAAGCCGTAAACTTCTAAAAACTAATATTTTTGAGAAAATTCTAGCGCGTAGCTTCTCTTATCTCATACTCACGTTAGGGCGTAAAATTTACAAAAGGGAGTTCTAAACTCATTTTCCCTGTTCCGTGCTGCGGATTTACGGCGGATTTTGTGAAATTTTAGCGTGACGTCAACCGTTTCCTAAACTCGCTGCCATTTCATAATCCTGCTGATACTGTAATTTACTTCGGGGGTACAGCAGCTCTTGTTTGAATACTTTTTCTATAGCCGTTTTCTTTTTATTTATTTATTGCTTTTATAGAGGTTGATCTATCTGTAGATCTTTTGATTACATAACTAGTTGTGTTTATTTGAAAGTCGGAGAAATAACTGTATTCCCGGAAAAACAACCCTTTTCACACAATCACGCGATTTTTAAACATCCTCCGAATGAACCCCTCTTTTTCTCAGCCCCTCTCTGCTCCCTTTTTCCCCTTATTTCCTGTGCCGGGTACTTATAAAAATCATGAAATCAAAATAACGCTGACGCTTTTCAGACTTGTATGAAATTGTGAGATCGTTTCAAATTTCAAACCGACAGTTCAAAAACACAAAAAAAACAGAGAGAGATTTCAATCAAGAGATTTTCGCAGAACGAAGATAGAAAAACTTTGAACAAAGAAAGAAAAAACTCAACTTGCAAAGATGGGCAAAAAGGTATGGCGACGTTTAAGGGTGTCGTAACAAGTTAAAAATAATCGAGCTTTTCAAAAAATTGCCTATCTTCCCTTTTATAGGAATTCCTTCTTAGGGATCGTTGAATTCAAAGACGCAATTTTTGAAAAGCTCAGATTTGCCGGTCGGATTTTTGTTTTTCCAGAAGAGTAAGAGACCTTGAAACGAGCTAGTCGAATCATGCTCAAAAATAGTAAAGCTCTTTTAACTTTTCTCTCGCAGTTGAGAAATCAGAGACAATATGAGTTGGAATAATGATAATTACGATGAGTACGTAAGCGGCCATGTGGCTGATACTGGCAGCTCTATGCCAAGAAAATCAGTAGTCGAGTCTCTTATGGGCTCGTATGATTTTAACCAGTCGCGGGAGGAGGTAAATGCCGTTACAGTAGGGGACGTAGAGACCATAAAAACCCAGCATGCGAAAGCAAAATATAATCCGATCGGCAAATTCCTTTGATGTTATGTTTATTTTAACATGATCAAAGTGGTGTTAAAAACATTAACTTCCTACAGAAAGGCGCTATTATAAGACCATGCATGGTCCAATAATGACCCGTTTCTGTTAATAAAGATTGAAATTTGAATTGCTTGGACTTACAGATCTACTTACAGGACTTTTCACTTGCTTCCTCTACGAAGGAATCTAGCTCCAAAAAATCCAAAATGGTAAACACACAAAAATAAACCACTCACAAAATAAAACGAAATAACATTTGCTTCTAAAAATCCAAAAACTTGGAGCATCACCAAATTAATTTTAAAATTATCAAAAAATAAACGCGCTCATAATTTCACCGCACACTGATTCCATACTCGCACTTTTGCTTATCCCGCTTCACCTTCGCAGATCCAATTGGCAGGCACGTGATGCCATGAAATGCCATAATTGCTTGTTTAAAAAATGAGCTCAAAAATTGGATCGAACTCCGAACTCTTCCATAACCTGATCTTTTTGAAGAGTAAAGCCTTAAATCCGCTTCCCTCGAAAAAAAAATCTCAACCACACCTCGACCACGTGATCAGGCCACTTTGCATGATTTATTGAGCCCAGGACGGGGCGGATTATCCAAAATTGATCCGATCTTCGTCTGGCTTTTGCTTCACGTTTTTTTTTCTTCTTTTCTGAAACACTTTGGAATTCTTTAATTTAGCTCCAGATATGCGTGACCACTATGGATGCCGAGCTGGAGTTTGCCATCCAGTCCAGCACAACAGGTTAATCAAAATAATTCTTCAACGGGTTAAAATCCCAAAAACATCTCTTACTATTCAAGAAAGTTATTCGCGACCTTTAAAAAATCTCTAGGAAAACAACTATTCGACCAAGTAGTAAAAACCATCGGCCTGAGAGAGATCTGGTTCTTCGGCCTACAGTACGTCGACTCCAAGGTACAAAAATTATCACTACGTGGCAGCGAGTTAACCAACAGTGATCAATTGATTTCCTCCGCGGGTGTCAGGTCATCCTGGTGAACTCGACCATTTTTTTCTTCTCTTTCTCTTGTCGGGTCATAAATTCCCACTTCAGGGCTTTATCACGTGGTTGAAGCTGAACAAAAAGGTGAACGCGCAAGATGTGAAAAAGGAGACGGGGGACAATGCCATTTACAAGTTCAAGTTCAAGGCCAAGTTCTATCCGGAAGATGTCTCCACGGAGCTCATTGAAGAGATCACTCAGAAATTGTTCTTCCTTCAAGGTGAAACCCGTTTTTCCTTACAATTATCACACCCTATTATAGTCAAAGAAGCGATTCTTACAGACGATGTGTACTGTCCTCCCGAAACTTCAGTCCTACTTGCTAGTTATCAAGTCCAGGCCAAGTTCGGTCCCTTCATCAAAGATGTCCATAACGCTGATTACCTCGACAACGAAAGATTACTTCCCGAACGGTAACTCATTAATATTCCAAAAGAAAGCCTAACTTCGCCTCTAGTGTTATCAAACAACATCGAATGAGCAAAGAAGACTGGCAGGAGCGCATTTCCCAGTGGCACCAAGAACACGGCTCGATGCCGCGGGAAGAGGCAATCATGGAGTACCTCAAAATCGCTCAGGACTTGGAAATGTACGGCGTCTCGTACTTTGAAATCACGAACAAGAAGAAGACCTCGTTATACCTCGGCGTCGATGCTCTAGGTAAACATGGGATCCGCGTGTACTGAATACCGGAATGTTATTCTAGGGCTGAACATTTACGAAAAGAAGGATCAACTCACGCCCAAAATCGGCTTCCCATGGAGCGAGATTAGGAACATCTCCTTTTCGGACAGAAAGTTTGTGATCAAGCCAATCGACAAGAAAGCGCCCGACTTTACTTTCTGGGTTGAGAGGCTGAGGATAAACAAGAGAATTCTAGCTCTCTGTATGGTAAGTCCGAAAATGTTTAATTTATCTAAACAAGTCAATTTTCTAGGGCAACCACGAGTTGTACATGAGAAGACGCCAGCCCGACCCAATCGAGGTCCAGCAAATGCGAGCTAAAGCAGAGGAAGACCGACAAAAACGAGAGCTCGAGAGGTAAAAACCGTAAATTAATTCAAACGCGCTAACCCCTTTACTTTAAAAACTTATGCATAATTTCAATGAGACCATGTTTTTAATCAGTTATTAGACAGCGATTTGAGAGCGAGAGAAACCGAGCTCGAGAAGAAGAAGCTGCCAGACTCCAACTCGAGAAAGAAAAAGAGGTTTGAACAAATATATTTTACAGAAGAAATTTAAATATCTTTAGGCCCTGAAAGCCCAGCTTCTTGCGACAGAAGAAGAGCGAAACCGATTCCGAGAGGAAACTCAAGCTTACCAGTCTCAGTTGGATCAGAAAATGAACCAGCTTGCGCAGATGCAGGAGGAGGTGAGGAAGAAGATTATGGTTAATTTGGGATAACACTTTGTAGATTTCACGAATCGAACGCGAACGATTAGAAATGGAGGAACTTCGACGATCTGCAGATGAGCAGCTTGAGGAACTTAGGGTAAGACGAATTATTCAAGATTATCAAATTGTAACATGTCTTTTCTTCTTCGTAGAAAAACCAGGATATGGACGCGGAAGAAAAGGCCCGAATCGAAGCTGAAATGGCCGAAAAACTCGAAGCACTTTCTCTGATGGAAAAGGAGAAGCGCGAAAAAGATGAGGAGCTGGAACAAATTCGCCTTCAGGTACACACTAACGTATTCGCGGGTACTATTATTCCTAGGCTTACCGGACTAAATTTCGACTCATATTTCTAGCTTAGTTTGGTGGTCATATGACACAGTTTTAGAAAGCCTAGCTTCTGGGCTTTCATTTGGGCACAAATTCAAGGGGTCTGGCTCATGCCCGCAAGGCAATTCATGGGACCTGAAGTCCCAAAATAGGTACTAAAATACTTCAAACTATTTTTCGATGGCCGTCCGGGCTCGAGAGTAGTCAAAAGTCATATATTTAGAAAGCTCAGGCTCTGAGCTTTCAGTAGAGCTCAAGAAATCTTAGCGCCAGGCGGTTAGTGGCCACCTGGAGGCGCTAGAAGTTGGCGGTGAAAATCCGGAAATGCCGGAAAACTCGGTTTTTGAGTTCTAAACTCTACAATTATGTGTATAAAACATATACAAACAATAATTAAAGCATTAAAAAGTTGAACCGAGGTCAAACCGGGTGGTCAACCGGGTGGTTCATCGTTGGCCATATTTCCATGTTTTTGAAGGTTTCTAGAGTTTAACCACCCGGTTCGACGACGGTTCAACTTTTTAATGCATTAATTATTGTTTATAAATGTTTTATAAATATAATTGGAGAGTTTAGAACTCAAAAACCGAGTTTTCCGGCATTTCCGGATTTTCACCGCCAACTTCTAGCGCCTCCAGGTGGCCACTAACCGCCTGGCGCTAAGATTTCTTGAGCTCTACTGAAAGCTCAGAGCCTGAGCTTTCTAAATATATGACTTTTGACTACTCTCGAGCCCGGACGGCCATCGAAAAAATAGTTTGAAGTATTTTAGTACCTATTTTGGGACTTCAGGTCCCATGAATTGCCTTGCGGGCATGAGCCAGACCCCTTGAATTTGTGCCCAAATGAAAGCCCAGAAGCTAGGCTTTCTAAAACTGTGTCATATGACCACCAAACTAAGCTAGAAATATGAGTCGAAATTTAGTCCGGTAAGCCTAATTATTCCTCTCATCGCTGTTGTGTCGGCCAACAAAAAGTTCCAAGGATTCACTTGATAATGTGATTTCTTGTGCTGGCAAAACAAACTCAATACAAACACACGGTGTTGAAGAAAAATAGCTTCGTGAATCTGGTTAACGTGAAAGAGGCTTTAAATTGGGCAACGTTTTATTGAATTAGAAATGCTTGGAAATTTTATCAATCAAACGGATTGAGACCTAATCCGATTTGACGTAAAAGCTTCAGCGTTAGAACACGTCGGCTTTTTCGATAATCTTTTTAACACCACAATTAAAATCTTGTAGCAACTCGAGCTCCAAGAGGCGATGTCAGCCGAGCGAAAAGCGATGGAGCAGAAGGAGAAGGAGTACCAGGAACGTCAACAGGAAATTCTTAAGGAAGAGGAAGCCAAACGCGAGGCCGAGATTATCGCACTTAGCAGGGATCACTATCTGACCTCAGTAGTTCGGCCTATGCACGAACACTGCATACACCGGATGACCCGGGATCCGCTGATGCCACCTCAAAGAGGCCTCTTTCAGAACAAGAGTTGAAACTTTGGGGCGCATTTCACGGATCCGCCAATATTTCAGTTAGTGATCCCTATTAACAGAGATCAAATTCAACGGGATCGGGACGAGGAAACTCGGCAAACCGAGGCCCAGCGAAATAAGGAGCTCCATGCTCAACTGGAGGTAAGTATCAATAGAATAGGGACACCAGTACACTGCAGGTAAAACAGAAAAGACTGTGTTTGGTTCCTCTTTGATCAGGGAGGCGGCACGCATTATGTCACTGCTCACCACCTTCACGGTGGCGGTGGCGGCTCCACCGGCTCAGTTCAGACAACTGGCTCAGAGTCGGGCCATTCTGCCCATGCTCATTTCTTGCCACGAGAGCAAAATAGCGTGCTCTATGAATCACAAATGGAACTCGATGTTGAAGACGTTCGTGATCTTCCTAGGTACATCCGATTTTTTTCGCTACGTTTCTTTATGATTTTCTAGCTACTCGTTTCAATTTGGCCTCCAAGAGCCTTCCCGAAGACCATTCCCACTGCCTATTTACCCTGCACATTCTAGCACAGCTCCTACAAGGTGAACAGTCACAATTCTACTAAAATAACACTTGAATTACTGTAGCACACAATCAACAATGGATCGAAGTCAATGGACCGACGCTACTGGCTCGCTTTATCCAACTTCTGCCAGAAGAGGTAGCTTTGACTCGAGCATAGCACCTGCCACTCCCAATCCAAATGTCAAATATCAGGTGCTGAACTTTAAGACTCAACTTCGCTAGCGATTAATTCTAGCGGCATTATAAGTCGATAAACGTGAGACCGGATAAACGAAACTTACTCGCATATCAGCAAAGAAGAGCCGAGTTAAATAACCCTTATCATTCGAGGTAAGAGTTCACTGGTACAGAGATGGATCATTCCTTATCATCTGCTGTTTTTCTAGTACGAGCCTGAGCAGTCGGCCGAACATCGATCAACACTATTTATCAGCAAGTGATCTTACGGGCCCAATAGCGCCCATAGCTGATCTCAAAAAACGACGACTTATGCTTCACGTAGGCCGCCAGATGGCGTGAGAATGCAGTGCACAAAAACAAAAAGAATGAGAGATCATGAAGAAAGATTGCGGAGAATCTTCTTTATTAAAACAAAAACGAAAAGAAACAGGGTGTGCCTGAAACTCTAACACAAGGAATGAGCCCAAGGGCGAACCAAATGTAGTTTTACTTTTGCCTGTGGTGTACTGTAGTGTGCTTGAAAAAAACAATCTAACCAACTAACTTACTCACATTTCTAACCTTTCTTCCAGGAACTCAAAAACCAGCTTGGTGATCTGAAGGACACTAACGCCACGACGGTGATGGATCAAATCCACGCAGAGAATGTCAAACAAGGACGAGATAAATACAAGACTCTCAAGGTAAAATGTTCAAAGTAAAATTATTGAATCAAAAGAGCTCGTTGCATATTTTATAAATTCTAGCGCTCTTGTAGAATTCTCGAGGTAAAATTAACCGGGTCTTATTAACATGCCAGGTTTGAACAGACCCTGTTTTACAGGGTTCTTAATGATTCAATAGAGATCAATTTTAAGGGTACCTCTATCATATTTTCTTCTTAGCTTGAGAGGACAAAAAGTAAAGACTAAATTCTAGCAAATCCGCCGAGGCAATACCAAGTCGCGAGTCGATCAGTTTGAAGCACTGTGAGAAACCCTGGCCGAAGATCCTAAGTCCAACCTTCAATTTCTGGAAGATCTATAAGCAACTCACGACTGTGCCAAAAAAATTATCCCGCAAAACATCCAAAAAACCAAAAAAGCGCTGCCTCCTTCGAAAAATAAAAATTCTGGGCTCCTAGCCGGTGGCGCCCGCGAGCCCAGATTCCTAGCCTAACCCAAATCTTACCCATTTTCAAACCGATTCCCTAACTTATTCCGTTCTTCTTGAAAATTGTTAAATTAAATTTGAAACGACTAGACACAACAAAAACGAACAGCATGACAGATTTTGAAAGCCTTAAGACTGTACATTCAGCGTACTTCACAATCGCAGATTTAAGGGACCCCCTGACGGTAATTTTTCGACCTTTCATCCAACTTTATTTTCAACCTCTTCTCCAACTTTTTGCTTCACAAAAATTATCGCTGGGAGTCCCTTTTACCAATAATATTGAGAAAAAACGGCCTTAGACTAATAAAAAAACCTTCCCTTTCAAAAAAGACAACAATTAACCCCCCAGCGCCGCCCCAAGTTCACCTATCTCTCGCTCAAAATTTCAACAACAAAATCTCTTCTTTATCTCGACGCGAAATAATCTGTAATTATATTATCAAACACAACAAAACAACAAAACAAGTGTTTTCCGTGTTTCTTGGTTCTCCTCTTCGCAGGTTTCAGTCATCAGGATAGTTAGCGTCAAATCCATCTAAAACAGAGTGAACTTCTATCTTTCGACCACTTTGGAGTGCGGTCACGAGAAGGCCACACAACGTGGTCCTCCCGATATTGACCTGTCGAGCAGTCGACCGACCTGTCGCGTCCATGTCATCCAAGTTCTCGTCCTGCATAATATCATCGTTTAAGAAATCCTCTAAAAGGCATAAATTCCCTATGAATATCCTAAATTTCCTCCGCACCGTAATCTTCTTGTTCCTCGTCTTCATCATTATCCGAATTCAAAGATTCCATTTCACCGGCTCGCGAAGCACCTGCCGTGCCCTTTCGATCAACTGAAAAATATGCGCTCAGCACCATGTGCAGGGAAAAACGTTAATTACTGTCATAGTCGATGTCAGCAAGTGCCAGCGTACTGTCGAACAGCATCGCTGAAATTTAACCTTTTTTGATCACAACACGTTTTTTTGGCTTACCTAGTCTTTAAAAAAAGCTCAAATTTTAATCTATTTTTATCGGTTATAATTAATGAAAAAGCTTATTTTTGGTATCCAGAAATATTTTCCCCTTTTTCAAAAAAGATAAAGAGAGACCTAATTTACGGGAAAACGGTCTAAATTGATTCGTAGGGAGTAATCTTTCGAGCTGCCCCTAACCCTAACCCTAACGCGGGGCGCTTTTGGTGCGCGTTATTGAACATTAGAGCCATTTTCCTAAGATACGATTCCGAAAAAGAAATTTTCTCCATTTCTGTCGATTTCGTTTCCTCCTCTCTTTCAGCATCTTCTCTCAAACATGCGATGCAGCTTCCCATCAATACTTTTGTGAGGCTAAAGAAGAAATTGAAAATGCATCTTCGGCTTTGTTGAAAATCCTTTTCGGCCTTTGAAAATGTCCCCGCTAATATACGAAAGTGAAAGATGTTCATTCGCGCATTTGAACAGCTCGTCAAGTCGGATTATTTTTCGCAGAATGACGTGATGACCCAGAAAAAACGTACTCAACCTTTTTTGACTTTTCCCATTTGAAAGAACAAAAGCAGATCGGAAGAAACCCTGCTGATGAATTTAATAAACATAAAATCTTGAGCGATAAGCGCTGCGTATTCGTATAATCAGCAGCACCAAAAAATCCAAATTGAAGTGGGAGCTCACTCTAGCGGCGGCCGGAGCTCTCTTTTTTTCCTTATCGCTGCGGGTGATTTAGCGCTACCGCTAAAACGGATACTTTACGTTTCTAGCAGAGTGAAGATTTTTAAGAATAATTAAAAAAAACTTAAACTCAAGCAGTCAAAGAAATAGAGAGAGTCAAAAGAAGAGAAAAAATTATAGAAAGAAAAAGATGAAGCTTTGGAGTTTATGCGGTTTATTTTCGGAACGGATCGAAAAGAAAATGTCTTTTGCAGACAATTTGCGATAAGATTTTAATAAAAAATCGTTTTTATTATTAATTATTTTTTCCTATTTTCTCGATCCTAGACAAAGTCGATACGAGCATATGCAGATCCGGAATCATGTGGCCCGCTCAAATATGGCAAAGTGATTTCGACAGAAAGAAATAAAGTAGCCTTTGCGGATAATTTTGGGATAAGTGTCGATTTTCTCAAAAATGACGGATGGAATGATTATTCTATTGGTACGTCCATTCGTTCTGATTTTAACTTTGAACTCTTCTCGACAGATTTTGTTAAGAAATCATTTTTCACGCCTATTTTAGTGATAAATGGTCAGTACAAAGGGCTGATGTTAACGTCCACAAACGGTATCTCAAAACCTACCGGTGCTTTCAAACTGACAAGTCTGGCACAGCGCCAGCACCAGCCACTAAAGTGTACGATCCCGAGGGACACGGTGCGCACACGTAATGTCGACTCCCTTAAAAACGGACCGTTTAAATTTGACTGGAAGGGCTCATGCTCGGACAAGGTCAAATTTCATATTTACGGAAGGGCTCACTATTTTTCGCAAACTAAATTTTTTGACCAATAAATTTTTGATGAAAAAAGTTTATGAAAAAATCGAAAGATAAAGAGCCTAAAAAAGTCTCCAATACAAATGGATTGTGGAATGAACTTCAAATGAGCTGCAGTGACGCTCAAGAATTCAAGGAAAGAGTTTGAAACTATCAACTTTTAGACATCAAAACCAACAATTTCAAGCATTTTTCATTTAAATATTGACAAGTTCCCATTATGGCTTTATAAAATTTGAAACTCTACAAAGGCACATTTGATGGAAGTCGTCCAGTTGAAGTTCGCCAACACCCCAAAGCGAAAAGAGCCGCGTTCGTTTCCCCGATCGTGGCGAACGGCGGCGCAGGCCGCGTCGACGGTACGTACAGACAGCCGCCTGAAGAGAAGCGTTTCCGTAGTCCAGTCGTTTAACTCATCACCAACCAGAACAAATGCAAACTTTGTAAGCGTCCAATCCACGCGAGAATCAAAGCATCTAAAATGACATTTCAAAATCATGCTTATTGCGCCGTTTTTTGTGTGTTTCGATCAAAAAAGGAGCCCTTTAGAAAAAGGAGCGCCTTGAATTTTATTTTCCTTCCGCGACAGGAATTTGACGTTTCAATTCTGGTCTGATGGTATCTACAGAAATCTTCATTTTAAGACTTGCCTCTTGAAAACGATGAGAAAGCGAGTCGAAAACATACCTATTTGCTTCCCTTCTTCGTTTTGACCATCGTCTTAAAATTAAGGTCCTCTGTAGTTCTAGTTTGAGATACAGCTTTGGAATTCCAACAGTATCTCAATAATTTTCTGTTTTAACTTCGGTAGAGCTTGGAGGTAGAAACGCTTTTTAAGCATCCTTTTTCTTTGTTTAATTTTTTTAACTCAGGTTCGACGATTGTACGAGTGGACTGAGTGGGAAAACTGGTCCCAGTGTACTGGAAAATGTGGTCAAGAAGGGTATCACAATAGAAAAAGGTCTTGTCGGTCGAAGGAAACAAATGAAGTCGCAGCTCTAGTCAGCGCTTGTCCCGGAGAAGCTAGAGAACTTGGCACTTGCGTCAGAACCGAATGCCCTGGTAAGACTCTCTTATTCGACCGTCGCTAAAAACTGCTCTAGAATGGAACAAATGGGGAGAATGGTCTGGTTGTTCACAAACTTGCGGCTCTGGCGTCATGTCTCGCAGACGATACTGTCTCAACGGTTCCGGCTGTCCAGGAGAGCCACAAGAAAAGAAGACTTGCAATACTTCTGAGTGTCCAAGACAAGGAAAGCAAGAACAAGGAGATACTGCCAATCTCTGCAAGGACAATTATCCCTACTGCGCAAAGTGGATGTAAGTATTGATGATTCGTATGTTTGGTTATTTTATATAAAAAAAATTGTTTTATATAGGATTTGATAAAGATAACGTGGTATGACGTCAATTTATTTTAATTCGTGGGCACCTTTGATATTCGAAAACTGCTGACAAAGAAAAGAGAGAGTCGTGGTTTTTTATGTTTATTATCTAAGAAGGAGTCGTGTTTACAAGTGGGTGAAGGTTTATTTAGGAACTCTGGTTATTGCGAGGGGAACTTTGCTTCTTGGATGGAACAGGAGTGCAAGGAGAGTTGCGGTTTATGTAAGAAGACACTAAGTGCTACAGCAGAGGATTGCGTCGATCACTACCAAAACAGCTGCTGGAGGTGGGAACAGGAAGGAAAATGTGATCACCCACAGAAACAGGTATCAGTCTAAATTATCCATCTGAAGTGTCCGGATAACCCGAGTCGTGTTTTTATGCTTCCGTTTTGACAGAGGCCGTTTATTTAATATAACACCCTTTGGATTGGGAGCGCTAAGGAGGACCGTGTAGTTCTCGCATTTGGGGGTGTCTAGCTTAAAACTGACCAGTGAGAGCTTGCCGTCACTCTCTGGGTCTGATAGGTCCTCAGACGGAGACCCCGAAGAGCAAGAGTGAAATCGTATGTCTTGAATTGGTATATTACTTTTTTGTTGACGCTGATCATGCACTTGCACTTGCACATTTGTTGCATGGGAAATTCTTGTTGCAGCCGGTTGTAGAACGACAGTATTTTTTCTTTCGGCCTCGTCTCTAGCCGCATTGTGTATAACAATAGAAGGAGGATGACTTCGAGGTTGATTTTGATTTTGATCAACCTTGTTCGTGCAGCAGCCTCCTCCACACATATTAATTAATATTTTTCCTGGTTTTCTTCGGTTTCCGCAACAAGAAAGCAGTTCGGTGAGCATCAGTAAAAAAGTATAGTTGCACTTAAATCTAAGGACTCTAGACTAAGCATGGCAAGCGTACCGAGGAAGGCTTTTGTCGAAGGAGAGTAAATGTTAGCTTTTTTCGTATCTCTCCTGAATCGGGGACTTTCCCAAAAATTGTCAAAGTTTATGGCTAATTAAATATATTTTCAGTTGAAAGCCTTTGTCCGCACCAAGTGCAAAAAGAGCTGCGGATTCTGCGATCCGGATGTGGACCACTAATCGAGCGCTAGAACAAATTGCTTCAAAACCTGTGTCTGTACAAAACCCTTTCAATTCCACTTCTGCCAAAGCAAAGCTTCACGACAGTTGAAACTTTCCACGCATACTCATTTGACTGTAAATAAAGCAAACCTACAGTATAATGAAGTGACATTGAGAAAATCTGGGAGGAATCGATAGTTACTAATTAGCTTGCTTTGGAGTGCGCGAAAAAGGATTCACTTTAATGTGATTGTAATGAATCTGATTGATAGAACTCAATTTTGGAGAAAAGTGAGAGAGTCTACTTTTTGTAGAAATGAAAGTTCGAGACTTGAAGACATCAGTGAAGAGGACCTGCTAGGTGATCGACAAGGCAGAGATTTTTATCTCCAACTGAGAGGGAAGCCCTTATTTTTAGGACTAAGAGATCTCAAAAAAGATGCATTTCAAATTCTAAAAACGTGGTGGAACGGCGTCCGAATGAAGAAACCACAACTCAAGTTCCTGGAGATAAACCAGACAGACTACAAAACACTCGAGGATGGTAAGTTTTGGATGTTATCTCTTTTTCGAGAAAACCTTCGAATTGTCGAATTAGACAAAAGACTCATTATTTTTCGGTGAAAGCGGTAAATCATTTATTCCCGTCTCTAAGAAAAAATAGGAAATCGGCTCTTGCCATAAATTTAAACGGTCAAAAGGCAATTTTTCGAGAGAAAAGTGCATGAGAATTGCTAAAAGAATGAATTGTAAAAAGGAGAGTTGCATTTATTTCAAAATAAAAGCCTTTTTACCCATAAAATCTTTAAAAACTAAACTTTGTTTCGGTAAATTCAGGAAAAAAGTCACAAACTTAATTTCTCAGTGAAGAATTAACCTTCGGCTAAGGACGGATTATTCAAGTCCGAGAAAACGCCAAGTCATTAATTGGGATGAAATATTCAATATTGAAGTGGGAGTTAGTGTTGAATAAACGACACCTTCTTTCTTACTACCGTCGCTCCTGCGCGGGGCCTCGTCCAAAACATTTTATTAGAACTCAGTAGAGACACTCAATTTCAGTAATAAAGAGATCCAATATTGTCAGTCCATAAGAGGAAAAAATAAACTTTCAAATGAGCAAAAAGAAAAGTTTCCAACAATGCAGATTTTTTCCCTTGTCAAATACTTTTTAAACAAAAAATTGCAATTGAAAGTTGAGAAAAAAAAAACTTTTTTTTCTTAGATATTATCAAAAATAAAAGTTTAAATTTCAAGACTTTAACAATAAGATCTTCATCGATTTTTAAAGCCTTCACTTTCGAACTTGAGTTTAGAATCTGAACTTTAGAACCCTTAACTTAATTATTTTTTGATGCAAACTCGACTAAGAGATATACCCTGAAACTGCCCCGTGCAAGCAAACCTCATACCCAAGGTAAATTAAATTTACAAGCCTCTTCATTTTCATAGTTCATTCCCAAGTCAAAATCAAATTTCGAAGGTAATTTTTCTTGCGCATAGTAAATGCCCTAACAATACAATTTGCCGGCGAGTCACGAGGATACTAGGTGCCTCGCATTAAAATTAGAAGCGGGAAAGTAGATGGGGAGGGGAATTCACCGCGTGGCAGAATAAAGAATATATGAGCCTGGATACAAGTCGGGCCAGATATTTGCTCAAAATATCACATAATTTAGAAGAGATGGACAAGAACGACTTGGAAGCCGTGCTGAAAATGGGTAAGGAAAATAGTTACGGACTTCGTCCCTGAATATAAATAGAATAGTTGTCAGAGTTTAGGGGTCTACCTGTCGATAATCAGAAATGAGAGCGACTATTTCAATTTTAATTCTGTTCCAACTTCCTTTCTATTATTTTTTCATTAAAATTAATAAGAATTCAAGCGTAATTTAAAAAGAAGAATCCCAAAAAAATAGTTAATTTAGATCAATATTAGGATAAAAAGGGTTTATCATTTTTAAACCCCTTCGAATAACATGTTCCTTGGTCATATCACTACTAGATTTTTTGTTTTTATCGACAGAGGGGTCCTTAATGAAATCTTGTGATCGAGTAATAGAGTGTTGTTTTAGTAAACGTGTCGTTGGCGCACTACTACGAGTTCTCGTCAATTTGGAGGAGCTTCAATTCGAATTACGACGCGCAGGTAATTTTTCCAAATCATCGCCACCGCGCTGTGCGGGCACCACCGCACGGAATCACGCGTCATGTAATTTTGAGGCTTCGCCGCGCCGCCACGATGCCTTCATACAACTCGACAATTTAACCAAGTTCTTGCAAATCGCCGTGCCATTTTACAACAATCTCCTCGAAGCTGACTTGCAGCTAGGTAAGACTGTAACTCCTGCTAATTCAAACACTCCTTCAAAGTTCGCGACATGGCAATTCCAGTAATGAAAATCGGCTCCTCAAAGAAACTGCATAGAATAGATGTAACCATCGCTCTCTTAAAACTCACAGAAGGCTACAGTCATCTTTCGCCAGAAGAGTAACAAGCCTACAAAACTTCTTCGCTAAAATCTTTTTAGAGAAAATGATTTCTTGGCGAAAATGGGTCGCCTGATGTCCCTTAGATTTCCGACAAGGAAGCAAATGGAAGGTTACGTTGTTTCGGGACGGATTTTATACAAGAAATGACACTTTTTCCTGAAAATTAACTTTTATGAAATCAAGGAAGACAACAACAGAAGAATTCGCCATGTTACCTATCAAGAAGAAAAAGAGACGGCCGAGTCTAAAAGCTCGTCTGGAAAATATGCGAAATAGTATTTTCAGGGTAATTTAGATCAAACTCATGCAATACTAGTACTAGCAATTTCAGTATACTTCGCGAGACGACTCGACTGAAAGCTGATATCTTGAAGAAAAAAATTGCAAAAATGAATAAATGAACAGGGCTCGTTTCAGTTTGTTATCAATTTGCGAAACGCATCAATTTCTCGTTATGATTTCTGCGGTCGCTGAGGCAATGTGAACATTTTTGACAATGAACCAAAATCGGACGAAAATAGAGTTGACATGATTCGCAGGTTAACGAAAACGTGTCCTTTGATAATCACCCGCCGAGTCAGCAGTAATTGAAAGTGCACTTTTATTGAACATCAAGGAAAGTAATTCACAGGCTCAATCGAAAGAGTTGTCAATAAGGCCTTAATTTGATCAATTTGAATGCGGATTTCGCTGAAGGAAGAATCAAAATTGACATTATTGGCAACTCCGATCTACGAGCGCACTTGTCCGGCAGCTTTGAAGCAATCGTTTTAGGATTCCAATGGTGATCGAAACTATTCCAGCTTTTTATGCATCAAAACTTTCCTTCAAAGATAAATTTAACGAAAAAATTTTAATGATTCCTGAAATGAGAAATATTGATTGTTTCCGAACATCAGGCGGAGTATAAAACTTTTCTTCAACTGTATAAAAAAGACCTTGAGCAGCGATGAAATTATGGACAGAAAGAGCTGCAGTAGTAGATTATGGTAACGCTGTTTCCTATCGAGCCGCACATGATCAAAAATGTGCCGAAAGTCATCATCAAACAGAGAAATGAAGTCGCCAGACTGCTGTATTCGATTTCGTTAAAACGCTCGTAGAAACCGTTCCCACGAGGCACAAGAGCCCTTCCTGAGATCATCTACTTCTTCTGCGACCAGTTCTGCTTCTCCACTAGAAATTGCACTAGAGAAACTTCTTGTAAAACTGCTCGAGGCCTATTTTTTCTCGTTCAAAAAGGGGGAAACGCCAATTTTATAAGAGAGACTAATGAACATTTTCCTGACTGGCGCGGCCAGAAGCCACCAAATTTGACAAGTTTTGAGATAGTTAAAAGGTTTATCTAAAATTACTGCAAAAGTTAGCGTTTTAACTGTCTTTTGATAGTAGTCCATCGTTCTCATTCTCTTTCTCTATTTCACTCGTATTTTAAAGGAGTACTCGTCAGTGCTTGGTCAAGTCTTTATAATGAAAAATCATTTTTGTCAATAATGAAATAAAATTCATTATTCAAATGTGTCCTTGCAGTAACCCATCTGCGCTCATCAGAATACTTTTTTGGCTCTCACTGCAGAACCATGCAGCCTGTCATTATAAGTCCCTTAATTTATTTATTTAATTATCGATGAAATAACCTAATTTAAACTCATTCCTTTTCTTTCTGTATTTTTCCCAGAGCCCATTCATATATTGCAAGAATTCCCATCAAGCATTCATCTTTGAAAGTTATTTTTCCTACCAAAATTTCGGTCCTGCAACGAGTAAGATAGAAACAATCGGACTGTAAAATAAGACTCATTTTACAGCCAGCAAAATAAGATGCAATTGATATTTCATGGCGCCTGACATAAATCATTGCGCAACATTTATTAGTGTTGATGGACAGTGAAACGGCTGTATTCATAAGTGCATTAAAAGAAGAAATTCCAACAATGCACAGGCATAAATTTTGATCTATGATAATCAATTTCAATACGACGGGGCATATTCTACTGTTTCAAGCCACTTGGCTCTTTTTTTTTGTTTTGAAAAGAAGTGTAGGATAAAAAGAGAGAGAGAGGGGGATAAAATGCTAGTTTAGGAAAGATGAAAAATTCTTCTATCGGGAGCCACTTCGAGATCGGGATCGCGACTTGCTTCGGGATCGGGAGCGGTCTCGGGAGGCGGATCGATCGCGGCTCTTGCTGCGGCTTCGGTCGCGAGAGGCAGAGCGCGATTTTGCTGGAGATTTGTTGCTAGAATTGATTTTAAGAACAAGTTGGTAGAAAGCTTCTCTTACCCAGACGCGCTGCGTTCTCTTCGCTTGTCAGGAGTTCGCGAGCGTCGTGGAGATCGAGATCTAGGAAGAGTTTAAGACACTTGTTAGTTGAGAATAAAGCGATACCGATTAGGTGATCGACTTTTATTCCTTCGATCTCTCGATCGGCTTCGGTACCGGTTATATGAAGGAGATCGTCGTCGACGTCCTCCGGAGCGGGATCGGGAACGAGATCGTCGTCCTCGAGATCGGCTGCGGGATCGTCTTCGGTCTCGGGATCGAGAACGCGATCGTCTAAAAACGGCTTTAGAGAACGAAAGAAAGAAAAAAGAATTATAAAAGCATAATCTTTGACTTTTATGACAAACAGAAGGAAATGAAGAACCATCCTTTGGGTGAAAAATAAAGCGTGCGATCTTCATTTCGTTCTGTTGATAATAATCTTTAAAATCATGATTTTTCGATAATTCAACGAAAATTAATGAATCCACCGTAACGCTAATTTTCAGGCCAAAGCAAAAAGAATGATAAGTGACTTGATAAATGTAAAAAAGGGATTCTAGTTCTTTGACAATTTTAAATCTTTTCTAATCATGAAATTAGGCACTATACATTACACCACGAATGTTGAGAGTTGGATGAATTTGGCGCTGTTTGGTGGTGGCGTGAAGTTATTGACTGTTATAGAAGACTACGTAGCCGAATAGGAATTGTAGATTTTGATGGTTTTTGGAGGTTTCAAAATTGGTGAGTTTCGAAAGTGGGCGACTTTTCCCGAGCGCGTTGGTGGGAAAGATGGAAGAGTGGGCTGTTTTCAATTAAAGCTGAGGAGCCGAAAAGGCAGAAGGGCATTTCGAAGTCGGGAGATCACTCTCCCGGCAGACTCTCTTGAAGAAGGAAGGATGGATTTGGAGGAGGCAGATCTGCAAGAGGAGGATCGAGAAAAATCGACTCCACTGGAGATGGAAGAACTAACCTTCGGTTTTCTCGTCGGCGACCGTGGGACAGCTCGACCTTCAATCGACGACCAAACACGGTTCTAAAGACATGTTTGGCTACGGGAACCAAAGAAAAAGAGTTTACCGTCCATCAAGATCACGGATGGCATCCTTTGCGTCGCGGGGATCTTCGAATTCGACGTATCCGAATCCTGGCGGTCGTCGAGCGATCCAAACAGACACCAACTTGCCGTAGTAGCCCATTTCTTTCTCGACTTCGGCCGTGCTTGGTGGGTGCGAGCCGAGGTTACCAAGGTACACCTTTTTGAGAGTTCAGTCATATTCTTCCTCACAAAAATTTCCAATATTTTCAATAATTATATGGCATTAAAAATACAATTCTTTGCCAATATAGTTTTCAAAACAACTTATTTTTGAACCGTTCCTTGGTGTCACTTGATCCGGTATCTCGCGACATTGTCCTACTTTACTTCTCAATTTCTCAGTCTAAAAACGCGATTTTTTGAAATATCCAGTTTGCAAGTTTTCTACAAATGAGCCTTTTTTCTAGATACGGTCGATTTCTTTCAATTTCTCGTCGCATCCGAGCGAGTTTCGCGCCATTCGATAGCAACGATAAATTTCGACCAACGAGAGCGCTACGATTGTGCGTAGGTGAGGAAGGGAGCGAAGGGAAAATGCTTTTGTCAAGTATGGATTGATTTCGGGCGCAAATACGGGTCATTGAGGCGGAAAAATAATAATCGTCAGGTTCTTTTTTCCTGTGTTTTGTATTTTGTAGTAAAGTTTGGAGGAGTTTTGAAAAATAGAGAAAACATAAGGAATGCACTCAAGTAGGCAGGGCTTGATGTTCTTTATCAAAAAGAAAAAACTGATCATTTCATTCTTGAGTCAGTATTTGTTTGAACCATTGAGTGCAGAGTGCTAATGCTACTGGACGCCGAGCTTGGGACTTCTTCGAACTCGTTGTGCTGATAAGCGTGTGTGTATCGCATGGTTTTGTTGTACTTGTCCAGCTTTGATAAGGTTTCTCGCACAAAGGTTGGCGCTTTTGATTCGTCGAATGGAAAGTGCTCCCTTCTGTACGAAAGGATCTAGAATCCAGCGCTAATTTCAGCGATTAGGAAAGCAATCTACCTTTTGAAATATTCCATGTCTTCTTCAGAACTTTGCGGATGCAGCGGTACTGGTTGAACAATCCTTGGCGGCTCATTTACACTAGAATCTTCAGCTGCGAAGGGATCGTGAGTGTCCGTCGAAGCGTCAATTCTACCATCCCATCTGATAGGCTCAGTTTGTGGAACCTCGAAGCCCCGAATGAGCTCGAGCTGCTGCTTTTCCCACTTTTTCGGGTGCTCGCTTGAAACTTTATATCTAAAAACTTTAAAAACAAGGAAGAGAGGTTAGTTTTCTAACCGGAGCTTGGCGAGTTCGTAATTTCGCTCCCTCAATTCGTCATCCATTCTCGCCAATTCATCTTCTTGCTCTTGAGTCAGTTCATCGCTCGTACCGACTGTCGGCACTTTCATTCTTCGAAACGATTAACAAAACAAGCCCTAAAGAACAAAAATAATGAAAAACTCTAGTTTGAATAAAAATACAGTTTTGTATTTTTTACACCGCAGAAACGCTCGTTTTTGAAGCAAAAAATCAACAAAAAATCATCAAATGTACAAAAATTAAAATAATCACTAATAAAAAGGCTGAGCACAACTGTGCATTTGCAAACTAGAATTATTATCAGAAGCTACAGGTAGTTTTTCAAATGAGAGGAGACAAAAGTAAAATAAAGAATTGAAAAAGTCTACAGAAAGCAAGTTCAGATGTCAATGAATAGAAATAAGAGTTGAAAATAGGTTAACTTTGTTACTTTGAAAAGAAATTAATTTGTCAGGAAAAATGGAACTAAAATTCCTCCTCGATGCTTTCTCGGAGGTATTTGTCGTAGAGAGCTTCTTTCTTCGGTAAGAAAGTTTCCATCACGTGTTTGGACTTGCGCTGAAGCTCCTTTTTCTTCTGACGAGGAATGGTCGGTCTGGAACGAGTTGCGAATTTATACAGAATGAAGATCATCACCCACAAGAAGATGAGTGACTTTATGACTAAAAAGAAACGCATAAGAATCCAGAAGTCTAACTCCTTTCTACCTGTATTTTGCATGCTTGAGGGAAAAACATGAACAAGTTTTAAAAACGGATCCCTTTCAGCGAACTGTAAATAGTCGCAAAAGCCAGGATTGTCTTTTGGCGCAGAACATAAAATACTTCTTATTTGGTTCGTAAACGTCAATGAAGGTAGTAGAAACAAAAAGGCACTGTAAAATATCCATCTAGCGTTGTTCTTCAAATTGTGAGCGCGATTATTATCGTCTGTTTCGATGGCTTTTTCGACATTCTTCGCGATATTTTCACTAGAATCATGCTCGAGCAAGGAAGGAATAAAACGGTTTACCAGTCGGCTTCAAGAGTATTTAGAGTGGTCTGGATGGTCATGTTGATTGTCTTTTCGATTTCAAGGCACACTTTGTTGATTTGATTTATTCCTGTGTCGTCCGACTTCTTTTTTTCTTCGATGAAAATTGTCGGCATATCTTATCAGGGTTGACTTTAAAGGCTTAGAAGACATAGAAGAGAATAAAAACCCAATTTATATAAAAAAAATGGAACCCGTTCACGAAGCAAGTCTTATTCAAGCTCGGCCGTCGACACAGCTCTTGAACAATCTGCATCAACACCCGCTGCCGATCACATTCGTCACCAGCTTCGTCTGCCTTGGACAGAAAATACCTCAACTTCGGGTGGTGTTTTTCTGATAATGCTTCAACCACGTCCAGGGTTCTCTTACACAGAGCTTGGCCGATGGGGTCGAAAAAAACGAGAATCAGGTCAACCATATTTGCCGTCCAGAGAATCGCCTCGTTCACGTCGAATGGGTACTTCATGTCTCCATCGACGAGACCGGGGGTGTCGATGAAATGGACGAGCTCGGCTTGTTTCGATTTCGAAGTCGTGATTTCAGTTTGAATGTAGTTGGCCATTCCGTCGATTTTCATGATCGGCTAAATTTGATATCAACAAGGAAACAAATAGAACCTTTACCTTGAATTCAGGATAAAGATGGACAGTAGCGTTTCCGCTCAAAGTTTCGCGTTTTTTACCAGAAGTGACGATCGTAAATCCTTGCGTTTCAATGGCAACGCCTGTTCTTTGTATTTTTTCATCGATGTACCAGTTGATAAAGGATGATTTACCAGCAGAATGGTTGCCCATCAGCATAACTGTGATTTTCTTTCGAGGAGCTAAAACGATGTTGAAACATTTCGATGAAGAAAAATTATTACCAAGAAGTTTTTCTCCAAGAAGCTCCGCTACATTCGTCAGACAGTCATCTCCTTCAGTATAAATTTCGTGACACTCACGAAGAATCTTTTCCGTGAGATCTTTACTCACTGCTTTTTGCTTCCCCATATTCTGGAGAATTTCAATTTCTAAAAAGGGTTTTTTGATTGATTGAATTTTCCTTGTTCTATTGGCATCAACATACAGTCATGTACAAAAAAAATATGAAAAAAGAAGATTATTCGAAGAAGAAAAAAGTAACATTTTTGAAAAGTTGTTGTTATCGTTTTTTGTTAGGAAAGATCTTGAAGATTTGATGGAGATGTTTTCATCATGAATTGGACAGCAATAGTGTTTGTTAGGATAGAAATTAAAATAAAAAGAAGGGAATCAACTTCATAAACCAATTTGCATCTGTTTCTTAACACTTGGGATAGATTATTTCGATACATCTGAGGCCGTTGTCGCATGGATTTCGAATGTGGATTTGACTCCCTCTAAAGAAAGACATGAGAATGAAGAGCAGAAGAAAAACTCACTGAAACGTCGTTGTATTTTCTTTTTCTAACAAAAGTTCCGCTTCGTGCTGGTATTTTTCATACTGCGTATTTATACACCACAAAAGTATGTATCCAGTTAGACATGCTATGCAACCCTGACAATAAGTCGCAGTAGACGAGGCCTAAGATGAGCGTTATAACGAAAATAAAACGTAAAAGCCACCTCGGCAGATGAATAAATCGTCTCCATTTGTGTGGTAACATCTTTTAGTTGTGTGTAATGACTTCTAAGTGGCACGGGCAGCTCTGATGCGGAATTGGGAAACGTAAATGCTTGAAATACGGTAAGTCACTAACTGAAAAATAGCAAGGTTTCATACCTATTTTATCGTTTATACTGTAGTCTCTCAATATAAAGTACTTTTCTGTCTGTGAGCCATCCAGCGGATGCAGCTCATGGGCCATTCTAAAGAGGAATTTTTCAGAAATAAAATTGCATTTTGGCAGTTTTGAAGAAAGAAGACATCAAGCGGTAGGTTCAGCTTTGGACGTAGAGGGTTTGGACTCTATCGTCTCAGCGGTTTCGCTTGTTTCAGTTTCTAGCTCGAGTCCGTCGCGGCGATCAAGCTCGTTGCCGCTAGAATCGTCCGATTCCGTTTCTTCATCGTCCCCAAGCCACTGTTCCCTGATTTTCTCATATTTCTCCAAGTTTTTCTCGTATTTTTCACGAAGCTTCATTTTCGCTTCGAACTCTTCGGATTCGTATTTTTCGTTGACCATCATTTCCATGATTTCTTTGTCGACTTCGAAGAGTTTTTGCTTGTTTCGTTGGCTCTTTTCTTTAGAAAATATTAGTATATCAACGGCAAATATAATTTAACTCACCATGATTGCGAGATAGCCGATAAAGGATGGTCGCGTGTTCTTTATTCTCTGTCACAAGCTGCCTCAACTCTTCTTGCGCTGAATAAATCGATATCAATAAAGCGATAAAGATTGATCAAATTACCGATAGTGAGCTCCGTTAAAACCTCATTCTCATCGTCAATGTAGACCCCTGCTTTGGTCAATCTATCCTTCAAGTTCTCAGGCATTTCTATTTTCACCTCGACTCCTTGTTCTTTCAGCCCAGTTTTACACGCGTCCAGGAGCTTTTTCTGCAAGTTGGCTTCTTCAGCGCTTGAATCTCGATTTTTCCTGCGATTTGACTGGCGAGGAGGGCGCTGGAAGACGGTCTTGTCGAATTGGGCATCGAGGATATCGGTGATGGATTTTTTCGCTTCTGGCTGGATTGGGCCCGACAATCCTCGGAGCATCATTGACCAAAACTCGTCCGATTCTAGAGAGAGTCTCAAAAGTGTTCACTCTTTTCGATTACCAATTGGTTTAGGCGGCAATGGAAGAGGAGCCGGTGCTTCAGCGCGCTTACGCTTCGCTTCTATCGCTGCCTCTAGAATCTTGCTTTGTCTTCGTTTGGGGACGAATCTCTTCGCTGCGCGATGCTTTTTGATGTTTGTATCGATCTCTGGATCTACCAGGAGCTTGGATTCGGATGTGAGTGATCTGAGACGCACGCTGGCACTGAGGAGGAGTAATTCTAGCTCAGATTGAACGGCCTACAGTAGAGTTAGGATAGAACGGAATGATAGAAATAAGACAAGACCTCAAGATGTGAGTTGCGCTTTGGAACATCTTCTTGATTCGTTGTAAGAAGTGAGGTAAAGCGGGGTCCTGGCTTTTCAAGCTGGTACTCGGGAAACTCGGCCATTTTCCGATCCTTTCGCATGCAAGTCTAAAGCGGTTTTGAAGAGTAAACTTGACTTCAGAGTTTCATAACCGAGAAAATCCCACACATCAAGATCCCGTTCTTAACCCCTATATAGAAGAAATGGCCAAAGAGTTCAAATTTTTACTCGATAAGTTTTTTTTTCATAATAACTTATTTAAATACAGTTCCTGAGTTTTTAACAACAGTCTGAGAAAGAGAGCTGGAGCATCCCGATTCGGGATTCCCGAATTGCGAAAAGAAAGAAGATCCTTTTTCGAGAAAATAGGAGATATGGAAATTTGAAAAGGGCCTCACGAGCGTTTTTGATTGGCTGGAGAGACTCGTTAAGCTTTCTTATTCGCTTAGAAGTATGCGGAAAGCGTAAATGCAACTACTTTATAACTCGACCTTTTTCCTCCCTTTTTTGAGACAGTTTATGCTTCCTCTTGATTGGACATAGCATTTCTCATTATTTTCATAATTAACAAATTATAATTCAACATCGGAAAAGAATGTTTGTAATACAGAAATTAAACAGCGATGTTACGATTTATCGAAAGATGAAAGTAGTTTTTTGTTCAATATTTGCAGCAATATGATTTACTGTAAGTCGTCTTATGCTGTGTTGTTTGTACCGCATAAACTACAGTAAACTTAATAATAGTTCGTTAACGCGCAATACAGTAGTTGAAATTGTATGTAAAGTAAAAATGAAAGGTAAGCTTGGAATTAATTGGAAAAGAAAAGAAAACTAAAACTATTATTTTGGTTGTAATTCAGTTGTAAATAAAGGAATAAAGAAAAACTAGGGTAACAGACTTAACAGTTACTTTTGTAGTTGTGAAGACTGTCGGTGAAGGAGATAAAGGATATTATTCTAGAGTGGATTCATGAGCTGGCTGATTCATTTCAAACTTTTGAACTTCTGTTTTTCGAGTCTCGCCAGAGCAATAAATTCGCATTTTTTGGTCGAAATGGAGTAATGGGAAATTTAAATTTTAAAATTCCGATGTGTGTTGCATGGGTTGAGAAACAGGAAAGAGGACTGATCAAGATGGGGACTACTTGAGGTATTTTTTGAAGATTTCGTCGCGAGCACGCTCCGAGAGACTCCTGTCGCTTTCAAGGCAAAACAGCAGGTCGCGGATTTTGACACGGCATGTTCGCACAGGCCTGTTGCTAGAGGTGTTCACGGTCGTCGATGAGGACTGAAAATGGAGTCAATAAGAGGCTTGGAAATCAAGGAGGACTACCGCAACGTTCCGCGGCCTTCTGCGGGACGCTTCTAAGGCAGTTTCGTCAGCTTGCTTAAGTTGCTGTTCATCTTGAAGCTGTTGCTGCTTCAGCTTCGCTTCTTTCTTCTTTTTGTCGCGGTCTGGGTCATCATCTTTGCCCTTCCGCGATCTGAGCAATTTAGCACGTTGCTCTTGTTCAGCTTCATCCGCGTCCCGTTTTTCGATAACCATCAAATCTGAATTCCTCTTAGAAAAACATCACAAAAAGAGCACCTACCAGAAATATACTTTAATCGGCTTTTTACATCGTTGAGCTTTTCTATATGCTCCGTTTCTTTAAACTGGATTGATCTATGAGAAGCGGCGTGAATCGCCTTGGAAATTATCGTTTTTATGTGATCTTCAAGGGCAAGGCCCATGAGTCGCGCGCCGTCCGGAGTCACTCGTTGGATCCCACCGGCTTTGCTTGCCGCCTGGCCGACAAGCTTGTGCAGAACTAAAAAGCTGGTGAAGATTCGACAAAATATGAATTTGACAATTCAACCAGTGGGTTAGATTTATTCATGATCAGAGCTATTCTCCGAACTTACTTTGCTCATTGACGGAGACGGCTTTGTCCCCGCCGGGCGCGCTTCTGACTTCGCTTCCTACAACCGTAGATGCATTGTTCAGATGCTCAGCTTCATTCGCCAAGTCGATCTGTGCCATACTGGCAACGTCCGTAATATCGTCGTCGCGAGCTTCATCTCGGTCCATCGACGTTATCTTCATCTACGTAAGTCTCTTTTTAGCGAAGAATCTCTCAAGAAAAGTTCACCTTGTTTGGCGGCTCTCCGGGAAGACGGCCGACAGGTTGGCCTGGCCTAACGCGGTTTGGCATGTTCCGCGGAAGGCGGATTTGAGGATGATTCGGTCGTACTACATTGGTCGTGGGACCCGCGGCTAAAGAGAATAATTGTTATTTCCTGTAGGAAATGTGCGAGTCATTGGAGCCCTTTTTACCCAGTACTTACGTCTGATAGCTCTGACGGGAGTGCCCGGTGGACCTCCCCCTTGGGGTATTCGTACTTGCTGCACAGGTCGCACAGGACGAGGCTAGAATGAACAAGAGTTAAGACTTGTCGATGTGAAGAGCATCATACCCCGTTTTGTCGATTTTGACCCGATTGTTGCATGGATCGGCGAAGCAGGGGCAGTGAGTTTTCAAGGAACGGAACAAGGTATGGCTAAATTAAAGCGTGAAAACAACGAAAAAGATACCATTCATGCAAATAAAGTAAGTATCATGCAACATGCAACATGCAATTTTTTCACCGAAATATGGACACTTTGAAAGGTGTTTCCTGAAAAAATAGCTTTCAAATTGTCTATTTCATTTGTTTTTCATGCAATGGGGGATAGAACGAATCTTATGCGATAAATTTTCGGCTCTTAAAATTTCTTTGTGGCTGATTACCGACACGTCCTCGATTTTGTATCGCCAAGTATAATTATCGCCCTATTAATTGTCATATAATCATTCCCAGTATTGTGACTGTGTCTCTCTATTTTGTTCCTTTTAACAATCAACAAAACCATTTTGCAAATCAAAGAAATGCGATCAGAAGCAGAATCCTGTCTCACCGCATTCGCATCTTTCTTTGCATCTGACTATATGAAATAATAAGGGGCAATTTCAATAAGGGATAATTGGAGATAATTGAAGCTCATTCCGAAGATAAATGATTGGAAGTGATGTTGATTATTATATTACGGGCTCCGGAAGTACGAAATTCTTTTCTTTGCAGAACTGTTCTACAACCTGGGGGCTGGATTGTAGCTCGGTTTGGAGACGCTCTGTGAATACTTGGGCAGTAATCCGATCATCAATGAGCCGCTGGACTAGGTCACGCACATTCGTGACTACTTCTTTTTTATCATTTGTCGAATTGCGCTTTTACGGAGGTCAAGAAAGAAACTTGAAGGAGATAAGCTGAATTTTGAAGTTTGAATCCGTTCCTGTGCAAGTTGAATAAGCGTCATAAGGAAATTCTTGCACTTGTGAACATTTTTCTGCTCTTCTTCGGTGAGGGGAGGCGCTGGTTGCCCACCTCCCGCCGGGGCGCCAGGAGCAATTGGTCGGGGCTGACGAGGCGTGATCATTCTTGGTCCTCCTGGAGCTCCTCCAACAGGAGCGGGACTCTGAATTTCGTAGAATTGAGTCAATTCTTCGTCAAACTTACCGATAAAACAACCTGTCGGATTCCAGGGCGAATATGCGCCGGGGTTCCGACAGGTCTCACCGCCTGCTGCTGACCCGGCTGTTGAACAACTTGACCGAGGGGTTGTTGCTGCTGTTGCGGCTGGGAAATCTGAGGTTGCGGCTAGAAATTTAGGTTGAAAAGGGGAACGGAGTTGATTGAGGAATCACCATGATTTGTCTGATATTGGGTTGACTATTTTCTACTTTGAGAATCGGCTGCACCGGCTGAGGCTGATGGTGCACGGATGTGATTACTTGTGCGCCTTGTGAGTGGGGCACCACCGTGCTGTGCCCGTCACCAAGAACCCCGTTGATCATTTGAGGTTGAAAAGGCTAGTAACACCGATAAATGAAGTCCAGCGATGGAAAACATCGCGGTAGAACACAAACCTCCTCTTTGATAGTCGTTACTTCCGGCTTAATGACATCGGACTTGACGCCTTGGACATCAGGGAGCAGATTTTGATCCGAAAACGACTCTGTAACGACGCTGTTTGGATTGACGAGACTTCCGTTCAACGGGCCACCTCCTGGTGGTGGTCCTGGGATACCTGACATCATCGGTTTCTTAGCTCATACTAAACCCAATAGAAGAAAATTAGACCGGAAGCTTTTTGTATGAAAATATCTATTTTACTGGTAGAAAAGAAGAAAATTGGGCTACTAAATATACAAAAACAGCTGATAAACATTGAAGGATAGACAGAAGAATGGCAAGGAAGAATCCAAGAAGAACTAGTCTTTAAATTCCCATAGATCTTCCAGCGTAACGCCGTCCGGAAGTTTCTGGAAAAGCAGTCCTAAATCTTCATTGAATTCTGTTTCCTCGATCTCTTCCGCACTGCCATAAATGAGTCTGGGATCGAGGGTTGACTTGGTGATCTCGACGTCTTCGTCAAAGGTCCCTTCTGATAAATTCGTCTGTTTTACTTTTTGTTCACGAACGCCGAATTCTGGAGCGGCAATATGCGCTTTGAAGAGCTAAAAACGAACTGACTAAAGGCTCTTCGAAATTATGAAAAAAACCTGAGCTGCTTGTTTTGCCACTTCCCGCATTTTTTCTTCAGGATCTATTCGGAATCCAAGCGTGTATTTTCCACTAGCAGGGGTTGATTTGACCACGAAGGCAACGCCGAACTTGGAAGGGCTGATCTTGACGACTTCCATTTGACACCAGGGCATGGAAACATTGTGCATGCGATTATTCTCCGCATACCAAATTAACCGAACAGTCGTGAAAATAAACGAGCCTAGATTTCCCTGGTCAGCGCTGAGATTCCAAACGCCTGGCACTTCTTGGTACACTCGCTCGTGGTCCAGAAGTTTAAAGTTGTTCTTTTCAAAGAGAACGGAACGGAGATTCACTTCGCGGTAGAACATACTCGTTCGATAGGCGAACAAGATCTTTTGAATTGTATCGAAGAGGCGGGAGTCGCGAACATTGCTCGTTCCTTCCGGATTTTTAGGCTCGACGCATGTGAAAATAAACTACAAAACAACAGATAGAAACAACGAATTCCATATTTTTATTACTTCATATCTTGTGGAAGGCCCTCTAGCAGTAATATGCAACGCTGTTATGACTCCTCTAAGCTTCGATTGCGTATTTTTCTTCGTCACATCAACTACGCTTTTGAAACCGATGGACAAATTCAAAGAACTGGTTCTGGGAGTGACCCAGATCACTCTTAGGTTTGAAATCTTCAATATTCCTCGCATTCCGTTGTTGCCTTTCGTGTCTTCCACTGGATTGAATGTCGCTAGAATTTCCTCGCCAGGGCGTTCTTTGAGCTCTTCTGGCTCGATGTCGAACCGAACCTCGCGATCTTGCCAAAGTAGCATTCTAGTAGATTATATTCAAAGAGTTCTTTCGAAGATAAACGATGTTAAATGAGTAGCAGTGGAGTGTGTGATACTATATCAGTTAGGGTTGGACATATTTTGGCGCCCAGCCGGCAGCTAAATCAGTCTAGTAGACGTCAGCCTAGTTGGATTTGAGATCTCCCCAAAGAGATCGGCGGACGAGGGGCAGTGTGTCTTCAAGGAAGGGGACAAGGAATGGCTTAACATGAGTTAATGGACAACAGATCTGTTCTATAACCTTTGGGGAGCAGTTAAGCTCGATTTGGAGACGCTCTTCGAATGTTTCGGCAGAAATACGATCATCGACGAGTTCCTTGACAAGATTTTTGACTTCTTCTTTCTTGCCATCGCGCTTTTTCAGGGGTCAAAAAAGATACTCAAGTGTATAGTGACTAGTCAGATTTCTTTTCTTGAATCCATTCCTCTGCTAGTTGAATCATTGTCATAAGGAAGTTCTTGCACTTGTGAAGATCTTTTTGCTCTTCTTCAGTGATGTTCGGTTTTTCTCCGGGGCCAGCCATTCTAAAACCTCTTTTTTGAGAGTCTTTTCAAATTAAATATGTTTTAAAATCATTGTCAGCAAGGTTTAGTTCCATATTTAGCTGCCCAGCCAGCAACTTTATGAGAAACAGGTGTTGTCATTCTCCAAGGATCCGTCGCTCCAAGATGCATTTTTCTGTCGAAATATCTATCAAGCCGAGTAAAGGGATCTGCTGGAATTCTTCGTGTGTCGATAACTCGCCATTTTTCATCTTATTTGGGAGTAGAGATGGTTTTCTTGAAAATAAAATTACCTTGATGTCTATTTTTATCTTCCTTGTCGAGCTTTGACTCCTTGTTCCAGTGACTTTGGCCGAATGGGTATTTATCCGCGTTATAAATCCAATTGTGTGTCGGGTAGACAGAGCAGACAATCGCTGGTCGACCACTTACCTTCAAGAGAAATTAGGAAGAAGAGTAGGTTTGTCTATTTACAGTTGATTCTTTGCACCAGGGACACTTTTTCGCCGATTTGATGTCCGTGTGACCCTTTCCTTTGTGGTTGATCATTCCGGGCTCGCGGCCGGTGTATTCCTCGGCCGTAATGGGCGTTTTATGCTGTCTGGGCACGCGCTTGGCTGGACGCGCGACGAAATCGATCGGCTCACGCGTTGCCAGTAATTTTTGCGTTTGGCAAAGCTCGCGACGCGCTAGTCGGATCATCCCGCTCATTCTTTTGAAAAAAAAAGCTATTTTCACGAAAATTTCTATGAAATATTAGAACATATATTAGAAAAAGGCACACTGTGTTGTGAAGCAAACACCAGGACAGTTAACGATTTTGAGTTCCACAGAGCGTTTCGATTATAAAACAAATCATCGAAGCATTAAATTTTCAGCCAAACAGATTGCTTGAAAATCATCAAATAAAAAGTGCAGAACAAAAGGCATCTGATTGGCTAAAAATTAGAACTCTCTTTAGTTTTTGCAACGGAAAGACTGTTTTTAAAAGGAAATTACCCTGTAGAATTTTGAAAAAAAGACGAAATTGAAGATTGAAAACATTTGTATCGCGTTAAGAAAACGCTGGAAGGAAACAATTAATTCGGACAGTGAAAATTCGGATTCGAAAATCGGCAATTATCGGTTTTGGACTTTGAGATTTCTTTTTTTATATGCAGGGAGAACTGATCTTGGAATTTTTTTCAGGAACACGATTATTATTTTGGAACTTCTGGTCATCACAATGGTAGAAGTAAAGGTTTAAACTTGGCACAGCTGGGTATTTTATTCTTGTTACTTTGATTATTCAATTTTCGAAAGAAGTGTTTGAGAATTGATAACTATCTTTCTTTGTCTACTAGACTTTCAAGACATAAGATTTTATTGTTTTTTGTAAAAGGTTTTGTTGAATTAGTTTTGTAGCGAGGTAAATAAACAGGTTCTGGTTAAATAGGGTTTTTGGTACGGAAGCCATATGGATACAGAAAAGCGGTTAACAGTAACTATGGGCACTAGCGCTGCTCTAGAATCTTATTAGCTCGCTCGTTGGCCCCGTCGATGCGTCCGTGGTTCATTTCGGCTTTGCCCGTGATGCGGCCAATCTGCTCGTTCTGCTTCTCCAGCTCGCCGCCCATGTCGATTGCCATGTTTTTGAGGTTTCCGATCAGCGCTCCGACCTGAAAATACGGGTTAATCGGGCAGCCCTCACTCTTACTGTAAAAACTTACATGATTGAGGTTCTGTTCCATTTCGTCTTCTCGCTCGTCGTTGTAATATCGCTTCACGGAAATTGTGTTTCCAGGATTCTAAAAATAATTATTAGATGCAATGAGCTTCTTCAATTTGAGTCTGTTACTGATCCTGGTCAACTTACAGCGAGTCCTTCAGAATTGTTCTTATTCGGCTGCTCTGTGACTGGAGACGATTCTTTTCCACTCTTTCCTCCGTTCCAGGTCTTTTTGTATTTTTCGCTAGACTCGAAATTCACTGCCTAAAGGATCGGATACAGAAGAATAAATCGACATTTTCCCTAACCTTTCTCCAAGGACAGATGCAGCATCCGCAGCATTTCTCCAAATTCGTCAGTTGTTCTTCGGCTTTCTTCATGTCATTATTGATTTGGTCCATGCCTTCTTCGATTCTATTCAGCTGCTCGCCCTGTTCGTCGAGCATCACCAGCGTGTTGACTCCCGCGTCGGCTGCGTCCTCCATCATCGTTCGCATTCGACGGGTTGCGTCGACCGACTCGTTTGTCGCCTTGTTCGCCCGATCGTTCATTGCCTGCTGATCCATTCTAGATGCAAAGAAACGGTCAATTCAACAGGTAACAAGAGAAACTTTGAATAAATGCGGTGTGTTGCTAAATGCTTTCCTTTCTTACGTTTTCATTAGGTTAAACATGATTCTTTTTGCTAACTATGGATTTCAAGAGAAGCTTGACACAAGTAAAATTTATTCTAGAGACATGATAAATGACTTACATCAAGTTTGGGGAGAATTAAAACTGAAGTATTCGTAAATTAACTGTCTCTTTTGTAGAAAGTGCAACTTGTATTTTCTTCGAAACTAAAAAAAATCTATATTTGAGCGTATGTTCAAATGTCGAATTAGTCTATTTTTCGTACAAATAGCAATTTGCGATTAATCTTTATGCTCGGCTTACGAATTGAGTACAGAGTTACTCAGACGACAAATTTGAAAAATTTTACGATGCGATGATTCATCCTTTCATTACTGTTATCTTGCCTTCTGTTTTCTATTTGTGTGTGTTCAGCGTGACGAATAGCTGGACAATGATCACTTTCGAAGTTTTAGAATTTCAGATATTTTTTATTCTTATGCAAAAGAGAAACTGATACACAAGTTTGAATATTGTAGTATTATTATATTGAGTTTATGTACGTATATTGTTATATGGCAAGAATCTCGGTGGTATTGGTGAGAAGAAGAAGTCCAAAATTGTTCATCTTCAAGCATCATTTTAGCGAGCTCGTTGAAAACAAACAACTACTGTAATTGATTTGGTTTTTGGTGGTGCTTTTGGGCAGAGAATACAGAAATAAAGAAGATATTTTAAATATTGAATTAGAGCGAAATTGATACGATTTTAGACGGGGTTCGCACTGAGGGCCTTGTTGTACTGTTCCATCATTTTGTTCCACTCTTCGTCGGATTGCGCGTTCATCATGTCGTCGACCTTTGAGCCGACGGCTTCCTGTCGAGCTGCGATAGGGTCAGCTGCGGCTACTGGTGCGGCTGGAACGCCAACAGCGGCTGGAACTCCAACAGCTGCTGGAGCAGCGTAAGCCGCAGGAGCAGCGGGTGCGGCAGGAACAGCAGCGGCTACTGGAGCGGCGGGAGCAACATAAGCTGGAACAGCAGCGGGAGCCGCAGGAACTGCAGCGGGAGCCGCAGGAACAGCGGCGGCTACTGGTGCTGCGGGAGCCTCAGGAGCCATCGCTTGCTCAAGGGAAATCTCACCGCGGAGAATACGGCCTCTGAGAACTTGAACAGCTTCGTACTCTTCCATCATCGCCGCCCATTCCTAATTATAATGATCAGATTAAGATGACATTTTTACGATCGGGGTTTTTCCAATCTTTTTTTCTCAACTACGGATCTTAAGGCTCATAAAAGAATTCTGATTGAGTTCATTATGATAAAATATTCTTGGGTGGCCGATTAAATGCGACTTTCATGTTTATATGTGGTTTTATGGGTCGTTTACATTTTTCTTCTCTCCAAATGACCCATTTGAAATGAGAGAAACTAATGAAATCATAGAGGACTTACAATTATAGTTTCTAAGTTGCATATTTTTTTTTACGAAGAAACATAAACTAATTCGTAAAAGATATTCAAAGAATAAGAAAATTATTTATTGGAAAATCCGTCATTTATCGAATTCTATCGATGAGCTAAAATCCTAATAGGGTTTAAAAATCTGCTGCTGCTGTATAAAAATGCAAATTGAATGGCTTTAGCTACCTCATCAGTAGAAATCTGATCAATATCTGGCATTGGTGGAATATGCGTGAGCTCGACGGCCTTGGCAGCGGCGAAAACAAGTGCCCAACAGCGCATCTCTATAAGAATTGGGAAAAATACTAAAGCGTAAAAATGGTGCTGGTATTTGAGAGTCGACTAGATATGGCCGGTCGGAGCGCAGTCAGAGCACCGTAAAGTAGGCGGAGAGCCCTGCGCCAAGGCAGGTCGCGGGGCAAGCAGCTCCACCACTGAACCGCGCGTAGGTTTGGCTTGAAAATTGACCGCAAGCTGTGCACCGGACCATAGCAAATACAATTGACAATATGACACTTTTTTTGCAAGGAAAGACACGTAGCCTAAATTAAAGCGGAGAATTTGGACGGGGATTGTTGCATGTTTATTATTTTGAGTATTCTTGATTAGCACAAAATAATTATCAAAAAAGGGATGAGCTTGTAGAATTAAACAGAAGGCTTCTTTACAATAAGACCTTCATCTTCCATTTCTTTTTCCTTCTTCTCCTGCTCTGGAATCAGATCATCGAGCCAGCTCAATTCACGCTGATTGAAAAGTCTCGGGAAATAGTCGAAAGCCTAAACAATTGTCAATGGTCGTTAAAGTCTACGTCAGACGGTAATTTGCATGTTTTTTACCTTACGTATGCCGACAATTGCGACTACCATGACGGGGAAGATGATTGAGATCGGTTTGTACGACTTGATGGCCCAGAGAACGGCCAGACCGCCGATTTGAATGATGGTGAAGAGGTGAACTTTGAGAACGGGAACGTGACGCAGGTAAATGTAGTCTAAATAAAGTGAATGTTTTAACTTGCTTAAGCAGATCAGTTATGGAGGGATAATCACCTGGGTGGTATTTCTTGGGGATGAAGAAAAGCTTGATGCGTTGGAAGAATTGAACACCGCGGAGAGAGCTGAAGCCCATGTAGAGAAAAACACCGTAGAGACAAGGCATCGGGATATTCGACAGCCACGGAGCCAGGAAAATTGAACAGCCTAAAGAAAAAGATAGGGGATCTGAAGAAAGGTTTGAAGCTTACCAATCAGAACGAAAATGCACAAACCAGTGAGTCGTTGCTCAATGCATCCGGAGAATGTATCAGGTTCACCTGGAATCTTCTGATGCGCATCTTGTTTGAGTGAGTTGACATGTGTGATGGACAAGACAGTAGCAGCAATAAACCACGGAAGGCCGAACCAGGAACATATCATGAGCGCGATAGCGGCGACAAGCAAATCCAAGTGATAGCCGACGCCCTTTTTCAGCTTATTCTCCCTTCGATTAACAATGACAGCGGTGATTTGCTGATCCATGAAAATGAGAATCGTTCCCATAAGAGCAAACACGATGGCTAAACCGATCGACCAGGCGGGGTTCTTGCCAAAGGGAGGAATGAACCAGCCACGATCAGACCGAGTCGGACGGAATTGATTAGGAACATGAAGTTTGGGCGTTTCCATTCCGAGAATCATGTCTACGGACACCATGGTAGCGATGGCGATTACGACGGCAAATTCGGAAATAAGGTTTCTAGCTCGGACGGAAAAATAACGCTTCTGTTTCAATCCCTTGAGTGTGAAACTAATCGCTAGAGTTCCAAAGGCGAGGAATAGTGACACAAAGAACACATCAGGGACATAGATGTGGTTGAAGGTTTCAACTTGATACTTCTCCAAAAAGCTCGCATCGTGAATTTGAACACCTTCATGGCTTGCCAAAGATGAAAGAATTTTATGATCAGCAGTTCCTGTGGCACTTTCTAGCGCTGCTTGATCGACTTTGTAAAGTGGGCATGATGAGCCATCGAGAACACCACAATGCATAAGGCAAGTATTGACATCTTTTTCTATCCAACTTGTTCCTTGAGTGAGGTTGACAAATTTGTAAGAGTTTCTGTAGATACAGTGGTAAGCGTTTTCACTTGCCCAAGTTCGCTCAGGTGCCGGATTCTTTCCATGCATGATTATTCGACTAAGCGCGTCATTTTCCCAATCTTCTTCGGTCCTGTTTAGTTTCAGGTCGCTGTAATTACCAGTCGTTAGTGGTGCGTAGCAATTACAGTCGTATGATAAAACGCCATTCCGCTCCCAGTCGAAGTTGATCTTGTTCGACTTGTAGATAGAAAAGAGCTTCTTGAATCCATCAGTGATGAAGATCAACGATATCAGCGTTGAAAACGACTCTTCCGTAAACCGCGTTATGTACATCACAAGATAGGAAGCATCAGTAGCGACCAGAACGAAACACATTAGTCCTATAAATGTGCCGACCCAAAGCCGCAGTTCCAAGTAGTCAAGGCCAAAATCTTGCGAAATGTAGTACATGATCGTTTCAAAAACGAGGATCGGGCCTGTTGAGCCGATTATGGTCAGTGGCTGCCCTGCGAACATGTGGAATATCGATCCGGCAATTGCTCCCCCAACCATGCTTTCCATCGCTGCGATGTTGTTGTGCGTTGCATCGGCAAGGAGACCGCCAAAAGTGATGATAGGAGTTATAACAGCAAAATACAAAAACATTATAGTAGCGATGCAGGAGGTATTGAAGCCATCGGTCCAATCAGAAAGGTACCAAGGCGCTTTTCGTCTGATATCGTTCATAAGGCCTCCAAAAAGACGTCCGGTTCGCTGTAGAGACTCATCAAGCTCATGGTCGGAGTTCTTCAACCCTCCTGTTCCATAGCCAACGCCCTGAGAATGACCCTTGAATTCAGATGAAAACAGACGCTCCATCCCTTGATCCTTGACAACAGGTGGCTGAAGCCGGATTCGCGGATCCCACTGATTAGGCGACATGGCGACAGATGACGAAGAAAACTCATCGAATGCTTCTATAATGTGTCTGGCTTGGCTCGACGTGTACGCTACGTTTTTCACGACCGGGTCGGCCATGATATTGCCAAAGACGCGGCCTATCTGGTGGAACTCGTCTTTGTACGATTCCTTCCCAAGGCAGACGATGACGAATCGAGTTTCAATTGTTACTTCTGTGATTCCAGCGAGCTGTGCTGGTTTTGCAAGGCGGATGAACATGACAAGTGGTTTCTGGAGGAACTCGACGTTTCCAGTTAGAATGACGCATCCTTCTGCGCCTTCAGGAATCTTCTCGGCAAAGTGTCGCTTTACCTTCTTTTCCGTGTTCATATTGTGTTTCGTCAAGTGCTTGTAACATCGATCGGAGACGAGTTCAGACAATAAGTGAGACTATAAAAAAGTTTGATAAAAATGTTTAAATAGAAAGGGCAACATTGCGCAACGAATATCAAATTAAAATCTTTACAAGTTTATTCAAAGATTTCGAAATAAACTCACCTTGGTGTCATCGCACGGAAAGATCTTCTCAGCATCGTGTTCGATGATGTCGTGTAAGTTGGTGCCTTCTTCGTCAAAGAAAAAATGCGCATGGTCGAGCATCGAACGTACTTTTTTCATGACCGAAATGGAAATTGTCCCCACGTGAGCTTTTGACCATCGAGAGCCTCCCTTCAATCAACGATTAGTTGATGAAAAACAGTCATGGGGTTTACCTGGTCGACGTTTTCTTCGAATTTGATCCACCGGGAAGTCTCCCTCCAGACGGAATCATTGTCCTTCCCTTTGGTAAGTTCCAAGAGCTCAATAAAGAGTGTTGGTGGTTCAACTTCATTTTTCTCAAGTAGATTTCGTAGTTCCAGAGATGCGACTGAAAACAATAAATTGAACCGTCAGCTCAAAAAAGTGATGAAAAAGCTGTTTTCTCTTGCATCATTTTACCATTATGGGCGTCGCCCCAGGGATTCAGCAATCGCCAGACCTTTTCTCTTGACAAAATATCTCCAACAACCATTTAGTAAAAAATACTATTCAAGCGAATGAAAAAATCGAACTTTATCGAACATATAAATAGATATACATTTGTACCAGCCACAGAATTACTGTAGCATCAGGCTAAGCTGGGATTAACATGCCACCAAAATCTCGCCTTTTCAATGAATAAAATAGAAAACGAAGAAGAAGGGCTCTTGTCTCTTTTCAGCAGCTGTTTTGCATTCATGAAAAGGAATTAGCTTATATGCAGAGGAAATTATTTTTCCCTGGCCATGTCATTAGGTAGAAAAAAGGATGATCTTAGATAATTTGACTGAAAATCAATTATGTTAGAATTATTAGTTTCTATATCTATTGAAATCCTTCCCGGAGAAAAAAATTAATTCTTGAGTTACCGTATTTGTCGTAGATGCGTTGCATTTCTCTCTCTGTCTGGCAAACCCAATGAACTTCTCTTTACTATGCAAGTCTGTATGCGAGAACAACAAATTAAATCCTAACAGGGGTATAATTCTCTTGTTAACAATGACCCATTCTTGCTCCTCGTCTATCCACCCCGATCATAAAAACCCATAGATGGCGGTGTACTTATAATGATCACGAGGTACCTAAAGAACAAACCTTTCTTATCAAAGATCTCTAACCCCTCCGGGTGATCGTATCTCATGATTATCGGCCGGACAAATCAACTTGAATTGCCTTTGCTTTTGGCAAGATATTGTAATTACGAATATGTGAGCGGCAAGTTTGTGCTGCAAATATTACCAAGTTAAAATGAATAAAAAAATCCATGAAAAATAATTTGCAGATATTCACGGTGGCAAACATCATCGGGCGAGGAATGACATCAATCAGCGAAAAACAATAAGGAATAAGTCTACAAGACACTCACAACTGTAAGACCACGGAATGCACCTCTGTTCCTCTTCGTTGATTTCACCTTTGGAATATTTTCTCAAAAAGCCAGTCTCTTTGATCATTTCAGAATCAGATGGATTCTGACATGAATTTTCTTCAGAGTGAGAATTTTATAGAGCGCTTATACTACGGATAGGGGGCACACTGGGTCACACCTTTGTCTCTTTGAGTGACAGCTCTGTAAAGGTCGATTACAGACCTGTTTTGGTGAGCTACTTATTTCCTATTTTGGACAAACAAACACGAACTTAGGCTTCTGCGTCACATAATTTCCAAAACGGATACGATAATTACTGTCTACAGTTCTCGTTAAAGATTCAAGGTCGTGCCCGAAATTTCCATACGGAAAATGCAAACCTTCAAAACACAAAACTACTCACAACCAAACTTGAACTCAACACCTATGCTTCGTCCCATTTTTATCTTGAAGAATAACAAAAATGCTTTCATAGCTGGAACTTTGAGAACTGCGAGGTCTTTACTTTTATTGGGAAAGAATTTTTTCTTGTGTAGAAAGTTGGATCAGCTGAAATATGATCAATACAAATCTGTAGCTTTGATGATTGAAGAATGAAGTTGTTGTCAAACAAGGATGAGTTAAAGAAAAAGGATTAAGAATAGAATCTTCACAATAAGGAGAGGTACATCCACGACGTAGAAAAAGTGCAAGAAGCACTTGTCTACCAGACAGAAATAAAAAATGTTTCTGGGGAGATAAAACGGATAAGAGGAGAGGGAGAAGGTCACATTGAATTCGCTTTAATTTCGCTTGGTTCGTGGGCGTCGCGATGCCGGACCTGCCGGCTTGGAGAATGCCTTAAATTTCCGTTATCAGGTGCTTTTGTCCGCTTTTTTTACTACATTTTCTTGATGAATGACCATTTTAAGCAAATTACCAAATTACTGCTACGAATAAAAATCATCACGTGGGCAAATTTTCTGTAGAAAGAAAACAACACCGATAAAGAGTAGTAAATAGCTACGGCGAGTACGCGCGATTTCATGAAATCACCATGAAAAGCTGTTAGTTAGCAAGGATGCTTGATGGATCATTTTGTTGTTGTATTTTTGGTACATTGTATGGTGATCTTTTACCAAGCTACTGCATTGTGCAACAAGGGCGTGATTTTTGATTTTCAGAATCCTGGGAATTGTCTGATTCGGGGAGCTCTTTCTTGGCCTCCTAGAAAGTTAGACTACTGTTACAGTGTTAGACAATCCAAAATTAGATTGAGTTACAGTTACAGTTAGATGTTAATTTATACAAACTACAGATGCAATAAAACAATAAAAATAGACATAAAATACCTTTTTGACTTCAGTTTGCGGATGAAGATGCGAAATCAAAGCTTGCTGTGAGACCTCACTCGGTCCATCGATCTCGATCGAGAGAAGATTTTCAACTGGAATTCCGAAGTTGCCTAGCGCACTGACGAACGAAGCCTTGCAACTCGCGTAGAGCATCTTTTCCTAAATAGATCCTTCAAACTCGAATCACCTTTGGAATGTTTACCTTAATGGGCACCGTCACTTCAGAAGGAATGGAGTAGACAAAGCAGTCTTTTTTATGGGACTTGCCATTATGCTCATATTTGAACTTGAAGAGATGATAGTTCGGCGAGGTCGTTGACACAGCGCCGGAGAACATGGTTGTCGAGCCCGCGAACTGGTCTGTCTGTTCAAGGCAAATATGCTCCTGCTTGACGTCAATCGCCAAGCGGACATAATCCACCTTTCCAGCGGCGAATTCCTTCAGCGCCGCTACCGCCTCCGAGGTCACTGGAAAACTAGAAGCTTTGATTGACTCACGCATTTTTATGCCGTTTCTTACGTAAGCCCAGCGACAGTTTCCTTCTTTGTTGTAACGGACGATGTTTCGAGGAGCTTGATCTCCGCTTTGATCTTTTCGGCTTCAGTTAATGGCCCATCTTCTTCATCGAGCTTCATTTGTTCTTGATGGCCCTTCCAAGTTAAATCGCTCGGCGAGTTGATGGTATACTCTCTCGAAATATATCCACCACCGAATGCTTGCTAGAACAGTTGTTTTCATGATGCTTTGAGGCGTTCGGAATACCTTGACTGTGGAAAGGGTTGAAGCATAAATCATCTTGTCCCTGACTGGAGCATTTTCAGAAATGTATGAAAAGAGGATGAACTCGTAGCCAAGAGATGATTGAGAATCGAGGCGATAGAAAGCGTAGAAACACGGGTTGGATTCGGTGAGAGGAGCGAGTTGGCTATCGAAGTCTTCCTGCCAGGTCTTTTTGGGCTTCAAGCATGCACCAGCTTTTAGACATTCATTTTCAATCACGATCTTAAAAAATTATACAAAATTGCAAACTGAAAAAAATACCTGTAAGACGCGCAGATGACCTTGACGAGCATTGGTCATCTCATTTTTGATATCTTCTGAGACCTCGATTCCCGACCGATGTGACATTTTTTTCTTGAAAAATTTATTTCCAGTCGTTTGTGATTGCTTTGAGGGATTAATTGCACATGATACTTTGTTACAATGAATGTCGGAGGCGAACTTTGAACTAGTAAGTCAGTAGGGGTAGTAGTGGTTCTTTCTTTTTTGTTTGATTCAGAACATGAAGATAAATTTATATAAAAAAGAAGTTGGATAATGGTTTAGGTGATCAGTAGGAAAAAGAAGGCATGGCATCTAAGAAAATTTAGCTAGAGTGTAGCAGTGAAAGTTGTTAGTAAAATGAGAAAGGGAAAAGAAGCTCAAGAGTAGTTGTTTCGAAAATGCTAGAGACTCAAATGGGTCAATTGAAAACTGAAGTTAAAGGCAAGATTGGGTTAGAGTAAATACAAATTACAATTAAAAAATATTGGGTAAGGATAATAAAAGCAGATTTTGATAAAAAGAAGAAGCATGAAAGAAAATCTAGACCCACGGACTGGGCACCCATTGCGGCCTTTGAAGAAGTTGTTCAAATAAGTCGTAAATTTTACTAGCGGTCGTCTCCGTCGAATTGTTCGGAATGATGACATCGAATGCGTGCGAGTATTGCTGCATGATCGCGCGGCTGTCTTCGAAGATGTGAGGGTTGCCCTAGAAAATCGCGGTAAACAACAGGTGGGAGGATGATAGGAGGCAATAAGGTCAATAAGAGAGGTCGATAAGATGGAATTTTTGTCACTAGAGGTCGAATTATAGATATAATGTAAGGAAACTCTTTTGAGTTATCAAACTTTAAATGTTACAAAAAAATTAGCCGGACTCCGCCGAAGCCCATAACCTGAGTCTTAGTTCTTTTTGTAAATGAATCAGTAGACTGAGAATTTCCTATTTTTCAGGTACATGCTTTATTTTCAATATGCGATTTTCAATGTGCTGATGATTCTGTGAAAGTAAGTACTAATAAATATCAGATTTACCAAATAAAATGCAAAACACATATAGTCTATATGATATAGACAAGAATTTACCTCGTATCCCATTGTTCGATCACCACCATTTCCAGGCGCAACATAAACAACTAGAGGCGCGTAAACCTTATTTTTAAGAAGTCTAAGTGCAGTGGGTTCAACGTCGAGTATTGCACATTGTCCGTTATTGATGATGTCTCTAATAGTACTGAGTTTTGTGCCGTAAAGCTGACCTTCGTGCTCTCCATACTCGAGGAATTCGCCTTTTTGTATTGAGAGGTTCATTTCTGAGTAGTTCATGAAAAAGTATTCTTGGCCGTGTTGTTCCCCAGGTCTGGGCGGTCTCGTGGTAGTTGGGACTAAATAAGGCATTCAGTAAGAAGTCAAGAAGCACAATTCTCTACCTGGATAAGAGTACTGCGTCTTATTCATGCCATTCATCGACATGAGCATATTTTTGATATTTCTCCTTCCAACACCGTGAGCGCCGATGAGAACGAGGCATTTGCGCCGAAAATTTTGAACCTTTTTGACTTCTTCGTAACAGAGAGTTTGGTTTTGAGGCGTCTGGGCAACGGGATTGAAGCCTTGAGTCGGCGTGGTTCCCTTTTTCTTGCGCATTTGTTCAAGCAAATGCTCAGAGTTTGCTTTCCATTCGCGGAATTGCGGACTATAGAAAGAAATCAAGAGCCCGATGAAATCAACGAAGACTCACCTTGGCACAAGACCAGTATTATCCGTGTCCATATTTCTCGCTTGCCACCAAAAATCATCGTCTTTGCATGATATCATCAAGACCTTATGTCCAATTGTCAGTGATTATCAATAAATACTGAAGTAAGTACCTCTCCAGTACTAAAGCGAAGACCAGCTTCTTTGCAAGGAATGTCTGATGACTGCATTGGGTCGAAATCAAACAGCGCTCGAACATAAATTTCACAGGTTGGACTAGCGACAGTTTCTGATGGTTGGATTGTGAAAGTGATTGTTCCGCGAAGTGACCGGAGCATCATTTGAAGATCACCAATTTCCTAGAGAATTGGAATCAGAAAGTTTGAAGATAGAAAAATCACCTTGTATCGAACTGAAATGCCATTGATATCGAAGATCTCATCTCCCACGTTCAATAAGTTCTGTCGATGAATCATTCCACCGATAATAACCCTCGCCACAAGGCACTTTCCCTGATCCATCCGGAGAGTGATTCCAAGAGGCTCATCGTGGCCCTTGTTGAAAGATATCTTCTTTAGGCTACGCCCACCAGGTTGTTGATGTTGGTTATGCTCTGCTGAGTTCGTTATATTCGCAACTTCAGCTGAACCTGCTGAGCACGTGGTCCCGCTGGAAGATGATTTTGAAAATTGTCCGACAGAAGAGGACTGCGGAGGGGGATTTAATCTGAATGAATTTTCGGATTAATATCGCGCCATGAATAAAAATTGTTTGTCCAAATTGTTTACGTAAGAGACTAAAATTCTTGTTTACTGTACATAAATACACACATGACTGCCCATCATTATATTGTCACTCAAATTGAAGCGTAGTACCTGAGATTCGGTTGCTGATAAATTTGTGATGAGATTAAGTCGTGGGCAATAAGTAGCTTGGGAAAGTGTGGATTGAGGAGGAGAGAGGCGAATTCAGGTCCTGGACCATCTCCTGGCGGGAGAAACTTGAGATAATCGTATACTTCGGCGAAACGCTGTTCTGCGCACGGACTCGAGACTTTTTTCGATGATAGATCAAGACTAAATTTATGAACAGCGAGTTATCTAAATTCGTTTACCTAGAGATTCCGTCAAAAATATCAAGCCATTTCTGCAGACTGGGATCATCAAGTCCAGCAGGATCATTATTTCCAATTGCGTCTATTTCATCGAGACTATCAAGAACTTCTCCAACACCTGAATTAGGTAGAACAGTTTCTTGCTGTGGAGGAAGTCGACTAGCAAATGCATCAGAGACGGCTCCCTTTAGTCGGCGACGAGCGTTGAATTTTGACAAGTTTGTGATGGTTTGATTGAGATTCTTAGAGTTGCAGACGCGTTTACGGTCGGCGATCCAGGGATGTTGAAGAGCCTCAGTTATAGTGATTCGTTCTTGAGGATCAACTGTCAACAAGCGAGTGACGAGATTCTTTGCAGATTCGGAAATGCCCGCCCAAACAGGGGAATTCATCGGCACATGTGCTACAGAATCATTTTTAAAATAAGAAGGATGGATAGAAAGAACCTTTTTGTATGTTCTGAATCAGCTTTGAACCTGAACCAACGAATGGAAGCATTCCCGACAGTAATAGATGAAGCATGACGCCGCAGCTCCACATATCGACTTGCTTGCCGTACGCTTCGCCGAGCGACATTTCTGGTGCCATAAAGTGGGGTGTCGTCACTTCCCCTGCTTGTAATGTCTGTCCGTCTTTACATTCGATTGCCAGACCGAAGCGACCGAGTTTCACAGGGGCCTTGATTTCTCGACTTTGAAGGAGGACGCACATTGGAGTCAAATCGCTAGAAAAGGACTTGATTGAACATTTTGACGTAAAAGAAAAATCCTCTACCGATGAATAACATCATTATTGTGGCAATATCGGACAGCTTGGAGAATTTGATTCATGTAATGGGACACAACGGCTTCGGAAAAAACGTATCCATCGGATGCGCGTTTGATGATTTCGAAACAAATGTCGGCGCCGCTCATATATTCAAAAACCTAAAAAAATTGGCTGACTTATTTTGAAGAAAAGTCTCTAGAACATGTCTCGGCGATAACTATTGTTCACTATGAGTTTTTTAGTTCTGGTTGAAGGGGCCCAGCCACGGGACAGTTGTTATGCCGCGATATGAGTTTAGACGATCAACGGGGACGAAAAGTCGACCTAAGAATGTTCCAGAAGGAATGAAAGTTCGGGATGGCGGCTTTTTGCCCAACATCAATGCTCAGACTACTTCTGCCGACACTTACCGGTAAAGTTCTGATTAACGAAACTTGCTTGACAATAATGTTTATTAACTTAGCTCTGTAACAAGCTCATTCTTTCATTTGATTGCTTGTGAAAGAATCAAATCTAAAGTAATCTCAAATTCTAACTCAAAACTTCAGAAACCCATCACAATTCATGAAGGGCCCAAAAACGTTTGCGCGAAACGGACCGTCATCGAACTATCAGGTTTGTTTTAGCCTGGTAAAGAAAGTACTTTACAATTTGTAAGTCGAGCGCAACGAAATCCTACATTCCACCAGTGTCCAGCCAGTCTGGTATCATTGTCGGCGACAAATCAGCCAGCCCTTATTCGGTCAAGAAGTTCTCTCCTGAGGACTGGCATCGACGCAATCAGGTAAGAGCATATTTCAATCAGATAAAGAGGGTAATGAGGATAATGATTATGGCATTCGCGAGCATCAAATAAAATTTTGACTGTTGAACTGAAATTTTTTTCTTCAACGCATCTTGAAATTCAAGGGTTTGAATAATAAAATCAACGAAGATTAATTAATAAATATTTTGTTCTAGAAAAACAACATTAAAAAAGCACCTATTCAGGATCATTTCGCTACCTCGGACGCTTTCCGAGCTTCCTCCGAGCGACTTAGAGCTGACACATACGCTCTCGTCCAGGAGCGCGACCAGCTGACGGCGAAAAATCAGGCCCACTCGACAAAGAACATCGACGATCGAGCGAACGACATCGACTTCTGGAAGTCCGAGCTTCGACACGAGACTGAGCTCCTCATCTCTGAGACAAGCTCTCTTTCTCAGCAAAAGAAGCAGTTGGAACGCGCACTCGCCGAAACCGAGAGCCCACTTGGCATCTCCAAAGAATGTCTTTACAACAGAGACAAGCGAGAGGGCATCGATTTGGTCCACGACGCTGTCGAAATCCAGCTTAACCAGGAAGTCGAAGTCATCCGATTCTGCCAGGAAAAGATGAAGCGACTGATTGCCCGAGCTGAGAGACAGCTTCAACGCAACCGAGACGCCCAGCACGAGTTGGACAAGGATTCGCACGACAAAGTCTCCGCGGCATCTATTGATAACCGATGCTACCAGTTAAAGAATATCTCCGCTGGAATCAATTACTTCAGAGGAATTGAGGATGTCGACCGAACGTAACAAAGAATTCATGAAAATCATATATAAATTATAATTCTAGCCAGACGATCCCATCCAGCTGGGCAAAGTTCTCCGATGACAACATCCGACGATCCCAAGCCGAACGAAATTCTTCCACTAGAATGCGAGAAGAAATCGAAACATGCCTCGCTGAGACGTCTAATCAGATGTGGTCACAGGTAACTATCTCCAAACTTATTGTTGAAAATTCAACTGTTATTTCAGTGGAACCGAGTCAACGTCGCCTTTACTCATCGAGTAGCTGAGCAGGTCGACACCAAGAACACCCTCCAATCGCATCTTAACCGAACTCTCCAAGAGATTCATGACGTCGAAACGACCATCAAACGACTCCACCGAGCGATTGCTGATAAGGAGCTTCCAGTCAAGGTCGCTGAGACCAGACTCGGTAAGTTGTAATAATAAATAGGAGCCTTGACAACGTTTTCCTTAGACGAGCGAACACGACGACCAAACCTGGAACTCTGCCGTGATCCCGCCCAGTTGATGCTTGTTTCCGAAGTGAAGCAACTCCAAGCTACACTCGCTAGCCTTCGTCAGCGATTAGACGAGGAGCAGCATCAGCTCCAGAAGTTGGTTACCGCTCGAAGCAAGATTGAGCACGAGATTCGAACAAAGGTACTTCAATTTCCTCTTAATCACGACCACTAAGTTTTTATAGGCGAACTCAATCTTCATCGATCAAGACAAATGCATGTCAATGCGAAAAACTTTCCCCACCACACCAAGACTGTCTGGCTATTCTTATTGAGCAGAAATGCATAAAACTGTACCGTGGAATAACAAACTTCGTTGATAGAGAAGGCACAAATATATTTTACCAAACAACCCATTTCCTTTTGGAAGCATTTCTTTCAAAGCAACAATTAGCCTCTAGAATTCTATGAGACCATAAATAGGCATGGTGGAATATAGAAATATTTTTCCAGAAGTCGGTGGTTTAGATCTAGTTTCGTTAACGGAAGAACAATTGGTCCAGTGGGCTAAGCTGTTCTCTCCATATAACCAGTGTCTGAGTTCGATTCCTCATGTAATCCTACTCTTTCCCAATTGGCAATTCGTTAGGGATCTGTTAAGTTAGGGACAAACTATACTCTAGGCGAATCCTTACCCAAGGAAGCACTCATAAAAAACCCTCTTAAAGGGTTTCTTCCTCCTAAAGGAAGTTTTTGCTGTCTTACCATGTAGAGAAAGCCGGTGCTTGAGTAGACTTCTTTGAGTTCGACAATGTGCTCGTGTTTGAGCATGTCGCAAATTGTCGTCTCTCGTTTTAGGTCGTCGATGGATAGGCCGGGGGATGAAGTGAATGCCACAACATCGACGATTTTCACAGCATAGAGCTCACCGTCTTTAATTCTTCTACATCGACGGAGCTCAGAATGAGGCCCTAAAGATTAGGTTCAGAGAGAGAGACAGGGAAATATTTGAACCTCGGGAGATGACATCCAAGAGCTCGTAAACTTGGTCGAATAAATTGCCGTCCGCCATCAGTTCTTTCTCACGAATTCATTCTAAAATTGATGGGTTTACTTTTTGATTGAAAAGAATAATGTTCAAATTAGAAAAAATAAAAGTGTGTGTATCAAAAACAGATATGTGTGAGAAGAGTATCAAAAATATTTCAGCTAGACAGCGTTAGTACAGGTAGAGAAGAGTTAAAGCGGTCATAAAGCGTGCTATTGGGGCATTTTGTAGAGTGAAATTCGTTGAAAGATGTGGTTCAAAATGCCGACGGGATTGTTTTCCTCCTCTGGCAGGTCTTTTGTGATTCCAAGTGCTTCGCCAGCAGATGTGAGCATGTACTTGAGGAAACAATTAATATTTCCGCTCTCCGTTCTAAATTTGCTTACCTCCAAGTCCTGTGTCTCTTCTGGATTGCATCTATTCGTTATTTGGGCGAGTCGAACTCTCTCTGAGCTCAGCGACTCGTCAAGATCGAAAAGCTCAAACTGTGGTCCCTCTGGCTCGCTATGGAAATGTTTTATTATGAAATTGTTTAAAAAGTAAGTACTTATTTTCCTAAAGATATTTTATTTTCAAGTTTTCTTTGAAATAAACATCTATCTCGATCTTTCTTTTTGGAAAGATAAATCGGTCACTTACCAAAACCTCGGGGGAATGGTTGCAGGGACAAGTTGCGGCAGTGGTGTCTCGAAATTCGGCTTAATAAGGGAGAGCTGATCGGCGGGCACGTCCAATTTCTCGAACGTGGCGTGCACCTCAGGAAAGGCCGCATTGTTGAGCCCGAAGAGCGGCGCGTCGAAGAACATTTGTTGCATCTCGGAGTTCGATACATCACCCTCCGCCTGCGAGAAGAAGAAATAGATAAATGGGGGTGATTAGAGATCAAGGACGACCTGTAATGAGGATTTGAGGCGATCGGCAAGGGCAATCGTATCGGGAAGGATTACGTATTCGGGGAATTCGATATCGAAGTTTTCCATTTTTGACACAAAGCGACTGAATGAATCGTAATTATTTCAAATTTTTATTCTTAGAAGAAAGGCGCTGCGGAATATATTTCTAGATTCGAATCGGACCATAAATCAAGACGAAAAAGCTAAAATCCTTGAACGATTGAACCGGTGGCACAACTCTAGAGCCGAAATCGGAAGTACTCTTGGCCTAGTGGTCTGAGCTGTACTCTCCACATATCCATGGGCTAAGACCTTTCAGGTTCGATTCCCGTTTCACTCGTGTCTTTGACTTTATGAAACCTTCCCCACCTCCACTCTGTAGGGCTAGATTTGGATGATAAGATCGTTAGGGCAATATTCACTAGAGGCGTTATGATAGGGTCCAATATGAAGATACAAAAAACCCTCATAAAGGGTTTCTTCCTCCTAAAGGAAGTTTTTGCTGTTTCAACAACAGCCATTTACAGTTACTTACTTTGATTGTAAACAAGAAATAAGTGCGTCGGCAACTTGTCCATTATCTTCTCTGTTAAGCCATTTGTCGGAGAACATTTTCGCTGACCCGACGACGGCCAATTTGCCTCTCCCTTTCTGAATGACTGTATAAAGGGGAAAGAAAAAGGGATAAAGAAATACCTGTGAGCAAAAAGCGGCGATGGGCCTATTCACTGGAAATGCGATTGGCGATGTCGTCATGAGAGGAACAGCAGGAGAGATGACGTTGAGCGAGGCCCCGTATGGATAGACAAATCCATTCTTTATTTGACAGAAATCATCGTGCACGACCCCCTGTTGCTGGATAAAGACCTCCTTAGGGTGGTAGTAAGGCTGAACGAAGGAAGTTCGGATCACACAATCATTGTTGACGGAGATGCCGAATTCTTCCAGAAAGAAGTTGATGTTGCTTCCTGACCCTTTTTCGCCATTTTCGCTGATTAAAATTTTGAATAAAGACACGGAGTAACAGCTTACCTTAGTAAAATCAGCAAAGAACCACCGTTGTCGTAAAATTTCTTTAGCTGCTCGAACTGGTTTGAAGAGAACTTTCTATTCGGATTCGGAATGATAAGGAGCTAGAAATAAAGACATGCGCAATTATTTATGAGGGTCACCTTTGAGCCAATGGATTCTGCAGATTCAAACTGATGCGCTTCAAGTGATTTTGCTTTGAGCCCGCGCTGCCGCAAACGCTTGTACCATGCTTTCAAGCCGTGCTGGATTGTTAGTGTCTCTGTGTTTCAACAATAATTATCCATCATAATCAGCATCTCTTACCTTTACGATCCGACGTTGAAAACTCAAGGAAGGTGACCTGATTCTCGGCCAACTCGACCATTCTACAAAAAACGAATAAAATCTCGACTTTGACTTCTCAGAAATTGATTTTTTTATTTTCATGGCTCGAATATTATATAGACCAGTTGCGCTTATTGGAAACTAGAAGAGAAAAAGAGTCTTCTTTCAATTGATAGGAGAAGGAAAAAAATCAATAGAATAAAGAGAGAGAGAAAGAGGGAGAACAATATTTATTGCTTGAATAAGAGGATAGACAAATAATAACATGGAAATACATGGTAGAATATGCTGAACTTTGATGGGATTAAATATAATGAACGGGACTGAATAATGAACAAATATTTAAGCTAACGAATTTTAGACTGTAAAGAGGGGAGTAGAAAGAGAAGTAGGTCAATAAATAACTGAAAATGTAAACAAGAAAAAGTGCTTTAAAAATGGCACGGTCGGGAAAAACGGTAGAATATGAACATCGCTAGAACCTGCGTTGAAGTTGAGTGTAATAATGGATACTAGTAAAAAGGGTGTATAAAAAGGTTATGACATGCAGGCCTGAGTGACATGATTAAAAGTGCCTTAATTGACTAAAAACGCCTGCTCTTTCTGGTGAAATCAAGGAAAAAACAACCGATCAAACCGCCTTTTACTTTATATATATACTCTGGAGGGTTTTCATCAGGTGAGAGGAGGATAAAAAGAATGAACATGTAAGAATGTGTTAAATGCAAGTGTCGAATTCAAGTCTTGGATTATGAAAAGAACAACACCGGGAATAAGAACATTTTTTGTTGTGGATTGAAGAAATTCATAGAATCGGGATTGTATACAAAAAAGAAGAATAATAATATTCGAATCGACTCGAGGAGTAGCGAAATTAATCAAGTGAAGGGATTAATTTATCAAATATATTCATGTATATTTTTTAAATAAATACACGATAAAGAAAAGTAAAAGAGTAAAAAGTTATTATTGCAAATGACTTTGAAGAAGGCGACAGATGACTTTGCTCGCAGCAGGCACGGAAGATCGGATCGTTAGACGATACATTGAGGACTAAAATGAAGAATAGATCGAGTACAAGAGGGTTGACTTACAGGGGCATTGGGTTCGAGACGCAGTAAGACTCCAATCGTAGCCGTGCTGTGTATAATACCAGCCGCTACGTGATTATCTCCATTTGGATCGACCCCTTCCAACACCGTCAGCCCACAACTCGACAGTATTCCAGACGCTACAGGCAGATAAGTACAGTAGGACAATTTTGTAAATAATCAATGAAACATACCAGCTTCGCGGTCAATAGAGGCCGTTTTAAAGACAGACTGGCTCTGTTGATCTGGCTTTTCAAGGCCACGCCATCTCTGGAAGAACTGGTTCGCATCCATCGTGGCAGTTGCAGCGAATTTTGTCATGTAAAGCGGAACGGCAATTCTGAGCGCGAGATATTTACCTCCGTAGAGACCGGAAATATTCAACACTGGGAAGTTGTCGAAGTCCTTAATTTTTCCAATAAGTTTTATCGAAGATATAGTTTTCTTACTTTCATGGATTCTATGTTTATAATATGTTGAAATTGACTTCCAACTGTTATCGTATTCGGCGCTTCTTGATGTGTGGAAATTTTTAAACCCTCGATGCTTCAAAAACTGATTAAAAGCGGCCAAAAGATGAAGCAAACCTCTCAACATTAGCTTTGAAATTCGAAATATCAACAGACGATGATTTGTTGCCATAGAAAAGTTGTACGCGCCCGAGTCTTTCCCTGAATTCCATCTTTATTCCGATCTGTAAGTTTTCGTCTTCGAAAAGGACGCCCGAGTTTTTGAGGAAGAATTTTTGGCAATGAGAGTCGATGAGCGGAGGTGGCTCTGAAGGAGCAGCTGCTGCAGTGGGAGGAGCAGCCGGAGAGGAGTTGATTCCAAAGGGATCATCCACTAAAAGTAAATGAATAGATTGATTTTCATGGGAACCTTACTGTTTGTGAGTCCATAAGCGGGCTCGGCAGCAGCAGGAGCCGCCGGAGCAGCAGTATTCGGTGTTGCAAAAATATCAACGAGCAAGTCTTGCGAGCTCTGCTGCGGCGCTGCTGCTGGCATAGGTGGATCATTGGACATCTTCGCAACAGGAAGAGACTTTGCCTTGTCGTCTCCGTGTCCATTTGTTGGCGATTCGATAACTTTAACAGCAGCTGGCTTCTTCTTTTTCAATTTTGCTAAGATTGAGCTCTCTCGCTCGGGGAAGGGCGGCATTTCTTCTAAAACTGTGGCCAACATTTCTGTGTTTGAAGCTGAAATTGCAGAGAGCTAGAAGACAAATGTTTTTAAAGAAAGGAAGGGCAAGATTACCTTGAAATATTCTAGGGCTCGTTGTTGGAGCTCAATATCCGAGTTCTTCTGCAAAACGTCCGAGCGTAGAACATCTTCGATATTGGTCTTGATTTCAGGGAACAAGTTGATCATTTTAATGTAAGCCGAGAGAATAAGAGAGCGCGTTGTCGATGAGCTAGAATTATTTATTATTCAAAGAGTTGAGAAAACAATAGCTGACCATAAATGGAATCGCGTCTGCAAAAGTTGGAACTGAACAAGTGGTGCGGATCGTTGATCGCCAGCGATCAAGTTGCCGAATTCACCGAGAATGTAGCCCCCAACGCGCACCATGTTCTCATGGCAGGCTGGTTGCTGGAGAGCATCGAAACATGTTTTAGCCGCGTAGCCTTGAATATCTTCGCGATTGGTGACGACTTGGATGACTCGATGCCAGACTTCTTCGGAGACGTAATCGCCGGCGACACGGATAAGCTGGAGAATGACGTCAACGTACCAGTTGTAGTCAGTCGCGTATTTTTCCGATAAAATCGCCGTTTTGAGCACCATTTCTTCCCTGATCGAATAATCCGCGGCCTCAAGATAAGCAAGCATTTCCTGGACGATTCTCTCCGCATTCGATCGATCGCACATTGCATACAGCAAATCGACAGCGCGCTGTCTAACGGACACATCTCGTTCAGTTTTCAGCGCCTGAATCACCGTATCCAAATGTTTCTTCACAGCTTCACGGGAAAAATCGCATTGAGCAAGCTGCGCAAGCGATTCTAGAGCCAAATAGCGAAGATTTGTCTCTCTGTGATTCAAAAACTGGCCAAGCTGGTTCGTCGCGCGCACTAGCAGTGGGCAAACAGCATCGTTGTCCAAGTGGATGATAAGATTGATGGCTTCGAGCAAGACACTGTTCTTCGCGTTGGAGTGTTGGATCTTCTTCGACTTTGGCGGCTCCTGTGCTTTGTTGAGAATAACCTCTAGACATTCAATCAATCGGGCTTGCTCGCTCGGCGGTGGGAAAAGCTGGAGAAGACGGAGAAGCTTGCAGGAAAGCCAAGGAGCTGGAACAAAGTAATAAGTGTAGTCTTGAAGATCCTGGTAGGTGCTCGTTACGATTCGAGAGAGTCTTTATGTGGGATTATACGGAGTTCAATTATAAATTAATGAGAGAAACTTCCGCATTGTCGAATATGAATTCAGGACGAGCAATATAAAGTTTACTAATCAGCCGTAAAAAAGATAATCACATTGAAAATGATTATGCAGTTGTTTACTTTATCCGACAAAAAGATTGCAATCGATTTGTCTTGCGACAAAATTTAATTAATTAACAGCTATTTGTCTGAAAGGATTATCTTTTCTTCTCGTTATTATAGAAGATTCTTGCGTACTGTCTCATATTCCAGACAAATAAAAAAATTCATCTTTGCTCCCACTTTCCTGTTGATCGCGAAACCAACTGCCGAAGCATACGCATCAGGATTTCCTTCGGCAAGAGCGTGAATCAAGCTTGACGCAGCGGTAACAACTCCAAGATGAGAATCATTGAGAAGATGGACAACGCGATTTTGCCAGTCGCCGCTCGGCAAGAGATCGGGAGCGGCGCGATATAGGCGCAGCATACACAATGCTGCAGATTGCTTTACTTGGTCGATATCTTCCTTAGAAATCAATAACTTCGGAATTTCGTTGAAGAAAGCCTTTGAAACTTATGTTGAAATAAGGAAAATATGATTGAGTCTAACCTCGGCCATCTCTCGAGTCCCAACATTGGCGATGCAGTGTAACGCCAAGTTGACATGAATTGGGTTTCTTGAGCTCAAGTCATTTTTGATATTTTGAATGATAAGATTGACTAAATCATTGCCATCGTTCAGCAACACGGAGATGAATAAATATCCGATTTGTTTTTCAGTGTACTTATTTGATGATAACAAATTGACAGCTAAATTGACAAATTAAGAAATTGAAATCAAGGAAGAGAACCGTACCTTCAATATGTCCAAAGTCGACGTCATGGCCGAGTAAAAAGATGAATAATAATTTGCACACGTACTTCTTTTTGTGGTAGCCATCCAGTGTCTTGTCGCCTTTGAATTTACTCCTGATATTTGCTAATTCCTAAAGACAATGAATTCCATTATGTTAACTTGTGTAAGTACCTTGTTTATTCTCTTGGTCTCGGCCTCTTTACTCTTGCAGTTTCGGATGTCGGAGATGAAGACGGCGAGGCCCCTCATTCCGTCCTTCGCCACAGTCGGCATGGCTGTGGTAAGTCTGAATTGAAAAACGAAAGGTTACTTTCTGCCTCGAATCGACAGGGAAAGAGCTGTCTCGAGGATTTACTTGGATTGAACTGATCGACCGGAGAGGACGGTTTTCCCCGACAGCCCTGGAATATTTTGCGTTAGGGAGCTTTGTACCAGCCAACAGACTTCTGCTGCAGCAGCTCCTTTGTCTGTCTGACATAGGATTTTACAAAAAATAATTTTTTACGAGTCCTTATGTAAATTTATTTAAGTTGGAGTAAAAATGATACGCTTCTTCTGCGTAGAATCTATTCCGTTACAATCAATCTTTCCGAATTATATTCAATGCACCAGTGACACACCTGAATTTTGGCCATTTCATGAGTTCCTTGCTTTATGAAAATTAGATTTGAGCATCAGTTCATGGTACCGATTTAACTAAATTACGATCAATCAAACCTTTTTATGATCCGTTTTTATTCTAGAAAGTCAGTTAAGAATGTTAAAATCCTGGTGACAAAGAATTGAGCCAATTCGGTCCTTGATTTCCCTCTTTATCTTTAGCTTTGCTCATGGCTTGAAATTGAAAAAAGCAATTTTTAAACGCTCTAAATGAAGGGTGAAATCAGGTTTGATATCACTCTCCTCTGCTTCATAAGGTGGGGAAGTAAGGGATGGACTTAACCGAGAGCTACACGAGTGTTCCCTCGGGAGGATGACTATTTACACCACAGGGAAAATGTTTCCCGCACGTCCGATCGATCACCAATTCAAATTGAGCACATTTTCATTGAACCAATTTTCAATCATCGATAATAAAATTTCCATACAAATTATTATTTTTTCGCAGAATTTATTCTTTTGAACTTTTTTGATTTTTATGAATATTTATAAATTGTGAGCGAGTCGTTTTTTGTTAAATACATAAGAATAGTTTAAAGAAAATAATCATGAGCGAGAGCATTACTTTTAAATTTTGTACAGTTGGTTTCGATGTTCTCGTTTATGTTTTCAGAAAGTGAAGCTACGATACTGCGAGATGGATAAGAAAGAAATTGAATTCCATGTTCTTGAAATAATATTTCATGCCCCAGTTGATAAAAAAAAAGTTAAATGTGATATAATATTTCAGACTGAAAAAGGGATTTAAGAGCGCCATAAAAGTCGACTCAGAACACAGCTCAGAGTTCAGCAAAAGTTTTTTCGGATTTTCTGATAAGAAAAGGACAAAATAAATTTTATTTATTTGAAGTTTTAAATCAAACTTGATTTACTTATTAAATTTTTCTAATATTTCATCCCGGAAAAGTGATTTCCAAAATTGTGCACCAGACGCGTTTTTGGGCAAATGGTTGTCTGATATTAAATGAATATTAAATGAGCTATGCGAGCAAAAAACGAGTCATGGATATTTTTGAATTTTGATTCAAGCTCTCTTACAGTTATTGTACCACAACGAATGGGTACAGAAATAATATTGGCCATCTAAATACCACGGAAAAGAATTGACTAAAAGATCGGGTAAAATTGCTACTAAAAGAAAAACCCACCTCGATTCAAGATAAATAACAATAGAGAAGATGGTAGTCACAAGTTCAAGTAGCAGCCAGATGAGTTGTAGAGGGGGATGAAGAGATGATAGTAGTTGAATGTTACATTCAGTGGCAGTAGGTTCAAATTTAGAATTCGTTCTCTCTTTTAGAAAATTTTCACTTCGCAGTTTTTCGTTTCTCGGTGATTCTTTTGGCTACTCGGGCGGGGCGCCGCTGTTTCTGAAAAAACAACATCAGGAAAGAAAGAATCTTTGACGAATGTTGTTGTTCTCGGCTCTAATGGAATATCTGGGTGAAAATAAATGAACAGTTCTGTGACTCCCAATACGGCCGAGTCCAGAGGCCATAAAAGCTCATTACTGTCCCGGCGTGATCGGGTTCTCGATCAATAAGTAAGGATGAATGATATTTTCGAACTAATCTGAAAAGCTTTAATCTAAAGTCTAAGTAGCCGCCATTAGAAATTAAAGAGAGAGGACTTGAATTTTACCTGGGCGTGTTTGCTTCGCTCTGACCGCCTTGTTGGATAACTTGGGATAACTGAGATGGATGAGCGTAAACCGGTTGATAGTAGTGTGCCATGTTCACGGGGGATGCAGCAGTTTGGGGAACTCCATTCTGGTGGGGGTGGGGATGATAGGCAATCTGTTGTTGTTGAGGTACGCCGTGAATAGTCTTGAAAACAAGTTATATATTATTCCGAATAAAATCCCCGTTTTATAGGATTCATTTAGAAAATTTGTGATTCTTTACCATGTGATGCGGTGGGATACTATAACCATGAGGAGCTGCCGGACCAGCTGATTGAGCATACGCCCCTGAGAAATGCTGCTGATATTGAACTGCTTGTGTATGAGGATGAGGTTGTCCGAGCGCGGCATGAGTATTCGGAGCGTAAGACGTATAAGTAGTAGCTGGATTTTGCACCCGAAATCTCGGCACTTGCGTTGTCGGGACAAACCGCTGCGGCTACATGTAATAATTAGCATAAGAGAATCATGGTTTTTTGACGCTGTGTTGTTTTTATAAACGAATGAATCAACAGGGTATTTAATATTTTATATATCTTTTATTTACAGTTGTATTTGATGAGTTTTGACTGCCATTAACTTCTTTGTAATTATTTGTGTATTGAGCATCGCTTGAAGATTTGTGATCATCCTTTCCCCAACGACATTTCACCGTGCAGCCACTGATAGAAGCACCATTCATTTCGCAAATTGCATTTGTAGCAGCTTGATGCGTCTGCATCTTAACGAAACCGAAGGTCTCGAAAGTTCTCACTTCTGAAAGAGCGATAAACAAAAGATAATGATTCCGAATGCCTACCTTCTACAGCGCCGAAGCGACTAAAAGAGGCTTGTAGAACTTGTTGCGTGTGGACATCTTTGGTAATTCCACCGACATAGACTGTTGTATTTGATGGAGACGCAGCTTGAGCAACCTTATGCGGGTCGATGACTGTAGGAGGCTAAAGAGACTATGAGGAATAATCGCTTTCTGCGCATTTTACCGGGAGTTTCCTCGACGTAGCCCAGTTCGTCCTCACTTCCCTCCCACCAATCGATTTGTTGTTCATTTCTGAGATCGCCTTCTCCGCCGATTCTTTCTTCAGAAACGCCACGAAGCCGTATCCTTTTGATCGGTTGGTCTTAGTCGATAAGATTCGGAGTTGAAACAGTTCTGTACCTGTGCATCACGAACCACTCTCGCTTCCGAGATATCGCCAAACTTCTCGAACTCCTTTTGCAAATCGAGGGTCGTCAGTTCCTGCGCCAGATCGCCGACAAATATGTGATGGTCCTCTACGAATTGGAATTTGCATTCATAAATAACGAAAGGACAATTACTTGAAGTATCTTTTTTGATCCCGTCGGGTCGGGTGGCCCAATTGACCTTTAGCGGCATTTTGTAAACCTCACGGCCGTTCATGGCGGCAAGAGCGCGCTGAGCGCAGATATGCGTTTCATAAGTTATGAAGCAGTAATGATTGGCGGACAGGGCAGCGTCGTTGATCATTTTCACATCAACAACGTTACCGATGACGGCAAACAGGGCTTTTAGAACGCTTTCGGTTGCGTTTTTGTGGAGATTTCCAACGTATCTAAAGAAGAAATTAATGAATGGAAAAGTAAATTTACAAATCAAGCCCTTTTTCATTGAGAGATTGAGCCATTTCCTCCGAATTCAAGAGGCAAAGAGGGGGAATTCGCTTGGTAAGGCAGACGTGTAGGAAAAGACTCAAGTACTTACAGTGTTCTTTTAAAAAGCTCATCATCCTTTGCCTGATCCGAATGCGACCTCGATGTATTTTCAGCATGTGTCGGTTGCTGGAAATGGTACTGCGTTGGCGTGAAGGGGACAACGTTTGACCCCATCTGAAAATATAAACTGTTTTAATTTCCGAAAATTTTTTGCAAATTTCTCGCACTTCATATTATTAAGAAAAGAAAAGGCAGTATGTTCGGTCAGTGACACAATATACAATAGAGTTTAAATTAAGAAAAAGTATGAATGGAATTTTTTCGTTGTTGATCATCAACTAGAATCTGGGTTAGTTCTTATGCTCACGTTGGACGTGAATGCGCGCTGGAAATAGTTGGTTGTCTTTTATTTATAGAATCAAATCAATTGTTTTTTTTTCTAAAATTCGTCAAGCAGTCCTTGCACCGCTTGTTCGTTCTCGTTGACGTAAGACTGATTGGCTGCTTGTATGTCGGAGCCAGAGTCACCGTTTACAGTCGGGCCTGCGTGTGGCGTCACTGGCAGTTGCTGACCGCTACTGACTGTTTGATGCATGTGGGCGCTCGGATCGGATTTTGTGATGGGTTGGACGTTCATGTTCGGGTGGATCCGCTGTTGATGCCCGCGGATCTGGCTGCTCGCGATTTTCAGATTCGCGGGTTGGATCGGCGTGCCACTCCCTGATGATGGAATTGTGATCATACGCATTACAGGACGCCCGTTTGATAGCGCTACATTGGTAGCTCTGCTTATTGGCTACAAAATTCAGTCAATTTAAGCCCCAGCTTATGATTGAAATGGAAACAAGCAAACTTACAATTTTAGCTTGTACTTTTCTGAACTTTGCCTTTTCCCTCTCTTCCTTCATTTCAGCCTCTTCACTTTCCGTAAACAGCCTGTTCACCAGAAAATCTTCGCAAAACGACATATCCTGAGTATCCTTTAGAAAACGCTCTCTGAATTGCTCTTCCAGATTTCTCTTTCTATGGAGTATTCTTTCGCATAAAGGTTCCAGAACAACATCTTCTGATAGTTGGTCGTCTCTTTTAGAGATTTCGGGGTAGGAGAAACAATGAAATGGGAGAAGGCGCGATGTCGCGTCTTCTATCGACGAGAAAGGTTCTGTAAGAAATAGTTAGGGTAACAGACGATTGGATTTTAACGGCTTCATTACCATTAATATTAAGATCATCAGTAACATTCCTCTGATCTTCTTGCATCTTTAGAAAAATTGGTGTCTTCTTAACGGGTTCTACTTTGAGTTTCGTTTCTGGCATTGGCAATTTGATGCCGACTTCGCTTTGCCCAGTATCTGGAGGCGCTTGTTGCACGATCCGCGTCACGATGGGCCTTGGATTGCTCGAAGGTGATCGGTTTTGTCTTGGCATGACGATCGGCTGAACAGCGTTGCTTCTAGGGCTGTTCTCGTCAGATGACCGGAGAAACTGCTCCAAGGGGATGTAGTCGACTCCGTTGTGCGTCGCCTTGACGTTGTCCAGCATCTTGAGGGGATTTCTTGAGAGGTAGTTCCGGTAGTTCGTATCGGACTACGAAGATTTACCACGATGTCTATTAGGTAGAACATACCTTTCGATAAATATCCTTCAACTTCTTTATCAAGGCATGTTGATCATCGTCCATCTCCAAGATGTCCGTATATAACGTAGAAAAGCATCGCTGCAACTGGGAAAAGGTACTTCGGAGGTTATCAACCGAATCCGAAGAGAGGACAATAAAGCCAGGTCTGCTTCCTTGCGGCTCATGGCATTGAACTAGAAATATCTTACACGAGAGATAAAATTTATCAAGTTACCTGAAACACGGGCAGGATTTTGTGGTGGTCTTTGCGGCGTAATCGTACTTTGAGGATGCTGTGAGATGATTCTCCTAGGCGTCGCTCCAGGAGTACCAGAGACTTGCTGAAGCCGGACGGGTCCATTTCCATCCCCTCCTACTCTTACAACTCTGATCGTCCTCGGTGGATTGCTCGGTGTCCCACCAGCACTTACGGGTGTTCTCTAGAGAGTCAAAAAATGTTAATATTCCGTATCGGTGGGAGATGAGCCATCATGGAAAAAAGGTCATAAACTTACGGAAATTATCCTCTGTCCCTGAACGGGCGTTCCCCTGTTTATTGGCAGCAGCGGGCGGCCGTTTCCGCCAGAAGCGACATTTGGAGATTGAGAGTTTTGTACAACGCGAATCGGTCTGATCATTGGACGACCATGCCCAGAATTCGGCTGATTCGGACTATCGGAATGAGAAGCCCGAATACTTCCGGGGACATTGCTTCCAGATCGTTGAGGATTCTGTATAAGAATCGTTCTCCCATTCAGATTGGAAACTGAACGGTGTTTGTTCATTCCATCTGGAATTCTTTGAACTCGTGTACCTTGGCCATTGACAAGGATTATGTTCTGATTTGGCCGAGATGGAGTTCCATCGCTTCCCGTCCCCTGGCCTCCTCCCTGGTGATGGGCCTGGCCAGAAGGGGCATTAGTTCCGGGCGGACGGGGCCTGACAAGAACCCGCTGCGTTGTTGGAGTTCCGGGAGCTGGGGAGGATTGGAGTTGGATGGGACGGGCTTGAGGTCGGGACTGATTACTTGCAGTCGACGGTATTCTCGCGATCGCTACTGCCTGGTCTACATTTTTGGTTCAAGTAATTCCGCTAATTATCGAATCGAAGCTGATCTGATAACTTGAGCATGGAAAAGAATTTCAGACTTCATTTAGTATGATTTCTAACCAATTTCCTAGTAAATCGTCCATTGGTTCCTCATCCATAAACTTTACTCCATTGGAAGATTTCTGCTTCTACCACGCTTTTACAAGACCTTGTTCACAAGCTTAGTCCCAACTTCGATCTTCTGAAATGAAAAATTGATAAAGAAAAAAGTCGAAAACTTGCAAATTGCGAATATTCTTCAGATGGAACGAACTTGCTTGGTGATTTTTGGAGCGTTGTTGAATATTCAATGAAACATGTTATTCATATGGATGCAAAAAAGTATGGGAAGGTCAAAAAGTGAAAGGCAAAAGTTGAAACATAAAAATCACCTGGATCATTGATCAAGACAAAATATCTCATGCACTTGGGTGTTGAATGCACTTATCGGTTTTTTCTTCCACTAAAGGGAGGAATAATATATTTGCTGGAATCCTCAAAAGCTACAGTAGGTTACAGACAGATATTGAAACATGTTGATTTTCGTAAAAAAGGAAGAATAAGAGAACTCTTTGATCATTTGTTGAACGAATTGATAATGATTTTTATGAGAAGATGACAAATGCACGATTACTAGGCAGATCATTATTGCTGATTATCGTTGATTACATAATTTAATCTTCGTGAACTTACAATACATCAAAGTTAGTTATCTCAAGCTGTTATTATTCAGTGGAATGATCGTTTTGTAGTTTTATTCGACTTTAAATACCGATGTAAATTACATCGGTAAAGACATCGGATTAACATCAACCAGAGTGAGCAAGCTGATGGACAGCGAGGATGGGGAGGGGGTAGTGGCGAATCAAGTCCACAATTTTCGGAAAAGGCCAATCATAGACAAACATTCCCCTCTTTACCCACCTAGTTGCTGATAAAAACAATTACAACTTATAATTGATAAGCCGTCTCAAGCTGCTTTTAGTATCGATAAATGGAATAGATATTAGAATCGAATGTTAAGATTTTTTCGGTTAATATGTGTGGTGTATTTACAGAATAGGACATTATACTTTAAGTAATAAAGGAATAGTTTGTACAATATGTTTCAAAGTTAAAAGATTTAAAAAGTGGAAGATACAGGTTTTTCAATTTAAACAATCGCGGATCGAACTCTTGATATCGTAGATGCGCTGGACATGGAAATATTATCGTCTTCGATTTGTTTCTGGCGCTGGGCGGCGCCGACTTGAGCGACTATTCTATCCCGAACGGACATTTGCGAGACGGAGGACATAACGGAGCTGGAGGCAATAGACATGGCTAAAAGAAAGTTAGAGGAGTAGGAAGGATTTCCGACTTACTGTCATAGTCTTGGTGGTAATACTGGTTAGGTGTGCTTGGTCTAGCTCGAGGAAGTGCGCCCATTGATCGACAAGTATCAGTAGATATATCGGAGTTGGAATCAGTCAAACTCATGTTGACCATTTCTGAGAAGCAAAAGTTATAAGGAGCGAAAGAAAGGTCACTGACTCACCTCTTGGCAAACTTGGTACGTTGTTTTGATCACCAAAGACATAGTAGCACTGTTCGGAAAAACTGGTCTTGTTGACCGTGTGCTTGATGTAGTTCGCCTTGAGCATTGAGCTTGCGTACTTGCGCGCGTCCCGTCGATCCTGGAGACCTTCGACCTTCGAGTGTAGCCAATCAACAAGTTCAGAGCCAATAAACGCCATCGGAATCGTGATCTTGAGCCATTGGCGATCCTTGATGTCCAGGCCAGAGTTGGGAAAGCGCATCATTCGCACTACAGTGGACATTTCTAAAAGAAAAAATTGAAAAATTCATTCAAAGAAAGACGTTTTTACCGGAATGAATAGTTAATTGGATCCTATTGAAATGGGGATAGTTGAGTTGGTCAGCCTCTGGAAGCGACGAAGCGAACGTGTCTGAGCTCGTTTCCGTCAGTTGCGACATGCTATCGTATCTGTGATCGCCGCCGTAGCCCTGCTGACTGGCGACCCAGGCCGCTGGATCGATGGGTCTTATCGGCTCGTTGAGATTGTTGCGAGGCAGGGAGTTGTGATGCGGGGTAGGGGACGGGTCCCAGCACTTGGCAATCATCAGCGTTATCTTCTTGCTCGGGTCGTTGACCACTTTGCGCAAGAAATCGACCGCTTCGTTGTTCGTCATTTCCTCAAAGTTAACATCGTTGACTTGCAGTAACATGTCTCCGGCTTCGATTCGGCCATCGGCAGCAACAGCACCGCCTTTCATAATTGAGCCAATGTAGATTCCACCGTCGCCAGACTCGTTATTCTGCCCGACGATTGAGATGCCCAAGAACTTATGTTTTTCTAGATCGAGTTCTACTGTCATCACATTGAGCGACATCGTCGAGTCCGTCACGGAAGAGGAGTAGTTTGACGTCTGAAAAGGAAAATGTTAATAGACATTTGTGGCGAGTAGACAGATGGCGTCTGAGATTTGATTGACTCCGGGAACGCAATTCTTTACGGGACAATCGATGCGTTCAATTTCCGCGCTCTGCTGTTCTAATACGGAGTGGCTGTCATTATTGACTTACCGTATCGTCAAGCTTGGTTGGTCGTTTCTTCCGACGGACTTGGCGGCGGGGGCGACGCTGACGTGAAACACTCGACATGTCTGTGACTGTACTGTAACTAAAGAGAACAATTTAGGGGATGAAATGAAAAGGGGAGACTTACGCAATGCTGGAAGCATCATCAAATTCACTGTCGAAGGCTGTTCTATCGGAGAGCTCTGAGCTCATGATCGTGCTCTGTGAGCCAAAACGATCCGCCATTGGAGGTGGTCTTCTAGCGCGACGAGAGCCGCTAGAACCAGAGCCGTGGGATCGCGGTGGAGGCGGCGCGATAAATTCTGAAGGAATAAATGTCAAGTTAAGTCTCTCTACGTAGAATTGCGTGATCTGTTTGAAGAGGGCTTTACGAAGGAACATTTTTGAAATTTGTGCTTGTCAGAACTCGACTCTTTCTTGCTCTTTCTGCTACTTTGACTGGAGCACTTGAGCGAGGACAGGAAGTGCCAGGCGATAAGATTGTTTATTTTTATGATCATTTTGCAAATAAAGAATCGAGCTCTGACTCCTATTTGGCCTGTTTGAATTGATAAGGGCGCGTTTCTTATCACCGTGGAAATTTAAATGAGAAAGCATGATGCTAATCGCTTTTTCCCGTGAATAAATTAAGGCGCAAATTTAGGACCTGACTACCCCTCAATCACCCGGGTTGCTGCACGGGCATTGTGTACTGTTCCCTGGTGGGTGGTGGGAAATACGAGTTAGGCGCCGTATTTAGGGCAGCAGCAGGGGGCCGCAAATTTTGTGACTTACCATCGGGTCGGTGACGCACAGTGGAATCTACACGCTCCGGTGGGGTTGGCTTTTTCTTTTCCGGTTCCTGAAAATATGAGATAAGAAACTGCGAAATCAAGTGGCTGCGAATTCATCCGTGGCCGAATGGACTCTCGACCAGCCGGTTTTTAAAATCCTCAGAATTCGATCGATTTCGGATGTTTTCAAAAATTACCTTTTCGCAAGGAGTGAGGAAACAAACAATTTTTCCTTCTTGCGTTTGCGGTAGGATCGCCTTGTCGTCAGAAATCTCCTCCTTTACGAGGCCGAAATCTTCGTCGTAGGATTGAAAGAAGAACTTGTAGTTGCTCTTGTTGATGCATTTTTTGAAATCCGCAAAAGTGATGGCCTCCTTAGCCACTGGAACCTAAAAACAAAAATCAATACACTGAATTTCCAAAATTCTCAAAACGTCAAAACTTGGGCATGAGAAAGTACTCCAATCTCAATCACTTTCTCATACAAGAAGTGCTTTCTTTTTTGGTACAAAAGGGACTTGCGTGATTTAAATGATCAATTAGGGACTCCTAAACGATATCTCAAGACCCAGGTATCTATTGTGAGAGCCTTAATCGTTTATTGTGAAGATGATCATTCTGGCAAACTCTCTTTTGTGCCCAAAAATGACCACAAAGTTTCCTGTACTAAAAACTGTACGAAAAAAGCATTGTCGAGCTTCATTTTGATCCGCATCATTTTTAAGAAAAGAAAGAAAGTTGTCAGGACGACCGAGGGGCGAGTTTCTTTCCCGTCAATCAATCAATCAAAGAAAAGTCTTCAAGGTTTTCAAAATCGCGAAAGTCGAAAGTTTTTCACAAGCTCGATCAAGTGGAAAACGCATCATTTCTTTCTCCTCCGAGGAGGATCGAATTCTTTGATCATTTGACAGCGGATCAAACAGAAAACATCATAAAAATACATCAATTAACCTTACAAACCGGACTTTAAGGGGGTAGAACTAGATTTTTCGAAAAACCGTGATTTTCGAGATGCACTTTAAATAAGAAAGACCTGTTTTTACTTATGCTAACGAAATTTCCTCATAGATGTTGCTAGAAAAAGGGTTAAACTATCTTAAAATGAGATTTAAAAAATTTGGCTAGTCACGTGACTCGAGAAATTTGAGGACGCGAATACGCTAAAATTGCGATTTTCGAAGAGGTGGGTTGACGTTTCGCTCTCTAACGCCAAAATGTGTTGACGAAAAAAATTTTTAAGAAAAATTTTGTTAGATCTAAGTTTGTTTTATCTTCAGCCGAAGAGAGAATTTGAAAATCTAAGCTCTCCTGGCTTTGAGCGCCGGCCTAGAATCGGCTATTTTCGAAAAACCTAGTTCTACCCCCTTAAAAGCGAATAGACGTACCTTAACGAGATAGGGCGTATCTTCGTCGCCGATATAATAAACAACTTTCGTCTGGGTAGCCATGATTCGGGAATGATTGTCTGGATACTGTATCTGTTAATCTACTGACGTATCTTCCTTCGTTTTGTTTTTTTCTTTTCAATCTCTGTTATAACATTTTCACAATATCAAATCTCTCGTTTTTCGATTTTCTGAAAAGGAGAAAACGATTTAGTTGAGTTTTGAAATTCGAATTTTTCTTTAAAAACTTCCGTGGCTTTTTTGGTGGCAGTAACACTGGGAGGCCAATGGGGCGCGTTATGCTGCCCAGAGTGGCCGCGACGGGGCGCCTAAGGGCTCCGTAGGTCCTCCTGTCCGACCACCGAATTATGCCGGATCGGGCGGAGGCGCGCAGATGCACCACCAGCTGACCATCACCCGACCTTCCGCGAAAAAACAAGCAACGCAGCAGCTAATTTCAAGAAGCGAGTATGCAGCCAATTATAAAAACATGGTGCAGGACGGATTCAAGTAATATTGTAGATTCTCGGTTCTTAGGTACACTCTTATGTGTAGTTAAAGTAAGGTTAGATCGGTAACTGAAGTGAGCCAGAATGTTGGAAGGGTGATCAGATATTCAAGAGCGTACCGCTACGCTTTACAGAAAATGACAAGGCTCTGTAGAATAGGTCGATAGAGTTGAATAAATTAAATCCAGAAATATATAAACAAAATTTTACTTATGATGTTCTTCTTTTCAATTTTCAAAAAAGATAATGTAACAAGCGAAGAGAATAATGATGAAAAATGATAGTCATTCATATACAGTACTATAATAACTGTTGAATGCTGACTTTTATTTACAGACTTTGAAAAACCGAACAAAAATTCTCTCTCCGTTTCGTATGCAAATAGGTCAAAAAATGCATTCCAATCCTTATCAAAACTAAAAATCTCACCCCAGGAGCCCTCCTAGCTGCCCTATCAATGTTTATCATCGTGCGAAGGGGTCGCGAAAAAATAATGGCAAAATTTAGAAATTTCCTGCCAGAGGCTGGAAATCGGGGTCATCGCAAATTTTCAGATTCGAGACGGGCGTGAATTTTCTAGCCTAAAAATTTTACGCCAGTAATTTTGCGACTGATAGAGAAATTATAGTGTTTTTCGACAATTGATTTTTAGCCACTAAAATTTTCTCTAAAACGAAAATTCTTCTAGATTTTCAGGAAAAGTTCACTTCTCTAGAATTCGCGCGATGAGTTTTTACGCAAGATTACAGTGAAAGAAGCGATGAATCAGCGGTGGAGATGATCCGCTTGTTCGGGAGTTATTCACTGCGTCGTTGAAAACCGCGCGAATCGTGGATCATTGGACGCCGCGGAGCCAATAACTTTGTCAGCTCGGCCAGGCCAGCTCGAGCTCAAGCGCTCGGCGAGGGTCAGATGCGCACACCGACCTTGATCTCTCCCCATTTTCGTGTTCTTCGCGGTAATTCTTTTTATCATCACTTGTTTTTCCTGATGAAAAAAAAAAAAAACAGTGAGCCAGGACAATCATAGAGCTTTGTCAGAAAGCTGCTTTTACTCTGGACTTTTCAGAAACCTGACTCAGGTTTTTACAATAAAAGACTTTTATTTGACCATCCCTTTGAAAAGAACACTGACTTATATATTTGAAAAATAATTTAATACCGCGATTGGCATTTCTGACTGACTGATTCTGATTTTCGAGTGAAATAGCTAATCAACCAATTAAAATTTGACTCTAGTGTCTCTTCTTTGAGAGTTCCGTCAAACCAGTGACGCCTACGCAATCTACGTTACAAATCTCCTATGTTTTTAGCATGGAGAATTGTAACGTCAAGCTCTTTTCAGTCAGTCAGGACTGCCAATCGCGGTATTATGTTATATTCAGTAATTTAATAGAAAGCTCTTTTTACAGTTTCAGCAATTACTTTTTTTTATTCAGGAAAATTTGAATTTTAATCGTCGTAGTTTTGATTTTCAACGGATTCTTGGTTTTCGTCTTCGATCTGTCTTCTTCGGCCAATGATGTACGCAACGACTACGACGATGACGAGCCCGCCAAGGACGGAACCGACAATGACGGGAATAAGCCAGTCGTCTTTCATATCTTCTTTGCAGTCTTCAAACGCACTTTTTGAGGATGAAGAACGAGTTGGGTTTTTTGAACAAAATGGGCTGAGGTCAATTTAGCCTTGACCTTATTTTACGCAACTTCTCAGCCTTGCTCGTAAATTTTCAATTAACTGTAACCTGTAATGCGTAAATTAACCCAATTGACGGGATGAAAAAGTATGAAATCGCAGGACAAAAAGGCGAAATTCTGAATGAGAGAAGGGGATTTTCACGGAATTGCCAATTTCTGCCCATTCATCCATAATCCTGGTTAGTGAGATTGAACGGTTGGATTGTGACATCTTCGATCTGCATGTACCACGTGTCAGTAGCGTTGATCCAGTGTTTATCGTGGCACTAAATATTTTTACAGGCTTAGGACGAGAGGCGAAAGTGCACAAATAGGATTCGGTTCCGCGAAAATCTCAATCGACAAAATAACTAACCACCTGCTCATTCTACTGAAAGAATATTAAATTCAAATTTTAATTTGAAAAATAAATATTTCTTAAATTCAAAACTATCATAAAAAATGATCCCCCATCAAACTTTTAAAAAGCCATAATAAGCAAGCACTTTGCAAACAATCGCTGGGATCAGCAGGCCGCAAATTCGGATGGAGCTTGGAGTTGTTTGCTCAAGCCTATAAACGGGCTAAGACAACATCTCGATGCCCGGCCAGTTGTTGGCAAAATATACAAACTGCCCAAAAAGAAGACAATAGAACCTTCAAAAAATCAAAAAAGAACCATCAACGCTCGATTTTTAGCCTTGAAGGTCATCTTCGAGGGGTTCAGCCTGCTTGGCGGCTTTCAAGTTGTTTTGGAAAAATAGCGATAGGCTAATTGAGGAAGAATACCGCTCTTGGATTGTTTCATCAACCGGCCGGTTTGTATTGATAGCGCGGTAAAAGTGGGATTGTCTCGAAAAAATTCCAAGAAAATTTGTAATTCCTGGCAAGATTCCAGAACCGTAAATCTGGCGCTCTTTCATCCACGCTTTCTCATTATCATAAATGCATATCTGGAGCTATGCACCATTGATAACGCTAATCTCAAGGCCCGTGGAGCGGAAGGGATCAGTCGGGATTATGCCTTACCATAAATGCACTTCCGTAGGTTGTGTTGAAAAGCGTCGCGTTTGAAGATATCGTCGTCACACCGGCGTGGACGTTCGTGTTTGGGAAGAGGGGATTTCCGCCGTTACTACAAACGAGGGATTAAGTGATTTTTCGACACCTTGGCAGGTTGAAGTTGATATTTTTTAGTTTTTTTAACAAAAAACCTATTAACAAATTTTACAAAAGAACTTGTTTTTCTTGCTCTTTTTGGTGGGAAAAAAGTACATCCGGTAATTTTCTTCTTCGCGGATTAGCAAGAATTTCATCGGGATTAGAATATGGGAAATTTTGGATAAACTTGGATAAGATGGTGGCTAATCGTCCGTGTGAGCGAACAAAACGCTGATTTTAATCATTTGTGACTTTTTTTTTACGTTGCTGATTTCATGGACTCACGGGTAGCTGAGAGTCGCATGCGAAAGCGACCAAAATGTTCCATTTGTATTGGTGGTAAAGTCCATGGTGATATTTGCCGCGTTGAAGTCGAGCTCTTTGATCCAGAATGTGACGCTCAACGAGTCGTTGCTGCAAGTCTTGCTCATGCTGTGGGTGATTTCGGTTGTGTTTGAAATGGCGAAATTGGCGACCATGTCCTGAAATTTTAAGAAATTGTTACTTTTCTATTTCATTTTTTGCCGGCAAGTTTGGCAAGCTGAAGACGGCAAGACAAATCCGCTCGGCTCTGATGAAATTTTATTTCAACAAATGTTTTCGAGTTTCTCGAAGTAGCTTCCTTTTTATTATGTAAAGAATTAGTAAGTATTTCAATTAGGCACATGAAAATTGAATTTCAAGCTCAGGTGATCAATGGAAGCATGAAATCACGTGACAAAAGAACCTTCCGACATCGAGTCGCTTATCTTCTTATAAGCGCATGTCACGGGTCGTTCTTGAATTGACATTGATATTCGCCCTATCCCACTTTCAATCAACATGTTTTTAATCAGCTTACCTCGCCTAGAATCGAAGTATAATTGACATTAACGAGGGTGCTCATCGCCAGTTTGCCGCACACTGTGGTATTCTTCCCATCAGTCACGGTAATGTTCCAGCTGACCTCTTGACCCTTAATACACACGTGATTCTTTTTTATGCTTCGTTACTTTCGGGTGTGACGTCGTTGAAATCAAAAAGGCATTCATCGGTGTTGTTGACGACAGTGCGATTTCCGAAGTCGGAGAATGCTTCCCAAATTGCTGGCTGGATCTTCAAACCTACAAAAATCAGAAAAAAAGGAAAATGAGTCTTTTCACCTTGAATTTGCTTTTCTTCAGTCGCTAACTGAACTTCCGCCGCAGCTTGGCAGTTGTAAGCTTTTCCAGCGGGAACTGGGTATCCGTGGATTTTGTCATTTCTAATTTGGGCCGTCAAATATTTTTGGAAAAGAAAATTTACCGAATTGTTTTCTTAGTTGTGTCGTTTGATCCTTCGAAGTTATTCCACGAAAAGGTGACGGAAACGTTTTGTACAAAGTAGTCCACGCTGAACACTTTTTGATTCTGCGTATTTTTGATGTTTTCTTACCCGTTATTCTTCAAGACGAGTTCCATTTCTTTCGTTTTGTTGCCCGCGGTTTCGTTGAACATCACGGATACCCACTCATCGCCATCGAGAATCAAGTGCTTGGCTGTTACTTTTTTGGTATCTGCGAAGTCGAGGGCGCCTGGGCAATATCCTTTGTGGGGCGCGTATTCGAATTTAGTCCAAACGCGGAAAGAAGCGTTTGCGATGAATTGAGTTGTGTTTGTTGAATCTTGGGCTACCCAGGTCTGATTTGCTGGTAAAGCTGGAACTGCTGGACAGGGAGCGAGAGTAGTTGTTGTGGCGGTTGTCGTTGTTGGAGCTTCGGTGGTGGTGGTGTTTGCGGTTGTTGTAGTTGTTGGTGGGGTGGTTGTTGTTGTGGGCTTGGTGGTTGTTGTTGGTGCAGTTGTGGTTGTTGTTGGTGCAGTTGTGGTTGTTGTTGACGCAGTTGTGGTTGTTGTTGAAGCAGTTGTAGTCGTTGTCGCCTTTGTAGTCGTTGTTGTTTCTTTTGTGGTTGTTGTTGTAGGGACAGTTGTCGTTGAAGTGGTGGTCGAGGCTGTGGTTGTAGTCGTGGAAACAGTTGTTGTCGACTGTGTTGTCGTAGTAGTTGAGGCTGTCGTGGTTGAAGCAGTACTCGTTGATGCAACCGTCGTAGTACTTTCAATTTTGGTAGTAGTGGTGTCGTCAGAAAGGGATATCCTTCCGGCAAAAGCAGCCGCAAATAAAACTAACAGCTTCATCGCCCTTCTTCTTTTTACGTTCTCTCTTCAACTTTCAAAATTTACCCACTCTTGAAGATTCTGCAGCACAGAATGGCCCGCGAAGGTGCGACAATTCGCCAGAGAAATAATTTGTTCGACTTTGTTTAGATTTGAGCGCGGTTGCGGTAGTGTGTGAAGAGGAAAAATTCGTTTCATAACAACTATACACGCTGCTCGTGATTGTTCTAGTCATATGTGTTTTATTTTCATATAATTTATTTGCGTATTTATTAATTTCCTTGTTTATCAACCATTTTGTTATTAGTCATTAAAATAGATTCCAAATTAGAATCGCGATTTTTTCAAATGTCAGCGAATTTGACCGGCCTCAGTAAAAGATGCTTCCTTTGATTATACTCACCTGAACTTTTCAAAATGTTTAAATTTTCCATTTTTAAGAATTTCAGGCAGTATTTTGGAGCACTTCTATTTATATATGGAATTTTTACTCTGTTCGTCGACTGTATATCGAGTCAGACTCAGACGATCCCGAAGGACAATGCTCCAAGAATCGCTAAAGAGATAATGAGAGACCATGAAGATACACGGTGAGTTCTTTTTTTTGTCATTTGGGATTGATTTTTTTCATAGAAGTTTTTTCAACTTTGAAAATGGCAAGTTCGAGCAGCCGCTAGAGCATCTAAATGCCTTTTTAAACTTTGAATTCGGCTATTCCTGGCCAGTTCTTCATACGCCAACGAATTGTACCAAAGTTGCGAATTTCAATCAAACAACGATTCTGATCGGCGTGAAGTCTCACCCATCGGCGCTAGAAAAGCGGAATCTTATTCGAAGAACATGGAGTCGAGGTTCGACTGAATGATTGTTTTAAAAATTGTATAATTCAGCTAGATACTGGACTAATACAATTCTCGGTAAAGTCCCGATTCAACTAAAGACTATATTTCTGATTGGAAGCACCTCTGGAGTTGATATCAAAGAGGAAGCAGAGAGAAACGAGGATATTTTACAGTGGGATTTCAACGAAGATTTGTTTAATCTTACGAATAAAGGAAAGTCTAGGAAACTCGTTTGCCAAGAGAGAATATGATTTTCGTAGACCAAAAAGATCATCAACTCATAAACTTCTTCGAAAACCACTGCTCCTTTGCAAATTTTATAATCAAAGGAGACGACGATATCTACTTGAATCCAAAAGTCATCCAGCGCCTAATCGTGAAGAATATCTTCGACCCGAATCGTAACGTCACTGGAACGTACAGACAGATGCCAGCGGGCCAGTTGATCAGTTTCAAATCACCGATTGAGATGTTCGGAAGTATGGTGATCGGCGCAAAGCCTTACCGCGACCCACTGAGCAAGTATTTTATTCCGAATTCGTTTTACTCCGACGCTTTTGGGTCATATCCGAGATACTTTTCTGGTGCCCTTTTTGTAATGACAAATAAAGCTCTGTCTCAAATTGGACCAAAAGCGCGAGAAACACCAGCTTTTCCGATTGACGATGTCTGGGTCGGAATGGTCCTAGAAAGAGCGGCTCTTGATGACCATCTCACACATGATCATCTGATGTATATTGGCCTAATGAATCAAGAATGGGTTCAATTTTAATGTCTCATTTTTTGAAAATTTCGAAATTCAAATTATTAGAAATCCAAAACGTTAGTTTACCTCGATGCTGCGAACTTGAATACGACCTGCTATTTGGCTGGAATGCCGGTCTACCATAAAATGTCGCTTGAAATGATAGAAATGACTTATAAAATGATCTACTCGATGAATCTGGAGAAATGCATGGATGAGACGATTCTCGACGATGTGGTCCAAAAACTTTACAAGAAGTCGCAATTTCTTGCTCGAGAGCTTATTCAAGAAAATGATCAAAAATGTAAACTACAAAGTAACAATCGTATATCACGGAGCATTTTAAAGATTATTGCGAAAGAATGGTGCAGCAATATTCAATTTCACATCGGAAATACGTTCACTTCAAACTGCATAATGAAATCGTATCAATTGCTTTTAAAACTAAAGAAGTTCGGACCGAGAAGCAACGGAAAAGGAGTTAACAGACATTTAGCCAGGCAATTGCCTCATGATTCCCTGACTTAAAAAAACTATCACTTAAATAAACACAGAAGACTTAAGCATTTTTTTTGATGTTTTATTGATAGAAATGAGAGAGAACGAATGGCACTGAGAGTAGGTTTTCTCCCAATGAGAAAATGTAAACATGTTTCGGAAAGAGATTTTTGTACGAATTCTTCGTTTTGCGAGTCGGATTCGAGTTTAGCAAGTCAGGGCGTTGCTTTCGACAGTTCCGCCAGCGGTATTGATCGTATCAACTGCGCCGTCAAAGTCGCTGTCCAACGCCGCTGATGCAAGACCACTGTCGTTTTCGAGGCCGATGAGTACGTTGCATTGGAGGTAAGCAGTCTCGTCGTTCGCGTTGTACTTGAAGGCCTCGAAAGAAATTCCGGTGGTAAGCTTGCTGTAAGTCGAGTCAGCCGTGACCGAAGCGCCGACAGCTTCTTGAACGCACTCTCCATAAGTGATGGTGATTGGATTGTTGGTGTATGAGTTTTCGGAATAGGCGACGCAATCTTTGACTGTGAGGAAAGCCCAGGTAGGTCCTGTGAACACGACATTGACTGTTTCGCCAAGCACCCAGGTGCTTGCGGTAGAGCCCGCATTGTCTTGGAGTTCGGCAGTGACCAAAGTATTGGTGTTGGAGTCAGAATATCCATCGAATGTCTCAGAAGCGGCGATGCCAACGTTGCCGACGTTAATGGAGAATTCGGTATCGTAAGTGCATGTAATGTCGAAAGAGAGAGCCCTAGCGACATCGATGACTTCATTTCCAGTGCCGAGCGTACGTTGAGCCCAAGTCTGTTGGCCTGCAACGGTGTATGTGCCGGTAATTTCGGTGGATGAAGTTTGGCTCATGGTGAGGTCATCCGTTATAGAGAAGTAGTCGTTGTTTTCGTGAGTCCAGCCGGCGGCTACGATCAAGGTCGCTACATTGGCAGCTAAATCGGCAGGCATCGCGTCGAAGAAATGCTCCATATCGGCTTCAATGGAAACAGTTCCATCATCATTGCAGATGAAAGAGAAGCCTGTACCAGGCTCGCAGCTACCGCTGCCAGTGGGGTCTGTCCAGCCAGTGGGGCAGGCAGCAGAAGCAAGACCAGCGACAAGGGTGAGACCGCCGAAAAGTTTCATTTTTCTCTTTCTTTTTCAAAAAGAAATTCTAGCGAGCGAAAAAGAGTTTTTTGTTGGAAGGCTTAGAAGCGATGGTTGATGCATTTCGATAAACTCTCGAGGTTTTATACCACTGCTCGATTCGCTTGAGCGAACGGTGGTGGCGGAGGTAGAGGGGAATGGGGACGCTTGAGTGAGTAAAATTCCTCAAATTTGGTTCGACCTCTTTGCGCCTCACTGACTGCTTATCAAGATGGACTCTTTTTTTAATTTTCTGCTTACTATGAGTGCTACTGTATTATATTCTCTCTTATTTCTATAAATACAGGCATCAAAAATACATTTTATATTTCAATCAGTCAAGAAAGTAATCGTTGAAGTATCTACCGAGAATAATTTTACGGACCTCAGTCGTTCCTGCACCGATTTCCATTAGTTTTGCATCTCTCATGTATCTGTTCACAGGATAGTCGTTCACGTAACCGTTACCACCAAGGATTTGAATGCCTTCTAGGGCAACTTTTGTGCATGTATCGGAGACAAACATGATGAGGGAGGCGCACTCGTGGTTCGTAATTGCTGTCAAAGAAGGTCAAAATGACTAAGTTTATTTGATAAAAATGTTTTGTAACCTTGTCTTCTGGATCTTGATCGGCACTCTTTAGCATACTGTAAAGATAAGCTCGACAGGCGGAGAGCGACGAATACATCTCGGCCATTTTTCCTTGCATTAGTTGAAACTTGCCGATCGGGCGCCCGAACTGCTTCCTTTCGTGAGCATAAGGAAAGGACTGATCAATCACAGCTTGCATAATACCAACGGGCATTGCTGAGCCCAGCAGTCTTTCAACATTCAAGCCTCGCATCAGAACAAAAGCTCCTGCCCCTTCGCCCAGAAGAATGTTTTCTTTCGGGACCTTTACGTTGTCGAAATGAAGATCACCGGTGGGAGAGCCTCGCATGCCCATTTTGTCGGGAATATGATTGGCAGTAAATCCTTCAGTTTCTTTTATCGGTTTTTGGTTCGAACTGGCTCACTCGAGGTAAAAGATTCTGGATGAGCGAGCATGCTTGTTTTAGAAAATTCAAGCGCTACGGGTCACAGCCCGTTCCGAGAAAAAGCCGTTCCGGTGTCGATTATAAACGCAGTGATGGAATTCCCCGCATTTGAAGATGGATCGGTCTTGGCGTAGCAGATAAGAGTATCGCAGATGGGTCCGTTTGTGATCCAGTACTTGTTCCCGTTCAAGACGTAGTAATCTTTGCCCGCTGGCTGAACAGCAGTAGTCCTCATACTCATCACATCAGATCCAGCACTTGGCTCGGTCATGGAAAGAGCGCCTATCTTTTCCCCAGAGATCAAATCTAAAGCATTAATCAAGAGAAACTCGGAAATAATGCCGGAACTCACCGGGTAGAAATTTCAATTTTTGTTCATGAGTTCCATTTGCATCAAGAACACGGATATTAAGTGCGTTATGAGCTCTGTTAAAATGTCAATATTATTTCTATTTTCTCTACTCTACTAGAATAATAGACACTTTCCCGTAAGACATAGAGATTGACGCAGACTTTCTGCTCAATTCCTCAGCAATTATCGCGGCAGACAAGAGCTCCATCGGGCCACTTCCTCCATATTCTTCTGAGATGCCCGGACCATTGAGTCCCATTTTGCCCATCGTTTTCATAAAATCCCTGAAGCCGGGAAAGTCGTCATTTTTGTCAACATCGCGCAATAAGGACTCGGGAAGCTCGCTTTCGAAAAATTTTCGAAATTGGTATCTCAGTGTGGCTTAGCTAGTAGCAGTTGGCCGCTAGCTCAATCTATTTTTAATGCTGTATAAATTTCAATCTGCTGTATAATTTATACAGTATAAATCAAGCTAGTAAGCTTTTCAGCAAGTCAGTTCCTAAGATCAATTTGTTCCTCGCTGACTCCGAACATCTTGTCCTCAATCGGAACATAATTGCTGGCGGCGCGCCTTAATCTGTGCTCCTTATTATTCCGAGATTTGAGGCGGAGAGGATTATTCAATAAGAATATTATCCGTTGCTCCATTTGGTACATTCAAAACGAAAACAACGTCTAAGAGACATGAGATAAGGAACACAATTCCTATATGTCGTTCGCGTGATTCTTTTCAACATCTCTCTACAGACTGTACTTATAAAGTACGAAATTTCCAATGCAGGGCGTTCACTTTGATAAACAGAAGAAGGATTGTTGACTTTATGACACATTTCATGCCTTTCTGATATGAAGATATTAGAAAAAACTAGAGTTTCCAACACATATGTTTTTATTCTCAATTTTTTTGACAATCAAATCGAAAAGAAAGATGAAAACAAAATAAAGTCAATGAGTGCAGATATAACTTGACGAAAATATGAAAAAATCGAGAAGGGATTTTCGGATGAAAGAAAAGAAAATCCTATTTACGTACGAACTTTTATATCGAAAAGAAAGCTGGTAAAATAAATCAATACTGCGCAAAATAACCTTTAGGGCGGAAATATGGAGGCACGTAGAAAGGGTAAAAGGCATCAGTGCAAAAAGGAAAAGGAGGCACTAAACATCAACGAGGAAGGAAGAAGTAAAAGTGGGAGGCAGTAAGAACAGGACTAGAGGAATGGAGGCACATAGAAGCGGTGAAAAAGGCATCGCGGAAAAACAGCCTGTTTTCCCTAAAAATTGCCACACTTGATTTGAGATGGCCTTCCGCAGATGCAGTCTTTAACAATAAGATGGTCGAGGAACTTGTGCTCGTCGCTGTTGGAGTCTGCAATGAATCGCAAATACTTCGTGGGGTCTGTAACGGCAAAGCAGCTGTGCTGAACCAACCTTAATTCCGGTTTCAGAAACTGTTTTTGTTAGAAAAATGAAGCTTACCCTATCTGATTGTGGACTTGTCGATGATGAAATGTTGATTGACATGTTCCGGCGCATGTTCCGATGTCAATGATTTTTTCAGCTTTTTTGACATCATTGGTGAGCCAGTTTGATAAAGAGTAGCTCGTATACTTCTCAATCACCTTCAAATATATTTTAGCTACATTTTTTATTAATAGTGTTTACATCGATTCTCAAGAAACGCTCATAGCGTTTGCATTCAGCGCTACACATCTGTTTTTTGGATGATGGAAAAAGCAAAACATGACTGCGTCTTGCTCGTCGAATTCCAGAGTCCGCATCTGGAGTGAATCCAAAAAGAGTCTCGTAGCAAATTTTGGGAACATGGCCATTGGTCTCAAGGCCTAAGATGTCGCCGCATGCGAGAATCGCCTGGATCGACTTTTCCAAGTCAACTTTTGCGAACACCAAGCGGGTCATTAAAGGAATCATCATCCTTAGAGTCATCGTGGGGAGCATGTTTTATTATTTGTATTAAACTTATAAACTATACCAATATTTACTTTTCGACTCGCTTTTATGTGGTTACAGCGCCTTAATGCGCCCTCGATCGACGGTCGATAAGACAAGAGTTGTCCCCGATCCTTATGTTCAAATGATTACAAAATGACATGTAATCATTTCATATATTAACCATCGTTTGGCAAGTAATTCTTGTTTTATTGACTTTTGAAATCATGGAAGAGTCAGGAGTTGTGCTTGATTATATTCGATGTCAAATTCAAGGGCGGCGCTGCATCCCACTTGCACAAAAAAAGAAGCATACGAGACAATATTTCCACTTCAGTAAGAGACGTCCGGGCTTATTATTTTGTCCCGACCACATGGTGTGTTTTCGATTTATCATTAATCCGGTTTAATGAAAATATTTTGAGTATTAGCGTAACAATCAAAATTTCCGCTTCAACTTCGTTGATTTCAGATGAAATCAAAATACTGTATCCTTGATACAATCATGAAGGAATACTACTCATCATGCCTGTAACAAGTAGGTTACAGGTAGAATCAGACAGGAAGGTACTGAGGTAGTTTGAGATATTTTCTTTTTTTCTCTGAGCCCCGTCGCCGATTTCATCATATGAAGGAGCATATAATATTTTCGCCACATTTACGCAACAGCGCCTTATTTCCCCGTGGAGGACACTTGTCCCAACGACAGATATTTTGTAGAACTCATCAGAACTTGACGGGCCGAGTTAAGATTTATTGAAATATATTCTTATTGACATTTAGTTCTATTAAAGGCGATATATGTATACGCATTAGGAAGAAATATCAAATTATTCATGCATCCGTATTGTCCGTGAAGACGACTGTCTTGACCAATTATATTCACATGAACAATCTCAATAAAAGGTTGCACATGCAACCACTAAGCCATACAGACGACTGTCTTTTTTAGCTTCTTTTTGTCGCAGTTATATTCTGAATATAATTGTCTGTAAAACTGCTTCTACGGTATTCTAGGCAGCTTAGTTTATTTACAGATACTAGTGTAGGGCTCAAACACGTCGAACCCTTATGGTCAAAAGTATAAACTCTCTGATTAAGGGGGTAGAAACAGCTTTCTCGATTTTGGACTGTAGCTACATAAAAGAAACCGTTAGATTTATTTATGTTAACGGTTATTCCTCATAAATGCTCCTAGAAAAGAGGTTGAGGTTCACAAAACTATGAATGAAATTTGTTTAACTATCAGCTGACTCGAGATATTCGTGTTTGAAAAGTGGCGAAAATCGAGAATTTCGGAGAGATGAGTTGCTTCTTAGCCAGCTTACTCAAAAAATTGATGACTAAAAAAAATTTTGAGGGAGATGCTCCTAGATCTAAGATGTTTCTATCTAAACCTGAAGAGAAAATTTGAAAATAAAAGATTCTTTTGTCTGTAACACCGGTCAAAAATCGCCTTTTTCGGAAAAAAGCTGTTTCTACCCCCTTAATTTGAAAATTTAGTTTTTCCGAATAGTCCGAATCTTGTTAATCTTGTTGAGAGTCAGTTGGAGCACAGCTTATAAGTTGGTGGTAAATGGTACTGCATAGTCTATGCAGCATAGAGACGCCCCTGGTGACCAGAGGACTGTGGATCGACTTATCGAACCCCAGACAAGTAAAAACTACCATTACCACTAGGTATGAAACTTTCACGCTGAGAGGTAGCCGGCCCTTTCCCTGGACGCCATATTTAATTGTCCTCATCAAAAATAAAACTCGCCTAATTTCGTCAATATTTCAGTTGTTACGAATTATTGACGAAACGAGACTGGAACGCTAGAGGAGCATGGTACTAAAGGCTCGTCTCAGAGACGATGCCCTTCATTCGAATTAAGAAAGAAATTGTCGTTTATGTCTGAATTCTCCGTCGTTACAAAATCATCTGGAAATAGATAAATGCTCTTGATGCAATAGGAAATAGATGGGACTGCATGGAAGCACCGATCTCGCAATGCAACGATTCCGATATATCGTCCATATTTCGAAAAGAAAATGTAACTACGAAAGTCCTTTTCATAAATATGAAAATGAATAGAACAAATAATCTTCGAGAGCTCGACCGGCTTTTTGCTGAGAGTATTCTCCGACCCTCCACTCGCCAGGAAACGCTCCATATGAAATGGAGGATGTAACATCCTGGATGTTCTAACAAATTTGTTCATGATACCAATATAAAGCATAACACCACTATCGGCTCAAAAATTTTAACCAGCTTTAATCCCAACCGGTAGTTTATAGCATGAATTTTGAAGTTTTATTCCAATTAGCAGTCAAGTTAGTTGGGAGTTATTCAAATTATTCATCTTAACAGCTTCTATGGGAACCGAACATGAATATGTGCTGAGATACGTTTATCGTATTGCATCAGCAATCTCCCATTAAAATAAATCCGAGTCTATCATATCAAGCATTCAACCAAAGACAAAGAAGTGACAGAGAGCATGAACAGCAAACTTTATCCAAGATTTGTTATGAATATTTTTAACAAGAAAAGTGCATTTCAACCCATTTCGAGTAGAGAATTTTGAATAAAAGCTTTTCCCTAACCCTAGAGATAGAGAGAGAATGCACAGAGTCAAAATGAAACCGTGGCAGATATAGTAACTAAGATAGTCTCATAGATCAACATAGTTCCGAAGATTTTTCAATAATTTTGAATAACAAGGACAAAGCTGGACCCGACTTATGGGCTTTATTGGCGCATTTCTCGGATACATGAGCTACCTCGCTCTGCTTACTCACCATGTAACTCCCATTTTGTCCTTTCACAGCAGACTAAGACATTTTTTTCAGTCATCATCGGAAAGAGGCAACCGCAGAAACTTCGTCGGATTCAAGGAGATCGCCCTGGTATACGCGCCTAGCTGCATCCTCATGACATCACTCGCCAGCCTGCTTATCATGCAAATCGTGAGTGATATATGAATTCAAACCACCGAGCTATATTTATAAAGACAAAACTTGGAATGAACAACGTTTTCTGGCGAATCCCCTGCTGCAGACTCCCAAATGGAGCCATCAACGAACGCGTCCTTTGAATTCTTACTTCGAATAAATTTCCGATTTCATTAGATATGATTTCAGATCAAATATAAAGATAAAAGCGAAGAAGGATCCTTGAAAAAATGCTGATGCTGAAAATTTGATCCTCTTGCATTATGAAACTAATAAAGGAAGACAAAGCGCGGTAGGCACTCGAACTCTTCCCGGCATGCTCGAGTGCCATGGTGATGGATCCTCGATTTCATCGTCTTTCTTTCATGCAACTTCGAGTAAAGAACACTTTTCCAGAGCCTTACTAATGAAGAGTTGTTGTTGAGATTGAGATTTTACTCCGCCCGATGTTTTAGAAAAGTATCGTTGTTGTTTTCAATTCTCCGATTTTTCTAGAACGTCATCCCAAGAGCGCGTGTTTTCAAAAAAAGGGTTCATTCGCGAAATCGCTCCCTGAACGACACAGTACGGTGCGATGGGGGATCAAGACCCTAGGTAAGTACAGGTTCAAGCAGTTTATATTGAATATCAATCATTTTGGGAATTTTGGGACAATGGGATTTTTTTCAATGGGTATTTTTCAGATGGGATTTTTTCCAAGACTTTACGTTACGAACACTCAATCTCAAAGCCGACAAGTGGGGCAAGCTCGTCGGCAATGACGATCAAAAGCAGTTAATCCTCGATTTCCTCGAGAAGAAGGACAAACTCTGGCTCATTATTACCGCTCAGGGATCTGGTGCGCTCACTGCTTCCGAAATCCCCCCTGAGAGCTCAAAGACCAAGGGCGTCTTCTTCTTCAAGGTAAGATAACAGAAAGCGCTCTAGAAACTCAGCCTCTTTTTCAGCGCGAGGAAAAAACCATTCCAAAAGATAAAATCGCCGAATTGGTCTCCTTTGGTGACCTCTCCCAAATTCCACTTGACCATCTTTCCTCGTTCGTTGACGATGTCGTCGATGGCATCCTCTCATACAATGACAACTTCGCTACATGGCCCTCTGTCGTCTCCAGTGACGTCCAAGCTCATGTTCACAAGCTCAAATCTGAGGTTTATGAAATCAGCGGCAGTGTCAAAGGTAAACTTGCATTACAGACAATAAACAAATTTTGTTCTAGAGATCTTTTTTGACAAAATTTTTTCAGGACGAACTCTGCTTCCAATGCCAGCTGGAGTTGAAAATGTAAGCAGCGACGGCGATCTCTCGCACGTTCTCCACAAAATCGAAGGAATCATCATCAAATGGACTCATCAAGTAAAGAGCGTTTTGGAGCTCAAATCGGGACAGGCACTTATCGACGGAAAAAATCCAGGTAATTCTATACTATAGAATCTATAGTCTTTGAGCAAATTGAGAAAATTAATTGCAAAGTGAAAAAGCACGAGTTTCGATACTTATTGAAAATTTAAGGTCCCCAAGAAGAATTGAAATTCTGGGCTGATCTTTCATCAAATCTCAACTGTATTTACGAGCAACTCGTCTCCTCCAAAGTCAAGAAAATGGGTCGCATCCTCAAGGAAAAAGACTCATCGTACTTCCAGTCGCTCATCGCTATGTACGACGATGTGCGCATTCACCTCGAAGAAGCTCGCGACATTTCCATGCATTTGAAGCCACTCAACTCCTTGTTGGACGATATCGAACAAACTGACATGTCAGAAGTCGAAAGAAAACTCTCTGCGCTGTACCATCTTATCGCCCTGATCTGGCGATCATGCGACTACTACAGAACACCCGCGCGAGTTGTCGTCCTCCTGCAAGAAGTCTGTAACTTCATCATCGAAATCACGAAGACCTTCCTCGACCCTGAAAACATCTTGAAAGGAGAGCTTGACGAATCCTTCGAACAAGTCAAAATCGCACAGAAAGTCCTCACCGACTTCAAGCGGCTGTACTTTGAATATCGCGAAAAATTGCCCACCTACTTCACTGATGGCGCCGAGCCTGTTCTTTGGGACTTCCGACCCGTCCTTGTCTTCCACCGATTTGACCGCTTCGCTAAGCGTGTCGACCTTCTTGCTGAGTTCTTCCAATCCTCACTGATGCTGATGAATTTGGAGAAGGTTGAAATTGGTGGTACCCGTGGACAAACCCTTTCAGCTCAAGTTGTTGTACTCTTTGAAGAATTCCAGGAAAGGATATAATATTATATCATTTTAGAATAACGTACTCTTCCTTGATATCAACTCATATAAATCACCATAACTTGATTTTTATTACATTTCTAGTAATTAATTTGGTGTGCTTATTCATTCGAATTTTAATCCTTTTCGAAGGAACTTCACAAAAAAATGTCAGAAACCACTTTTGACCCTCTTGACCCAGATGATAATCAATTCGGAGGTCTTTACGCAATGTTCAAAGACAAACTTTACGATATGGACCGACGACTTGCATCGATTCTTTGCCAGGCCTTCGACGACTGCGCTAGTGTCGACCAGATGTTCAAGCTTCTTGCCATCGCTGGCAACTTGATCGAACGACCAGTTATCGCCGAAGACTTCAATCCTAAGTACAAGATTCTTCTTGAAACTTTCGATGAAGAACTCAACACTTGCAAAGAAATTTACGACTGCTGCTATGAAGACCCACCTCTTCATAAGAATCAACCTCCAACCGCTGGCAAACTCAAGTGGGCAAATGAGCTTCTTCGACGAATTCAAGAGCCAAGAGATCGATTCAATTTGGTTGACACTCCTCTCGTCCGAACTGAAGACGCTCAGATCATTTTCAAAAAATTCGAGCAGATGGTTGACCTCATCAAAGAATTCAAAAAGGAAACGTACGCAAAATGGATCGCTACCGTCGACGACGATTGTCAGTTCAATTTGTCGAAGCCTCTTCTCGAGCGTGATGCTGAAACGAATCTCATCTCAGTCAATTTCAACCCCAAGTTGGAAGCTGTTCTCCGCGAAGTCCGCTACTTGAACTTCATGGGCGAGGAGACCATTCCTGACTCCGCAGCCAAGCTTTACGAAAAGCACGACATCTTCCGACAGTGGATGTCTTCTCTTCGACAGACAGTCCACTGGTACAACAAAGTTCGAAAGACTGTCTTGGAAGTGGAATTCCCTCTTATCTCATCGCAACTGGACGAGATTGATCAAAAACTCAACCAGGGTGAAACCACTCTCGACTGGTCAGGCGACGTCTACGCTTACATCACTGAAATCTACAACGCCGTTTCCGATCTTGAAATTCGAGTTCAAAAGGCCAAGGATAATGTCATCAAGATCCAAGACATCATGGATGTTTGGGCTCAAAGTCCTATCTTCGAAAGAAAACACGATTCGAAAGAACCTGGCCTTCTCAACCTCGGCGATCGAGCTGATCGACTCAAGAAACGTTACGACGCTATTACAGCTGATGGTCAGATGATCCACAGTCTCATCACTGAAAATGTTGGTTTCTTCAAAGCTTCTGAAGATTCCGACGAATGGAAAGCGTACAAAGAATACATTGATGAGATGGTCATCGATGGTTTCTTCAACGGCATTATCACTTCTCTTGAATTCATGCAAGAAAACATGTGCAAGGAGGTCTCACCATTCTTTGCTTCTGAACTTGAATTGCGATCGCCCGACATGGTCTTCCAACCATCTCTTGACGAAAAGGTGCACAATGGCTTCTACGATCTCATTGAAGGTCTTCTAGCTGACATTTACCACATTGCATCTCTCGTCACCCGAGTTGCAGGAGAAGACAATTACCAGAACTTGATGGAAGATAATGATATGCTCAACGATCTTCGCAGCGATATCATGGGCCGAGTCACGAAGGTCATGAACGACGCCAACAATTTCTGCGACAACTTTGAAGTCTACTCTAATCTCTGGATTGACGATCGACAGGAATTCCTCAACCAGTTCCTTACCTACGGTCACATTCTCACCCAAGAAGAGATCGAAGCGCACGGAGCCGAAGGTGTTCCAGAAAATCCACCAGAGCTCAGCCAGTTCAAAGAACAAATCGACTCTTACGAAGATCTTTACTCTCAAGTCTCGGCATTCTCTGCTATTGAAATCTTTGATGGTTGGTTCCGAGTCTCGATCAAGCCTTTCAAACAGTCTCTCCTCAACATCATCAAGAAATGGTCTTACATGTTCAAGGAGCACCTTATCAGACACATCGAAAACTCTCTTGCCGATCTTCAAGAATTCATCGTCAAGACCGACGAAGGACTCAAGAGCGAAGTCGTTGAGGGTGACTTTGACGGATTGGTCAACATCATGGGCTACATCATTGCTTGTAAAGACCGTATCGAATCTACCGACAATATGTTTGCTCCATTGAAGGCAACCATCGAGCTTCTTAAAACTTACAACCACGAAATGCCGGAATCTGTCTACAAACAGCTCTCGGATCTCCCAGAAAAATGGAACAACACCAAAAAGATCATGGTCTCGACCAAACAAGAAGTTGCTCCTCTGCAAGCAGTCGAAATGGCTGACATTCGAAAGAAATGTGCTGCCTTTGACGTTAAGCAATACGAACACCGAGAAGTCTTCCGAAAGCTTCCTATGTTCCAGTTCTCTTGTGACGCACCATATGATGAGATCAACATTGCCAACAGAGAACTCAATGCTATGGAAGAATACATGGCTCAGCTTAGCCAAAACGCCAATCTCTTCGAGGTGAATGTTCCTGAGTTCAAACAGCTCAAACAATCGCGAAAAGATATCGGTCTCGTCAAGGAAGTTTGGGATCTTACCAACATCGTTACATCGTCAATGACTGAATGGAAAAAAACCCTTTGGGCTGACATCAATGTAGAAACTATGGAAACTGACACGAAGAGATTCGCGAAAGATATCCGAAAAGTCGACAAAGAAGCACGATCATGGGATGTGTTCAACGGCCTTGAAACTGCTGTCAAGAATATGATCACTTCTCTACGAGTTGTCGGTGAGCTCCAGAATCCATCCATTCGAGATCGACATTGGCATCAGCTCATGAACGCCACTGGCGTCCGATTCACTATGGACGAGAAAACTAATCTCAACGATCTTCTCAAGCTCAATCTGCACGAGTTTGAAGACACTGTCCGAGAAATTGTCGACAAATCCGTCAAAGAATTGGGTATGGAGAAGATGCTTCAAGATCTCGAGGCCACCTGGTCAGTCATGGTCTTTGAAACCGATGAGCACACTCGAACCAAAACTATTCTTATCAAGTCAACCGAAGAACTTGTTGAAACTCTTGAAGACAACCAAGTTCAGCTCCAAAACTTGATGACATCGAAATACATTGCTCACTTCCTCGAGGAAGTCTCTGGATGGCAGAAGAAACTCTCGACTACTGATTCCGTTATGACAATCTGGCTTGAAGTCCAGCGAACCTGGTCTTACTTGGAGTCAATTTTCATCGGCTCTGAAGATATTCGTCGACAGCTTCCCGAAGATTCTCAGCGTTTCGATGGAATCGACAAGGATTTCAAAGCTTGCATGGAAGACGCAAAGTCAAATCTCAACGTTGTCTACGCTACTAACAAGGCTGGCCTTTATGAACAACTCGAGTCAATGCAAGATCGACTTACACTTTGTGAGAAATCTCTTGCTGAGTACCTTGAGACCAAACGATTGGCTTTCCCTCGATTCTATTTCGTCTCTTCTACAGATCTTTTGGATATTCTTTCCAATGGAAACAACCCAAGAGTCATCGCTGGTCATCTTGCAAAACTGTTCGATAATACCACCGATTTGAAGTTTGCAAGTGACACCTCCAAAATGGCCGTTGGTATGTACTCCTCTGAGCGAGAATATGTCGATTTCAACGAAGAGTGCGATTGCGATGGACAAGTTGAGATCTGGCTCAACAGAGTTATGGCTAGTATGAGAGCAACCATTCGAGCTCTTCTTTCTGATGCTGTTCAAACTTACGAAGAAAAACCTCGAGAAAAATGGCTGTTCGACTACGCCGCGCAAGTCTCTCTTACTGTCACGCAAATTTGGTGGACAACTGAAGTCGGTCTGGCTTTCGGTCGACTTGAAGAAGGTTATGAAAACTCGATGAAGGACTACAGCAAGAAACAGATTCAGCAGCTCAACAATCTCATCACTCTTCTTCTCGGTGACTTGACCAAGGGTGATCGACAGAAGATTATGACTATCTGTACCATTGATGTGCACGCTCGAGATGTCGTCCTTGGTTTGATTGCAAACAAGACTGAAAATTCTCAGGACTTCATTTGGCAGCGACAGCTTCGAGCTCGATGGGCTGATGCCGAAGGCCATGCATACATCAACGTCTGTGATGCCCAGTTCTTGTATTCTTATGAATACCTTGGTAACACTCCTCGACTCGTCGTCACTCCTCTTACCGATAGATGCTACGTTACCCTTACGCAGTCACTTCACTTGATCATGGGTGGTGCTCCTGCTGGTCCCGCTGGTACCGGAAAGACCGAAACAACCAAGGATCTTGGTCGAGCTCTCGGTATCATGGTCTACGTCTTCAACTGTTCCGAACAGATGGATTACAAATCCGTCGGTGCCATTTACAAGGGTCTCGCACAGGCTGGTGCCTGGGGATGCTTCGATGAGTTCAACCGAATTTCCGTCGAAGTGTTGTCTGTCATCGCCGTCCAGGTCAAATGTATCCAGGATGCCATTCGAGACAAGAAAGAACGATTCATCTTTGAAGGATGCGATATCAGCCTTGTCCCGTCCGTTGGTATTTTCATTACTATGAACCCTGGTTACGCCGGTCGAACGGAATTGCCAGAAAACTTGAAGGCCCTTTTCCGACCATGCGCTATGGTCGTCCCCGATTTCGAGTTGATTGCCGAAAACATGTTGCTTGCTGAAGGTTTCTTGGACGCCAAGTATTTGGCGAAGAAGTTCATCACACTTTACACTCTTTGCAAAGAATTGCTTTCCAAGCAAGATCATTACGATTGGGGTCTCCGAGCTATCAAGTCTGTCCTCGTCGTTGCTGGTGCCCTCAAGCGATCTGATCGTGGCCGACCTGAAGATGAGGTTCTCATGAGAGCCCTTCGAGATTTCAATGTTCCCAAGATCGTCACTGATGATATGCCCGTCTTCCTTGGTCTTATCGGTGATCTTTTCCCATCAATGGATGTCCCAAGAAAGCGTCTTCCAGAACTCGAGGCGATGGTCAAACAATCCGTCACAGATCTCAAGCTTCAGGCCGAAGACTCCTTCTGCCTCAAGGTCGTCCAGCTCGAGGAATTGCTCAACGTCCGTCACTCCGTTTTCGTCATCGGTAACGCCGGTACTGGTAAATCGAAGATTCTTGCTTCACTCCAAAAGACATACGCAAATATGAAACGAAAACCAGTCTGTGTTGATTTGAACCCCAAGGCCGTCACAAACGATGAGCTTTTCGGTGTTATTAATCCAGCCACTCGAGAATGGAAAGATGGTCTCTTCTCTTGCATCATGCGAGATATGGCTCTCATCGCTCACGACGGTCCAAAATGGATTCTCCTCGATGGTGATATCGATCCTATGTGGATTGAGTCTTTGAATACTGTTATGGACGATAACAAGGTCTTGACGCTTGCGTCTAACGAACGTATTCCTTTGAACAGCACAATGCGACTGCTTTTCGAAATTTCCAATCTTCGAACTGCTACTCCCGCTACTGTCTCACGAGCCGGTATTCTCTTCTTGAACCCCGCTGATTTGGGTTGGAATCCTATCGTTACCTCTTGGATCGACACACGTGAAGTTCAAGCTGAGCGAGCTAACATGATCATTCTCTTTGAAAAATATGTTCCACCATGTATTGAAGCTCTCCGTACCAAATTCAAGACAATCACTCCCATTCCAGAAACCGCCTACCTCAACTCTCTGTGCTACCTGCTCGAGTGCTTGTTGACTCCTGAAAATGTTCCTGATGGGTCACCAAAGGATATCTACGAGCTTTACTTTGTCTGGGCTTGCGTCTGGGCTTTTGGTGGAGCTTTGTTCCAGGATCAGATCGTCGATCATCGAGTCGAATTCACCAAGTGGTGGGCTGCAGAATTCAAAACCATCAAATTCCCCTCTCAGGGAACTGTTTTCGACTACTACATTGCTGAAGACAAGCGATTTGTTCACTGGTCTGAGATGTCAGCTGAAGAAAAATTCGTCTTCGATCCGGATATGCCACTCCAGGCTACAATGGTTCCAACAGCCGAAACTACTCGAGTTCGATTCTTTATGGACATGCTAATGGAACGTAAACGGCCCGTCATGTTGGTCGGTAACGCTGGTTCTGGTAAGACTGTATTGATTCAGTCCAAGCTCAACTCTCTTGGCGATGACTTTGTTGTTGCCAATGTTCCCTTTAACTTCTACACTACATCTATGATGTTGCAAGGTGTTCTCGAGAAGCCTCTTGAAAAGAAAGCTGGTCGAAATTTCGGTCCTCCTGGATCAAAGCGACTTGTCTACTTCATTGACGATATGAACATGCCCGAAGTCGATACTTACGGCACTGTGCAGCCTCACACTCTCATTCGACAACACTTGGACTACTCTCACTGGTATGATCGAGCCAAGCTTTCTCTCAAAGAAATCCACAACTGTCAGTACGTTTCGTGTATGAACCCTACCGCTGGTTCTTTCACCATCAATCCTCGACTTCAACGACACTTCTCCGTTTTCGCCATCTCTTTCCCTGGTCTCGATGCTTTGGAATCGATCTACAAGCAGATCTTCGACCAGCATTTGAGCATGAACAAATTCAACGCTAACTGCACGAAAATTGTCGAGCCTCTTATCAAAGCGGCACTTGCTGTTCACACGAAGGTTTCTACTACTTTCCTTCCAACGGCCATCAAGTTCCACTACATTTTTAACCTTCGAGATTTATCAAACATCTTCCAGGGTATGCTTTTCTCTGGCACAGATGTGTTCAAGACTCCTGCCTCCATTGCTCGACTTTACATGCACGAAGCGACTCGAGTCTACTGTGATAAATTCACGGAGAAGACCGATATCGAAACATACGAAGGCCTTCTCCAGGAAATCTGCAAGAAAGAATTTGGCGATCTCGATCAAGAGGAACTTTTCGCTCAGCCTCTTAAATTCTGTCACTTTGCTCAAGGAGTCGGAGAGCCAAAATATGCTGCCATTGATAGCTGGGAAGGAATCAATAAGATTCTTACCGAAGCTCTCGACAGCTACAATGATGTCAATGCCGCCATGAATCTTGTTCTTTTCGAAGACGCCATGAGCCATATCTTGCGAATCAGTCGAATCTTGGAAATGCCTCGTGGAAATGCTCTTCTCGTTGGTGTTGGTGGTTCAGGAAAGCAGTCGCTTTCACGACTAGCCGCCTTTATCTCAAGTTTGGACGTATTCCAAATTCAATTGCGAAAGGGCTACAGCATCTCTGATCTCAAGGTCGACCTTGCATCTCAGTATATCAAGGCTGGTGTCAAGAATCAACCTGTTATGTTCCTCATGACAGACGCTCAAGTGCCTCAGGAAGATTTCCTCGTCCTTATCAACGATTTACTGGCTTCTGGTGAAATTCCGGATCTGTTTGCTGATGATGAATTGGAAGAAATTATTTCTGGCGTCCGAAACGATGTAAAAGCAACTGGAATGGAAGATTCAAGAGAAAACTGTTGGTCATTCTTCATTGAACGAGTTCGAAGACAACTCAAGGTCGTTCTTTGCTTTTCACCAGTCGGTGTTAAACTTCGAGTCCGAGCACGAAAGTTCCCAGCTCTTGTCAACTGCACTTCGATTGATTGGTTCCACGAGTGGCCCGCTGATGCCCTACGATCTGTATCACTTCGATTGCTCAATGAAATCGAAGAAGTACCCGCGGAACTCAAGGTCTCGGTATCTGAATTTATGGCATTCGTCCATACGACTGTGAATGAAAAATCCAATCAGTATCTTGAAAACGACAGAAAATACAACTACACGACTCCAAAGTCGTTCTTGGAGCAGATCAAACTCTATGAAAATCTTTTGCGAGCGAAAAAGAAAGAACTTCTCGCAAAAATGGAACGTTTGGAAAATGGTCTCCAGAAACTTCAATCTACTGCTGCTCAGGTCGACGATCTCAAGGGAAAACTGGCCTCGCAAGAAGTTGAGTTGAAGATCAAAAACGAAAATGCTGATAAACTTATTGTCGAAGTCGGTATCAAAACCGAAATTGTCGAGAAAGAAAAGGCCTTCGCCGAAGTTGAGGAAGAAAAAGTCGCTGTTATCAACAAAGAAGTCTCCATCAAAAGAGAAGATTGTGAACGTGATCTTGCCGCCGCCGAACCAGCCCTTGTTGCTGCCCAAGAAGCCTTGAACACTTTGAACAAGAATAACTTGACTGAGTTGAAGTCCTTCGGTTCTCCACCACCTGCCGTTGTCAACGTCGTTTCTGGTGTCATGGTCCTTCTCGCTCCTGGCGGAAAGGTTCCAAAAGATCGATCATGGAAGGCCGCCAAATCTACCACCATGGCTAACGTTGGTCAGTTCCTCGACGCCCTTGTTAATTATGACAAAGAAAACATCCCCGAGACTTGTCTCAAGGCTATTCAGCCTTACCTCGACGATCCTGATTTCAACCCTGAGTTTATCAAGGCCAAGTCATCTGCTGGTGCCGGTCTTTGTTCGTGGGTCATCAATATTGTCTCTTTCTACCGAATCTTCTGTGACGTCGAGCCCAAGCGTAATGCGCTCGCTCAGGCCAACGCCGATCTCGCTGCTGCTACTGAGAAACTCGAAGGTATCAGAGCTAAACTCAAGGAACTCAACGACAACATGGCCGAGCTTAACGCCAAGTTCGAAAAGGCAACGAACGATAAACTTCGTTGTCAGCAAGAAGCCGATGCAACTCAAGCTACCATCTCTCTCGCCAATCGACTTGTCGGTGGTCTCGCCTCCGAAAATGTCCGATGGGCCGAGTCCGTTGCTCTTTTCAAAGAACAGGAGAAAATGCTTCCTGGTGATGTCTTGCTCATTACAGCTTTCGTCTCTTACTTCGGTTACTTCACCAAGAAATATCGAGTTGAGATGATGAACGAGTGTTTCTTGCCCTTCATCGGAAAACTTTCAACTCCTATCCCTATCACTCCAGATCTCGACCCAATTTCTATGTTGACCGATGATGCTGATGTCGCTTCCTGGAACAACGAAGGTCTCCCAGCCGATCGTATGTCCAAAGAAAATGCTACCATTCTTTGCAACTGTGAGCGATGGCCACTTATGGTTGATCCTCAGCTCCAGGGTATCAAGTGGATCAAGAAACGATATGAAGGAAAACAATTCCAAATTGTTCGACTTGGAACACGAGGTTACCTCGAAACCATTGAAAGATCAGTGTCAAATGGTGATGTGGTTTTGATTGAGAATCTTCCTGAATACACCGATCCCGTCCTTGATCCTTTGCTTGGACGAAACACCATTAAAAAGGGTCGATACATCAAAATTGGTGACAAGGAAGTCGACTACCATCCCAACTTCAAACTCATTCTTCACACCAAATTGGCCAATCCTCATTACCAGCCCGAAATGCAGGCCCAGTGTACTCTGATCAACTTTACCGTCACTCGAGAAGGTCTTGAAGATCAGCTCCTCGCTGATGTCGTCCGTGCTGAACGTCCTGATCTCGAAGAGCTCAAGGCTGAACTCACCACACAACAGAATGAGTTTAAGATTACTTTGAAGAGACTCGAAGATGATCTCCTCGCTCGTCTGTCTTCTGCTTCTGGAAATTTCCTCGGCGACACTGCACTTGTCGAAAATCTCGAAATTACCAAGAAGACTGCTACAGAAATTGAGGTGAAAGTCAAGGAAGCAAAGGTTACCGAACAGAACATTAACGAAGCTCGTGAGCACTATCGATCTGCTGCTAACCGAGCCTCGCTTCTCTATTTCATTCTTGATGATCTCAACAAGATTCATCCCATGTACCAGTTCTCTCTCAAGGCCTTCAACGTCGTCTTTGCCAAGTCCATCGAGAAAGCCGAAAAAGCTGAACAGGTCAAACAGCGAGTCAACAACCTTATTGACTCCGTCACCTTCTCCGTTTACGTCTACGCCACTCGAGGTCTCTTCGAAAAGGACAAGCTTACCTTTACCGCGCAAGTCGCTTTCCAGATCTTGCTCAACAAAGGTGAAATCAACCCAGCCGAGCTGGACTTCCTTCTCCGATTCCCTGCTAAGCCCGATCAAGGATCACCAGTTGATTTCTTGTCCAACATTGGTTGGGGCGGTGTCAAGACTCTGTCTGACATGGAAGAATTCCGCGGTCTCGATCGAGATATTGAAGGATCTGCTAAGCGATGGAAGAAATTCATCGAATCTGAATGTCCCGAGAAGGAAAAATTCCCTCAAGAATGGAAGAGCAAGTCATCACTTCAGAAACTCTGCATGATGCGTTGCTTCCGACCTGATCGAATGACATACGCAGTAACCGAGTTTATCGGTGAGAAACTTCACCCCAAGTACACAGAAAATCGAGCTGTTCCTTTCGCTACTTCATATGAAGAAACCGGTCCTGGAACTCCTTGCTTCTTCATTCTCTCCCCTGGTGTCGATCCCCTCAAGGATGTCGAGGCTGTCGGTAAGAAAATCGGCTTTACTTTCGACAAGCGAAACTTCCACAACGTCTCTCTTGGTCAAGGTCAAGAAATCGTCGCTGAGCAGGCCATGGAACTTGCTGCTAAAGAAGGTCACTGGGTCATTCTTCAGAACGTCCATCTGGTCTCTAAGTGGCTTCCAACTCTTGAAAAGCTCCTTGAAAACTACGCCATCGGATCTCACCCTGATTTCCGAATGTATCTTTCTGCTGAGCCTGCTGGTACTCGAGAGTCTCACATTATGCCTCAGGGTATTCTTGAGAACTCCATCAAGATTACCAACGAACCTCCAACCGGTATCCTTGCCAATCTCCACAAGGCCCTCGATAACTTCGATCAAGAAACCATGGAATCTTGCTCGCGAGAGAACGAGTTCAAGTCAATCCTCAACTCAGTCTGCTACTTCCACGCTGTTGTTTGTGAACGACGAAAGTTCGGACCTCAAGGTTGGAACCGACCATACCCATTCAACGTTGGTGATCTTACAATTTCCATTGACGTCCTTCGAAACTATTTGGAGGTCAACTCCAAGGTCCCATGGGACGATCTTCGATACCTCTTTGGCGAGATTATGTACGGTGGACATATTACTGATGATTGGGATCGACGTCTTTGCCGAACCTATCTTCAGGAATACATGCACCCCGATCAGCTTGAAGGTGAGCTCTACCTCGCTCCTGGCTACGCTGTTCCATCTAACATGGACTACAACGGTTACCACGCTTACGTCAACGAAAACTTGCCTCCAGAGTCTCCATACTTGTATGGCCTTCACCCCAACGCTGAAATTGGTGTGTTGACGAAGACTTCCGAAGAACTCTTCCGAACATTGCTTGAAATGCAGCCTAAGGATTCTGGCGGATCTGGTTCTGGCGCGATGACCATGGAAGAAAAGGTCAAACAAATGCTTGACGATATCATGGAAAAACTCCCCGACGAGTTCAACCTCTACGAAATGCAAAGCAAGGTCGAAGAAATCACTCCATACACTGTTGTTGCCCTTCAGGAATGCGAGCGTATGAATCTTCTGATCAACGAAATCCGTCGATCGCTCAAGGCCGTGAACTTGGGTCTCAAGGGTGAACTGACAATCACTCCTCAAATGGAAGCGCTCATGAATGCCTTTTTCGTCGATCAGGTTCCCGAAACTTGGCAGAAACGAGCCTACCCATCTATGCTTGGTTTGACCGCCTGGTATGGTGACTTGCTCAACAGAATCAAGGACCTCGACGCTTGGTCCGCTGACTTCGTCATGCCCAACTCTCTCTGGCTTGGTGGTCTCTTCAACCCTCAGTCCTTCCTTACTGCTATTATGCAGTCGATGGCGCGAAAGAACGAATGGCCTCTGGATAAAATGGCTCTGTCCGTCGATGTCCTCAAGAAAGCCAAGGACGATATCAACGCTCCTCCACGAGAAGGTGCTTACATCCACGGTTTGTTCATGGAAGGTGCTCGATGGGATACTCAAGCTGGTTCGATCAACGAGTCCAAACTCAAGGAACTCACCCCAGCCATGCCTGTTCTCTTCGTCAAGGCTGTCCCCATTGGTAAGTTTGTCGCATGAAATGAAGTCTCATTTTGATTTTAGACCGTCTTGAAACCAAGAACATGTACGAGTGCCCCGTCTACAAGACCCGAGACCGAGGACCAAACTACGTCTGGACCTTCAACCTCAAGACCAAGGAGTCCGCAAACAAGTGGGTCCTTGGTGGCGTCGCACTTCTCCTCGCCGACTAAAATTTCTATATATTCTCTATCTATTTAAAGCTTATTATTTAATCTCTAAACCTGTACTCTCTTTTTATCACCATAATTAACCCAATTTCGGCCTCCAAATTTTCTTCAATTCGATTTAATAAATTCCAAATTCATAAAAACTCCCGCTCAAGGGATAAGCCCTGTTCACGCTTATGGCTAATCCTTTGAGCTCGTATGGCATTATTGGTAGATTTAGGTGTGATTGTGGTTCGTTCGTAGTTATGTCGTTTGATGTTATATTTGATGGGATGGACAGAACGAGAAGTAATTTGACAGTTGTGTAACAAAGTTGAGATGTCATATCCTAATGATGATGAGATCTGGAGGCGGACTCTTCTATTTTATGAACCAAGTCTGTTGTATTTTGACCACATGTGCATTATGAAGACTGAACCGATGAAAAGGAGTGATACCACTAGAACTGGAACCGGTCCAATCTTAATTCGATTCAAGATTAAAATTCATTTTTGCTTGTAATAAAAAAAAAGAAAAAAGTTTACCTTCATTCCAGGAGAATCTCCAGAGTAAAATTTCCACATGCTCTCTTGAATGTTTCCTTGATTCGCATTTGGGGTTCCTCTGTTCGCATTTTGCACTCGTTTCCTTATCTGTGCTTTGGTTATCGCTGGTGATGGTTCTCCTTGACTCTCGCTAGAAATTTATTTAGTTGTTGAATAATAACGAGGCGAAAAACCTCATTTTTGCTGAAAAAAGTAAAGCCGCTACGGGAAAGAAAGCAAAAGTGGGAAAGAAACCGGGTTGAAGTCGGACAAAGAAATCGATAATCACGTAGGCCAATTTGAAAGCCAGCGATAGATCTATATCCATCTTCTGGCAACGTGTTTGCCCATGGTCCATCGATATAAGTGCATTTCCGTCCAGCGAAAATTAAAGCCTTAAAATCCTTATAAAGAAAAAGTCCTTCCGGAATCCAGACCACCCACGTTTAAAATTTGAGTGCTTCATTTCCGGACATAACGTGTTGATATTTTTGGGCAATCCAATATAATCCTCCTTCGAATTCTATTAAATCATGAAATATAATCGCAGATGATCATAGCGCCCTCCATCAATCCTTCAGTGCTCTATTGAAGAAAGGGTGAGTTAAAATTTTCATCCGAACTTTTCCGAAGAGAAATTCATTTTTTCAACGATGAGAATTCTCCTTTTGCTTTTTCTGATCGGTAAAGAAAATAATATTTTTGTCGACAATCATAATTTTTAAGCTCTTGGGCAAAAAATGGACAAGGAAACAAAGCTCCAAAAGAAAGAAGAGAGGAAACGCCTAAAGAAAGAACTCAAAGAAAAGGTTGAACAGCGATAAATCTTTGTGCAAACAGTTTTTTCAGGAAAAATTAGCGAAGAAGGCGAAGAAAAAAGGACCCAAGTTCCAGGTCAATCTAAAGTCTGCTGATAGCATACCAACCCCAGTGGAAGAAGAACAGGCTATTGATGAAGCCGAAAGCAGGCTCAACTACACAGAATTTGTCAAGCAATATTCTAAAGCTGTCACGGATCTGGGGATGCGAGAAACGATGACGAATTATTTGATAAATGAGGGCTCGGAAAGAAATATGCTCTGGTCCCTACGAAACAAGGTTTTTCTCTATACTTGCTTTCAGCTGTCTTTACTTTTTAGTTTGAGCTTCAAAATCAAGCAAAAAGCTTTCTTCTGGGAAAACGCATTCCCGTTCCTTTTGCTCAGGGAAAAATTGACGTAAGCAATTGTTAATTTTCAACTTCAAAATTTCACTTTTCCAGCGATTTCCAACCGACCCAACGATGAGCTGCTTCCAGTGCGATGAAAAGGACACCGATGCTTGTTGGAGAAAAGGTAAGGAGCAAATCTGCCACGGCGCAAATCACGTGTGCCAGATCGAGGTAAGAAAGCGCTTCGGCAGAACGGAGCGCATCAGCATGGGATGCAAGCAGCTCAAAGCTTGCCAGGACAACAAGTTTCAAAATTTCAACCAGAAGCCGGACACGCCAACGAAAGATATTGGGCTGATTATTGACTATCAGTGTAATCCGATTGACTATGGAAGTGAAAGTACTTGCAGGTAAAAGTTTCTCCGATAGTCAAAAAAGAATAGCTGATAAATCATAAGCTATACTTGCTACACTCTTTCTTAGCCTTCAGAAAAGTTCTCAAGAGTTCTATTCATAATTCAGACAATGCTGCACGACGAAAAACTGTAATCGTTACTACAATTGGGACAGTTTCCTGACGATGTACGATTGGGACACGACTCTTCCTTGATTCCAAAAATCGCTCTTCCAAAATCTTCTGTACAAAGCTTGATAGATTATTTCTGTAAAATAAAATAGCGCTGAAAATTATGACAATCATCATGAACTTTATTTTGGTGTTGTCCTGGGGCTGAGATTTACAGTATAGTTTCAAGTCAAGGCACGTGCAAAATTAAATGCTCGGGAGTTGTAAATAACAGTCAGTATTGCTGCGGCGCGACCGATGATTTTACGAAGCGGTTCCTTTTCCAAAACGGCCGCAAGAGGCGAAAATTATTCGAATCATAGCGCAAACCTAACAAATTAGAACAAAATTTTCTTGTCCAAATTTTACCTTTAGTATCGACGATCGGCCCGTGATCGAAAATCGAGGGAACATTAGGCGGAATAACTGTTTCACTTGTATCAATACTCGGCCTGTCGAAACAGAAGACCATCACGGGAAATTCGTTTTGTGGCAAATTTTCTGACACCGTAATAATATGATGGTCTGAGCTTCTTCTAGCAGTTTTGTAGGCTTCGGAGTCTTGATTTTCAGGAATATAAGCTTTTGTAGGGCGAATTGGTATTGGACTTGAATTATGAGGAGTTATGGGCGTTCGAGGAACATCGAGACTAGAAGACTACGATAAATATCCTTTTCATTACAAAAAAAACGGTACCTGAGAGCACCAAAACTATCCACTGATTCTGATCTAGTCGATAATGCTAGCTCATTTCTGGAATCTTGCTGCGACTCCTGACTCGCATTATTGCACTCGTAAAAGGCCAGTACGGAACCGAGAACTCCAACAGTAACACCCGTCGGGATCACCAGTCCAATATTAAATGCTAGAAAGTTCAACTAACAGCGGCCTGTTGAACGGTTACTCACATGAAAAATACACAAATAAAACAGTAACAAAGCCTAAAGGGACCATAATAACTCCTGCTAGCACCAAATAAATCGAAATCTCCGCACGTGGCATGCCATTCTCTTACATACAAGTGTCTCTAAAAATGTTTCTCAAATATCATGCAAAGAGTCATTTAAAGTCACTGTCGGTCGGGTTAACAGTAGGAGGAAGTAGCCGAGAGAAAGAAAGTTAGGAGCAAGAAATGAGTTCTGAAAGATTAATTTCTGTCGGGAGGAAGAGATCCAGCGCGCTACTTGCACAAACAAAGGGCGATGAATTTTTAAAACTTTTCCCGCCGCCAGAAGGATTTCAGACTTCAGGGGAAGTTATTATTGCAGTGTTTTGATAGTCTGATAGTTCTGTTTTAGTTAATAATGATGCGTCGCGAGCCAGTTCAAAGATAAACATATCCTTTCGAGTGAGGATGAGCGAAGTTTATTTACAGGAAAAAATAAGCAGCAGCGGAAAACACATGTGAAATTTTGAATCTGACATGTAATAAAAAAAAAGCAAAAATGTCCTTCGTCGATTAGATGCTCATAGATCCTCTTAAGCTGGAGCAGTTGCGTCGCTGTGGCAAAAGTACGTAGAAGATGAAAATCCACAAACCCTTTTTACGCGTTATTAATACTCAGTTTCTACCATCATGAGATGATGAAGAAAATATATGAAAATGCGTTCCTGAAGGCCGTTGACGATGACAAAAGTATAGGTCACAATCAACTGGTACAGTGATTCTCCTTCGTTGTCTAAAATTAATGTTTTAGTAAGATTTCACTTTTGAAAAAATTACCTTCATCAGCTCGGTACATGAAGGGGGCAAGAAAGTAGGAAATTCCGAAGAGCACTACTAGCCCAGAAGCAACTCTTGTTTGGTCCTAAAAAGAAGAATTGAAGGTGCTTCAAATATGCGAGCACATACTCGAATGCGCAAAGCTCGGCGAAGTCGATCGGTATCACTTCTCTTGAGACCTCCTCCAGTTCGCCGAATTTGAATGATTGTTGACATCACTTTTCCAAAGATGTACACGTTCTTAGTAATTGTAAGCTCGACAGATTGAGAGCAGACTTACCAAGATGAAAAAGCAAGCAAAGGGAATAACCCAGACGATATAAACCAGGGCCTGGTCGATCCAACAAAACTTGTGCTCGTCGATTCCTAGAGGAACGAAAATTTCAACTCCATTGAAGGACGAAATCAAAGTCACAGCGACCACGAAAAGAGGTGTTCCCCAGCCGAGAAGGATCAGGAAATTCATGAAGTACTGGGGATAATCTAGAACTCCTTCAGCTACCCGAGTGATGCTGAAGTAATGATCGATTGCCTGACTGTACAATCGGTTTCAGATTAGTTTACGGTGAATTTTTCTACTTGAATTTTTCTAAAACCGTTCCAAGACATCCAGCAGAGACTCGCCAATTGGGCAAACAGGACCATCGTGACAAGAACCTTTCCATAACCAGTGCACATGTGCTCTTCCGATGCCGTGAAGATAGTCACATGATCGAAAATGCTCATCGTCATAATCGCTGTCATTTTCATAATGAGCGCGATTGAAAGATGCGTGATCAAGATAGGCTGCTTCGATCGACGTGACCAAATGCTCGGCGAGCCTCGTTGACCCCGTATTTTCATGATCATCGCGTAAATAACGACAAGGAGGGCGACGATTGAAGCTCCGCAGACAATGTTGCTTGTCATTTCAAGCCCTTTGGAGTCCACTCGACCAGCACCAGGGTACATATACTAAATTTCAAAGATAGGAAAGGTTTTGGAAGTTAGCTTACGTGGACCGTGGCGAAATTCGTCAAATGATCAGTCGTACAAGTAACATGAGAGCCATTCTTCGAGACCAGGGAAACTCCTTTGGTGTCCCACTCCTCTCGTTCCCTATTCCAGAAGACGCATTTTGTCTTTCCGCCGCGATCTCCACCGGTTCTTTCAAGCTGTGGGAAGACCATATTGATATCGCCCTCTCTGATGTTTTTGCTCATGTGCTCTGGGAGATTCACAGAGAGAACAGGCGAGGTCACTTCGATAGAAGTGGATGCTTTCATTTTCGGAGGAGCTTGATAAGAAACTGCAAAGATCCCGCCGTCAAAATTGTCTCCAAAGGAAAAATTGATTCCCACCGCGTTTTTGGGCTCTTTGTCGCACTCCTTTTTCTCATAGCAATCGAATGAGCTCGTTAAAAAAGAGCCATTGCTCGCCATAATGCAGAAGTTGGAAGGATCGCCAAAAGAAAGGCAATTGGCAACTTCTGCCTCACTGACCCGTTCTATGGGGAGGATGTCTTTGATTTCCTTAGTGTCGTAGACATCGGAGTCGTAATCAGCTCCGACCATCAGTTCAGCATGAGCCGGAGTTGTCGTCGACGTAGTTCGGGTAGTTGTTGTTGTCGTCGACGTAGTAGAGGTAGTAGTCGTTGTTGAGCAATTAGGGTGGCTCACGTTCCACTCGCAGCAGACCCAGTCGGGAAACAGATACGCATCATTGCACTTTCTGAAGACAAATGTTGATGCGTTCGTCCCCATTTCGCTCTCGGTTGAATTCACTAGAATGCATTCAATGACCAGAAAAATATAAAAAAATCTGACCGAGGGAAGAAGTTTCTATCCTTTGAGTGGTTTCACTAATGACTGGATCTGGTGTTACTGTAATACTTTCAGTAGTCACAAAAGTATCATTTAGTTGCGCAAAAGATATTACTGTTGTATAATCGGATAAGTTTGATTGTGCTGTGGTCGTCTCTGTTTCGTTGAACCAAAAACTTCCATTATTATAGAAAAAAGGGGCTCGATCCGTCATTTTCTTTTATCTTGTTCAATGTTTTTAGATTTAAAGTTTTCGCGCCAAGAACTTATGGGTGAATAAATAAGAAAATTTGTTTATAAAAAAATGTTCAAGTTGTTTTCACTTACGGTACACTTCAAAAGGCCTGACTACTTGACGATATTGAAGAGAGAACTTCGGGTGTTGAATGTAGCTGATGGTCTTGAAATCGCTGGGATCTGGAATGCTGAGTATCGCTGTCTTGTTCTTGTCAGTCGATTTGAATTCTATGTTTTTGATTTTGAACTCAAACGAAGGAATCTTCGCAGCTCCGACCGACGTTTTTCCGCGCAACACAAAAGAATCTGTGACGTTTTCGAAATGTGCATATTCCGATCGAACGGCGGAAAGGAGCTCCGTGAAATCGGCCCAGACGTTTAGTTTTCGAATCCCTTCAAGACTGAAATAAAATTTGAAAAAAGTATAATCGAGTGCTCGCTCAACTCAAGATGCCATGGCGTTTTCCTTTTTCCAGTGCCGTTGAAGCTTTCTCTTTTTGGTTCCTCGACGCCCTCGTAGAAAACTTCAAGCAAGATCTTCGGAGCTTTTTTCGTCTTGTCAAATCTGGAAGTAAAAGTTGATTGATAAATCTCATTATTTATATCTCTCGCGGTGAAAACTTATTTCTTTGTTTCTGATAGTAAAATCGATAGTCATAAAAATAAATATTTCATTTGCAACTTACGGCAACTCCTCGATAAAAGGAGACTTTTCCGTTGAGTAGTCGAATTTTCCAATAGCTCGCCATCCCTGATCTTGACGTTTCTTGGAAGGAGGGGTAAGATTTGAAGGAGGAGGTCCTCCTGGAGGGGGAGGAGGATTCGGGCCCATTTTCAAGAAAAATTAAAGAAATCTGCACTCTCTGTCCGTGTTTTTGTGAGAAATGAGAACTGTCATATTTCGATGAAATAGTTTCCACGCGTTATCAGTGACGCGATTCTCCTGCGAATGGGTGAATTGATAAAAGGAGAAAACCGAGGAGCGCAGCGAAAAAAGACATTCATAAATTCGATAACCAAATGAACTTTTCAATCTGTAACAAAATACCTTTTGGGCAATTTATAGAGTTATCTAAAAGTTCAACGCTGGAAGATTTTTAAAGCATCTTTCAGAAAATCAGCGCTAATCCAACACCACCGCAATGACTTGTCCCCTTCACGCTCGATTTCGGAACATCTTCTTCTCATCATTCCCTGATTCAATAATCACTTTCGGCCAGTCTTTGATTCCGAATTATGAAGCTGATATTTTTCCATTTTCTGAGCTTGAGTTTTTCGACGATCTTGAACGAAGGAATTTGCGAGAAATCGAAGCTATTGAGAACAGATGGGGAGAGAAAAGGAAAGGATTTGGCGGAGAACTGGAAGTTTATTGTTCGACTGGAAATATTTGGCGCGTCTGGGGGAGTAAAAACGCCAAGCAAGGGTTAGAAAATTATTTTTTTCATTGAAATATTCATGAAAATATGTTTTGGGACTCTTTTGACCCTTGAAAGTCACTGTGCTGGTGCAATCATCGACAAGAACTGGATCCTCACGACTGCCAAGTGCATCCGAAATGCTCAATTCGCAAAGATTTTCTACCCACGGAGAATGGACAATCGCATCACTTCGGACAAGTTCTTTCTCACTTCAGGTGAGTTTCACATCGTGCCAGATTATTCAGAGAAAAATCCAAAAATTCACGATCTTGGGATGATCAGAATCGATGGCGGCTTTGAGAACTCTGACGATATTGAAAGCATTTGTCTGACAGACAGAATTCCAAAGCGAAGGGAAAATTGCTTTGTCGCAGGAATGGAATTTCAAATTTTGAATGAAACAATTTTTTTTATAAAAAAGAGGAATGATTTTTATTTAGCGTTTTCTTCCTCAGGCGAGGAATACAGTATCAAAGTTTGTATCAAACATCGTATGCGGGTAAGATCCAGTTTCGAGCATTCCAAGCACCTGCGTGAAAATCAACGCGCTGGGGAAGCATTGACGACAAGTCGAAGAAACCAACACTCCGTTGCCTAAATTCATCAGTGCTGTTTTTAAAGAACGGTAGCTTACGGTCTCTCTGCCCATTTTTCTTGCACTGGGTCTTGTTGTGCTTTGCTTCGATCTTGCAGGATCGCTTCTGCTTGCACTGGCTGTGGATCTGCACCTGTCCGTTGTTGCGTCTTTCGGTGAATTCGCAGATCTGATACTTACCGCACTGCTTGATCGCTCCTTTTAGATGGGTCAAGATATTTTTCAACTTAGCAAAAAAGGAAGGGCTTAAAAGAGCTCTTTCTAGCGCGAATAATATTTCGACCTAAGTCCTGTTGTCTGGCATTTGAGGTAGACATCTTCTGGTGCTCCTTGCTCGTCGCAAATGATGCAGCTTCTAGGGTCATCGATGTTGACCAGGTTTTCCCAAGAGTATTGCTGAGCAAAAACAGCGGGGATGAAAAAATTTGAAAATTTCATTTTTGCTTTCTTAGTTTCTAGTCGAGTGAATTTGTGAAACGAACAATGCGCGCGTTCCTTTTATGTGTGCCCTATTTACATTTATGCATATTAACGTGCGCACTAGAAATAATTAGCGTTGTCTTATTTATTCGATTATCCCCTTTCGTTAGCCAGTAGAAATTCAGCTACACGTATACTGACGAGTAGACATAGTTCGTCAAGCTAATCCTGTCAACTTCGTAATCCATAAGCGTATGTAACATACCGTATGTTACATACGGTATGTCGCAAAAAAATCATGAAGGAAATTTCTTCAAGATGGCATTAGAATTGTTGATAGTCCGGAACTCGACTTGACTCAAGTTCAGAAAACTTTGTTTTTTTTTGAATATTTCATTGCAAACAAATGACCAAGTTGAATGTAGGTTCCTAAAATTCTCGTTATTTTTTCTTAGAAAATAATTAAATTAGGGCTCCTCTTACGCTATAAATTTTAAGTTGTAATCTACAAAATCATCAGTATCCTAAAAAAAGGATGCAATCTAAGCCTTAGATTCTTAGGTAGAGCCTCTACCGTAGAGGAAAAAACTGCTGCTTCCAAATCGAAAAGATATGTCTCCATCAATGGCTCTGACGATCGTATTTTCGACGAGAATGATGGAAAATCCCAATACAGGCCAGATCAAGACCCTTATCAGCTTGAAATATGGCCAAAATTTCAGCGTCTAAAACTCATCTCTATAATTTTATGACCCAGGAAATCTAGCATCAACTGAATTGAATTAAAAATTTCTAAAATTTGAAGGATTTTTTTATCTTCTGCTGATAAGATCGACAACACTTTTAAATGATGGAGTAATTCGTATTTTCTTCTTCTTTAAACAATAGCTAATTGCATATGTACGTGCGTAACGTGGGCTCTCGAAATGATAATCCTGCTGCTACAAAGAACTTCCGCTCATTATCCAAAGTGTATTAATGAAGCTAAGCTTCCATTGAACAAACGTTTCCCTAAACGTGGAAGACTTATAAAAACTAATTGCTATCCATGTCATTTTGTATTAAATTCCTAAAAAGGCTGGGGAACTGCTCGAGGAAAGAAGCCAAAAAGCCTCCTTCGCGAAGCTCAAGTTTCAATCATGGACCTGCGCGCTTGTGGTCGACCAGGAAAGGGCTTTTTTAGTGACAGTCATTTATTTACAGGGAATTAACGTTTTTCAATCTTATTCAGTAATCGAAAGTTTGAACCCATCCCCATTGGGGATCCGAGATCGCCGTCCTCTTGGAAACCTCTGGAGAAATAGTTGTTCAAGTAGTTGAAATTGCTCCGGCCGGAACCTAACCAGCTGGCGGAGGAAGGAGCTGCAAGAAAAATAATAGCTAAAAATCGCATTTTTGAATTCTGGGAGGTTGATTATCTGCCTCCGTGTTATACTGTATAACTCTTCTATATAACTTATACAAGCGCTTCTTATTATACCTGCACTCGGCGCAAAATGCATAATTGATCTCGATCATAGAAAGAGGAGTATCTTGTATTAGAATAACTTGTGATCAGTGTTGGAAGGATTAATATTGGATTTTCTCTTGAGTTTTCCAAGAGTAATTCGAATACCAAATGAACCGGCTAATACTGAACTTTCGTAAATAACATTAAAAAAAAGAGGAAGACTATCTAAGCCTTTGTAAAGATACTTACGGTCCCTATTTCGACGATTACTTCTCCCTTTGCGCTGGACTCTGGTCGGCACCGGAAGGCAAATGTCTGGGAGATTTCGGAGGGCCACTGGTTTGCTATGATGGGGAACGGAATCTGCATTTGTCAGGACTAGTTAGCTGGGGATTGAGCTGCGAAACAGTCGACAAGCCTGGGGTTTACACGAGAGTGTCCAGATATATTTCCTGGATCAAAGATACAATTGAAGAATACAGAACATTGGAGAAAGAGGAGATCGAAAATCGAGTGAAGATAATGCAAGCTGAAAGCCGCCTCCTCTCCAACTTTTTTAATGCATTTGAGTTACCGACAACTACTGTACTTTCGACAACAGTAACAACAACCTCGCAGACTGCAACTCTTCAGTCGGGATAAAAGAAGGAGCATATAAGAAGCGGAGATAATAAATGCATAATGCAAATGCAAAACATTTTTGCTTTGAAAACTAACTTATTTAAGAAAAGATGGTCCATATTTTTCGCTCATCATTACTGATGAATATCCATTTTCTTTTGAGTACTAACAACTGGCTGGGGGGACAAAAGTCTAGCACCGCCCGAGGGCCAGGATACCACACTCGCTACTAGCCAAAATATGGGGGCGCAACGGAGCGCGCCCGCTGAAATGAAAAGCACTTCCTTAGGAGATTGAAGAATTTCTAAAGGTGAAAGCTTATCTGAAGATAAATTTCAAAGGAATTTAAACCAAAAGAGTTGATACAAATAATGAATAATTACTTTTTATTATTCTTTATTTACTTAACGAAATCATTATAAATTATATTAGTATAAATTATTACAGTCTATAATTTAAAGTCTATAAATCAAGTTTGTTCACAAAAATTCACAGAGCAAAAAGAATAATGACTGGATGATTTTTTATCTTCAGTATTAATCTTTATTAATTCAATGATCCTCTAATACGAGCAGAAAGTATTAAATCTAATTGCCCCTTACCACGGGGCTTCGCCCCTTAGGTCCTAAAATGCCGGGGTCTAGTCTAGGGTTACTTAGGGTTACCTTCGGTAACCCTAACTAACCCTAGCCTATCCCCCTCGGGTGAAACTGTTCTGTCATTTTGCGCGGTGCCCCCTAACCCTAACATTTAAATTAAGTCAATCATTAATTAAAGCCAATCATAATTTTAATAAATTCATTTAGTTGCAAAGTCCATGAGAGTGTAGGTAGTTGAGAGAGAAAAGAGAAGGGATTTTGAATTGCCAACTCAGAATTGGGCAGCTCTCCAGCGAGAGTCTTGCTCGCGAGCGCTACTCAGCGAGGGCCTGTATCGCGGTGTGGTAGCTCGGCCAGGAGTTGGTGCTAGACTTTTGTCCCGATTCCCCTAACAACTTCGTCTTCGCATCCCCGACCTTCTTTTATCCCGAAGCAGGCACTGGACACATTGAGTACAAGTTCGATTGAAAGTGAATTTGGAACCAATGGATCAATCTACGATAACTCTGATAATGACGAAGATATCTTCAATTTTTTAAGCCGTGGAAAGAAAAAGAATATTAACAGCATTAGCGCCTTAGAAACGCCCTGTGGCAGAGTCGATGAAAAATTCAATGTGAGTTTTAGGAATTCTCAATAATCGTTGACCATGAAGCCATTAATATTATTGCTTTAATCGAGCAGTCGATAACTACCCAATTTTTCAATTTCATACTGTTATTTATATTATAGATCGGCGAAGAAGTTCAAGTAGATTGTCAAAATAGAAGATGCGCTTTCTCGTGTTTGGATTCTAGTTTGCGTCCAACGTTGAAACAAGCCTTTTGCAAAAACACACGCAAAACAAGGTGGTCGCCAAATAAAAGAAAACAACCGGTCAGATGTGTGGAAAAGTCAAAGAGCACTTTGTGCGGAGATCTTTACAGGACAAGGTTCGGAAATGAACAAACAAATAGCATACTTATAATTTTATAAATGCAAGGCTAAGTTCAAGAACCTCTAAAAAGTGTCTTCAATATTTCAGCTGAAATAGAAGCCAACTGCCGAGGAAAAAACTGTAGATTTTCATGTCCCGCAGGTCAAGAGCCCTCTCATCCGAAAGGCATCGCATGCAAACGTCCCCGTGTGGAGAAATGGTCTGAGCCACACGACACGAGAATCGAGTGCGTTCAATCTGACCCCAACTTTAATGACTTCACGGAGCAATGTGGACGCCTGAGAGATCATCCAAAATCCAACTGGGTCACCAATGCTCCAAATTTAAATGTTGTCTGCGAAAGGAAGAAAAAGCGAATGCAGCGATGCAGATTGAGCTGCTCGAATGGAAAGAATCTCAGCGGAGCTTCGACGATTGCTTGCTTCAGAAATTCAACAGGAATCTTTTTGGAATCTTACGAAGAGCGAAAATGTCTGTAGAAGAATTTAGGCAAACAACTGTAAATAAAATAATAGTGCGGCATGTTTAAAATACTCTGGGCAGTAAAAATGTCGTTTTTGCTTCTTTAGACCCGGCCAAGAAGTGAGCTTTCTTTCGTTTCGTCCTTTGTTACCACGAGATTTCTCTCACCATCGCATACTCGCAGAAAAGACTTCAATCCACGAGAGTCGGCGTAAGCGATGATGAACTTTATCGCTACTTTTGACGTGTAATGATTAGAGAACAGGTGCCCCGTTCTGTCAGGAGCTCTGACGAGGTCGTCGATGAAGTTCTTGTAGTAGGTCTAGAAATTTTTAAAAAGCAGACTTATTGGTTTCATCTTACATAACTACCGCCTGGTGGTAGATTATCAGGCGCTCCCATAGCGTCCTCTTGGTGCAGTTCTTCAATGCTTTTCGCCAAGTTATACTTCTTTGCATTGATTTGAGTGACCTTGAATTTTTCATCCCCTTTCGCTCCGGCCTGGTCAGCTGGCGCCAGAACAGACTCATCCTCTTCGTCCAGAAATTCGTCCAGTCCTGCTTGTTGTTTCAGCCAATTCTCTTTTCTTTTGTTTATCTTGTCGTTCATTCGTTTCATCACCACTTTGTCTTCTGTCTTGATGAAGTCTAAAATAAATTTTGAGCTCGTAATTAACTGACTAAAAAGGAATTTACTTTTGTACGGAAGGTCCTCGTCGTGCAGGTCATCTTGGAACGATTCGTACATTCTTTACGGGAATAAGATAAAAAGTAAGAAAGGATAGATCAAACCTTCGAGCATCGTCAAACGAGTTGAAAATGTCGCGCGAGTAGAGCTCCATCAAATTGCGTCTCGTCCTTGTCAATCTGCTGTAGAATGACTTCAAAAATTCGTTGAATCTTTTTTGGTCCTCATCTTCATCTCTCAGAAAAATTTCTTTCAGTTCTTCGAAGTGCAGCATACATCGTTCGCCATGCTCGATTCCTTTTTTGTAAAGAATTGGCTTCGCTTTTCGCCAGGAAAGGCAGGCATCCGTGTGCAGGTTGATCATCATCTTTCTCATCTAAAAATTGGTAAGGATGATGATTGAGGAGCTCTTCTCACCTCAATTTCTTCGTCCAGATTTTTCAAACACGCGCGTTCCAAGATGTCCACCGCCAAGTTGAGAAGTTCACCACTTCGCTCCGCTCCATGATAATTCCCAATGTTTAAGCCGGTCTTTTTGTATGTTTCTTCGCCAGTACTTCTGTTGACCTTTCTTTTGACTTCCGATGCCTATAAAAATAGAAAATTATTTATCAAAGCCTTTGATTCGAAGCTCCTACCTTTTCGAACATTTGCTTTGCCTGGCTTCTGAGCATAATGCAAGTAGCTAGAATTGTTCGAAGCGGAATTTTCGCTCTATCCTTCATCGGCATTTTTCGAAATCGATCCTCGATCTCGAAGGTGATAAATTTAATGTAAACTTGGAAGACAATAACCGCATTGCCAGGAATTCGTGGAAGTATCCCCCATTTTCCGTACGCCCACTGCGGCTGGCAAATTACAAAGTGCTGTGATCCTTGAGTCATAAGCAGAAGAGCTTCTTCTAGGCCTGGGAGAAGGCTTCCGTCGCCGATCTGTACGAGTTCCGAATATCCTTGAGAACAAAATTAAAGCAAAATGTTTTCAAACCGCATTTTACCTTTTTCTGGATTATCCCCTCGATCGTAACTGTAATCGACAGGCCTCGCTAAGAGATCATCACCGATCCACATCGCATAATTGAGACTCACTAAGAATGAGGTTTGAAAGCAGGAGTTGAGAATAATCGCTAGAATGGTACCTAATGGATTGTAGGGCAAGTCTCCATATTCTCCCCAAAGTTCTCGCATTCTCTCTCGCTCCGCTGCTAGTGCACTGCCTACCGTCATTCCGAACCCTTTCTCGTTTACTGATTCCTTCGTTATTCGCACCCCACCATTTGTACCTAAATTTGGCACAATGAAATCAACAAAGACTCACTCCTGCAAACCTGGAACTTCCTCCGTGATTGAAATAAGATGTTCCATTCTTTCTTTCGAATTCGCGCCAGGAAAGTCACGTGGGAAAAGAAGACGATCAAAACGGTGCTTCTTCGCAATCTCTTCTTGAAAATTCTCGTTGTAGTTGTCATCATCGCTGTCTAATTCGTAAATAGAAACTCCCTCCATCGATAAGTTCTCCATTCCAGCGATTTCTCTTTTTGTAAGAAAAAATATTATCGATCGACGATCGTGTGAAATTTGAAGAATGAGTTTCGTAGTCTGACCAATCAGAGTCTCTTTTCCGAAATCCGAAGTAAGCCTACTCGTTTCATTTTCCCTTTTCAGGGTGGGAAAAATTACGAAACAAACTAAACGGCCAAAATCTTTTTTCAAGAAAAAAATATTATCAGTCAGGCCATCTTTCTAAAACCGTCTATCTATATTTGCCAACCCCCGCCAAGATCGATCGTAACCAACCGTGAATCTTTTTCTAGGGGCGCCACCTAGTTTTTCGAGATAGATAAAAGCGAGGCAATGGAGTGATTTCCAAAACAAAAAAGAAAGACAATGTGCAAGTTGAAGGAAAATTGCAACTTTTGTGAACCCAAAGACGTTGGTCTGACTTCCCTCAGGGGCCAGAAGCTCTGTCCAGAGTATCTTTCACGACTCTACAAGAAATTTCCCACACTTCCTCAAGACCGCATCCTCAACCCAGAAAATTTGAGCGAGACTCTCAAGAGCTTAGCCGAGAAGAACGAAGAAGAACTGGTCGATATCAACCGACGAACTGAAGAGGTCAATTCAATCCTGCTTCGACTCAACAGCAAAATAATGGAACTGAAGATTATCAAGGAGGAGAGCCTCAAGGAGCAGTCTGCCCTCTGGTTTCTGGCTGATTCGATCATCAAGACAGAAGAAGCGGATCTCCAAAAGAAGAACTTATCAAAGAAAAACCCGTAAATACACTTGTATGTGCTCTTCCCAAATTAAAGCTTAAAAATAAATTAATCACTAAAAACAGTATCCGCCGGAGTTTGTTACGCAAGAAGGACAAAAGTTATTCCTGTGAAAATTGCATATGCTTTCGTTTTACTTAATTTCAGTCGCACTCAATGACCTCACTTATTCTGAGAGAGGACAAATGAAGTCACTTAGCATTCTACCACTCGCAGTCCTAGCAGGAAAATGCCAAGAAAAGTGCAATTCCGACTTAGAGGTCTGCCTCGTTGACTGCATAACCCAATCGCCCGAGGATGTTCGCTGCCCAGGAGATTGTGCAAGAGCTGAAAGTGACTGTCTTTTCAGATGCCAGGACAGTAATTATGGCCTCTTCGCAGCTAGCGTAAGTTTTTGTTTCTAAGCGTTTCCTCAGTTCATTTGTAGAAAAACTACATGGAAGTCAACTTCGGAACAGATGTTGCTGAATATTCTTTCGACTTCGACTTTGCTGGGGTAAGAATAATTCACTAAGAAAGAACTAGAAGTTTTATTAGCACGACTTCGAAACTGCTTGCTCAGTTGAATTCGAGGGCGACTATTACATCATCGGCGGTATCAAAAACATCCAGCGAGTTTCTAAGGTATCATGGGAGTAGCAACCGTGTCCCATTCTTTTAATTTTCAGGTTTCGAACTGCGGACTGAGCCAGGTCGATTTTATGTATCAAGCGTTCTACGGCCATCGTTGCACGAACTGGAATGGGGCTATCCATATCTGCGGATCGGAAGTTGACGCTGGCGCTTGTTGGAAATATGTTCCAGGTTAACTTTTTCAATCATGACTCTGGAACTACCAATGTTTTAGGCCGTAGCCAGAATACCATCGCTAGAAGTCAATATGGCCACAGCGAGGGTGGGCTAGTCGTCTATGACAATTATCTTCTCCGAATCGCCGGTTACACTCAAAAAGTTGAAGCTTACGGCGAAGGCGACTCTTTCTGGTCCGATTTCAACGCTGATTTGCCGTACGTCTTGAGTCAATTTGCAGCCCTTGTCGTAGACGATTCCATCTTCCTCTTTGGAGGATACTCCGGCGCCTCATACAGCCAAGTCGACACAATTCTGCGCTTCGACAACAACTCAAGAAGCTGGGACCAAATTGGTCAGATGGAGTACAGCCGAAGGAATTTCGCAATCGTCCAGGAAGAAAATTTTGTTTACATTGCTGGAGGAGAAGAATTCAACCTGCCATTTGAGGTCTTTGATACAGAGACTTTCGAAACAAGTACTTTGGAAAGCATGTCGCAGAACTTCTACTACGCACAAATCATACCCGAAGAATTTTTGAACTGTCGAAGTTAGAATAAAATGAATGAGAATGTATTTAAATGATCAAGTGGCAGGAAGAAGTTGGTCGATCATGAGTTCAAGCTTGTTGAATTTAGCGTCGTTATCTTCAACATGAGATGCAAGGGCCTACAAGTTTGCTATTTTCTATGAGATTTAGATTTACCGTTATTCGTCGATTTATACTCTGCATGAGGGCATCAACAGATGGTGTTTCGTCGAGACACTGTTTGTGCAGCTCTGTAACGGCCTTTTTCGTCACTTTTCCACTCGAAGTGTCCATATTGAACGCATCCTAGGAAAGCTATACCACTTTTACTTTCAACTTTCGTACCTTAGACATCGTATCTTCCTGAGTTTTGATAGTCGAGTTTAGGTACTCAATATGAATAAGCTCTGAAATTAGGTGGTAAATAATTAGTGAAGACGAGACCGCGAACCTGCTCTGTATTTATTCGGCATTTGATAGACGGCTTCGAGGGTTTGCTTCACTTGATTTGACATTTTTTTGAATATCGCATCTTAATTTTATGAAGACCAAAATACTGATTGACAGAGTACTTGCTGAAATGAGCTTGATATCTTCGATCGCCAACGCAGCAATCAAATTGACAACAACCAACGGCATCACAATAATAAAAGAAGTGAAGATAATTATCAACGTATTTTGCGCAATGTCATCAAATGCTATAAACAAGGATGAAAATCAACAAAGAGCAATCGTACTTACATTTGCAATGATCTGTTTCTTCAGTCGCTTCTGGTCCCAACGCACTACACGGCGTCCCAAATAAATTCTCCCAAGCAAATTTTTCAACAAAAATCAAGCACGTGCTCAAATATGACTAAAAATTTTCAGATATTTCGGGGAAAAAATGAGTTTTCTTACATTGAAAAAAGTAGCGAAGCTGTCTCGATCCTGAAACATGATCACCATCAAAATCGCAGTCGCAAAAATGGACATGAAACATAGAATCGAAAAGCTCGTGAATGTTTTCATGATTTGATTGAACATAATCACAAAGTATCCGATTCCAGGCATTTTCTGCATCTTTACGAGGAGCATCATCCACGAAAGCCAAATTGCACAGATTCCGCAAACCCACTGCCACTGCAGAGGAGCACTACTTTCTTCGGGGTTCAAATTGATCGCAAATAGAAAGGTCAAAACAAACATGAGCATTTCTGCAAGATTGCTAGCCTTTTTCAAGAAATCGAGTCGCTGGTAGCTGATTCGTAAGAACATCACTACAAGCTTGAAAATACTATAAATAATGAGGATCCAATCGAGCGCGCTTCGAATATTTCGCAATGAATGACAGTAGTTCATGTCATCTGGCATTTGCGACAAATGGATAGTATCGTATTTAGCCGTTGGTAGAAGATTTCCATCATCATCTCGAGGCAAGTAATAATCGATTATCCCAACAAGGTCGATTCCATATTCATGACAGGCAATAGTTCTATTTTGGCTGATCACATATGGTGGAGGAATCAAAAGGGCAAAGGCATTCAATAAACCAAGGTACAGCAAGTAGCCAAAAATGCTGAAGTAAAAGTAGTAAAAGCCTCCACTCTTCCACGTCTCCTGAGTCAAGGCGATCACAACTGGGTGGACAAGCAGGTCTGTCCGCTGGTGCTTGACCATCTTGAAACGGGCTCATGTATCCCGTAATGTCGTTTGTTTTAACATTTTTCCTAAACGAATACAATCGTAGGATTTTACGATTTCCGTAACCGAAAAAGCTTATTTAAATTAACTGAGCATTAAATATCAAGATACGAGCTGAAAGAATTGAGTTGACAAAATAAACTGTCGTCAGCGTCTATTGATCGATTCCCACGGCTGAAAAAGAGACGGATTCTAGAGCGTATCCAACTCAAAACTTGTAAGAGAAATGCCCTTAGCTAGCTGTGAATTGACTTCACTCTGCCCAAAAATGTGCAAAATCATTTGGAAAGGTAGTTTTTAGGGTTCGCAATCAAATAATTTCAAAATTTAAAATTGCTCTAAAAATAACCGTTTTCAGGATTCCCCCCTTTTCAATCATCAAGATTTCATTTCTGAAATCAGAATTTAAAAATCTTCAGTAGAACTCGAGATATGGCCCCGGAAAAAAGAACGAATTTCATCGGCGCGGGCTGCGCGCTGCGCTGTATGGGTGGCGCCCGAGTGCTGAAGCAAAGCGCCGAGTCAAACTCTGGCCCAAATCAATTTCACTTGTTCTTTTTCATTTTTTTATGATAATAAAATTAATAATTTAATAACTTTAATTAAAAAATATTAGATAAATTAATAAAATATTTAATAATAACTTAACAAATAAAGTTAATAATAAAAATTAAAAAAAAAATAAATATAAATTATATAAATACTCATAATTTAAATAAATTATAAAAAAAAAGCATAAATAAACAGAACTCACTCACTTTAGGAGTGTCACATTGATAAAAATAATTTTCTTGAAATCGCTTTCACGAAGAGGTACCCCGCTGTGTTTGCTTTACGATGGACGCCAGAATTTCATGCTTTGTAACATCATGTCAAACCACGTGCTCGGTCATGTGACTGGATGTCAGCTAATAACATGCGCAGCTTCATCTCAATATTGGGGATTTTCTTGAATATGTCGTCACAACTGGGTACCCTGCTGTGAATGGCTTATCATCGTCGCCAGAATTTCACCTTCTGTCACATGATTTCGAAGCACATAATTAGTCATGTGACCAGATATCAGCTCAAAACATGCGCAGCTTCATCTCGATATGGGGGATTTTCTTGAATATGTCGTCACGACTTGGTACCCTGCTGTGAATGGCTTATCATCGTCGCCAGAATTTCTCCTTCTATCACATGATGTCGAAGCACACAATTAGTCATGTGACCAGATATCAGCTCAAAACATGTGCAGCTTCATCTCGATATGGGGGATTTTCTTGAAGATGTCGTCACGACTTGGTACCCTGCTGTGAATGGCTTATCCTCGTCGCCAGAGTTTCTCCTTTTGTCACATGATGTCGAAGCACACAATTAGTCATGTGACCAGATATCAGGTCAAAACATGTGCAGCTTCATCTCGATATGGGGGATTTTCTTGAAGATGTCGTCACGACTTGGTACCCTGCTGTGAATGGCTTATCATCGTCGCCAGAATTTCTCCTTCTGGCACATGATGTCGAATACCCACTAAGTCATGTGACCAGATATCAGCTCAAAACATGTGCAGCTTCATCTCGATATGGGGGATTTTCTTGAAGATGTCGTCACGACTTGGTACCCTGCTGTGAATGGCTTATCCTCGTCGCCAGAGTTTCTCCTTTTGTCACATGATGTCGAAGCACACAATTAGTCATGTGACCAGATATCAGGTCAAAACATGTGCAGCTTCATCTCGATATGGGGGATTTTCTTGAAGATGTCGTCACGACTTGGTACCCTGCTGTGAATGGCTTTTCATCGTCGCCAGAATTTCTCCTTCTATCACATGATGTCGAAGCACACAATTAGTCATGTGACCAGATATCAGGTCAAAACATGTGCAGCTTCATCTCGATATGGGGGATTTTCTTGAAGATGTCGTCACGACTTGGTACCCTGCTGTGAATGGCTTATCATCGTCGCCAGAATTTCTCCTTCTGGCACATGATGTCGAATACCCACTAAGTCATGTGACCAGATATCAGCTCAAAACATGTGCAGCTTCATCTCGATATGGGGGATTTTCTTGAAGATGTCGTCACGACTTGGTACCCTGCTGTGAATGGCTTATCCTCGTCGCCAGAGTTTCTCCTTTTGTCACATGATGTCGAAGCACACAATTAGTCATGTGACCAGATATCAGGTCAAAACATGTGCAGCTTCATCTCGATATGGGGGATTTTCTTGAAGATGTCGTCACGACTTGGTACCCTGCTGTGAATGGCTTATCATCGTCGCCAGAATTTCTCCTTCTGGCACATGATGTCGAATACCCACTAAGTCATGTGACCAGATATCAGCTCAAAACATGTGCAGCTTCATCTCGATATGGGGGATTTTCTTGAAGATGTCGTCACGACTTGGTACCCTGCTGTGAATGGCTTATCCTCGTCGCCAGAGTTTCTCCTTTTGTCACATGATGTCGAAGCACACAATTAGTCATGTGACCAGATATCAGGTCAAAACATGTGCAGCTTCATCTCGATATGGGGGATTTTCTTGAAGATGTCGTCACGACTTGGTACCCTGCTGTGAATGGCTTATCCTCGTCGCCAGAGTTTCTCCTTTTGTCACATGATGTCAAAGCACACAATTTGTCATGTGGCCGGAAATCAGCTCAATACATGCGCAGCTTCCCCTCCACACTACTGATTTTCTTGAAGATGTCGTCATAACCGAGTTACCCCCGGATTCACCTCAACACTGACGATTTTCTCAAATATGTCGTCCTTAATGGTATCACCGATGAGAATGCCTTATAATCGACGCCCGAATTTTTCCGTTTGTCACACGAATATCGAGGAAATGTTTAGTTTTTTGACCAGATATCTTTTCTATACATGCGCAGCTTCACATTGATACTGATGATTTTCTTTCTATGATCAACCTACCGCGCATCTTCATCATCATCAACCTCGGCGTCGTCCAACATTTCGCCGTCTAAGCGCGTTTAGATCAAATTCGAACTCATATTCACTCACCGAGATCGCCTCTGAAATCGTCCAGCTCCGGAATAGCTCGATAATCATTCTCCATTCCATCGCCGAAGAGTTCTTGTAGCGGCTCTCCAGCGCCAGATGAGTCGTTGTCAATCGCAGGCGACGAATCGCTGAATTAATGATTAATAGCTCCTTAATGATTTTCTTACTTTAGCCATTCATCTTTAGACTCGTGCAGGTATGGGCCGTCATTGCTCAACTCCTCGAGACAATAAACAGTTTCCTTACGGATTCTCTCCGGATTTCGCAATTTTCTTGTTATGTTCGATGTTGCTAAAGAATTGTTATTTACAAAAGCAAGAGTTTTTCGGATTACCATTTTTCGGAAAACAAAAAACTCTTATCAAACGAACAGACCCCCGGAAAATACATGAGCGGAGCTAAATTTTTTAATACGAAATGATAAGAAATTAGAAATTACATTAGATGTGAGTAGACCATGTAGGTGACGGCTACGATCTTGCGGGTCTTGCAGTTGGAGCGATTTTTCGTCGAGAAACTCGAGAAAGTCGGATTTGATCGTTTTTTCAATTGCCGTAAGGGGCTTCCTGATACGGTTCTTACACTTTTCATTTCGTTTGATAAAATCAAAGCGATTGAACTATGAATTTTATTGAAAAAATGCAGCAAAAGATAAAATTTACCGAGGAAACATTTATCGGAAAAACAAGTTCACGATCGAATAGCGGCCCAACGAACTCGTCGGCGAAAGAGAAAACGATATTCACAATAGCCATGACTCTAAAATCTTAAAAATAAGGTCTTGAACAAATTTTAAGGTAAAAAACGAAAAAAAAACACCAAAAAATCAATTTTTTAAAGAAAGTCCGATATTTTCACCGATAAACCGGTTAATACCGGTCATTATATGTGGAGAAGAAAGAGGAGAAGCTACGGTTTCTAACAATATAAAAAAATAAAAATTTGGGCAGGGATTCGGGCTAAAACCGATAAATGTCCGGAAAACCGGCTTTTTCGGCGGCGTAAATATAAGCAGTCGGAAAAGGAAGAAAAATGACGTCGATTGATGTGCTGCAAGTCATAGTTTCTCTATTATTTTCTCTTTTTGGCAGCAATTCGCCTTTTTTCGTCTCGACGAGACTAAAAAGGTTGCACGTGCATGATGAGTCATACAGTACCAAAAATTTCAAAATTTTCAAAATAACGCAAAATTCAATTTATGGGCATCATTCGATAGGAAATCAAATTCTCTACAATTTTTATAATAGTAAAAGAAGATTCAACCCCTTTTTCAATGCAAAAAGGGATGATTTGTCTCTTATCAGTAAAATTTCAACCTTTAAAAATTTTTCATTGTCCACATTTTTTCATTATTTTCTTTATAGATTTATACTAAGAATGTTAAGACTCATTCATTTTTGACAAAAACAGCTAATACCTCATCAAGGTTTTCGAGATATTCGAGGTTGTCAATGTTGAACTTTTGGTGTTTCAAGCTATGATCTTGGCAATATAATAATTAATTAAAGGCTGAAGCTGCGCACGAATAGAGGCGAAATTCGGTCACATGATAGAACACATGTTCCAGAATCATGTGACAAAAGAAAAATATCTGGCATCGACAATAAGGCTTCCACAGCAGGGTACCCAGTTGGGACAACATATTCAAGAAAATCGTCAGTATCAAGGTGAAGCTGCGCATCAATTGACCTGATATCAACTCACATGACTCAACAGGTGTTCTCGAATCATGTGACAAAAGGAAAAGTTCTGGCATCGCTGATAACGCATTCACAGCGGAGTACTTAGTTAGGACAACGTATTCAAGTACTTCGTATGACATGTTTATGTCCGACAATATTGCTTTCTCCACAATTTTTCGACAATTTGTTATCAGATATGAATTTATTATGCTCTTGTCTTTGTTTAAAAGATGTAAACAGCAAATACCTCATCAAAAGTTACAAGAAATTTAAAGTTGACTATGCTTAACTTATGGAACAACGGTTGAGACAATGTATTGAAGAAAATTGTCAGTATCACGGTGAAGCTGCGCATCAATTGACCTGATATCAAGTCACATGACTCAACACATGTTTTGCAATCATGTGACAAAAAGAAAAGTTCTGGCATCGCTGATAAGGCATTCACAGCGGGGTACCCAGTAAGGACAACGTATTCGAGAAAATCGACAGTATCAAGGTGAAGCTGCGCATCAATTGACCTGATATTAAGTCACATGTCTCAACACGTGCTCCTGAATTATGTGACAAAAGAAAAATATCTGGCATCGACAATAAGGCTTCCACAGCAGGGTAACCAGTTGGGCCCACGTATTCAAGAAAATCGTCAGTATCAAGGTGAAGCTGCGCATCAATTGACCTGATATCAAGTCACATGACTCAACACATGTTTTGCAATCATGTGACAAAAGGAAAAGTTCTGGCATCGCTGATAAGGCATTCACAGCGGGGTACCCAGTCTGGCCAACGTATTCAAGAAAATTGTCAGTATCAAAGTGAAGCTGCGCATGTATTGACCTGATATCCGGTCACATGACTCAACACGTGTTCTGCAATCATGTGACAAAAGGAAAAGTTCTGGCATCGCTGATTAGGCATTCACAGCGGGGTACCCAGTTGGGACAACGTATTCAAGAAAATCGTCAATATCAAGGTGAAGCTGCGCATGTTTTGATCTGATACCTAGTCACATGTTTCAACACATGTTCTGCAATCATGTGACAAAAGGAAAAGTTCTGGCATCGCTGATAAGGCATTCACAGCGGAGTACCCAGTTGGAACAACGTATTCAAGAAAATCGTCAGTATCAAGGTGAAGCTGCGCATCAATTGACCTGATATCAAGTCACATGACTCAACAGGTGTTCTCAAATCATGTGACAAAAGGAACAGTTCCGGCATCTATGATAAAGCATTCACAGCGGGGTACCCAGCTGGGACAACGTATTCAAGAAAATTGTCAGTTTCAAGGGGAAGCTGCGCATAAATTGAGCTGATATTAAGTCACATGACTCAACACATGTTTTGCAATCATGTGACAAAAAGAAAAGTTCTGGCATCGCTGATAAGGCATTCACAGCGGGGTACCCAGTAAGGACAACGTGTTCGAGAAAATCGACAGTATCAAGGTGAAGCTGCGCATCAATTGACCTGATATTAAGTCACATGTCTCAACACGTGCTCCTGAATTATGTGACAAAAGAAAAATATCTGGCATCGACAATAAGGCTTCCACAGCAGGGAACCCAGTTGGGCCCACGTATTCAAGAAAATCGTCAGTATCAAGGTGAAGCTGCGCATCAATTGACCTGATATCCAGTCACATGACTCAACAGGTGTTATCGAATCATGTGACAAAAGGAAAAATTCTGGCATCGATGATCAGGCATTCACAGCGGGGTACTTAGTTAGGACAACGTATTCAAGTACATCGTATGACATGTTTATGTCCGACAATATTGCTTTCTCCACAATTTTTCGACAATTTGTTATCAGATATGAATTTATTATGCTCTTGTCTTTGTTTTAAAGATGTAAACAGCAAATACCTCATCAAAAATTACAAGAAATTTAAAGTTGACTATGCTTAACTTATGGAACAACGGTTGAGACAATGTATTGAAGAAAATTGTCAGTATCACGGTGAAGCTGCGCATCAATTGACCTGATATCAAGTCACATGACTCAACACATGTTTTGCAATCATGTGACAAAAGGAAAAGTTCTGGCATCGCTGATTAGGCATTCACAGCGGGGTACCCAGTCTGGCCAACGTATTCAAGAAAATTGTCAGTATCAAAGTGAAGCTGCGCATGTATTGACCTGATATCCCGTCACATGACTCAACACGTGTTCTGCAATCATGTGACAAAAGGAAAAGTTCTGGCATCGCTGATTAGGCATTCACAGCGGGGTACCCAGTTGGGACAACGTATTCAAGAAAATCGTCAATATCAAGGTGAAGCTGCGCATGTTTTGATCTGATACCTAGTCACATGTTTCAACACATGTTCTGCAATCATGTGACAAAAGGAAAAGTTCTGGCATCGCTGATAAGGCATTCACAGCGGGGTACCCAGTCTGGCCAACGTATTCAAGAAAATTGTCAGTATCAAAGTGAAGCTGCGCATGTATTGACCTGATATCCCGTCACATGACTCAACACGTGTTCTGCAATCATGTGACAAAAGGAAAAGTTCTGGCATCGCTGATTAGGCATTCACAGCGGGGTACCCAGTTGGGACAACGTATTCAAGAAAATCGTCAATATCAAGGTGAAGCTGCGCATGTTTTGATCTGATACCTAGTCACATGTTTCAACACATGTTCTGCAATCATGTGACAAAAGGAAAAGTTCTGGCATCGCTGATAAGGCATTCACAGCGGAGTACCCAGTTGGAACAACGTATTCAAGAAAATCGTCAGTATCAAGGTGAAGCTGCGCATCAATTGACCTGATATCAAGTCACATGACTCAACAGGTGTTCTCAAATCATGTGACAAAAGGAACAGTTCCGGCATCTATGATAAAGCATTCACAGCGGGGTACCCAGCTGGGACAACGTATTCAAGAAAATTGTCAGTTTCAAGGGGAAGCTGCGCATAAATTGAGCTGATCTTCGGTCACATGACTTGACATGTGATCCGAAATTATATTATAATGGGAGAAATTATGGCTTTGATGATAAGGCATTCTCAGCGGGGTACCCAGCTGTTACTACTTAATCAAGAAAATTATCGATAACAAAGTCAAGTCTTATGTGTCTTATGTGTCGTGCTCACATCCTTTTATATGAATAAATACATAGTGTGATATTTTTGAAAAGAGAGAAATAGTTCTTATTATTATTGGTTTATATATGCATGTATCGTGATTTTTTCTGCTGATTCGACAAATTTTTTAATGATAAGTATTATGTCATCATTAAATTTTCCATTGTTTGATATTTTTATAGCCGTTTGTTTTATTATTATTCTGTTTGTACAGATAAGAAATCTTCTTTGTTCAGCATATTTCATATTTTGAATTTCGCGCACTTTTTTTTTTCTAAACAATAATTTTTTAATTTCCAAGTACGATCCACCAACCATTCCAAATCGCTTGAATTTTTGACAGGAGGGTTATTTTGCCTGTATAAATGTATGGTCGAGGTTGCGAAATCGTAGAACACCTGTGAGCAGAGATATTGATTATTTTCCGGAATTTCTAGCTCATAATTTGTTTGTTTGTTTATTTTTCTCATTTTTTTTCGATTTTTTAGATTCCCTTATACCGATTTACTATACTAAAATTCAATTTTATTGTTATTCAAGATGGTCAAAATTATTTGATTGCGAACCCTAGTAGTTTTACGATGAAACAATTCGCCAAAAACACAGTATTCAGAGGTTGTTGACATGGGTGACTGTGCGAATCTAACGCAATTTCAAATCAACGAATATGAAGAAAGATGGGATTCAGGCGGTTGTCATGAAATGGTACAATAGCATCATAAATTTATCTGTTATTATATTATCAATTTTAGTACTTATGCAACAACTCTCAAATCGTCAGGGCATCAGTGATATTTTTCCTTTTGTTCATTTTACTGTGTAAATAAATGAGAGTCTGGTTACGAGACTGTCAATTTGACAGTGTCGAATATAAAAGCTCTAAAATCTCGTTGTTACGTTAATTCATTGTCACTCTTTTACGACTCTTTAATCGACTCGCCTTAGAGTCTAAGACGGCTTAATTGAATAAAGAAAGAAAAACTTGCAGAGATATAACTTGAAAATGGTCTGTACAAATCCAATGGCATGTCCCAAAATGTGCAAAATTTTGACAAAAGGTATTATATACGCAAATAATATATAGACTAAGAGCATAGTAAGTATAGTAAATGTGTTTTAGAGATCGAAGATCTTGGGGGATGTGGCGCATTGACGCCAGAGCAATCGAATACTTACGCAACTAAATGGAAAATTGGTGGTTGCAAGGAATTGGTATTTGAGATTGATAAATGCTTATTTTATGGTTTTTTAGAGCTTTTGTAGTGGTTCGGAAATCGTTGGTATTTCAGTTTTGTTGTGTCTTATTCTATTTTTTCTGTATAAATAAAAGTCATGAGCCCTTGTCAAAATGAGCGGATTATTCGTATATAAGACTTTTGAGTTCTCGCTGTACGGCCTGACTGTAATGACAATCTCCGAGGTATAATTCGGCTGAAGAATAACATCCATCAAGCTCGCCGAGTTATTTTCCGCATTTTTTCTTACTCCCGCGTTGAACCATTTCAAAATTCGGTAGTCGTCGCTGATCCAGGACACTTTGCATTGAATCTCGAGCTCTTTGACATCCAGATCTTGGCGAGCACATTTGGCAAATTCGACGCCTCGGACTTTCATGCAGCGATTGAGTACCATTAACGCTTCGTCTGGCATCACTTCGATAAGTTTTCGGAAAGGAGTTGTAAATGGCTTTGGCGAGATTTTCGACCGATTATTTTTCTTGATTCAAAAAGCAGAAAAAACTCGATCCTTTGATGGAATTGCCGTTCTGACCGCATTGCAAAGTACCGATTCCCAGTGATCTGTTTGAATAAGCAGCTGAACAATATCAGGCTGTTGACCATCAATTGCATAGTCTAGGCAATTTCTTCCGTTGTCGTCTCGCTGATTGATAGACTCGTACCATTTCAGGATAAATTTGACCACTGGAACTTGACCTCCTCTACAAGCGTGCATCAAAAGAGTGACTTTGTGCGCATCAGGTTTCTGAATAATCTGCTTGAATTCCGTTTCTCCCGCGTGTTTCTCGATGTATTGGACGAACCGGAACCAGAAATCTACGGCTTCGTCTTTTCTGTCTTTGACTGTCACGTTTCTCAGGAGTGCGAAAAGAAGGGTTCTCCCATTTTCCTTCAGCGTAAATTTGAAATCAAGTTCTTTGAGTCGCCAATGATAGTTTTTCAGCACATCGGTCGCAAAGTACCACATGATTCGCCAAAGAACAGCCTCCATTTGTAACGATTTATCCTGCACTTGGACATGTTTGATGATGTCTTTGAAAAGTTCCAAGTCTGTGTTGCGCCCACGAGCGTGAATGAAGAATTCTAGTGTGTTCATCATCGCAAATCGCTCATCCTTGATTTCAACTCTTCGGACAAGATTAGATTTCGCAAGCATGGTTCGGATGAGAGTCTTTACTTTGAAACTATTTTTGAAGTGTTCTTCGATCGGCCCGATTTTATTCTCGAATCGGATCTGAAAAATGATCATTAGTAATGATTCAATACAGTCTGACAAACACATGATTTTTTACCTCATGACTGTTGATAAGATAAAGAATTGGGGTCCAACCATCTTGGTCTTGAACATCAAATCCAAATTTTTCTCCGAGAGCAAGAAGAACCTCATCCAGATTGAGATTAACGATGCAGAAATGAAATAAAGTCATCGCTTGACGATTTTGAGAAGGAAGAGACACCAAATGAAGCTGTTTTATTGTTGGAATAACTTGAAAATAACTTGAATCCAAAATAAGATGGTACAAAATGCTAACCTTGTGTCATTGTTTGAATTTGAAGCCGCGTTACAACTCCGTTTTCAGTTCTCATTACTTCTTTCAGCATAAGCCAGAAAGCATACTCGTTCGGATACATTTTCTCCATCTCTTTTAGTGAAAGAACCGGCCGATAGCCAGGACGTATTCCATCGTAGACATTTTGCCTCGGTCGATTTCCAACGGAATGCGCTCCGAGATAACCAGGAGCAGAAGACCCGCTCATTTTTGGGCCTTTGAAATCTCTCTGTTCACGATTTAGGGAATTTGCTTGAATAGAAGTGATGGGTGCAGTTTCAGTTTTATAGAGTGCAAATGTTGCGCGCGAACAAATACTTTGTTGTATCCTGTTATCAGTTGTCTTAATTAAAATGATGAGGATTTTCAATTAAATTTTTATTAATCGATGAGTTTTTCAACGATTCAAATTCAGGAGATGCGCGTTCCTCGACTGAATAATTCAATCAGATAAACAACACCAAACTCTTGAAGCTGAAATGATAGAAGGTCCCGCTAGTTGGAAAAAGAGATAAATAGACAAAATGTTCAGATGGTTCAGAAAAAGTAAATCCACAGGTGATTTTCTACTAGTTGTCGTGATTTGATTGATATTATAGGGGACACAAGCTCAGAATACAGTACTTCGGCCTGCACAAGTTACTCGGCCGAACAATCTGAAGAGGAAAGTGATGAGGAAGAAGAAGACCTGGAAGAACAAGCTGAAGGTATCATAGAATCACATTCAAGTATCAATTATTTTTTTTGAGAGAGTGAAAGTGATGCTGATACAGTTGTTGAAGATGAATCAGGTGTCAGCTCTCTCGAGGAAGAAGATAGTGCCGAAGAATCTGAACTTGATTCTGTTGAAATTGTTTCAGAGAAACAGCCAGTTTATAGACAAAATACCGTTGTCAGAGCTCCTTTTTCGGCGATCCAGGTAAGAAAAAATGAGTAAAGTTTTCAACAATATAACTGCCCAGGAAGATGAAGAAGAGTCAGAAGAGGAAGAAGAAGATGAGGAGTCAACGATTCAAGACATTGAAGATCACAATCAGCTGATGCTTACTGAGGAGGAAGATTCGAGTGGTACGCGTTTGAATATTTACAAATTTTGAATTATTGATCAGAGGCTCTTGAATCCAGTGCTTTGGACGAGGAAGAAGAAATCGAAGAATCGGTTGAGATTTCGCAGAGCACAGAAGTACTTTCAGAGAGTCAGACAGAAGAAGAAAGTACAGAAATCACAGAGGAAGAGAGCGAGGAAGAAGAGTCGGAAGAAGAAGAAGAGGAGAGAGAGGAAGAAGGAACTACAGTAGAAACAGTAGGGAATAATATGACCACGACGGCAGATTTAACAGAAGATGATATCCTTTCGATCACAGAAGAAGATTCAGACATATCAGCGACTACGAAGTCCAAATCATCTAAAAAATCCAGGAAGTCCCTCAAACTCATCGAGAGAATATCCAGTAGCATGTCCTTGTCCTCAATTTCCTCCGCCGGAATGAGCAAATCTTCCTCACAAAAATCATTGAAGTCAAAATTGAAACAAAAAGTATCCGATTCCTGCCAAATCGAGCCAACAAATCCCTCTTTAAAAAGTGAGCATGTTCATCTTCAGCGAGAAACACTATTTGGACTGCCCAGAGATCACACTGGAGATGCGCTTATTGATGCAGCTACTCAAGGAGCACAGGTATTTCGAATGCCGTATTCTTCAGAATTTTTATTGCTTTTAGCTTTCTAGCTGATATTAACATCTGAAGTTTAGACAACAACAAAAGTGTCCAACCGAATTCAACAGCTTCTTCAAACACTCTCCAAGCCAAGAAAAAAGCCTCTTACTGAATTCTACACTGGTAGCGCAAACGCAACAGCACTTACCGGTGTTCCTCGCGCGACAGGTCAAGTTGGCCACATTCTTGTCGGAAAGCATCTTCCTCAGCCTGATGACGATTTTCTTGAGCTATTTCTACAGCATGTTTACGAGAGACCAAAAGAGCCAGCTTTTACTTCTTGGAATAGCAAAGGAAAACTCAAAACTTGGACCTGGTCGAAGCTCCATGCGAAAGCACTTTCAGCAGCTCACGAGCTCACTGCACGAGTAGAACTCGAAGCAGGGGATACAGTAGCGTTGATGATCCCAAATGCATCTCCGTTTTTCTTCTTGGCATCATTCATGGGATGTTTACTCGCCGAAATCACCCCAATCTCGATTGAAATGCCCATTACGAATTCAAAAGAAGGAATGACTGCGCGTTTCGGCCATCTTCTCCGTTCGGCGAATATCACCGTCGTCATAACTACCCCATTTTACGCCAAGGCGTTAAGAAAACGCGATAATATTTTGACAAATTGGCCTCATGTCGAATTTGAAAGCTTGCATCTGAAAAATGCGCCCGCGAAATTTGAGTTTACTCCGATCGATCAAAGAACTCAATCGTCTCGTTTTATGGAGTACAATGTTCAAGGTGGGCAGATTCATGCGATTGTTCGCCCTTCAAAAATGATTGTTCATACTGCCAAGCGGATACAAGATCGGCTTGGACTTGATTCCTTCGATGTTGTCAGCTGCTTGAGCGATTTCAAGCGACAATCCGGACTCATGTTCGCTGTGCTGACACCAGTGGTAGTGGGATGTCACTGTCTGATTTTCCCGTTTACAGTTTGCAAACAGAAGCCTGAGCTTTGGATTGAAACTATTGGCGCAATCTCCGCGACAGTCATTATTGGAAGCTCCAAAGAATTCGGATGGGGCTCTATGGCCAGATTGAAGGATAAATACGCTACAAAGAAGTCGCCTCTTCCAGATCTAAGCAGTGTCAAATCAACAATCGTCACTGATGGTGCTACACCACTCGCTATTACCTATGCCGTTCGAGTTGTATCGGAGATGAGCTCGATTGACCTGTCCCTGTCATCCATGAAGCCACTTGTTTGGTCCGATCTTGTTGGTGTCGTATGTCTACGAGACAGGGCAGATGATCTTGCTTCTGTCGCGCTGAATCGAGAGTTCTTGACTTTTGGCGTTGTTCGCGAATCAAAAGGCGATGGAGATCCAATTCATGCTTACTACAACGGTTCCATCGTTCCCGGACTGAGAATGGCTGTTGTTCCTGCCACAAACCATCCTTATGACATGGTCCAAAACGGCGACTCAAACAAAACCGAGACATTCAAGCCAGTTCGAATGGACGAGCTTGGCGAAATCATCATCAGCGGCTTCGGCCTTGATCATCAAACTCTACACAATTTGAATATCGTCGGCGATCGAATTTTCAAATGCAGACTCGATGTTTCCGGAAATAAAAACTACACAAAAGAAGAAAAAACTGAAACTTGGTCGCGCTATTGGGTGAGAACTGGCATTCTCGGGGCGATGGTCAGATCTGAGGATATTTGCACCCTTGGTAGGATCAAAGATCGACTCGAGATTAGTGGAAGATTTCATAACTCGCTTGATATGAGCGTCTCGATTCTCCAAGCAGCGCCGTTTCCTCATGAAAGTCGAGTGATAGTTTTCGATATTCCGGTAATGAGTCGAAGACGAATTGCAGTTGTGGCTGAGCAGCCACCAGATGTCTGTGACGATGTCGTCTACGGTTGGATGAACGATGTCATGTCTGCAATCAACTCAAAGCATCATGAATCTGTCTTTACCATCTGCACCATTCCTGCGGGCGTAATTCCTCGAAAACCAGCCGGCGGTGTTGATATCTTCGAAGTAAGACGGCGACTCTTAACCGGAAATCTACATCCACTTCATATTCTCTGCTGCCCTCACGCTGCTATTCATAATCTTCCTCGAGCAAGAGAGAAGATTCTTGGAATGGGGCCGAATTCGATTATGCAAGGCTTTGTTGTAGCAGGATCGCAGCCAGCAGAAATCACTACTGATCCGATTCCCGAGGAAATTTTCATGTTCGAGAAGCCTATTCATCAGCTTCTTTTGGAAATCGCCGAGTTACCATCAGTAAAAGAAAACGTTATTATGCTCAACAATCCTCAAGACGTTGGAGGACAACCATCTCGACTGACATTTGCTCAACTTTCTCTCGAAGCGAGAAAATTCGCTGGGAGACTTTTGGCTGCTGGAATCAAGGCAGAAGATCGAGTGATAGTTTGTCTCAAGTCTACGATGTTTCCCATTGGCATGTATGCTTGCTTGCTTGTTGGCTGCGTTCCGATTCCGATAAGGCCGCCTTCTGAAAATTCAATTTCTACTGTAGCCCTTGTTTGCAGAGAATCAAAAGCGAAAATTGCCATCACCTCTACTTCTATGGTGCGTTTTCTAAGGAAGTCACTCCATATTCAAGTTTTTCCAATCGACGATGTCGACGAAAGCACCGAAAGCATCGCTCCCATCGAAACTTTCGCTCAATTTTTCAAGGGCCCTGAAAATCTGTGCTATGCAGATTATACTGTTTCCGCTTCTGGATACTTGTATGGAAGGCCAGTGACTTTTAAAGAAATTGCATTTCAATGCGCTCAATTGAAAGCGCAGCTGGATCTTCAGTCTTTAGCTACGGTTCTGTGTGTTTTAGAACCTTACAATGGATTGGGGCTAATTTTATCCGTGTTTCTGCCTGTTTATTGTGGAGTAGAGGTATCTCTACGAATTTGATGTCGTTTCATTTTTCCTAGGTTTTTCATATTCTACCATCTTGGTCAGAATGGCGAGTTGATGCTCTCATGGCACTGATGACAAAGCATGAATACATATTTCTACAATCTACTGTCGCAGAAAGTATCATCGAGAGCAATAGTTGCCAGGATGCAAGAAAAGCATTCGACATGCGTGCTGTGCAGCAGCTATCGATTGTCCACCAGTCGAAGGCAGATTTTGGGCTGATAGATGGAGTAAGAGAGACACTGTCGCGATATGATCTCAGGAATGGTTTAATCAAAATCATAGATGAGAATTAAATTTGCAGATCTTTTAAACCATCTTTGAGCGGAATAAAAGTAGCTCCGATTCATGTTTCCAACTTGACGCCAATTCTAGCACTGCCAATGCCAACGGTAGAATTTAAAATCTTCATGCGAAACTGAAGTTTTTTAGAAACCACAATTGACTATTCGCTATTTGGATAAGAAAGAACTCCGCAATGATAGAATTCAATTTACCGCAAAGGGTGCTCCATTTTCGACGGCGATTTTATGTGCTGGTCCTGTTGCTCCTGAAAGTAAAGCTATCATTGTGAATATATCAACTGGTGGCCAAGCAGGAATGAATCAAATCGGCGAGCTTTGGGTCAGTAAACGATCTATTCTCATTTTTTAATATTTTCTCAAGATCTCCAAAAACAATCGCACAAGAAATTACGAAACAGTGGTTGGGGCCGGGGCCAATTTTATAGCTGAAAATGAAAGTCTTCATGCAACGGTTAAAACTGGCTGTTCAAAAACGCTTTTCATCCGGACCGGCCTGCTTGGTTTCATCATGTCCCCTCAAGGACCCGATTTACCTCCAGAACTCTTCATAACTGGTAGAATTGCTGATCAAATTGTCATAAGAGGGATGAGTTTCGCGCCAGAAGATATCGAAAACTGCGTCAAAAGAGCGCATAGAGCCATAAGTTCTTGCGCAGCATTTTCTATTGCTGGTTTATTGGCTGTTGCAATCGAGCTTCCAGGGCCAGAAGGGATAGCTCTTGATTTGGTAAGAAGGCGAAAGATGCAAGAATAATTTATTTCAGTCCCTGCTTGTTACAATGCGACTACTCAATGAGCTCGAGATTCCGCTTGGAATTTTTGTCGTTTTGGATCCAGGAACTATCCCTACAGACTCAGCAGGGGGAAAACAAAGAAAACTACTTTGCGATCTTTTTGTCGAGAATGCTCTCGACCCTATATTTGTTGCTTACAATATGTGATTAATAAAATTCATTCATTTTTTTGCATTAGTATACAGAATCGGTTTTTATTTACCGTTTATTTTAGTATATGAAATCATTCGATATGCAGTATCGATTATTTATCGGATTATAAAGCTGTTTATTGAGAAAAAGAACAGAAAATAAAGAATGTTAACTAATCACATTCAATAAGGCTGCGTAATGACTGGAGACTGAGTGGGAACGATGATGGTGGTGGGGTGAGTTTGTCGCTCGTGCTGAACCATGGCGCAGACGGTGCAGCAGATTACTGCGAGAAGATCCCTAAAAATACTTAGGCAATATAAATTTCTTCTTTCTTACATCAAAGTATCTCTTTGTAGTCCATATTTGCTTTGAATTTCTTTTCGTTGTTCGTAGACGAGCGAAACCGCGATCTTAAAACAGTTGTAGCAAAGTAACTTACCAGAATCACAGTTAACAACAAAATTTACTAACGTATCCTCCAATGCATGTTACACATTGAATATAGTAGGCGAGATGCGGAACTGACGAGCAAAGAAGCTCTGGAAGCCACGACGACCAAATTCCATTCCAGGTTCCTAAGATTTCGCCCAAGCAGAATAACGCGGTACGTGAGCCAGCTTTGGACCTGTCGAGTGAAGTTTGAGTCGAATGAAAAGTCAAGCAGGGGACGAAAATGGTCTTGATACAGAGTCCAAGATCACAATAAAAAAGCGGCGATGAAAATTGAGTGCTCTGGATAATTGTCGGCTTTTCGATGTTCAGATTTTATAGCTTTCCATATTTTTAAAGCTTCAAGAAACATTCCTGGGAAGGTGCCATCCCACTTGGCTGAGAAATTACAGGTTCAGTGGTTTCACTCATCGCATAAATTTTCAAAATATATTATAATTATTATATATATATTATTATATATATATATATTATATATATATATATTAATAATATATATATTATAATATAATTATCACAATTCCAAGAAAAAATCAAATCAGCAAATGGTATTCTAGAGACTTTTTCATTTAAATTTCGATTTCCCGCACAAATTAAGTAAAGCGTAGCTTGATAGTTTTTTTTTGATAATTGTAAACAAATAAAGAATTTATTATTAAAATAAAGATAACATACAATAATATTTTTTCGAGCTCTTTCGGTGAGTTCTCCAAGATTCAGTTCATTTGTGGAGAGGCTTGGTCAATCTGTTGTAAAGGAATCGGCTGAGTGACTACAGCCGACTGATTTGGAACAATGATGAATCGAGGATGAGTCTGAAGTTCGTGCTGGACCATAACGCAGATTTGACAGAACCAGATGGCAAGAAAATCGCTGGAAACCATCAAGTTGAACGTTTCTAATTGATGACAAAACTTACATCAAAGAATCGCTGCGAATCCCATATTTATTTTGTATTTGCTTTCGTTGTTGGTAGATCAAGACTTTTTCGATCTTAAAAATGTTTGAATGCAACGTTGAATGCAATGGTACTAACAAGCATATCAACTGTTCCTACACATTGCAGAATCGGTGCAAAAATGATAGATTTTGTGATGATTGTGCCAGCAAAAATCGCAATCATACTGATTTCTGCACAGGAGTAGAATGCTGTCAATGGCCTCGCTTTTGACTCGTCCAAAACTTCTTGGGTTGAGTAAAAAGTCAGGAATGAGCAAAAATATGTTTTGATGCAAAGTCCAACATCGCAGTGGAAAAGTGAGTGACTGAAATCAGGCCTTTGGATCAATATCGGCTTTTGGCTCTCAAAAGGTGCAAATTTTTAATTTTCAAACTTCGAAAAGTAAAAATTAAGAACTGACCCTGGGTAATTACAGGTGCCATCGCACTAGGCTCTGACACAATGGGCTCGTTGTGTTCACTCATCTCCGAAGCTCAGAAAATTCAACTAATGGCAAGTCGAAAATGCCTTCTCTAAACCAAAATTCACGGATGATTCTAGAGATAGGCTAAAGAAGATTTTTTTGCGAAATTAGCATTGAGAGCGAAGCTTGCCTGGCAGCAGCATTTCGAGTACGGCTGATTCCATGTAAAAGCGCGATCCATGTAAAAACTAAAGCATGTAAAAATCGATTCCATGTAAAAACATTCTTTTACATGGATTGCATCTTTACATGGTTTCAACCGGACAAAAAAAGCTGAATTCATGTAAAAGTAATTTTTCTGAAAAAATAAATGAAACCATGTAAAATTTGTGAAAAAGATGGAATTCATGTAAATTTATTTTTTTCAGCGGATCATCTGACTCAACCCTCAAGTTATTCGAAGTTTCGACAAGAAAGGTATGTTTCTTATGTCTTTTCTGTAACTTTTACTTCTTATTTAGTTATAAGAAGATCTTCCTGGTCCTTCAGAAGCCTCAAAGAAATTCGACTGGTTAGAAATCAAGCTACGCAATTATTAAGACAAATTCTCTTTCGTTTTTTCTGTATCTATGATCAAAATCCTTTGCTTTGTTCTTAATAAAATGTAAAAATTAACAAAAGACAATTCTTAAATTGAAGCGGAGAGTGTGGGTTACGATCCCACTAGACCGCTTTAACAAAGCTAAAGAAGTCTAATCCAAGACGCTCTCGAGTCATAACGCTTCTTCATAAAAGAAGTTGAATCAATTGTTAATTAGATTTGCAGGGAATTTTAAACAACTTTGATCATTGACCCAAAAAAACTAGAAATCATCTCTGAAATTATGGCTTCTTTTGAAAAAGAATCAGACTAGTACCTGTCGTCGTTGATTTTCAATAGTGTCTCGATGCTTGTCGAATGTCTTTTCAAGCTCTTCAAGCTGTTTCATCTTGAGCTACATTTTCTTCACTTGGAAATCAACAAGGACTGCAACCAGATATCTGATTTTTCTTTCTTCTTGTGATGCAAGATGTTTTGCTTTTACAGCGGCAGAAGAAAGAGCTTCTGCGGTGGCCTTTTCGAGTTCCTCGTCGGTCATGTCTGGGTTTTCTTTCTTGGTCGGAGAAGAGCCTTTGCCTGAAACTTGATTAAAACGATCAGTTACCGCAGCGATGAGCACATTTTGGTTTCCTTTATTGTCCCTGTTCGTAATCGGCTTGTCTTCCTTGATTTTCTTCTTTGTAAAACGTCGTTGAGTTGATCTGGACCTAAATGCATAAATTATGATAAGTACTTCACAGCTTCTAGAATCGGGAGGTTGAAGTTTTGATTTTACGGTTATAACTCACTCCTAAGTTACTGGAGTCTAAAGAGATGACGAAAACTCCGGGCGAGAAGAACAAAAAGGTTGTTGAGAAAGCGAAAAAACGTGCGAAGAGAAAGCGCGATGATTTGGAAAAGATCTTTCCAGTATCTGAGCCCTTGAGCCCGCTCGAAATCGATGACATGAAGGATATGTCATCATATTCTAATCCGGAGGAAAAGTTCAATTAACTGACATTATCTGATAATTATTTTTCAATTTTTGTCAATTTGATTAAACTTTGAAAGCTTGTTGGCATCCAGCCTCATTCAAACTTTGGCAACATCTCATTTTACGTTCTCATACTCGGAGGCATTTTCCGGTTCTATCCGAGGAACCCGACAGACAAGGGGTCAAAGAATATGAACAGAATTTTTTTTTTCAGAAGATGTTGTCATCAGACCCTCAACGAACCCTTTAATTGAAGCTAAGAATCTAAGCTACAAGAAAAGATGAATTAAAAGCCTACTTTTAAGATTTTCATTGATTATTTTGATAGAAAACCAATCAGTACCCGAAAAATAGCCATTTTTATCGAATATTCGCTCTAAAATTTTTTCGCCTGACTTTAAGGGTATGGTTACAGTAGTTTTTTACGGTGAAAACGTCAAGATAGCTACAGGTTACCCAAACTCTACCTAGGTACCCTTAAGACCCCTGTACAGACTTCAAGCGGTTTAAAACCCGCCCGGGAACGCGTCATTACGATGAGGATCATCTGTACCGATGGCGATTGAATTGCAAGTGCCATCGAGGGGTTGCTGAGAAAAAAAAGGACAAGGAGAAAGGATGTGAAGATGAAAATTCTGCGGAAAAGTTTCCTATTTGCTCATGTTCGATACAAATGTACGGGTACTGTTTGGATCCCTACAACGAAGATTACTACGACCTTGATAACTGGAAACTCTTGCCGATCAAGAAGCCGCATATAAATGAAAATTACTGTCAAGTGAAGTATACTGATATGTGGAACAAGTGGATAGGCACGAGATTATAAATAACAAATTTACCTGATGATCTTGAGGAGAAACCAGTTGACGGTAGTGGTTAATTTGATCTTCTATCGCGCTCTAAAAATTTTCATGAGACAATTCTTAATTTTGATTCTTCAAGTAAAAATTAAAACCGTGTTATATGAGTTTGCGGGGATGTGTTTTTTATACTGTCCTGTTTCCTGTTTTGCAGATGGTCTCAAAAAGAAATTCCTCTTCCTGTATATGACTATTAGTTATAAAAATTATTTAAATCTCTTAAAAAGCCACGCGGATGGCAGATAACGTGACGGGCTCGACGCGGCTCAACATGAAACAATTTAAAGCTGTCATTGGAAAGAATTTTTCAACTGAAATGGATGCTGATCTTTTTAACGAAAAACGCACGACTAGAATACGACAAAACGCACAGTATCACCTTCATAAATCGATCGTTACCGATGATGAGAGCGTTGTTTGCCAAGCCTACAGAATGCAAAATTTGAGAGTTTGGTGGTGCGACCCCGTAATGGAAAAATATAGTGGCTCAGTTATGGTTCAGAAAATTGATCTACCTGTTGAAAAGTACTGTTAGTGGATAACGTTGAGCTTATGAATGTAGTCCAATCCAGAGTTGGTTAAAAAGTATACTTCATATGAGCTTCAGTGATGAAGGAATTCCGAGCCATTTCGTACTTCAATGCGCTTCAAGAATGAAGGGCGCTCTGCAGAATTTTGTAGCGCAGGGGGAAGTGCACTTTTTCCAGCTCTGGTCCAACCCCTAAAATATATTTCTCTGAACTTATAAAAGACAATTTTTATAGGCGCAACACTGTATTTACAACTGAGTACTATTATCGACAATTGTCGCGTGCAACAACGATTTATATCGGTACCAAATAATCCCTATTGCACTCTGTAGCTTCTATATTAAGATGGCATTTTTTCGATAGCGAATAAATGTGGCGATGTCATGCAGTTGATAGTAATATCAGAAGCCGTCAAGCATGGAGAAAATATTTTCAGAGGATTTGGCGTACCGCGTTATTATATTTTGGTTCCGAGTAAATCAAGCGATTGCTACGAACAAATTTGGCGAGAGCTAAAGAAGAACACAAATGGAATGCCAAACTTACAGTGCATAGTTACGTAAGTACCTTTGAGATCGTTGGAGAATGAAAGGAAGCGGACAGAATTGCGGTCGTGTGCTGGGCGAGAAGGTAGTCGGTAGTTGAACTTTCGCGTGAATCTATTCCCTTCGCAGGAGATCTGCTTCCAGAACTAGCTGCAGATAAAATGCTGGTATGATGTTATCAACGCGTGGCTTCGCCATGTCACCTGAAATTCATCCTAAATTTCAAGTGAAAGTGTCTCTCGATTCGCTGAAATTTTCATAGAAATTGAAGGTTCTCTTCCATGATTTCAGAAATTGAAGAGCTTTCTGGTCTCGGCAGCCTGGATAGAAAACCTGGGTCAGGGACCCTGACTCAGGGTCTCAGATAATTTTAAATGAAAAGCCGCATAGCGGCTTTTTTAAGAAACGAAGCCGCATCGCGGCTTCGCCAAAATGGAATAATAGGTTGAAAATGAATAACCGCTAAAATAAGTTTTTTTGCAAAGCCGCTTTGCGGGTTCGTTTTAAAAAAAGCCGCTACTTAAGATCTTTCGGACCCTGGCTCAGGATTTCTACACAGGTTGCGAAGCGCAGTTCTACCTTTGTCGAAAAGAAACGGGTGCCAGGGACAAGATGGTTTCTGCCAGGCGGCGACCAAGTTGTCTAAAACGAAATAAGGGAGAACGAAGGGACCTGAAAAGCTACCGAGGATTTTGTAGATGACGCTGTTGCGAAAGAGCACATCGGGAAAGAGGACGGCCATGCGCTGTCTGTACTTCCAGAGCTCCCACTTGACGATCGCTTAGGATCGTCGCCGTCAGCTCCAGCCCGATCGGCGTGAACGTTTGAAGAAAGAATTCCCCAATGTAACCCATCACAAATGTGGCTTTCATCAGTACCAGTCGTTTCGACGCGCAATCGGAAGATACGGCCTGCTCAGGACGTATGATCATCGATTTGACGACGATGAAGAAGCTGGCATGAAATCAAGGAAGAAAAAATCGAAAAAGTCGAAAAAATCAGATACTGGTGGAGTGTGTTCTGAGCTTAAAAAGCTCCTCTACGCAGCGCAATATTTTCCCTTGGGAACTGAGCGTATCAGAGTCGCCTATATCGACCTAATTCAGCAGCAGATTGATGGATTGAAACTCAAGGGTCAAGCTGCTGATTGGGATTCCTTCATGCGCTACTTGTTGCAAACATATTTCGCCACTGATGCTACATTCCCACCAGATTCATGGGCAGATATTTCAGCGCGGAGAATACGAAATGGCGCAGGAATGTTTAGATAAGCTCATTTGAGAACAAATTTGAAATCTTACCTTTGTAACGTTTTGTTTCCAGCTTTTTGTTGTCGCGCGCTGATGCGTTTTTCATACTTGTGATAGACCAATTCGATGAAGCTATCGCACCTAAAGCAGAAATCAATTCGATTGTCAGTTAATATAATTGTATGTTGAGTAATATAAGCCCTTATTCTTGCATATAAACTAGAAAAGTTGATCAAACGAATAATATTTCCGAATCCGGAAATGCGAGCTTGCTACGGGGCGTCGAGCGAAGGCCTGATTTCGGTGGGCTTTGCAGTATCATTTACAACCATGGCAAACAAGCTCTATCCGATGAAATGGACTACGTGAATCATGGAAAATTGCCGCTCATGACATTGAAACGAACTGGGTTGAAGTGGCTGGTTCAAGTTGAAGCTGTCCGTGAATTCGATAAAGGAACCGATAGGCGTTCCATAACTGACCCGATAAATATTTGCGACAATGAATTAAAGAAGAAAATTGTTAAATGCGCATCAAAACTGTATGGCGCCGCGAATCGAGTAAAATCAATTCTCATGGAAAAAGACAAGCTCGACGCTTTTATTGCCAACCTTGACCGGGTAATTACCTTGAAAATAGAAGAATCGTTTCCTTTGAAATTTCATCTGCAAATCCAGTTGCTCGTTGACGTTGTAACTAAAAGAAATTTTAGTCCGATAAAGTGGTTATGTCCTTTTTGGATTCTTTGGATCTGGATCTTGATGGACGAGCCCCTGAACCCATGCCAAAAAAAATTGTTGAAATCAAGGAAGAAAATATCGAAAACGCTGAATCGGAGAAGAAAGAAGACGATTTCGGTGAGAAAGTCGACTACGATGCAGGGGAAAGCGGATCAAAAATGGATAAAAAACTAATTGATTTGGAGGAAGCCGCTGATCCTGTCATCATCGTTGACGATGTTCAAGAAGAACGATTTGTGCATCTCGACGAAGCTTATTTTAATAACGAAGACATCCAAGAGCTAAAAAAAGGAGAAACTTTCAAATTGCCGTTGAATGCAGATGACTGTCGATCGATGCTTATTGAACTGTCAACGCTTCATGAAGAACAATTACTGATTACCTATGATCGCGAAGAAATCAGACGTAAACATCTGAATGGTTTAATTGAAGGAAAAATTAAAAACTATTTGGCATATTTAGATTCCTCGAGTTCTGAGGATCATTTTGATATATATCAGTACTCCTATAAATTTTAATTCAAAAAAAAGAGGATGGGCTAGTGGACAGCCATAACATCGATTTGTTCTTTGGCTTGCTCGAAAGATATGCCAAGCAGAATAACGTTGAAGTCAAGTTTTACAACCATCTTTTCTGGTCAATTGCTATCAAGGAGATGGATTTACAGCATTTTCATCCAATCGATTTGCCAAAAAAAGCAGTTTTTCCGATGTTCGTTGATACAAAATGTAAAACAGGTCATTGGATGTTAGGAGCGGAACTCAAAAAAATTTGTTAGAAAACTCTCTCATAATGATGCTTACTTCAAGTTTCTAAAAACTAAAAATGATTTCCATGAAAGCATGTATCACAAAAGATGAAAAATGCATCGACTTTTTCTGCTCAACGAATTCAAGGAGACCCTCTATCCCGCAATTTTTCTATGGTTGGCTCGAAAAGGGTGGAATGGTCCAATCTGAATGGAAGCATAGATACAACAAAGTTGACGCACAAAAACCGAATTGTTGCGGGGTTAATGTTTCATTTTTGGGAGTCATTGTTGGTCTTTTGGGCAGGGAACACTGTTTAAACAAGGAAGAGATTTAAATGTTTTCATTTACCTGGTTTATTTTTGAAGAACCGTTGAATTTGATTCGATAGACGACCATGAAAAGCTAAAAAATAATTAATCTCTGATAAGCTCAATTATTCAGCAATCACTTTGCGAGGAAATCTTGTGGCCTGCATATTGAAAAAGAATCTTCAAATTTTCAGTTAAATCTTGTGCACTCTTCAGATTCACTTTTATCAACTCAGCGCTAGTTCCTGGCGCTTCACTTTTTATTCTTTTTATTTTAATCTTGAAGCCGCAAGCAGCTTTTCGATTTTCAAAAATTTTTGACAAATAAATTTTGATTTACTTGACTTACAAATTGACTAGAACTGGTAGATGATTGTAACGGCAAGAAGAATACCTTGATTGCTTGTGAATGAGAATTCTTGTGTTGTTGATATCTTACCGGTTCCGGATCCAATAGCACCAAGACCATCGGCCATGACTGAGAGAGCATCAATGCACATTTCTCCGAACCAAGCGGCAGTGGGGATGTATCTGAAAGCAGTAGTTAGAGGTTAATTCCTGTGGGAGGGACTCATTTAGAAGTATTATCGGTACCGCCGAATCATTTTAGGCCTTTGAAAGCTGCTCGCTCTCAAGTGAGCCGCTCAGAGCCGTTACAAAATTACCGGGGCAAACTTACTATTGCTCTAGCGCATAGGGGTTACATTGACGTAGCCCAAGACATCTTTATACGGATCGATGGAGAATCTCAAGCTCTATGCCTGTATCATCTCAGATTTTCGAGATCTCAAAAATTTTCGGATTTATGGCGATTTTTCATTTTTCAAAGGGCTACGTGTCCCTAATTCAGCCAATCACATTTGCCCCGGTAAATTTGTAACGTCTCTCATGAGTCGCGAAATTATTTAACTCTGAATGGAGCTCAAAATCCTCGTTGATTTCAGCTCGCTTTGTCTTTTTACCTTGGAAGTAGATGACGATGAGGAAAACAAGGACGGTAGCAAGGAGATTCAACAAGTGTGGCAAGTTCTATCGGTAGAAAGATTCGTTGAGCGCCTGGACATTGTCCTGCTTGGTCGCCAAAAGATGGAAGGGAGCAACGACAACGCCTTCGAATTCAGTTCCTCGGCTGAGGTTGACGGTGGTGGGAGAAAAGGCCTTCCAGACGATGGTTTCGTAGATGTTGGTGGCGATGAAGAGGGAGATACCGGAGCCCAAACCGTAGCCTCTTGCGAGGAGCTTGTCGAGGAGTAGAACGATCATTCCGGCGACGAAGAGTTGGATGACGATCAAGCAGCAGATTCCAGTGCGTTTTTGAGCAGAGTCACCGTACATTGTTGTCAAAACGTTGACGACAGCCTTGCCGAGGGTCATGATCATTCCGAAGAGTTTCTTGGCGCCGGAGAAAAGAGCTCTGAAATTTAATTGTTGAAGCGATTTTCAATAAATAAGAAATTGCGCGAGAAGCCGCTTGCGGCTTCGAGTACCTTCAAAATAAAGCTTCGCAAAGCATGGCACTTTGTTTCTGAACTCAAAAAGCTGTGTGGAAACCTGAGTCGGGGTCCTGAAAAAGCCTAAGACAAAAGAGCCGTATTTTGCGCGGCTAACATTTTCTATTTGACTCGAAGCCGCAAGCGGCTTCTTGATTTCAAAGGGAAAGTATTTGTAAGCTTACCGTTTTTTGCTTGTGTCTCCAACTTCGATAATTTTAGCTCCAGCGGGCAGCTGCGTTACCAAACCAGAAGTGACGATGGGAGAAATACCAAGTTCCATGAGAGTACAGTTCGATCACATCGATCTCGCCAACACATTTACGAACCTTAATGACCACTTTGGTGACCCATTTGCATGGGTCCCATGATTCAAATTATTTTTAAAAATAGTTAAGATAAAAGAAAATAAATTTTTTGCTCGATTTTCACACAGGAAACAAAACAGGACTGGTCTGTATGGCTGGAAATAGAGTCAGATCTGCCGAAAAATACTGGGCTGTAACAAATAACAGATTCAGAATCAAAATTCAAAATTATGAAAAAAAGGAAGGAATTTTATCAATTTGTCTTTTTCTTCTTTTTCTTCAATTTCTTCTCGATTTCCGCTCTTTCATCAAGTGTGAGAGAATTTCGTTGAATCTGTCCATTTCTGAGTCCGACATCTGAAAAAAATAAACAATTAAGCGTTGCTTATGAGAAGGGAAACGCCAATAAAAATAAATTGTCAGTCAAAAAAGCTCTGGTATGTTTTTTCTATGAGGATGAAATTATTCTCTATTTCATGATTCTTCGCTTTTTCGAAATAAAATGAGTAACGCTCGCGAGAGTCGGGCGCGCCCACTCACGCGCGGGCGCGGCAAATTCAAAATAAATCGATGAAAAATGTCAAGAATGATCGTAGAAAGTCAGTTTTAAGGAGGGAATTGGTAATTTAACAAAAAGAAAAATTTGAGAAAAAAAAATTTTTGGCTCGGAGGGGGGTGAAAAATTCTATCAATCTGAGGCTCAATTTAATCGTTCAATTATTTTTTTTTGGAAAAAAATCTCGAAACCATGTAAAAATCAACAAAATGACTGATATCATGTAAAAACGCAAAGCATGTAAACAAAAATATTTGCATGCTTTGCATTTTTACATGCTTTCAATTGTTTTTCAATATTTACATGAATTCATTTTTACATGATTTACAGCAATCCCCAGCATTTCGGCTGAGAAAATGCGCCCTCTATTTGCAGTAGACTATTGGCAATAGTCTATTGCGCGCTTTTCTGAAAAAATGCCGTAAATAGGAGCGTGCAGCGACAAAACGGCCTCGAAATCAAGCATCCGTATCCTTTACTCATCCCATTTTTGAGTCCGATTTCGATTGTCTAACAGGTAGGAATCGTCTCCATGCCCACTCCTCCCTCCTCCTCTCGCCTCTTACAAACCCGGAGTCCAACTAACATTTATCAGGCAGTTCGTGCGTTCTCTTGATTGAAAGTTCACTAATCTGGAGCTTAACTATCGTCTTAAGATCTATAGATAGCATATGCGAAAGATCTTCGTTCATTCCTTTCTTACCTGACTTATGGAAATCGTATAGATACGGTATTAACCTGCAATAAAAATAATCCTGATTAAAAAATTTGCTATATAACCTGGCTAGAACCAGCCACCTTCGCTTAGCGTCATACCGCGTAGAATAAACCAGTTCTCGTCCGATCACTGAAGTCAAACTACGACGGGCGGGGTTAGTACTTACATGGGTGACCGGTTGGGAATACCTCGTGCGCTAAGCATTTTGACTTTTTTGCAAACGAGAAGTATCTTTTTCCCTGCAGGTACACTTTTGCATTAAAAATAACACAAAACAATTGTTGAAAATCAATTCAACAGTCATTGAAAAAGTTTGCGCTCAGCAAGCATTGAGCGCTGAGTCTGGCTGGCGGGCGGCGTGGCATTTGGGAAAAAGCGCCCTCCACCGCGCGCTTTTCTGAAAAGAGGCCGAAAATAGGAGCGTGCAGCGACAAAACGTCCGATCAAATTTTTGAGTCCGATTTCGATTGTCTAACAGGTAAGAATCGTCTCCATGCCTTCTCTCTCCTATCCCTCTCGCCTCTCACACACAAGTAAAATGACTCAAAAGCCGCGCTTTTTTCGAGGATAAGGAAGTTTTTTTTTATGGTTCCTGGATTTAATTACCCCACTTCCAACTTTTTACACCTGGAACATCATACAGATTTGGAATCAGCAGAAAAAATCTAGAACTCTGACCCTTTTAGGTTTCCAAAAATCACTTCCGGTTGGGATTCTAGAGCCGGAAGTTGGCGAAATTTATGAGAATGGCATGCATGTGATCTATCAAATCGAAGCTTATTTAGCTTCGATTTAATTCCTCTTTCAAGTGACTGGAAATGTTCTAAGCTTCGATTTGATAGATCACATGCATGCCATTCTCATAAATTTCGCCAACTTCCGGCTCTAGAATCCCAACCGGAAGTGATTTTTGGAAACCTAAAAGGGTCAGAGTTCTAGATTTTTTCTGCTGATTCCAAATCTGTATGATGTTCCAGGTGTAAAAAGTTGGAAGTGGGGTAATTAAATCAAGGAACCATAAAAAAAAACTTCCTTATCCTCGAAAAAAGCGCGGCTTTTGAGTCATTTTACTTGTGTGTGAGAGGCGAGAGGGATAGGAGAGAGAAGGCATGGAGACGATTCTTACCTGTTAGACAATCGAAATCGGACTCAAAAATTTGATCGGACGTTTTGTCGCTGCACGCTCCTATTTTCGGCCTCTTTTCAGAAAAGCGCGCGGTGGAGGGCGCTTTTTCCCAAATGCCACGCCGCCCGCCAGCCAGACTCAGCGCTCAATGCTTGCTGAGCGCAAACTTTTTCAATGACTGTTGAATTGATTTTCAACAATTGTTTTGTGTTATTTTTAATGCAAAAGTGTACCTGCAGGGAAAAAGATACTTCTCGTTTGCAAAAAAGTCAAAATGCTTAGCGCACGAGGTATTCCCAACCGGTCACCCATGTAAGTACTAACCCCGCCCGTCGTAGTTTGACTTCAGTGATCGGACGAGAACTGGTTTATTCTACGCGGTATGACGCTAAGCGAAGGTGGCTGGTTCTAGCCAGGTTATATAGCAAATTTTTTAATCAGGATTATTTTTATTGCAGGTTAATACCGTATCTATACGATTTCCATAAGTCAGGTAAGAAAGGAATGAACGAAGATCTTTCGCATATGCTATCTATAGATCTTAAGACGATAGTTAAGCTCCAGATTAGTGAACTTTCAATCAAGAGAACGCACGAACTGCCTGATAAATGTTAGTTGGACTCCGGGTTTGTAAGAGGCGAGAGGAGGAGGGAGGAGTGGGCATGGAGACGATTCCTACCTGTTAGACAATCGAAATCGGACTCAAAAATGGGATGAGTAAAGGATACGGATGCTTGATTTCGAGGCCGTTTTGTCGCTGCACGCTCCTATTTACGGCATTTTTTCAGAAAAGCGCGCAATAGACTATTGCCAATAGTCTACTGCAAATAGAGGGCGCATTTTCTCAGCCGAAATGCTGCTGCCAGGCAAGCTTCGCTCTCAATGCTAATTTCGCAAAAATCGTGATTCTTTCGATTACTGATAGTAGTTAACGAGTTATCTCATGTGAAAATCTTCTTCTTACATTATGTACTAATAAAATGAGCAACAAAACAGATCTGATGGTAAAAATCGCTACGCATCAGGCTCGTTGTGAGTTCCTGTTAAAATTTATTCGTGAACTGTGGCAGTGGAAAAGTGAACAAAATAATTTATCTAATTGGCAACAAATCGGGCGATATGTCGTCTGAAGGTAACAAAGTTCGCTAGCATGATGATGACCAAGAAGGTGAAGTACGTCTTGAACGCGAACTGCCACCATCCAGTGAGCAAGGCGAAAGCGAGAGTGATCGAGAGCCAAATGAGGACGCTCATTCGGGCCAGAAGTCTCATTTTCAGTCTTGGGTGGACGTATGCTTCGGAAATAGGGTCGAAGTGGGAAAAGATAAAGAAAAACACAGGCATTAAGAAGCCTGGAAGTTTCTCTTGAATCGTGTCCCATTTTTCGCTCTAAGAAAACCTGTTTTAATCATGGAGAATAGTCTCTTTACCTGTGAAGAAAGGTGCGAGAGTTTGACAAGAGGGGATACGAGCGGGTAAAATTCGTCCATTCGAACTGGATCTTCAAAGTCTGGGTCGGACCAGTGCGCGATGTCGAGTTGATATTTGCCAGTCATCACCTAATCGAAATAAAAAGGGATCTCGTCAGAAAGAATTTAAACCTGCTGTCGTCCTAAGTCGGTCAATGTCGCATTGAAGCCTGGTAGCTTGATGTGATCCGGGATAGACTGGTTTTTCACTTGTCTTTGCGCGCTCAAAGCTTCCAACTCGTGGCTCATGCCGTGCGTTTTGGCCAGATTGATCGCAGAAATTTGGAGTGTGTCGACGATTCGCTCGATTTGACGGTGCTCTTGTGTCACTCCTTCGGGGCCGAAGAATGTCGCTTCCATCCAGTTTTGCTTGTTTCCCGTCTGAACGTTTGTTTATTCATTGATTCATAAAAGTAACTATTTACCATTAGCTTGTCCATCATGTCTCGATTCGCCACGTGAATGGTTCTGATCAACTCTTGTGCGAGTCGATCATTTTCTTCCAGTTCAGTTTCTTGGTTCAATCGACGGGAGGCAAAAGATGTCTCGTGCTCTTTTGTTTCGTTGATCATTTGTAAAAGACTTTCTTGCGCGAAAATCCAAGCTATTCGGTGAAGTCCCTAAGGGAAAATTAACTAGTGGAGATGAAGAATGGATAAATTTACTCTTGCATTTGTAGAGCGCTTGATATCGAGTCGAAGGAATCGTCTGTACGCGTCATTAAGATTCTTGGTGTAGCAATCAATGTTTCGTTTCACAAAGGGTGCCCACTCTTCGCAAGTTTCGGGGTCAAGCCTTTTCGATTCTGACTTGTATCTCCAGGGCTGAATGTAAGACAGCCAGGCTTCATAAACAATCCGGAAAGTGTTATCCAGCGGCCACAATTCGAAACAGATTCGGAAAATGCGCGGAAGAGATGGTTCCATGTAGTGTGTCAAGATTTCGTTGGAAATCTTCGCTTGAACTGTTGGCTTTTCATTTTGCTTGGCAAAGTCGGTGAAAGAAATTTCGTTGGAGGAATTGTTCTTGAGCAGACTGCCGCCGCAGCTGTGTATGTGTTTGATCATCGTGCGGAGGGCGCGAATTTGGTCTTGATTTGGGCAGATTTTGTCTTGGACGTCGAGGAGCTTTTCGCTCATGATCAGGATGAAGGTTTCTGAGCGCCAGGTTTGACCGGGATGGGGACGCTCAATCAGGGAAGTCTGAAAAGGGAGGTCATTGATACTTTTTGAAGACAATGAGAAGAACTTACGCTTGAAGATGCAAGTGGTCGTTTTAGGACAGAGCTTGTCCTGTGAGGAGTTCTTGGCGATGGAAGAGTTGGCGCTCCAATAAGGGATTGTTTCTCAATGGGGAGGATCCCATCAACGGGGATAAAGTACTCAAGATAACTGGCAAAGAGACTGAAACGCCTGTAAGAAATCGGGCGTATGATTAAAACTTACTGATGGATAACATGATCATCCGGCGTGTAAGAGTCGAAGGTAACATTCGAATGCTTCTTTGTAGTGATTTTGTGGACAATCAAGTTATCAACAATAAACGCGGCAAAACGGTAGAAAAAGTACTCGAAAGCAGTGACGCTGATTTCATTGCCTTCCACTTCTTTGGTCCTGTTTTTGCACAAAAACTGAAGTAATTCTTTAAATAAAGCCGGGGAGATAATTCTACTTTTTTGGGAAGTGAGTAGCGCAGGAAGGGATCTGACTGTAGCTTGTTGATATTTTCGAAAAGAGATCCGTTTGGCCGCATAAATTTCATAATCGCCGCAAATTCTTTTTCCTTCTTCTACAATTCGGGTTAATACAAAAATTGGAATCGGAAAATCAGATCTTACTGATGTTATGTCGAACAATCCGAATTTCTCGGTCGAGAAAAGTTTTTCGATCAGTTCTGCGTACTCATTGTGAATTCCTTTGTACGAGTATTTATCCAGGATCGCCGAGGTTTCCTCTTATAAAGGTTTTAATGAGTGAAACATGGATTGTTACTTTACCTAATCGCTCAATGAGCTCTTTCGCCTTTTCGGCTTTTTGCAATTTCTCTTTCAAACTCATCTTCAAATAATTTTTTGAAATTAAATGATTGCGAATAAATATTTATTTTAAATATAATATTGTTTTATAGCGGAACTAGGGGATAGGTAAATAGTGCGTATCGATAGTAATAAAAGTGAGTGTCATACACAGTGAGCTGTATATCGAGAGGTAAATGAAGCTTTGAGTACAGAATTAATTCCAGTCTCGGAATCAGAACAAAAAAAACCAAAACAGAAGCGCAAAGCGGTCTAATTAAAACGCTATTTAGAAAAACTTTTCTGAACTTTCACGATAAAAGTAACGAAGCAACACACAAACAAACGGAAAAAAGTAAAACAGACTTTGTTTTTTTTTCTTTCAAACAAGGGATTTTATTGTCGGTCAACAAGAAGCTCAATTCTATGCCAAGAGTTGTTCAGCAATCCTCGAATGTTCCAGAGAGCATCAATCTTTTCGGGCTGGGTGTTGCAATTGGAATCGATCGCTCGGATGCAAATTTCAATCTTATCCTCCTTTATGTCTTCGGGAATTTCTAGCTCGTAGTTCCAGAGAGTCCAGGCAAAACTAAAACATAGTTGAAAAGTGAGCCAAGGAAGAGACCTCACCTTCTCTGAGTATAAGGGTCATTTTCATTGTAAATATCTGTTTGCGTCCAGGTTTGACCACCATCGACAGAAATGTCAACTCGTGTGATTCCATTCCCGGCACCAGAGTACGCATATCCTTCTTTGAATCGGGTGAATCTGAGAAAACGAAGATACTGTTTGAATTTTGGTGCATTGTTGAAAAACTGATTCGCCAAACGATATCAATTGATTCACCCTAAGTAAAGTAACGGTTTCTCCAGGTTCAACTCTTGTCCCTGTGGACGGCTCAAGAATAGCCGAAGTAACCGGCAAGTACTGAACAGAAGGCGCCTTCTCCCAAGGAATCGTTTTTACATTCGTGATATTAGGGCCGAATAGTTTGTAATCTCGTCTTTGTGTTGGACTTTCACTTTCTTCCGTAGAGACGCTAATTTTTGAGAGCCATTTGATGTTTCTAGCGCCAACTGTGCCAGGGACAATCAGTCTGAGCGGGAAGCCGTGATCCCTTGGGATCTCTTCCCCATTCATTTCAAAAGCGACCATGACGGATGCTGAGCGATCAAAAGCGCGTTCTAGTGGAATAGATGCACCAGTGCCGACTCCATCCGGGCCAGCATCGAGTCCTTCGACGCTCAAATGGACGAGGCCCTTCGCTCTACATTCTTTATAACTTATTCCGCAGTGCTCTAGGATATCGGCGAGGAGAACTCCCTTCCATCTGGCTGTTGAGATTGCACATTGATCCCAAGATAAACCCTTATTGAAAATATGAATTTAACTTCATTCCTGGATTTATTTAAAATCTTACGTTGACTTTTTTATCTTTGACTTTCGCATTGAACTCTGCTCGACGATTTCCAGCGCACATTAAGGTGATGGGGATTTCAACAACTTCGAATTTATCTTTGAGCGCATCGATTGTTAGTGGAATCGTTTTTCCACTTGGGAGGGCGATATCAAGAGTGAAGGTTGAAATCTAATGCGATAAATAGTTGGAGAAAAAAAGAAAAGGACAAACATCGACTTGGGGAACTGGAAGACGATTTCGGATAAAATGAAGCTCGTTTGGCGTGATGAAAGACCTGAGAAGAAGACTTGGAGGTGGCTCTCCGTTGAATGGCGTGGGGTTGTTGATTTTCATGGCAGGGTGACGCTCAGGCTCATTGCTTAAAAGAATTAATGCGACTAAAATTTCTTTAAAAATACCTATATGCAGAGTTTTTATCAGAATTGTTAGTAGACGACTTTTTGACAGATTTTGGATCGAGTTTTCCAATATAATATCGCGCTAGAATTTCTTGAACGTGATCGGCGCTATGTTGCTGATAGAGACCCCAAAAGGGTGCTAGATCTTTTCCGGCGGCGAGGAGGAGGTTTTTAGCGCCGCCGGGGTGAGATTGCGCGAATTCAGTGACGTCGTAAACTTTCCCTTTGTAAGAGACCCAGAGACTTTCTAGCGAGTTGTGTTGGCTGACCTCATCGGCCGTGAATACTTTTTCATCCTTTGCTGAAATATCTTTAGCATGGGTTAATCATTTTAGGCAGCTTACATAATGCTTGGGTTTTGCTTCTTTCATGCAGAAAATAAAATGAGGCTAGTCCAGCTGAAAGGCTGGTCCATTTGAACAATCGGAAGTTTTTGAACTCATCGTTATTTGAGCTCTCTGAGGAAGGTTGAACTTGTCGAAGCACGTGACTACTGCTAGAAGATCGTCTGCTCAAACTTCGAATGAGACTACTTTTTCTCATTCTAAATAGATTCAATTCGTGAGTGGGATTGATTTTTAACTCCTCTGCACAAGCTGTGCGAGAAATTCTTCTTCCATTGGGTGTAATTTTCCAGTTACGACAAAACAGTGAAGAGGTTCGCCGAGATCAACTTTGGCGAGTTCTTCTAGCGTTCCTGATGCCATCTTTTGATCCTTAGCTCCAACACGAGCAATCGCCACGCACTGGGTTTCTCTTGTAACTTCGCCTTCTGCTCCGGTATTTCTCTAAAAATAAAAACGCTGAAGATACGACTGTCTCTTTGAAATAACAACTTGGGCTTGTTATGGGCTTTAAAGTTCATTCTCCGTCAAGTTTACTGTTTTTCATGGTCAGAAAATGACGACAATTGGCCAGTTAAAGATTTTAAATCGAGTAAATATCAAACTCTATTCCCAAGATTGTCGAGTAGATGCGGCTATTGTTGCAATACTTACTCTTTCGATAATTTCCAACAACTGTTTCGCAGCCTCATGAGTCCTCATGTATCTAGGAGGTTCGAAGATCTTGTTTCCTTTCATTAAATTTTCAATCGTTTGTTCCTTGACTTTTATATCCAGCAAGCTGACGAAGGGTACAAATATAATTCAAGATAAAAAGGTTATTATGAAATAGAAGACAACTTTTCTACCCTAACAGAGAGTGTGATATTCAAGTTTTCGATTTCTGACGATTTTGTCGTAGTAGCTATCTGGTTGCTTATATGGTTCTGACTTTGTTCACTTGAAAATTATAGAATTTTCTGGAAAGAGGTCTGTTAGTTTTAGGAACGGGTCAATCTCTTTCACTGATAATCAAACATACATGCTATTCTCGGTCGATAATTATTCCAAATATGGCAAACCTCGTTTGGAAAATGCCTTCCAAAAAATAGAATGACTTTCAAACGAGTTGCATAACAACAATCATAAAAAATTGTCAAATATCTACAGAACCTAGCCATGAGTCATCCCAAAAGCAGAACGAAACCGTTTCTCCAAAATTATACAGTTGTAGGCCGCAGCAACCAACAGCCGTCATAATCGACGCATTATGCAAAACTTCGTAAGGAATTTCTTTCTCTAAAAATACCGATTGAGGTAGTCTGCTAGGCCCGGCAGAAGCATAAGTATGGCGCGATAAGGTCATCAGGGACCAGGCTGATCTGGAAGTGAAATAAAGTGCCCACCTTTGCATCGTAAAACGAGATCAGAGTGCGTCGTCGCGGCAAAAACGTCGCCGACAACGAGGAAACAGACATCTTCGTTGTTAGCGTTTTCGAGCATGATGTCGCTTTCCTGCTCGACCATGGCTCGATCAGCCAGGATAACTTCTCTTTCTAGCGTTTTTTATTTACGTCCATTTGTATCAGACACAATTTTATACCAGAGAACAAAACGAGCACGCTTTCCTTCCATAAGTCTTCTCAATCTCATCCTTGCTGGCCATCAAAATCGCCGTGTACATTTCCAAATACACCCTCTTCGCTCCCTGTACCAAACGGAGTCCTCTAACAGAAATATCCTCTGGGTGAGAGAGACCCAACCCAATAAAATAAAACACCATTCTAGCAAGAAAAAATATGTAAACATGAGTTAGAAACGAGAATGAAAACTATCATTAGAAAAATAGAAATTCGCTTTACAAAAATAAACATCAAGTTGATAAAAACAGGTTCAAATAAGGTGGAATTTCGCTCTGAGCTCACGGAGAAAGTCGGCATTTCTTTTCTCTTCTTGATTTAGTTCGGCAGAGAGGGTAGACTTTAAATACGCAGTTTGCAGATCGCCACGCTCTTTTGCCAAAAGCGCTAAAAATAAAATAATGTTTCCATTATTAACTCGGCTTTATTACGAGGTTATTTACAAACTCATAAAATAAAACGAAAAAGAACCGTTTTTACATCATAAGAACTACGTAACCAGCGATCATCTTTCTTACCTGAATTCCACTGAGCTTCCCAAGTCGAATCAATATCATTCGACTGCGCTAAAAGATTCGCCGCGTGCGATTTATTATCCGCGAGTGAAGCCAAAACGGATAAATTGTTCAGCGAGTAACCACCGTTTCCATAAACAGATGAAATTTTATAGGCTCGTTCTGCTAGAGGAAAATCGCCGATAGAGATTGCCGCTGTTCCGATATTGTACCAAACAAGTTCGAAATCTTCGTCATTTATCGCCGCATCGAGAGCTTTTGAGAAACTTCTGAATCCAAGATCAACTTGGCCTGAAAAGAAAAGGTGATGATTTAGAATTTCGATCGGGGCTTACCGATGCTCACTGAAGCTAGGGCAAGATTGTTGTACAGTGATGCGCAGGGTGGTCCGATTTGAAGAGCTTTCGTGTATAAAGAAAAGCTTCGAATGATGTCATCTTTGTAAAAACAGGAAGCAGCTTACATAAGGTTCAAAAAATATCAATAAAAGCCAAACGAATTGTTGATATCGACCCTTCCTAAGACACAGAGAGCCTCTTGGTTGACCGGATCGTGGGTCAGAATTTCTCGATAAATCTCGTCCCCTCTTTCGTGATTTTGTCTCGCTTGTTCTAGTCGCGCTTGAGAGCCCAAAATACCCAGACTACCTTCGCATCGTTCAAGTCCTTTCTTATGATGACAAACTTATTGCCCTAATTGCCTAATTGGCCGCTGAGCATGTTATTACCACCATTGCCTGTTTTTAACGCTTCACAAGCCGCTGTCGGCTGGTCGAGTTTTCTGTAGACTGAGGAGAGAAGCAGTGCTCCAGCTGGATCAATTGTTTTTGAAACGTAAGATTTTGCATGTTCCTCTGCTTTTCTCGACATTCCCAGGCGGAGATAACTGACGCCCTGGGCATACGACCAATAATGTTCGTCCGGATGCTCTTGAGCCGCAGCTTCAGCGAGAGACAGCGCAGTTCTATAATCTGCCAAGACATTCGTTATGTATTCGAAAAGTATTTTGGCGTTAGATGAATCTTTCGCGATTTGAGGAAGATTGAGTCGGGAAGTTTTGATGTAAGGTCCGTCCATCGGATCCAGCGAGGCGGTTTGAATGCTTCGCCCGAAGTTGGTGAGTGGACGGAGCGAGGCAGTGGCGATTCGAGCTGTTTTCAACCCTTCTGCGGTCGTCAGCTTTCCAGTTCCAGGACGCGTTGATGTTCCTGGACGAGCGTAGCCAGTCATTGGACCAGCACCAGTCTGAGGCCGAACTGAAGCGCTGTTTGCATTATATCCGCCTTTTTCATTCGCCTTTTTCGCTGTTTTCAATGATGTTCCTGGCCGTGCAGTTTTTTGCATCACTTGCTCGCCAAAGATTTCTTCGCTTACTGTAGATTCGCCGAGATCTTCGTCGATTATTTTCGCGTCTTCGGTCAACGCTGCTACTTTTATTCTCCACAAAGGATGGCCAATGTCTTCGGAGCTTACTCGCTCGTCGCAAATCTTTCCACATTCCTCATAATTGCCGATTTTGAAGTTTGCCCAAGCTCTGAAGACTGGATTCAAGCTCTGTTCGACCTCTTCCGCCGTCTTTCCAGTCATAGCAGGCCTCGGTTGAGCCTTCAGCGGTGGCAATTCTGTGGCAGACATAACGAAATCCTCGTCGATAAAAATTTCAAGAGGAACTGCTTGCCTATTTCAATTATTTAATTCCTGCTTCTTAAAAAATACGCATTGGAGATGGTGAATAGGAGATTTTATTGAACTCGTGAAAATCAGTATTTACAATTTGTTAAATTAATAAATATGAACTGAAAGAACATAAGTGAACTAAGATGAAGTGATAATTATTAATTATAAAAATCATTAAATGAAATTATGGAAGAACTAAAATGAAAAATTGAAAAAGAAACGAAAGAAAGTATTTTTCGTACAAAATAATAATAAAGCGGTGTGGACAATTCTGGCCTGCGAAAATCAAAAAGGAGCTGAAGGCAAGAATGCAAATAATGATAGATAGATATTTTGGATTATATAAACAGATGGAATTGAAGCAATCAGTGTCTGATCAAATAGTTGAAATAAATAGCTCGTATAAAGACGTGTAGGTAAAACGGGGTGATTATGAATAAGCAGCTGTATTTCTTTTCTTTTTGAGAGCAGATAGTTTTATAGGATTTTTCGGAGATAAGGAATAAAATGATGAAAACGCGCTTTTACGCATCTTCAGCGGCTAAATGAAGTGCAGAGGACTCCGGCGACACAAGTTAAACTACCAATAAGTGCGAGAAGAAGACTTCGCTATAAAAAGGCTCGGAAACTGCGGGCTAAGGTTTGAGTATTTAGATAGGTATTCAATTTTTGACCGAGCCTTATCACTGACTTCTTTGAAGAAATATATTCCAACGACACAACCTAAGACAGAAGGAGCTGTCGCTAGAATCGGAAATGTAAAAGCTTCACCGAGAACTGAGTTCGCATAGAGCCAGCAGAGGAATGCCACGGCCCAGGTTGTTCCAGTTATCATTGCTGGAATCACTGCCGACGGGAATAAATCTGGTTTACCCTAACATGAACAGAATTAGTTCTTCCTCTCAAAAGGAGAAATCTTACTTTTCGATAAACAGAGTAAACGATGAACATCGAAAGCTGTGCGATAAGAACTCCGGAGAAGTGCGACAAAACTCCGTCCATGTGAGATGTAATCAATTCTTGCTCGACGGCAAGAGTGATTGGCAAGAAATTCATTCCGTAAAAAGCACCAGATAAAACAGCAAAGAAAACACCGAGCCATTTTTGACAAGTTGGAGAAAGCTAAAACTGGCTTTGAATATCAGAGAAATTCGCACTATTTTTAACCTCATCGATCCAATCTGGATCATCCAGGTCTTTTCTCACTAGCGGGGCTTGAACTTGCTCCTCGTCGATAAGCACTGAGTCCCCTCTTTTCATTGTCGCCTTGATACCGTGAGTCTGGCTATTTTTTCCCGAAGAGTTGATTGCGAAAAAGATGAAGAGTGATGAAACCGTCAGACAAATGCCAACATAATTCAGCCAGACAATAGAAGGAGTTTGCGTCTTTGATCCAAAGAGGCCAAATCTCGCTACTGCCCACCCGAAAACACAGTTTGTCGATGCCCAAATAATCTGCCCAACTCCGAGGCCGATCATTTTGATGATTGGCACTTTGGCTGCGTTTCCAGCCGCCCAAAGAATACCACCAATCATCGGAACCGGGGAAATTATAGAACTGTCTTGGATCTTTTGGGGATTTAGAGCCCTTTTTCTAACTACAGAATGAAGCGATTGTTTAATTAAGTTCATCCCGTTTCATAGAATAAATAAGGCCGACAAACCAAATGTACGATGTGACGATAAGCTGAAAGAAAATCCCATCACCAGTTGGCACCTTCTTTACAGTAAGAAAGTTCGTACCAAAAATAACTGTAGATATTACTATCGCGGTCCAGGCGAGTGTCGATTCCGAAAAACTCATCTCTAAAAAGAAGATTCTTCCACTTTTTTAGAAAAAGTTATAATCAAAATAAAAATAAAGAAATTTTAAAAAAGAAAAATAGCATGTAAAGCACAGTGGAAACAATCAGGAATGGAAAAGAGTAAAAATCGGAATGTTGAGAAAAATTTTTTTTACAGCTGATTGAGCACTTGACGTTGAATTTTCTTAGCAAAGACTTTTGTCTTGATCTGATTCTCGACCTTTTTGCGGTTTGTTTTTTCGTTCTCTCGCTTTTCACGCACTTCGGGCAGCTTGTTGTAGCGCTCGGTCGTCTCTTTTCGAGCTTCCTGAATGGAGTGAATTAATATTCAGACGGTCCGTCTTTTTCATATGACTCCTCCTTGATTTCGACGACGAAAATACCTATTGAACTCTTTTTGTACTTACTCTGAGGTTAATCTGCCTTTTCTCTTGAAGGAAAAACTTGTCTGCGAGAGGGTGGATCTTCGCAGCCCGCTGTTTGTCTGTGCAAGTTCCGACGCCGAAGATCTTTCGTCGCTGGTCGTCGAGCTCCTAAAAATCCGAAAAATTGCTGATTACGGTAAAAAAGTGTATATTGGTCAAGTTCTGCTATTGAAATATTATGACGCCCCTTTTTAACGAGCCAATATTTGCGTCCAGAAATGACCCTCAACTTTGGTCAAGTTACGAAATGATTGACGAAAACCCGAAGCAAAGGGTTCCTTACCTTCTCGATGAATCTCTGCTCTTTTCGTAATTTAACATGTCGTACGCGAGCGCGCGATCTTATTTGGGCGTTCGACAACAACCTTTTCTCGTATAAAACCGGTCTCAGTCAAAATAGCGATGATCTAATGATAGGCATCTCTTTTGCATGAAAGATGTTATGTAACATGTCTTGTGCCTCGAGATATTATTGATCTTCAAATTATCTGTCTATTTTTTTGCAAAACGCGTTCCTTGAGATAAACTCTTGTTTATGAATCAAAACAGCTTCTTGAAGCGATGCGCGCTGCCATGCATTTTCGGCGAGGCGCTTGGTCGAGTCTAGCGCGTTGCGATCGATTGGCACTTTTCTTCCTGTGTAGACGGGACAGTACCTTAAATATTTGTACAGAGCTGTTTTCAGGTCATAGTCATTTACCAGGCACTTGATTTCTTGACTGGGTCCTCTCTCGTTTGAGTTCCAGAGCTGGCTTTTCCGTTTCGTTCTGGCGACTCGCCCTAAAATAAATAAGAATGGCTAGAAAGGGGAGGGTCGAAAACTTACGTTGCAGAGTCTCTTGTGCAAGTCCTTCATTGATCTGATTATTTCATTTTCATCAACTTGTCCACAGAAAGAGACCATTTCTCCATCCTCTGGTTCTGGCGCCTTCTTCTCCGTCAGCGCAGCTTTGCAGATCCTCACTTCGTCCACGATTTTTTCTTTAATTTTGAAATCTTCAATTTCAGCTTCGATGTCTTCAACTCTTGGTCGAGGAGGTAGGCTTCTCAGCGAGGCGTTCTCGGAGAAGATCTCTCTTGGAGTCAATTTCGGTGATTCTTGGAAAATGCGACGCCAGTTTTCTTTTTCTTCAGTTTTCTGGACTCTTGGTCGCTCGAACATTGTGGTCTCTTGGGGCTCTTCTCGGATTGCGGGTTTGATTTTAGCTATTTCTGCTTGAATCGTTGTCCGGATATTCGTTTCCAGAGAGGAAAGGATTTTCTCTGTCATTCTCTCCTCATTGATTTCAGATCCTCCTTGTTGATTTTGTCGATCAAGTTTTCTCTCAGCACTCGGTGATGGAGCAAGTTGCTGGTTTGGTCTTCCCACTTCGCTGAAAAGAGAAGCAGAGGAAGAGGAAGAAGCGTTTCGCCTTCTCGATGTGCCCTTCTTCAGCAGAGCAATAAATTGAAGCTTTTTATCTTTCGGGAGTGCTTTGAACTCTCTCATGCTCTTCGGATACCACTCTAAGATTGACGATGCTTGGCTCAACGCCGACTTGTCGAGAACTCTGACAGAATCATGAGGCGTTGGCTCGTCACGGATGAAAATGGATTCAGTAGCTGGTTGATTTGTGGTTTCGAGTTTGAGTGGAGAAACTTTGATCCGAGTTGATTGTGGAGCATTGATGGTGCTGGAATTGACAGAAATAGAAGATTCTAGCGGTCTTAGATCGGCATGCTCCTTTTCTTTCTTGTAAAAAGCTGAAAGCTCGTTGGAGTCCCTCTCAGCAGTTCCAAATGCTTCTTGAGGAAATGCCGGCGGATACTTGTCTTCAGAACGCATTTGACTTGTTACCGTGGCTTGAGAATCATCAACGATTTCCGAGTTTCTGAGCGCTTTCTGCTCCATTTCCAGCTCTCGCCTAATCGATTCCTCCTTTCTTTCGAAATCATTGACGGGCACAGCTGGAGTTTCTTCAGTCATTTCAAGAAGAGTTTCACGAATTTCACCTTCTTCAAGGGTCGAGTCAAAGTCTTTTTCCTCTGTCAGAGTTTCGTTTAGTTTTGGCTTTGCAAGAGCAGGAGAGCTTTTCATCGAATCGGGGGATTTCGAGTTTGGCATAAATGAGCCAAATCGCTCGTCTTTAGATGGGTTAAATTTCATTTCTCCGAATTATAATTTATAAGAAAAAATTTCATCTTTCGTTATGCAAGCAAACCCAAACTGAAGTGAGATCTTCCATCGACCTTGGGGACGAATTAACTTCGCTATTAGCATTCGCGATTCCCGAAGTTGCCAATTTAGGCAACTGCGCAACAGGATCCAAATCAAGACTCTTCTCTTCGAGCGAGTTGTCAATCTGCTGTAGCAATTTTCGAACACGATTGCTCAGCTCATCCGCAGAGCTCGACGCACGTGAGGTATTTTTCGATTTTTCTAATTCGCTGGATTTGTCAGTCACGCGACTGTGAGACAAATGTTCACGACGAAGTTGTCCAGATGTGACGCTTTTTTCTTGTCTTCGATCGGTAGAGGCGGTTTTACCCGACTCTGATTCAGTGTTTTTCCAGCCAGAGATAAGGGAATGGTCTGGAGTTGAAGATTTATGACTGCCCATTGGGGAGAAGTAGATTCCATCAACGAAACGCTGCTCGGAAAGGCCAGACTTTCCAGTTGTGTTGACCGAGTGAAGGGTCTTGGAGCGCGTTTGCAGAGAACCGCCAGAGGAGGAGCTCATATCACTCATCATCTTTTTCTGCTGGTCTTCGGTCATGTATTGCCTGAGAGGATTCCTCAAGGGATCAATTAAAAAATATGCTTACTTGACAAATTTCCAAATTGAGCTTCGCTGAAATCTATCCACTTCAGTCGCGTATTTCGATGAGGTTGTCGAAGAAACTGATTTGACTTCGATTGAGTCGGCGGCCGAAATTCCCAAATGAGTTGGCGTCAATTGAGACTTCAACGCAGACTGAACACGAGCGCTGATTGAGTCCGCCCGACTTGAAGCTTTTGAAGAGTTTGACGATCTTGTATTATCACTATCGAGTTCCCGGATTTTTAGCTTTGTAGATTGCTCCGATTGAGGGTCGTTTCGATCGAAAAGGACTTCGACTTGGGAAGTTTGAGGGGATGTGGCTTGGGAGACGATATTTATGTCAGTTTCTTTTGAAGCTGCAGTTTGGTCAATAACTTGGATGTTGCTGCCTTTGGATTCTTGCGAGCAATTCGCTTTTGCTTGCTCGGAGTTTGGTCTCTTAAATTTGCGCATGAAAATAGGGTGGAGGGGTGACGAGAACCTGTGGAAGTTGATGAAAATCTCCGTCGGTAGAATCATCTTCAAGGTTGTCAAGAGTTTCCACTGGCAAGGCTGAAAATTTTATCAACAATAAATGATTTCGTAAATGCATTCTTACATGGACTTTTCTCTTTCGATGTTTCATTTTTCTCTGACGGTTTCTCTAGCGATGGGGCTTCAGCTGAATCATTCTCGGCCACTCCACTCTGCTCGATCATGTCAAGAGTTTCTTGCGCTGCGATTTGAGTTTGAACCGCTCTAATTTCCCGAACCAGGGAATTGTCAGATCGATGGGTACTTTGCTGCGATTTTTCATTCGTCTGCTCAAGTAGCTCATCTTGTACTTCTTCGTTTGTCTCGTCCGGTAACGGACCTGAGGGGAGACTCGTGTCCGACATTCTGAAAGAAAATTATTTATAACTTGAATTGATGCGAATTTATTTTCGTTTTACAGAAAATTTTAGAGAAATCGGAATGTATCGATTCAATCAGCAAGGCGTTTTTGAGAGGTTTTTACAGAGAGATTAATTTACAGAAAATTTGATTAGGTATTAGTGATTTAGGAGTGTACATGAATAGTTAGCGGTTCGGAGATTGAGTCCATTCTTCAGGTGGTGGTTGAAGAGAGTCGATTCTTTTGAATTGAGTGGGTATTCTGATCTCTTGAAAGTCGATCAGTTGGATCTTTAGTCGCAATTGCAGAAGATGATCCACATCAGCCTGTAAGAATTCTTGTAAGATCAGCAGAGAGGATCGCTACTTACAGTGAACGACTCGGAAGGCGCAAAATTGACAGAGAGGAGTGATTTCAACCCATCTACCCATGTGTTTCTCGTAGAACTACTGTCAGCAAGAAGAGTCATTGTTTGAGACTCGCCTTCCGCGACTTTATGTTCAATTGCGAAAAGCTAGAAAAGCTTCAATCACGTGAGAAAAGTGAAAAAATAATACCAGTGAGTAGTCAATCATTTTGCGTTTGTGCTTTCCGGTTTTTTCAACGACAGGTTTTGCTTCTACTCCTTGATAAACTCTGATCATGTTTCGAATTTGAACATGCTTCGCGCTTGAGCTAGAAAAGGCGCCTTCAAAAGTGGACGATTTCGAATCCACTGAAATGTGTCTTCTGCTTTTGTCCAGTCTCATGTAGACAAATGACTTTTTCTGATTCGCGTCCGTAAATCGACAAGTTTTCTCCATCAACATAAGGCGATTTTCTTCCACGACTTTTGTCACTTCTTTTCTGAGATGCTCCTTTACTAAGAGTACGCTTTGATGGTTTTCGAGATCAGCATCGTCTTTGAAAATGTGCTGTGCTTCGACGAGCGAGTTGTAGTTGTTCTGAGCGAGGTTCTTCTTGAATTGCTGGAGTGTGCTGGTATTTTGCGTGAGGGAATTTTTGACTTGTTCTTTCAGAACATTGACGACTGAAGAAGAATTAAACGAGGACAGTTGAAATAGAGCAAACCTTTCTTGAAGTCTGCCATAACAGCATTAGCATCTCGCCACGTCGCCCAAAACGACATAAAAGTTGCTGAGAAAATCTCCTCGAAAGTGTCCGAAGAAATTCCAAAAACGAGCTCGTGGAATTCTGATGAGATTGTTTGAGAGCCCTTGAAGTCCAAAGAATCGACAAGAATTGAAACGACTTCATTTGCAGCGGGAACGATGGGAAACATTCCCTTGTGCCGGGTAGCATTGTTTGTGATGATTGTAAGGCAGTCGTCCCTTCAAACGAAGCAGAGTTGAAAGATCGAAAACTGTCAATAATCAGTACCTGTGTTTTCTAGAGAAGAACTCGATGCATTTCAACGGTAGTATTCCAACAGGCGTTTGAAAATCGGTCAAAGGATGATTCGAAGAATTTCCCGAAATGACAGTTTCCCAACTCTCTTTTTCCAAATTTTTGACGACCTTGGAAATGACCTGCTGCTGCTGTGTCGACTGTGGATCGCCACGGGTGGTGATGTCTTTTTCGTATTTGAGCTTGAGATAGATTCGTTGGAAGGTTCCCACCGCGCTTTCTTCCTTCAAACGGCCGAGTTTGATCAATGAGTTGAAGATTCTTTGTTTTAACTTGTTGAGAAGAGCATTGTCGATTTGCTCGTTGTCTCTTTCAATCAGGATTCGAAATTCAAGGTACCTATTGCTTGAATTCCAGCTGGCCTCAATTAAAGTGTAAAGGCCTTAACAGATGGTTACCAGATTGAAATTCTCTATAAAATACCTCGAGTAGAACTGAATCATCAAAAATTACGAAAATGAAACGAAATCTTTGACAAAGATCAATAAAATGAAACATAGTTTTGTAATATTATTTGGAAGATCGATGTTACTGCCCACGGTAAAGCAAAAAGGTAAAGATAAATATTTTCGAACCCTCCCTTGACATGAATAAAACACTATTGACCAACATCAACGAAGCCAGTTGAATATTTTCTTCCTTGTCGCTTATTCTCGTATGCAAAATCGGCGAGTCATTTAGCAGCTTAAAAATTTGTGCTCTGACTGCAGGAACTTCTTGTAATCCGCGATCGAGAAGATTTATCGTCTTCTGGAGAAGCTTTCCTTGTCCATTATTAGTTCTTTCGTTGAGCAACTTGATCAGCTGATCGGTAAAGTCGGAAATGTGCGAAAGAATGTCTTTATAATCAATCAAGTTATCGTCAAGCAACGCCATCAAAATCGTTAGAATCTTCTCCAAATTCGCTTCCTGCACCTCTTTATCGACCGAGAGCAAAACTTTGAGGCCATTTTTCGAGATGAATATTCGGTTGAAAACGATATCTTCACTGTATTGAAGCAAATAGCTGAGGTTTTGGTGCCAGTTCTTTGCATCATCCGGAGAACGCTGTTGAGAAAGAAGTTTTAAAATGTGCGAAGCGAGGCGATCTGGAGATGTTCCGAGTAAAAGCGTTGATCCCTTGTCGATTCTGTTTGATTTCTGAAAATTTCTTTGTAGAAAAATATGCGGAAAGGCTTCTTACCAGCAATTCTTCAGTGATGTATCGCCTTGAATTCTGAGTCTCTAGTAATAAAGCTCGTGGCGTTCCCTTGACTTTCAACGAGTTTTCAAGCTTATCGTCTTTTTGTGAGAAACCACAGACTTTTGTCGACAATAAGAAAGAAAACTCGTGGCTTGGAGGATCTGCATGACTTCTGTGACGATTTCGTCGAGCGATTTGGACGGATCGAGCTTGTAAGCTTCCTCTTTATTGTCGATTTTGACGAGTACGCCGATTGAGTAGTGGTTTTCGCCATCTTTTTCGCTGTTCAGCGTTTCGGTCGAAATTAACGATGGGCCAGAAATATCGATATTTCTGAAAATAAACGAAGTTTAATCGAAAATTCTTATTAAATTTATCCATAAAAACGCTATTTGATATCATTAACGGGCTTACCTAAGAGCATTTTTCGTCATTTTCTTTATCCTTCTTCTTTATCTCAAAGAACACTCATTTTCTCTTTCAAAACCATAATTCTCTCCTTTTACTACGCTTCCAATTTTTCGCTCTGGCCAATCAGCGCCGCGCAATTTCATTTTGAATGAAATCGAAGAAAGAAATGAAGAGCCGATTAATCTAAATAACTTCTCCATTTTCTCAAATATAGAAAGTGTTTTGAGAGATTTTCAGACATCATTGAATGGGAGGCCAGCAAGGGAAATTTGCCGGAGGCGTCGGTAGAGATTTTTTCAGAAGACCGCTGAGGAAGGATGCGAGAGTGGGAGCGCCTGATTATCTCAAGAGATTTACCAGGTAATCGCATAAATGCCAAAAGCATGGCTTGGCAACATGTGCAGAAACCTGAGTCAGGGTCCTGAAAGAATTTCGATAGAAGCAGCGTATCAGCAGAAGGGAGCCTTTATAAAACAAAAAATTCAGACATGACTTCTACTGGGGTTTCGGAAAGCTGCCGATGTTCGTTGTTGGAGGATATTTCTTATCGAACGCATACTGGGAACGATATTCCAATGCAGCTATAGATTACAAGACAAACAAGGAATTCTTCGATAGAAATCGTCGACTAGCGCAAATTACCGGGTAATTACTCTCTCCTTGGACGAAAATAACATCGATTTAGTGACGACCGACCACTGCTGGACAGACCATTTGCGCTAGAAAAGGCGATAAAGAAGGCACAAGTTCGAGCGTTTCTCGCTGGCGATCCAGTTTACGAAGAAGCTTTTCACAGAATCTACCTCGACCGCGCTTGGTGGAAAACGTATTGGTATCTCAATCAGATAAATCCGGAAGACCACGAATTTCTTCCGATCCCGTATCATCATAGAGCACCAGACGGCAAATTTACTTTTCATGAAGAGAAACTTAATTATAGGTGAGTTATTTTCTAAGGAAAAAATGATAAAAAATACGAATTTTTCAGAAAGAAAAGTATAGCTGAGCGAGGAAGGCTGGACATAACAAACGAAGAACGAGCAGAATTCATGAAAAAGTATAATTACGATACCGGCGAGCTTCGTCCTTACTCTGGAAAAGTTCCTGCAGTTCAAAAACTTGTGCGGAATAATATGGGCGCCGATATTTAAGAAAAGAGGTTCCTGTTTCCTGCCAATTTCTGTCAAAATTACAGAAAAATTATTTATTGACCAGAAAATTGTTGATTTTTGTAATTTAGAATGTCTCGTCCGAAACCAGCTTTAGCTCGAAAACCAAGCGCAGTAAAATGCTTTCGCGCGCACTGGGGCTACGAAGGCGCGGCAGATGATGAGTTGAGTTTCGAAGAAGGCGATCTCGTCTACATCGCTGAACAGCACGACGGCGGCTGGTGGAGAGGAACTTGCAAGGGAAAGTCGGGACTCGTTCCGAGCAATTATCTTGTAGCGGATGAAGATGATGGAACAGGAGCGTCCGGACAGATTGATTTTCCTCTGCATGAGGGCGCCAAAAGGGGCAATTTGGAATGGGTGAGTTTTTTGGGAATTTTTTAGGTGACGAATCAATTTTAGGTGATTGAATGTCTTGAAAACAAAGTCCAAATCAACGGTCAAGATCGCAGTGGATCAACAGGTTTCTTTCTTCATTCATTTATCCTAACCCTTACCTTCGTTTCCAGGACTCTACTGGGCCGCTTATGGAGGCCACGTAGAAGTAGTCGAGCGACTTCTTCAAAACAAATTCACAGACTTGAATCTCCAAAACAAACTTGGCGACAGTCCCCTCATCGGCGCTGCTATTCGATCGCATCCAGAAGCTGTCGATCTTCTTTTGAAGGCTGGAGCAGATCCGAACATCACAAATAACACTGGCGGTACTGCACTCTCTCTAGCAACCAATAATCAAGGTACTTTCAAGCTCAAATATAAACCCGAAGTTTAATTTTTTCTAGTAAAATCGCTCATAAAAGCGCATCTTGGCCTGAAAACAGAAAGAAAGAATCAATCCGACTATATCGGCGCAGAATCCGACAACGACTCCGACTAATGTCCATCTTTCAATTTTCTTAAAAACGAATCGATATCTCCAAAGTTCAGCAAATCTACAAAATCCAATGATGCGACAAACCCAAAAATCAAGCGCAGAAACCTTATTCCTTCAATCCCGACACTTTTCTACTATTGAACTTCATTCTTCTTTATTATTCTTTTTTGTTCTTTCATCCTTCTGTATATTGTTCGAAAATTATTTTATTCTTCTTCTGCTTCGCTCCTGATCGAAAATGCATTAATAAAAATGAAAATCCAAGCAAAAAAAGAATCTGACTGGGACACGATTCAACATGTCCCAGTTATTTTTGGAGAGAAACAGTAAGGAATTATGTAATTTGAGTTCCTCGAGTTTTTTTCCGGAGACAGTCCAAATAAAGTTTTTTTATATTTTTTAATAAAAAGCGTTAGGATCACAAGGATAAAGCAAAATCTTCTCTGATGAAACTAAAAAAGTCATAAACCTCAAATAATTTTAGTGAAAATAAGGCTGACTAGATTCTCTTTGATTTTTTATTACAATGGGCTAGATTTGAATTTTCCGATTCGTAGTAATTCCGGTTCACTTTGAATATCAGCTTCATAAAGGTACAATCCCGAATCAAGCGATTGATAGATAATTAATTAACAGATTTTAAAAATAATATTCACATGGCACGTAATTCTGCTTTCATTATTCCGAATACTTTTTTCGCTTCATCAGCGGCTCTTCGTAAAGTTTCATTGACCGGAATGCCAGTCTACTGCCTCAGGGTTCCAAAGCTGACGATGACAATTTACGCAAATCCTTGGCGCTCTTCGTAGCTTTCTGACCTCTTTATCGCCTCACCTCTTCGGTATTTAAATAGACACTCGTCCATCTTTTCGATTAATAAAAAAAAAATTCTCGTTGAATTTATCAACGAGCACACAAATGCGATTCTTTTTTCTGCCACTTGTTTCGGCAGAAATAATATGTAATTACGACGAGCCGTGTTTGAAGGCTTGTACGGACACTGTATGCGATTACTACTGGAATGTCGAACATCGATATTCGAGGACATGGAGGACAAAAGATTACGGTTTGAAGGGTGACTATCCGAAAGGGGCCTACAGGGACTTTCCAGTGTTCTGGAACAAGACTACGAACTCTCTCGATCTGATTGACTCTGGAATCTCATCGGGAGTTGATCACATTTATAACGAGGATGGAACAATCAAAGACCCCCTTGATGATCTCGAAAACTTGTTTTTCATTGACGGTCAAGAGGAGCGACGAGCAATCACAATCAACGGACAATTGCCAGGACCGACGATAATTGTCAATAAAGGAGCTTTGGTTCGCATCCATGTCAAAAGTGCTCTTCATGAGGAATCACGTGAGTAGAAAACCACCTTCGGGACGAAATTTCTCTTTTGATTTTAGAATCGTTCTAACTTAACAACGGAAAATATTTGAAGATTAGCTTACCAGCGCTTGCAAACGATAACCAAAGCCAAGTTCTCATAGAAACGCAATGATGTAAATGATCGTTTACCCCCAATATTTAGTAACTTTACATTGGCATGGACTCCACCAAGTTGATAACTACTGGAACGATGGCGCTGCGATGATCAACCAATGCCCTATCGATGCTTTCAATGCTTTTACATATGTCATGCGCGCTGACAACTCTGGTACACACTGGTATCATTCGCACTACGGAATCCAACGAGCGGATGGTCTTCATGGAGCCTTTATCATTCTCGAAGATGGCGACGAGGAAGAGAATATGAGCTGGATTCCAATGGTCATCACCGACTGGTACAGTGCTGACTCGCTTTATCTTGCTGGAACAGACCCTTATCGGTTCGGGAATTATAATGGAACTCGCTTTACTGGTCCTGCGACGAGAATTTGCAACACTGAACAAAAGGGATTCATGACGGGAGTCAAGATGAGCTCGTATTGTGTCGATTCTATCATCGCCAACGGACGCGGTCAACTACGACTTCCAATTTCGGAAGAAAATCCAGAACAAAAAGAGTTTTTCTTCAGCGTCGGAGAGGAATACCATGTTTCGGAGACAACTACAAAAGTGCAGTTGAAATCTATCCACGCTGGTTTTGAATACCCAATCTTCATCAGATCTGCTGACGGGCGTCCACTTACGCTGACTGCTACAGATGGACGGAGAATTTCGCCTGAGCAAGGAGATGGTGTTTTCATGGGCGTTGGCGAAACTTGGAATATCGAGTTTGACTTTCCGCTGAGCGAGGATAGACTTGAGATTATTGCTGAAATCATCTTTGAAGGACTCGGAAAGAAAGCAACGAAAGTAGAACGCCCCTACGTCAGAATTGTTATCCTTCGCGATGCATTGGTAGCTGGTTCTGAGGTCAAATCGGAACTGGTTCCTGTTTATCCTGACGCGCAGATACCAGACATGTTTGACTTTGAATCAGAAAATGATGCTTTCGAAAAACAACTTCTTAACTGTCCCATGACGCACATCGTGGATATTCCATGCAAATTGGTGACAGAGTTCCAGCGCGACCCAGAATTTGAAAGTCGATTCGATCACCCTCCCCCGTCACTCTTGGCAACGCCAGATCGGGTAGTTGACCTGAATATGAATTTCGCTACGGGGTCAAGTTTTAACGGCATCAAATTCAAATACCCAGATCGGCCGTTTTTCGAAAATCCTGAAGACATGGATTTCACGAAATGCACAAAGAAGCAGATTGAAAACGAAGGAGGTTATTGTACTCATTTGGTCGAAGTCGAAAAAGATGAACTCGTCGAATTTAGGTAGAATTAGTTACAAGTCTATTTTCATAAATAAATTATTTGAAATAATCCTTTCATAAATAACAAGATCTCTAGAATCACATCTGCAGAGCACATCGAGAACATGTCACGAAGATGGCAATGGACATACCACGCCATTCATGTCCATGGATACGAGTTCTTCGTGACCGACATTGGCTTCGGCGTCGCCAACCAAACAACTGGATACATAGAGCGAAATTCTCCAGTTTTCGGCTGTAGAGGAGGGCACATAAAATGCATGCATACAGTTTTTAACGAACAGCTGATGAGCTTGCGAAGATCAAAGTTTGGCCGACAAGATCATATCGCTAAGAACACCGTTGTTGTTCCTGCAATGGGATACGTCGTTCTAAGGTACAGTTCATCTCTTTGCTTTAGAAATAAACATAAAATTTAAGGCTAAGGGCAACCAACCCAGGCATCTGGCCTTTCCACTGCCACCAGATGAATCACAACTACGAAGGAATGGCCTTTGCACTTTACGTCAAAGATTCAGAAGAAAACAAGCCGTTTTCATACCTGCCAAAGAACATGCCTCGCTGCGGCGACTACCACCCAAAAGATACTGCAATCAACGAGGAATCCTTCGAAAAGGAAAACGATGCACAACAGAGTGCGCTTTCAATCTTTTTCGTTCTCTTTACTTTCCTAAGTATCAATCTGTAAACATGTTCTGAAATTTGCCTAAAACATAACTTTCCTCATGTTCAATAAAATCAACTGTAAAGTTAAAACAAAGACATTCTACAGTAGTAGACTTGAAAGAGGTGCTTTTTACCGGTAAGTTACGAGTAAGAGTGACTCATAAAATTTCGAAGGCCACGTCAGCATTCATTTACAGCCTTGAGTTGAGAGACATTTAAACTCTAAAAAGAGACAAGAGAAGATGAGACTGCTGTATTCCCTATTTTTGTCAGCATTAGCAGGAAACTTTTACGATATCCTGGGTATGGAAATTTGATGATAGCGAAAAGCGAAAATAACAAATTTAGGCGTTGAAAAAAGCGCAACAACAAAAGAGATCAAGAAAGCCTTCAGAAAGCTGGCAATGAAATACCATCCAGACAAAAACAAAGCAGACGATGCCGAGGAAAAGTTTCGAGAAATCGCGGAGGTAAGTGGTGCAAAAGAGCTCAACCATTAGTTTGGTCCATTTTGCAGGCGTACGAAACACTGTCGAATGAGCAAAAACGAGCATCGTACGACGCTTCTGGTTTTGCGAACGCTGGAGCAGGCCAAAACCAACATCAACATCAACATTCAAAGTCAAACTTTGACTTCAACTTCGATCAGTTTTTCAAGGACTTTGACGAGTTCTTCAAGACAAAAAATGATCCTACGAAAAAGAAAAGAAAAACAACTTTCGATTTTGATGATATTTTTGAAGGAATGGATAGCGACGAAGATGAAATTTTCAAAAATTTTCTCGGCGAGGAGTTTTTCGGAGGCATTGATCTTGGTGGACTCAACATGAAAATGGGCGGCTTCGGCGGAAAAAAGTTTAAAATCAAATCTAGCTCAACAATTACGAAAGATGGTAAAACGGAAACTCGGACATTTTCAAAGGATAGCCAGAGTAACGTCAAAATCTCAAAGGTAAATGTTGCCTTAAATTATTCGGACTGACGTTGAGAGCTATTGAGACTTTTGTCAGTAACAGTGTTTTAGTCATCTTCAAATAGTGGATCGTCAGAGATCAACTGTCGATATGTAACGAAAGAAGTATCTCCTGGAAACTTTGAACGAAAATATGTCTGCGAAAAAGATGAGCTTTAGATTATATTACAAAAGGAGCTTGTAACTGTTACAATTCAATAAAGATCCGATGCATTTTGCACCAAGAGACCTCGCATGAGATGTTATTCTTCATGATAATCTCTCGATATTCAATTTAGTCTTCCATGATTTCAAAAATGGTAGAATAGCTGCTATTCAGCCGACACGATGACGGGTAGAAAACTCGGTTCATCGCTAGATTTGTCCCGGATTTTTTTCCTAAGAGCGGAGAGCGCCAGATCTGTTCCGAAAAAAAGCGACTTTCGAGAAGTCGGAAGCCCGGCTTATTTTATTGGATACTTATTCATAGTCAGGTGGACAATTTTTGAAATTGAAAGAGAGCAAGGAAGAGTATCAGAAAATGATGAGTATTAGGGAGTAGCGATGATTCCTCAGGCGCCGACGGTGATCTTATCAAGGTAAGGATTTTTACCGATTATTTCCGTGAAGATCAAATGTTTCTTTAGAGAGGACATGGACAAATACTTCTCAGTAGGAATGGGTTACTGATTTACAATCAATCTCATAAAAGAGTTCAAAACTGCTAACCCTTTCAAGTTCGAGATACTCTTATCCAATTCGCTCAAAATCCTTCTTCCCCAATATTGACACTTCCGCCGTTACCAGTAATACCAGCAGCGCCGGTACCAACAATATCAGGCAAATTAGCGAATACAAATTCTATCAAGATGCCCTCGATAATCGTCAAAATCAAAAATGGCAAGGTTCATTCGTCACTCAACACTGGAAGTTTCTCAAAAGAAGAAATTCTTCAACCGTAAGTTGTGAAACACAGAAGCAATAAATAAAACCGAGGTCGGGGAGTCTGTTTCAGTATGTATTCAATTTGCGGTGAGTTTGATCAATCTCACAAATCGTTCATTGAATCGGACATTGGGAGCTCCCCTGGGGCGAGTTACAATTAGTCCAAATGTCGGTCAATTCAATTTGAGCTAATCGAATGCCCCTGTATACGAAAACGTAGATTAGCGAGGCTAACAAATGGCCGAATTTTGATTTTGCTTCAGTCAGGTCATAAATCTGTTTTTCAGTATCCATTTTAAAATGAAGATGGGAGAAAAGAATATTTTCCTTACCGGTTTATGTAAAACACTTGATGATAAACCGTTAATGTTGCATTAATAACGTAACATTATGTCACGTAATTTTCGTGCTTTACTTTAGTAAAGCCGGCTTGTTTTGACGTAATCGAAAGTAGATTATCTTCCATCTGAGGAAATTGTGACGATGGTAATATTCGGAAATTGTCGGCAACTCCGTCATCTGCTCCGCCGGCATATCAGAGAGTTATCGGGCCTCTCCGGGGACTGTTATTGCGATAACAGCGCAGTCATACCAGTCAGTTGCGTGCCCCGTCGGTGCTGGCTCCCTCTCTTGCTCACCGGCTCCGGGTGAAATCAACCCTTGCTTCTCAAAAGCAGAAGCCATTCCTGAGTGTGATTGTGCTCCTCCTCCTCTTTTGGTTGATTAATTATCCGACGCGGAGAGAGAAATAAGAAGAGACAGTCAAGAGCGATAATACAGAGAGGGAGAATCAACCGACTCGGTTTGACGGTTTTATCGCCCGGTTTTTGATTTAGAGAGCAGCCGCACCGAGTTAATAACACACACGCACACAGAGAGACACACTCGCCTCAGGGCAAAATAACCATCGACTATACAAATTTTCGAGTTTGATTGAAAAAGAGACGGGTGGACTTCAATTTATCAGGTGATTAGAACCAAAATTACAAATTATCAATCTCGGTCCCGAATATTTATGAAATTTTCTCAGCATCTCAGCCTTTTCAAAAGAAGGGATTACTCCAAAATAGTCGGATATTTTTATCCGTCAATAAATGACCTCCAGTCTTTTTATTCTTTCCTTGAAGACGAGTTCATTTGGGTCATCCTATCTTGGGCGTTGTAGGTTACCAGTAGTACCCAGAAAAATAAAGGATTAGCAGCTCACGCGCCCGGGGCCAAGTTACAGGTCTCCTGCCTGGTACTCCATTTAACGCGGCTCCAGTTGTACTCGGCCAAACGACAACTGCATGTTTCACACGTTTTTAATGACCTTTGAACTGCCTTTTTTAACGTTCAATGCATGCAACTTTCATGAAAATACTAGCATCAACAGTGCTTACAGTACGATAAGGAGCTGTAGCTCAAGTCCGAGATAGAAAGAAAACCGGCGCCTAAACATATGCCAAGTAGTCGTCTTATCTAAATCACGTGGTTTTTTCGAGTGCCAAGATATCGGTCTCCGATGAAACATAACCGTTTTCCGAAGCCTTTTACTGGCTTTTACAGTTTGGATAAAAGTCTTATCCGGCAAATTTCGTTGAGTATTTTTAGCTTTCGGCCTTGATCTGGGCTGAGAGCTGCTCGAGTGTTTTCGGCCACAATCGGTATTCGTGATTGATAGCCTGGTCGCCTGCGGCCAGTGGCACAGGCGCAGTTGGGCACTCCCGAAAGGCGAGGAGATAGCGGGGAGACCGCGGCGGAACAGGCTTGTAGGTGTCAAAAGTGCACTTTTTTGCGAAAAGAAGATCCCAGAGATCAAACCGCGCCTGGACACAAGTCCAGAAAGACAGCTAACAAAGCGATTTTTTGAGAAAAAAAAAGATGATCCCGCATCTGTAAGTCCGACAATAATAATTCTAGCTTCCGGAGATCCGGTTATTATTTGATAGAGAAGTCCTTATTGATTTTTTATCCGTCGCTTCTGACATTTTCATGAGTCGATTAAAAAGTCGCACTGATTTCGCCGACCAAAAACCGATAATCGGTACGTTTTGGTTTTACATAATCATTGTCTTATAAATAAACTCCTGACATAAACTTTGCTGAGAGAAAAGTGGTAAGCAAAAGAACTTGATGCGCTTTCTCGCGGTGGAAATTCTAGCGCCGAGTTATTGTTTGCGTCTGGTGTTGCCTCGGACTTCTTCTTTTCTTCTATGGAAAAATGGAAGTTTGCCCGAGCGATGTCAGTGATCCGATTTTGGAATGAACAATTGAGTTGGTTTAGTCTTTCTAAGGAAAGGCACAATTGAGCAGATCGAGTTCTGCTCCGGTAACTCCACTCGCTGCCTTCCGGCGCAACACACCAGCTCAAGCGCTCCAAGGTCAGAGAAAAAACGTAACTCCGACTTGCCGGAAATTCCGCCGCTTCAAAAATGTAAATAAACAATTACCATGGAGTTGAGCTCTAAGTGGAGATAGGAGAATCTTTGCGTTAGAAATAGGGGCTTGGATTTTCTAACGCGAGCTCTGAGCGCGCGCAATTCAGGCGAGGACCCTTGCATGCTCTCTTATTGGCCAACCGCCTCAAAATCTCGAAACTCCTTTCTTCAGAATTGCCAGATTCTTCTGAAGCGCCCAACACGAGCGAGGAGAATTTTCTAGACTTCCCCGAGAGGCCTAGTGAGAGTGATCTGCGCGGGAAACGGGGAAGGAGACCCGGGGGCTTTCTCCACTCATAGTTCAACTCTATGGTAACTCTCCCTTTTTTGGAACTCGCTACTACTTAACAATGTTGCGAGTTTCTTGCGAAATTGGATGAGTGTCCGGCAGTTTGGAAAGCTGCTGCATATTTCACCGGTTTTCCCACGGACGGAGGAGTTGACTAAAACTGATAAAGTCTGGCTCTCAGGCTCGGTCCGACTTCTTTTTTTCTCATCGGAATGTCGCCACGGATTCTCAATTCTGCCACATCCCATAAAGTAGGAACTTATGATTAGATTAGTGGGTAATGCTCATTTTCTTGACTTCTAAGACTTTTTGAACAAACGTTAATTAGGTGACACCCATAATTTTTCTGCAATTTTTTACCTTTTATTTAGTTCCGATGAAATATTTTTAGAGTTAATCTAAATATTTTCGGTGAATATGAAAGGAATGAAAAAAGCTTTTACGATTAATTTTCAAAACATCCATTTTTGATCTCTCTAAAATCGGCGCTCTTTCTAATTTTCAAGTGCGTGCCTAGACAAGCGTCCCCGTCGGAAACTCAGAGTAGTGCCGTGTGCCTAACAAAGACCGCTTCTTTTCTGGGATACACTAACCCCTGCCGGTCATTGTGTGCCTCGCCCGTTGCTTACTCGCGGAAATACCTCTCCGACTTTTTTCTTCATTTTCATGGTCGTTAATTCACAAGAGATACCGACGGCTACGAGGCAAGAAAGCGAAATAAACTTCTAGGTGGGTTTCAAGGTTCTTTTTATTATCTTTATAATTCTCCAGTTTTTCATTTAATTCTTCAAAAATGGTGAAAATTGCGGTGTTAAATGTTGGGTCAGATTTTACTAAATTTTCCGTCGAAACAAACTACCGGATTTGTGGCATAAATCCACCCCTAAGTCGGTTAAAATTATCGGACATGAGGCGGGCGCGTTGCCAATCCCCGATAACGTCATTTAAAAAAGTACCACCACGCACGTGACCGGCTAATCCCCGGGAAAACCTGCGTCGATGACCCCACGGGTTAAGGAGAGGTTTGTCAAATTATCAGATTGAGAATCGGCCATTCGCAGAATCAATCTCGCGAAATTAAAAAAGACGGTCGCTGGGCCGGGAACAGTCCTCCTTTTCAATTAATTTTCGAAATGGATTAAAATCAAAAAATGTTAATTAACTTTCGGAACGGAGTCGGTCACGAGCCAGCTACTGTAAGCAGCTACAGGGAGGCTGCCCCAAATTGAATTTGATCTCGATAAATCTCCGCCCCGGTTTATTTGGCGGGAGTGTCGCCGCCAAGAAGAAGAAACCACAGACTAGTTAAAGCTAAGTTATCGGATGATTACGTTTTCGGATTATTTATTTTCGTGAATGAACTCGCCGCACATCATAAAAATTTGATAGTCGGACTCGCCACCGAATTATCCATCGTCGGACTTAATATTTGCTCCATTGTCATGGGAGACCGGCCTGGCAGAGATGATCAAGTGAATTATTCACCAGATGAAAGAGTTTTTCCGTAAGTTGTCGTTTTAAATTAGAAGTTTTTTCATAAAATTAAGTATTTTTTATTTGATGAATTATTCGTTTTTGCCCTTCCCTGGACAGAAAAAACCTCGGTTATCTCGTTCTCACTGGCCGGAAAGTTGATGACTCTTGAGTCGTTGAGCCAGAAGCCAAATCAAACAACCTTTAGTCTTCATCACTCCGTCGATTTTCGCCCCCTCTTGAAATAGCCTCGACTGTACCCGACAGCGCGGTACAGTGTGTGTGTGCGGCGAGCGGTAGAAATTTACGCCGACGAGTTTAAATCTGACAGGCCCGGCTGCGTGCCTTGAGCCTTGGGCACACATCCGCGCCATAAAACTGCCGAAAAGACCGATTTCGCGTCGCCAGAAAAAAACGCGGCAGACGAATCGAACGCCCCGGCGGGCAGAATAAGCCCAGCTTTTTCACCGACACATCTCCAACCGTGTTTTTGTTCTTTTCTTGCCCTTTTCATTTTATTAAGGGCCGGCTGTGTGTTCCCGGCGCATTCAAACTCTAAGAAATCAGATTTAATTTTCCAAAGACGGTTTTAAATTGTGGATTTTCAAGAGGTTTAGCAAATTTGTGTGTATTGGCATCGGTTTCCGTTTTTTCAAAAAGGTGAATCATATTTCCGGTTTTGTTATTTTAAAAATTTGTTTTCGGTTTAGGGGAAGCGGATGAAACTAAAGGTACCAGCGAGAATTGAGAGATCTACTTATCCCCTGGCAGCTTCGTGCTAATCCCCAGCGGTAAAGTTAGGCACACACCCGGCGGTCTGTCTTGGCCAGTGCCGACCTGTGACTTGCCCGAAAGTGGGTGCAAAGCCTGCCTGTGACTTGTTCCCTCTTTCGCAGGAGTGCGTTATCAGCTGCAGCAGCTTTTAGTTGAAGAGAGAGAGAAGCAGTCTTTTTTGTTCTTTTCGAAGCGCGCCGACTGACCCTGACGGGCTTCCCGGGCATTCTCATTGTTGACTTAGAGAGCAAAATACTCGGTAAATAGTAGTTTTACCTTGTTGGGCACACGGCGTCGGCTAAATCCACTTAGAGAGAAGAGTTCAAATTCGCGCTCGCTCGACCTTGGCCACCTTTTCAAAGCGCCGAGATTTAACAAAGGTGACATTTTCCAAACAGAAAACCGGCAATTTATCGGACATTTTTTCACACATTTTTCCATTTTTTGATTAATTTTAGGACTCTCAACTGATTAGTATGTCATGTCCGATTTGAATATCTAATCCTTTTTTTTTTACTTTTTGATAATTAAAAAAATATGAAAGAAATTCTTGACCTTGTCCTAAAGTTTGTCCTAGAGACAGATTTTCTATCATCCGCGATATAAAATTATTTATTAATGCGAGCCCGTTAAACCGACTTTTTATTACGGGCCTAATTCATCAGCTGAATTTTATGCCCGTTTCTGTTGACTCCAATTGTCCGCTTTTCACGTGTGTCCCTTATTGTTTTCAAGAGCGTAAAACATCTTCCGTCTTTTCGGAAATGACTGCCGGGCGCATTCAGATTTTGAAATAGAGACCGCTTGAAAAAAAGACACGTTGGAAATTTGTCGGATTCCGATATCCGAGTAAATGATTAACTCATTGGTGGGTAAATACGCATGCGGCGCAAATACCAGAGTCGGAAGCAGCTCCAGTATTTATTAGAGAACGAGCCGGCCATTTTAGATCGGGCCAGTTTTTTCGCTGGTAATGAGGTAAATTTTTAACCTTGAATTTTGAAGAACAAATTTGTACTTCGTTTACATGCCCTTGTCACATACTAGCCAATATTCAAGTATCCTAGAACCTTTTTCTATCTATTTAACCCCTTTTCATACCATGACCAATTATTTGGTTTTTCGAAATCACGTCATTTTAATGCATTTATTGGTCTTTTTTTCTTTGAAAAATTATTTCAAGTTCTCTGTCTGATAATTTTGCACTGCGGAAATCTCCGGACCTGAATCCAATCTCAAGCTAATGGCGTTCGCCGGCGTTCAATTTCAAGTAATCGGACATTAAGCGGACAAATTCTCGGTTCGTGTTCTCCTTCTTGACTTTTCCAACATCCCAAAACTCCGAGATATTTTTAAGAAGAGCGGGAAAAATATTCAGCAGACGGCGGAAAAACAAGAGAGCTACGCCCTTGACCAGCTCTCGGAAGACTTTAAGAGTTAGTCCTTGAATACTGGAGTTTTTGATAAGCTAGAGCCGATTCTTTTTTCTTCAAAAAGCCGCTTGCGGCTTTTCGCTAAAATTAATTAAATTTTCATTATTTTTTTTTATTTTTATGAAGAGTGGTTGTGGAAACTAGGATGTAAATCATGTGTGGGAGAAAAAATGTTACGATTAGAATTAAACTGATAAGGGAGGGCCTAATTCGTGATTACCGGTAATTGGGTGTTATCAAAATTGGCTTGTTGGTGGTGTTAGCGGGGTGTTGCGCGCGTGGGGATTCGGCGACATTACCATAAAATATTTGGAGCACTTCGTAAGGTGCCGGCGGAGTTACTAGCCCGGCGACCGGTTTTACGGTGCTGGTGGCGGTGCTCCTCGACGCCGCGTACAGCCCCATATATCAATTTGATGGCTGGGGACTAGTGCGGTGGCCGCTAAACCGACGTCTTTTTGGCGCTGCGCGTAAAAACGAAACAATTACAAGAGCTGGTGTAGTAGAAAAGATGGGGGTGGTAGTAGTACGCTGCTTGCTCCGCCGCCAAATATAGGGGTGCTCCGATCCGACGGCCGATTCTGCTTGCGGCGCTCTCTACTGCCGTGACCGTAATTGTACCAGATTTTTCCCCGGACGAGGCAGCACCACTGGCGGTGGAGCACCGCCACCCGTATTTTCACCGTAAACAGTCACCACCGCTACAAAAGTACGGAGGGACCTAACCCGCGGCTAAACCGCCGATTTCTGCGGCAGGACCGAAACCCCCCAAGGCCTCCGCCAGCCCAGCCCCTTCTACTCATCGAGACAATGTTATTTTTTCAAATTACTTCTCAAGAGACCATATTCTAGAGCTAGCCGACGCCCCTCAGTGAAACAATCGGTCAAACAACCGGTAAAGTAGATGAATTCACCAAGTGTCATTTTTTAACCTTAGAAGTTCACATCTGGTGCAATTTTGAGTAGCCCGATAAGTCGGTGAAATTGCCGGACATGTCACGGTAAAACCGCTGAGCAAACACAGCTAAAGCTGCCCTTTTCAGAGATAATTTTCTCCTCGAGCCCCGGAGCCCAGCGCTAGAAATATTAAGAAGAGAATTAAACGATTTTTTTCAGAGAGAAAACGACACTGAAAATGTCGGACGTCTCATCAGGCTTGTCCGTTCACAGCACAGCTGCGTCCCTTCTGAACCTTCAAACAGCTGCAGCCGCGGCCGCCAGCGCCACTGGTAACTTCTCGGGGTCAATGTCAGCTTCTGTGACCCCGTCTATGTCGCCCAACGTGTCCGAGAGCAACCAAACAAGCTCCTCGTCGCCAAGCCGCTCGTCCATCAATCAGGCATGGGAATCGGAACCTTCTTTCTTTGGCGCCATGCCACTGTCTTGATTCGGATAAGCTAAACTGTTCTCTTTTGTGGAACTTCCTTTTACACGTTTTTGCCCTTTGAAACTCAGAATTTCGTAAACTGATCAACACCAACTGATCTCGCGAAATCTTTAAAATTAGCTCATCAATTGAGCTCTAATGCGCACTAATCCAGTTAGATCATTCACGCCACGTGAGTAATTGAACCTTTCCGATCCTTGTAAGACACCACCTCCGCCAGCAGCAGTAACCACAGGCAGCCCGGCTTCGACAACAGTCAAAACAGAAGCGAAAGAGCCAAGCAACGGAAATGGGACGTCACAAATGTCAGCAGTGGCACAACAGAATGACTACTTCCGAAATTGCAATGTCCCGAATTTGATCAATAAATGGAGAAGGAGACACGCATGGTTGTTTCTCAAAGAGGGGAAGATGTTTTGCCAGGTAATAATCAACACCATAAATTCTCAAAAAACTTAAATTGTGTGTATTTTGAAGGCTTTATTTTCTTGGGAAATACTGTATTTCAAATACAGTATAGACAGTAGAAGCCACCATTCACTAACATTAGCAGATGAATATAAATAGCAGTAACTACCAGCATCAATAAGCACACTTTGATTAAATAACATGAATTTCCAATCAGTGAGATGATCCGGGCGCGATATCAAAGCGCCCGGTCGTTTATTGAATCATGTCACCTGAGTCCCCCGATGGCCGATGACAGTAATCGGTTTCACCGGCGGCCCGAAGTTCGCGCTAACTAGAAATTGCTCGAATCTAATCATAGGGCTTTCTGTCCTTGGCGGGAATAACCGGCAGTTAGGGGCGTGGTTTTCGGATTGACTAACTGGTATTTATAGGCCTGCATCGACTTCAAGGCCGTTGCCAAGCGTTATGGTCGCTGTGACGAAAGAAATAAGGTAAGCCTCAGTCAAAGTCATTTCAAGAGTTTTATTCTGAAAAATTATTTCAATTCATGAATTCTGAAAATTCATTCAAAAATGGCCTCAGCACCGGCAAAATTTATTCAAGAGCAAATAGCTCGAAGTCGGCAGCGGAAGTAGAAAAAATATCGCCCTGGTAGCGAATCGAAAATGTCTAGGAAAGCTTCGTCAGTTGGTACTGTCAGTTTTGAGCTTTATGAAACTCCTTTGAAATGTCAATTATCTAAACATACATTATTCTTTCCTTCAATGACTAATGTGATTTTTTAGTTCTGCAACGAAGGCAGTACAAATTTCCGCTCCTCAGCGGTAGAAGACCATGCTCGATCAGAAACGCATCTTCGCGCAGTTCGAGCAACGACTCAGCAACCGAACCCAAATGTAAGTGCCAAAGCGGTCGCCGAAGCGGCCGGCTTGCTTCAAAGCAGCACAACGCCCGTCAAAGGCGCCAGTAATCCGCCAGTTACATCAGCAAATTCCCCTCTCAGTAAAAAAGTAAGAATCGCTCTCTCGAAAGAGATTTGGTGTCATCTCGGTGATTTTTCAATTTTTAGAATCTGTTAAATTTTGCTCGCAGTTTTTATCAAATTTTCCTCTCTTTTGGTGAAAAAACCTTTAATGAAAACATTTTCAAACGTGAACTCTTAGTTCGACGGTCTGAACTCGATGGTTGAAGAGTCCCAAGCATTCCCGTCGTTCACGTCGCCTGGACGGCCAACAATGGTCCCACGCTCCACGATTTTAGAACGCAACCGCCCGCTCGGCATTCCGGACGTGTTCGACATGCCAGACCTGCAAAACGACGTCATCGGCCGCGGAACTGGTTCGCCCCATACGCGCCCGACTCCATCGCCCCTCGCCGCCGCCGCCAATGCCGCTGCTGCTGGGGCCGCGGCTGGTGTCGGCGAACAACCAGATGTAAGTACAACAATATTGGCGGTCAAAATATTTTGAGTGGAAACAATGGAATTGAAACTGATTAGAACAAGATGTTTTTATAAAATAGAACTTACAAGTAATTTTTCGAGGAAAAAGAGTAGACACTAAGAATCTGATGAATTTTCTCTTTGAGTTAAGATACAGACACCCTTATTTTTGAAAAATTAAGTGGCCAATAAAATTCTTTTAATCAAAGTAATTGTGGAAATTTCAAACATGAAAATCGGATCCCCCTAGCTCCCGCCTCAAATTCATGTTGAGCGGTAGTGCTCACCATGTAAAAGCAGGGGCTTGTGTGGAATTAAAAGCATGGAAATGATTTTCACCTTTAGAGCGAAATGTGGAAATATGCGCTAGAAATTCTGCGGCGACTTCGACAGCAAAGATCTCAAGGAATTCTTTGTGACGTGTGGATTCGATACCCAAACAGACAGTTTCAAGCGCACAAGGCCTTTCTCAGTGCGGCTAGGTAAGCAAAAACTAGTGCTAGAATCCTCTAATCTTCTGTTTTAGCCCTGTTTTGGCCGAAAGACTGGAGCTTGACAGCGTGCAAAAGAACATTTCCGAAATCGAAGTCCACGAAATCAAGCCTCAAATCTTCCAGCAAGTCCTTGGTAAAAATATTTTAGAAAGCCCGGTTTTTCACCGAAAAGTTTAGACTACATTTACTCCGGTGAAATTCCAGCTGAAGATAACAACGGCGACCTTCTTAGTGCTGCCAAGTTTTTGAAAATGTCGGATCTCGAAGAACGCCTCAAGCGACTTGACGAGTCCCAGCGTCAAACGCAGCTGATGGCCGCCATCTTTGGAAACAGCAATCGAAAGCGAAAGAGGCCGACGCCACAGTCTCGCAAGGCTCAAGCTTCATTGCTCAATGGTTTGAAAAACGGCTTGTTGGAGAATTTTGATGCTTCCAAAATCGACCCCCAGACGCTGATGGAAATGGCAGCGGCGACGGCCAATGCCGCGGCGCAGGAACCGCTGGATGTGAAAATTGAAGAAGTTGATTCTTTCGAAGACGATGAAGGATGCGCTACTCCTCCTAAGATCCCAAAGTCCTCTACCCCTCCTGCTGTGGATCATCAAGTCAAGGTTGAGCCTACTGTTTCTCCACCAACCGGAAGCAGTAGAAGAAAAGGCGCATCAAAGGTAAATACGCATTTTCCGCAACCGACAATCAAAATCCGGACCGGACCGCAAATTGCGATTGGTCAAGTTCAAAAATTTTCAAAAAGAATGCCGCAAATCTTGAATCACAAGAATTTTTGCTTTGAAATTAACATTTTTGTAGCGCATTGCTCCGATCGCCGCGAAGGACGAGCCGCTTGAAGGCGTCGAAGAATGGCTTTCGGGCGCTAGAAATGGCATGACTGTCGAGCCAGGAGTGTGAGTTTTCAATTTTGCCAAACAGAAGAAGACAAAAAAGATGTAAATTCGCGATTCTGCCCAAACTGCTCACAGACTCAAACCTAACTCAAAGTTGACCAAAAAAGTGTTATTTATTTCCGGCAAAGTCAAGTTTGCTGCCCATACAACTTATGGCCTTCAAAATATTACAAGAGTCAATCCGGATCAAGGGAACTCTTCTCTCTCTCTGTATATTTTTATATTTAACCTAATCTACTTTTACGCAAACTTGAAGATATTCTAACCAGAGCCCCAGTTTTCCAAAGCCACAGTACAAAAACCATAGAATCAAGCCCCAAAAGATAATTGATCATTTTCATGAACATTTTGGCAAAACAAAGTTTAGTCGATTTGCCATGAAAATGACCAGTTTGCTTGACGGATTAAATTATCGCTAACAAATTCGTTACCATTCAGAATAATACAGTGACAAAACCTCCTGCTACTGATTGATATTACTGAGATCCACTGTACTGTGCTCAAGCCTTCCTGCCAGATCACTACCTCGATTTCTTCCAAACTTTCAATTGAATATTAATTATTTAAAAAATAATTAAACTAATAATATTTTAATGCCAATAGCTCAAAACAGTTGCCATTATGAAAAAACACAATTTTTCCGTGCTAAAATGATGTAGATCTATCTATCTTGCAGTAACATACTACTTTTATTTATATTATAAAAATTATTTATCCAGTGTACAAAATTAAGAAATATAAAGCAGTGTGCCTTTATCGCGTCTTGTGTGCCTAAGACTGAACCCTGTCCAAACCTTTTCTTTTGTACAAATAAAGTTCAAGTCTATTTAAAATGTCTCTCATTGCTTTATTATCTGGGTTTTAACCTGATCGCGTATTTCGACCAATATTTTGGCAGGGCAGATTTTATCCTTTGTTGAGGCCATATTTTTGACAAAAGTCTTGTTAGGTTTGAATAAAGTGCCATGGAGCGTAAAAAGCAGCTTGTTATCTACAGTAATTAGCAGTTATTACATAAACAAGAGTTTATGCATGTCGCAGTTGACCTGTTGCCTTGTTCTAGCTCGAGTGGTAGTACTTATGTGCGATTACGTGAGTCCCTTGGCGGAGTGTGCGTGTTTGGGCGCGCTTGAGCACCACCAGCACCACCACAGCGCGCCGCCTACTGAAGCGCAAAAAAGCACCACTTGGTACAACACCCAAACTGACAAATACAAAGAGAAAAGAAATTTAAAAGAGAACCGCTTTGAAAAGCAGGATGAACAGCTCGTTCAGCTGGCTGAAGTCTTTTGAAAATTCTACGGCCATCTTTCAAGCTGGAAATCTTGCATTTTTATACTCGACAATTATCTGTGTATATTTTCCTCAATAAAATCAAGAGTTTTCTGCAAAATTATTGAGTTTCCCCGGCGACAGACAAAAGCAATTTTGTAGGAAAATTCCGGCGATCCTACGATAGGATTAAGACCCGCTTGTTCTTTTATTGCGGTTCAAGAACTAACACCAAACTGCCGGATTCTCTTGATTTACAGAATAGCACCATATGTGCTGGTTCCAACTTGACAATCGAAAATGCTTCCGGATCAACAAGCCGATTGTTGAGAAACTGTATAAAACTGCCTGAAAATTTCCGAATGAATAAAATAATGATAAAATACATTGCGTTTTTATTCGTGCTTGATGTCCAGGCTAACAGTAACTTGCCGAGCCTTGCGACTTGTACACATGAGTCAAATTACGGTTACCGGTCTCACAATGATTCTAAAATTGTTGGCGGAATAATTGCAAAAGAAAACCAGTGGCCGTTCATCGTCAATCTTTTTCATTTTGTAGAGGTCGGAGGCTCTCTCGAAATAAATGGTGTTTGTGGAGGAACTATAATCGACAACTACTGGGTTCTTACGTAAGTGTTTCGATCATGTTTTTTTTTTTGCAAAAAAATGTTTTAGTGCTGCACATTGCTGTGACGGCTCTGACGAAATACTTGGGACGTTCAGTGAACGAGAACTTATTGAACAAGAACCTGGGGAGTATTCTATGCTTGCAAAATATTGGAGGAAGCATCCATCATACAGGCAGAGTTTTTTTCCAAAGAACAGCTCACCATCCACGAGAAATTTAATTAACTTAACATAAGAGCTGGGAGTGTCGATTTTGACCTTTGTTTAATAAAATTTGAGGACGATATCATCGAAGAAGATCCAGACAAAGACGTTCAAATGGCATGTCTTACAGATGAAATTCCTAGTCATGGATCAAAATGCTGGATCGCAGGCTGGGGGTCAGAAAGCTCGGGTGGATCTATCTCCATGTCTTTGAGACAAGCGAGCGTTACTTTGTTGGAAAGGAGCTACTGTTTGGCTAACTCCGGTTATCTATCTTCCGAACTTGGTCCAGAAATGATCTGCTCGATAACGACGATGAAAGCTCGATAACGACGGAGACGGCGAAACCGATGGTGGCGTGGATTCTTGCCAAGGAGATTCGGGAGGACCACTGATTTGTGACATCGAAGGAAAAGCTGCACTTGTCGGAGTTGTTTCTTGGGGAAAAGGATGCGCTTTTGAAGGATACCCGGGTGTCTACTCATCACCAGCATATCCCAGCTCATACAAGTGGATAAGAGAAACTGTTGAGCCTGCTTTGAAAACAACAACTACTACAACGACAACGACCACAACGAGAACTACAGCTTCAGATGATCAAACCTTGACATTCAGCATAATCATGATGCTAGTTCCACTGTTTTCTTAGACAATTCGTTATCTGAACTTCAGAGTCTGCAGTGAATATTATTTTTTCTTTTTTGCAAATCAACACGTTTGTTTTTATATAAAATAGATAAATTGTCATAAGTCAGATAGAAAAAGGCCAGTTAGTTAATGAGCATGTTGTTCTTGTTGCAATATCCTCGTTGTCAAGTGATCTTGTCGTTGTGATCAAGCGGTAGATAATGTTGTACTACGAAAAAAATTTCTGTAAAATTATTGAGTCCCCTGGCGACAGATAAAACAAATTTGTGTGAAAAATTCCGGCGATCCTACGATAGGATTATGACCCGCTTCTTCTATTATTGCGGTTTAATAACAAACACCAGTTGGCGGCATTCCTCCATTAAGAATGGCGTCAGATAAATTGGTTTCAACTTAACAAAAGCAAATGTTTCCGGATCAACAAATCGATTGTTGAAAAACTATATAAAACTGGCGGAAAATTATCGAGGAATGAAAGAATGATAAAATTTGTTGCATTTTTATTTGGACTTTCCGTCCAGGCTAACAATAGCTTCAACTCGAGCCTTCAAACCTGCACCCACGAGTCAAATTACGGTTATTTCTCTCAAGATGCAACTTTGAGGATTGCTGGTGGAATACCTGTAGAAGAAAACCAGTGGCCTTTTATCGTCCAGCTTGCTTCTTTCGTAGACGTCGGAAACTCTTCCGAAGTCAAGGATTACTGCGGAGGAACTATTGTTGACGACTACTGGGTTCTTACGTATGATTTTTTTATAGCGATTTTTTACGGAAAATTTGAAGTGCTGCACATTGCTGTGATGGATCGGATAGAATCGTTGGCACTTTCAGTAATCTGGTGTTGAATGTTAACTTAACTATTGAAGAGACCCCAGGCGAGTATAACTTGACAACAGACTACTGGATAAAGCATCCACAATACAGGAAAAGTTTTATACCAGAGACTGAAAAAATTTTCATTCAATTTTGAAATAACTCAATAATAAGTGCAGAGACTAAGGATTTCAATCTTTGTTTAATCAAGTTTGAGGAGAATATCATCGAAGAAGACCCAGAAAACGATGTTCGAATGGCATGTCTTACAGACGTGGTCCCAAGTGATGGATCTAAATGTTGGATCGCAGGCTGGGGAGGAGAAAATGCGGGCGATTTTATGGCGGATACTTTGCAACAAGCGAGCGTTACTATTTTGGAAAGAAACTACTGCTTGGATAGTTCGGGTTATCTACCTCCAGAACTTGGACCAGATATGATCTGCGTTGGAAAACTTGATAATGACGAAGACGGCGCTGCCGACGGTGGTGTGAATTCTTGCCGAGGAGACTGGGGAGGACCACTAATTTGCGACATCGAAGGGAGAGCAGCACTTGTTGGCGTTGCTTCTTGGGGAAATGGATGCGCTTTGGAAGGATTCCCCAGCATCTATTCATTAGCAGCTCATCCCGACTCATACAAATGGATAAGAGAGACTGTCGAACCTGCTTTGATAACAACTACAACAACCACAACTACAGCTTCAAACGATCAAACCTTGACATTCAATGTTATCCTTCTGATCCTGATGCTATTTCGATAATTTTAAAATCATTCTCGCAAGTCAACACGTTTGTTTTTGTATAAAATAGATATATTGTCATTAGTCAGAAAGAAAAAGACCAGTTAGTAAATGAGCATGTTGTTCTTGTTGCCATATCCTCGTGGTCGAGTGATCTTGTCGTAGTTCTGGGTGATCGAGCGGTAGATAATGTTGTACTGCGAGCGGACGAGTCGGGCGCCATCTTGGAGTTTTCTGCAATGTCTTTCGTCGGCTTCGTAAATGTACTGAAATTGTCCGATGGAATAATAAAACATGGAAGTTTGAATCTACCTGCATGTAATCACGGATCTCGCCATTGGTCGCAAGTTTAGAAATCATCGTAGCGCGCTCAAGATGATAAGCTCCCTGTTCTTCAATGAGCATCAGCATGTAGATCTCACACTCTGAAAAAAGTCTCTAGAACGCACTGTTTATCCTCAAAAACTTACGTCTAAGCTGCACAAGCATGTTCTCCTGAACTTCAACGCCGAAAGTGTTTCCATCTTCGATCTTGGGAATCATCAAGGTGATCCAGTTGCGGAGAAGGATGACGGTATCGTAAAGGTTGAGGATCAATGGCTTCAAGAGAGTTGAAAGCTTGTGATTCGGCTCGTTGATCCCGATAGTGGGAGTTTCAAGCAGGGTTGGAAATGTAGCAGTGTAGTAATGTAGCAATGTAGCAATTGCTACATTTTTGCTACATGTTGATGTAGCAGGTGTAGCATGTACCAGCGTTTAAAAAGCGTGTAGCAAAGGGTAGCTTGCTACATTGCTACATTTTTCTGGGGATCATGATTTTTGTTCACTTCAAAGAAATTCTAGAGCAGATTTGTTATTATCGACTCCGAAATTCAACAGAAAATTTTCGTGAAAAAGCAAAAATTTCGTTCTAGAATGCATTCTTGCAAAAATAAACATGACGAAAATACATTTTACAGTAACATTTGTCGTAAGAGACGATTTTTCAGCGTCTAACCACTTTGAACGTCTCTTTTGAGACCTAACAATACTCATTAGCAAAGAAGTAATCTAGTTTGAATTTAAAAATTTGGCGATAAATTCGATTTCGATTTCGATTTGGCGATAAATTCGAGGAGATGAAGATTTTTATGTAGCAAGTGTAGCATGTAGCAGCGGTTTTCTTTGAGGGGATGTAGCGCGTGTAGCATGTAGCAGCAATATATTGCTACATTTCCAACCCTGGTTTCAAGATCAGCTGCTTCCGCCTTCTCGGATCCTTCTGATGTATCTGAATGCCGAATTTTAGAGGAGGTAATCAGAAACCTTTCTTACTCGAAACTTTGATGTCCAAAGAAAGGTTAGAATCCTTGTTCTCCAATTTGAGACCTTCGCTCTTCTTGATGCTGCCTCGTCGTCGCTTTTTGCCAATGGTGACTTTCTCAGCAGCGGAGTCAGTCGACTCAACGCTCATGCTTGATTCTGTCTTGGTGTCAGCGCCAGGGAGATCAGCGGCCTCGTTATTATTTTCATCGGCATTCTCAGCGTTGGCATTCTCCTCGTCGGCAGGTGCTGGGGGTTTCATACCGCCAAGGAGAAGACCGAGCGCTTGTTCGAGCTGCATTTGCTTTGCCTTTATAGAGCTCATGGATACAGCAATTTTTAAAAGATTTTTCTCCATATTTCGAATTTTGATTATTTCTAGGATTCTATGCAAAAGATACTTTGAGCTCTTTCCTGATTAGCTTCGGCAATCTCATCAAGCATCATTTCATATGATGAAACTGTTTCTTCCGTGAAATCACGAACTTCATCCTAATCAATCAAATTAGTAGAGGTCTAAGTTTTCAATTACCTGGAAATCACTTTTCATCATGCTATTCTGAAGAACTTCATCGAGCTTGGCGAGCTCTTCGGGGATAACAGTGCTCAAAACCTTCTCGGCCTTTTTCTGAAGCTTGGCTCTGTAGCTATCGACGACTGGGATGCAGTCGCGATCCAGAGAGACTAATGATGGTCGGGGCATGTTCCTTATTTTTAAATTTTAAAATGAGCTTCACATCATGAGAGAATAAAAATCAATTAATCGTGCGTTCACTACCTTTCAAATTTATAAACTAAAGACTATTTTGAATTTTTTCAATAACAGAATGGATGTTCTAGAAAATATGATTACATGTATACCAAAGTTGAACCCTGCCCGAGCAAGAACCTCCAATACCTTTTGGTATTTTGCCTTCCATGCGCAGATTTGAAGTTCAAAAGCTGTCAAGACCGGATACAAGACTGTCTCAGTGTCAGAGTGAAGAGCAGTAGAGTGTTGTCATAAAAAAACGTTGTTACCAGGTTCTTTCGCCAAAACATCGCTAGTCTCTTCAAGAGATCGTTCACCTTAGGTAGGACACTAGTAGGACATGGAGGAAGAAAAAGAAGCAAAGTCAAATAAGATACTAATATGGGAAACGCGAGTTCAGGTACTGTATTCGAACTGTCTTTAGTCGGACTGGCAGATTACTGCGTTAACTAACTTTGAAATAAGTGTTTGGACTGCCACTGTGTCGGCGTTCTAAATCAAATTGATGGAAAGGTGGTTTTATTCTCGGAAGATATTCTATCCACTCGAAGCATTCACACGCAAAAAGAAGATCTTCACAAGACGAAAAAGTGGAAGAAAAAGGTCACTGAAAAACTAAGCTTTGCTAACCATGGATTTTCCACGGGAAAACAAAAAAGAACACATGTTGCAGTCGGATTTCTATTTTGGATGACCATTGTCCTCATTGGTAGGCTTATCTGAAAATACTAATATTTTAATGGTTTAGCGAATTTTTACTCTCTGGAGAGATCCCGCGGCGTGACAACTTTTCTGACTTCGACTTGCCATAGAAACTACAAAAAGTGCGTGCGGATTGAAACGATGGACTTCTGTGCTTCTCTTATGAGAAAGTGCCGCGAAACAGGAAAATTCAACCTTTCTTACCGAACTGCTATCATGGAGGGAGGAGAAAAAGATGACGTCGTCTTTTCGGAAGAAGAAAACAACTTAAATCTTCGTCGATGTCAGAAGAAACAGTTTTACGATCAAAGCGTTTGCCGTCACCTTTGTTCTAAGACACTTGTTTTGAAATCAACGAAGACTGTTCCATTTTCACCCTGTGAATTGATCTGCTTCGAACTAACTAGATCATTTGATTCGGCCGGAGAGGTTTGTCCCACCCAAAAATACTGTTCAAATGGCTGCCCTTGTCCTTTTTACCAGTGTGAAAAATTTGAATGGCAACAGAAGCTGATCCCTGTTTTCGATCTGGAAAAGAGAACGTCTTCAATCGAAGCAGCGACAATTTCTGATGAGTCGATATCAGCAACGACTCCGTCAATAGAAACAGAACTGGAAGGAGACAACAAAACAGATGCTGACTCTTCATTCGATTTCATGACTGGTTGGTGGAAGGATCGCAAATCAAAAGCAGAAAAATTTTCATACGATTTTTCGGCAATTCTAGAATTACTTTCGAGCGACTTCTCCAATAGTTCTTCAACAACTACGTCTACAACAACTGCAACGTCAACGTCATCCACTCAATCCACGACCTTTTTATCGAGAACAACCCAGTCCACCGTGACAGAAAGTATCAAATCAAAAAGTTCTTTATCGACTGAATGGATAACTGGCCGGTGGACAGACCAGAAATCCAAGACATATCCGCTTCTTCTTTATGATTTTTCAGAAAGCAAAAAAGCAGTTCAGATAGAGACTTCTGACTCGTTTCTCTCCTATGAACGTTTTCAAGAAAAAATACCTGAAAGAAAGATAAAAAAATAACAAAATCATGAAAACCTTCAAGTCCACCGGTGCAACTTATCTCGAAGGGGAGCATTATCTGGTCGACGCTGAAGGAAACCTAATGAAAGTCAAGGAAAACGGAAACGAACCAATCTTTATTCCAAATCTTCGAAAGGATACGTAAGTATCAAATCTGCTCCTTCATCAACGAGCTGTCATTTTAAAGGGGATGGTTTGTATTCCATTTTGGTTCGTCGATAGGAACTCATCAAATTGAAATCAGGCGCAAGGATAAAGGCAAAAAGGTCTTTTCCGTCGTAGTCATCTGAAAACGGTCAAAAATTAAAAAACCCTTCTCGAATATCAAGAGTTTTTGACCGGTAAAAGTTCTCCATCAGGAAGGCCAGACAAATGCTATTACTACGCCCCCAACTACAACTTGAATCGTTTTGAAGAAGCACAGGGTTTTATTGCAAGCAAGCACTTTAATGCAAAGGTCTCTTCTGTCAGTTTGAACGGAGTTTTCCATCTTATGAGCATCATGCTCGGCGAAAAATGGATTAAACTTTCGAAAACTGTGGCGCTGAACAGAATCCGAGCAAGTGAAGAATTCGAGAAAGGATGGAAAAAGGGTGAAGTTGCTCTGCCCGTTCAATTCAGGGACCTGGACCCAGTCCATGTCATTCCATTGATAGGAGTTTGAAGCTGAATCTCGACTTAATTTCTTATAAGAATGAGCAAATAAACTCAAGAAAGATCGATTTAGGAAAGCTGCTTATTATTCTAGTGACAAGGAGCATCACGCTCTCTAACACACTGTACTCATTGTTGCTGGAGGTAGAAGGTAAGTATCTAGTTCTGGGCAGCGAGTGGATCGGGTCTCTTGTAAAATACGAAGAAAGATCAATTTGTTACTCGAAGTTATTTTCTTCAAGAGATCGATATTATACTGATCAAAGTGGCTTTAATAACGATGAATGCGAGTACTTTGGAAACGGAATCATCAACGATGAGAAAGTCTATTTTCAGAATTATGTTTTTGACACCACCTTTTTCATCAAATTTGGCTTCGGAAGGAATTAAAAATATCTAATTAGTCGATTCGTGACGTTCTGAAACGGAAAGGTTATTCTTAATTCTGTCGAAAAGAGAATATTGACATCGAGTTCATTCAACAAAAGCCATTGAAGAAAATGCATGCAACCAGCAATCCATTATTCGCATTTCACGACGACGTTTTTCCTTCTTTCGCCAAAAATGCTGTATCTCAACCCCGCTTTCCCGCTTCAAATTATTATTACAAAACACTTATTCCTGATAACATATTTTTCTCACTTAAAGAATTAGAGCATGTTTCAACTTTTGAGATGAAATTCGAGGAAACCGAAAAATTTCAAATCGAATTTGATTTTCAGGTGAAAATGATTTTTATTCTTTCTTTTATATTTTTAAAAGTCGACGCAAAATAACGGCGAATTCAAAATATTTGAACTAAAATTCTTCGATGAGGAAAGTCTATTGATATTAGGAAGTAACGCCAATCGTTCACTGTGGATTGATTCTAATTATTTTGATAAGAAAGCCATTTTTAAAATGAAGACACCTGAAATCAAAGAAGTCGAATTCTATTTTCATGTGAATGTGCCATCAGAGTCGTATTCTTTTGAGATCTTCGAGGAGTAGTTTCAATTGCAAAGCATTTATTAAGTATTTACCTAGCAGTAGCGTCTAACTCATATTGAAACTGAACAAAAAGAAAAACCAGGATCAAAGCGAAATTATAGACATAAAAGACATGTCTAAAGTTGTCAAAATGGAAAACAAAAAGGTCAGAGTAATCAAGTATGACAAGGGCGTTGGAACAAAAAATTTTCTTCATTCTTCTGATTTATCCTACCAAGTGAATGTTATATTACCGTCATCTCATTTTACTCTCGGAAGGTCTTAAATTTTAGGACTTGAAATCAGACCGAAAGTTTAAGGCCATAATAAGCCAAAGAAAATGTACCTTTCAGTCTTCGCATCAGTTCAAAGGAGTCTTTTCGAAAAAAATCGACGCTGAAACCTCCGACTGATTCTCAATTAACAGTGGCTAAGTATGTTTACTGGACAAAACACGCGATTGTTCACGGTCGAGTCCACATCTTTGGCGGATTCAATCGTATCACAAAAGTTGAGTGATAGTTAAATTTTAGTGTTACTTGACTTGATAATAGATTGCTCGGCTGGAAGGTTGTTTATTTATAGAATTAGAAGCTCATCTGAACTTTCCATATCATTTTGGACATGCAGTAGTAAGTGTTGATAAAGGCAGTCATGGTGAGGATTTATGATTAACATAAAATGTTTCCTTTTTCAGCAATTATTTGTTTTGACATGAAACGTGAACGAAAATGTGAAAAATTCAATGGAAAAGCCTCCAGAAAAATAAGGCCGACGAAAATCAAACATTCTGAAGGTGGCCTGGGGATCTACAAAGGTAGTCTAACAGCTATTGGTGGACATGGAGCAAACGGAACAGCTGAAAGATCAACTGACAATGGCTGGGTCTCCATAAATGCTCATCCAAGGTAATAGTGGGAAGGGCGATAACGGAGTTATACAGGATTTCAGATGGATAAGAAGCTTTTCCACGATAGGACTGCCTTCAGGAGTACTTTTGACAGTTGGCGGGCACGATTCCAAAAGAGGAAAAAGATTAAATGAAATATGGCGACTAATGGACAACGAATGGTCGAAAATTGGCTCTCTTTCTCAAGTAACCTTCTTGAAGCCTCGAAAATTTCTTAAATATTTATCTCAGGCTGTTGAATGGCCATCAACTATCCTGATCGAAAACTCTATTTATTTATTTCCTGGTCATGTTCATAGCGATAATCCGTTTTCAATGTTGTGGTCTTCATTATGTAAATCGCCCATCGAAAAAATTGACTTAGGTCAGGGTAAACGAAATCCATCATTTTAGAAAGATTTTCATGTAAGACAAACTTTTCATGATAATGTATTATTATTAGTTAGTATAGCGAATAAACTATGTCAGAATTTTCGGATTTCCTGAAAGATTCAAAAGACAACATTCTCTCCATCGATGTTATTGCAGAACAAGAAGGTGAAGCCAAGTATCCAGTTATTTTTGTTTCCCCTGTAGATTACTGTACTGAGTAGAACTGCTAGTATAGTTTGTCGATATACTGTATGAAATCAAGTTTTATATTTTCTTCAAAAATCTTATTTCGAAAAAAAAGTGTTTTCTGCTCAAAATATCTTCTATTTTACTTGATTCAATATCGACAATAGCTTCAGTAAGTTAAAATACACCACTAAAATCTTTATTTCGAGGATCGATAAAAAGATATCTTGCAATTTAAAGTAAACAGGCTTGACGGGTTTGTATAATAACTTCTTAATTATCCGCTCATTACATACCGAAAATGGTATTCATTCATCCTTACACTTTAAAATGCGCTTCTGCGAGATGAACGCGCATTATATTCCAAAAGGTTGTCCAGAAAAGAGATCTTACGCGACTCTGCCTTATGAAAGCGGACAGTTTTCATGGAGCGACATGCGGTTTTATGGCTCAGGTAATGACTCGCTGCTTATTTTATTTTTTTTGATAAAAGAGGAATTTATTCTAGTCCAGCCAAGTCGACATGCGTTCTACCACGGAATCGCTGGGTTCTTGCTCTGTGTCTTTGGATCGATTTCGCTAGTGCGTCCGATTTTCGCAGTGGCTAATTTTGTAAGAATCATGTTATTAATATCATATTAATTAAATGTAGGTAATATTTCTTGCTGGGTGCTTGATGATATTTGCGTCAACGATCAATGCTTTTGCACAGTCAATCAAAGTGACCTGCATTATTTGCTTGCTTACAACAATAACAAGTATTTCGATGAATATCTTTATTTTAAAGCAAATGTGGCTCATCAGGAAAGAACTGGTCGAGATTCACGGAAAGGCTTGATTCCCCAAGTTCCGATAATTGAAAAATAGATTATTGAAGAAAGCCGACAGATAAGCGCGAAAATGTCCTCGGACTTTGGGTCAGCGTTGGCTCTGTTATGGTAGGAGTTTTTGAAGTTCTTCTTGGACTATCTTGCCTAAGCGCGCTTTTCAATTACTGTAAGTCAAACATTCAATTTTTATGTCGATGATTTTTCAGATGAAATGGTCGAAAAAGCTGGGGCGAATCACGATCTCCGAATTTTGGCAAAAATTTACCCCGAAGTATACCGCGATGATGCTTCCAACGGTAAAAAAAACACCATCGTTTCATCGCTTTTCTATGTGTAGCTTCCTCGTTGTCTCCACCTCCGAACAGAAAAAGCGTCAAACACAATCATCAGCGAAGAACGCGAGTGAACAAACGCGCTAGCAGGAAATGTTCTCTTCTTTTTTCAACTAAATCAGTTGAAATAATCAAAGCAAGAGAGAACGCGGGGAAAAGTGTTTTGTCGAAGAAACCATACGCGCTGTCAGATCTCGGGGACGCCGGATACGCCGAGGATATCCTCCAAGACATCGAAAACGAGCAAACTGGAGGGGGCCTTGACGAAATCAACGGAATGGACTTTAACGCAGTTCAGCAACTAGACGACGAGGTCGACATTGTCATGAACGAAATCAACATGAACGAAAGCAACAACAGCGCTTTTGGACTGTTTGAAGAAGACGACGAGTTCTGTAATGACTTTTGTAGATATCGAGTGTAGAATAAAGCTAAGTCTCCCGCGGCGAATTCGATAAGCACCGAAGAATAAGTAGTTAGTCCTTATCCGGATAATACTGATTTAGAGCTAACTCGGTGCGACATCAAAATTTTTTTCCTTAAAAAATCATGATCAAGTCTATTTACATTTCGACTCTTATTTGAGTACCTTCTTTATTTTTCCGAACGTAAATCTAACTTGCTAAATCTGCATCTGATTAAATATTCTGACAAGGAGAATGAGACGTTCAAATGTGGCGGGTCGCTTCTGCCCTCGCTTGCAGAATTTGATCGGAGCGGCTCCAACCACCGCGGTATTGCGCCGCCTCCACCAAAGCCAAAGGCCACGTCGCCTATCTCACCGGCAAGAAAGGGTTTAAATTTCAACAGTTATTCTGACCTTCGAAATAATAACCACGAGAAACAGACAAAATGCAGGTTATCCAACTCAGGAATGATCCAAACTCTCAACAAAAAAATTTTAGACGAGAAAAATGCTCTTTGAAGATATTTTCAGCCTCGAAAATAAAATAATAAATACTTATGAAAAAAATTTTTTTTTTAATTGTTCGTTTTGATAGTTTCATAATGAAAAGTCACTAATTTTGTCACTAAAAGAAAGTCAACGAGTTCGGGATCACAAAAAAGAAAAAATAATATAGTAAAGCTGTCTTTGATATTTTTCATACTTTTGGTGATAATTGGAGTAGCGCACCACCACTCGGGCAAGAATCATAAGAAGCACAAGAAAATCAAAAATAAGCATCACGAGGTAATCTCTTGAAAAGGCGCACAAATGCTCTGAAAAAGAATTTTCGTAACGTTAGAATCTAAAGTTAAGAATCGTAGTGCTCTTTGAATTAAAATGAGATTTTGATGCAATAATGGGATTCTGATTACTTAAAAAATTTTTAGGGATCTGGCGAAGAAGAAAACCACCCACGAGGAAAGAAGCGAGTCAAACGAGCAGTGGTTGACCTCTACGATACAAATGAGAACTGAAGTGGACACTAATTGCCGCGCTTAAAAAATTATGAAGGGACGAAAAATATTCTGGCTGCCTATTTCTATTCAATAAATATAAAAACTTTTTATACTTGACAATCGTTATCGTTGTTTAACCTTTATCTGCCGGGCCCCGGAGCATCGAAATCGCAAAAACGATAATATCGTTTTTGTTCTTATTTTATGTAGAACAGCCGCAACTCAGAATGACAAGTGATGATTATCAGTTTGTTCGCCAGCCTAAAAAAGAAAAAATATCATTCATTGAATCGTAAAAATAGCAAATTATACTCCAGCTTTAGACTGTGAGATGACAGTGTCATCTTAACATTTTTTTCCGCGAGATAATTTACAGATGGAAACTCTAAAACTTGACTGAAGATCTTCCGGAATAAATTGTATGGCTAAAAACACGTATAGAAACGTGCGATAAATTTTTTAGTTTCGAAACCTGAATTTAAAGTGAACCACACTTTATTTTCAGTTTGGCTAAGCTGGATGAGCTTAAACTTTCCATGCTCCGACAATGTTATTTACACAGACTAGCAAATTCTAAAATCTAAATTCTAAAAAGTGAAATTTAAAAACTTCTAAGAAAAAAAAAGCAGGATTGCTTCAATATACCATTTATTGTCACCTGAGATAAATCATTGAATTATACCGCAAATATGATTAACCCCTCATAATTAACCTTTCACATTTTCTTCTCTAAACTAAGAGATTCTTTGAAAATCAGAGTTTGAAATGCTGTCAAAATATCCGTATTCGAAATTTTTCCGGACTGAGATATATCCTAAACATTGTGACAGAATCTTCCGCAGAATACGACAAAATCGCAAAATACTGTCGCATTTTATTACTCTTAAAAATAGAAATCACCTTTTAGCTCTTTTTTTTAATGATTCATGCAATCCGTGTGTTATTTATTAGTTTAAAAAATTCTTAATCGAATAAAAATTATATGATATTTTACAAATCATATTTACTAGAACGTCAACTGTTTTAACAAACAAGCAAAGGCTTAATACAGATCATGTTCGATTTATAAATAATATCTATTGTAACCCAAATTTTCCTACTACATTCAGTACGAACTTAATATTAGGATAAGATGAGAAAGTTTCTGTATAGAATTTAGTCCATCAGTTTCGGGTATGCACGGCGATCTTTTTGGCGCTAGAAGTTCGACGCTTGATGGTTACTTGAGGCCAGCGCTTTCCCTATAAAAGCGAGTCGCATCTAGAAATGTATGAAATATCACATATGAGTATTAAATTATTTCTCTGTTTCATTTATGTAACAAATGCCCGTTATAATCAGTTTCTTGATTTTTGGGAAGCGGCAGATGAGTTTTCCTTTAAGCTAGGAAAATCACTAGAGAAAAAGAATGGAACTTACCTTATTAGAAAATACGACAAGGTCAGAGAAGTGATGAAATTCTATAAAAATGGAGAATTCGGTGATTGTCGCTATGGCAAGAGAAACCAGATGACTTTCCAGCCATCCTACGAAGAAATTTACGTTGAAGAGTTCGATATGAAAAAAGCGCTCTCGGAAAATATTCTTAATTTTGCAAATATGCTTGAAGACTGGATTAACTCCTACGTTTGTCTCGGATATAATGGCAAAAAGAGAGTGCTTACAAATGCTAGGGAATCTGTAGAAGAAATTAAATCATTGGCAATATTGCCTGAGTATCAACCTCAAGAGTTCTCTTACTTCTCTACTTATGGAACATACGCAGAAGCAAAAGCCGAATGCTTGAATGAGGGCGGTTGGCTCTTTACACTTGATGATAACGAAGAAGACAGAAACAGATTCGACTATTTTCTATCGCTGATGATTATTCCGTGGGGAACACGATGGATTGAAACAGAAAACATGTGTGCTACAACAAACAAGAAAGGAGAAATTGAGGATCTCGGTGAATATGTAGGAAGCACTGAACAAATCCAAAGATGCAATAGAGGCACTCACGGACTGTGTGAAAAAGGCCAATATCTGCCACAATGTAACGAAAAAATCCTCGCGAATAGTAATCAAGAGTGTCCAACTGGGCAAGTGCTAAAATGTTCGAGTCCGTGCGCAGAGAAAATGGACTGCTACGATGTTGCCGCCGGTCGAACAACTGATTATTTCTGCGGACTGAATACTGTCCCAGCACTGCAGGTTGTCTGTGGCTGTCCCGAAGGATACATTTGGAAATCTGACCATGGATCCGAGAAGCATTGCGTAGCGATTAACGAATGTGGTTGTAAAGACTCTCAGCTCAATCTCGAAGGCAATACCTGGGTATAGGGGTCGACTATTTATCTAAATAAATGCTAATTGGTGTTCCTAAGCGTAACAAACGTTTAAAAAATATTAGACAATTCTTACTGATGATTGATGATATCAATAAAATATACCTTGACCCTTATTTATAGTCACTCTCTGATATCGGACGTGTTGTCGATGATTGTGAGAACGGAAAATGCATTTGCAAGGGACTGCTGTTTGGATGGGATTGCGAGCAATATAAGAGCCCATGTGATGAATTTGAAAATTGTGATACACTCGTTTGTGAGAAACCAGCTGTTTCGACAAGACTAGGCTCACACTTGAAAAGTATAACGACGGCTGATCGATACGAGCTTGGCTTAGAGTTCACTTGCAATGAACATAAAACGTATTACGATGAAGACCTCTATGATTATTGGCATCGATACAGCGTTGTGATAAACGGTCCTTCATATACGCGAACGTCAGGTGACTGGATGTGGTTCGGCATCAGTCACTTCACAAAACACGATCCGGACGAGTTCAGCGTAATCATGTAAGCGTGCTTATTTCCGAATTTTCTTAAATATTTTACGTTGAAGAGAGTGGCCACGATTAGCTTCCGGTGATGTGCGGGCCCTATGCAAAAAAAACGCGGATGGAAGTTACGATTGGAACAAGGTCAAAGTTTTTCAAGATTATGATGATGCAACTGAGACTTATACAAAAACCATTTTTGCGAATGGTGAAAAGGTTTTTGAAGAGAGTTATAATGTCGTTACAGATATTCACAATGTCACATGGTGGCCCTTTCCATACAATGGAAATCTAGGAGTAAATCTAGGTCCCAGGGAATCAGGCCAGTTTCCCGCAGAAGGATCTATGAATCGAAATTTTTACTATCGAAAACTAGAGGCTGGTGGTTGCCTGACACCAGAGGGTGAGTATGTCGATAAGGGTTTTCGAACATGGTCTTGCGAAAGGGGTAATTGCGAATGTGGAGACGATGGTTACATTTGTGATGCCTTAGATGTCGAACCTACTGATCCTTGCGAAAATTATGATAACTGCACGACTTTCATCTGTAGCACGCCAAGATACACTGTAGCAGGAGCAGAAGGAGTCATTGCCATGCTTATACCAGATAAGAACTACCAGATCGGATTCGAAATGACATGCTATGATGGCCTTATAAACGGTTTTTACGCGCCAAGAATTTGGAGTGAGAGCCAACCAAGATGGTTCGAAGTTTTTCAGGAAGACGGAGAATGGAGCTACTCATATTTTATATCAACGTACGATTAAATTTTATTTATAAATTAACCTTTTCTAGAGAGTATGGGTCGCGGTTCAACTCGAAAAATTACACAATGATAACTCCACGTTGTGCTAGAGGAGAATGGAACAAAATTATTTTAACACAGACCTACGATGAGCTAGCAGATACTTACAGAAAGAAAATATTTGTATATGATTGGTATCATATGGACACGCCAATTTACGGATCACATTTTTCTCCATATCAAGATGAACTCTCTGTGGCTATCGGTGGTGGCACTGATGACAAAGAAACGGCAGAAGGGACAAAGTTGAGAAATTTTTACTACAGAAAAGTCAATCCTGGTGGCTGTTTCTTGCCTGATGGTCAATACGTAGACCATGGTTATTCAATCGATTCTTGCGACAAAGGGAGGTGCCAGTGCAATGATGGTTTATTTCCCTGCGAGAGATACACAAATCCATGTTTCGGTCAAGCAAACTGCGATACTTTGCTCTGTAGTATGGAAAGAAATGCAACTAACGGCGAAGAAGCGATAGTTGGCAAAATTGAAGCCTATCATAGCTACGAAATGGGAATGGAACTAACTTGCACGAACACGAGTCTTGAAGAGGGAAGCAGCGCGAGCGATGAATGGCTTTCTGCACATATCTGGGACGGAGACATGTCAAGAAGCTTTGGTCAAGAATTCTTATTGAGTGAAAATGACTCAGAAGATTCAAGATTAAGCTTCAATCGAGGCAATTTTTGGATGTTTGTTCTTCAAGCTACTTCATATTGGGGTTCTAAATTTATTATTGGAAGGTAAGTTCTTATTTTTTGTAGCCTTTTAATTAAATTTTAGTGAATATCCTGTTGGAGTTCCGAATCATTGGAATGGAAGAGGGTTCCATGTCGTTCGTCCAAACTGCATCGAAGGATGGAACACCATGAAAATAGTCCAAACATATGATGGTACTACTGATACATACACAAAATCTATCCACGCAAATGGAAAGGTTGAGTTCACTGCGACATTTCCTGCTGCTGACTCTGAAATGTACGAGGGCGAACTAACCGTTGGAATCGGTCCCGGTCATCCTCGATGGAGCGCTCCAGTAAACACAATGATGAGGAACTTTTATTATCGAAAACTTGACTAAACTGAAGCAACCTTTTGAATTCTTTATTTTTCTGTCTTTTTTACCTTATAATCACTTCTTTCTGTCAATCAAATATATTCGGAAATAAATAATTATAAATTTAATTTTTGTAACCTTGAGAACTCTTCAGACTCAAGTTTGAGTTATTTTTTGGGATTTTATTTCAGAATTTGGATGATAACAACGATTGGCAAATAGAATGTTTCTAAAATAAACTGATTGTTCAGAACTTGACGCTCATCTTGTACTCGATGGTTTTGAGATCCATTGTCTTGAGAAAATCGTCCATTTCCACAGAGGGCATTTCGTTTGGTGAATATCGAGATTCGTCGTTGACGCTTTCGTAGACCACTCTTTTGGCGATCTTTAGTAGTTTATTATTGGCAGTTTGAATTCGTGTTATACCTGTGCAAGTTGATCATCTCCGATATTTGATCCAACCATTTGCCTGAGAATTTTGAGCACTTCTTCCATGGAAATCTTCCCATTTCCGTCCCCATCAAAGACCTCGAACATCAACTTTGCTTTGTGATACGCCGAGTTGAGATCATTTTCTTCAGTGTCAGGTCGGGTCGGTTGAAAGTGAGCCAGGACAAAACAGAAGCGGTCAAAAGAGCAGTGCTGTGGCCCATCAGGAGGTAGAAATAAGTCGATTATTCGTTCCGCGAGGGGATTTAACGCGAACGCAGGGATTTTGGAGAGGTCCTCACGTGATAGATACCCTTAATTAGCTGTCAATTCAAGATGATAATATTGGGCTAAAGATAAAGGCTGGGTTAGGGAAAGATCGAGGGTAAGAACTGTCCATAGAAAAATAGAGTCATTATGAACCTTTTTTAGTCTTGTCTAAGTCAACAAATCTGTGCCACAGGGTTTTAATTTTCTGCACCGGCAATTTCGTATCCTTCTTTATCTGGTCAACATCTTCCACAGGTGGGGCCGAGTTGGAATTTCCCATTTTCTCTCGCAGCTAGTAATAGTTTCTGAGAGCACTTGAGCTTTGTTGTCCCACAGAAATTTTGCTTGTTTTATTGGCTTTTTTATTTGCAGAAATCGCTGTCCATGCGTGATTTATGAGAAATTTCTTTTGAATGAGCTTTTTAATCAAATAAAATTTATCATAAAATTTGTAAAAAAAAATCTGAAAATGAAAGGCTTCCTAAGAAAAAAATGATTCTAGCTCTTTCCTGAATATTCTCTTCCTTGATTTTTGGGAGGAAATTCTCTGTCTCTTATTTTTTTGCCAGCTTATTTTTTCAAGTATCGATCTGCGAGTCTTTTTGCTCACAATCGCGAGACGGTTTTAAATTCCTCTCAGCGCCCCAATTTATTTTCCCGCGTGCTTATCGATGCCAGTCACGGTATATAAAAACAAGGGATGATAAGTTTTACTGCCGCGCTTATGACTCTCTTCAGTCTTATTTTGAACGCTTTATGATCTTGAAGCAAGTCGTAAAACAACGTTTTCGGAAATTTCGACAATCAAATTTGTCTCATTTGAGTTTTTTTAATAGCATCTTGTTTTTGGCAGTTCAAAATATTTTTATACAGTTTAACTTGTTTTACGCAAGATTAAGTCTCTTCTGCACCTCAAGCATCACTTCCGAAATGCGGTCTAAACAAGCATAAAACCAGAAGCTCCTTCTATGTCATTTTTACCGAGATATTCTTCATATCCATTTAGTTGAATTAAATCTTGCGCTTTTGAGCCCAGGTTTTGCATCGTCTGAGCCATCAATTTTCCGTGAAAAACAAGCGTGTCAGGAGTATATTCCAGAGCGATATTAATTGTCCTCTCAGCCGATTCTTGGCCAGTTTTGAAGCCTTGTTTCAAAGCATCGGCAATTTCCGGGTGGTCGCGAACTAGAGCTAAAATGGAGAAAGAAGATGTTTTGGAAGCTCTTTTTACCTCGGCTGAGCTCCGGCCAGAAAATGATGAGCGACGAAATACATACAATCAGCATGTACAAAAGCATCGAGCAAATAATTGAGGATTCTTTTTCGTACGTGACATTTTGAGCGTTAACAACTAAATCTTCCATCTTTAGTTCCTCCTCATTTGCCTCGTTGTCCTCCATGTCTTCTTCTTTTTCGTCGTTTATGCTCTTTTCCAGCATCAAAATGGTCAACTTTTCCTCGAGCGCGTAGTTTCTGTCAGTAAGTTCGGAAATTTCTCGTTGTTTTGCGCAAACTTGCTCTTCCAGCTCGATTTTCTCAAGTTGAGTTGTCATGTCAGCATCTTCAAGCTTGGCGATTTTTTCGTTGAGAGAAAACAGCTCCTCTTCTTTTCGAATTTCAAAGTCTTCAAAGCTCGACACTTTATCCTTGAGCAATGCAAGTTCTGCCTTCAATATTTCATCGGTTTCTTTATCTTCGTCTTTCGTTGATCTGAGGTTGCCGATTTCTTCTTTCAGCTTCTCATTTTCTGGCAAAAGTTCTTTGAGATCCTCGGCACTTTCAGAGCCAGTTGAGATGTTGTGAATTTCAGATCGAAGCGCTTCAATCTCTCTTTCGAGTTTTTCATTTTCAACTCTAAGTGTGTTGTCTTCTAACACTTGATTGTTGTTTTTCAAGTCTTCAAGTTCTTTGAAGAGTTTCTCATTCTGTTCTTTTAGCTCATCGTTTTCATCTGATAATCTAAAAAATCGTGTTATATTAAGACAGATAAATGGAGAATAAACCGGTCGACTCGTTCTTGTCCATTTTCGAGCTCCTCGTTCTGCGAATTCTGAAGATCTTCGATCGCCATGTTCAATTTCTTTATCTCAGAGTCATGCGATTGTTCTCTATCATGCAATTTTTCTTCAAACGAACTAAGAAGCTTTTCTTCCAACTCTTGAAACTTGCTTCTTTCTTCCTCCAAATTCTTTTTGTGGATCACCTCGTCCCTCAGAAAGTTCTTGATTTTCTCGTCTTGGAGATTGATGAATTTTGTTTTTTCTTCAACGATTTTTTCTAGCGCTGTTATTTCGTCAGAATGATCGGACTTTAGCTTGAGGATTTCTTCGGTAAAACTAGCATGTGCATCTTTTAGCTGCTCTTTGATTGAATCAAGGCCTTGCTCGGTCATTTCTTTTTCCAACTTTGCAATTTCTTCCCTATTAAAAATTTTAGATTCGTAGCGACATTCAACAGGTTTTCTAAAAGGACTTACTTCATATTTTTGTTTTCTTCTAACTGCGCTTTTGCATCCTTTTCGTATTCTTGCAACAGTTTTTTCATATCGTTGTATTTGTCGAGGTCTGACTGGATTTTATCGCGGCAGGATGAGACTGATTCTAGCAGCTTTCTTCGCTCTGATACCATTTCTTCTTTCCCATCTAAATAAGTTCCGACAGGTTCTTCTTGCTCGATCACATCTGCCAGTTCGTCAAGTGTATCCTCTAAATTGACCGTTTTTTATCAAAAAAGTGGTAAAAAACTAACCAAAAAGCGAGACATAATGCTCCTGCATTTCCAAAAGCACCGAGTTCGACGCTTCCAATTTCTCATCAAGCTCCGCAATCGTGCCACTAATTTCATTAATAACCACGTGATCCATCTCTAGCATTTAAAATCTCTCCCGTTCATCATCAAAATTCCCCATAATCGCTCTCACGCAATAAAATCAAATTTTAAAAACACGAAGTCAAGGTACTAAAGATGCCCAAAAACAATAAAAAAAATCGATTCATGGCGCGACAGAATGACTCAATTATCAGGCCCTTCGATTGGGAAAAAAGAAAAGGCACTTGATATTTCGTCAGAAACAATTGAGAGCTCAGGTTGATAATGAATTAGATTTTGAAAACTTGATGTTCCCACCCCCAACTCTTAATTTCCAGGGCTTACCGGGCTTGGTCAAGGTCACTGTTTAGCTCGTCAATCTTTTTCTTCGCCGCGGCTTTCTGTTCTTCTGAGGATTTTCGGTGCTTCTCGATTTCTTCGTTGAAATCCTGGTGAAAAAAATTGAAATCAAGGAAGAGGATTAGAGACGAAGGAAAAAAACTGACCTGGCATTCGAAAGCAAGTCTGGTCGCCGTGTGATCCATAATCTCGAAGCACTTTCGTTTGACGCTAGAAGCCGCGCCGGGCGAGTAGCTGCAGACTAGCGCAGCGATTGTCACCCGCCGCGTGCGACTGGCAACAAAATCTGAAGGCAGAAGTTGGCGATAAGCGCCAAGAAAGAGAGATCTCGTTGTTGACCCCGGTTGACCCCGCTTTGTATCATGTTTTGATTTACCCTACCTAAGAGCATGGCTCGTTGACGCCCAAAGCCCCAGGAGTACGTGAACTTTGTTTCAACGTCGAAGCTAAAAGATATTTCTTCAAGCACCAAATTTTTCTGTACCTCATGACTTCTCCTTCCTCATCGATGAATAAAATAATCGAGGTTGAGGTAAATTTTGGCGTCGCAGCTACTGAAATCTTGTTTCGAAACAATCCATAAGCCAGAAACTTGGACCCTTCCGGCTGCGGCTCCCAAGCTCCGACTCGATGCTTCGTCGATTCTCCAATTTCCAATCGATGCTCACTGCCATCAACTTTCAGAAACGGACTTTTCAGGGTAGCTTCAATGTTGTTGACATCTTCGACGATGAGCTCATACTTTTTCCCAAGTTTTTCAAATGGCGTATTTTCTGTATTCATTTCTTTCAGCGTATCATGCAGGGAAACATCCTTAGGATCATCTTCATCGTCGTCATCTTGGAATAGTTCTTCGCACTCATCGACCTGGTATTCTAAGTTCTCGAGCTGTAGCCTCGCCTTTTCCAGCTTTTCAGAGAGCTCTCTGTACCCCTCTCCGTCTAGGTCGCTCGCCAACCCTGCCAATCTTTCTTCATAACTTTTGATTTTTATTTTGTATTCATCGAGCAATTTCTGCTTCTCTACAAAAATAGAGCGAAAATCTATCGTCATGTTTTCAACCGATAATGTTCTGCGCCGGATAACAAATGAGGCAATTTAAAAGCGGCGTTTACGATGAGCGCCAATAGTAAAAAAAAACAGTGCACTCGGATTAACTTTGATTCCGGGCGCTTTTCAAATGTCAGAAGAATAATTCTTGAATTTTATATTTGAGGCGTTCAGAATTCTACATTCTGTAATTGGCTTTGATGAAGATAATTTCAGAAAATAAAAGTAGATAAGTTTCAGGATGTGTAGGCATTTATATGCATGGATAAGCGGCTCCTGATGTGTTTCTAATTCCATCGATTTCAGCGCCCAAGTCAGTCGAGAAAAGAGTTTCAGAGATGGAGGATGACAATGTTTACAGTAGCAGGAGAGTTTTAGAGAATTTTTACGTGAAAGAAAATTTGATTTTTTATGAACTCAAAAAAGGACTTCGAATGTGTTTGGAATTGTTTTTCTTCTGTCCATTTTGATAACATTTATTTGCTTTATTGGTTTCATAAGGTATCAAATAATTCATTTTTGTCAACTTCAAATAAGAAAAATTCAGAATCTACATAAAGCTCGTCATTTCCACATTGAATCAGCCTAAGAGACCCTGCACAGCTAGGTTCGATAACTAGAGCAAGCAATAATTTCAATTCATTTGCAGTAGCATGTATCAATCTCGACGGGCAAGCACTGTTCCAGTTTCTCCCGTTTTTGGATCTCGTGACGGCTCCTTGAGGAACTCAATCCGACGAGAAAAAACGATCTCGAAGACTTCCGAATGCTCGGTTGATTTTGACAGGACTCGACTCGCGCCTATTTTATCTAATACTGCATAGAATTAAACGACTAACATTGGTAAGATAAAAGATCTTGCATGAATTGATTTGAATAAGTTGATTATGCTCGACCCTGAAAAATAACTGTATTTCAATTGAAACAAATTCATTAAAATAATTTATTGTGTTCGTTCGTATTTAGTAACCAGAGGTCTTAGATCGCATCTTGGAAAGAGTAGACTCGGCCATATCAGCTCGCTCTTCAGCCTCGTCGAGCTCGTGCTGGAGCTTTCGGTATCGGGACATGTTCTGAGTGGCGGCTTCTTCCTGCTCCTCGGCCATTCGCTTGAACTGCTTGACCTTGAGCTGGAGCTTATCGGCCTGGTCCTGGAGTCGAGAAAGGTTCTTTTTATCCTCCTCACCGGCGTAGACGGTCTCCTTGACCTTTCGCTCCATCTTTCGGACAGCCTTCTGAGACTCAACACCTCGTCGTCGTTCGTTGTCGAGCTCGGATTCGAGTTCTCGGAGTCGGCCTTCGAGCTTCTGGACGTGCTTCTTACCACCCTTGAGAGCAACTTGTTCGGCATCGTCCAATCGAGCCTGGAGTTCCTTGAGCTGGACTTCCTGGTTCTTCTTCATTCGCTCAAGATGAGCGGAAGCATCCTGCTCCTTCTTAAGGTCTTCAGCCATGATAGAGGCATCAAGGATGGACTTCTTGGCCTTATCTTCGGCGTTCTTGGCTTCCTGGATAGCTTCCTCGACTTCATTAGCGACAGCGAGGAGCTCCTGCTCGAGCTTTCGCTTCTGGTTGGCGAGGGCGGTGTTCTGGGTGTGGAGAAGGTTAGCGCGCTCGTTGGCTTCCATGAGCTCCTGCTCGGCAGCCTTTCGGCCTTTTTCGGCCTGCTCAACAGCAGATCGGAGTTCATCGATCTCAGCCTGGAGAAGGTTGACTCGTCGGTCGGTGACAGCGGTCTGCTCCTTGACTTCGTCGAAGATTCGGTCGGACTCGTCAAGAGCCATCTGAGCATCCTTGATCTGGCCCATGATGTCCTTGTTCTGTCGCTGAGCATCGTTCAATTGTCGGTTAGCGTGAGCGAGTTGAATCTCTATATCAGAGATATCTCCCTCGAGCTTCTTCTTGATTCGAACAGCCTCGGATCGAGATCGGATCTCAGAATCAAGCTGAGACTGGATAGATTCAACAGTTCGGCTAGCATTGCGTCGGTTGTTGTCCATTTCTTCGTCTTTCTCCTGAAGTCGTCGGTCAGACTCGTTCTTGATCTGCTGGAGTTCGACGGTGATTCGAAGAGTCTTTGCTTCTTCAGACTCGACAGCAGCTTCAGTTTCTTCAAGAGAAGCAGCGAGCTCGTTTCGCTCAACTTCGATGTTTCGCTTGGCTTTCTCGAGCTCGGAGATGGATTTGGCTCCTTCGGCGACCTGGTCGGTAAGGTCAGCGATTTCTTCCTGGACCTGTTTGTTCTCTCGCTTGGCAGATTCGAGGGCATCGACGGCTTCTTCGTAAGCGTTTCGCATCTTGAAAACTTCGTTTGAAGCTTCTCGGGAGTCCTTCTGGGCCTTTTCAAGCTCAGCGTTGATCTCATCCTGCTTAACTTTGTTCTCCTCGAGAATCTTGTCGAATGATCGCTGTTTCTTCTCAAGAGCAGAAGCAGCGGCGTTGGCTCGCTCAAGTTCGACGGTCAAGTCTTCGATCTCAGACTGGAGTCGACCCTTGGATTTCTCAAGAGAAGAGCACTTGGCAAGAGCAGCTTCGACGGACTCTTCAGCCTCGGAGAGTCGACCAGAGAGCTTTTTCTTAGCATCCTCAAGTTCCTCAGTTCGCTGGATGGCATCAGTCTCGTACTTGGTTCGCCACTGGGCGGACTCAGAGTTGGACTTGGAAAGCTGTCGCTGGAGCTCGTTCTTGGCCTCGACTTCTTCGTCGTATTGTTCTCGGAGGAGCTCGTGGTCGTGCTTGGCAGCTTGGACCTGGTGGACAAGAGCATTCTTTCCCTTGACTTCCTCATCAAGAGATCGTCGGAGCTCATCGTTAGCCTGAGAGACAGAGTTCTTTTGTCGAGTGAGCTGAGAGTTGATCTGCTCTTTCTCCTCAAAGGTTCGTCGGAGCTCATTGAACTCAGTAGTCAATCGAGCCTTAGTGGCAGCAGAGTCAGAGATGTTCTTTTCTTGTTCTTCGAACTTCATCTTCAAATCAGCGTACTGATCTTCAAGCTGTCGGCAAGATTTCTCGTAAGTAGTCTTTGCCTTAGTGAGGGACTCAACGTTGGAGATGAGATCATCAGCCTCCATCTTCAACTCAGACTTTTCTTTTTCGAGCTTAGTCTTGACTCGCTGAAGATTGTCAATGGTTTCAGTGAGCTCAGAAGAAGAATCAGCGTGTTTCTTTCGCATGGTAGAAAGAGTCGACTCGTGGGCAATGTTGTGCTCCTCAAGATCTCGCTGGAGCTTGGCGAGCTCAGCTTCTCGTCGCTTGTTGACTTCGATTTGGCTCTGAGTCTGAGCGTTTGCCTCTTCAAGTCGCTCGGAAAGTTCCTCGAGTTCTCGAGAAAGGTCAGATCGGGACTTCTCAGATTTGGCCTTGGCAGCTCGTTCGGCCTCAAGCTCCTCCTCGAGTTCCTCGATTCGGGCCATGAGTTCCTTGATCTTCTTCTGGAGCTGAGCAACAAGAGCCTGCTCATCTTCGAATCGAGTGGAAAGCTGGTTGTATTCAAATTCAGCCTTCTTAAGTTTTTCCTCGAGTCGTTGCTTGTCGTTCTCAAGATCCATGATGGTTTCCTGGTTGAGTCGGAGATCGCCCTCGAGCTTTCGCTTCAATCGCTCAAGATCCAATCGAGATCGCTTTTCAGTCTCGACGGATTGTTCTAGGTCATCAACTTGCTGCTCGAGCTTGTTCTTGGCTTTGGAAAGAGAGTTAACCTTGTCTTCTTCGGCCTGGAGATCATCAAGAGCCTGCTGGTGAGCTTCCTGGAGGGCTTTCTTCTCCTTCTGAAGCTTAGCAATAGTATCTTCAAGAGCAGAAAGCTCGTCAGTCTTGGTTCGAACATCGGTCTCGACGGTGGCCTTCTCTTTTTCGACCTTGGCAAGGGTTCCTTCGAGATCATCAATGTCCTTTCGGAGCTCCTTGCATTCAGTGTCAAGCTTTCGTCGCTTGTTCTGGAGGTCGACGTTGATTTCCTCTTCATCTTCAAGTCGCTCGTTGAGTTCTTTGATCTTGCCATCAAGATCAATCTTGGACTTCATGAGGGATTCGTATCGATCTTCAGCATCTTGAAGGGCGTCGGTCTCGCCAGCGAACTCGGAAATAAGCTTGTTCTTGAGCTGGATAAACTTGGAGTACTCCTGCTCGAGCTGCTTTCGTCGTTTAGATTCGACTTCGAGTTCCTTCTTCATCTCTTCGTACTCCTTGAGGAGCTCGTCGAACTCAGCCTTCTTCTCAGCAGTGTTGAGGAGTGGTCGGATCTTGAAGAGGAGTTTCTGCCACTCCCAATCCTTCAAGGTGATGTAAGCTCTCCAGTTGGACTGAATAACGACGGCACCATCTCGCTCCTTAATGGTCTTGAGGAAAGCCTCTCTAGAGAGGTTGAATCGCATGCGAGTCTGCAACTTGGTGAGAATCTCAGCAATTCGCTCATCTCGAAGATCCTCGAGAGCACCAATGATACCAGCCTTGAAAAACAGCTTGGTGTGACCGAATCGGTACACTGCAGGGTCGAGCTGGGTGATACCGGTAAGGATCTTTTCGCAAGCTTTCTTGGGATCGATGAAGCCAGCCTTGGGGACAGCGTTGGGGTTGAGGATACAGTATCGCTGTTTCCAGTCAGCGTACTCGACTCGGGATGGGAAACCCTTTCGGCAAATACGGATACCTTCCAAGACACCGTTACATCGGAGCTGGTGAAGGACAAGGTTGTTGTCCATGAAACCGGGTTTCTTCTGTTCGTTAGGAATAATACATCGAACGAAGTGGGGCTGAGTAGCGTGGAGATTAGTCATCAATCGGAGGAGGGACTCTCTGTGGAGGGCAGAGACGGTCTGGAAGGAACCACCCTTCTGTCGCTTACCGCCCTTCTTTCCGCCACCCTTTGGTGCATCATCAGGGGAGACGTAAGACTCCCAAATCTTCTTGCAGACTTCGAGGGTAGAGTTCTTGAAGAGAGCAACGAGAGAGTTGTTGAGAGGATCCTTGTTCTTAAGGAGCCAATCAGTAACGTTGTAAGCGACGGTACCGGCGTAGTGGTAGATTTCGAAGTGAGCTTCGAATTTACCCTGCTTCTTGACCTTGCCGAGGGACTTGGTCTTACCCAAATGCTGCTGGAAAAGCTTGTCTCGGTAAGTCATATCAGTAGCCTTAGGGACGATGCACTCTTCTTCGAGAAGGGACATAATACCAAGAGGCTTCTCGATAAGCTCGATAGTGTTTTGGAGATCCATACCGAAATCGATGAACTCCCAGTCAATACCTTCTCGCTTGTATTCTTCCTGCTCGAGGATGAACATGTGGTGGTTGAAAAACTGCTGGAGTCGCTCATTGGTATAGTTGATGCAAAGCTGCTCGAAAGTGTTGAACTCGAAAATTTCAAAACCAGCGATATCGAGGATACCAATGAAGTTGTTTCGTGGGAGATCAGTGGAGAGGGCTCGGTTGACAACAGCGACGAGCCATTCAAAGAGTCTGTTGAAGGAGGCCTTGACAACAGCACCAATGGCGTAGTATACCTGCTCGACGGTCTGACCCTTGACGACGTATTCGGAACCGACCTTGACCTTGGGTGTGCAGACGGCTTTTGTCCATTCCGCAGAGTTAATTCCCAAAAGGTAGGCAATTTTATCGGGAGCTTCAGTTCCATCGGGCTCAGCCTGTTCTTCTCGGGGCTTGTTCTTGAACACAGCGTTACCAGAGTGCATAAGGGAGGCAGTGATCTTGTAGACACCAGCCTTTTCATCCTCAGTGAAACCAAGAATGTCGAAGGACTCATCAGTGGCATCGAGTTCTTCATTATCATCAATGGACTTGACCTTGATCTCACCAAGAGAGCACCATTTGTAATCATAAGGATCAGTGGAGATCATGCACATCTCGTTAATATGGGGCTTGTGACCAGTGAGCATCTGGTAGAAGATATGGAAGCATCGCTCGGCCTTGAGCTGGAAGGTGACTCGAGACTTTTCCAAAAGGTATGTATCGATATCACCGGAAGCGAGCTTACCAGTGACCTGGAAGTGAATTCGGATGAATTTACCGAATCGAGAGGAGTTATCGTTACGGATGGTCTTGGCATTACCGAAAGCTTCCATAGCAGGGTTGGCAGCGACAATCTGATCTTCAAGAGTTCCACCACCCTTGAGAGAGGGAGCCTCCTCGGTCTTTTTAGCGTTTTTGTCACCAAGGGCACAAACGACAGCGAAGTACTGGATGACTCGCTTCGTATTGACAGTCTTACCAGCTCCGGACTCACCAGTGATAAGCATAGACTGGTTCTCGCAGTTTCGGAGCATATCTTGGTAAGCGTTATCGGAAACGGAGTAGACGTGGGGAGGCATCTCAGTTCGTCGCTTGTTGTAGTAGCAGAGGACAACGTGGTTGTCGTACACGGGAAGCCACTTGTAAGGGTTGACGGTGACGCAGAAAAGACCTAAGAAACCATTACTTGCTGAAATAACGCAAGAATAACTTACCAGAATAGGTGTAGATGAGGAACAGCTTGTATCGAGAGTTCAAGTTGTGGACGACGGCAGCTTCAGACAAGTAAGTCATGTTGGCCATATCTTCCAAGAGCTCGTACTTGGGAGGGTTTTGGGGCTCGACATCTTCCGGCTTGTAAAGCTTGACTTTTCCGTCAGGCTCTCGCTCGACTTCGATCTTACCGTCTTTTTCTCCGAGCTTTTTACCCTGCAAAGAGATTGAATAATCGTTGTTGAAGTCAGTTTTACCTTGGTGTAACCAGTGTCGGAGTAAGGAACCCAGACGGCGGTTTTACCCTCGAATGGAGCATTTCGGATATCAATCAGCTGGATATTTGGCAATCGAAGGTAGATCGCGGCATTGCCAGCGGCCTCGGGGTCCCAAAGCGCCATGACTAAATTCAAAATCAAAAATCGGGTGCTATTAATGAATAATTTATCTCTCTTTTGGTTCCTACCTTTTGGTGGTCTGGTGCTTGCAGAACTGAGCAATTCAGGTCTCGGCCGGTCCTTTTACGCTGGGCAGCGAGGAGATCAACGGAAGACTTCAACAACTTTTGCAATTTCAACATTGTTCTTGACGCATCGCCAAGAGTTGCTCCCCTCCAGATACTGTTGTTCGAATATTGCAACATCTTCACACTACCAATTTTCTGTGCTCAGTCGATTTATTCTTTCACAAATCTTGCTGGGTGAAAAATTTGAACACCCATCCAAATGACCGACGAACTTCCGGTTTGTTTCGAAGTTTTAACAGGTTTGAGATGAAGTAAAAAAATTCACTGGCAAATTTGAGTTTTTTTTTAATTGATTGGCTTCTCGAAATTGGCCATATTATTCTTATAAGGTCCATGAATGACCTTATATTTGTTAATTTTTTCTCCGACTAGAGTTATCTGCATTTATGTTAGTTAAAAATAGTACTTGGTGATTGTGATTGATGAGTACAGAGCGCATCCTCACGCTCAAGCCGTAACCAGCGTCTTAAAAACCTTACTTACCACCCCCTTAGCCGGGCGATAATGACGAGGTTACCAAGGCGAAAAGACGAAAATTGATTACCCTCACGATTATCCTCACACGACAACACCTTTTTTGGAGAGATGCTCATGCGGGGTACTCTTTTTTATTTCCTTCTTTTCATAAGATTTATAGGTTACTATTATTTATTAGGTTGCAGTACTTTTAGAAAAATTCGAATTCGACAGGGAAGTGATCGGAAATTAGATCGGTGATTGGATCATCTTCGTAAAAAATATTATCAGTGTCAAAGTGAGTCTGGAAGTCGAAGACTCCAGAGCTAGCGACGTTGTTTCTGACATCTCCGTAGAGCACAATGTGGTCATAAGCACAGTTAGTCGCTGAAACAGTAGTATCGGCGTCAAAAGGGATGAGCCAGTCATTTGTTGGTTCAGTGAAGAGATCAAGGCTTTCTGGATCGGCAACGTAAGTGCAATCAGCATTGAAGTCACCTACAACAAGGACATCGACAAGATCCGCGTGCTTGACCAGAAGATCGTCGTAGACATCCTGTAAGTGATTGATTTCGTCCTCCGTGACCATGTTTGTCGAGCCAGAAGCGGGCTTCAAGTGGACTGAAATGATGCCAAATTTTTGCGTCTTGAACTGTGCACGTTTTTCGCTGGCTCGCTCAAGAACGAGAACAGTAGGAGGTCGCTCGAACCACAGAGTGGCAGAATCGTCAAAATCGTACCCGTCAATTTTTGTGAATTGACTTCGATTCCAAATGAAGCCGATTTGTTCCTTGCTGCTTGAGCTACCTTGCCTCTCGCCTGTCCAGGAGTCGTAGATGTCATTGACAGCGTTGATGTCTGCAACGAGATTTGGAAACGCGGTTTCTGTTGCATCTCGAATTTCCTGGAAAAGTTTGTATTTTGGATCAAGTTAATGGTTACCTGTATCGTTGCAATATCATATCTAGTTAAAATCTGAATGATTTGATCTTTAACTTCCGTCTTGCCATATTTTGTTGTTCCGAAAACCTCGATATTAAAACTAGCGACTAAAAAGAGTGTTCGAAAATTTGAAGACAAGTTATCTTACATTTAGTTGGTGGAGGATTGAGGTATGTGCAGAATTCATCGTTTCCAGCACAGAAACAAGAATGGCGTTCATGAAAGAATTCAGCTGTGATGGCATTATTTTCAGCATAATTTTTGACATCTGTGCCGCCATCAGCAGATTCAAGGGCGAAAATGAGCGCAATTTTGTCGCCAAGCTCTAATGATTCGAATCCGGGCTTTGAGTTTAATCGAACAAGTGTTTGGGAGTTTTGATTGTCTCTAAATAAATCTGATACTTCTAGTCGAGCAAAGGTTGAAACAGTCACATCTTCCGGCAAAACAGTCGGGAAAAGAAGCAGGAAAGAGTAACCATTTGTCGCTAAGAGATGTTAGCGCGTCTTTCAAAAAATAATAAATATTATTATTACCGGTAATTACCGGCAGTTGATGACTTTGATGAGTTGTCAACAAGCATGTTAAAAAGAGCAAAGGTTGAGCTGGCTTCGGCATATGGAGTTCCATAATTTCTCCTCAAATTGTACTTCTGAAGCGTATGCCCAATCTTGAGAGACGGTTTGAGGCAGCATCCGAAATCAGCGTCGCATTCTGCCGGAAGAATCAAATCATCGTTGTAGAAATCGAAGCCAGAGGAGCATTGAACATTGCAATCTTTATTGTTTGCTGCGTTGCCTTTTTGATTCTTTTTGAAGTTGATTTCTCCGAGACAATTATTGCATCTCTTGCATCCTTCCGGTTTCGGGCTAGATAAAACTTATATTTAGTACGAGGCCTGTCTTACGCAGTAAGAAGATTTCCAAGAAAATCGTTGTTATGGCAAACTTCCGCACACTTATTCTTTTGTGCTTTTTTACAGCTCCATTTATCATCTCCACAAATTGCGTCAAATTCTACGTTCAGTCTCTGAACAGATCCCAAGATCATTCAAATTTGTTGTCAGATTGGGTACCTTATGGATGCATGAACCTCTGGAAGAAGACCCTGACTTCAATCCTGAATAGATTTGTTTTCTTGAATATTTCTCTAAATAAGGTTTACTACCATGGGACGAAGAGATAAGAAACGACAGAAGTTTCATTGTGAAACAAGAATTCAGAAATGCTAGACTGAGGTTATCCTCTCAGAACATCAGACAAGATGCACCAGTGCCCCGATTTAATCTTATTAGAAAAAATATTTATCTTTGACGCTAGATATTTATACGAGAATGAAAACTTGAGCATTTTTGCTGTTTTAAATTATTTATTATCAAAAATATTTTTTCGTACGAAGTTACAGAATCATTTTAATGTTCTTCTCAGTGAAGAGCTGTGGGCGATGAGGTCGTCAACATTATCAGGTGGATCTTGGCGCAGACTTTGGGAAAGCAAATTTGATTTGAAGTCGGTTGAGTAGCTGGAGTCCACTGGTGGCAATGACGTTGACAGTGTTTTTGAAGCGAATGCTACTCCTTGAAAATTTATGATTTTGCATTTCAAGTTTTTTACCATTTGGCGAAGTCAGAAAAAATGCATCGTCGAGAACAGAATATAGTTTTTTCCTTGTCTCTTCTAGGTCCTTATGCGCCTGATAAAATGATAAGAGAGCCTTTATTTATTCCTTACTGTAGTTTCAAGTGGCAGCCTTGGATTCCTGCTTCTGTCCTTTATTGAAAAGGTTCCCTCTGGCGACCCTAAAGACGAAATGGCCGAGTCCACTCTTGATTGTAACTCTTTATAGTGTTGCCATTTCACTGAGCTTCCCGCTGTTGCTAAAATACTCGATTAATTTTACTGCCCATACATTTTTTTCAATGCAAAGTAAACTTACTGTCCTCATTGGAAGTCTTTTCTAATGGTTCTTTGATGGGAGGCATTCTCAAATAGCTACTGCTTTTGGGCGCGAGGGATGGCGCCGGGTACCTTAAATTATTTAGCAAAAGAAAAAAGAAGGCAACGGATACTTGATTGGCGGCTGTTGTCGAAGCATTTCTGCCTGTCTTGCCGACAAAAATTCATCTGTCCAGCTTGGTGAAGTCTGCGTCGCTCCAACATGATAAACTGTCGCTAATGGCAAATCATCGTTTTCAGGCTCCCGCTCAAGATAATCTAGCGAGTCGTCAAAGTCTGACATGGAACTTGTTATCGATTGCGAATGTTTGTATTCTGTCATCTTCAAACCATCCTCCACGGTAACTGAAATGAACTTATGACGATTTATTCCTATTTTTGTTTGGCAAATAATGTTTTATCGAAAATCAAAACAGCACTAATTTGAAATCAAGGACGAGTACCTGTATCATCCATTTTTCCTACTATTCCTCGCTTTGGTTTAGGAGGGGGTTTTTGCGGATCAATGTTTTGCTCAGCGGATGGTTGTCTTGAAACAGGCGGAAGAGAAGGTTGAATCGCAAGTGGTGGGAGAGACGATTCTGATTCAGAGTCAGTCTCATAGCTTGAGCTTTCCTCAACTCTCGGCTTTGGTTGAGGGGGTAGAGGGGCGGGCTGAATATTTTCTTCTTGGAATTGCCGTTCTTGCTGCTTTTGACTGTAGCAATTTCCCATTATAAAGCACCAACAACCGATTACTACGCCACCGCAGATTATTCCGATGAGGAGCTTTTTTAGTTTTCAAGGATATTTTAAGAGCTTTTAAAATAATTTTAACCGACTCTCATAATTTAAAAATTGCAAATCGCACTTGAAAACCATTCCCAAATAACCGAAAATGTTTCATTGCAATCAGGACAGTCTCTTGGCTTCTGACTTGGTCTCTTTGTCGTCAAGAAGCGGCCGCTAATAAAGATGAGAAAATATTATAAAAATAAAAATGTTTAAGCTCCGATTTGTGTGTATTTTTTGGATCTTTCAGAAAGTGAAACGGCGCGACGTAGCAACCAATTTCTTTCTTTCATCTAATGTTCAGAATGTTTGAGCACTACTAAAATTGAGCTCGCTATTCTGTAAAGGGGACACTTGAATGGGTTTAGGCACACAGTTTACTGGGAGTGTTACTCACCCTGGACAGGATTGGGACTGATTGCTGGGCTCTGTGGGAATTTTCAAGAGAAATATTAATATTTTCTGAAGAAAAAAATATTGAGCTAGTTTTTTGAAAATTCTACTCTTGTGGAAATGTTGTCGATTCGCCCGGATTTTCGTTTTCTTTTGAGAAAATTTTCAACGAAATTCTAAAAACTCTATCTCTTTATAAAATTTGACTCCTGACTGTCCCGGCGATTGTAGTATTTCTTATTGCTTCCGTTGTGGCATTATTAAAATCTGACGTCGACGGCGTATTAGTTTCTGATGCTTCTTTGTCCTTGACAGTAACTTCTGAAATTGTAAATTGTTCTGTCGGGGATTCTTTTGTTGCCTCAGCGGTGAAATCAGAAGAGTAAATCGTAGTAGAGGCTAATATTGACTCCGTATAGAAAGTTTCAGCGGCGGTAGTGATTGTGTCAATCTTTGTCTTTTCCGTTTTCAGAGACTCTGTTGAAACACCTGTGATTTCTGAAGTTGACACATCCGGACTCATTGGCACATCTGTACTCAAAAATATTTCCGACTCTGCTGTTGTCGATGTCAAAGCCTTTGGAGTTGTTGCAACAGCAGCTGACTCTGAACTTAGCGAACCGGTAGTTTGCTGCTCTGCATTTGTCGTATTCAGAAAAACTAAGTTTGACGGGCTTGTTGTCGAGTCTTCAGTTGTTGATTCGTCTTCCCTAGCTGTTGAAATCATTGACGAAGTTTCAAGAGTTTCTGCTGTAGATGTTATTAATGTTGGTGAGAGTGTTGAGCTCATCGTTACGGGCAAATTTTCAGTAGAAACTGATGTTGTCGATGGAGAAGTAAAATCGATAGAGGAAGAAGTTGTTGAAGTCGAAGTCGAAGAAGGCTCAGTTATCGTTTGATCAATACGAAAGGTAGAAGTCGATACTTCGGATGTTACTGGAGACGGTGTTGAAAGAATCGTTGTTGATGAGTCTTCAATTTTCGATGTTATTACAGAAAGACTTGTAGCATTGACAGTGTAGCTTTCATCATTAATATAATCCGCGCTAACAGTGTGTGATCCTGTAGAAAAGTCAAGGAATGAGGTAGTATTAACTAAATCGAAGCTGTTTTCTTCCGTCGTTGTCATCGTGGCAGCTAGGACAGTTGACGTAGAAAAATCTTCAGGTGACTTTAGGGTGGTAGTACCGGTCACAGTTCTTGATTTATCGCCAATTATACCGGTAGTTGCATTTTCGCTGGCAAATACACCCTCTCCACTTGCTTCATTGATCTCAGGTTCAGCATTGAAATCCACTGATATATGATCGAAATTTTGGGTCGCAGTTATCATCGTTGACTCGGTGGTTATATCATCAAGAGAGCCTGTTGTAATGTCGTCAATTGTCGTAAAATTTGCTTTGAAGAAGGTTTTTGAAATGTAACAAAAGTTTGGATTCTTGAAACCTGCCCGACTTTTGAAATTCGAATATTCAAAAAACCCGTGCCTAAGAATTTTTCCGTTGTCCCATCTGTCGTATCAATCACATCGTTTCTTGTACCTTCTGTCGTTTCATCTGGTCTTGTTGATAACGATTCTGATGATGTGGCACTTTCATTGGCCATCTGAAACTTTGTCGTCTCAGAGACTGGAGCAATTGTGGTGGCTTCCTTTTCGACCTTAGACAATTGTGTTTGGTTTGAGATTTCCCACGTTGGCTCAAGAGCTGAAACCGATGTGCTCGTTAAGTCTTCAGCAGCGGAAGTAAAACTGGAAGTTATGGTGCCGGCTGTTTTGAGAATTTCCGTCGAGTTTGTGACTTTTTCGTCTCGTTCATCATTGTCGTTCTGATAATCTGGGGTCGTGTTCAAGGTGGCGTGTCTCTCCGTGCCCGTGCTGGGCGCTGGGGTGGCCACGGATGTTGATGATAAAAAGTGGGGCTCCGTAGAGTTTATTTTTGGAGCTTGAGTTGTTGTTTCTTCCGGAAAAGTTCCCATCTCAATTGAAGAAATATCAGCATCTTTGTTCAATGATTTTTCCCCAGAATTCGAACTGATTGGTACTCGGTCAGCAATTGTGCTCAATAAGGGGTTATAAATTGCCGTCATCGTGGAAATATTCTGCTCAGATCCAAGAATCTCATCTCCAGTTCCCACCGGTTCTATTAATGACGTTTCAGGAGCAATGCTCGTTATCGCACTTGTTTCTGAATTCATAGACGTTGTAGATGACATCATCGCCGTCCAGGGTGGCTCTGTTGTCGCGCCGACTGTGGAATAAAACGAATCACTGACGGTGTCATTCTCAGATGTCTCCAAAGACGGTAAAGTGGAAGTAGTAGCTGATGAAATATCTCTGTCTGTCGAAGTGTAATTATCGGCAATCTTTTCCGCCACTGTCGTCAATTCATTGTAGCTGGAAGTTGTTTTTTCCAACTGAGTGGATATTGAGGACGTTTCAAGCAGGGGCGTTTGTAGATTCTCCTTGCTTGTTTCCAGATCTACATTTTCGTCACCAGGGCCAACGTTGATGATGATGTTGATGTTGTTTATCACTCGCGGGTCATTTTCATTCGATCCAGGTAGCCGCAGCTGATAAGTCAGTTGATAGAAAATGACGTAAAAATAAGTATGAACAAACCTGGATATTATAATCCTTTTCTAACGGCAGCCCAAACGCAAGAGGCCACACAAACTGAGCCAAGAGCATTTTAGGAGGTAAATAAATCCGACTTCTTCATCTTCAACTTTTAATCTCTGTTTTCGAGCTTCGAAAAGTGAAAAAAATCCAATTTCATTTTTCTCTCTCAAGTGCGGCACTTCTCATCTGTGTTAAGATCCGCAACAGGATCATCCGCAAAATACCAGACAGAGAAAAAACGAGAGAAGAAAGAAGGGACGATTATGTATTACCGGGAGCCCTGCATTGGCCGGCATGAGGATGAATTTTTAAATTTGGCTGCTCAAGAATTTATTCATGCAGCGCCAGAAACGCCATCAATGAACGTTGGAACGAGTCAGATTTTGCTAGCTGGGTGGATACGGTGAACCTGTATCAAAATAGAAATGGTTCGCTTCAGGTGCTGGATACAACAGTATCAATTGGCGACAAGGGCTTGAAGATGAAGATGGCTAGGAATAGAATGATGCTGGGACTTTCGGAGGGATTTGAAGCTAAGCAAGTAGAAGAATGCTTCTAGAATGTCTTAAATTTTTAATAGGGCCGTCAGTTCTTGAGGAAATGAATATCTGTTCTTTCATTTTTTTTCTATTTGAAGAGAGGCTGTTCCATCTTGGCCCTAGAGTTCAGTACTGGGCCAAATAAGGATCATGGGTAGGGTGAGCACACTTGTCAATTGGTGCGTAGGAGGCGAGCGCAAGGCGGCGCATCGTTGGCTGGCTCAGAACTCAGACCAGCTTCAATTCGAATTCAGAGCACAAAGAAAGAAACTCGCAACTTTTTGGAACTAACGAGTCTAACCAGAGATCTGTCAGCATAAAGAGTGTCAAGAGCTTTTTAGAAGAAACTAATGTTGAATTATTTAGAGAGTTGGAATATGCCGTTTCGAACGATTCAATACGACCACGATTTAATGGTAAATAAGAAATGTTGCCACACCTACTTTTTTCTCAAAGAATATTTGCCGATCAATGAGGCCAGATGACACGATCCTCGTTGATTCCATTCTCAAAGGAGCGGATCTTTGTCGACGGCGGGAGAATCAAGGAAGGTTGAGAAAAGTCCATTGTTCTAGATAAACAGGAAGGCTTTTTTGCCCGATGTTTCACTAAACAAACAATGAATGCAGTAGTTTTTATGATGAAATTTCGCGCCATTGAAATCTCAACTCTCCAAAGTCAATTCCTACCGTGAGATTCCCTTCCAAACTGAACCAAATACAAGCCGACGTCCAGAAGCGCGAAGCTTCGATCCCTTCCACTCTGGTTTCAATCCCGAAGCTGATCCGATCATTCCCACCAGCGAAGAATACCCTCTCCGAGGCGAAATCAGCCCAACTTTGCCCCGACGATCGATTGTAGAATCCTCGGATTCTTCCTCCGACGATGAAAAATTCCGCCACAAACCCTGGATCACCGAAAACATTCTCGGTAAGCGCAAATCGCAACGATCCTTTTCTAATGGCAAAATAGAAATGATTGTTGTCCGGGATCGACTTTACCAGAAAATGAAAACGAACCCCTGCGCAGAGACTTCGCAGACATACAAAAAGGTGCGTAACATGGTGGTAAGCATGACGCGCAATGCCAAGCGGGCCTTTGAAAAACGCTCTCAGAAACAGGCACCCAATTTTAGATCTAAGCACAGCCTGCCTAAAAAGCATCACTAGTTTAACCTTTCTTCCTCTGTTCAATCTTTCTTAACAATTCAAAAAAGAAAACAAATATAGAAATTTCCTGTATTAAAACAACTAAATTCATAAATAACAATTTTTATGTCCGCCATGTTATATTTATCTTACTACTTTTCTACTTCTGCCCATTTGCTGGAAAATGTTTCCAGGCCTAAACAAAAGTCCCTCTCTTTTTTTAAAGAAGAACTTGTATATTCTACTGTAATGTTTTGATCGGCAAACTGATCATGTGACCTTTCGTATTTTTTTCATGTTCGTTTCTGAGATTCGTTTTTTCCAAAGTACCCTGCGCGGCTCTTTGCTGCTGATTGTAATTGCCGCCCCTGCTCGCTCCCGCCGACAGAAGAACACGTCCCTGACGAACAAAAAAACTGACACATTTATAGACTTTACCAAATGTGTTTGTTTGACGGGTTGATCGCGGTGATCCCCACGCATCCCTCTTCTGCCGTTCTGTCTGCCAGACAGTCTGTCCTAAGAAACGGTTGTCCGAGGAGCCAGTTTTGTTCAGTTTTAAGGCCACGTCGGACAACCAAAACGGTAGTTAGGAGGGACAAACGAAAACAACACAACAGAGATAGGAACTGTCCCGAGCGCGAGAGATTTAAGAAGAACCGCTCCGAGGACTTAGATACAAAAAGATCACCAGGCAAATGTTCCAAATTACGGACTGTGTATCGCTTCAAAGCCTTGGTGTTTCTGAAAAGTTGAGCTTGAAGAAATGACAGCGAAAGTTGTATAATTGAGTAGCTTCTTTTCTCAAGCCACTTCGCCAGACTCCGAGAGCTGAAGCCTAGTTTGTTGGATTTTTCTTGGGTTTTGAAAATACCCAAGACGTAGACTGTAAACGGGACTAGTTATTATAAAATTCACGTCCAAATTCAAGTCCAGTTTTATGAACATTTCATAAGTCCGCACTAAAAATCGCCAAAATAAAAGAAAAAAACTTTCCCTTTCCAAAATTTCTCCACTTAGGAAAGGCTTAAAAATGACTGACCGTTTTCAATCGAACAAGTCTCTAAGCCACATCAAAGTCGCTTCTGTATCTGTATGTGTCAAAAAGCTTGAAAATCAGTCTCTCGGATAGTTTTATTTAATAACCTGTTGCAAACAAAATCATTGAAATAAAAATATCATACTTCATTTGATAAAACTGCTGTCTTGTTGAGCATAATTGAATTCGACGGTTCCAATCAACCACAGGCCAAAATTATCGGCTCATCTCATCTCATGCATCAATAAATAGATCTTGTCTTCCTTGATTTCCAGACGATAAATGACACATTAACGATGTGCCAAAAAAGCGTTGCTAGGACTGTAAATAAACGTTTCAAGGAACAAAATTGTAGAATTGAGATCACTTGATAAAGTGTTTTTTTATTGTTATCATTGTAAATAAAATTGATAAAATAGAGTGTCTTTTGATAAAAAAAAAGCTTTACCAGTTGTCAGAATAACGAAAAGAGTGCTATTTACTGCTCCTTTGAAGTGGTAGAAGGTCATGTTTTTGGCGTTGGGTTTCGGCGTTGTGAGGTGGCCTCCGTGCGGTTTTTCAACAGCCGCGCCACAACGCTTCAACACACACACACGCGCACAACGACTACCACACAACACGAGAAAGCGACAGGTTTGAAACTCGATCGCTATCTCCCTCTCCCCGCACATCACGCACGCGTTTTCGATTTTTTTACAAACACGATAACATTTTTTCAAGCGCTAAAGATAAAGTTTAAATATTTTTTTATAAAAAAAAGAAGAAGAAAATAAAAATGTAGAGAGCTGTGGCGAAGAAGATCACATATAAAAATAACGTAAGATTAAAATAATTAATTCAAGGAATAAAATTTCACTGACAGTACCTTCGGAACCAAAATTTAGGTTCAAGTTTACCGTGAAAATCCACTGAAAATGGATATAAGCCACTTAAATTTTAATAAATAATATTCATATCGTCTATAACAAAGATTGAGTTCACGTCAAAGATTATGGTTCTAGATATGTTCATTCTTCAAGAAAATATTCAATAAATTGAATAACACGTGCATAAGTGCTAAAAACAGAACTTTCAGGAAAGTTGAATTTGTGTGAGCGGGAGAAAACGGCAAGTTGTTTGTTTTGATTTCTGAAGTCGATCGGCTGTGTGGCAACGTTGCTTTGTTTGCTATGTTTGGTTGTTGACGAGAGGACTCAAACTCAACAAGAAAGAAGAAAAAGAGAGATCCAAAATCACCGTAACAAAGAGCGCGCTTTCTCTAATCTGCAAATTACAACAACAGAAGAAGATGGAAATTGACAGGAATCGGATTTAACAGCTTTGGTAGATATTTCGGTCACCAAAATTTTTAATTTCATCGACCATCATTGACGTAAAATGAATATTTTTTGGAGACACATTTCTTGAGGCCCCAAAATCATAAAAAAACAAGAGGATCTAAAATCCAAAAATAAGCATATTTAAAATCGATGCAGCTGTAAAAGGTGCTCCGGACGGTGTCAAGTTTTTATCGACCGTCTTGAACAAGCAGCTAGGATTGAAATCGACTCATCTGCTGGACAAGGATGTTCTTTTTGGTAAGGCTAATTGTTTGTCGACAACATTCGAGGACATGGTTTATTTTAGATAGTGGCAAGATGGAGAAGCTGTTCCTCGACCATGTGTTGCTCCTCTGGAGCGTGAAGGAACGCGAGAGCTGGAGGGAGAAAGTTGAGGAGTATTTACGCGATCGATTGAAAAATATACCAGTGCTCAAGTACACGGATAAGCTCGGAAAACAGGCTGATGGAAACTGGGTCTTCTCGAACAAGGCTCAATTTTATTCCAATGGGTAAGCCGCACCTTATTTTGATCGAAGACAAATCCTAAAGCTCTTATATAGAGCTCAAATACCAGAAGACATGACTCAATTCTACCATCCATCGAGCCTCGACGAATCCTTCCCAAGAGAGTCTTCTCAAGAAGATCATCTCCGAAACTTTCTTCTTTCGGTTCGAAATGCCCACAATGGCTCGATTGCTCCAGCACTTCTCTTCTCTGCTTTCGTGTTGAAATTCCACGAGCCCGTTTTTGAAGTCTTGCGGTTATCCAGCGGTGCTGCGAAAGCCCCAAAATTTTTGTCGTCGAAGAAGGCTGGACTTCTATGTAAAAGCTTTTCGAACATCACGAGCATAAAGGATGGAGTCAATGTTGTTGAGAACGAAGAGCACATTGTCGATTTCTTGAATTCAAGCGATGGAGATGTTTTCGAAAACGTTTTGGTCGAGATTCCTTTTAGCGAAAACATGACAAGTTCCGCGAATTCAAAAGGTTTTTTCAATTCCCATGTTCGATCACTATCTAATTTTTTTTCAGAATTCGTCAAGAACTGGGTAAAATCACCAAGCTCCAAGTACAACTGCCTTTCACAACTCATCAAGCTTGAGAAGGCTCTCTCGGCTGACTCGTTTGACGAACGCTTCCGAGGATGGCTAGAGCTTATAAACAAAAAAGACAAAGAAATTAAGATCAATCTAGCGATTCTGTTTGCGACTGTGGAGCTTCTCGGTGACATTCACGGAGATTGGGACAAAGCAAAAGTCCAGGTTGCTATTTTTATTAAAAGATATTTTGAAAAATATGATTTTAGGAACTCGCATCAAAAATTTTGGGCGACGACTTCAAATCACCGTTGAAAAGACCTGCTCACAACGGATTTCTTTCAACAGTTGCAAATAAGCTTCCGCGAATAGAGTCTGTTCCGACTGTTCAGTCGCACCTTGGAGCAGTAGCACTGGCAAATTATCAGCCACAAGTATCGTCTTCCTTTCCTTCTTCATCCCTTGCATCATCGCTTCTGAAAACGACGAGTTCGTCAGTTTCTTTCACCGGAGAGCATGAAAACCTTCCGCCCATTGATGGATTAGGTCAGTAAAATCATAAAATCAATGTTTTAATTGAATCAAGGAGGGCTAATATATTCATCACGACCGGAACAAAAATATCTTCTCTTTCTCCACCTGCCCCGCCCGGACAGAATTCATCGACTGTGAGCTTTTCCGGTGACGCGGAACCCCAGAAAGAAGAAATAGAAGGTAGGACTACCTTGGAGACAAAGCCTTAGTTTATTTAGCTTTGATGCAGAATCCACTGACAACCGAAAACATGCATAAAATCGTCAACGCAATAATCGCTTTCTTCCTCGGACAAATTCCGCCGAATCGAGACCCAAAAGACTTCATTCGCAGCTCTTACAGAACAAGAGACAGTACTGAGGTCTACCTCGCTCTTCGACTTCCGATTCTTCGGCGGCTGCTGGATGCGGAGACAAGGAAGGTATTCCGCGATATTTTGGACAGCTGTGGAGGACAAAGACAACAAACAAGATTTGGCTCTGATTCGACCTCGGCGCAGCTTATTCCGCGAGATTTGGTTTCCAAGACGAATTTGGACAGGATCGAAGTGATGATAAGAAATAGAGCTGGTAAGTTGATCAAGACAAGTCTTACTTGAATACTGTCTGTGTCAGATTTTCATCGTTGATTTCAGAACAACGAAAAATGCTTCAAACGACCCGTCCTCTCGGAATGCCCTCGATGGTCCATTCTGGACTCAGTTTGCTACCCGAAAACCTGCAAATGCTAAACGACTGCCCACCGCAAAAACAGCTCAAGCTCGGAGATATCCTGACAGAGGAGAACTCGTTATCGTTTGATGCCGAAGAGTGTTCTGTAAAAATTGAAGGTGTTGAGTAGAATTATTTATTGCAAACTATTTATATAATAAAAGAGAGCTGATTTAGAGTTGTCATGATCTGTTTTTGCAAAAAAAGAGAGAGCAACCAAGAGAATCAGTGGACTAAGGCCTAAGCATGAAGGCTTTTCAGTACGACGTGTTTACCAAAAATCTGACCTATCAATTCGTAAATTTTTTAAGTGAATTCAAGGCAAGAGAATCTCCTTTGAATAGATTCCTTTCGAAATTATGATTAGGTTCGTTAACCCCGTGAACCAAAACCGGCATGTGAACATGCCCCTTTACCCTCCGATAGCACAGTTTCAAACGAAGGTATCGATGTTCGCTACTGTCTCACGGAAAATTATCAGTATTTATTGCTCCCTGCTGCTATTCTCCGCCCCGATCGACTAACGGTTTTTAACTAACGGGTCAGAAGTATTTCTGCTCATTTTCAAAATGAGCATCCCGGCTTTCGCTGTGGCCTCTGCCCTTGAGGCCTCGAACGTGCTGGTCGACAAGAAAGAGAGTTTCACGATCAAAGCAATCTTCAAAACTGATCGTTTTGTAACGAATGCTCTGACTGCCCTGCCTGCTATCGCCTTGGCCTCCCTTTTGGTAAGAGGTTTTTTCAGCAGAGTCATTCAAGAGAAATTTAGATTATCAAGCCGTCGAGTTTTACGACGGACATAGTCACTTGTACCATCAGGACCAAGCCTGAAGCGCACTCTCTCTCTGGTCATCTAATCCACGATAACTCCCAGCTCGCCGACCAAAACTTCATCAATGCCTACTGCAACGCCAACTTGAAGAACTATACAGTCGATGCAAATGGAATTGTTGCTCCTACCAAGCCGATGTCTTACAAATTCGTCAAGATGTTTCCTTTCCATTTGCTGACTCTGATCATAATTGGTGGCTGGGTAAGCAATCTTCAGAAAGATTTAGGTCACATGTAAAATTTACTCAAGACTGGACTTTGCTGGGAGATAACGAGTAAAAAACGGTTGAGCCAGGCTGAGTATCTTTTCGATGGCTTGGAAGAAGCAGCAGGAGACCTTATTAATGCTCTCCGCTCGATTTCCCATCTTCTGGCTGCGAAAACCACGAAGAAACTCAAAAAAACTTCTCAGAGTGGTGGAACTTTGGCGAGAATGAAGGCGAATCGTAACGTTTAGGGTTAATTACTTAGCTATAAGTATATATTTTACGTTGAAAACTGAACCCCGAAAAGCGAGAATGTCTCATCGAGAAACTCAAGCCATGACCCTCTGCAAACTGGACTCCTACCCGGCTGATGCAACAATCACACGAAGAAATAATAATGGCTACGACCACGATTCTGACAAAGAAGATACTGAAGCCTTTATTGTTTGTAACTTACGGCGAACACCTAAGAGTAAAATTCAATTTTAGAAAAATGACTCTCAAGTGGACATGAACGATGAAGAAATCCAATCTTTCCGAAATCTTTCGCATAAAATTCAGGAACTGGAGGTCAGATCGAGAAAAGATAGGAATTTATAGCCACATGACATCCTTTTGTCAGACGTCTCTCGACAAGTACTACGCCGAGAACAATATTTATGCGAAATTCATCGAGTTTGATGAGTATCTTGAGACCCGCGCATCCTCGAAACAATTCATCAGAACCGTTGATCTGAACAGATTGAACTCGTTTCTGATGACTTTGGTTTGTGCTGGGACTCTAGGATACTTCTACATCTGGCGACTTCTCTGTAAGAAACAAACTTGATTCAAATAATCTGAATATTGCAATATTTTAGTCGTTTCGAAGGGTATCAATTGCAAACTGCCTGAGGTCTACTGGTACAAATACATGCCAAAAGCCTTGAACATTTCGGAAGGACCCCAAGAAGAGCAGACATGGACCACGACCAAATGCTACTTCAAGAGCTTGGGCACTTGGGAACGATTCGCGGAGATTCTCTTTGTCCTCTATGTTTTCATGGCTTTGTTTCAGGTAGAGATAAATTTTTGCCGACTCAGCCAACAGAGCTTATTCTAGATCTTTTTTGCCCGCAGCTCATCTCTAAATTGGAAGAAGGCTGATCGACTCATCAAATATCTTCCTCTGAACATTGCCCTCAAACGAAACTCAGTGACTGACCTGCATCTTTTGATTGCAAAAGTTTCTGAAAACGAAAATGCCAGAAAGGTAAAAAAAAATAAGGAACTAAAGATTCAATATTTTAGTCAATTGCCATGTGCGACAAGGTTCTCTCGGCCTTGGAAAAATACGAGCAAGAGGAAAAATTCCTGCCTGTTCTGATGGAAGTCATCGTTTGGTCTGCGACAGACGAAAAGGTTGGCGATATCGTCAAGAAAGTCCTCCAGCCGAAAGACAAATAGAAAGCCTTCTTTATTCCTGCAACTCTTATCCTGACTTTCGCATTTGCAGTAAAAATACTCCTGCCTGGCCTTGGAATCATGTTAATTAAAACTTTACCAAGATTCCGAGGTCATGTCGGGAGCCATCTAATACTAACCCTAGTAGACTTTTTTGCTCAAATAATCTCCTCTGTACCCTTTCTTCCTTATTCTTACGTGAGCATTAAACTAACTTTCAAATAATAAAATCGACAAAACTGATGTTTTCAGATATTGTGTATAATTGTAATGAATAAGGGAAAATACCCGAATAATGAAAATAAATCAAAATGTCAAGTCAGGCTGACTTAGTCAGCGAGAAACTCATTCGCAACATTTCCTTTTTACGGCGTTAGAGGGAAAAGTTTCCTTATTTGATTATTATGATTTCTCGCTCACCAGCTTATTTACTATAAACAGAAAAATAACACGATGAACATTGACCGTTCCACAAGAAATGACCAGATAATCAGGATCGCAGATCCACCTTCCTACGAAGTCTCTATGTCTACAGCTCAGTGGACATCAGGTAAACTTAAGCTAGCAAAACCAAATTGACTTAAAATAAGTCCCGATTCCGCTTTCTCCAAGCCAGTCCTATACTCAACCTGCAACTCAACAACGATTATCTCAGAACAAAAGAAATTTTATGAGAGAATTATGGGCTAGTATTTATTCGCTACTTAGATATGCAGCTGCTTATGTTCTTTGCTTATTTTTTCTGCTGATCTTTGCAGCAATTCCAGTTATCTTTATTCACCTCGTAACTTCCAAAATAAGTTCATTTTTTAGTTTCTTATTTATTCTTGTGTACTGTGCTTTTATTTTTCGCATAATTTATGATTGCACAAAATAATATCTGTGCTGCATCTTTTTTCAATTTTTCCTTTTACGGACACTGATCTTTTTGTTTCTTTTATATTTTCCTGCTCATTTTAAGGACAAAAAACATCGAAAAATTATGATTTTTATGTTTATTGATTGATTTGACTAGAAGGAGTTGTTTCAACAACTCACAGTGAAGTGTATAAAGAGAAATGGTTGAAGGAGAAAGAGAACAGGGCAGAAGGTTGTACGAGCTTTTGAAGCTTACAGCCAGTGAGAGGTTCTGCCATCGGCGGTTTGATTAGTTTCCATAGACGACTTGGGAGTTGGTCTCCTCGTTGACGAGAGTTCGCTCACCGGTGACGGGGTCGACTTGCCAGGTGCGGAAGACGGTGTCGACGGTCTGTGGCTGCTGGACGATGACTGGCTCGGGCTCGACGTAGGTGTAGACGGGCTCGCATCGGGTCTGACCTTGGGTCATCATCATGTAGAAGATGAGGCTCTCGTTGTTGTCGGAGGAATCGTCAGACATGAGGAGGAGAGGAAGGAGCATGTTGGTGGAGAAGGCGGTGTTGGGAGCCTGGGACTGGAGGGCGAACATGACGAGGAGCAAGTCAGTGTCGAGACTATCGTTGGACGAGTTGTTGTCGTCGTCGAGGAGGACAAGTGGGAGGAGCATGTTGAAGTTGTTGTCGAATCCCTGCTGGGTGGTCATGCCGCCGGTCATGGAGTTGAGAAGGACCATGAGGAGGATGTTGTCGTTGTTGTTGCTGCTGCTGTCGTCATCGAGAAGGAGCATGTAGGGAAGGATGTTATCCATGCCGAAGGGTTGGTTGCCCATGGTGGTCAACATAAGCATGAGCATCAAGTTGTCAGAGGAAGAGTCGTTATCATCGAGGAGGAGAAGGGGCAAGAGGTTGCCGAAGACGTCGTCGGTTCGGACGTTGCAATCGTTCTGCATCATTGTCGAGTAGAGGAAGAGCGAGAGGAAGTCAGTGCCGTTGGAGTTGCTGTCATCGTCATCGAGGAGGAGGAAGGGAAGGATCATGTTAGTGTCGGCCATGTTGTTGTTTCCCTGCATCATCATCATCATGAGAACGAGAGCGTTGTCGGTGCTGGTAGAGTTGTTATCGTCATCGAGAAGAACGAGAGGGAGAAGCATGTTCATCTGGTTGGTCTGGGTGGGAGCGATCTGCTGCTGCTGCATCATCATCAGGGCGAGCAGGGACGAGTCGATCGCCTGGGCAAGGGCGAAAAAGAGGGCGAAGATCTTCATCTTGGCGGTGGTGCTGGTTAGCTCTTGAAGAAGTGAAAAAAGTTTTTTTTTGCTCCTTTTCTTTTAGCTCGTTTGAGTAATTGAAAGTTGGAGATTGATGATCTCTACCGGTTCTGGCCGCGGTTAAATATTGCGATGGCCACCTACCGATCGGTTCGTTTCACGCTCGGGTAGAATTCACGGCTGATCGGAATCGCGAAACGTACCCATTTGCGTTCTGCAAGACTGAACAGGGATGAACTCGGGGAGCTGATCTGAGGGGATGAAAGAGACACGTATTTATGGGCTCATAAAGACATCAGCTTCTTTATGGATAGATTGATTCCTGCTCAGCTGATTTTATATTCTCCATGATCAGACTCTGTTTTATCGCTTTGAGTCGGGACAAGAAGATGGTAACCATGCAAATCGAATAGATGGTATTTCAAAATTTATTCATAATAAATGCTATACCAGGCAACAAAGATAGATAACAAAATAGTGACAGTGATTAAATAGGTTTGAAATCTTATATTTTCACTTTTATGTGCCCTTTTAATATTTTTTTTCAATGAAATGGAATAAGCGAGAAGCAATTCAGCTACCCGTCGAGTAATGGCACAAATGGAAAAGAAAATTCTAGCGAAGATAATTGAGTGTATATCTTTTGTTTAAATTGAGTAACTTTTTGAAAAACTGGTTGACAGGTGGTAAATTAGGATAGTGAAGAGTAGAAAATAGGAATCGTTTTCCCGAGAAGAGGCTGATTTTTATCTAGCCAAGGCCAAATGTCTTCCAGAGCCAGCCGACGAGCATGAGAATCAGCAGCGTGCAGCAAGCGAGAATTGCAAGTTTTTTCTAAGGGAATAAGTTTAAAAAAAAAATTGAGTAAAAATATTGAAAAATCATAACATTGATTTTCTTGGTGACTAAATATAGTTTCTTATCATTCTTTCAGCGAATATAGGAATTTAAGTGCAGCAATTTTGTCTTTGAGCAAGAATCTTTTAAATTTATAAGTTGCAAATTTGAAAATTATGTTGATACCAAAATATCCACCCCTGGTCTAGTCGATTTTAGATAAATAAAAAAATTATGTAAAATTTCATAATTTTCATTGATATTATAATTTTGCACGAAATTTTCGCCCCTAAAGGATGCATTAAACCATGGCTCAACTAAGAAAAGGCTCGATCCGAGGAAGAGTCTTGATTGAAGGGGTTCAATCAGTCGGAACGTATAATAACAAGAGTGGAAGTTCTTGGGACCAAGTGGTGCATAAACGCGGGTATCTAAAATTTCACGGAACTGGACTAATACAACACAAACAAGTGCTCTTTGGAGGATTTTAAGCTCCAGTGATTTTGGATGATGCAATCTTTCGAGCAGCTGTTCTCCCAACTTTGGGCGAGAAATGCACTCCTTCTCGATTGAATTTAGTGAATTGAAAGTTCAAGTTCGATCCTCCACGAGGATTCTGAGACGCGGCCTTAGTCCGGCTGCAATTGAAGATCGACGTGGTTAGATTGCTCGTGGCTGTTAGTAGCCATGATATTGAGTGGTAGATCGATACGTGTCAGTTTGGCTAATTTATTTTTCGCCGAACAGCTCACTTGCTTGATTAACAACCCAAACACACTCTGTTTTAACGTCTGTCTAATCAAATTATTTCGTCGAAGCTCTGAGCCAATAATGCAAAAATATACATATTATCGTCTTTATAATTCTATATATTATTATATAGATTTATAATCTTTATTTTATAGTATAAAAAACCTGCCCTGCTTTCTGCAACAAATTGACAACATAAAACAAACTCAATGAATTTCCCAAAGAATTTTCTTTTCTTTCTCTTTTGGAAAATTCAATGACAGAATCACGTGACAAACAAGTACGAGACAAATACACAATTGAACTTTTTAAATAGTTTTAATAATTTACGAACCAGTTAAATAACTGTGTTGTGAAATTTCAGAGCAACGAATGAAGTGGTTTTTTTTTGTCGAGTGCGAGGGGAAGGAAATAAATTAGGGTTGTTTTAAAGCGACGAATACAGCTAGTTTGTTTAAATTTTCTTGACAGCGCGTTTTCAAAACGACCAGGGCCACGAAAAAGGCCGCAAGGAGGAGAAGAAATAATGTCAACTGGGCTGCTTTCAGCTACAGAAAATTAAAGTTAATTTATTCTAGCGCTTCTGTCTCAAAAATGCTATAAAAGGTACGAAAATAAATGGTAGTAATAAAAGCACTCTTCAACCCCACTCACACTCAAGCAAACAGAACAAATGGTAGGTTAGCAGATGAATGAAAATCACAAGACATGAATGATTGAAGACATTTTTGTTAGGTGAAGACATTATTTACAATATTTATATATAAAGTAAACACAGAGTTGATATCCTTGGAACTGCGAATGCTAATGGTTTTGGCTTTTTTAAATACTTTGCTTCTAGAGGTTTTTGACGGACTTTGAAAGTATCATTCTTTTTTTTTTGATATTGACTTTGACTTTGAATTCTAGTTTTGAGTTTCTGCGGTGTCGTCTTTGGGCGCGAATTTAATCGCCAAAACGATGACGATTATGCAGAGTACGAGGACGCAGATCGAAATCAAGATGATCTTTTTCTGGAAAAAATGTTAAGATGGAGGCGAAAAATTGAAAAATTCTAGGGAAAAAGGGAACTTGTTGAGCGTTGAACTTCTTCAGCCTCTCAGAGGACCAGGATCAGAATAAGGATGACTGTAGCTTTGGTTTCTTTTAGAGTCAACTTAGGTCAATTTAAGAACCAGAATCAGGACCAGGATGACTTTTGTTTTGGTTCACAATAATATTGGTAGCTTTCCAAAAATATTTTCTTATTGCTAATTTAACTAAGAATCTTAGTCTAAGATAGAACTTTCGAATCCTTTTTTATGAAGTCTTCAATTATTCCTAAATTAGTACAAACCAGTCCCTATCGTTATGATCACACAAATCGTGATGGCAATGCATTTCTTAGGAAAAGAAAACAGTTAATATAATGCCTTCATATGTTAATCAATCTTGTAAATCAATAGAATCACAAATCAAATCATCGTATCACGCTCATCCGAGGTCACCGCTGAGAGTTCAAGGGGCAACAATCACTTTGTCCCTTTCTCCTTCTGTCCGGTTATTTTAACCCTCCTCAGGCGAGAGTTAAAATAATCAGACGAGCGTTGATAATGGTAGAAAACACGCGCTCAAGCCAAATCACGAACTCGAGACTTACGGAGATCCAAAAATACAGCGCCAGTACAATCACGAGTACTGAAAGCGCCGCCGCGATTTTTAGATATTTCTGAAAATCGCATTCAAAAATTTTTAAAATAAAAATCGTGAACCGCGGCGAAAAAATAATGCATCAGTGACAACTTTGGTGTTTAAATTCTTGTGCAAAATTACAATTTTTGACGGGACGAACGTATATTTAGGCGGTAGATTGCAGGCTGCAATTTGCAGCGAATAAAAGTTCACTGAGGAAGGGATGTGCTGATTTATTCACGCAGTCTACCGCCAATTGTGTGGCGTTATGCGGCTTAAAAGTCTATCTATGCGGGCATATTTTTGAGGAAGGGGCAGATTTTCGACCGAAATTAACAGTATGTCTCGAATTTAAAGACAGGGTCAGGGCTGTCGATTTCGGAGCGTTTGCGATTCTCCGCGATTTTTAGCGGAAAATCCGCTGATTTTCTCCGTTTCTCCGCGCTATTCTCCGATCGTCCGATCGGCCGATTTTATCCGCGCGCGCGGATCTTCCGCATTCTCCGCTACCCATTTTTCTCGAGCCAATCAAACGAGCCAGCAAAATTAGAAAGCCAATCAAGCGAGCTTTATTTTCGCGGATCTTCCGCATTCTCCGCTACCCTTTTTTCCGCTTCATTCCGCACGGATTTCCGCGCGGATCATCCGCGAAAAAAGTTGTGGATTTTCCGCGGCGAAATCGCGGAGAAAAAAGAACGCTCCGAAATCGACAGCCATGGACAGGGTAAGAAAAGCTCACGACTTTTTCAGTAGTCACCTTAAGAACTAACAATCGTATTTGAATAAATTTGGATAACTGCTATATAAAGAATAAGAAAATTGCTCAGTTATAAAAAGATTCGTTCTATTTTTTTAATTTGGTTGACTAAAATATTAGAATTATTAATGCAAAGATAGACTTTTAATCTGGAAGCAGCCTTGGTTACGACATAAAACTTTACCCGTCTCGCTTTGGACTGGTACATGATCGCCTTTTTAGTGTCACTGACGGCACTCGAGACGTAGTTGACCGAGTTCTCGACATTGTACTCGATGCGGTCTACCATTTCGCCCTGAATGTTAAGGTTTAATTACTTTGCGACTCTTCGTTTGGTATTCGACGGCCTTCTTCGTCTGCTCCACCGCCTTTTCGACGTAATCTTGGGTTTGGAAGACGTTATTTTCAATCCTATCGACCATATCACCCTTTAACAATTTAGATACAACGATACTGACAACAAAGAGAACTACCAAGAAGACCTCCTTTTCAAAGAAAAGTTCAGATCTCCTTCGTAATCAAAACAACAAATAAGTACCTGCTCTTGGACAAGCTGGCACATATCCATGAATAAATCGTGCAGCTCCTTGATCGACTTCTCCAATTGTAAAATATCGTTGTGACGTGCCTCGATTTCACGCGTTTGCTGCGCGTCCATGTTAATCTAAATCCATGACTAACTACAAAATAAGACTTGAGAAGGCAGTTACCCCCGTGAACATTTGTAAGTTTCCATCTTTCGACTGTTCGATCATTTCTTCGATTTCGTTGTCTGTTGCTGCTTTTCCGATGATTCCCAGTTGTCTTTCGATCCTCTGTTTACATCGATCCCTGAAATTCAAATTCTCATTAGATTCAGGATTCTCAAGCCTGTGGCTGACCTGTATAAGTTTTGCTCCTGGTTATACTCGTTCATAACTTTTATGAACGTCCTCGATAACGTCGAATGCTGAACAAACACGGTAAGAAATGACTGTAAATGGGCTAAGAGCACCTGAGTTTTCTTGATACGGAAGTCTGCGGATTGGTTCTGAGTCGACTCTTCTTGCTCGATCTGTTGCTGGATTGCTTTTAGCCTCGACCGGACGCGATTTGCCGTTCGTTTGATTTCCGCCATCAGCTCTTCCAGCTGTTCATTCAGTTCTAGATTGGTACATGAGCAAATGACTGTATATATTAATTTATCTGAAGAGATGGAAAATTGATGAGGCCCTTGAGAAAAGCAAGGGAGGTGGCTGATGGAGCGATGCTCGAAAATTGCGCTTGCTGTGTTTTTAGTTTAATCAATGGCCTCGATAGGGTGATCTCTCTCCAGACTTGACTTTTTAGGGAAGATTTAATTGGGACGGGGCTAAATTGGATAAACTTACTGTCATCTGTCTGGGCACTACTCAGGATCGTCGAATGTTTTAACTTGACATCTTCTACTTTGGCTTGGATTTTGTCAATGTCGGATTGGATTTCTTCGACCTAAAGAAAATTGACATTCAGCAATTCACTCACATTTACATATATTTGAAAGAAATGGGGAGCAGTTGTCTTTGAGTCAGATTTGGACCCAAAACGGACAGATAATCATCTTCAAATAGGCATGAAAAAGAATGTCTAAGAAGAACTGTAATTTCCTGAAGATACCCCATATTTTCAGTTTGAACTTGGAACTTTCAAGGACGAACATGTCCTTGGAACTTAATCTAAGTTGATCCGGAGGATGAAAAATTAATCATCGTTGATTTTGGAATAAATCCCGCCGGCAGGCCAGGAAGAACGCTTCGTTGGAGAAAAATTAAACTTTTAGAAACGCATGTCACCGATCAAGTTCAAGTTCTTGAAACACAATAGAGCGTTGGTTTGAAAATGCGGATATTCACGTGACCGCACGACCTTGCTAAAGCCAGATACAGTGTCACAACTATGGCGCAATCCAAGAACTGCGGCTTAGTGCCCGTTACAAGCGATGAGCCCGCGTCCAGCTCGGGAAGAGCGATATTATTCTGTCTGACGAGGAAGAAAAAAACGGGCAGTAAACTCTGTCAATATATCGATTTCAACATGCGCGAGCAATACATTTGAAAACTACTTGACACCTGTCTCATATGAACCCTTCCCCTTTTTTCTCACTGTCCGTGTAGCTGTATTGACAAATTATTAATCTTGCTCTTTTTAAGACCCTCGATTTTAAGGCAATTTTTCATACAATCTTTCTGATTCGCTGGAGGCACTCTCACTGGCTCAAGATTGGTATAATTCCTAAGTAGAGGATCTCTTCATTATCGCCGTTTTGTCTGGTAGACAATTTTAAAAAGATCCTCCTGCAATCAATCTAAAACTCGCACCGATAGATACTTTTAAAATTTAATAGCATAAGTTTGATGAAAATTGATTTTTACTTCAAAATGACGTCATTTCGAACTGATTGCTTATTTTTAGCATATTATAAAATTAAAATGTGCGAATGACGCATATAATCTAGTGAAGATGTGTCCGAGGAACCGTTATAACTCGCCGTTAATGTATCTGGTGAATAATTAATATTGTCAGCTCACATTATGAGAATTCTTTGGGAAGGGATCAATTTATCGATTCGAAAAAAGTAGCTACAGTTATGTTGGATAAGCTCCCTACTTTGCTAAGCCCCCTCATCGCTTGCAACCCCCGTGAACTTGGAAAGCCTCTAAGTACTGTATGACTACAAACAGGAGGTTCGTTGAAGAAGATTCCTCCTTGATTTCAATTAAAATAAAATCGGTTTTTCTAATTTCCCGAGCCGGATCAGAACGCACTTTTTGTCCGAACCTAATCCGGCCCGAAGAAATCTAGGAAATTATCTACAGGTAGATAATACCCTCTGCATCCTCTTATGATGCAAAACCAATCAGTCGATTTAAAAGCCGTCTGTATTATTACTATTCAGGTCAGTGGGGGCCCAAATCTGATCAAAGGTCTTTTTAGTTACCTGGTTGAAGAAATCCTGCATAAAGTTTGAATTCCCATCTGGAATTGAAACAACTGTGTCTGTAGGTTCATCGGGCCCTCGCGCCTAAAAGTGTTAATTATGGGATAAGCACGTGATAAACGAAAGGGTTTATTTTTGGTCGAAGAAATAAGCTATTCTCAAACTAAGGAAAAAAAACAGAGCTAAAATAATGAGTAGAATATTGATGCGTCTATATTTTGAAAGTTAAACTAATTTTAATATCGGCTCAACGCTAGAATGCGTATGTTTAGCTTTCGCTTCGAGAGGAGCATTAATGTTTCAGCTTCTGAAGAGCCGGTGCCAGGTCGAAACAAAGCGCCGCGCTCAACTGCGGAAGGAAGGAAATAAAATCAAAAGTGACTCTTTTCAAAAGTCCACTTTCGAAAGACACAGTTCAGAACTTCCTTAGGCAAATAATAAAAAGAAGCGTTCCACGTGGGTAATTTTAAATTTGAGGGGCAATTACTCAAAACACAGATCATAATTTTTGATTCATAAAGATCAAATCATTCTTTTTGATCTAGCAAAATTTATGAAGAAATTTAAATTTAGCAGCTCGAAAAATGAAAAATTTAGTGTATGAATATTTTTTCAGTATGACTTGTTAGAATAAATATTTAAAAATCTAAAAATGCGACTTTTTTCATCAGCTTATCAAAAGAAAATTAATCAGAGAATGCATTTTCGGACGTATTTTGCATTCCATTCAAGATCTTCATCAGAATAATTTTTGATAAAAGCGAGCAAAAACGTAAGTTATGACCGAAAATTTAATATTAACCCCGTAACATGACTTTTTATGAAAATGTTGACTTCGAATTCATGCTTTTTTGGCATAAAAATAGACAAAACTGGCCATTTTCCTAATAAACGTTTGTGAATAAATTTGTGAATCGCTATTTATTCTGTATCCTACGATTTCCTTAGCCATAAAATGACCGTAATTATTAGTAATTACCGTTACAAGCTCGGCGAGGCGATCCCTCATTCTTTCTTCTTCACTTCTGCAAAATCTCTATTTCTTCTTTTTGTTTCTTTGGTTTTCGTGAGTGTTTTGGTTTGTGTTTTGTTTTATTTAATTTTCTCTATTTCTCGTCCTCCGTCTTTTTTCAGCTCGGATCTGGCTGGCGGCGGCGCTGCGCGATTCACAACTCGCCAAGGGCGCTCCTGATTGGCTCAAAACAGCGAATCCAATTCCGACTGAATTTATCAATTATGACTCATTCTAGAACCATATTACTCATCCTTGATGAATCATTTATAGTAAAATATTGATTTTAGGATTTTTTCTTTATTTTTCTTTTTGAAAATATTCTAGAAATAACAAAAAAATGATAAAAAAAGATTTTAATTTAAATTTTGTCTCCGACAAATTCTTAAAAATATAGATAATTTCTTACAGTTAGAGTCTTCTGAATTCAAATTCAAATCGATATTGTCTGATTTTCTCTCTGTGCCTCTCTTTCTTGTTTGAGTAGTGTATAAAAATAGTAATGGAATTTTCAAATAGGCTGAGAAATACAGTATCCTTTCCAAAACACGATGGCATCAGCCCTCGAGCGCCGCCACCTGTCCTGGGCACTTGGCCGCAGGGCATTACTTGGCGCCCACGTGGATTGGAGAAATCCCCTTTATATTCAAATTTTATTTATTGCGACTTTATGGGCAGGGGCAATCTGTACAGGAGTGAGGTTGGCTTGTGCAAAGTTCTCCGGATGGGCAGTGTACGAAATTCCATTCCACTCGCAGGCTTCGGAAACGTGACTTTGGTAGCTGGTTTCGGCGGAACGGTACGTCGAAATTTTGCGAAGAATGGGTTCTGAGTAGCTGAGGGACTTTCGCTGGTGAGCATCTTTTTAAAGGCTTCAAAATATTACTGTATTAGTAATACAGTATTACTCAACTCATGTTATTCCCTTAATTTTCTTTTTGAAGCCCTTGCCTACTAGCTCTGGCAAACTAGAATCCAACACCAACCGAGCAGTCGCCTTACAAGCTCCTTCGCAAGAAAGTGGCCGTTTCCCACGTGATTGATTAACACAGCCGAGATAAGCTACAATCCCTGCCTTACAGTAAGACAGAGTTTTCAGCTTGTAATTGTAGACCTTTCCCTCCACTTCTATTCGGAATACCAAGCCCCTGAAAAGCACGAATAAAAACGAAGAAAATTCTTGAAAAAAAGAAAGTAAGAAGCAAATTCTTACATGACGGTTATTCTTCCGTACTTTGAAGGATTCCCTTGATTGAAGGAAATATCGCGGATGGTGCCTGGAGAGTTGTATTTTCTGACGCCACTATTGACCACTTCGCCGGTTCGTCTGATTTGCGGACTGAGTTTCAAGGTCTGCATCTGTTTTTGATACTCAAGAAGTCGTTGTATTTGCAGAGCTGTATTCGCCTGAGCTTCTGTATCTAGCTTCTGAGGTATTGCTATAGGAGGTGGGGGCTCTGACCGCTAAAAATGACATAAGATCTGTCTTCTTTGTTATTTCATCAGTTCACTTACGATTTCCTCGATTTCTTCGTCATCTTCTTCGATTAGCTCGACTTTGACGTCTCCGGTATCGTCATCGCTATCCTCGACGGTGTGGACTTTATTGCTATTGGAAACATGAAAGCTGTCAATGACAGGTTTGTCATCATCATCGTCGATATAATTTTCTTCTTTGTTTTCAGTTGACGGTTTTCCTTTTGGGAAGTCACGGGTGAAGCTTTCTTCGGCGCTCTTTTGCTTTTTCATTTGCGGGTCTTTTCACGGTTCAAAAAATATAATCATTGAAAATTTTACTCAAGGAAAATCCTCGAACCATCCCTGGATCGACATTGATAACCTGAACTGGCTCTCTCGGCAGCGCTCTTTTATTCGCGGGAACGATGTTCTTGTTCATCGAAATTTTCTGCATGATTCGGGTATTTTCGCCGACTTTTTTGACGAATTCGTATGCTTCTATCACAGATGTAGCGTAGGTCTTTGTCGATAGATTCTTGATTTGGCAGAAGTGAGTGAGTTCTTGGTTTGAAAGTAGCTCGCCGATCAGTTGGCCGGGGGAGATTCGACGGAGGACGGAGACGGAAGAGACGAGGAAGGTTCCTCGGCGGAGTTCGGAGCCTCGTTCGTGGAAGGAGACGACTGTTCCGGTCTTTAGAAAAAATGGTAGAAAGGAAAGTAGATCATTATGAATTTTACCTGCATTGTAGCAATTTCTTGATGGCTGAATTTTCGGTCCGAAAGATCGCCGATTCCATAAAGATCACTCGTGATTATCTTCCGAAACTGCCTCGAAAAAGGCACTCCTACTGTCATCGTATTTTCTTCAATGAGATGCCACATGATCACTGTTTACTGTACTTGTTATACTCAAAATTATTCTCTATCGACTCAAAAATGCTATTTGAATCTTTTTGGAGGTGTTTTGGCTCAAAAAAAGCGCGCGATATCGATTTGGCTCGAAATTAGGCAGTTGATATTTTTGAGGGCGCGGGCTCTGGTTGGTTCAGACACGCCTCCGCGTTTCCTCGCTTTTGACTCGGGGCGGCACCATTAATTTTATGGTCCAAGAAATCTGTTTTTGAAGCCAAAAATTTTTTTGGAAAAGATAAAAGAATTCATTTCCAATCAAAATATATTTTTAGAAGAATAAAAAGATAAATTTTAGCGGTAAAAGAGGGGATCCATGTAATTGATTAATTAAACTAATAAAAAGACTCAAATATGACTAGAAATACCGAAAGTTAATTTGATTATGGTCTTGAAAAATCGAACATCTCGCTCGAGAAAGTTCTACCGAGCAAATCTCCTCGTGTCCTGATTGGCCTCTGCGCAAGAAAGCGTTTGGGTCAATTTCGAGTTTCTAAAAATGCGTTTTACAAAAATTAACCTTTTACGGCGAGCAGATGCCATCAAACTTTTGGATCTTCCTCTGGAGCAGAGAATTTTCCCACAGAAAGAATTAAAGAAGGCTTACAGGTAATTTAAAAATCATAACATTCTTTCTTCATCAGTTTTTGTTAGAGAAAAGGCGCGGAAGTACCACCCAGATGCACCGGAAGGAGATGCGGAGAAATTTAAGAAAATCGGAGAAGCTTTCGAACTTTTATCAAAGAACGCGACAGAAAATGCGGCGAGGCATTCTGGGCCGAGGAGAAAATATGATGATTTCAAGTTTGACGATTCTGATGAGGAACATCGCTGGGCGCAGATGAAGAAAGGTACTTATTGTTTCCCACTGAACATAGGGACAGTCGATTCTTTCCTATCTGCCCGTATGTCAAGCTGGTTGCATTTCAATAGTAGATCTACTATCTTGATAAAAATCAGCTGACGGTTTGGCCTACAGACTGTTTGGTACAGCTGTTTCTCAATATAAATAAGAATGATTAGAAGCATTTTTACTTATTGAAATGAAACTCAAAGCGATGGAATAGTTAGAGCCTGCGCATCAAATTGATGACTATTATAGACTATAACTAAAAAAAACTATAATTAATCGTTTTTTTTTCTCAAAATACTCAAGTTCTTATCTCCTGAAAACTGTCGATATTTTCAAATTAACCTGTTAAAACGTTTAAAAAATTGAGTATCTTTTATCGCAAACAATCGACTAATCTTCTAGGTTACAACAAAGGAGAAGAACGAGAAGAGTTCAATTTCCAACCAACTCATCACGAAACACCACCTAGCGAAGTCAACCAAAAATACTTCCATCTCGTAGCCCTAACACTTTCCTTCATAATCATTATCTTCCGGCGCCAGATTTTCCCCGAAAGCTTCTTTCCCAAAGCCAGTTATTTGGAAGAAATGGAGCAGCTGAACGAAAAGTACAAAAAAGAACACCGCGAAGTTTTAGAAAAAGCTATTCAAAGACGTTTAAAAGAAGAAACAGACAAATAAACATTTTATCTATAAAAAGTTTTCCCTCATTCTTTTAGAATGAGATTTACGAGACTCTTACTTGACATCGGGAAGAAGTACTCGAATGCGCGAGTTCTGTTGGGAATCGAAAGCGGAGCGTCAAAGAAAGAAATTCATTCGGCTTATTTGAAAATGGCGAAGCAGTATCATCCGGATAGGGCGCAAACAACAGATCCTGCAGAAGCAGAGGCGAGATTTCAAGAGATCGGAGATGCGTACCAGCTTCTTATCGGAAAGTCTGAGGCGAATCAAGGCGTGGGATTTATTTATTTTCAATTTACTAAAATTCTTACATGGCATTAAATCGAATCGACTGAAATATAATGATCATCTGGCTGATGATGTTAAAATATTAATATTCATGCCAATTTTTTAATTATTATAGTCTTTCAAAGAAAAAAAACTTATTCTTTCGAAAATGAAAATTTCTATGAAAATCCCTTTTTACAGATTTCTCTGACGAAGAACTAACTCAAGAAGAAGCCATCAAAAACGGCCACGCTCTGAACGATGAAGGATACCCTCTCGTTGCCGATATCGCGTATGCTAAAAATATTCTTGGAGTTGAACCCGATGCGACCAAAGAAGAAGTAAAAAGCCGATTTGTTGAGTTGTCGTTAAAATATCATCCGGATATCGGCGACGAAGAAATTCGAGACGCCGAGTATTTTAAAACTATTACAGAAGCTTACAAAACTTTTATGAACCAAGAAATTTTAAATCCTGGCCAAGGTAAAATCAAAATAAAAAATATAAAGCTCATTTTTGATAGTGACATATTCTGATGCTATTCACGCTGATCAATGGTACTCAGACGGGCGACGAAAAGTTCACAAAGTAGAAAACATGAGCAAAAGAAGGCACGAACAGTTCTTTGGATTTTCCCCTGACGAGATAAAACCTGCATCGGTGCTGAAGAAAATGAGAAACTATTCTGCTGATGCTGGCCGACCATTTGCTGTCAGAAATGCTACTTATCAAGGAATGCTGCCTAGAAGTGATGATTCAAGGAGAAAGAAATAGAAAATTGTGTTCTTACTTTATTGAATAAATAAGAGTATCTATTTTACATATTACATGTTAGAGGATCGTTTTCTTCGTTTTCTTAGACGCAATCATATTGACCGGTTGTTAAAAGAACTGGTCTTTTGTATCTGTAACTCTGCAGGGGTGACCATTTGGGCAAAAAATCATCGTCGGGCCGACCAATTGCCCGCCCAATACCAAAAATCAAGACCCGGGCCGACCAAATGCCCGACCAGTCCAATGTGCCCAGAATGCCCAATCGGGCAATTGGGCAATTTTTCGGGCAAAAATTTTCCCGACATTTCGGGCTTGTTAAAACTTTAATTTTTTAAATTTCTCTCAATAATTTATTACAGTTGAAGATTTAGAAGGTTTGAAATATATTTAAAAAGCGGTTAAAAATAATTTTGTAAAAGATCGATCAGGTTGTCAAGAATAGACAGCTAACCATTAAGGTCCACTTCACACACTCTTGCATAACCGTCTCGAAAAGAGGTTCAAAAATGGGGTTGGAATTTACAACTTGGAAAAATGAGGGATAAAAAGGATCTGGAGGTCAAGGGTAGACAGCTAACCATGAAGGTCCACTTCACACACCCTTGCAGAACCTTCTCCTTATATCTTTTTTCTTGTTTCTGAGCTTAACGACCAATAAGCGGACAGGAAAACGCCCACGTTCATGATTTCCCCCGGTGGGCATTTGCCCAACTGCCCGATGGTGCCCAACTGCCCAGAAAATGCCCAAATGCCCGACTTTTCCAATGTTGCCCAGCCTATTTTCACGCGTTGAGCCGACCAAATGCCCGCCCAAAAGCGTTTTTGCCCGAAAATTGCCCGATTTGCCCAAATGCCCAATGCCCAAATGGTCACCCCTGAACTCTGCATGTAACTTTGGGATGGAAGCGTGTAGATCATGCTCGAGGTAATTGTCGATGTAGAAATGTCGATGCGTTCTATCCCCAAAATAGCTCCGTTGTAGAGAGATGTACTAAATATGATGTTTCCGAAAGCAAGGATAGAGTTGTATTGCTTCATCGGTTCAAAACTTGAAACAAACGGAAAATTTGAAATAGACAATTTCAAAAAGAAAAAAGTCTTGAACCGTCCGTGGGACGCTTGAAGAGTCCCGGCATCAGTCCACACGTCTGTCAAGGTTTCGAAAATGTAGACTTGGTTCGGGTTGTCGTCCCCTCCTATTTTGACCACTTTTGTGTCTACATTCACGCAGCCACCGTTTTTGCTATTTCTTAACAGTTTTATATCATATTTTCACAATTCAATGTCTCCATACTCTCCAGGATGATCAGCAAGATAGTTCCACCCGGTTGTTGCCGAGTAGTAGGCCACTTGAACGCCACTGTAAGTTCCCACAGCTAAAGGGTACCCCTTGTAATTGGCGAGACAAGCACCATCGTGGTCGTAGCTCGCATCAGAAGTGATCATGCTAACACTACTTCCATCAAACATCTGACATGTCTTATATGGACTAAAGTTGAAGCAAAGATACACTACAAGCATTTTTTCCTGAAATAAGTTGATGAGGTTAGCTTACCAGCATTATCATCAATATTCGCTATTGCTGTTGATTCATCAGCAGTTTTTTCCAAAGAAAGTGCCAAGGAAACAACACCACAGGACTCGATTTTTGAGATCTTAAGAAATCAATTTATCTACGGACACAGTGAAATCAAACCGTGGTCCCGCAAAAAGGTACGTAAACCCTTGAAACAACGTATGCGCGCACTCTTGTAGATCCTGGAAATTATAACTATAACTCCGATCTGCCTTTTATCGACAGTCTTGCTTATAATCTTGATGATTTACTAAAAGCATTCGACTCTTTCCTGGAAGGTTCCATCTTCAGAAATAACGAACGTCAAGTCACGTGCTTTTGCATAATCGTTGTCGTCATCTGTGTACTCAGCAAGAACAGTGAAGTATCCCGAAGCACTCGGTGTTGTTGTCGAAGTTGTTGTTGTCGTAGTCGTCGTGGAAGTCGAAGTCGTTGTTGTTATCACAGCAGAATTACTATTTGTGGACTTGAGAATCACTGAGCAAGAAACATCGAAGGCAGTTGCTACATTGAAACGTAGCGAAAACCGTTTGAATTGAAGCTCCGAAGCTGACAACAACGCCCCCTTCAATTTGACTCCAGTGTCCGTTATTGCTCCATTTTCAAGAATTTGAACTTTGAAAGGGTCGCAAAATGTCTGATAAAATAACGAGCTTAGTTTGACAAAATAATTTATGCGATAATTGCTGAACCCTGAAATAAATGACCTTCTGATGTGACGTTGCAGTCAACTAGCTCTTGGCTGTAAAGTTCATCGTCAGTCACACTTTTAACCGAGACATTCACGTAACTTCCGAGCGTGTCTCCGCCTGAAATAATTTGATATTTTTTGGTAGTAGTTCATTAGCTCCATAGCATGAGCTTCATACCGTTGACTTCGATTTGGATGACGGGTGCATTTTGTTGGGGCTGGCTACCAACGATTTTTTTCTCAGAAATGAGCATCGCTAGAATTTAATCAACGAGTATAGGAAGACAAACTATCAACCTTTCTTCGAGTCATCAATAGAAATTCTGGGCTCGCAGAAAACTTCGCCATATCGGGCGATTGTTAAGTTTGTGCCATCGATCGTCATGCTATGGACTATTTCAGCCGTATAGTTCGCTTCAAAAATATTTAAAATTGAGATTCAAAAGTAAACTCATACTATCAATTTGACCTGAAGCATCTTCATTTGCAGTAAAGCATTTGTAGTACTCAGCAAGATGGGAGCCAGCAACGATGCAATCCCCAGAAACTGTACTTTCGTTATGACTTCTGGCCAAATAAACTCCAGAGAGATCCGACGAAAAAGATACATCGGAGGTACTGTTATAGCAAGCCGTATCTAAGGTGAATTGAGCACCGGTATCATGACATTCGATTGTGAATAAATCACAAGTTCCATGAACTCTTTGAAAAAGCGAAAGCACAGCTAAAAGCATCTCTGCAAGTGATCCAGTTTTCCGAGCGAAATCTAGGGTCATTTTCAAACATTACGACCGCAGATTATAATTGCGACAAGTGATTTAGTCTTTAGGAAATCTGTTTTTCAGTTGAAAAATAACTCAACTGCAGGTTCGCTCATAATAGCAGACGTTATAAGTGTCAATGTTGAAGATTAATAGATGCGAGCAAGTCGGTAAAGTGTTTGAAAATGACAGTGTTTCGTAAAAAATCTTCATTTACCGTCTTTTATTACAGACAGTTTCATATATTTGCTCTTCAGAAACTCATGTGCAAACACAGTCTTCTTTTGCTGACATTTTTGTCTTTTTTTTCATTTTAGATCGCGAAAAAAAACTTACGATGACAGAAATTGGGACAAGTTTTAAGCTTCCAGATGGGAAAATTATCGATAAAAGTTTTGAAGCGTACTTTTATCGAGACGTTTTTGTGTTTATGAAAGAGGATAAAATTGTAGAAGTCAGACCGAAGGATTCATTTTCAGAGGTAAAGCTGATGATAAACAAGAGAAACACTAATTTCAAAAAAGGGAAATTTGAAGGCCTCGTGTCTTATTTGCATGGGAGAATTCTATGAAATCAAGGAGGACACAGATGTTGTTGTTGACGGTGTTGGCTCGTTGGTTGTCGATATTTTGAGGGGATTTTTCGCTTGTGCTAAAGGTGAAATTATCGAAATTTCCAAATTTTTATAAATCGATTTAGAGGTCAAAACAATGCGAGAGAACAAGAAAGCCAGAGAATACGGACAAGAACCTCAAACCAGAACAACAATGGTCAACAACGACGACTACGGAGAGCCATTCAATCCTCAAACTAGAGCTCATGAAGTGAAGCTCGATTGCAAAGGGAAAAATGTCAATATCAGGTAACGAAGACAACGATGAGTAGTAAAAGCATTGACATTTACTCTAGCCGCGTCACGATTGTAAGTATCAACGTAAACAATCAGGAAGATCTGGAGAAGCTTGGCTTTGATCAGCTGCAGCAAAATTATGACGGGCAAAATGGATCCAAGTTAAGAAAGACAGTCGAAGAAAATGTTCACAAGGAAAGGGCTTGAAACTGATTTATATTTTGATTCGTCTTTCTTACAAGGATTGAACAGTTTTTGAGTCCGAAAAGCTCATTGGTCGCAGTATATCATTGGAATCTTCTAAATCCGACATTTCGATTACGAACTATGAACTGAACCACACTGCTTTATGATCTTGTTAAATAAATTATTCAAAAATCCAAAATTTCCATTGCTTTTGTCGGATTCTCTAAAAGAAAAGGAAAAAACCCGGCTGATGACACTAAGAATAAAATGAGTCAATCTTAATAAGTTGGCGGCATACCGCAGGCCGATGTCTCACGGAAAGTCGCTCCTCAACCCTCCTTATATATTTCGTCCAACCGGTCATGCAATTTACAGAACGAAAAAATTGCACTACACATTTTGAAAAAAAAAAAAATAAAAGAGCCTGATCAACATGGCCGATCGAGAGAGAAACTTCCTTTATGCAACAGGACGTAAATCCAAGAAAAATACCCAGATAAAAGGTATTGCGGACGCACCACCTTCATACGAAGCTTGCATGAAGATTACAGCTCACTGGACATCCGGTAAATTCGAGCTATAGAAATTAAATTAACCTAAAATTAGTTCCGATTCCCCGTCCTCCTCCTTACTTCAATTCAATTCCAAGCGAATCTGATTTTGAACCAGCGCCATCAACAGAACCATCTGATGTTCTCCAACGATTTTCTACTAGAAGAAGCAATTTCTGGAGTAAATTGCGTGCCTGCAGTTGTTATGTTGTTATAGCAATTTGTTATATTGTAATGATGATTCTTGTAGCAATTATTCTGATCTGCATCACTTATGTGAGAGATTTGAAAAAATAATCCATGACAACTATTTCCACACAAATCTTGTTGCCTCAAAAATTAAAGTTAAAAAAATTTTAAATAAACCACCAGTGTTATTAAAATATTTTTATTTATTGAAAAAGGCCTTGAAGATTTGTCAAAGTCATTTTGAGGCCAATATTTATTTAGAAATTTGCGTTAGAAACAATCTTCTTCAAAAAACATGCCAGAACTAGTCAGAATCAGAGCCTATAATTTCGAGAGCAAGTTCGAGCTTCTTCTTTTTCTTGATGATTTTCTTCATTTTTTTGCCAAGCTTGTCGTTTGTAGCCTGAGCAGCATCGATTCTAGGAACGATTAAACAGTCTGCAAAATGATCCCCTACTTTGATTGAAGCTCTGTCTTTTGAATATCAAGCTCTTCTTTTTGCTCGTTGAGTGCGTCTCGTTCGGCGGCTTTGCCTTCTGCGGCTTCGATGATTGCCGCTAAGCTTGCGTTTTCAGCGCCAATTGCTTCGCATCTAAATATTTTTGAGAACCTTTTTTATGGAAATGAAACTAACTCTTCTTCGATTTTTTCTTTGATTGCTTGAATTTCTTCATTTTCGAGTCCCAGTCGCTCGATAATTTCTTCTAGTTTTCCCTGAAAATAATTAAGAATAGGGAATCATATTTCTTTTACCTTGATTTCCTGAAATTCCTCCATTTCAGCTTGCTTTGCCTCTTGCTCAGCTTGCTTTTCGGAGATTTTCTCGCGGATCACTTCTTCAGCTCGAGTCATGTCAGAAAGTTTCGTCGCCAATTCATCCCTTTCTTCTTCCAACGCACCTCTAGAATTTTATAAAGGACAAAAACCCTCTTAAAATTTACTTGTCCCCTCCATTTTCGACTGCGGAGTCCCAAGCTCCCTTTAGCAGGTCCAAGGCTTCGTCAAAAGCGGCAGTTGCGTCTTCCATGATTTCTCTTTTTAAAGATTTAAAAGAGATTAACTGCTAGACAATTGTGCGGAATGTCGCTCCAGGTTAATTATTACAGAGTCGCCGTCAAACCGTGCGAATCATTATATGTACATATTTGATGTAGACTTTTAGCACGTTCCGCAGCTTTTTATTATTACCCAAGTAAGGATTTTAAGTGCATGTTGGTCGATTAGGAAAAAATAATTTGGAAGTCGAGTTTTATTTTTCTTGGGAAGACAGTGTTTAGTTTAGATAATCTGAGTCTGAGACGGGTTCACGTTTTCTTGGAAAGGTTGATTTACACCGCAAAGCTGGCCTCGACTGTGGTCTGTTTGCATTTTACGAGTTGTGAATGTGCAAATGTATATTTATGCGGCGTTATGTGGCTGGTCGGAAGATTGAGGCGACCAGGCGACGCGGCACAGGGGCGGCGGAGTTGACATCAGCACCGCCAGCACCACCAGAAATTACACCAAATCGCGCAGATTACCACCGCCCGCCTCCTCTACAGCAGCACAACACAACACTCAAAACACACACGCGCGCGATATCATCTTCTAAAGGGATTAACATCGCCACAACAATTGTCAGACCTTGTACGCGCCGAAAATAATTAGCTAAAGACGAGACCTCATCGGTTTTTTTTTTCTCAAGAAAAGTATAACGAAATTTCAATAGTAAAAATTTCTTGAATTTCAAAATTTCATACTCACTTGAGTCCATTTCACTATTCAAGAGCGTTAGGTATAAACTCGTCCATGTTTACACCATTTCTTGTTTATAAAAACTTCTACGAGCGAGCCACTAGAATTTTTTTCGATTTCCGGTTTGCTCGAGAAATTCCACGAGTACCCATGTATTTACATTCAATTTCCCAGCGTTGTTTATCCCGGACATTCCATTTCATTTCCGATTGAAATTTTTGGTCGGTTCGAGTATTTTAGAGGGAATTTTCGGGGCGCTGAGCCTGGCGCCTAAGATGGTTATTCTGTGGCTTGAGTATTATTGCGGCCATTTAACGGAGCTCGGGATTAGTGTCAAGACAGAGCTCAGTTGTTAATCTGTTTTTGAGCGATTTGTCGCAATTCGTTTTGCATTTTAGATCTGATTGAAGTTACGCAAACTCGAAGAGTGTTTATTTAACCCATTGGCGGAGCAGCAGCTTTGATTCCTTGCTCGATGCTATGTAACTCTTTATCCAGCGCGGGCTTACAAAATTAAATCGCCGTCAAATGCCAACTACTTCCGGGGGTTAATCGAGGGCCATCGAGCGCACAAATAAGCGACCGGCGGTCGATCTTAGCCGGTGACGGCACAAAGTGCCAGTTTTGGCGCCACTTCCGGAATGTAAACCTTCTCGCGCGCCGGAAATCGAAAGGAATTTGCCCGTACCAAATTTCGCAGTTGCTGGGAAATTAATCCAAATACAACTTGATTCCCTGAGAGCTGTGTTCTTCAAAACAGGATGCAACGATTCTTTTGAAATACCTATTTTCAATGCTTTTGGCCCCCTGTGATCTTAAATTGACCGGTTACTGTAGAAAAATGACGAGGAAAAGACTTTTCACATTGAACTTTTATTGAAGAGTTATTTGATTTTTACAGAACGAGTAGTTTCACAATAGAATAATTTTCATATTTTATGAAATAGTAGAAAGCTGTAGCAAGTTATATACAAAAACCATTGGTTCATAAATATTAAAAGTAGCAGGTTAAAATTCACTTCTGAATGCTTGTTTGTCGGGCGAGTTGGGCAATGGTCTCGCGGCTTTTTAGATACAATGCTGTGGCGTCAGAGTAAAGAGAATACAGGTTGTTGGGAGGGAAGGCTCCGACAGAAGGAAGTGGTGATTGAAACATATTGAACGAAGGGTTGAGGAGGGGACTCGTCAGACCCATGTTGAGGCCGATCGGATTGAGACCTCCAAGACCAAGGGGACTCGTAATAGCAGGATTGAGAGAAGGTTGAACGAGTTGGCGAAGATACAGGAGAGTTTCTACAGAGACATCTTTCTGAGGCGTTGGAAGGGATGGAAGGAGTCCAGGGATACTGGTCTGGAGAGTTTTCTGAGCGGGCAGAGGAGAGATTGCGCTCGGAATATTCAGAGCAGGGATGTTGCCGTCAACGCTGCTAGTTTTTGCTCGCTCAGATCCAGAAGTTGAGGATGGACTCGTACTTGTCTGCTGTATGGGTTCGGACTCGACAGATTGTTTGCGAGACTGGGAGGGAACTGTTTGGTCGCGGGAAACTATAATTGGAAGTTCAGGCTTCGGTGTCAGCTCAAGTTGAGGTGATGCTGTCGTTGGCTCAGTTTCGTCATTTGAGACGACATCGATTTCTTCCTCATCAACGACTAAAAATAGGGTAAAAAGCTGTTTTTGTGTGAAGAAAGTTTCTTACCAGATGAGTCGAATTTGCAAATTTTTGCAGGAGGTGGCAAACTCTCTCCTAGCGCTCTCTTTGCCCGTTCCATTTGGCCTCGGATGATTGAAGCGGATCGTTTTTTGTCTCTTCTGATGGAGCCTGTATCGCGGAAGCCCTTAGCAAAGGGGTTGTTGTCGATCTTGAGTCTTGTGATCTTGTCGTTTTGGTAAGCAGTGACGGCGATGAACTCCATTTCGGGAAATATGAACGACCTAAAAATGAAAATAAGGGGCTGCTTAGCAAGTTTTAAAAAACGGTCGTTTTGTTTAGCGTAAACAAAAAAATGGGATGAAGAGGTTGATTTTTGAAATTGGCTCGAGTGGGTGTTATCAAGTGGTTCACGTACTTGACAAGGTTGGAATTCAGGAGCGAGGGGTACTGGATCATAGATGGGTCGGAGCATCGAACCAGTTGGAAGCGCGGCTGGTACTTGTGCATACTGTTCAGCACGGTCTAAATGCTGCAATTAGTAACTTATTCTTTTGCTGGAATTCTTACATGTCCGCCCGACTCGGCAATATTGTTGGTAAGCTTCATTTTTCGAAAGCAAATGTTGGGCTTTGTCATCCAATGCTCTCCCGAGGCAGGCGAGTCCGGATGCGGAACCCACTTCTTCTGGATTTCCGGATCCGCTTTTCCGGCCACCATCCATCGCGAATTGTGAAATTTGTATCTGTGATCGTCTGCCGGCACAATCTCCATGAAGAGGCAGTATTTCGCGGTCTTCGAGAGGCCAGAGATGCGAATCTGAGGCGAAGGAAACATTCTCCTGAAAAAAATCGAGGTTAGATTAGAAAATCAGTTTGTTTCACTAAGATTCTGATAAGATAGCAATTTACGAGAATATTTTCGGCGGTAATTGTGGCGGTACGATTGGCGCCAATGCGGCTCAAAAATGAAATCGGGGGATGATCCGGCGGCGGGAGACCTCAAATTTGCTCAAAAAAGTATTTCTCAGTGTGCTTATAAGTGCCATAATCCCCCAGCTCATCGCATTTGTCCGGTTCTTATTCGGAAAATCGGTTTCTAATTAGATTTCCGCACCGTGTTTCCGGTTTGAAAAAGAAACGAAGTGAAATCTGAAACGAGTCTAGTTTCGACTATTTTTAGAAGCGCATTCATTTGAATTTGAATATTTGAAGAAAAACGAGAAAAAAAGGCGGAGTTTGGAGGTGCCGTCTGTCTAGTAATCCTCGGCGCTTTCCGGTGTTGGCGCCAACACTCGGAAGCTCCTCTCAGAGTATTCGCGCGCTCCTGATCGTCCGGTGAACCTAAGTAAGTTGCTAAACCCGCGCTTCCGAGCCCCCGGGAAGCCATTTCACCTTGTTTTGCGAAATCAGGTTTTCAGAATCGGGGAAAATGAAAACATGTGAGCTACGTCTAGCCGTTCCAATTTCAACCTGTAATAAATGCTTCACAGTTGAATGAATCACACGTGCGAGAGCGTAAATTAGCTAAAGAATATATAGTTTTTTTGCTATTCAAATTGCCTCTAATCGAGGTATTTTAAAGTGTCAATCGAAAAACCTATTCAGGATACGAAAGATTATGAAAGCCTTTTAACAAGATAGTGAGAATCGTAGCGAGTCGATAGGAGTTAATTCTAGTCGAGGTTTAGTATCATAAATTGTTAGCTTTTCAATTTGGGCTGAGACTTGGCGCTGCATACTTTGTCCTGGCGCGCGCCACAATGTCGCTGAAATTTCACACTGACATCAAAATTAGACCAGAAATCCTCTGGTACATTTTAAAAGGATTACAACATGGGGCTTAGGTTTCAGATTCAGCGGTCAATCTGACGCCTCCAATGCTCTATGCTTTCAAAAGAAAGAAAAGGAAAATCTAAGTCTATTTTTGAATAATTTCTAGTATGCTGCAAGTCCTTTTTTGGCACTTGCAACGACAAATTAGACCGTTTAATTTTGTTTTAATAACATATATAAACACTTGAATCAAATCAGAATCTGCTTTCATTTTATACAAATGCCTAGTTTACAATAAATCCGGATTAGCACATACCTTCCGTTTTTAGTGATGACCATTTCAGTTCCGATCTTCGCGAATTCGTCCCAAAGATCTTGATTTTCCAGCGTCGCAGTTGGATTGTCGTCGACTTGCTGCCCGTTTTCTTGCAGCATCTTGTGATGGAAGTTCTGAAGTGCTGGAGGACCAGAAACTGGGGTCCCCAAAAAGGGCCTCTGAGATGCAACTGGAGGGTGGCGGGAGAGAAAGGGCGAGATGATGCTCATCCTTGGTTCTTTCTGTATTTCTAGCTTTTTGGTTTATCTCTGTTTTGTTTTCTTGTTTTTCTAGCTCTTTTGGATTTTTTTTTCTTTTGTAATTTTAGTGTGATGTGTGAGCTGTAAGATGTTCTATTGAGTAAAGATTGCTAGGTGTCGAGGGGAAGCGCGGGGCGAGAAAAAGTGTAGAGCAGGGAGGTGGCGCTAAACTCACACGCTAGGTAGCCCAAACGTGCGAGTTGAGATTGCGACGGCCGCCGATTGGCGACCAGCGGGCTCTAATCGCGGCGCCAGTGCGTCGCTCCACCCAGCTCCACTTTTGACACCACCAAAAAAGGGGATCAACGCGCGCTGACGAGCTAACTAACACTGTCCGCAGCACCCAGCCTGGCGCCGACGCCTCGAATCAGCGGATTTCACTTGATACCCGCTCTGAAAAGACGGGGGTTTAGGAAGCCAAGTATCATCGCAGGAAGGAGCCTAAATCATTCCTTGCATAAGATTTCAACGAAAAATAAGTCTTTCAAGCAAAAATCTTTCCCTTTTACTTTCACGGTCGATATATAGTAAGATATATTTTTCAGTACTAAGAAGACTGACAAGATTCGTTTACATTTGCGATAATTATTGGCCCCAAAACAAGAAATCGCTTTATCTACTTGTTTCAATTAATTACTCAGCGCCAGAGTGGCACCTCGAAAGTGCTAATATTTACACCAGAAATTATATTTAGTGTATTGTATTGTGGTGATACACGACAGGGAGGGGTGCGGGCAGCAATAATGCTGGTTAGATTCGGCCCTCCAGATTCTCGCGGGGACGAGAGAGATACTTTCCAGGCGTCAAGGCGGCACCAACAAGGCGCGTACGCACCACCACCGCACCACTGCGAGAAAGCTTATTCTAGAAACAGAATCATTAGCTGGATGAGCTACAGAAAATACTCATTGTCGCACTACGAGAATCTCAGCTCCCAATTCTGCCGGAGTCGCAGTAGAATATTCTGATGGATATTATTTACAGCCTATAAAACAGGTTATGTTTCAGTACACTTGGCCTCATTTTACGACTTCCTAAATATGTTCATTCATTGTGAAAAGTTGCGTGGATTAGGTGGAGCGGATTTACGCCGCAAAAAGCCAATCGAATGATGGCTAATCCACGAGCTATGAAAAACAATTCACTCAAAATTGGAAATTGAAAACTGAAAGTTTCTCAGATCTCCATCCAAAGCTGTTTCTTTCCGAAGAGCGTGTTTGAAAAATATCAAACTTCAATCGACTTGGATTTACGGATGTGCCTTTGTTATCACTAGACAAGCTCAATTTTGCATTCAACAAAAGATCCTTCAATCCAGCTCAATATTGCTAAAACAAGTCAATCTTTGATTCAACAATTCAACGAGTTAGAGTCTCAAGCTCATAATTAGGTAACTAAGGCTGATATCTGATGAAAATCTCGGTCGATTTCCCGAAATTGGGTGTTATTTACTAATGCGCGAAATTTTAGCCTGAGATAATTGTCAACGATCAGATAGCGATCGAGGATGAGTTTACAAATCGAAGTACCTTCTTCTCAACTCCATTGACCTCGATCTGCTACTTGTTTATTTGCAAATTAGACGAGCATGAAGAACTCATCTGATTTTGGAGGAATTCTTAAAACCATCTTGTTTATATGTTAGTCAAACTATATTGTAAGCCTAACTAATGTAAGGAGCAAAAAGGAACGCCGACTAATTTCATCGATTAAATCGAGATTAATTAGGATACTTAATTTTACAAGCGTAAAGATTGTACCTTGAGCTAAATCGGAACGAGGAGTATTCTCATTGTTCCAAAAAGAATTCAGAGCTTCTTAGATTCACAGAAGAATGATTTCATGAAGTTACCAGATGAAGCAAGATTTCTTGTTAAAATTAGTTTTTAGCAACAAGGCAATTCTGACTTTTCAGCACATCTTCGCTCGATTCTCCAAAATAAACATTAAACGACAACTAGCGACTTTGATTGGAATCACTTTTCGTTGTTTTGGGAACAACGCTTGGGACACATTTTCTTGCCCACTCTGACGCGTGCCAGAGACAGTGGCTCTTGTGTATTGTAACCACGAAGAGCATCAACACGAGCAGGGCGAGAAGTGCCAGGCTAGATGGCTATCGCTCTTCGTCTTTTTTTTTTTCTTGGCACGGGACATTTTTGGTGCTAAAAGCCACAACAACACTCGGATGAAGACTACCAGGCTCCTCCTAGTTTGGTACGATCGAACATGATTATCACTTTCTTTCTAGTTGGTAAACAAACAAAAAATCGAGCTGTGATAGAATCAACCTTTTTTCTTGTTCTTTTTGGCAAGGATTGTTCAAGAGGAGGCATTATAGCCAATTATCGGCCAAAATCGAAATGAAAACTGTTCATTTTTTTCGAAAATGCACGATAGATACACAAGAAGCGGGCGGGATAAAACCTGGAGTGCCAGCTCGCGAAGCTTTATTTTATCGTCGGCGCCAGATTAGGCATCGTTCCGACACCCTGCTTCAGAGAGGAGCACCGAGACAGACTTGTCAGATTTGACACCGAAAAAAGAAAGCTTATACATTTTTGAAACTAATATTATTCAACAAGTTGGAGAACAACTGGCTTTTTTGAAGGTTAAATTTACAAAACGAATAGTTAGTCTTTTGTGCTCTTGGAGATATATCTCGTAAGAAGGTCTAATTAAGGGTATCTGCCGCGCGTTTTGGTGAGATTTGCGGTGCGCGAGAACTTGCACCCAGATGCTCGGTGTCAATTAGGCCTCCACTTGAGCGTTGATAGAGCGAATACTTCCGGTCTCGGAGGCCGCACCCGCCCTGCCAAGACTTTGAACCGATTGTCGCACTCGCATATCTAGGAAGCGAATACCCACTTTGATGTGGGCCCCTTTTCCTGTGCACTGGAAATCGTGCACACACATCAACCAAAGATACAAATTCCACACCCCTCCAAAATGTCCGATTTGAGAAGAATGCTCAAAAAAGTTCTTATTTTTCCATCAAAAGATGCTCTTTTTCTGGAGCAAGAAGAAGTCGTCTTTTCAAGAAATGCGGTAAGAAAATCTTGGTTTGCGTGAATTTGCGTCTAACAAGATGATGATGTTCTAAACGACCACTTGTAGGGTTGGAATTAGCCTGAGCATGTATAAAATGTCAATGCTTGCGCTGTTGATCGCGTTGAGGAAGTGCCTTGTGGTCTAGACATCCGGGTAGTAATCGGAAGCACTCCACCGAGCTCAGGTTCACATTTCCCAAATTCTTACCCATTTTTTTGCCCCGTGAGATATTCTTCGCGAAATTTTGACAAATTACCCGATTACATGACAGTTTCCGGTGTTAATAATCTCCCCCGCAATTAGACAAACAACAGCCCTCACGGTCAAATTTTCTACCGATTTCTTTCAAAACCCCTGTCACGGAAAAAGAGCCAGACGGCGCCCGGCAGGAGGACGATCCAAGCGGATCATTATTATTGAGACTGAGGTGGACGAGGATTTTTGAAATGTGATTATGGTCGAGGGCATCGTTCCTGCTGACAATGGTGCGTCGAACATAATCCGTGACGGCGCAGACAGACTTGGCAACTTTATTTTGACCGACAAGCGTATTTTCTGGAATTGAAAACGATTCAGCTTTCAAAGTGCAGTTCTCAGCTTTCTCTTCTTTAGATTTTATTTTGGCAAATATTGAGATTATTCAAGGAAAAAATGAAAATTATTGAATCTTTTTTTTTTGTTATAAATTCAAACTGCCTCCTGGTTCAAAATATTTAGTATTCAGTAAACACATTTGTCCACTATTTCTTTCAACAATCTTGAGCCCTAAGAATGCGCCTTCCCAGGCTAATTATCTCCTTTTTCGTCGCCTTGGCGTCTGTAATTATTCTTTTTCTGGAATATCCACATGTTGGTTATTTCTTTTTCACTTTCCCGTTGACCTGGGCTGACCCAGAGGCGGCTAGTAATTTGTGAATTCAACATTTTTAAGTTGGCACTTGGCGGGGTAGCTTCTTCAAGTGCCCAAAATGGAGGATGGAGGCGCGGCCGGAAGTGGCGGCGACTTGACACCACCGCCATGGCGCCGCCGCGGTGTAATATTTGTCGCCACTACCAAGTAACCGGTCATTTCAAATAACGAGCATGTGATGACTTTCTACAACATTACCGGAAGTACCCCAGACGTCTAAGGGATTCAATTTCGCCACCGCTTATTTTGACACATATTTATGCAGCAAGGACTTACTCATCTTTGAAATATTTGAATAAACTTTATTCATGAAATCTATTCCAAGATATTTTCAGATAGAAACAGGATAAATCATAGCAGTTCTATGATAGAACTATTTAATTTTCTTAGTCAACGATTGGTCTTTGCACGAAGGTGGTTTATCCGCTGGAGATAATTCCCCGACAGGACCTTGCGTTTTCTTCTCGCTAGCTGGCACTGGAGTCGGACAACCCCAAATGAACATTTTTTTGACGATGAATTCAAGTTCTGAAACTGTGGCTTGGAATCTCTAGTAGTTGATTCAAATCTTTTCAATGGTTTCATGACCGGTTGGGTAGAGTTTTTATGGAGAGTTTGTGAATCATTTTCCCTTCATTCGTGTTCAAACTTGTCGAGGCAGCGTTGGAAAAAACCCACTCTCAGAAGACAAAAATGCGCTGAAACACCAAGAGTCAATTATCTACAGACGTCTTGAAGCTTTCTTTATCAATTACCCATGAATGAACAAAAAGGGAAAATGTTTCTGATGCATGCGGATGCAATTGATCTATTTGTTGAATTGAGGCGATACCAACCGTTAAAATTCACAAATTTCCAAAATAATCTGATAATTTACACTTCATAATCTACAGCCATCAATCTGCTGTGTTCCAAAACTTTTGCAATAAACTCTTTCTCATAGAAAATATTGGTATTTTCATTAATTTTCATTTAAGGGTAATGGTATACATCGGCGCGGCGCTGCTCGCTCGATCCGCGCTCCGCCAGAACCTATTTCTCACGAGACCGTAAAATCTGAACGGATAAAGATTTTTTCGAAATTTAAAAAGATTCTGAATAATCAAAATCACCTCTATTAACACAGCAAAAATCGTAATGATTGTCAACGAGGAACTATCTGAAAATTGCCAGTTTCCTTCAAACGACATTTTCTTTGACATTTCTCATCCAAAATTTTTGAAAATTAGACTGTCTTGTAAAGAATCGTCAGCTCTACAAATCCTGTTTTTCAGATTTTTGTTTTGAGCTTTCATTAATTTTACATCGCAATTTGGAAAGAGCGCTACTTCTTCTCCCGCCTCTCCGCTCTCTATTTCTCACGCCACGCCTTCACAGCGCTGATTTCAAGGTCGCTTATTAAAATCCGAAGAGCTTGAAACAAAAATCTGAAAAACAGGATTTGTAGAACTGACGATTCTCTACAAGACAGTCTAATTTTCAAAAATTTTGGATGAGAAATGTCAAAGAAAATGTCATTTGAAGGAAACTGGCAATTTTCAGATAGTTCCTCTTTGACAATCATAACGATTTTTGCTGTGTTAATAGACGTGACTTTGATTATTCAGAATCTTTTTAAATTTTGAAAAAATCTTTATCCGTTCAGATTTTACGGCCTCGTGAGAAATAGGTTCTGGCGGAGCGCGGATCGAGCGAGCAGCGCCGCGCCGATGTATACCATTACCCGAAAGTTTTCATTAAAGAAAACTCTAATGATCGTTTTTTCTTCACTCGTCAGATCTGTCATTTGTCGCGCGTAAAGGTGAAAAACCGCGCTGCCACTCGACAAATATTTACCACAACCGGACGGTACATCATTCTTACTGGCGCCAGGCGGTGGTCGCATCATTCACCACGGCGGCACTTCAAAAAACGAGACTCACACGAGGCAGAAAAGACTGACAAATTTTTCTTTTACTAATTATAACTAATCATGCTAAAATGTTTTAATCCGGAATAGCTCTTTCATCCTCGCTTTTATTTCAGTTGAATAAGTCTCATTCAATAAGGCCTTTTTGAGTACAGTATTTTAATTGAAATTATGGATGATCTTATTCTGGCCGCAATTTTGCCGCCCTGAGAAAGAAAAAAAAGACGAAGCATTCGACTTCCGGAAGTGGTTGCGCGAAAGTAGATCTGAAGTGGTCAAGGGATGATCCCGTCCGGCACAAAATAATTTATCGCTTTTGGCCTTGCACCAAGGAGAGTGTATATTTCACCGAGCGGCCGTTTGATCCCTCAATTACGGTTTGATCCGCCGCGACCGCGCTCAGACAGTCTAATACGTGGTCAACTTATCTGACAGAAATTGTGAAACATAATCGATTCTTGATACTTTCGAAAGTTGAATACAGCAGTTTTTATGCAACAAAACGTATATTCATTCTAGAGCGCTATATATAAAGCTATTTTCGACTGCTCCCCAGGACTGGATGGCCGAGCGGTCTAAGGCGTTGGATTAAGGCTCCAATCTCTTCGGGGGCGTGGGTTCGAATCCCACTTCAGTCAAACTTTTTTCCTTTTGAGCAAAGACATCAACCCTTTTTGAGTCTTTGCTTGTCCATTTTGATAATCATCAGAACTCGATAACACCCACGAACGATGCTTTTAACGAAATGTCTTTGGCTTTAATTAAATAATGACCCTGCCACGCAATAATCCCCTCGGATAAGCACAGGTAATTTCGACTTGTCTGTCAAAAAACAACTTCCCACTGCCCAGGTCCCTGTCAGCGTGCGAAACTCGCTGTCTTGTTTTACATAAGTCCAGGCATTGTCAAGTTAAACGACCGGCAATTAGTAAATAATCGGAAATAGAGAGCAAGCTTATTACTTCTTCCCAGCGTATCATCCTGCCAAAATACTGCTTTCTGACCAATATTTTTTGAAGTCATAGAAGAAAATGCAATAGAGTCTATTGAATAGACACTAACAAATGAAGAAAATATCAACCTCCATCATTCAGATTTCATAATTTATTTGATAGTCTTTCAATCTTTTTCTCAAGTCAGTATCTAAGCCAGGGTTCAAAATCACCTCACCTAAAGGTGCACCTTGTTCAATTTAGGTGAGGTGCAAATTGTCACCTCACCCACCTCACCTAAAATTTTTCAGATTGAAGCTTTTTTAGGTGCACCTAAAAGGTGCACCTTTTTTGAAATCATCACCTCACCCACCTCACCTAAAACTTTGAAGATTTGGGCCTTTTCTAGGTGCACCTAAAGGTGCACCTTTTTTGTGATCATCACCTCACCTCACCTCACCTAGGAATGTTTTGATTTTAGGTGCACCTTTTTTCTCGGTGAGTTGTTTTAAAGTTTGAAATTAAAACTTAGCTGTTGATTTCGAGTTGTTTGGTTATACCCGGCATTTTTACTGGGCAACCCGCAGATTTTTCAACGGATTACTCGCGCGTAGAGCAGAGTTCGAAATTTGTTGGCAGTACTGCCACGACTGCCACTGGCAGCTGCCAATTTCGGCAGTCACTTGGCAAGAGCAGCTACAAGAGACTACCCGCGGAGAGTCTTTTCACGGGCTACCCGCTCTACTAGTTTTATCATTTCTGCCGAGTAGCTCGCGATTACCCGCAACCCTTTTTCTCGAGGCAATCAGACGAGCGAATTTTCTTCTTTCTAGGCGAAATTTTCGCGAGTAGCTCGCGATTATCCTTTACCCATTTACTCGATCTACTCGCGCGGAGACTCGCAGAAAAATCTGCGGATTACCCGGAAGAAATTTGAGAGTAACTTCAAAGGACTTGAAATCGAAGTCAGGAGCAAAATCCGTGCCCACACTTGATCAATTATCACCTAAATTTCACCCACCTCACCTAAAAAAACTTTCAAAATCCGTCTTTTTAGGTGCACCTAAAAGGTGCACCCTTTTTCAGAATATCACCTCACCCACCTCACCTAAAATTTTTCAAAAATTTGCTTTTTTAGGTGCACCTAAAAGGTGCACCTTTTTCCAATCTATCACCTCACCCACCTCACCTAAAATTTTTCAGATTTGGGACTTTTTTAGGTGCACCTAAAGGTGCACCTTTTTTGTAATCATCACCTCACCTCACCTCACCTAAAAACTAGGTGATTTTGAACCCTGATCTAAGCTTTCAAAAGAGTCAACAGAATCATCATCCTCTTCTGTCAAAGATCTTCGCATTTGCCCCTTCACTTCTTCTTTAATTAATTTTCTGTTGAAGTCATCTCGTAGAGCAGCATCCAGACTTGGGAATCGAAAGCTTTTTTTACGATACAGAAAATTTGATGAAAGAATTGGATCATCTTCATCACTAAAAAAGATTTATTTTGAGGTAAGTTGACTTTATTCTTACAATTCTAGCTTTTTCGATCGGTCGAGCGTATGAAAACTGAAGCCAAAGATTCTATTCTGATGAATCGGATCGTACAAATCATCATAATCCGGCTTCGTCCTCAGCTGCGCAATTGCTCCAGTAGCGACAAATCTTAGCCTAGCTTTCTCCAAGTTGTTCAAAGTCGGCTGATTCGTGATTGTTTGGACTTTTATTCGATCTCTTCCGTAGATGTCCCGGACAAATTTCGTTAGATTTTTCGTCGTGTCGAAGTACTGGGAATATGCTTCTTTGGAATATGGAAATTCATCAGGATTTTTCTACGATCGGATTTTAAGAGCTTTCTGATCAGTTGAAATCAGTACCTTGGAAATAAAGTCGGTGAAAAACACTTGCGTGCCCATTTTTCTTGAGCTGACTTTAGCTAACCCAGCGGAGGCCAGTTCAGAGTCTTTATTGAAGTAGACGCTGTGAAGAAGCTTGTGCACGAGCACGTGATTCTCGTCAGCAGCACCTGGAAGAGCAGGGATCATCGTTTGAGCATTAATTTCATGTCTCTTCATTGAGTGCTCCACTTTAATGTCTTCATCTGTTCCATAGCAAGTTTCGACGACTTTTCGATCGTAAAAACGCACTGCATGAGCGAAGCCAGTAACTGTGATTCTGAACCCTTCTGGAGGTGGTGGTTCTTTGGAGAAATAATTGACATGGTGGATCTCTTCAAGCTGAAAATTTGATGCCTCCCCACGATTTCCGACGAGGCGGAAATTTTCGTAAATTTCATCGCAAAACTTCAATGTATCGGTTTTCAACAACACGACGCCTGGTGCTGAGTCTAGTACTGTCCCTGTGAGCCTAGAACATACAGTCAGAATTGAAAGAAGATCTGAGTAGAACCTTGCAAATGTAAAATGTCTTTGACCAGCTGCTTTTAGTCGATTCATCGTTTCTAATAAAGAAAATTTTATTACTAGAACGCTTTTAAATTGAGCTTTTATATCTTTTAGTATGAAATGAAAGGAGGGCGAAGGAATTGAGAATTGGCAGAATGAAAAATTATAACGGAGTTGGGTTATTTCCTCAAAATGTCGATTTTGAATTTGGCGGCGGGGATTTGTGTCACTTCTACAGTTACATGAGCGTTTACTGAAAAGATCAATCATTGCCGAAGAAAACGGAAAACTTACATGTAAGAGCGAAGAGTGCGCCACGTAAAAGTCCACAAGGATAAGCCAAAAACTTTGGCGCGTCTGTCAGATACTGTTTACCACTGCTCAACGATGTCAAGGTGCGGAATTCACTGTCTTGAATCACATAAGTTCCAGCATTATCAGTCTAGCGATAGAGATGAATAGATAGAAGAAGGAAGTTGCCTACTTTTAGTGAGTTTGCACTGCGGCGAAAACACAATTCCCAGAAATCGCGGCAAAGGAATCGAAGCACGTCAACTTCTTCCTTGAATCGTGGTCGGTCTTTGCACATATTCTCGCACAGCGATATCCCAACCTAGAAAAAGAACATCAATTTATCTCTTCGGGATCAGATAAACCCAAACGCTAGTTCTCTCAGCAGGGGACGAGAATTCTCCGGGCGGTATGCTCTCCCACTGAGCATCACTGTGCGCCCTCTTTTCAGGAAATTTTCGACAAAATCGGACAAAAACAGTCAATATCATAAAAAAAGAATTTTAACTACAGAAAATAATCCTGGTCTGGGACGGTCAAAAATACGCCTGGTTCGGGACGGAGAAGATTCATCGACCGGAATATTAAAATGCCAGATACTGCGGGATCCTCACGGTTTTTGAACGAGCAAGGCCGTAAGTTTAGAGAATGGGTTTCTAACAGAGAAAAACAGCGAACTTTCACCGTAAGAGAGCTGCAGCTTCTACTTGTGGACTATTCTGAAGCAATGGACTTCGAAAAGCATGCTAACCATATGACGATCGCCCGGGATATCATCTACAAGACCATCAAGTATCCGAAAATTTCTCGAAAGTTCGCCCTGGATAGCCTTTTGGTAAGTTTTATGTTATAAATGTCTATTTATCGCAATTTCTCAGCCTCTGATGACGATTGCCACACAGAACGATTACAAGGAAGCACTCAACTTCAACTGGGAATGCCACCGCCGGGAGATGCTGAAGCCGATCGATGGCTCTGAAGACAATTATGGCCGTCGACGATTCTACACGAAACGAGAAAGACAAGACGAATGGTGAATACGCAAATGGCCGAAGCAATGAAAAAAATAAACTGTATCGACTCAACATACCACTTCCCAACATATGAACACTCCATTGAATGAAAATAAATTGAAAAAAATTATAACCCGGCTCATTAATATTTGCAGAAGAGAATCCTTTCCGTTCAATCACTTACAACTCACCTTGTATCCAATATCCTCTAGTATAGAAATATGCTCATCTTTATCTGCACTGAAACCTTTCCAATCAGCAAGCTCATTGTGAAAAAATTCGAATAGCGCGTACGATTCCATTTTGATCTAAAAACGAGAAAATCACGGCCTGATTCAGACAGAGAGCGGAAGAAAAGGGTGTTAGAAATCTAAAGACTAATTCCAGTTTTAAAAGATTTCACCAAAAAAGAAGAAAAGATGTCAGTTAGGAGGTTTAGTCGGGTCAAACATGGGTATCACTGGAGCAGATGGAGCTGTTTTCGCCTTGGATTTCTTATTCATGCGCATTGGATTCGATGTATCTGACTTTGCGATTGTCTTCGGAGGATCATTCCAGCCAGCGGTAAATTCTAAGGCTCCATACAATAACTTTCTACGAGAAAAGCTTGACCTTTTTTGTCAGGTGATGGACCCGTTGGAATTTCTTTGGGAGGCCCCCGCTCGGACATTTTTGAAGGCAGAGGTGGCATCGGAGGCATTTTAGACATTCTAACAAATATACACATCAACAACTTATTTTCTGATAGGTAGCGAGGGAATGGCGGAAAAGGCTGAACTGAAAACGATTTGTTTGAAAGTTTATTGCACAGTTATTTTATGTTCACAAGTATCGGTCCATTTTTCTAAATCGAGCGAGCTGTGTTCCAGAAGATGCTCGCATGGAACTTGAGAGGAGCTCATCAGGAAGACGTTGGTGGACATTTTGGAAATCGCATCGCCATTTTCACAGAAAATTCGTCCAAGTGTTGTCTTTTCTATTTCTCGGAGTTGTTGCGGGCTGAAAACAGTTAGTTTCCCCTTTACTTGAGTACCCAACCTGAATTCACCGGGCCTTTGATACCAAAATCGATCTCCGCTTCTCAACTTTTTAAATTGATCTACCAAAAGACATTGTAATGTAGGGCCGGTTCTTGTCCCGGGAATAGTCTTCTCCAAAACAAGCGCCGGGAACAGTTCTATATATTCCACCTGAAAAATTATATGATGAACACACCTTGCCGATTAGAAACAATATACGTACATTTGAATATAATAACTTAAATTTATCTATCACATCTGTATCAAACTCATTTCGTAAGTCGTTCCAGTCTGACAAAGGCGCCAAGCCACAGTGCTCACGCCACTCAGCGTAAAATGGAAGCGCGTGATCTCTGCCTCGTTGGATATTCAGAGCACCTAAAAGAGAATATTTTATATAATCTTCTGTGTTTTCAAGACGTTACCTAAATCAAGCGCTACTCTGTCTGAAGACTCGAATAGCCTCTCTATTAGCTGAGGATTCATGGGACCATTAAGTTCCATTCGTTTATCTTTGCTTCCAGTAAAAACAAGCCCTCGGATAATCGGGTCGATTCCTCCTCGTTTGAACAATTGGTAAGGATTGAAAAATGCCTTGTACAGCGGAAGGTCACCGTATTGCCTGTGAGGCTGAAGATTTTCATCCAATCTTTTCACCACTGGTTTGATGAGACTGTGGCCAAAGCGAAACGCAGCAGTAGCAAAAACGTTCGTCACGGAGGGATTTTCTGTTGGATTGTAGCCAGTGTAATTGCCGAGTTTTTTCATACCCTCCTCGCCGAGAATTTTCGGCAGCCATTCTGAGTATGTTACTTTTTGCATGATCGCGCCGATGATTTTTCTGCTCTCAAGATATTTCTCTTCGCCAGACCAATGTGGGTTAATTTCATGAAGACGCCAGGCGATTCGATTGTGCTCGCGTAAGAAAATCGTATGCATCGTTGTAAGGCCAATTTGTTCATTTGCACGAGCATCGCCTGCCATAAAACAAGCCGTTCTAGCTTCTTCTGATGGAACATGCTCAATTATTCCCCGACAATCCATTTCAACAGAAGCAGCATTCGCGGGGCCAGAAAACGGGAGCATTCCTTTTGGATATTCTTCAGTTCGCGTTTTCAATCTTCCGAGAGGATCGTTATCCATTCGAAGATAATTTGCCTTTTCTAAGTCAGAGCCGTAGACATTCGATGCGTCGATGAAGGAAGTTATTGAGTTGATTTGCTCACGACGAGAGAAGGAATCAACTAAAAGACTAGAAACGCCTTGAAGAGGGTTTAATAAAAATAATGATCCTTGATACAATCAGATAGATAGGACCCTAGCCTGAACCACAGACAGAAGCAGAGCGAATGAACTCAAGACATCCATGTTGAATTGTGTCGTGATGAAGCCTGTCCGTTTCGAGCGTGGACTTCCTGATTGGAAAGCACGGAGCAGCGTTGGTACATTCATCCCGACATAGAGTGTTCCTCCCAAAATGAGTAGAAGAAGGACTCATGGCCGTAAGAGTGATATCATGATCAAGAAATTGTCCCCATTGCATGAGAATCCCAGTGAAATCTGGATCAGGCTCCCAGGAATGTCCTTTGAGCAAAACAAGGGAGACTTCTCGTGAAGAGGGAAGGGGCTTTGACCCGTAGTTGATGTCATTCCAGCCGACTGGCTCGTTGAAATCATTTTCGTAGATGGGTTTTAGAATTCGCTTCAGAGGAGTGGTCGCAGAACCCCAGAGAGGATTGTTCAAATTGTTACAAGTGCCGAATAAGGTTTAACGAAAGCAATAAAAAAGAATACATAACTTATGTTACATAAGTTATGTAACATAAGAAAAAATATAATTGAAATTTCTTAAACCTTTACCCATCAACAGTTCGATACTTCTTATGAAAGCACATATTCTCCTCGCAGTTTGGCACAAGTTGATGCTCATCACAACCGGCAAGTTCCCGGAGATCGTTGATATCTTGCTCTGTCAAATGATTAGCAACTTTTTTGATCTCTGCATCAGGATCAAACTTTTCTGGCTCCAAGTTATCAAGAGCAAGTCGAACAGTTTCTTCAAAGATCTCAGCTGCTACTGCTTTTTTCAGCCCGGGGCGAGAAGGAAATTTTGCTAAAGCGAAGAGGGTACGAACAGGTACTTCTGGAGTTGATGAGTCTTTTTTGAGACGGGCGATGGTTTGATTGACAGCTTTTCGTACATTTGCAGCTGCTGTGACTACGATTTGTTCGATTTCGGGTCCTCCCATTAGGCCAAAATCGTGGATTCTCTCAGCGATACGGTTTGTGGAAGTGCTTCTTTTAAAAATAACTTCTATTGGCTTTGATTGAAGCCCGGCGTAATTCCGTCCATTGCAAATGTAAAGACCTGCATCTTCTTCTCTTGCTTCAAAAATGATCAGTTTCTTATCAATAACAGAGTAACGCCCGCCAGAAATGATCTTCTGTTGGTCTTTTGATAGCCACATGCTTGGAAAAGGATCACCGAAGACATCGCAAGGGATTTCGACGGTATCGCCTTCAAACGAGTTTCATACTTGAAAAATCTTCCTGACTAATTTCAAAATGTCATGTTTTGTTGAACTCGAGCCTGACTTAAAGCTGATATCGACCGTTGAAGATAAAATTACAGGCTTGACTGGCTTTCTCATCTCTACTGTCGTCTCGCCAGAAGCATAGCCGTCAGGATTTCTAGCAGTACAAGTGTAGACCCCGGCTTCTTTCTGACCCGCTCTGTAAATTTTCAGCGTCGATTCGACTGTATATCTATTAACAGAGCCGGTTATTCTCACTCTTTTAGATCGTTTTAGTCTCTGGCCATCTTTGAGCCAGGTAACAGTGGCTCTTGGATTCGAAACAAACTTGCAGGTAATAACAATCACTCCACCGAGATATTTTTCTAGCTTTTGGTTGTTATCAGAGAGCAAAACCGGCCAAGAGAGAACTTTTAGAGTTCCAGAAGCAGTAAGCTTTCCTTCCGAAGTTCTCACTGAACATTCGTAGACGCCTGAATCATCGAAGACCACATTTGGTATCTCAAGACCAACAGATGTTATTTTAACCCGGTCTGAAGCTTCAATATCGATTCCGTCTTTTGACCAGGTAATTTGATGATCAGCGGCGCAGGGAAAAAATACTGGTGCCCCAAAAGGAACAGTCACATCAGAAGGCTTTCTTCGAAAAGCATCTTGGAGGGCTTGGACAAGAGGAACAACTTGCTCTTCGCAATCGGCGAGACTGACCCCTTCAATAATGTTCATCGACTGTCTTTGCTGAGGACTCGCGCAGCTTGCCTTGGGCATTTCTTTTAGCGAAAACCTTCCAGAAATAAAATTTGTGAAGGGTTTTAGATCGCAGTCACATAGAAATGGGTTGCCGTCGATTTCCAACTCGTTGAGATGATTGAGCTCTCGGAACATTCCGGGCTCGAGGGACGTTATTCGGTTGTGTTCGATATTGAGTTTCTCCAAACTTTTCATATGGGTGAACAGATCTGTGGGGAAAGAACGAAGCTCGTTTTGATTGAGAAAGATGTTCTGAACTCTTTGGATGGAAATTATTAACTAGAACGCGGACGGAAAATGCGCTGAAATCAAGGAAGAGAATCTCCAACATTCCTTGAAAAGTGATCAAACGCTCCGGGCTCAATCGTCTTGATGTTTGACGAAGACAGGATGAGTATTGATACACTATCTACGTTTGTGAAGGCACGAGAGGAGATAGTTGGGAAGTAGTTTTTACGAAGATCGAGGATTCGGCTTCCTTCTGGGAAAACATCGGGAATAGAGCGTCGTCCGCGACAGATGACGGTACTTTGAACACATTTGCATTTTTCTGGGCAACCATCCGCTGTCAGAATAGGTAGTAACAGTGATACTGCCAATAAACGGCCTATCATTCTGAAAGAAATAAGTCTAGCAGCCATCTTGGAACAATAAAGCAAATTTTGAGGCACATTCGTGAAATCAATAAGGGGTAACTCAAAAAGAATTTGAATTTTAAAAGAATAAGAAACAAAAGAAAGATCAATCAGGAATCGGCGTTAAGAAGTACAGTAGCACAGAGAAAAGTTGATACAAAGTTTTTCCTGCGGATGGTTGAAGAGAAGTCATTTTGTGCATGATTTAAACGTTGATAGTAAAAATAAAACTTGGAATGAACAAAGTAACCAAATTAAAAAAATAATTTACAATAAATTATAAAGCGGGTCGTATAAATAAAAAGGTCTGTGAAGAGTAAAATTACTCTTCGTTCGTCTTAGCATCCCAAACAAAGAGAGTTTGATCGTCTCCACCGGCGGAGATGATAAATTTGTCGTCGCAAGTCCAGCAAATTGATGTCACGGCTTCTCCGTGGCCGTAATGCTAGAATAATAAATGAGCGAATGAAGAAAGATTCGTGAGCAAGAATGATTCTTAGGATTATTTGTAGGATGAGAATGAAATGCGAAAATTCTGACGAATAATAATTTTTCATTAGCTACAAACTAAAAACTGATTGCGCTTTGTATTAGAAACATACCCAGTTGACTTTTGCCTTTTGTTTCTTAATATTTTTTATATTATGTCTTGAATTAATAGACCCTTACCATCATTCCTCCCATAGTTTTCGGCGGGAATTCCTGGAGTTGAATGGATCCTTGATCATCCCCCATCGCGACATATTTTCCTGAAGTCGATACAGTGGCGCAAGTTGAGTTGAAAGGAGCGACAAGGGGATGGCGCGGGCAGTGGAATGTTTGCCATTTGAGCTGAGGAATTCGAGGATCTTCGAGGTCGAGAATTTCTGCCGATGGAACGATGCAAATGACGAAATCGTCATTGTCCAAAGCTACAGCAGCGAATCTAGAGAGCAAAAATAGGATAAGAACAATGAGCACTAGACGTACTTTTCGTTCTCTGAGAAGTCGACTGAAGTGACAGGAGCAGCGAGGCCTTGGGCAAAGCCTTCTTTAGCAAGTTTGAACTTGTTTTCCTGGTCGATTGTGAAAAAGATCAGGTTGTTATCTTGTCCTACTGCCACTTTGTTTCCGATGTTCTAAAGACTGATCAACAAAACGTTTTCTATAAGCAAGAACCTGGATAAAAGTGATGGGTTTTCCAGTATCTCTTCTCTTCGATAAAATTCGTTCGTTACATAACACGAGAATTTCCCCATTCTCTAGGCCGACGCAAATGAGCGCCTCGTCGTCAATATCCTGAAGATAAATTAAGCGCTCGTTAGCTTGAGCAAACACGGAAAACAAGGATTCTAAACGAATGAGTGACTTACTGTCAAGTTCAAATATCGAACAGCGGTCACACCAGCGGCAAAGTGGACTTTTTGAAGAAGCATCTTTGATTCAACATCCCAGACGCGCAAGGACCCGTCAGATGAGCCGGAAGCGATGAGATTTGCTTGAGTTGGATTGGCACAGACGCAGTTTACTCGTATTGGGATCTTAGATTCGTTAGACTCCCTCGTCCCCTAAGGTCACTTGCTTATCTAGATCGAGCTTTGCTCGGTCGCCGCCGTGTATTTCTCTCCATTCGGTAATTCACGCAGTTCGTGAATTAACCTCTATTTTACTCCAGCTCGAAATACAGACGTCAAAGATACTTTACTCGTTTTCTTCACTCGTCCAGATATAGAGAGCAGGCAAACTACGCTAGAAGTGGGAGATTCAGCAGAAGCTAGGATCCCTTCAGTGGTATCAGAGTAGTCCCGTTGGAGAAAAGGTAAATTTTCCGCCATCGACAACCGAAGTTTCGCAACTTGGACGCTGATTGGCCGTCAGCGGAGTCGAGGGGAACCGAATCACCAACCGCCACCGCGCCGCCGGAGAAACTCCACTCAGAGAATTTTCCGCGCCGCACCACACCAACACCACCCCGAGCGAGCGCCACCACACGAGCGCCACCACGACCCACGCGCCGAAAGTCGCGCCCACGCAACCACGCACGCACGCCGGGGAAAACCTAAAATACTCAGAAAAACAGAATTCTTTCGCCACTTTTCACCAAAAATCGAGAGAAGTTTACGAAGAATCGACCCTTGGACCAGACCTTGAAATTTCGACAATCGCTGGACAGAGAAATCGTCGGGCGTTTGCGCAAAAGGCACCTCAGCTCATCATATTGCGACTTTTAGTCGCAGTATTTTCTGAGGGCCTGAAAGGTAATCCAAGGCCCATAAACCCTTACTGCCGATATATTTCGAGCTATGGCGGCGAACAAATCACTGCTAGAAACCGTCACCGAAATAAGAAGCATAAACGATCGAGTAAACTACCTCGAAGAACAAGTGCGAAATGACGAATCACTTAAGCCAAGCCTAGAGCCCTTGATCACAGAAAGCAGAGTAAAATTAGAACAGCTCAGTACAACGCTTCTTACCTGCGAGCTCGATCAAGGAAAAGAATCTACGAATGCTACAATGAGAGAAGAAGCATGGGTGGCCACTACCTGGTCTCGTCACGTCCAAGACTTGCCGAAGCTGGACGCCGCATGCAACACATCTTTCAACACCTTCTTGGGCAGAGCCGACATTTATCACCGCGCCTACGTCCGCGACAGACCTTCACGTGAACAGCCTTTCATCGCAGCAGTGTACAGCCACTTCGACTTGAACATCGAACGCTCACTTGGAACCGAATTTCTGAATTGTCAAGACTGGAAATCGGCCAAGGCGCTGCTAGAGAAATCATTCGCCGCGAAGAGTCACTACTTACTGAAGCTAAGCGAAGTTTTCGACGTCGAATACGACCATTCGAAGCCGTTTGCACACTACACCGCCAACGTCTTGCAAAAGATGAACGAGGCGAAGCAAGCGACTTTGAACTCTTACCGACAAGAGAAGTCAGCCGACGCCGGGGTCGATGAAATATTCGACATATTCTCGACGATGATGCTGTACTTGAATCTTAGGAAAGAAGAACCAGACGTTTTCAACGCAATCCTTCCAAGCCTATCAAAAGTTTACGATATCAACGAACTCTGCCGTCTCGCCCAATCCACAAGACAGAATCGAGTTGACAGCGCGACCGTCTCCCAGCACTTCAACAGAAATAAGAACAAAAAGAAGAAGAATGCTAAGCGCGCCAGCACCGATTCTAAGGATGGGAAAGACGATAAACAACCAGAATCCAAGAAGATTAATACGACTAAGAACGTCGAAGATTTCCAACCATTCGATGTTCACTTTTACACAGTGAAGAAGAAGCGACCAGGAAAGGCTTATTTCGCTTCGGCTACCATCATTACGGGCTCTAAAAGTTTTGACGTATCGATGGAAGTCGACAGCGGAGCCGAGTCCTCCTGTCTGTCCGCTGCTTACGTTCCCGACAAATTTCTCCAGATGCTGAAGCCCTGCCCCTTCAAGGTCACCGGTTTCAGCCCAAATATCCCCGCCGAGCAGCCGAGGGGTATCCTTCCCTGCCGCTTATCATTCAATGGTGGCCCTGCATTCTCCTTGAATCTCACCATCATGCCAGGCAGTAAATACCCAAGTCTACTGGGCCGCGATATACTAGAGAATGCGATGACGGACAGCTTCACAGTCGACAATAAGAATCGTACTCTCTCATTTTGCTACAACGAAGCCTTCACACAAACTGAGACTCAAGTGGTGAAGCTGGACGGAGTGAAGCGGACCAAAATCAAGAAATACTTGACGACTAGATCAGCGGTCAAAGACAGCGATCGGTCCCGCACTCAACCACCACGAGAAGTCCCAAAGCTGGACGCGCCGAACAAGAACGCAGCCAGGTGCCCCATTCAGCTAGCGAAGCAAAAACTCGGAATAACCCTACCAGCAGACGCAGACCCGGGGCAAAAGAAGATGGTCGCCGAGCTGTGTTTGGAATTCGACGACAGATTCGGCTGCGACGGTCAAAAAATGGGTGAATTCCCGTTCGAGATCGAAATCCCGACTGATGGTACGAGTCGAAACATCAGTCAACACCCGATTCCGCAAGCTTTTCATGGTCAGGTCAGCGATCACATCTCCGAACTGCTCGAAACGAAAATAATAGAAGAGATCAAAGACCAGAAAGGGTTTAACAGCCCGGTATTGCCTATTCCTAAGAAATCTGGGGAAATGCGCTTCTGCATCAACTACAAAAACAGCCTGAACAAATGCCTCTCCGACAAATCCGACCCTTACCATCTCCCAAGCATGGAGGATACGATTGCGAACATTGGACCGGGCAATAAGTTTTTCGCCACAGTTGATCTACGAAGTGGATATTGGCAGTGCCCTGTAAAGAAAAGCGACAGGTACAAGACTTCCTTCCAGTGGGGTGGGAAATCTTACGCCTTCTGCAGACTACCATTCGGTTATCGATGCTCGGGGAATATATTCTCGCGCGTCGTAAACACAATTCTCGACTCAAGCCCCACCAGGAAAAAGATGCTTTCTTATATCGATGACATAGTGTGTTTTGGGAAGACTTTCAGCTGCTATTACAACACTCTCCGAAACCTATTCATCGCGCTCCGCAAGTTTAACGCTAAACTCAAGGGCGAAAAGTGCTCTTTCCTACAATCCGAAGCTCACTTTTGGGCCGAATCATCAACGAAGATGGAATCAAACCGGACCCTGCGCAAGTCTCCGCTCTTCGTCAGATGAAACCCCCACGCTCCCAAAAGGAGTTAGCTTCATTAATCGGGTCATTGAATTGGATCCGAGGTTTTCTAGAAACGAAAATGGGCGAAGCTATTTCATCCGGTTGCTTCTCGAGCAGAATGAAGCCCATAAACGATGTTCGAAATTCGGCGAACGAAACAAATTGTTTCAAGTGGACCAAAGAAGCGGATTTGGCGCTCAAGGAAATTCAACGACGACTCTCCGAGACTCCAGTCATAAGTTTTCCTAACTTTGACGAGTCTTTTCATCTCTACACAGACGCGAGCCTGTACGCAGCGGGTGGCGTCCTGCTACAAGAGTATGGCGGGAGAGTGCACCTAGTAAGCGCGATTTCCCACACCTTCAACAAAGCTGAAAGAAAATGGAACACTTCAGAAAAGGAAATGTTTAGCATTGTCTGGTGCTGCGAGCGACTGGAAAAGCTCCTGAAAGGTAGATTCTTTCAGATTCACACAGACCACCGATCTTTGATCTTCCTACACAAAAAGAAGTTCAAGAATTCTAAAATAAGCCGATGGCAAAGCCGATTGGAAGAATTCGATTTTCACATTGTCTACATCAAGGGATCAGAAAATCAATTCGCCGACTTTATGAGCCGCAGACCTGGCGAGGACGACAAATCACTTGGATACGACTCTGAGTTTCCCGTTGGTCGCGAGTACGAAATCGACAAGAATTCACCAGTACGTGTCTTCGTCCCTTTCTGGAACGAAAATCAGTTTCCGGAGAAAATCACTTTATCAGAGGTGAAGATACATAAGGTAAACGTCAAGGCTATCGCGGCGCCAATGGAGATTCCGTTGGTGTCAGCGAATTATAATAACATTCTGGACTATCAAAGGGAGGACTCTGCTCTGAGTGCAATCATCACTTTTCTGGAATCTGGTAAGGAGCCACTGGACATAAAATCGCTGGTGAAGGACTCCGACCACCGACAATCGTCTCTACTCAAGATGGAAAAAGCTCTGTTCCTGGATAACACTACCGGGTGCTTGATGTGTCAATTCAAATCTGGCGCGCGGGCGGTGGTACCGGAAGCGGTAAAAAGTCACTTTCTCTTTCTAGCTCACGACTTGTCCGGTCATCTGGGCGAGCCGCGGACTTTAGAGCGATTAGAGGACGTTTGGTGGCCTTCATTTCAAGACGATGTTTCTAACTACGTCCACAGCTGCGTCCCTTGCCTACGCAGAAAAGGATCTGCTGGAACTCGTACCAAACCGCCACTTGGAACCCTTCGTCGTGGAAAAACAGCTGGCGAATCGATTCAGATCGATTTCGCTTGTATGCCTCCCGCTGGCGGATTCAAGTATTATTTGGTGGTGGCGGACACTTTCTCTCGCTACACTTGGTGCATTCCGACGCGGTCCGACACTGCTATCTGCGCTGCAAAAGCGCTCATCTACAAGGTCTTCCTTCCCATGGATTTCTTGCCGAAACATCTACACAGTGACAGAGGTACCCACTTCTGCGCAAGCGTGATTGACGAAATGTGTAAGCTTAACCAGATAAAACATACAATAAGTACCGCATTTCACCCTCAATCAAACGCTTTCGCAGAAAGAGCGAATCGGACTATCAAAAACAGTCTATTCTGCATGGTCAACTCATCTTCCGGTCGAAAAACTTGGGCCGACTGCGTTCCCCACGTGATGCGCGCGCTCAATAGTGTGAAAAACAAAAGCACGAAAATTTCACCGCGAGAAGTTTGGTTTGGCCGAAAAAGTACTTTCACCCACTCTACTGGCGCAGAAATGACAGCGGAAACACCTCAGGTGTTTGGTCTCAATGTGGGAGCTTTAGCGAAATCGGCGGAAGCCATTGTGAAAACTGCGATGGAAGCTGCTGACCGAGCCATGGAGCACAGGCTGAAAAACGAGCCTAAGCCGAGACCAATCCCCGCTGGCGCTGTCGTGTACATTAAGCGAGAAAACCTGACCGACGCTAAAAGCAAGAAGGAACGCTGGGTAGGTCCCCTGAAAGCCGTTTCGAGCAACGACTGGGTCGTCATGGTCGAAGATAAAAAAGGACAACGTGATTTCATCCATCGAGAACACGTGGTTCACGCCGCAGAACGAAATCACGACTTACGCTGGATTGATTACTACGAGGCCGAGTACGTATTCCCACATTTAACCGAAATCGTTAAGTCGAAAGTCCCACAAAAATCGCCTGTTCCTACTTCCAAACCGATGGAAAAGTCCGGGTCGAAGTCGCATGGGGGGAGGAAATCTTCTCAGGTCGCGTCGACTCCGATGGTTGCTATGGAAAAACCGCCAAGATCATCTCTATCACCTATTTTGGAAAGTAGACGCCGATTGGACATGGAAAATCTGGGAGATACAACCGCTACATCTATTTTGGACTCGTCGGTAGCTCCAGCCGAGCCGTCAGATCGCTGGTACTCTGGTGGTACTCTTTATGAAACTGCCGAGGACATGTCAGCTGATGCTACAGTGATTTCGGAGGTTGCTGCGCCCGACAATAGCCATATGTCAGTCGATAAACAAAATTCAACAGTAGTTGAGGGCTCAGCAACTGAAAACAGCAAGAAAAGAACCCGTCCAAAGTCTTCACCAGATCGTCAATACTCAGCCGGCGCCGATCCGAATGCGACTTTAACCGAAGTTGGAGCAGCTCATCTCCCGAAACATACAAAACGAGCACACCGTGAAACGAGGCCCGTCGAACCTCTAAACATCGGCACAAACTCGGGTCAGTCATACGACTAAGCGCAAGTACTGCCCCACTCAGGTCCCCTATTCATCGACCGGGGCCTGAAAAGGTACGGAAATTATCACAGTTTACCGTCGCCGACGTATTTTGAGTTCTTCTACATGTGCAGCTACTCCTTCATGTCATCACCGCTCGGACATCACGAAAACTTCGCATCTGATTCAAGCTTTTTCCCAAAAAAGGGTTTTTTAACGCGAATCAGACTGCCTCGACGTTTCGAACCTGCCATGTTACTCATCTTACGCTTATACTCCTGCAAAAATCACACACTTTGGCCTTAGAGGACGTTTCAGTCTCATGGGGGGTATTGGGATCTTAGATTCGTTAGACTCCCTCGTCCCCTAAGGTCACTTGCTTATCTAGATCGAGCTTTGCTCGGTCGCCGCCGTGTATTTCTCTCCATTCGGTAATTCACGCAGTTCGTGAATTAACCTCTATTTTACTCCAGCTCGAAATACAGACGTCAAAGATACTTTACTCGTTTTCTTCACTCGTCCAGATATAGAGAGCAGGCAAACTACGCTAGAAGTGGGAGATTCAGCAGAAGCTAGGATCCCTTCACTCGTCCTGGCGCAAAGTGGCCCATTGTCATCATCGAAACTTATTATTTTTATTTTCGAAAGAAAAAAAACTCTCTTACCTTCGCTTGTTTTTTCGTTTATCACAGCAACGGCGTTGTCTTTTGTTCCAACAAGGATCTTTCCTTTGACTCGGGCAACAGCTTTGACAGTTACGCTTTCTTTAGCGTCGTTCTCGATTGGAACATGGAAGCTCTTGCATTTCTTCATCTGACTATCCCAAAGCTTAATTGCGCCGGAGGAAGACTTTTCTTTGCCACCGGTCACGATCAATCCGTCTTTCAAAGTCGTGAACATGGCAAAAACGGGACCATTGTGAGCTCGTTCGATGATTCTTTGCGCGTTTGAACCTTGCCAGACGATGACAGCTCCAGTTGCCATTCCAGTAAAAGTCATATCGTCAGTGCCAAACGCCAAGCTCAAACATGTGCCGACTTGATTGAGGTTCAGACAACCTGGCTGGGCTTTTTTACAAAGCAAGACAGAACCAGCAATTTGCCAGAAAAATAGAGCGCGTTCACCGACAGTCACGAATTTCGAATCAGAATCTGGTCGGAAATCTGCTTGGAAAATTTGACGAGGACCGGAGCATTTCGATGCAACTTTCTGGCCAGTTTGCCAGCGGTAAACGGAAACTGTGTGTTCGGAATCGAGTGACGCGGCGAGGATGAGCTTTCCAGATCCAGAGAAAGAGACTGCGGATACTCCTCCTGAGAGACCAGAGATGATCGAAAGCGTCTCGGTAGTTGACTCATTGTCGTCGATATTCCAGACATGAACGCTTCCTCCAAGTTGACCAGTAGCGACTACAGATCTATAGTTTGGATGTTTATTCTGCGTCAGGCAAAGAATATCGTCGGAATGTTGGTCATAGAAGAACTGCTCTTTGGTTTCCATATCTTGGACGATCGCAACGCCAGCAGCGTGGTAAATGATCCGCGAAATGGTATCAGGGCCAGTAGCAGAGAGTTGAAAGTCCAGATTACAGCGAGCATCATATCCTCGATAGCCGAAAACATGCTTGAGTGCGAGAGTGTCGATTTTATTGTCATCTTCTGAGTTGAAATTCGCCATGAAGTTGAGCTCGTCGCCTCCACGGGCAAAATGCGTCCTAGACTCTATTGGCTCTAGTTCGATTTCAGCTGCGTCGCCCTTGTTACGTCGCTGTTCTCGTCGGTTATCAGAGTTTGTCTGTCTGTCGTAGTCGATCTTCATCTCTTCGTCGACGTCGCTATCGAAGAAATCATCATCGTCGTCAGTATCTTCGTCATCCGACTCGTGGACTTCCTTGCTTTCAGGTCGTTGCCAGATCATCACGGAGGCGTCTAATCCACCAGTGGAAACAAGCTGGCTATCACCTGCTGTAAAGCGAACTTTTGTAATGTGCGAAGAATGGCCGGTGTATTTCTTGCATTTCGCGTGCTTTTCCATCGAAGGATACTTGAACAGCTTCACCATTCCAAAATCATCACCAGTAGCGATGATGTTCATATCTCGATCAGTGCAGGCAGTGTTAATGTCTGTAACATTCGTATATGCAGGCCAGATTCCCTCAACTTCTGGACCTAGAACAGACGTCCACAGATGCCAGGACATCTTCGCAATGGTTGCTTTATCAGGAGTGATTCGCTTGCAGCTTGGAATTTCATAGAACAATCGCTCGCTTGCGCCGGAGTTTATTTGAATGATTTTGCCATCGGTAGTCCAATCTACGTGAGTAATGTAGCTAGAGCTTCCCTTGCAAATTCCGATTCGTTTCTTCTTCTGGATCGAGTAAACATCGACGAAGTTTTCGTGACTGCCAACAGCGACGAATCTGCCAAAAGGATCAAACTTGACATCCGAAATATTCTGCTTTCTATGTTGGAATTCTTTCACAATTTCCAGTGATTCTGCCTCAAGAAGCATGACTGAACCATCAAGGAAGCCAGCAACAATGATAGTTCCGTCGGGAGAGTAAGTAAGAGCTCGTCCAGCTTTGCCAAGCTCTTTTGCTGCGGTCATCTTTTGGTTTTCCACATCCCATACTCGAATGCTCTTATCGTCAGAAATCGTAGCAACGACTTGTTCCTCTGGATGAGTGGCCAAGCCCCAAACTTCGCCCTGCGCGTGTCCTTGGACGAGAACTTTGATCGGTCCTTCCTTGTCAAGTTCCATCAGCTCACCGTTCTTTGTACCAGCGATAAGGAAGTCGTCTCCCATGATGATTGTTCGAATCGATGGATTATCCGCAATTAGAGGACCATGCGAGTCTTCGGAGACATTTTCCGCTTTGACCTCGTAATCTCGTTGCTTCTCGGTCATGTCCTGGTCCCAGAGATAAATCCATCCGTTCTTTCCTCCGGAGAGAAAACCCTCTGGCAACTTGCAAAGCGTAAACACAGGGCCTTCATGTGAGTCGACGACTCGCTGGAGTTGATTTCCCTGCCAGCAGTAAATCTTTCCATTTTGCCCTCCTGAATAGAAGATGCCCTCGTCTTCGCCATGAGTGCCGCAGAGATGTGAAGTTGTTTCTCCGTTTGAGCCGCAGATACCTCGCTTTCCTTCAGCGCTAGCGCCAACAATCTTCCAGAACTTGATATGCTTGACTCCAGTGGACACAAATTTCAACGGATCATGTGGATCAGAGAGGACGCAGAAGACCTTGTCTTTCGACCCGTTGACCTTGGAAACGCATTCTCCTCGACGCCAGTCCCAAACAGCTATAACATGCTCGTCCGAGAGACCCACTGACAATAGTCGTTTTCCGTCAGAGGTAAAATCCAATGCACATACGCCCCGTTCGTGAACGCCGTTGAAGATCGAGATGGTCTGCATCGTGAGAGCATCCCAAACATGAATGGCTGGGTTACGCCCGATTTGACCAGTGGCGACAATGTCCTTTAGAAATGGTTAAAAAAGTGTGTTGAAGAAGAGTAGTCTGAATTGGGTTACCGCTCCGCGCGGCCTCGCTACATTGATCTCACATCGCTGGTCACCGGCTAATCCCAATCCTACTCGACACAACTGTCCCTCCCGAAGGAGATCGTCCAGGAAATGTGACGAGCGGAGAAACAATTTCTGGTTCCCGGTAGTGTCTTCCGACACCAGTCCCATCACGAGACTAACCAGCCAGGGTGAACCTGACTGGTGACCTCTCAGACCTTCCCCGGGTGCAAATAGCCCCCGCCAGCAAGCTTACTTCGACGGCAATGACGGTTTATTTCGCGGTTTATAAATTGAATATCGCCGGGAGCTAGTAAGCTGGGGTGTTATGGTCCCCATTTCCATCAAAGTTGGGGATGCGAAATTTGGGGTTAATTTGAAAACTGAGCACCATAACACCACCCCCACCAAGAAATCCCCCGATTTTCCTTTATAAGCCCCAAAATTGACCCTTCTCCCCCATCAAGGCCGGAAGGTTCGCTGTCCGGGGCCGTTTCGGCGGCACCGGGGGAAAGTCCCCAGTCCCGTGGCGGAGAGCGCCCATCCCGAATCTGGGATGAACGCTGCGTAGAGCCGAGCAAAGGCAGCGGTGACGGACTTGTCCGTAGCTGACGGTGAGGTAGCGTACTCGACACGAGCGAAAGTTATGCGAACAGCCCGAAAATGGTTTGGGTGAACTCAATGGGGCTTACTCTTCGGACTTGTATCTTTTTTACCATTTTCCTTGGTTGGGTGGAGAGTCAGGGATAGAATATCATCTGTGTGTCCATAATAAAATCTTTGCGAATGCTCCTCTCGGTTGTAAACGATTCCAAGAGCTGCGGAGTGAAAGACGATTTCGCCAGCTTGAGTGTATTTGACGTTCTCTCGGCAATCGTGGCCTCTGTAACCTGCACACCATTTCAAAGTCAGACTGTTCTCTGGTGCACTTGGGCGCTTTTGGGAAACTCCTTCAGTTTTGGTGCTCTCGGACTTGAGTTGAATAATGTCTTCGTTGTACAGATCACGGGAATAAGTTTCTTCCATTTCCGCTTCCAGATCTGAGTCTACGTCGCGATCTGGATCGGATGAATCCGAATCCTCTGAATTAGAATCGATACCAGAGTTCGAAGCAATGTCATCATCGTCGCCTTCGACAACTTCTACACCTTCGTCAATGCTTTCAGAGTCACCGACGAGCTTCCATTGAAAGAGAGCATGATCGGCGCCGCCAGTTGTAAGTAGATAATTTCCATCTAGAGTCCAGCGCACATTCGTAACATGCGCAGAGTGACCATTGTACTTTCTGAACTTGGCGCCACGCTTGGAAGCTGGGTAACGGAAGAGCTTCACGAGACCGAAGTCGTCTCCGGTCGCGATTAGGTCGTTTTCGCCACGCTTGTCTACCGAGTTGACATCGTTCAATTGAGAGTACTTCGGAAAAACTCCATCCACGTTTTCACCAACGACGCCTGTCGTCGTCGCCCATTCCAAGCCTCCAAGAACTTCTGAATCAGTCACGTGTTCACCACTAGCATCGTAAATTAATCGCTCTCCCGCTCCGTCACAAGCAGCGATGTGAGAAGAATCAGCTGACCAGTCAAGTTGAGTGATAAACGAGCTAGCCTTCGCACCAACAGCCGTATCAGCGTAATCATCGGCGACGGTGTAAATGTCGATCTTGTTGTCGTTCGATCCGACCGCGAGGAATTCACCAGATGGCGAAAATGCGCAACAATGACGGGCTTGTTTTCGATCATGAATGGCTTTCACCTCGCTCATGTCCTCCGCGTTGTAGATTTTCAGCGAGCCATCTTTGAAACCAACGGCGATGGTGGAACCATCAGGTGACCAGCAACAGCTTCGAGCTTCAGCCTCAGCGTAAGCGACCAGACTTAGCTCGTGAGCTTCCAAATCCCAAACGCGAATTGATTTATCATCAGAAGCTGTCACCGCTTTCATTTCTTCCGGATGCGAGGCGAGGCCCCAAAGTTCTCCTTCCGAATGCGCTCGAGTAATCCAGGTGATTTCTTCATGATCAGCGTTGAGAACAAGAACATCAGATTGAGATGTTCCTACGAGAATTTCACCATCGTCGTTGATGCTCAAAGATCGAATGTAACTAGTCGCTAGTTCGGCTTCTAGCTCTCCAAGTTCGATCTTCTTCGTGATTTCCAACTCGTTGTCGAGCATAATGATGCAACCAAATTTTCCACCAGCGATGTATCCGTCAGCGTAGGAGTGAATTGAGTAAATTGGTCCAGGCGCAGCGTTCGGAAGGGATTTGACGAGGTTATTTCCTTCCCATGAGTAGATGGATCCGTCCATCGTTCCGGACAAGACTCGGCCAGTTTCGTTTTCACGAGTGACACAAAGAACAGTTTGAAGGGACCCGTTGTCTCCAAAGACACCTCGTTTCGACTTGAGCGTGTTTCCCATCAAGTTCCAGACCTTGATATGCTTCACGCCGACTGTATAAAAGCTTCCATCGTTGTTTGGCGTGAAGCAAGAGTCGAAAATGCGATCCGAATGGCCGGAAACGATACAGAGTTGCCTCGCCGATTCCCAGTCCCAAATTGCAACGAGACTTTTTGGGTCAATCCCAACTGAGAGAACTCTACTCCCGCATGTAGAAAAACCAACGCTTCCGACACCGTGAGTGTGGGTTCCTTCTTTCTTGAGAACAGATTTCGTCTTCATCGTCGTGGTATCCCAAATGTTTATTTGGGGATCTTTTCCAGTTTCGCCAGATGCAGCTAGCTTCTTGTTTGGATGCATTGAAAGGCAGAGAATATCATCATTGTGATGAAGGTAAAAAGCCTGCTTTTGATGATCTTGAGAAAAGACGATTCCAGTCGCTGCAACGAAGTAGACAATGTGGCCTTCTTCATTGAAATGGCAGTTCGACCGACACTGGTGGCCTCGGTATCCGTAGACCCAGTTAAGCCGGAGGGATTGATCTGGTACTTTCTTACTCATCCCCTTTTGACTTCTGAAAGAAATCGATGAATGAAAAAAGGGACATTTCTTGCGAGACGGTTTAAATAACAATTATTTATCAGTATCTCAAGCAAGCTGTGGAATATTTGACAGTGAACGTTGAAAGAAATAAGGAGCTGTACAAAAAGTTAAACTAAAATATTTATTTTCCTTCGTTTCTATCCTTTTAGCTTTGGCCATCGCTGTTTGATGTGATCAGCTGATTTGGCAGTAAGCTTCATGCCAGCGGCAGGATGAGCTCCTGGCATAACCTTTCGCATGTACACTTTTTGCGCGAAATCCTCGCTGCAGAAGAGAATTTCGCAGTCGTATTCTTTCGACGGTTTCCATGTTCTTTCATAAAGCGCCATTCCGACTTCTCCTGGCTCCTAAAACGAGTTATAAAAACGAAAAGAAAATTGAGAACTTACGATATCCCAATACATTCCACGGACGCTTTCTGACGATTTATCAACAAAGCTGATTTTTACCAATTGAGGCGATGAATTTTCCGGATCATCCGTCTCGAAGAAATCACCTGCTTTCAAATTGTCGAAGTCCAAATGCGCCTGGTACTTCGGCTTTGCTGCTTTCTCCGCTTTAGCCTTCTCATTTGCTTCTTGTTTAATTTTCTTTTTCTCTTCAGAAAGGCGTTTTTCTTTTCGTTTTTCTTCGTCAGTCTTGACTTTTCTCTTCTTCTTCGGAGGGCTTTTCGCTTCTTTCGCAGCCTTTTCTGCTTCTCTTGCCGCTTTCATCGCTCTTTTCTTTTCCTCCCTTTCGATTTCCTTCGCTCGACGCTTTTGTTCTTTGATGATTTGTTTTTCTTCGAATTTTTTCAAGTCCTGCTCGAGTTTTCTCTTCTTCTGAAGCTCACTCTTTGGCCCGGGCTTTCTCATTTCCTCCCTCTTCGGATCATCCTTTCTCGGTCTTCCAACAAATTTCGGCTCTTCATCTTCGCCCATCATTTGAATCACCTTTTCTCTCTTTCTGAACTCTTTTTCTTTCTGCTCGATGATCTTCTTATCGACACCTTGTTCACGAGCAGCTTCGAGTTCTTTGCGCTCTTGTTCAAGCTCTTCAAGTCGAGTTTCTCGCTCCATTTCAGTTTGAACTTTATCTCTTTTTCGGGGGTAAACATTGCTGAAGACATAGATGAGAGCTTAATGAAAGAGAGATAGAGAAAAACTCTTCCAGTTTTCCTTATTTTTAGCCCCGCCCTGGTAATTTTAATTGCCCGTTGGATATTGCTCTTGACGGTGTTATCGATTTTCTTCGTCCAAGGATCATCAGAATTGAAGGATCCAATTCCCTCATCCTCGTTGCTTTCACTTTCCGCTTCACTTTCAGACTCAGCGCGCAACTTATCCTTTCTGACGTGCCACTGGCCCACTTGTCCTTTTTGGATTACTCTGCTTTCTACGTCAACGACAAACGGTCTTCCGCGTTTTATTTTCGTCGAGTTGGCGATCTCCACTAGATCCTGTAAACCAATTTGTTAAAATAATCAAATTTGACCTTTGCCGTTTAAAATTACCTTTGAGGGGTAGATACTCTTGTTTCCCTTGGGAAAGAAGCTTTGTTTCTCAACAAGGTGTTTCTGATTGAAAGTTTCGACGGTTTGATGCTTCCGCACAACAATTTTTCGTTCTTCTTTGCTCGGGCTCACTTGCTCATCCTCAGGTCTATCAATAGTAGCCACTGCACATCTAGCAACGCGGGATGTCTGGGCTGCATGGCGAATTCGCTGTCTTCGATTGTAGATGCTATTTTCATCGTCTAAACTCGGCACACCGGCGATGATCCGTTCCGTTTCTCTCGCCCTGTCCTGTAAAAGAAAATATTTACAAAGTGAATCAGATCGGTCTTATTTACGATTATACGCTGTCTTGTGCGGTCGACGATATCTGCCGGATTATTGACGCACTTGTAGTAGATCATATCCGCATCAGGAGGGGTACACTCGTGAACTCGTTGGATCGTGGCTTTGTACGCGTCAAACGTCATTCGTAGATTTTGCACGGCGAAGGAAAGCGACTCGTCGAAGTCGCCCTTATTGAGTTTTTTTTAAAGTTTTGACCGTGAAAAATACCGATATTTCGTCGACAACATTCAGCAGCGCTGGACTAACTTCGTCAGAATTAATCGCGTGTTGCCAAACATCTGATGTTCCAAGGAGCTTTTGTGTATGAGTTGTTGGAAATTCAAAAGCTCTGGAGGGAACAATATCAGAAATAAACATGAAATTCGAGTGTTTACCCAAGATGGTGTAATTGCCAAAAGACCGCATAAGTGTCCCTCAAACCGTATTCATGGAAGCTTTCCATCGCAAATTCGTAAAGAATTTTGTATTGAGCAGGAGTCATTCGAATGCCGCGCTTGGTTTTGTTCGTCTGAGTTGTATAAAGAGCCAAAAGCATGTAGATACAGGTTGATCTCACCAAATGATCCGCCTAAATCGACATTCAAATGGGGTTTGTGCCACAAACTTTGTTGGAAAAACGGGCGGTGTTTTCGAGAACTGGGTGTTTGATTTAGCAAAAATTCTCTAGATGAGCCGGCGTGCTGTTGTCTTTTGCCAGAATTTGATCAGAGAGAGGTACGCCTGCTCCTTAAAGCAGGGTCCAGAAAGAGTGATTAAGAGGTAAGATTATTGCAAAAAGAACTTTTGATAACGCAAATTTTAGAGCATTGGCAACATGGACACAATGCAGAGCTGAAGCTCTTCTTCACTCCACCGATCGAGGAGTTCTCGCACTATCTCGACGGAGTCAAGTCCAAAAGGGGATTGGCACACGATTCGATTTCGTAAAAAACGAAGTCGTTGAAAATAACTGGGCGACATATCCAATCACCACGAACTGTACAACAGTTACAGCCTCGTATTCAGCTACTTTCTGCCAATAAAAGTTGGCTGCGCCAAATACAACCCTTATATTCAGACCCTTCCGAAAAGCTCTTTGTAGAGTTCTTTGGAAGATTTCTTGTCACGTCATTTCTTGCAGGCTATACTTACATCCTTTAGCACTAGAAACTGAACGACGCAGGAATAGCAAGCATCAATAAAGTCAGCCTTGTCAGACTCACTCGTTCGTCCGTCAAAAATCTTGTACATTTCCAAATCCTGCCACATGTGCGTGAATGCTAAAATATCTCAATTAAAAGCACGAATATCAAGCCTTTTCTTACTGGAATAGGTTCCCGCTCGATCTTCTCCTTCATCCTTGATTCTATGAATGAGAAAATCAAAGTCGGTCACAAATCCGGCCGCCTTTTTTCCGGATTCCATCGATTCGACCGTCTAAAAAGGAGAAAAGCTAGAGTTTCTTACGTTACCATAATAGTAAAGAACCAATATTGCACATAAATAGAGGACATTTGAACCTAGGGAGTTTCAGTTTGAAATGAATGGCAGAATGGGTGAAATTCTCGTCTTCTTTTTTTCTAAATTTCTTCTCGAATTCTAAATTCTCTTGGAAGCGTAATCTTCAATAGGTGAAAAATTCTCTGTAAAAAATTTTGACGAAAAAGATTTCAAGCTCAGGTGGATTTTTTCACCATTCCTCCAAGACCCAAAGTAGTGCCGCCAATTGCCTTCACGAGTGGCAGAAGGCCTGCGTTTGGCACCGTGTTGTAGTACAGAGTCAATTTGATGTCGCTATTGTCTTTCAACCTTTTTTATGGCTCGCGAAAGTAGAACACCCGCAAACAAAAATAATGCCCAGACAAAAAACAATGGCCATTCATTTGTCTATTCGAGGAGAAAAAATAGAAGGGGCGGAAATTTAAAATTCAGAAACTTTTTCAATTTTGAAAAGACTGACTTTCGCGAGCCCGACCCGCCGGCACCGTCGTCGAAGAATTTGTATTTGAGTGGTTTGTTCATGATTCGCAAGTTGCTCTTTTCGCCACGCATGATGATTTTGTCCCAGACGATGACCTGATTTCGGAGATTCTAGTGCTCTATTTCTTGATGATTTTCTCACCTGGTTGATGTCGTTTTGAGGCGTTTCGTATTCGGCGAGAATGTACAGGAAAAGTTGCTTGTTGTTCCAGTGGAAGAGGGGAGTCAGGTCGACTTCCAAATCGAAATGAAAAGACGCTAGAATTTCACAGTTATTCTTAATCTTTGGAGAAAAGACTGACCAAGATCTTGCTTGATATTAGGACCGTGGGGATCGCGTGTAAGAGTAACTTTCGCATCGTGAATCGCCAAATCGTGCGGCCTCGTCATATCTGAAAAGTTGAAGTGGAAAATTGAAGATAGGTAAGGTAATTTCTTACCGATTCCAACGGTGACGAGAAATGTTAAAAATGTCATGCCAGTGCAGACCCACATGCCAAAGGCGAACACGGCATTTAGCCGGGACAGTATTCCGTTCATTCTGAAACAAATTGAGGTAGAAAAATGGAAGATTATTTCTTTTTTATCTTATTTAATAATCTAATAGATTAGAATCCTTTTTCAGGCGATAGCATAATTGATGTCAGCATTTTATAAATTATTATTCATTGTATAATATAATAATATAATTTATATAATATAATTAGGCATAACGCACAAAAAATCGACTTTTTATCTGAAAGTCGTAGGAAGCTAATTTTCACCTATCATATAGATTTTGTGCTCTGACAACATTTCAACAAAAAAAAATGTCAAAAATTTAAAATTTAGTACTTTTTTAGTACCCCAAAGTTGTCAAAAAATTGATTTTTCCTGCCATCCAAGCTACGGGGTTGTAAGTATGCTCATTCGAAAGAGCACAAAATACTGAGTCAGATACATCGAAAAAAAGGGGTTCCTAGGGGGGTTCCCCAGATTTTAGGGGTTGAAAATCACAAAAATGAACTTTTTATGAACTTTTGACTTCAGATTCGAACTCTGGGGTACTAATTTACTGTATTTCCATTGTTTTAGCAGGAAATATCAAAAGTTGTTTTTTGACTGGAAATGACGTCATCACACGATAAGTCGAATGAAACCCCAAACTGGCTGATTTTAAGGGGTTTTTCATCCCTAGAATCCAGGGAACCCCACCAGGAACCCCTTTTTATTGATAATTCTGACTCAGTTTTTTCCGCTCTTTCGAATGAGCATACTTAGAATACCGTAGCTTGGATTGCTCGAAAAGTAGTCAGAAAAGGGGTGAAAAAAAGTACTAAACTGTAACAAAAAATTTTTTCCAAAAAATTTTGAAAAGTCGTTTTTGGTGTTTTAGTTGCTCCCAAAGTTTCAAACTTGTATCTATTACAGGGAAAAAGTTGATTTTTTTGTGCGTTATGCCTAAATATAATAAAAATTTATTCATTTTACAGTTTGAATTTCAGAAAATAGCTGATTTTTTGATTTCATTATTAGAGAGCATGATAGTTGTCAGTTTGTCTTCATTTTGTAGTTTTCACAATTATCGGAAACGCAGTGGAGAGCTGCAAAGACATTATTTTCGAAATTCTATCATTTCTCTGGCGGAGGCAATTATGATTTCTCCATGGCGCGGGGGAATTGAATTCGCAAGGTTCGAACCAATGAGAGAAATTTTGCTCAAGCGCGATTCCGCGCACTCTTTCCCGCTATTTGCAGAGAATTTTCAACCCTTTTTTGCTCTAAAATAACATTTGAAATCTTTTTATTAATGAGGCTTTAAATTTTTAAATTATAATTTCGTGTTTTCAATTTTAATTTCTGCATATTTTTATGTCTTGTTGTTGAAACTACAATTATGATTTCTGTTTTGACTTTCGAGAACTTGTCCTGTTATTAAGACTTTTTTCAGAAAGAAAAATATGTAAAAACATCAAAATCGAAAAAGAGAAAAACGATGCCAGTGAAAGACGGCGTGATTTTCTCCGAATGGGAAGGGCAAGAATTAGAAGAACCGGTCTGGTCCTGTCGACTCAGCGGCGATGGAGGAATGACCTTTTCTCAGGCGCAAAATTGCGAAGAGCAACAGAGGAAGATTTTGCAGAACAGCTTTCCGGGCGAATTCGAGGAGCAGTTGCTCAAGAAGATTCATCACAGCTTCTTGGATTTGGAAAAACTGGCGCAGAAATGCGTCAAAATGATCGAGACATCTGCGCTGAAACGAGGCGAGGAGGTGAGTTTCTTATCAACGATAGCTCTTGATTTTTAGCGCCAAATTTAAGCTGGAGGTATTCTAAATAAATATATCATAAGTTCAACTTTCATTCGTTTAATTTTGTGAACTTTTGAGAGTAATAAGGTCTATCTCAGAACGAGTGCGCACTGAAAAGCCCTCTTTAGCTTCATGGGTTAAATTCTCTCTTCAGGTTTTCTACACATTCAAAGAAAACATGCATCAAGCAATGGTAACAGATGTCATTTTCAAATCTCCGAAAAAAGTCAAAAGTACTAACAAAGAAAATATCCCCGTAAGTTCTTGTTCACTTATTCTTGCGAGTGAAACTCTCTTTCTAGGACTGCGTCTACGACATTTTATTGGTAGACTCGAACAAAGAAAGAAACGGCGTGAGTCGCAAATCTCTCGTCAGAAGGTAAAAAGCAAAGAAAAACTTTGTCAAAAGAAGAATTCTAGCGTTGCTACTCCAGATTTATCAATGATGAAGACCTTCATCCGAGCGCATGCCCGTCGCCATCCAGAGACGAGTTCCACTCCCTGGGTCGTCGACGACACTTTTAGGAGCATTTATGACGTAAGTTGCGCAAACAGCTCCTTTTTCAAAAAAGCAGTTTCGAGAATAAAGCTGAAATTTCTCTATTTTTTCTATTTTTTAGATTCCCGCTAAAGTCGATCTTGAAAAGATGAAAAACGGCCATTCAGGAGACCAAATGCAGACCAAGAAATTTGACATTTTTGAGAAAATGAAAGAAGGTTCCAAAGGAGCGAAAAAGGAGAAAACGACGAAGAGGAAAAAAGACCCAGAAGGTAAGTCTTACAATCGAAAAATAGTTAGATGTCTTTGGATGTCACTCGATTTGCATAGAAATCCGTAGATTTCTGTAGATGTATATGAATGTCACTTGATGTCTCGAAATGTCAATAGATGTCTGTTTATGTCTTTATGTCTCCTTATGTGGGAAACTTATCAAGCCATTTCAGATTCAATCCCGAAGAAGCCCAAAACAACAAAACCAAAGAAACAGTTCGTCCAGAAAACCATCGCCGATTCCTTCGCAAAAGCGGGGCAAAAGAAAGAAGCCTCGGACAAGCCAAAAGAAGTGACAATTCCTCCCCGCGTAATTGAATACATTCAAGAGCTGCAAATCCTCGATCGAAAAACGGACGATTACTGGAGTTTGATGAAAAAGGTTGTGACTCCAGCGTGGAACCAGCCAGTCGCGTTTAGAGACAAGTGCAAAACGATGATGTCGAAATCGGTGGCTGAAGATTTCATGGCCGAATTCGCGATCAAAAGACTGGGGAACAAACCCAGTTCTACAAGGGACTGGCAGCTTATTGATCAAAGGGTGCGTAGCTAGGCATATCGGGCATTATTTTTATTTAAATTTTCTAGGGAATGCGACCTCTTCCAGAATTCGCGCACATAACAGAATGTGTCGATTCCGACTTCTACTGGTTTACGCACAACGAGCAAATCGAGTTCCTCGACGTTTTATACATCTCCAACTATTTCCTCAACACGAATCTTGTGAAACTGCGACCGCTTGCAGAAGGCCAGGAGTACTCCAACGCAGAGCTTCAACATGGTGCTTTCAAATTGGTACATGGATTGCTGAAGAATGATCTGGGAGTTTGTGCTTCTTTTTGGGCGAATTATCTCAGGTAAGAATTGTCGAAAGTCACCAGAAAATAGCTCACAATTTAGACAAACGAGTCAAAAAGATAGAGCCAAGTTCCGCACCCTTCAAGTCTCCAGAAAGCTTCTCAAGAAGCCCGGTTGGCTAGCTGTCGCCGAATGGCACCTCGACTTAACGCCCTATCAACGCGCTCAAAAACTGATAAAATGTGCAGATGGATATATTGACCGATATCCGGACGAATGCACGCCGGAAAAGAAGACTTTTCCACTTGGAGTCGACCGTTCCGGGCGAACATACTGGGTGTTTTTCTTTGTTACATTTATTCTCGTCCAGCCGAATGAAGGGATTGGAGCAGGAACTGGACAGTGGTATGTTATCAAGGATGTTGAAACGCTCAAGAGGTGAGAAACGGACCAATTGTTATTGTCATTACTAATTATCTAAGGACGATCGACCGACTTGATCCCCGTGGCGTCAACGAGCAAGCTTTGAAAGAAGTCCTCAAAGAAGAGCTAGAACCCGTGAAGAAGATTTTCAAAGAACGCGCTGATTTCGAAGCAAATCCTCCCTCTGAGCGCGTGTCTCGTTCCTCAAGTATGGATTGCAATCCAGATGAAATAGTCAAATCGCAGCTCGTGGAGCTAACTGAGCGACTGTACCAGGGCCAACTGTCGAACGTCGATGAAATTGAGCCTCTGCACGCTAGAATTAATACAATTGACGTGACGCCGACTGGAGATTCGGATGGACTGAACGATTTGAGAGAGCTGATATTTGAAGTGACCGACTCGATTATGGACAAAAATATCAAGAATCCGTCCCAGCTTCTGCCGCCGCATCGGGAGAAATTTTATAAAGTAAGTTACACACAAAAGCTAGGAAGATATTTGAGGAGTTGGAGGTCCAAGAACCCCTCAATTTTAGGAAGAATATAATGCGCTTCTTTTATTTGATTTCTAGCTCGTTGAAGATGAAAAAATCTGTGGCCTATCCGTGCTGATAACTATCGTTTGGGAGAGCGTGGCTTGGGACAATTTCAAGCAGCGCAAGACCATCCGCTCTGCCCGCCTTCGCGCTCGCGTCGACTACAGCGAAGACTAGAAATAATAAAAATACCGATCCTAAAAGAATTCCATTGATGTGCCTACATACAGTAGCGGAGTAACAAAAACAATGTTCCACTTATTGATTACCTACCATTCTTATAATCGTAAACAAGTTATCTAAAACTGCCGCAAAACTGCCTCCTGTTTTATTTCATGAAAAATAGCCAACTATCATTCACAGCTCAAGAAAAGCTGTCTTTATTCTTAGTTCAAGGTTATCAATGAACACTTCTTGACTCTGCATCAAAGTTTATTTCCTTTTTCCGTTTGTCAAATAATTCATTCCTGGTGGTCATCAAAACTATGATTCCGAATTTCTGTCTTTTGAACGACAAAAGAATAAATTTGGATACTCGAATCTTCGTTCACTTTTTATTGAAATGAAGGAAAAGGGGTGAAGAGCTTCTCTCCAAACACAGGCATTTGAGCATGAACAAACAGGATTTCGCATTCAAATCTTTGCATAAGCACCTTTTGCGGGTTCTCCAATGCAGAATAGTTCTTCTCCGATGAATCTGGTGCATTTTCGAAGTCACAAAGCGACTGAACTTGACTGGGTCGCCAAAGCTTATCTTATTCTTTCTGAATCGACTGAGAATATTGACCTGAATGGACCCCTTGTTCTCCCTGTGACCTGATAATTCTGTCTCAGAAAAAGCATTTCATCAATCTCAATTTACTAATTATTGAGAGTACGTGTCTTCCAATGTGGTCGACACGAAGATTGATTAGCACCAACTCAGCTGTCACCCAAAGGATTAATATAAATTATCAGAAAAAAGTGAACGAGAAAACACAGTAAAGAAGGAGAAAATAGGCGTAGATGGCGCTTGGGCGTTGAGTTGTCTGCTCAATGCATCCAAGCCGTCACTTTATCGTGAAATGCGGCTTCAATCAAGATGCATATTTGATGAAAACTGAATTTACCAGAAGAAAAACCTGTTAACAATTTTTTCGTTCATGAATCTCTTCGTTTTTTCACTCTTCATACAGCCGTCGTTTGGAAAGAATGAGAGAGAATTATACGATACGATCTTTAGGAACTACTCCAAAGATATCCGACCGACAAAACAAGCGAATTTATCCGTTCAAGAAAAAGTTAAAATTCTAGCGCGTCTTCGATTCAAAGGAGTATTTCTAACTTTATGAAAGTTAACCTTGAACTGTACATAGCACAGCTCGTGAAAATCGACGAAGTAAATCAAATTATGGAGACGAAGCTTTGGCTGAAGCAGGATTGGATTGACTATAATCTGCGATGGAAGCCAGACAATTTCGGGGGAATTGACTCAATTCGTGTTCCCAGCGATATGATTTGGAAGCCAGATATTGTTTTGTACAATACAGCTGTTGGGGATTTTCAGGTCTAGCGTCGTCAGAAGCCTTGTCTAGCCGGGGAGATAAAAAAGTTCAGCCTTGTAAATAAGTTATGACGCCAGTTAAAAGTCTACTCAAAGGACGAAGGCGATTATTTGGCATAATGGCCAGGTGATTTGGATGCCACCGGCGATCTTCAAAAGTAGCTGTGCAATTGATGTTACCTACTTTCCCTTCGATGCGCAGAACTGCACAATGAAATTCGGCTCTTGGACGAATGATCTCAGGTACATAGCAACCTCTCATCGACAGACTATCAAAAATATCGTTCATAATTTAGTCGGATAGACTTGCAGATAAAAGGTCCTGAGGGTCCTCATGGAACGCAGGCAAATAATTCAAGCTATTGGGAGTCTGGAGAGTGGGAAATCATGGACTCGTATGGCTACCACCATGCTCGAAAGTACAATTGCTGCGAGAAGGTTTTCCCGGATATTGTTTACTCATTCCATATTCGAAGATTGCCGCTGTTTTATACGATCAATCTCATTATACCGGTATGAGTTATGCTTTCATAATTTTTCATAAGCAAATCAATCAATTTCATCCTTCGCGTAAGTTTTTTCAACCGAGTTTTCTGATTGTTAAATTACGATTATCTCCAATTTAATCGTAAAACAAAGACTTGGTTCTTATGAAACTTGAGATAATCAATTCCAAAGTGCCTGCTCATATCATTCCTGACCGTGCTGGTGCTCTACCTTCCATCGGACTCAGGAGAAAAGATCACTCTTTGCATTTCGGTCCTGCTCACGCTGACTGTTTTCCTCCTTGTCATCACTGAAATCATTCCCTCGACATCTTTGGTCGTCCCATTGATTGGAGAGTATTTGCTGTTTACGATGATTTTTGTGACATTGTCAATCATGATTTCAGTCTTCGTTCTCAATATTCATACTCGAAACCCGCTGACACATAAAGGTATATTAAAATTTCAATCGATTTATTACTGACCATCTTTGTTTATGATCTCTATACATAATTCTTCAGTTCCTCCTTGGATACGCCTTGTTTTCCTAAAAATCATGCCAACTATTTTAATGATGCCATCTCCTAAATCATCCTTCCAAACAAAGCGGAAATCGCGCCACAAGGTGAGTTACAGATATCAAGATAAAATGAATTTATATATTCTTCGATGTTCACTGACGACAATGCGGGCTTAATTATGTGTATTTTAGATGGCGGTCACAGGTGTATTTTATAACAGTTTAGAGATAGTTTCGAAACATTGATTGAAGATCGTAACATTCTCTTCTCAATTTTCCATTCCAAATCGGCACGTCTCTATTTTAGTTCTCCTACGACCGTCTAATTGACGAGTCCCTAATTTGCGCGATGGATGCGATAGCTGAAATCGCTTACATCCTGATGGAAGAAGAAGAACTTCTCCAGGCTGAAAATGAGTGGCGATTTATCGCCATGGTCGTTGACAGAGCATTCCTTTGGCTCTTCGTGATCGTCTGTCTGCTCGGAACAACGACATTATTTATACAACCTCTTGGTGCATAGAAATAAACAAACACAGACTCACTTTTCCATCCATTCATATTTTTTCGACGCCAAAATTCGAAGTTCAAATCATCGAACTTTTTATCGGTCGGAAAAAAGTCCGTATGCTTAGCAAAGTTACATTTGTCCTGACACTCCAGATCAACGGTCCCAAATCGAGATCATCAGAGTTTTCGTTGTGAATGTCAAAGCTATCTCGAAGATTACCTAAACGTACATTATGTAGTTTTTATGAGAGTATGAAGTATATACTGCGAGCTAATCTTTCCTCCTGAAAAAGAAAAAAAAATATATCGATTGATTTTGTTACGGAAATATCCTGAAATGGCGAAATATAAGAACGTCATAAATCTTCTTTTAAAATCTAGCGCCATCACACCTCCAATCTTCTCAGTTTTAAACGATGATGCCCCTTGAAATCTTCCGTCAATTAAAGTTTAAATTAAAAAAGAAATAAAATTATAAATAGAAAAAAAAACATGAAAGGTCTCATTTTTGTCATCGTCATTTTGCAAACTCTCGCTTTCGTCGCAGGTACAGCTCCTCGCATTCAAAACAGAAGGTAATGCCACAAAGACGAACAGTGCCGACGCCTTCTTGCCAGAAGAACTTCACGACGAAACATGGGAAAAATTTTTTGGTGAAAACATCTGACTGTCTTACTGTTCAACTCTCTCATCCTCTCTCTTTCCAATAAACGAAAAATCAAGATTACTTTCTATTACTTTCTAATTAAAAATAAATTTGACTAAATGATGAGCTTTCATTTATTCTAGGCATGGGAATGTCAAAGAAAATTTGACGTTTGCGTGTGGTTCCTCAGTGACAGATGCTCTCCAAAAATGAATACGACTGTCTTTTACCTCGAGGCTCCGACATCCCAAGATCATCGGAAAGGTTATTTAAATGCAATAGCAGCATTAGTAATGCTTTTCAAGCGAAACTTGTAAAGAAAAGAGAGTTTTTCTTACCAGCAAATGATTTGATAAAAGCAAGAGTCGGAGAATCAAGTATACAGTATACAGTATACTGTATACTGGTAAAACCTGAAAATGGCGAGTTTATGGAAGGTGAGGAGTCCAAATAGGTACCGATTTGAAAATGAGATAACAGCTGTGAGCTAGCGCGGCGGTTCAAGAGTAGCTTGGGGGTAGAAGTGGTAGACGGCAGGTTCACGTCTTTATAAAGAATGATTCTTTTTTCAAAGAATGATTCTTTTTCGCAAAGAATGATTCTTTTTGGGGCTTCTGAAAATGATACTGTAAAAGAAATTCAAAATTTCAGAAGCAATTTCTCGTTAGAGAAAAAGATGAACGAAGGAGAGTGCGCTTCGCGCCAGCTTTATAAAAAGTCCAGAGATATTTTAAGTCAAGAATTTAAAAAAATGGAAAAAACAGTTTTTATGTCATTTTTCTCTAGAACATTGCAAAAAAGAATCATTCTTTATAAAGACGTGAACCTGCCGTCAACGGGTAGAAGTGATGGTAATCTAGGTCGTAATCGGGACGGATCTCTTCGGTGCAAGCGTAATTCGCAAAAAATATGGCGGCTAAGCATAAATTTAATTTTCCTACTTACGAAGAAGTGAAAGAGAAAATCAAAGAACTGGCCAGAGAACTCAAACCAGGTCTCTCACTCCCCCTAGTCTATCTTATAACCGCGGGTCAAAGGATAAATAGCAGCATTTTCTGGATATTTGAAGGGTGTCACAACCGAAATTTTGCAATGAATCTCTACTTGTCAAAAAAAGAGATTTCGAATCAGCCTGAAGATTGGCAACGAAGGTTTATTTTATTAAAAATTCTTTTTCTAATGATCTCCTAGAAATATCCGAGAAATTTGCCGCCAATTTGGCTCCCCAGATGAGCCCATCGTCCAGTTTAAATCAGTTTATTGCGAATTATAATTTGGGCAACAAAGGCAACAAGGGCAACAAAGGCAACAAGGGCAACAAAGGCAACATGTTGCCCTTGTTGCCATTTTCAGGTTTTGAGCACTTGCGCCGATTTTGATTTGGCAGTTGTTGTTGTTTTTAAAAGCGCGTCTCTAGAATTGTTTTTTATGAATTCTTCTGCGTTCTACTTGGCTTAGTCTGGGAAATTCAAGAGGGCAACACACAGCAAAGACGAATTAAGTTAAATAAAATGATATTGTTGTGCAACGAATGGCATTCCGAAATCAAATGACGACTTAAAAAACAACTAACTTCACTGTTTCACAATATTTAAAGGAGGTAACAATCAACGCTGTTGAGCACGCTGGGGGCCTGCGGCCCTTGCGCGCAAAACATGGTAGAGAACTCATTTTTGCAGGAGGCCAACTTTCTCTACTTTCGCGCTTTCATCTCTAGAAGATGTTGTTTTTCTAAGCGAAGGAATGTTGCCATTTTCAGGTTTTGGAGACTTGAAGCTGTTTTTTTAGATGCCCTTGTTGCCTTTGTTGCCCCGTGTTGCCCTTGTTGGCATTTTCAGGTTTTTCGAGTATACTGTATGCTCTATAATTTGCTACTAACAAATTGATAGATAAGGGTTTCAATTATTTCAAAAAGATTCTTTTAAGTTCGCAAAAGCGTTTTTATATCTAACAATTATGCTTTTTATCAGACAATTTTGTTGACTTTATTCATAAAATACCTTCTTAGTATCTTCTTAGTTTCTCACGTATTTATGGGCCAATATGATATTGCCAATATTCTCATTTTTCATAAAATCAAAAAGTAGACGCGTCAAAAATATCCAAGACTATTGCAACTAATATTAAACTATTCACATGAGTACTCTTACAAATGGACAAATAGAAATGCAGTGTTGATGAAATCTTGTTTGAAATACCAATGTATATGAGGAAGTAAGTTATTATCATATTCAGGAATAAATATGCTTATCCCTTGAGTAGTTGAAATAGTTGACTAGAAGATAAATTCTTCCAAACCTTCAACAGCGCCATCAGCGTTCCCATCCCACGTTTTAAACGAGAGTGCCTCTCTCACTCGTTCAAACTTTGATAGTAAAAAGTCGAAGAAATAACTCGAAATGAAGTGCAATTTTTTACTTTCCCTTTCGCTACAAACGCTTGTTTTGATCGGCGGGGTAGGCGCTCAAAGCCCAAGCTACCAAGAATGCCTCAAAAACGCACATTGTCGACGACTTCTTGCCAGGCGACTTTCGAGAAGAAACGCTGGAAATATCTTCTGGTGATCTTCGGTTCTATTTTTCTGTTTTAACAAAATCTGTTTATGCCCTTTGATGAAAATAAATCCGTTAAATAAAAACGTCTCTGATCCCAAATTTTCGAATTCTCATCCTTGATTTCAGCATCGTTTTTTGACAAAATGATAGGAAAAAATAAATTCAACTCATATTTTATTAATTAAAATGTGTTTAAAATCTAGATAAGTACAATAAGTACTATAAGCATTGAAAACTAGACATCTTCGTTAGCAGCAAACGGAGCCATACTTGGCCTTCTTTCCGAACTCCTGTGGTGAATTTGGTGGCAAACCCTGAATTAAATTTTTAATGTGATGAGTTACTATTGTGATTTACAGCATTTCGTCTTCGTCAGAAGCGAATGGAGCCATGGATGGATGATGAGCGCTTTTTCGATACAAACGAGTTGACATTCTATTTTGACGAGTTTCAATCTCTTCGTCTTCAGCGGTCTTGATGCCGAGGAATTTTACGAGGTACTGGATCGCGCCTCCTTGAATGATGGACGTAAACATGATGATGGCGATGCAGGTGGAGAGGAACTTGTGGATATGTGGGATTTCGGCAGTGTGGGTCAGCATTTTCGTCAAAGAAAAGGCGATTCCTCCTCGAAGTCCGCTCATCGCAATCATCATCTGATCGTTGTAGCAAATCTTATCGGTTCTTTTTCAGAGCTTTTTTTGTATTTAAGACCAAGTTTTTGACATGGCAGAAATACTGTAAATTCGTTCCACAATGACTAGCAGCCTATCTGATAATAAAAAGAGCCCTTTTCCTGAAATAATTGAGCAGATAGGTAAGACCATATGTTGCGACGAATCTATACATGAGAACCGTAATCAGCGTAAAGAAAAACAATCCAGTATTCCAGTGAGCTTGGAAATCAACGAGGAATTCTTCGACAACGGTGATTCCAAGGAAGATGAAGATCACGTGCTCAGCGATATTCGCAAGCATTCTCAATAATGCTTCCGTGACGATTTGGGTGTTTTCGTCGACTTCAGTTTTTATTCGTTGCTTTTTAAAAGGGATTTAGAATGTTGTCAAAAGAGTTTTGTTTATGTTGATCGATTGACAATTTAATGTGATGAATTTTAGTCCCAGCCTTGAGCGTAAACGAGCAAAAAATGATGGATAAAATGGCAGAGAGCCCAAGCAACTCTGCAAGCAAGTAAGAGGTGTAGCAAAATATAACGACAAGGAGCGGCTCCACGATGCGTAGTTTTTTCGTGAACTTGAAGGTAAACGAGGCTCAGCTTGTGTTCCCGGAGGTCAATCAGGACCACACCCTGGATGAATTATTTTTATATCAAGACGATTTATGACTATTCTATGGTGTCATGTAAACAAATAAATTAAAGCCAACATGCGTCTGAAAATTGTGGGAGCACATTCCTACATATCCATAGACGAATCCGAGAATCGTCCCACCGCCAGCTACGATGGCAAATTTGAGGAAGACTCGAACCAAATTGAGTTCAAGATGCAACTCGTCCAGCCCCAAAAAGCTTTCGAAGACTTCAAACAGCACGACAGCGACTCCATCATTCAAAATAGACTCTCCAAAGACTGTAATCTAAGCTTGGGTCACATCTTATTATCATTTCTAGCAAATATCAGACAGATCGTTGACCCTCTCGTAAAGAACCGCGTGCACGTGGATTTCGTTAAATACAGCAATCACTGTAACTGGATCGACAGCACTCATGATCGAGCCGAAAAGTAGAAACTCACGTGCCCCAAGATCTAAAGTTTTAGTTAAGACAAGCCAATAAATTGCTGTCTGTTCAGTACCTCCTTCTTCGTCGTCTAGTCCGGGCATCCATCCTAAGACAAATGCGGCGTAGAGGGTGAATCCAATGGCGATGGCGTTGAAAATTGTTCCAGCAACAGCGAAAGTCAAAATTGTTCCAATATTTTCCAAAAAATCCTGATTGCGATGTTGGTCAAAAGAAAAAAAAGCACAAGTCACCTTTTTGGGAAGAAAGTAGCCAGCTTCGAGCATAATGGGTGGCAAGAAGAATGTAAAGAAAATCGTTGGTGTGAAAAGATGCTCCGCTATTTCCTTTCTAAAAGAAGACAAAATCACTGGAGTAGAACAAGAAAAAGTACTTGCCCATAAATAGCATAGTGAAATTCTCCTATTATGCAGCCAATGACGATTAGCAAAACGCATTCTGGTAAACTTTTGAAGTATTTATTGACCTTATAAAAAATAATTTTTGAGAAGCCAGCGACCATGATGACGGTGCAGGCTAACAAAGGTACTTGAACATCATCCCAGTGAATATTTATAAGCTTTTAGGAGGATAAATCATTGTCAGTTAGTCGACTGTACTAATTGAATTAACAAATTTAAACTTCTTCCCGGTATAATAGTCTTAACTTCATGATCATCATCGTGTTCTGAAGCGACTGTCATTCTCTTTTATTTTCCGCTTTCTCTTGATTTTATGGTTCTGTCGACAGAAAAGATTTGACCAGCAACTCTGATTAGATTTTCAATTTTACGAGTCTTTCAGCAGAGAACAACAAGGAAAGAATCTCACAATGGATCACTGATATCTTCCATTTGGTATCCCAAATTGGTAAGCAACAGATTCTTCGAAATTAATACTAAAAAATCAAATCTCTTACGAAAGAAAATATAAGTTATAATTGAGTTGAAATGGGGAGAGACTAATCCTTTTGATGGCCAGAGTCTGACCCAACTAACCGATTGTACAGAACTTGTCTGTAGTAAAATAGGTGGTGGTCTAAACTTGACCAGAATAATAAATTATCATGCGCGTAAAGTGAAGTGTTATTGGAGTTACAGTGTGCGATTTATTTGATTTATAGAAACGGACGACAGAGTAAATTCAAGCGCGCAGGCTAGATAAATTGCAGTGCGCGTTTTCAGCGGCACGATAATTCTATTTTTGACGGAAGCACTATTTTAACGAAAAAAAAGATGCCACTATATCACGACCCAGAAGAGATGGATATTGATCAGACAAGGAAAGGGTTTTTATAACAAAAAATAATGAGTTATTTAAAAATTCAGAAATTATAAAAAAGCAATTATGAAAATAGAGCCCTATAAGAACCCAGATAATAAGAGATCTCCACAAAAATTACGACAACACCACCTATTGAAAAACCCTTTTCTTCTAACTATTTTGTTGATGACAGGCTGTTATTAATATAATCATCTTTTTCTACCTTCAGTCTGTTTGCTTTCTTTATTTGCAGGCGCAGGAAAGGCGATTTTCTATTTACAGAGAATTAAAAAGCTCAAAAGAAACTCACACGCCCCGGGAAAGCCTTCCAACAATAAAACTAAATTACATAATGTCACTTCCCAGCAGTAAAGATCAGCAGAAATCTCAAAAACATTTGCTCGCTATAACCAATGCTAAGGTCACGGGTTTCTATTTCCCAAAGTGAAATGTTTGCGCTTGAAAAATATGATTTCCATGGAAATTGAGAAAAGCTAGTCTGCTTTATCATACTAACCAGGCTCTTTGTTTTCTTTCGGTAATCCGTTGCTGATTATTTTTAATTGTTTGTGTAATTAAATAATAAAATATTTCAGAACCCTGGGCTCAGTAAAACGAGATTCTCAATGCCGCTCCATCACTCGGAAGAGATGGATATCCGGGAAAGATCAAGACTACGGAGAGAAAGCGAGAGGGAGCAGCAACGCCAGAGAAGGAAAGAGTCTTTCGAACGAATAAGAATTTCTTCTTCTTGAAAATTGACAGTCGTAAAATGAAACTCCAGAATAGAGAAAGCGAGCGAGAAAGACAACAGCAGCGTGAAGAAGAACGACGAGAACGGCTTCGAGAACAGCAGCTTGAAAATTTACATCGAGAAAGATGTAATTTTGAATAACTGTTCATCTGTTCTGTTCAATTTCGATTCTTACGACGTAGGGCTTATGTTGTTTGATGAGATTTCCTTCACTTTTGACCATCTTTGATTTATTTGTTTTATTTTAAGGATTTTCAGCACTTGTCGAAATGAATTCTGCAGAAAGAAGACAACAGCAGGAAAGTTTTTCAGAAACTTAGTTGGCAAGTGCTGAATGAAATTTCATCTCGAAAAGGCTTAAAAGAAAGAACAAGAGCAAGAACGGCGACGACAACAGGAAGAAGACCGTCGAGAACGGGAACGAGAACGACGAGAACGAGAGCGCGAACGGCGAAATCAGCTTCAAAATCTGCATAAAAACTATCATAATTGCTGATGAATAACTGCTCGAAATTTTACTGCAAACACTACTTATATCGATGATATATTCCCCGTATATTCACTAATAAACCTTCTCCTGACACCAACGTAAGGACGATACGATTATCAAAGTTCTGTCAATCAGGGCTCTTAGATTCAGATAATGAACGCGGAAGGAAATGTCTGAAGTGTCCATTATTCTGAGACAAAACTCATAAGCAGGCCTCAAAGAACCAATCTTTCGAATAACGTTCTTTTCGATGGTTGAACTCGAAGCCTTGAAGTCAAAAACACCTTTGTTAGTTTTTATTGCGCACTTGGGCTCTCAAAGTATAAAATTAACGTTTTTGCGCCACCTTGAAGGCGTTTAAAACGAGCGAAACTCGCTCTTATCTGTCCAAAATATTTTTCCAAGAGAAAAGGTAAGAATTTTCACAAGAAAAAATCGGTTTTCTAAATCTCTCTGACTTTAAATGAACGATGATATTTTTAGACAACGAAAGGCTGATGAATATTGCTAGAATTCGAATGCAACCAGGCGGATCCCGAAACGATGGGGACATCCACAAGGGAAATAACTGCGGAAAATGATTTTGACGTGAGGCTCATGTTATTTTCATTCAATCCCATAACTACACTTCCCCTTTATTCGGCCTGTTATTAAATTAGTAATAAATTTGATCTCCCTGTGTTTTTCTTTTTTTTTTGAAAAATTGTCAGCATATAATAAACGTCAGACCCAGGGTTCTAAATCTGAGCCCAAAATCAAAAGTCGAGTCGAGTCGAGTCGCTAGTCACTCAAAAAATCCCTAGTCGAGTCGAGTCGAGTCGAAAGACTTTGTGAAACTCCTAAGTCGAGTCGAGTCGAGTCGAGTCGACTAATTCGACTAATTAGTCGAAAAGTCGAAAATTTTGTAAAAAATAAGAAATTAAGTCGAAGAAGTCGAAACGAAGTCGAAAAAGTCGAAAAAGTCGAAAGTCGAATAAAAAGTCGAAAAGTCGAGATCAGAAAAATTTATTACTAAATAGTAAGGATATATTTATCAAACTATTTTAATGACGTTCTTCTTTCCACAATTTATGACGAAAGGCTGGGTAAGCGGAGTGATTTTCTAAATAATAAGAAATATGATATCTTCAGAAAATTCTTACTATTTTTTTGATGCTTCAGATGTTCCAAAGGCTTGAGTTTTGAGTCCTTTTCGCGCAGCGATTTTTTTCAAGGCCTCTTTGAAGCGACCATGTTCCGCTGTTTGTTGTTTCTTTTCTATATGGGCTGCTTTTTGATTATGAAAAATTGTTCCCATTTGGTACGACAAGCAACTGAACTCTCGCTCAGCTTCGTTTGAGGATGATGGCAAGCGGCCGATCTACTTTATATTTAAATTTTGAAAATTAATTAAATTTACCTTTCCAGCAATTTTCATGTTGCCTTCGACTAAAGCGGCGAGAAAATGATGCTTGCGCGATGCTCATTTCTAAAGTCTAGAAAAGTCAGTTTACAAAATCTAGAAAAGATTTGAGTTCTTTGCCGAATGTTTTCGACTTTTCAAATCGACTTATTCGACTAAATTTTCGACTTTTTCGACTTTTTCGACTTGATTTTCGACTTTTTCGACTTGATTTTCGACTTTTTCGACTACATCTATAACTTCTTTTTCGACTTATTCGACTAGTCGAAATTAAGTCGACATATTTAAGATTTTCTAGTCGAGTCGAGTCGACTTTTTCTCACAAGCAACCAAGTCGAGTCGAGCTAGTCTTTTCGACTAAGACTCGACTCGACTTCGACTTTAGTCGAAACTCGACTAGTCGATTTAGAACCCTGGTCAGACCATTTAATCGAAAACCCAGCAAGCCTTACCTTATTTGTCCGTTAACAGAGCAGTATACTTAGGTTTTATTACTTAGGTTTTGCCGGTCGAATATAAATAAAGATTTTCAAATTCTCATAGATCATAGATTTTTATTAGAAGTCATGGTACAAAAGATAAAACAGCGCAAATAAATACCAGTCCCATTTGAAGAGTGCACAAGATGTAGCTGAAGCAATAAATAAACCCTAAGTCAGAAATATTTTTCTATCTTACCTTGTTCCATAAGAAAAATCTTCGCCCAAGTACTTGATCGGGTCGATCGAACTTATTGCGCCCACCGTAAAAACTACTCAAAGTCTATTAGCAAACGCTAACCAAAATTAGCTGTTGTACCTGAAAAAGTGAAAGATGTAATGAAAGCGCTTCCAATGCCACTAGCTCGGCTTTGATCGCCCTTGAATGCCTTGAGCAGCGAGAAAACAGTAGCTGCCAGTAAAATGAGCACGTTTGTCAGTTGAAAGCCACGAACTGCCTCTAGTCCCTTGTATCCTTCGTACTCCCCGATAGAAATTGCTTTCTTTTCGTCGGAGATCTTCACTGACCAGATTCCGTGACTGCCTTTTTCGGAATTCCACCAAGCCTCGCTAGAGACCGCGGAAAGAGCAAACACGAAGCTTGCGGCCCCAAGAGCCGCAACGGCATGCTAAATCCGTTATTACATTGAATCTCTTTCTGCTCACTTACTGGAGTAAATCTCTTTATATCCATCATTCTTCCTAAAAAGAGGCTGAAACTCTGGAAAAGCTGAATAACCTAAGGCAGCCCGGGCGAGGTCAAGCGTAAATTAACGACTTTCATTCGTCATCACTTGTTCCTTTGTTTTTTTATTCTACTAAAGTTTTCACAAGTTCTGAGCTCTAGCTCGGAGTTCATTTAGGTACTCTCGTTCTAGTAGCTCAGAAATGCTTCGAAAGGTTTTTTGGAACGTGTCTTAGATAAAATAATATGACTTGAGCAAAATGACGATTTGATTAGTTTATAAAATATCATATTGAGCAACACTATATTTATGATTATATCCATCCACAGAGCTCAATCTTAATTTGTTTTCTTGCTTCTTCATCCACGTTTGCCAGCTTGTGGGATTGATTGGAGAGATTATTGATAAGTCCAATCGAATAAAGTTAATCCTGGTAACCTGGTAAACTTTAATCCATCGTTTATCCACCATTTGTTGAGCGTCACCAGCGATTTCTTTCAAAACCAGCCATCATCAAAATAATCGTTGTAATTATTTGCATTGAAAAAATCGGTTCGCTGAAACAGCGTGAAAAAGCAAGTGAAAAAATTTCGCAGGCCGCTCCGGGTTAATCATGTTTGGCAGATGCTGACAGGGAGCCATGTGAAGAAGCTTAGCATAATTTATCTGATAAAGGAACTGCTTGCGGCCATTTCGGGAGCCCATGACAGCTACAAACAGGATCCCTAGAATGTTCGGGAGAAACGTTACAAGGCTGCAATTTATGACTTGTACTAACGGAAATAAAAACTATTCGCCTCATAAAAGATGAAATAAGCCTCATTAAATGTTATTTATTTCGTCACAATATAACATAAAAAGTCATTATCGTGCCGTCAGATCCGCAGTGCGGAAGATAAAACCGAAGATAAAAATTGACTTAAATAAGCACTTGTTTTGACCGCAGATAACGGAGTCTAGCCCTTACCCCTGGGCGTTCCATGAAAAGCAGAAGAGAAACTGCAGTGTCGTAAAGAGAGCGTAACTAGAATTGGTGGCGCCCTTCGAAAGGCGAATATTGGCTTCTGAAAATTTTCAGGATTCGGCCTCAGAATCATGTCAACCTGGCGAGAGATTTTTGCCAGTTTGGCCATTCTTACAGGGGTGCAGGCCACCCTTGATGGACCAAGACTAGAGCCACCGGATCCGATCGTCAGAGATGGAGACACTATCAAGTTCTGGGTAAGTTTATACTTCGCGTTCTTTAATTATCATAGAGTTTTCTATTGAACAATTTATAATGACTTGACTACAGTCAAGACAAAAATATACCCCGTTCAATCTAAAAACCTTGAAAACCAGAAAGAAAAAAACTAAATTGCAAATTGTGTAAAAATAATTTTAGGGATCCAACCTGGAATTACTTGGAGAATACAACATGGACATGCAATTTGTTTTGCATGAAAGTGTCGAAATCATTTTCCAACCCGTTGAAGAGAGCTTTGACGATCCACCAACTTGTACCGACCTATCAATCGAAGAAACTGACCCGTTTTACCCTCAGCGAGAAGCACTCGACTACCCCTACTTTCTTCAATGTACAGCGACAGGAATCAAAGAAGGCCAAGAATATGACCTTCGAATCCTTTACGATATCCCTGGTGTGCCAGCCTACGAGCCTTGCGAAGTTGATCCTGCAGAAGATCTTGATCCGATGCTCCAAATAGACGAGGACTGGATGATGGCACCTCAAGGTAACACTGGAGTCTCGACCTGCTATTCAATCAGAGGCATCGAAGCCGAAGAGCTTACACGAGAAGAGCTTCTGGCAGAGATTCGTTCAAAAAACGCAGATGAGGGAGCTAGAGAACGTCGATCTGGCTCCCCAAGTATCTCGTCCATCGTACCTAGCAGCGGTTCAATCCTCGGGCAGCAACTCATCACCATTGTTGGTCACAATCTTGCTTCTAACAAGCTCAATATTCCCGGTGCCAACCCTGACGAAAGCTCCCCAGATGGAGACGACTACGTTGTCTGGTTTGAGAAGGCTGGCGAAACGCCAAAATTCTGCGTCTTCGACAGACAGTTGACTCTTCTAGCCCGTCACGTTGGGAATCACGAGTTCATTCTTTGCCGTACGCCAGCTGTGCATCGAGAGGGATGGTGGAGAATGAAACTCATTATTGACGGTGGAGAAACTATAACTGGACCTCAAATGAGATTCGAGGTCAATTACGGACCGACAATTACCTGGGCTACTCCATACCTTTCTTCGCCAGCGGCGCATCCAGATGAGGAATACCTCGAGGAACGAACCTTCTGGTCGATGTGGATAGATCTTGACACAAATAACAACGGGGACGAAGATGAACGATTTTATAGGCATCACAGAGATAGAAAACTTTACTTAGCTCCAGCTTGCCGCTCACCTATCGACTGGGAAGTTTTCGACAAAAACAACAACCAAACATTTGTCCAGTCAGTCAACTTCAACTCGGACGGGCTTCCGCGTGCACAGACGTTCAACCTCAAAGAGGGTTTCGATTGCACTGACAGCGCGCAAACAGAGACATTAAGTGAAATCGCTATGTGCCCAGATGTTAAAATCCGATACCTTTGCTCCGAAAATGCTATTGACTTCCAAGGACGACTCTACACGGTGAATTTCAATGCAGTCGACGATGGAAACGATGAGGATCCCAACAGAATGTTTTTCCAGCCCCGATTCATCTCTGAAGACGGTCTCAATATGGGTGAATGTGAGATCTCAATTAAGAAAGACGAATCATCAGAAATCGAGCTCTTCCGGCAGATTACAAGTGGCAATAACGGTATTCTCCGATGCCTCGCAAGAGTTGAAGAGCCGGGCCAGTACAACTTTACCTACACAACACAAAATGAGGGAGCATCTGTGAACTCTAGAAACTTCAATAACGTGCTTGGGAACGCAAATCTTGATCCTTTTAACTTCGAAATCTATCCAATGATTCGCTCGGTTCATCCAAACATCGGCTCAGCTGAAGGTGGCACCGTGATAACAATCACTGGAACTGGATTTTCGAGCACGCTTGGTGAGACAGCCGTTGAACTTGGTGGAAAATCGTGTAAAATTTTGACGCATTCTGCTACGGAGATTACCTGCGTGACAAGTAAAGTGGAGTCCCATAAGCGAAAATTCAACTGGAGCCCGATGCCAGATGGAACCAACGATTGCCCAGGAAATGACATTTTTGGTTATCACTACACTCCTAATCAGATGTTTTGCCGAGCGCACTGTGAGGAAGAAGGAGGTTGTAGCCATTATATTTACGATCCTGTTGATGGAAGATGTTGGCTCAAAAGAAACACCCCCACATGCGGATATTACGGAGGAAAAGATCATCTCGTCGGCGAAATCGCGCTTGACATGGAGAGTACAAATGCAATTAAAACGACGCGATGCAGATGGGGAAAGGGAGCCGGCTATCAGGGTACCCTTGCTGTCGACAAAAACGGAGATGCCTGTCAACCAGGCACTTATTGTAGAAATGAGGATGGTCTCTATGCTCTCCCAAGCTGCAATTCAACTGCTTCAAACACCATCGTCGAGTGCCAGATTATAAATTGCGAGCGAGTTGGAGAATATCCCGGTAGTCGAGGATCAACTGTTAGATACGTACCTGATCAAAACGCATATACGTACGGACATGGCGCTTTCAATCGCGAGTTTGAACCAGCAAATTTTGAAATAATCGATTCTTCGTATTTTTCGGGCTCCGAAAAATGGAAATGGACCGGTCAATTTAATCGAGAAGGCTATTCAGCAAGAAATCAATTCTACTTTGAAGTCCCTCAGACTGGCTGGTACAGAATTATCTTCTCACATGATGATGATGCTCAATTATTGAGAATCAATGAAGACGGGTCCTACGAAACTCTTTACCATTACGGCGCCTGGAGTGATCTTTTCAACTATGCCGCTCGAGGACACAACCAGCAAACGAAAGACTTGTACTTGGAAAAAGGAAGTAAACAATTGTTCGAATACAACTTCAGAGAAGGTTGGGGTGGCGATCATGCTTCAATGGGTTTGCAATGGCTTGGTGACTTCAAGAACGGGCGATATGAAGATGATACTCAAACAAGACTTGGTTACTTCAAGGCGCATTCTCGACGCGGTTACAGAACAACGGGGACGTCTCAAAGCCACAACATCATTTTCAAGATGAACTACACAGGACTTGACTGGGAAGGAGAAACACCTATTCCCGAAGAACGAATTCTTAAAGCTCCTATCTATAGACTCATGTATTGCGGTGATAATGTCAATGGCTCTCCAAACTGCAGAATAACTAGAAACATGGCGACAGCTCTTTGGCAGTTCAACAACAATGCTGATCGAGAAAAAAGAATCGAGGCCGTGATGAGAACGGACATTTTCAGAAACAAAATTCAGTACACTGCGAATCCACCAACAGGAGAAGAAGGCTACTGGAATTCGATCCATCAGTACACTGGATATGAGGATAACTCGATTTGGCCAGGAAGTAATCACCACAAAATGGAATACGGTCAGTTCAGTGGAGCTAAGGCATTCAGAACAAAACCAGGTTACCACGTTTACAACTACGGCAAGGGCTACTTACAGTATAATGGAGATGATGAAGTACAACAAAGGAGAACTATAAAGCACTGGTGCACTGCCGTAAAGGGTGGCGTTTCCTTTTTGCAGGCGAAAATCAGGTTCAACTGGTATAACGCACAGGGAGAACACAGGCTACACGATCACTGGTGGTGGTTGGCTAATGACGAGAACACTGCATCACAGTATACTTCTCCTAACGACGGTAGAGACTGGGGATACCACTGTTTCAACTTAGTTGACATTCTCGATACACAAGCTGCAAATGTAGGAATCAGTATTGATTGGATGAATGATGTCTGGCTGACAGAAATGAAGATGTGGGCTCGCCATGATGACCGAAACGACCCGGATCCTGATCGAAGGTGGAGATTCGAAAATACAGTTTTCGACGAAACTGTTTTCGGCGATTACGGCTTCGAGAGGCCTGAAGCACATATCATCGAACATGCTGTCACTGTCAATGGAAAAGTCATTTATAATGTTGACGCGAAAGTTACAAAAAGCGGGGATCACAACGTTGTTCTTACTTATTCTGCAACAAACGTAGATGCCTGTAGCTTCAGCGTTCCTTTGCCAATGGTTGTTGAGCCCGATCCAACAGAGCTCTATGAGCAGGGACTAGACGGAGTAGACCATGTTGGTAATGGTAAAAATCAAACTATGGAATTCATCACCGAAACTGAATATGAAATGCTTGGAGAACATCCCGCTGATATTGCAGACTACAAAGTTCAGCTAGGAAGAGAAGGTTCCTATCTCAACAAAGCAGTCGTTGATATCAAATATTCTGGATATTACTACCGCTGGGATACCCCGATCGACGGAACTCGCATGAGATACGATGCCTACGCAGTTGAACGAACTGTAAACAGTGACAACGTTGCTCCTCATGTGACAACTACAGTCAGTTTCGGCATTGACGATGAAGACCAGACGTACTCTTTCACACATTCTACTTCTCATTCGACTGTTCAATCTGAAATGCGCAGCCGTTGGCCCCATCTTCAAAAAATGAACTTGCAAGTAAGCAGACACGGTGACTGCAAAAATGGCTATTACTACGACTTCAAAGGTCATAATAGAGGCAATATTGGTCAGTTGATGGCGGAGCATTCAATTTCAGACGAATTTGTTGAGCGTAATCCAGATGTAGCAGCAGCGTTTTACAAGGTCAAGAATGATTTCTGGCAGGGCGGTCCTTACCAAGCCATTATTCCTGGTTCAATGATGTCTATTCCAAAGATCCTTCCAGAAGTAGTCGTCATCACCAATCGACAAAGATCTAAATGCGGTGCTCACTTTCGTCAAGAAATGACACCCCTTACGTGGACAGATAATATGCTTTATGGTTGTTCTTTCACTTATTCTGACGATCACACTCCAGTTGTCTACGACTCGTCAGTTGGAGAAGAAGATATCATCGCGGAAGGAGACGTCATTACTGTCGATGTTACTTTCCCAGGAGCAACTTCAGTATCCGATGATAGCTTCGTTGAAATTGGCGGAACCAAATGCGAAATCATAGCCCACGAAGATGTCCTTATTGGACCGGTCAATGGCACATTCCTGGCAACAAGATTAACGGTCACTGTTGGCGCTGTCCCAGCTGGAGAAAAACTTTTGACCTTTAGTGATCCGTCTTTTGGAACAGCGAAATCCGATATCAAAGTCCATTCAGGTCTGACTATCGACTCATATACACCAGAAACTGGTTCGATCTACGGTGGCTCTATAGTTACTGTAACCGGAAAGGGATTCGAGGATGGTCTTGTTGTTCAAGTCTTTGATACTCTTCAAGACTGTATCGCCATTGAAGGTGAAGTTACTTACAGTGAAATGAAATGTGTAACGCAACCTGCGAATGATTCCAGCAGTAGAAAACGGCGCCAGGTTGTGGATGAATCAACTCCAACAATCTCAGGAATGTCGAGGACGAAAATTTCGGTTATTGGTGGCGACATCATCACAATTACCGGCTCCAACTTCGGTTCAACAATGGAAGGTTCTAGCGTTGATGTGCAAGGCCTCTTCGCTGAAACCGAGTGCGTTCCCGATCCGAAATACGTACAACGAGGTTGTTTGGGATACAGAACAGCAAATTCTGGCGATTGGACTATCACCAGTTGGTCAAACACAGAAATCGTCGCCGTCACCGCCATGCTCGATCAAGGTGCTTATGAGCTTCAAATCACATCTGCAGACAACGGCTTCTCAAACAAGTTCAACTTCGATTACGCAGTCGAGATTACTGGGGTCTCCCCGCGGTATTCATCCCTTGTTGGCGGTAGAATGATAACAATTTCCGGTTTCGGTTTTGCAACCGACAACATAATCCCGAATCGCAAGCTCAATGCTGACACAACTATCGAAGTATTTGCTGTTGGTGGTCTTTCTGGAATGTGGCGAAATCGATGCCATGTCAAAGAAGTCTCTAAAACAGAGATTGTCTGCGAGACAGGATATGCAATCAACGAGCCAATCTTGATGAGCACAGGAGAAAATTTCCCAAACATAACAATCAAAGCAGGCGAAGCTATTCGATTCAAATGGTCGTTCACTGTCGATGGTAAAGCACCAAATATGCAATTCCAGGAGTGCGACGAGCCAAACTGCGAAGAAGCTTCATCAGATGATAAAATCTGGGGTCCTAAAATCGTAGAGTCAACTGGCGACTTTGTTCGCCTTTTCCAGACACCTGGCACCTACTACTACTCTACTGGATATATCGACCAGGCTTTCAGCGCCTGGTTAAATGGTATGATCATTGTTGAAGAAGCAGAAGAGCGGCCAGAATGGCTTGAAGTTATTGTCACAGACAGTTTCTCTGATCGACAATGGGGCGGAGTTAACGAAAAATGGCCACATATTGCTGCGCACGTGGGCACCCCACCTGCTTTAGATGGCTCTGATGATGGTGCCTCTGAACTTGGATCTTGCACAGCAACGACAACTAATACCGCTGCACCTTTTGAAGGGGCATTGGAGAAACACTCAGTCATTTATTCTTGGGCTTTTACGCCCGTTGCAGACAACTGGGTCGCTAACGGTGATTTAACACCATTTATGGAGGCGAATTTAACGATTTCCAACTTCGAAGTATCCGGAGATTGCTCCGCGCAAACTCAATTTGCTGCAGTTGAACGATATGGTCCTGAAATCCGTCCTAAGAATTATTTCTACAAAGGATCTGATGGCATTAGCGGTACATACACCATCGATCATGACAATATGATGGACCCGTTGATGGAGTACGAATTTGATTTCGTTCTCGCTGGCCGCGGAAGAGCTTACTACAACAGTTACGATGGTTCTGCTAAATTCAAAATCAAGCCTGTTTCAACTGGTGTAAGCACTACTTCAGTTGGTGTCAAGGGAGGATGGGAATTGAAAATTACTGGTGCAGGATTTATTGCCCCAGACAAAGATCTTCTTGAAAGCGATGATGTTATTTCAATCGATACGGAAATTCATCTCGGTAAAGAACCTGCTTATCGCTGTGAAATCTCATCACTTAGCTACACTGAAATCGTTTGTAAAGCTCCGGAAATGTGGAGAGGAATCGCAGATCGACAGGAAAATTTGAACATCTTCTTCCGACACGACAACGACTTCTACAACGTTGACAACTCATTCGATATCAATCAAGTTCCAGTTTCTGCGAATTTCGCTGCAACTCCTCAAATCAATTCAGTCCAGCCCGAATCTGGAATCAGCCATGATACTGCTCAAATTACCTTCAATGGTGTAAATTTGGACGGTGCTCAAATTGTTGTTGATGGCCAAACACTGACGGGATGCGCAGGAGATAGCACTTCCCAAACGTGCGACGCTCCCACCCTCGCTGCTGGATCATACGCAGTGAGTGGAACTGCTGATAGCGGAATCATCTACGTGGCACCACTTGTCAGCGTAAATGCTCTCTTTGTTGCTGAATCGATCACTCCAACTTCTGGATCAGTAAATGGTGGCCAACACGTCACTATCTCTGGATACGGTTGGTCTGAAGATATTTCCATTACTGTGACACAGAACGGTGGCATTATTTGCTCTCGATGTCCAATTACTTCTATTGGCGAAGATGTCGTTGTTTCAATGCCTTCCGGTAAAAGTACTGGCCTCGCTGCCATTGAGATCAAACATGAGTTCATCAAACACGATTCCTTCAAATTCGATTTCACTTTTGTCGACATTGGCGGCGCAAGTCCCACAACAACGTCTGATGTAAGTGCTCTTTCTGCCGGGGATTCTGTGACTCTTGATTTGCCTGCTGGAACTTGCTCTAACTCACTTCGAGTTGATCTAGTGCTGAATATGAGCCCATGTGCTGAAGGAGCTCACAACTGTCATTATGCTGCTGAATGCACTCCCAATGCCGACGGAATTCAATACACCTGCGCTTGTCAAGGGATTTACCGCGGTGATGGCTTTTCTTGCTCCAAGTTCAATATCAAAAATGCGCAAGAGCTCACTACAGTATCAGAAAGTACCTGCTACAATACTGGAAACAATTTTGTTTGGAATCTTGCGAAATTCGAGTCTTTGGAAGAGGTCACAAATGTTCTTTCTACCGAAGCTGGCAATATTTTCTTGAACATAAAATACTCGACAAGTGACAACTTGCTCAAACACGACTTAGATGGATCTGCTGTCGCCTGGGCTGATCAAGTTACCCTTCCATCTGAAGACTCCTGTCTTGTCTATCATGTTGGCTCGGGAGAGCTTAGCTTCGTTGCTTGCTCAAACACTCATCAAGTTGCATGCGAGTCGTACGATGAAGAAGATTGCTTCTCTGACCAAGGCCAGTACTACAGAGGAGATCTCGATCATTCGGAAGGGTTTACTTGTGTAAATTGGGCCGATGTGCCATCAATTCCCGGAACAACCACTGAAGCCAATATGGATCTCAACGGAAATTCATGCCGTAATCCTGACAAGAGAATTCAAGGACCATTTTGTTACATTTCAACAGAAATCGATGAAGGGGAAAGCGAACCTTCTTGGATTCAATGCTCCGTTCCTAACTGCGCTATGAAAAGTCAGAAAGTTTGCCATGTTGTCACTGAAAGTGGTGCAATAATTGGCCGAACTCACGATTCGTACATTCTTGCGCCTAATAATGATAAATTTTATGACAACAGAAAAAATATTCAAACTGGATTCGCTGAATTCGACGATGGCTTTGCCATTTTCAAGTTTTTGAATGACAAAAATCCGGATAGCAATCACGAATGCTGGGAAATTAAGAGTGGTGACGCAAGTGATGGCGATCGCCCAGTTATTGCTAGGTACCAGAAGCTTTCTGATTGTCCTCGCTGGCAGTTGCAATTGCAGCCCGATGGCCGTTATCGTTTGAGTCAAGGCGACTTCTATCTGCGAGAAACATTAACAGGAAGGGACAGGATTCAAGGTCAATTGCTGACTGGACTTTTGTATGACGAGGACACTATCTCCGGAATGACTTTTGATCTTCAGTGCGGCAATCAAGGCGACCACAGAGAAGCAAAGGTTAATCCCGTCGAGATTTTCCACGAGCTCTCTGGTACATGTTCTGGTGACTCTTTGGCCGTCACAATGCCCGCAGTTGCCTCTGGTTCTTACAGTCTTCGAGTCAGAGATTCAACAAACGGATATTTCTCTGGGAAAGTGGATGTGGCATTCTCTCTCGCTCTTGATTCGGTCTCACCAGCGTCTATCGGTCAGTCTGGTGGACAACCAATCACTCTTTCTGGCGCCGGCTTCAGTGCAGAATCTTCTGTTGTTACCGTCGATGGTATTCAATGTGTCGTACAAACAGTCAATGCTGAAGGAACTGAGTTGACATGCATCTTTGAAGACCTCAGCCATATCACGGAATCAGCTGCTGTTGTTGTTCAAGTTTCAGTTTCAGATATGTCAACTGGTTCTACTCTGACTGCAGAATCAAGCGTTTTTGTTGACATCACCTTAACTCCTCTCATCACAGGTTTCAGTCCAACAAGAGGCGGTTCAGCTGGAGGCACTAGAATAACATTCACTGGATCAAACTTAGACGCAGGAGACGATGCCATTGTCTCAATTCACGGCGTTGTCTGTATCACTCTTTCAAGGACAAGTTCAGAGCTTATCTGCGAAACAGAACCGTACAGTGGTCTCAACATTCCAGTCCAGCCAAAGATCGAATTTGTGAATTTTGGCAACGGTCTCTTCAGCTCCGACGATCTTGAGTTCTGGTACATTGATCGATGGTCGAGTACATTCACCTGGGGTTGCACTGATGGCAGTTGCAAGCCAATGGCAGGAGATATCGTTGTTATTCCAGAAGGAAAAGTCATTCTCCTGGATGAGTCGACGCCGATTCTCGCTGTTCTCATTGTTGACGGAGGAACTGTTCTCTGGGACCGTGTTCATGGCATCGAGCTCAGCACCGAATATGCCGTTGTGACAAACGGTGGACACTTTGAAATTGGAAACGAGGATGAGCCTTTCTGTGATCCAAGTGGCGATCGATCAATTCCTTTTGATGCGACAATTACAATGTATGGTCACCAGCGCTCTATTGAACTCCCAATCTACGGTGCTAAAGTATTTGCTGTTCGCCGTGGAACCATCGACCTCCATGGTTGTCGCGTTCATACTTCGTGGACTCACATGGACGAAACTGCCGAAATTGGTGACAATACAATCAAACTTACTCATCCCGTCGCAAACGATTGGGTTGCAGGAGATCAGATTATTATCGCTACAACTGGTGATTTGATGCATCTCCATCATTCAGAAACTGCTTATATTTCGGAAGTAAGTGCTGACGGATATACACTGACTTTGAATGACACTCTTCGTTTCCGACATATGTCGGAATGTTCTGACGGATTTGACTGGGCTGGAACAATCTGCCAACGGGCTGAAGTTGGTCTTTTGTCAAAGAACGTTCTCTTCCAAGGCAATCGTAACTTAGACTGGGTCGAAGAACTTGACGAATGCGAGCTTGGAATCGGAACCGCTTTCGGAACCCAGACTTGTTTCCAAAATCGATTCGGCCACGAGGTCGGCTCCGATCAGCTAGGTGGACACTTATTCCTTCATATGGTAGACTCTGCCCGAATCCAGTATGTTGAATTCAATTTCGTTGGACAGGCGTTCCGACTCGGTCGATACCCGATTCACTTCCATATGACAGGAGATGTTGGAAATACCAACACCTACGTCCGCGGTAATTCTGTTCACGAAACATTCAACCGAGCCGTCACAATGCACGGTGTCCACAATCTTCTTGTAGAATACAATGTTGCCTTCAACGTTATGGGTTTAACCTATTTCCTCGAAGATGGCATCGAAGAAGACAATATAGTGCAGTATAATTTAGCTGTTATGACCAAGAAATCATCTTCTCTTCTGAATATTGATTCTATTCCGTCTTCGTTCTGGATGCCAAATCCAAACAATATTGTTCGACATAACGCTGTTGCTGGTTCCTCTCACTTTGGTTACTGGTTCAATTCGCCACAACATCCTACAGGTCCATCGGCCACAAATTCTATCTGCTGCAAAAACCGACCTCTCGGAGAGTTCTGGAATAATACCGTCCATTCTTCTGGAAAATACGGTCTTTGGGTATTTGTCGATCTAACTCCTACTGGACCAAATGGTGATTGTGGGGAGGGAGCTCCAAAAGCACTCAAGATTGGTGAGATTCCAGCTAATGCAACTATGCCAGAAGGCGTTGATAGAAACTCTGTCTATGGCCTCCACACTTGGAACAACGAAAGAGGCGCTGAAATCACGACCGGTGGTGCTGTCCAATTCCACAACTTCATCGCTTCAGATAATGCAATCTCACAGCTTGCAGGAAAAGAAACGTATCTGAATTCATTCGGTGTCTGTCCTGGTGTTGATTGTCCTGGTAATGTTCAAGCCTTTGTGCGTTCGATCGTAATCGGAAGAATGAAACATGATCCTCATGTCAATAACTGTGGAGCTATGGGAATCGAAACTCCTTGGGAAGAATTCGCATTTACAGTTCACGACATTCACTTCTTTAACTTCGACGCGCCAGGTCGAGGCGTCTGTACTGCTGTGAACCCATGCTATGGATCCGATGCATTCGACTGCGCAGCTACCTGTTGGTACACTGATGTTCGCTGGACAAACTCGCCTCGAAAAATAACGACTGACTGGGAGCACGAATATGCTATCCGAGATATTGATGGCTCATTTACTGAGAATGGCGGTGAGGAAGTCTACGTCGTCCCTCAATCGGGTGCTTACGATCCAAATCACTGTAGCTCAGTTTGGCCAGGACCTGATGGAACGAATGCCAAATTCGTTGGACGCGGAGTTCAAATCTGCCCTTACCAAGACGGAGTTTTCAAACCTCACAGATTCCCATTTAATAACGTTTCTCCATCGAACCTTGAAGGAACAAACACTCATGCTACCTCACCTTACGGCACTGCTTCTTCTCCTTTCCGTGATTGCCGACCTCGAGGAAAAGGATGGATGATGCTGCTCAATCAAGGCCAAGAACATGTGCTCCAGTGGCAGGGATATGAACACGTGACAAATATTTCGTATTCCGCTGACATGTTCCACTTGGAGCAAAACGACTACTTGCACATTGCTCATGAGTTTTACCAGCGCATCGATTACACAAATCTTGGAATGAAACACGATGAAATTCCGACAATCACGAACGAAACACATAATAACCTCGATTATCACATCACATCCGATGACGAATTCATCTCTACCAAGGAATATAAACTCACTTACATGCTCAGAGGTCTGAAGAATCCAACAATGTCAAGCACAAAGGGCATCTACCCAGCAAAATATGAAGTTGATGGACGAGGTGATGGAACTCATGGCAGAAAAACAACTTGGTCAATGAAAATGTACAAGTGCTTCTATCCTCAATGTATCAAACCGACAACAACCACCCAACCGCCGACAACAACAACGACGGAAGCAACAATTGAGTGCGAAATCGGCACGCCAGGTTGCGAAGACTGGTTCACTGTTTCAGGCTGGGACGGAAATAATGAAACGAATGTCTTCATCAGCGAGAAGCGAATTATCCGAATGACAAGCATTCCAGAAGAGCTAAGAGATCCAGAAAGGCCAAATGTGTTGAAAGCGACTAAATTCCTTCTTGATGGCGAACTGGTCATCGAAGATATCGAGGAGGATATTGAAATTGAAATCGAATCATTTATTGTCAACTCAGGCATTTCTGAGACAACTTGGGGCAAAACAAGAAAACGACGAGACTTGGTCGATAGGTTTACCGGAAAACTTATCATCGGAACTGCTGAGAAGCCAATTCCTTGCGATAGAACAGTAACTATCCGTCTGATGGGAAATGTTTCTGAAGCAGAAGAGTTCGGAGCGCTTGGAAATTCAATTCCGATCGGTGCAAAAGCACTTGGTGGATACGGTTCTATTGAAATGCATGGTTGTCCACGTGACAAAACATGGACTAACCTTGCTACAACAGTTCAGGCTGGGGAGAATTCAATCACGCTGAGTGAGGATGCCGACTGGAAGGTCGGAGAAGAAATCGCCATCGCTTCGAGCAACTTCGATCAAGCAGAGGTCGAGTTCTTCTCAATTACTGCAAAAGAGGCCCGAACTTACACACTCAACCAGACTATCCAGTTCAGACACTTCGGTATCGACACCAATCTCGAAGATGCTGATGGAAATCACCTTGGCGCTCCAGTTATGCTTTTGACAAGAAATATCATCCTAGATGGAAGTGACGGTGCAAATGGTCAGGTTGGAGGAAGAGTTCTAGTCGCCAGTACCATCGAGAAAGATGGAGATGATACAATCTTCCGATCTGGTTATGGCCAGTTCAGCTACGTTCAATTCAAACAAATGGGTCAATTTGGCTACAACGATAATACCGATCCAAGATTCCAGCTCGCGTTTTACAAAATCGACCCTACTGCTAGTGGCGATAGAAAGCAATCATACGTTCGTGGCTGCTCTTTCTTCCATGGTTTGGCGACTGCTATTGGATCGGGAATAGGGGTCAACGGTCTTGAGATGAAGGACAATGTCATTGTTGGTGCGCCTGAAGATGGTATCCGCGTCCTCGGAGAAGATGCTGTCATAGAGAATAATGCAATCGCTTCTATTTGGGAACGATCAGCTTGGGCTAACATCAACGGAGGAAATTCAGACTTTGATAGTGCGCAGATACCAGCCGGTATTGATTTCAAGAATGCTCAACGGTATACAATGAAGAACAATCATGTTGCCGGTGTAATGGGCCCCTGCTTCCATGGTTACGGTCAGACTTGCACTGGCGATCTCGAGGAATGCTCAGCTGACGTTTACCCAACTGACCCGAAAGTCGTTGGAAATATCGGCAGTGGATGTCTTGTTGGCTATTACATTCTCAAGCAGCCCTTGGGCAGATGCCAAAAAGTATCAGGATTCTTCCTTCACCACACTACTACTGCAGTTTACTTCCAATCTACTTCTCAACGATTGGTCGTTTCCGATAACGTTCTCGTTGATAATTCTGTCGCCCTTTACACTGTTCATGCTGGACCTAATGCTGAGTCAAAACGATACGATCCTAAAGCTTCTGTGACTTACAAAAACAACATAATTGTCGGTCGATCTGAGCATTGGGAATGTGGTGTAGATAATGAACATTCGACAATTCTAGGATTGAGTGGTGAATTCGCCCCGGGTACAAGCAGTCCGAAAGATCATGCGGCTATGGTTGGCAGTGACTTTTTGAGTTCTTACAACAAATTCCCTGGAAAACCAATGTACAAAGCATTTGTGAAGACCCCAGCGATTTACGGACGAACATGTGTTGTTGCAAACGCTTTTACTAAGTTTGATGGAAGATGCGGGGACAAAGATGTCATCTTCAGCTCGAACAAGAAAATGGAAGACTATTCGCATCCGACCTATTTCAAGGAAGGAAACACCTTTGATAGCAACGTGGCCACACTTAGCAAAGTTGCCAAGTTTTACAGACCAACAACTAGCTTTGTTAACATTGCCGATTGTGTTGATCTGCACTGCGACGGGCACAAGAAGCAAATGATCATCGACGAAACTGGCGATCTTCTAGGAACACCAGGCTTCCTCCATTCTGAGTCAGAATACAAATGGGAAGGAGTTACTCGAAACGGACATACTTACACTGACACTCGCCCTGGACTTGGCGATTACCGACTTCCGAAAACGATGTTGACGACACTTGACGGCAAAAAGATTTCTGTGGAAGACTACGCACCTGAAAAGGGAGTTATTCGTGATGAAAACTGCGTATACGATGCTTCTATTCCAGCCTGGCACTGTACTGATTCCCTCAAAATGATCATGATGAACTATCAATTCATGGATGTAGATCACATGGTCCGTAGAATAACGCCTCTTGCAGTCAGATCCGAAACCGGATATGTTGACATTATCAACGGCCCTGCAGATCATTCTTGCTGCATTGGGTACGCTTGCATGATCCGTTTGAGCAGTTTCTGGTCTCATCACGCTTGCAACCACCACTACGACTACTACTTTACATCAACGCTTCCGAAGCGAATGAACTTCCACTTGCCTGACTACAATAATCAAAAGTGCAAGATTTATATAACATTCTACACAATGAGACCAAACCGAATGGATGTCAAACAAGACGGAATTTATATGATTCCAACCAACGCCCGCTACATTGGCGACGAAATCGAATGGGAACGACCTCGAAGAGAACTTCATCTTCCTTCTCTTGACGGCATTAATAATGCTGCAGGAACGAATTTCTTCGATCGCCAGGAACAAGCGGTTCATATGATTTTCGAAACCGGTCACATTTACAATCTTCAGCTGAAATCGACGCTGATTCTTGAGTTAGATGTTATGACCGAATTGACCGAAGACGAGTTCTATGACAATGGAAATATTGCCGTTAATATCGCTGCTCTTCTCGGAATCTCACCCAGTCGAATCAAGATCGTTAACGTCATTCGTGAAACAAATGAAGAACGACGAAAGCGACGCGAAGCCTCCGGTTTGTATTACTATGGCAATGAGCGACTTCGACGATCCGACGATGCAGAAAGCTCATCCTTGCAGTTTGAAATTGGCAGCAATGATGACAGACCTGAAGATGGCGATAACGAGCTCGACGAGGAAGATTTGGCCAATGAGAAGGCAGAAGTTGACGCTCTCAACGAAGTCGGCGCCACGCTAGCCAAACAATCTCTAGCAGACGGAAATCCACTTGGTGCTGCTGCAGCATCTGCAATCGTAGATCAGGACCCCTCTGTTTCTGTCGGCGAAGTTGCTGTTGGCATGGCTGACCCACCAACAACAACTGAAGATCTGCCAGAATGGTTCGATGAGGAAAATCCAGTTGGAGAAAGTATCATTCAAAAACTCGGCTTGGACGAAGAGGCAATCGGCGTAGACGAACCTGGCAGTATCGACTTTGATTCTCTGCGAACTCAAATTTTGGCTGCCTCGGATGGTGAGATCGATTTGGAAACAACTAAGACTGCAGAAGAAGTAGCAAACGAAAAACAAGCCGCTAAGGATACTGCAGCCGAGCCAATTGTTTACAAGGTGCCAACAACAATGGTAATTGATGAAGAACCGACCGGAATTCAAATCGAACAAGTCGACATCCAATCATTCGTTCTGCACGTGTTAGATCAGGACGGAGAAATGATGACTGTCGTTGGTTTCCCACTCAACCCGGCCACTTGTGTTGTTTCTCTCAAAGACGGAGAAACTGGAGAAATCATCGGAGTTGACGAGGTTCCTTTCGAACCTGGAACTGGTTATGCCACTTTTGACGCCTTCCAAGTAAACGGAACAGACAAATCAGTCGAATTCGAGTTCAATATTGCCTTCCCTGCTGATTTTGATCTGAATGCAACTGTTCCAGCAGTTTTTTCTTCTGCTCACGAGTTCTTGGCAATGCCCGAGACAGATGGAGACGGAACGTGCGAAGTTTTCGAGGGAGAGGGCTTCGACAAGCAGGAGATTTGGAACGATGACTGCTCACTCATTTGCACTTTGCCATGCAAAGATGCTGGTGGACTTTTGTCTACCTCGCCAAAGTGCCAGCTCAGAGATACGACGGAATGCGGATCTTATGGCTCTTGCAACGCTGGAAACGGATGCGAATGCGACTTAGCATCGATGCCTAGACCAGATCAGGTAGACTAAAAATCAAAGACTTGAATCAATAAAGACCCTTAGATCAATGTCGCTGACCATATTAGCTTCTCATGCGACTCCGAAGGAATGGTGGTAAAGGTCGACAAATGCGTCATGCATCGATTCGGTTTCAGACTTGAGCATTTGGCGATCAACGGAATCGACCGCTCCTATGACGGGTATTTTCGAAAACGTCTGACTCAAACTACTAATAAATTTTAGACCTCTTCAAGGATCTGGTTTGAACACCTGCGTCGGAAAACTCGATTACGAGACTGGAACTGATTACAAATTTACTATCTACGGCGGTGATGCTTGCGGAATGGAGAAAACATTCAACGAAACGCATGTTGTCTACACAAATGCCGTCTCTGGTAGCTTTGGTCATAACATAGGAGGAATCAAGCGAAAGGTGGAGATGTATACCGAGTTTTCATGTGCTTTCGAAACTTCGATTCGTGTCTCGGCAGCTGTTGGCAGTGTCGGACGCAGCACAATCCACAAGGAGCTCAAACGAGAAATGGGTGTCTTCGACGCAAACTTGATGCTCTTTACCGATATGAGCTTTTCGACGCCAGTGACTGGCACTTACACCGTCGAAGTCCCTAACCAAGTCTTCGTCGGAGCATTTGTGGCTGATCTTCACTCGCGATACGCTTTGGTTCTTAATACTTGTACTCTTTCTATTGAAGGGGAAGATGACATGACACACGAAGTTATTTCTAATTCCTGCGTCAATCCCGATGTAAGTTATAAGAATTGATAGTAATTTCTTCATAAAAAATCGACTCATAGCAGCAAAAATAAATATTCCCGTAGGAAACTGGCTTCGTGGAGATCTACAACAACGGCGACTCCGATCAATCTCGATTCTCCTTCAAATCCTTCATGTTTATCGGATTCGAAGATCACGAGCAAACTCTTACTTGCAGCATGAAGATTTGTGACACTGAGAGCGAAGCATGCACTCCTTCTTGCTCTGCTCGAAGACGGTAACTATCCCAAAAAGATAATGATTAACCCTTGTTCTTAAGGAGAAGCATCGATGAAAGCGAACTTATCCATGCTACAGCACGGTTTAATACTCGAAAAGAGCAACCAAGAATCTCCCGATGGGAAGCTATTATCAGAGGCTAATTATTTCTGAAAAACATCATTCCCTGAATCAAATAATTTATTTCAAATAAATTATCTATTTATCAAAAAAATTCTTTAAAATATATTTCACAGTTTCCATACAGTAAATTTCCGAATCAGAGACCAAACTCATTCTCAAAAGTTTCTTCCTTTTCTGGACTCACTGCGGTCTTATCTTCTTCCCAATGTGCTCGCACAAAAAGAAGATATAGTAAGCCACCGATTGCTCCACCAATAAGCGGTGCCAAAAGAGGGATCCAAAAGAAGAACTCGGAGTTTGTATCTTCTATTCCGCTAAATGCAACATCGCCAAGAACCATCGCTGCGAACAATCGTGGCCCCAAATCACGAGCAGGGTTAATAGCGCCACTAAAATTCCATCATTACAAGTAAAGATTAATTTTGCTTACCCTCCATGATTTCCATAAGCGAGGCCGATGGCAGTGGCGGTGAGTCCAATCAAAAGCGGGTTGGCTGCATTAGGCATCAGATTTTTCTCGTCGGTAATTGCCGCAATCAGTGTGACCAAAATCATTGTTCCGATTATTTGGTCAAAAAACATCTCACCCTAAGAGAAATAAAAATTGTGATCAATAAAAAAACCAAACCGTTGAAAGTTTGATATCTTCTGTTGGGCAAGTTGCGAAGAGACAGACCAAATCCTAAAAAAACGATAAAATATTTACTATGTTTTCTGATAACCTGGTTTTCGACTCCGTTATATGATTGCCCGTTGAAGACTCCGTACACGACGGAAGCTGCAAGAAACATTCCAAAAATCTGCCCAGCGACATAGATACAAAAGCCGCCTAAATTTTCGATAATCCCATTTCCAAGTCTTCCAGAAAGTGCAGCATAAGTTGTCACTGCTGGGTTCACGTGTCCTCCAGAAGATCCAACGCAAACATAAATGCCAATCGCCACACCTAGCCCGCCACAGATTGCTCCGTGAACTGAAGTTTCATGAATATTTCTTCAATAAAATCAAATCCTAACTCACCAGAACTTGTTTCACCATAGAGGCCCTGATGAGCTCCCGCGATGCCAATTACGGCCAGAAAGAAGCTTCCAAAAGTCTCTCCCAAAAATTGTCTAATCCGTTTTCGTCGAATTCTCAAAAATCGCTGAGCCAAATCCTCGATAGTCATTTTTTCTTCGATTTGCAAGGCGAGCAGTTAACCCTAATATAATTATCGAGTGCCTCCTTCAGTGCGTCGTCTCCACAAATACTGCCCTGATCAAGCACCTGAGTTGTCTGAAATAGCTAATATAAAGATTATTTATCTATAAATGGTTTTTTGAAAAATTGATCTCACTACGAATTTATCCGCAAAAAAGGGCGGAAAAATACTTACAGGGTCAATTTCTGTTATCGATTCTGAGTGAATGAGAACATGGAAACTTTCGAGATAATTTGCGCCTCTTTGCGGGCATTTAAAATTTATGAAAGGCCATTTCCGCGTTTCAGAAAAATCTTGACCATCAGCGGAACATGACCCAGTGGCCTTGAGGTCAAAGACTGAGGTCATTAATTTTTTGTCGGGACAAATGAATTTTATTGAAATGAATATAACCCCGTCTCGTCAAGGAGATCAGAATAGAACACTATTCCGTAACATTCCTTGTCTTGTCCAAAGTTCCCATCGCTATGGTCACGTTAAATGATTACTTTTTATGCTTGCGGTTGAAGTGGAATGGATTAGTCCTTTCTTCGAAGAGTTCGATCATCCTTCCATTCTGAAGATTCTCTTGGCATGAATAATCATCACAAGCAGAATCCAACAACGTTGACAACGATAAGAATGTAGACGTCACATGGGAAGGTTACGGACTCAGCGGAGTGAGTGTCGGGGAGTGCTGCTGCGTCCGATAGACCCTGGGCGGCGAGTAGAATATCTCCTTCTGAACAGAGATCTTGTAAGAACACTGAACTTCTTTAAGAACCTAATAGGTGTCTGAATTGCAGAACGGACTGAAATCATGGACATTCGTCTTAGAGAAAAAATCGCGCTTCAAAATCGAGTAAGTTCTTCTTTCGTAGTGGATCTGTAGATTTTTTTATTTGATTTTTGGTTAATAACATACATTTACTTTAACTAGGAGATCGAACAACTGAAAGAAGCATTAGGTATGAAGAGTGAACTCGCGAATATGAAGGCAATGAATTCCGAGATGAAGCAAACTTTTGAGTACTCGAAGAAAATCATGGACGACCTCAAAATGGTGAAAATTAGATTTTTTCTTTTTTATTATTATTTGAGCGAAACCACAAGGAAGCAAACGAAAGAAAGATTGAAAGTCTTCAGTCAATTTTGATGGAAAAAAGCCGAAACGAAATCGAACTTCAGAGGAAAGAGATTGAGAGATTGGAACTGGAACTGGGAGAGAAGATGAAGAAAAGCCAGCCAGTCACAAAAGAGGAAGAAAAAAGAATTAAAGATTTGGAAAAGCTTAGAAAAAGGTTGGGTGCGAGGGCAGCGCCTGGATTGCCCATTTTCCCGGATCGCCCACATCCCGGATCGCCCATTTTCTTTGATTGCCCATTGTGGGCAAAACGGGAAAATGTGCGGACCAGGAAAATGTGCGATTCAGGAATGGGCAAAACGGGATTTTCAAAAAATTCCAAAAAAACTCTTTATCCTTGAAAATTATTACCTTTTCTTCTTTTCTTGAAAATTGAACAGTCATTTATGGTACGAATATATACTGTATATATACTGAATAACAAACATACTGAATATATACTGTCAGTATATGATTACCCCAGTATATAATATACTGCAATTAAATCAATTTGAAATCGCTAAGTAACCGTGTTTAATCCAGATCACAGAGGTGTTCCGACCGTCGAACTCTGCACAAGGGTCACTCTTTCAGAGGATCAAAATGATTATAATCAAAAAAAATAAGGAAAATTTTTTTCTGACTAAACTGTATATGCTGATTTCGAAAAAAGAGTGATTCATAAGACAGCTGTTTTAAAATCATATAAGAAAAGGATGCTCTTTCATGCAGGTTTTTATGTGGGAACTTTCATTTCTTGAAGTTACAACTATGATTTTCGGAATCTTCGCAGTCGATTCAGTAATAATTACCTTTTTCCTGACGTTTTTGATGTAAAAAATCCTGACCCTCTGAAAAAGGCTGCTCCCGCATTTCCCAAAATCCTGGATTTCCCAAATCCTGGATTTCTCAAAATCCTGAATTTCTCAAATCGCCAAATCAGGATTCTGCCGATTCTGGATTTTGGCAGATAAGCTCGACCGTCGGAACACCCCTGTGATCAGGATTTTGCACGGTAACTCTGCAATTTCCCAACGAGACTCGCAGTCCCTTGCGGAGAAGGACAGTCCTGCCAGGGTGGACTTGTCACCCGCTTGGTCCGGCCATTTTGGTCACCCGCCAGATTGCAGAGCTGACGAATTCCTCTTACCCCTACGATTTTTATTTCATTTTTAAATTCAAATTTCAAATTGCAAATCCTGATTATTTCCTATGTGACATAGGCTATGTCACGTTATGTGCAAACTAACGTTAGAATTTCTAAACCAGCTTCTTTCATTATCAAATTTCAAATTTTCAATTGCAAATCCTTGTTTGCACTCAAATCCCGTTCCGCACATTTTCCCGTTTCGCCCACAATGGGCGATCAAGGAAAATGGGCGATCCGGGATGTGGGCGATCCGGGAAAATGGGCAATCCAGGAGCTGCCGGGTGCGAGACATGGAGCTGGCGAATATTACAAAAATGAGCGTGTTTCGGGAAGAAGTGCAATGGACGACGATGATTTGAAAAGTGTTCTGAAGCTCCTTGCACTTGGAGAGAAGACCGTAAATCTCAAGGAAAGAGAGTTTTATTTTTAAGCGTAACTTACGCTGCGTAAGTCAACTTCAAAATCTCTCTACAAAGCTATATTGCCATGATTACGATGTCTCGAAAGATGGATGGCGCTTGAAATTTGAAAGTTGTAAGACCGAACTCGCGGAGGAAGACGGTTGTCTCTTCGGGAAATGTTTCGGGAATTGTTTCGGGAAATGCGAAGATTCAACCGAGGACGTCTACTATGGCAACTTTACTTTAACGATTCGAAACGAAGGTAAAATATGAAATTTTCACTTACAAAAAATTTATTTAAGAAGGCTGCCCCAAATATAGAGCCGTCGCGCAAGTTATCAACGCGTTGACTGGAGAAGAGTCGAAACGGAAAGAAATCAAAAGCGAGGCTAATGGACGGCGACAAATCATTGAATACGATCCTGATCAGATTTTTGACTGTACCGAGTACATAAGGTTTAACATATATTTTAAGGGCGAATAAAATTGTTTCAACGAGTTCATATTGAGTTTTATATTCAACCCCAATGCAATGGAGTCTTCCTTGATTCCTTGCAGATTTCTTACTGAATTGAACAAGCAAATGTTTCGACCAATAAATTGGTGCAAAACTGGCTAAGATCTCTTTGTTTTGCAAGTTGTCGTTTTCGATTTTCAATGAGTTTATTACAAATATATGAAAGTGTAAAAATGGGCAGCTATGAATAATCAATGATAGTTTTCCCGTTTTCCTTCTTGATGTCGAGCTTTATTCCCAGTTTTCGGTATCTTTCCAGTTCATACTTTTCTTCATCGGGTATTGCCATTGCTGATGTACCAGAGCTTCCAGTTGCTGATTCTAAGGAGGTTCGTTTGGTCGACACAGGCTTTTTCTCGTCTTTTATGGGGCCTATGAAATCGGTATTCGAACAAGGCTGGAAGAAATCTGCTGGAATGAGGGATGATTTTATCCTCAACTTTGGAAAGACTCCCGAAGCGTCGAACAAGTGGTAGCCATCTTTAGTCTTGAACCGCTGCTTTCTCAGCAAAGTGACTAGTCTTGCTCGAGAAGCGATGAATTTCAGCTTCGGATCGTCGATCTCCGGCATCCATTCTTTTTTCATCACCACCATGTCTGGCTTCTGAAATCGAATAAGAAATGAAATTGCTTTTCAAAATTTCTTACCTTTCTTTCGAGAGGTCTCTTTCTTTGAGTTTGTGAAGATCGGGAAATGGCTTCGCTGAAATCACCGTACTTCAGTCTTTTTGCTCGTTGTTTTTCCAGCTTTCCGCCGCGCCTTCCTCGAGGGGATCGTTTTTGTCTTCTTGGCTTGTACCCTTCAGGGAAAACTTCTGGGTGATCAAGCAAGAGTTGAGTCTTCACTTTGAGAAGTGGAAAATCGCGGCTCTTGCGGAAATAGTGGTAGTCGGCTTCTACGTAGAACAACTTGTTTCTCAGCATTTCTGACAGTCTTTTGAGGTCTCCGATGCCACTGTATTTCCCGTCTTCGCAATCGAGGGTTGTTTCTAGTGTGACCGTCTCCGGCTGTGGCTCAGGTTCAGATTTCACTGCGACCATTACAGTTTCCATGATGTGCGCCCGGCTGTCTCTGCATAAAGTTCCATCATGTTCGAATCGCTTTGGAATCAAGTTCAGCTTCGTCTTCTTAAAAGAAAGTTGTTTATCAATGAATAATTAGTATCATTTCTTACATTCGGGTTACAATCTGCCCAGATGTTCGCATTTTTCTTCGCTCTTTTGATTCTAGCCTCGGCTTTTTGCTTTTCCTCGGCAATTTTACGGGCAATTTCTTGATTCAAAATGGTCATTGCGGGATCTTCTTCTTCAGAGAACTCATCTGAGGACTCGGAAAGAACTGGATTCGTGGTCGCCATCAGAAAGGGTTGGGAACTGAAGCTGCATCCTCAGAAATCAACAGTGAGAGGATGCGATTCTAGAGACGATCAAAATTTCTTCTTAATGATTTCCTGAGAAAATCTATTTTTCTGCTTATTTGTCGACATAAAAAGAACTAGAGCCTCATTACTCAGAAAGCATAAACTCATTGACTTTGATCGCGCGTTTCAGAGTGATTTCCAAATAAAGCAACTTGGATCCTACCTAAAAGCCGATTACCGTTTTCACTAGAATGATTTGTCTTTTCCACGAAGCAATCGAAGCGCAAAGTCTTTTGGACTAATTAGGCCACCGTTGAAGCAAAAAAACTCTGGCTGTATCGGTCACTAAGTTATCCGATTAGACATAAACTGAGCCACGACTGTATGAGTTTCAAGAAAAAACAGCTGGTGAGTGTTTGCTCTAAGAAAGAGCTCAGCAGGGGCTAAACTTGTACCTGTGAATGAAAAATCAGATCGCAGTGGGAAAAAAACAAACATTGAGAAAAGTGCACCTGATTTTCAGTAGCTGTTATTGATCTCCTGCTGTGCGATCTCGTGAAACGATAGTCTCCCGCTGAGAATGAAATGTCGCAAGAACTCATATCATTTTCTGGACAGTATGTTTGGATAAGGTTCTTTATCCAAACAAGATTTTGTATTTTTCGATTGTGCCTCTGAAAACAGAAGGCCAAAGGTTAAAATTTGCATAAAAAGAATCTTCCCAGAACCTTTCCCGCTAATTTTCAAGTGAACCTTCTATTTATTATCATCATTCGATCAGCTCTCCTTCCGTCGGAGAAGTCGGCACTTTGTTCATTATGCTCCAAAAAGGCAAAATTAGTTCCACCTCGTCTGACTACGGCAAAAGAAAAACAGAGTGGCTTATAATAACCGAGGGTTGAGTTATCAGCCGGCTGGAACACTAACTTTTTGGGCACTTGAGTTCGCTCGGAGAAAGTCCTTTTATCACAATACCCACACTACTTGAGTCTGAATTTACCTCTCAAGTGGCCCAAATGATCAAAAAATTGGCTACAAGTGCTCGTTACAATAATTTTCTGAGAAAAGACGAATTCTGCCGCGTGGAGACGATCTCAACTTTCCCAGAACAACTGAAATCGGCAGGCTTAGGGCGGGTACATTTCATTCTGCCAAGAAAAAAAAAGGGTGACAGGTGGAGGAGGGTGCAACTTGACCTCGGAAGGGATTAAAGGTGCAGTTTTCTTGCCAAATCGAAGGGTTGAATTTGTTATTCTGGGAACTCGCTTATCCGGATTTTGAGAAAATTTATCATTGGAGAAATTTCCATGAAAAATTTTTTACTGTCTTCCGGGAATTCTCGTACCCAGTGAAACATAGCTGAGCAAACCGAAATTTTCTAAAATAGAAGTCCCCATATTTTTTCTTTCTTGACACACCGTAAACCGCCCGTACCGTTTTTTCGTGGAAAGTTTATTTCTTTGCCGAAGAGTGGCAAAAAGAGGAGGAAGCGGAAATTCTTGCAATAGCGGAAATTGACTATTGGCTTCATGTTTTTCATGAGGAGTTAACGATCGCGTGACCGGATGTCCCAACGCCAAGGCTTTGTCACGGGCAATTGGGCTTTCCAGTACTCCCCTCGCTGACCCTAATTCGCCTTGTAAAGGAGACATGCTCCGTGGGTTTTATCCGATCAGCAGAATAGCTTTTATGGGCAAATTACAGTTACTCAAGCCATTCGCAGAAAAAAAAATAATTTCTATGATACTGTCAAGTTTTAAAAATAGGATTTCTATTATAGAAAGAAAGAGCACAAACGGTATCACCCGCCGAAGACGTGTTGCTTTTTCGGTTTGAGCCTTTGTTTCCAGCCCTGAAAAGTGTCGACACTCACTCGAGGGGTGTTGTTCCTGACAGCTCGGTGCCCTGAGGGGCATGGGAAGGAGAAGGAGGTGGTGATAAGGCGCAATGCCCGAAAACGGACATAGGTGTGGAGCCGTGCAAAGGGAAACTTTGAAACTTTTCCACGAATAGAAGAAAGCCGGGATTGGGAGGTTTATCAGTTGTCTGGGAAATACCAAATAAAGAAAGCTAGAAAAATTCGCTCGTTTAAAAAAAATTGGCGAGGCATTACTTATCAAAACACGATTAAGAGTTATCATCACATCCATCATTAATTGAAAAGCTAAAACGAATTCTACAAAACCTCCTTTATGATTATTGATGTTTATAATATCCATATCGAGAAAAACGCTTTATTGGATCAGAAGCAAATTGATATTGCTCTCGGTTTTTTGTCTCAACGAAATAAAACTCCCTTGTCCCAATAATTAATCCAAACAGTCGTCCCTTTGTTGCGCAGAATAATTATCGAAATGTCGGTCAAAGGCAGCTTTTTGTGGATTAGAAAGTGGTTTACGATAAACAGTGCAATTTTCTTCAAACGGATTGAGGAGACGTAGATAGTTCCACTGGCCTGGCCCAAATTAGGACGTTGCGCAAGAAGCGACGCGCGGAGGAAGAAAGGGTTCATGTGATAAAAATCAAAATGCACAGCGGCGAAAGGGGATGAAGGCCGATTGCATAATGGATTCGGAGAAAATTAGCCGAGATTGTTCAACCAAGAATATCGCCTTTGAAAAATGATGCAGTTCAAAGCCACATCTGGCGAAGCGGTCACTTTCAAGCGTTCATCCTCTAAGGCATAAGTAATTGAGAGCTAGAAATCGGAAATCACATCTACCGACCAATCTGGACCCTTATCGACAGAAAATGTTTATGAAATGCGACTTTCAACTCGCCAGAAAATTTTGTCTGCTAGACAGTCTGACAGACAACGAAAGCACCTTTTATTTTCGCGGTTTCCTGTTTGAGAAAGTGCCATCTTTTCCCTCCTTCCGAACTCTTTGAAAATAATGATCAAATATTTTGAGATAAACTCAGAAATAAATATTGTTTCAGCGATTTTTCTGGAGAGTACTTTCCTTCACTGGGGATTATATTTGTTCAGCATATCTGCTCGGCTTCCGGCATCGTCGCTGAAGGGATACAATCTCTCAGTTGGGAGCTCAGCTAAGAATACACGATTTTGTTTGTCCAAGGGGATGAAGAAGGCGCTGATTTTTTTTTCGGAACTGTGATTTATTGAATCTCAGATTTTCGTGATATTTGAGAAGATAATAAATCGAAGAAGCAATTTGAACAGGCTATCCTTTGGTTTGGAGGATTGAAACATGCATAAAAATTCAATTTCCTTTGAGCAAATCTGTGTCCACTTCTATCTGAGATCTCAACTTTTGAAAATCAGTGGACGCTCCTTCCGTTTTTTATTAGACGCAGACTTATCTAATAACCCTCAATTGAGGCAGTCTGGGAAAGTTACTCTCCTTGATATTAACTAGGCCATATTGACAGTTGTCGGTTTGGCCGTGGCCCTGATTTCCGGTCCCAAATGTGACCGCCACCTGCACCTGATCAGCAGTGGCTTGCGGCTTGATTGGCATCTTATGTAATCTAGATCATCATTTTCTCTTGGCACAAAGGGAGAAAACGCATATCGGATCTTCCGGGCGGGATTTTCACGCCAAACCAGCGAACATATCCGGCTTATGGACAGAATTCGCCCTCCAAAACAGGAAACGCGTTCAAATCCGCAGTGGAACGAGCAGCCAAATTATGCAACCCTCGTGTTTCCCATGCGATGTCACCTTCCGGGAAATATATCGACGGAGCGTGATGCCAGGAGCTCGAATGAAAAACTTGCATCACCGAATGGGGATTAGAATGGAGTAAGTCACCAGTGGCAAAACACAAGCGAATTCGGAGGAAAGGCGGGGTGCCCGACGAGTTGCGCAAGGAGGGATTAAGAAAATATATAACTAAACCAGCTGATGACAAAATAAGGACTCTGTTCACGTGAATCCTCGTTGATGTTAAAATTGGACATTTCTTCTTCTTAGGTAAGTTCCATCTGGCACTCGAGAATTTCGCCCGGAAAGGTAGGTTCATTCGAACTTCGCGAGGAATCAAGGTTTCTCTGCAATTATTCAATTTTACAGCTGCTATCGAAATTCCAAATTCAAAAATATTTCAAAATTGAAAGAAAAAGGCATTCCAGCTTTTCCTGAAACGTGGCTAACTCGCGTAAACAAAACACTCGAAGGGAAATAATCAAACGATAATCTGTTTTTGCGAATTAGCATGTTGGATGAAATCATTGAAAATGATTTGCATAAACGCCGGAAATCATCTGTTTGCGCGCTCGCGAGGGATCAGCGCCGGATCACGAGTATCCCGGTTAGGAGTTTGAATAAATTGATCACTACGTAGCAGTTTGGGGGATTTTAATCGATCAGGAAGCAATGATTGTATGTACAAGGGATTGACGATCGATGGCGTAACGGGGCCATCAATTCTGAATTTTTGTATTTTAGGAAACATGTTCGAAAGTTGGGTTTTCGAGCTTTCGATTTTACTTTTGACACTTGATTTTAGATACTGATGAAAATTTTGAGCAGTAAAAATGAGGACTCCAGATTGTTGTCTGAATGAGTGACCTGGAACTTTTCGAGTGCCAGATGGATGAATTTCGCTGGTTCTTTTCACTATTATTATTTTTCACTTGTTTCAGGATTGAAAAGTAAACCCTGCACGTCATAATTCAACCTCGACTGCTCAAAATGGCGCGTTTATGGTGGGCCACATTGTCAGAGTCGAGGTCACGCGCGCCAGATTCGGGTCAAGCTTCGTTTTGACATTGTAGCAGAAGTGATTGTCAAGAAGAAGGATAAGTGGAGATTTGGGAGCTACTCGTAAATGGATAAGCTGGGAAAGGGCATGGACGAAAATTGCAACTTTTTGTATGGTCGCTGTCAGGTCATGCCCTGCTCTTCGTAAAATTGAATAGAAGAGCTTTATTTCTGACAAAATTATCAATCTCAGTGCCAGATGAAATTGAATAAGTTGTACTCTTCTAATTTCCCTGAAAAATATCTTCTCAATCATGAGTCAATCAAATTCCTTCAATCCTTTCTTGAATCGTCTGCATTCATAAAATTTCTAGAGTCAGCGAAAACTCAGCCTTGATCCGTCTGAGCCAAAGCTCATCCTCAGCTCGAGGTCCAAATCCGCCATGATTGAGTGCCCTAATTAGTCCTTTCCCTTCTTCCAACGGGCGGCCGCGCCCAGCGCCCGTTTCCAAATCGCGCGCGCGAACACCTGATTTTTGTGGCGTTAGCGAGCTCCAGTGGCGCACTCGCGCACCCTTTATAATCGGCACTTAGCGTCGGAGAAGAATATCAAAATCAGCGAAAAGCAACCGTGAAGTGATCAAATTTGAGAACTTTTTCTTTTTCACCAAAACAAAAACTCGAAAAATGAACAACAGAAACACTCCATCAGATGAGGGCTACCAGTCTGACCCTGGCAGACCCAAGACAAGAGATTTCACCACAGAAGAACTGAAGCTGTTCGCCCGAGAGAATAAAGCTTTCCGGGAGAAATACTTCATCGAAGAAGTTCTTACAAACTCTGCCAATGGAGTCATTTACAAAGGTAAAAACTTTTTTCTAAATTTGATTATCTTAAACTCGAAATAATCGTCTTCTTTCATAAAAATAACTTTTTTCTTAGGATATCGAGCTTCCGATCACTACAAAGTCGTCGCAAAGCAAATCCCAAAAGCAAAAGTCTTCGAATGGGGAGCAATTGGCGACCGAGTTGTTCCTACTGAAATCGAAATGCACTTCAAAGCTTCTTCTGTCGATGGAGTCGTCAAAGTCCTTGACTGGTACGAGCGAAAAACAAGGTAATTATCGATCTTTATTTTGATTGTCATCTTCCCTTTTTTAATTATAATGAGCAAATCTCTAACCTTTATCTTCAGCTTTGTTCTCGTCATGCAACGACCTTCCAACTCTTGCGATCTCTTCGACGTCTCTTCCAAGCTCGGTGCTTTGGCCGAAGATCCCACCAAAATCATCTTCTCCAATATCGTCAATTCAGTCATCTCGCTCCACCGAGCTGGCCTCGTCCACCGGGACATCAAGGACGAAAACATCCTCGTCGACCTCGAAACCCTCGAAACCAACATCATCGACTTCGGCTGTGCGACCAAGACTACTGATGCTCCGATGACTCAGCTTACCGGCACACCTGAATTCTTCGCTCCGGAGATGTACACGACCGGAAGCTACAAAGCAGAGGAAACAGCTGTCTGGAGCCTCGGCACTCTTCTCTACTGCCTTCTCGTCGGCCAGATTCCCTTCCAGACGGACAAGCAAATCGTCCGCCTTGAGACCTGCCAGCCCGAACTCGAAAAGAACCTCTCCGAAGACGCCAAAGATCTTCTCAAATCGCTCCTCCAGCTCAACCCCGCTCGTCGACCAAAGCTGAAAGAAATCCTCGACCATCCTTGGTTTTTCAACTTCGCCTAAAAGAACATTTCTTCTTCATTCAGACCACTGTATTTTTTTCATGTCTTTTCTACCAAGATTTGGACTGTATTTATTATAAACCTTGTACATTGAAAAAATTCATTAAAATCTTCAAAAATTACTTTCTTTTTGTCTTTTTTTTTCGCAAAATTGAGCAAGCCAGAAGTATCTTACAGTAATATATTTGTAAAATATTTTGAGATTGCCCATTCAAAGTTTTTCATAGAAAATAACAGGCTTTAAATGTGATTTGAAGGTTATGATTTCGAACAGACAGTTTTCTAGAGAGATTTCACCAAGAAAATATGCGTAGTTGTCCTAAATACAGAAGGAAAATGAGCTGAGATCGCCAGGTGAGCATGAAATCACCAGTATGGGATTTTGGTGTTTTGATTTGGCCTCTAAATTCGCAGAAGAGTAACGAGCGCGCGCGGAAATAATTGAAAAAGCAGAGTGCATAAACCCAATCGAGCATTTTGTTTTTCGAAAATTGACCAACACCAAATTTAATCACGTGCTTCCAAAATAAACCTCGAATTATACACGCTGGCCAAAGGGGCCGTTATTCCGCGAAAATGGAAAAGTCTGAACAGCTCGTGCATTACTGACAGTTTGACGGTTAATAATGTTTTGATCAAAACAAATATGGAACCTTCAGCCTTTTCTGTCTACCAGACAGTCTAAAAGTCCAAATTGTTTATCACTTAAACTTGCTAGGTGAACCTTGTTGATCTTATCCTTCAAAATTGTTGATATATTCGCTGTCAAAAGTGTTCACTGGATCATTCTATATAATGGGCCCATAATGGGTAATTGAGGCATATTTTTGAACCAATTTCACCGTTGTCAAATAATCGCCCATCTGGACGTCATAACGATAGTGTTATCGAAAAAATATAAACCTATGGACGAGAAGTATTAAACTAATCGAGCGTCACTTTTAATCGAAAGCCGATGGTGATGATTTTATTCATTTTATATTCTTCGAACGAGGAACAAACAACCTTGTAATTCGCCTGTCACGAGACTGGGAACTCTTCAAAGGGTTGAAATTTCTGAAAAAACAAGCCCGGAAGTTGCGAAAATTTTCTAGCACCGCGCCGAACCCAAAATAGTGTTACTAAACTTGGAAATCTTCAAACGCCGATATTTCGTCCTTGGAAAAGCCAAAAGGGCAAAAGTTTTGAAATTTCGAGGGAGGGCATTTTCTTCAAGAAAGCGTGACAATTGGAACCCTACGTAACCCAGATCTCAGGCTAAAAATCCGAAAAACGGGGAGTATTACGGGAACAACGACGCGTGGCGATTGAGGCCACGTGATCTTAGGCGAAAGTCAAAAGAAAATTCGAAAGTTTCGCATTCGAGGTCAATCCGATTTCATAAGCGCCGTCAAGATTGATTTTTGCAGTTTGCTCGAGTTTTGATATTTCTGATTATGCCGCGTGCGCAAAAATGAAGAGCAAATTTGGGGACGTCGACGGACCCAGATTTTGGCCTTCAACTCTGGGCAGTAAAATACGGAAGGGATCAATCATCGTGAAAGTGCGTCCGCTGTCAAAACTGGCACACTTTTGCAGATATCCAAAATTGTCTCTCTGATGTCTGAACGACTGTCTACCAGACAAATTTCAAGAAATACAGGGGTAGTTTTCACTAAAAATTTCTTACTAAAAGTGCTCTTCATTCTTTCAAGATAAAATTTTATCAACGACCTGTCTGCCAGACAAACAATTCAGCCTGGCAACATTTAGGAAAAGGCACTTCACTTCCCAAAGCCATAAATTCAACCCTCACTTACCTTTTCCAAACACTTTCTGCCTATTTGAAAAAACTTGACCGCGCAAAGGTTATGCTTGGCTTTGTCCCAGGGCTGTTTGCTTCTGGCGAAAATTTTTGTAAATTTCACTTCCGGAAATTCACAGACATTCGCGATTCTTGGCAGTTTTTGAGCTCTTTTGGCACTTTTACTTCTAAGCTGAGTGCAAGGCCAAGAAACTGCATAAATAAATCAGCTATTTCTCAGGGCCGCCCTAACCCTCGTAAATCCGGAAATTGCGGACGATGCCAGGCCAAGGGCATCCGCTAAGATGATAATTCATGGGAGGTCAAGTCCCTTTACAAGATGCCTGCCAAATTTTTGATTTCCGAAGCAGGTACCTCCTTTGCGGTTTCTGAGAGACCAATACAGCAAATTTACGGCTTGATAAAGATGTTGCTATTTTTTCAAAGGGAAAAAATTAGAACTTTTCAAAAAGGACTTTGGCTAATTTTCTGCTCGGAAGATCGGTAAATACGCTTTCGAAAGTGCTCGTAAATCTCGGACGAACATTTGATGAATTTTCCGCTAATGATAAATTTTGGTCTCGCCTTGAACTTGGGCCAGTAGTCCGGAAACCGCCGCGCCCGACCTTGAACTGGCCGCATCGATTTCGTTTCTGATAACGGGAGCTATTTACGAGCCTGTTTGCTTTTGTGGTCTGATTACGGATTGTACTTGAACTTGAGCCAGCTTCATTTGATTTTTGGACATCAGCTGGGTTTGTGCTTCAATGGCGGATTTGATCGAAGAAAGTTACAATGGAGTAAAAAATTTTAATCAAACAAACCTTGACCTTCTCAATTAGGGCCATAAACTTTGACCTGCTCTGTAGGAAGTTACAATGAGTGGCAATTTCCGCCTCCTTCTGACCTCAATACTAAACACTGGGAAGCGGTTGACCTTGGCCCTTCCAATCTCGATTCCAAAAAGGGATGAAAACAAACTTTCTCATATTTTGCGGCGCGATCAAAGGCGGAAAGTGCTCTGGAAGAAGAAAGATGAAAGGGATGAGTTAGGTGCTATTCCCTGGACAGGTACTTCAGGCGTTTAGGAGATATCTTCCCAAGGCCGCCGGATGATAAATGGGCCATTGATTTTGATTTGCAGTAAGATAAAAACAATATTTTTAAAGAGGCACTTTCAAGGTTTCCGGGGCCAAGTTGAAGAAAATGATTCTATTAAATTTGGCGGAATTTCAAACATAGAAAACGAGGAATAAAATGTTAAACAGGCGGAGCGTTTTTGACCTTGACGAGCAATTAACGCGTTACGACTCAAAGGGCCTTTGCGATCAAAGTCATGTGGATCTGGAACGTGTCCAGTGTTATTTCAGCTTTTATGCATTTTTCAATATTTGCGGTGAAAATGTAATCCAGACTCTTGAGCAAAATCACGGCTGAGTTTCCTCAAATACGAAAAGAACAAGTTCCTTAACAAAATAATCAATAAAAAATATCAAGCAAATAAAAAGAACCTCGAAGGTAAATTTGCGCGAAAAAGGCGCTTGACAGTTGTTATGTTATTGCAGGTGGAGAGAGGTCCAGGGTTCCATTCGTGTACCAAACAAGGCATAATCCTGAAGGCACGGGCATCCGTGAAGAGTCCAATTTACTAAAGCGCAGATTAGGAGTACTAAAAGCCGTGAGAGTGGCAAAGGATATCGGCGATATCATATCGCGTAATGTTCAATTAGCAGTTCGTTTCTTGGTTTTCTCTTGAATTCTGAATGATTTCTATCCTTCAAGAGCTTCAATGATCAAAAACCTCGGCTTGAATTCTTTCATCCTTTCTTCAACTTCCGCTTTCCCGCCAAAAACCGATTCAAGCTCCAATTTACGAAGGTGATTTAACGAGGTGCCACGCGCCTAGAAGCGCCTTCTATTCCCATCAAGAAAATTTACTCAGCGCGGAGAAGCCCTATGAAAATTCTGGCGGAGCGGGGAATACCTGGAAGTAATAAAATAGGCTCGAATGTGTTATAAATCTGTCGTATTAAAGTGTTGTCGAATTGGATCAGACATCTAAAGGGCTTTGATACCCGATCATGGGAACAAGCGAGTCACACATTTCTGGATATTCCAATTAGCGCTAGTTGAAAAATTAGAATTCTAATTTGAAATTTGGCATACCGAAAAGACATCAAGTACTCAGATCCCAAAAAATCGTTGAACAAAGCTAAATTTCCCCTACCCGCCGGGATTTTTTATGAACGCCATAAGAATGATCTTGATGAGCTTTATCGAAAATTCCTTCTCGTTTTTGTCGAAAAAAAGAAAAAAAATCATGTAGGCTGAATTCAATCTCGCTATGAAACTTCGAGATATGATTAGCCGTCGATTTAGCTAACTTTTTGACACAAATCTATGAATTTTGAAAACAAGAAGGAACAGAATTAGATAAATTGGAACGGGAGAACTCATCTGCCACACTGGACTCCAGGGTCTTTTTTCAAAGTCTATCCTGCTAAATTCAGATTTTTGCCGACGTTTATCCTGTTAGCTAGAGGTTACCCTATGTAAATGGGGAATCTGACAGAGTTACTTAAAAGTTGTCATCAACAAGATTTTATTTATTTTCGAAATATAAAATTTAATAACTCGATAAAAGAAAAATGGTCGATATGATAACATCGATGTGAGGGGATTCAAAAGAATTCTCTTCAGGAGAGGCAAAGCGGTAACAAAAGCCTTGGATAAGGCGAGAGGAGAAACTGTTATCGTCAAGGGAATTCTTCTGGAAAATCCAAGTCATCGGCAAGATGCACAAGATGAAGCCGCCACTCTTCGAGAATTAGGTTAGTTGCTCTTTTATGAAAGGGTAAATTTATCTGACGTTAATTAAACATGACTAGATCATGCGAATATTGTTCGATTTGTCGACTTCCTCGATTATCAAACGCCAAGATGGGCCGGTGGATCGATGAGTTTTATCATCATGGAATACTGTCGTGGAGGAGACCTGGCTGGCTGGATTGCCAAGATGAAGGCATCTGGAAGACAAACAACGAAGGAAGAAGCAGCACTTATTGGTGCACAGATGATATCTGCACTGAGCTACTGCCATGAGAGGAACAAGGTTCACCTCGATTTGAAACCGGCAAACATTTTCATTCTTGACGACTTTATAACAGTAAGATCCACTATCAATGATTTCTAGCTGAGCTCAACTTCAAGATAAAAATCGGCGATTTTGGAAGCGCCCAGTCAGTCCGATCCGTGATGGACTCGATCAACGCAAGCAGAGGTTATCCGATGGTATGCACGAAACTTTATGCTTCCCCAGGTAACATTCATTACGAAAAGAATTAGTTAAATTTGATCTCTGAAGAATGGTATGAAGAAAATGCAAAAAAGTCTCCAAGAATCGATGTTTGGGGATTCGGCTTGATTTTACAGGTAAATTGAAATAAATTCCCTGTTCAAAGATTATTTCCAAAAGGAAATTCTGACATTAGAGCATGCTTTTGGTCGAGTTGATGGTCGAACTTGCGGATCACGTAAAATTGGTAAGATGATCCGTATTCTGAAATAAATAATTAACGTGCAAAATAATCTGTAGAGAAAAATTTGCTAATGGGAAAACGGACATCTCTCTTCGAAATCTTTGGCGAAAATGACGAATTCGAAGAATTCGAAGCCCTTCTTGAAAAGTGCACTCGACTTGATCGCAAAAGACGACCGAGAAATGCGATTGAGCTTCGAAATGAAAATCTCTTCCTTGATTTCTTGCAGCGAATCGAAAATGGCGAGCGACCTTGCGACATTGTTCCTCCTCCCTTCATTAACGAAAGAAACCAAATAAAGCGACTTCAAGAAGTTATTAAAAGCAAAGACCAACTCATCGAAAAGCTGGAGAAGAAAATTCAAAGATTAGAATTTCTAGCTAATGTTGTTTTTGCTCTTTTTCGCCGTATTTTAACTCATTTTTAGACGAAGAAGAAGGCTGACACGCTTTACTCTGATCTCGAGGAATGCAAAGGTGATCATAAATTGATCTTCAAACTCGGCAAAGACAACGTCCATCTTTTCGAGACCGTTGATCAACAAATTATCATCATGGATGTTCTTTTGGAGAAGGTTATTGAAAAGTCTGTTGCTGATCGGGAGGCCTTATCGAAACTTCTGATGGTTATTGCCGATGAAGCTAATTTTATGGACTGGGAAGCTTGGTAAAACAGAATCATTAAGACATTGCCTAACTTGTATTTAGTATTGTTCCATTCGTCAAGAAAGCAGTTGAACAAGATCGGATCACTCGTTGCCCCAAGTTCTGGAAATATCTTTCGTAAGACTACACTTATCTATCGTGAATAAATATAATTCTAGACAATGTATCTGCAAGATCTACAAATCCTCTGCAGTTGACCCTAAATCCATCAAGGGAATCACTGAACCAGCAAAAGATCTCTGTTCTTGGACAAACGCCATCTGTGCTATGATCGAAGAGATCGACTACATTTTCTGGGATAAGAAGAGGATGCACGATTTGTACTCCATCGCAGAAATTGATCTTGCCGCGATCATCGCCGAAGATGGACTCTCACAGACTCCCGAAGAGTGGTACGTTATCTCCCTATGTCTTAACTCGCCACTTATCAAATCAATCAAGCTTTGCCGAACTGGAATTAGATTTTTTGCTCAAGCCTCTAGTTTTATGGGGCAAGGTCGAAAGCCAGCTTATTGACAGCTTGAGAAATCACGCTTTTGGCGAATCAGAGATGGAAGACTTCTCGAAGGAGTTTGATATGTTGGAGGAGATGGTTCCCGAAGGACCTGATGGACGTGGCCACCGAAACTTTATCAAGGTTCTTGTCAATGCAGTCATGACCTTTTCCGTCGACTCTGGTAAAAAATCTTCCATGCTCTCTGTTTTATAAAGAGTTTAAATTTAGATTCTAATCAATTGATCCTTCGAAGCCGGGTAGACTCCAAATTCTCTGACTGTGGGTTGCTGTTGCGAAAGTACATCAATAACGAGGACAATGGACTAGAAGTGTTGTTCGTAATGTCGGACATCTTCAGAAAGAAACACGAGAATAATCCCAGTAAGTTTTTGCTAAACTGCCAAAAATGCACGGAAAATAATAACAAAGCCTTATAGTACTGATAGAGAATGTTTTCTCTGAATTGTACGACCTTTCTATTTTGGAAATTCCGACCTTCCAGGCGTGGATCAAATTGAGAAGCGCAGAGAAACTTAAAAACTTCGCGGTTATTTCTGATGCCACCAAGTAAGCCTATTGATGTTATACTATGGTATATATGATATACATTTTTTAGGGATTTTTTCTTATCCTTGGATCAAATAAAAATAATGGAAGAAAAGAAAGAGTTGGAGAAGCTGAGGAAGGAGCTGGGTGCTGTAGGTGGAACTGGCGAGTTTTATCAAGATGATCGACATGTTGAGCAAGGTGGATGGAGAGAAGAAGTAAAAGAAGAAGGATTGCGGAAAGTGCTGAAGCTGTTGGCAGTTGGAGAGCGAAAAATCAATCTTAAGGAACGAGATATCTTAGGTTTTTTTTGAAATACTCTGTTTCAAATAGGATATCCTCTCCTAAAAGTTTCTGTCGAAGCAAAATTTCGAGGTCGCAGAAGCAGGATGGTACTTGCAATTCAAGAGTGCTTTGTGTGGAGGAAATGGCTGGTTCTACTTATCGATTTGGAATAAAGGTAAAAGAAGTCTTGATTTATAATTTTTCCCTTAATTTTTAGAAGGCGGCAGAAGATTCAAAGCCGTCGCGCAAGAAATTGGTTATTTTACTGGAGAAGAAAAAAATCTGAAAGAAATAACAAGCGAGGCGGAGGGACTGCAACAAGTGATAAAATATGAAAGAAAAACTCATTCTTTTTATGTAAGATTTAATATTTGTTTCCTGTAAGTCATCATTCTAAGGCGAGAATTTATCATCTGTGGTCATCCATGCTTCTAGTATTCCATTATCATCACATTACTGCTATTGCATTTCGTGTCTTTTCTGCCCCTTTTTGATCTTTACCCTACGATTAGCCTTTTATGCTCATCTTTGGAATGCTTTCAATCTATTTACTGTATATTTTCTGCGGCTATCATTTGAAAGGAAATTTAAACAAAGATCAAGACGATTAAATTTGTTGGACAAAAATCTTAATAAAGTCAGGTGTTTATTCTTATTCTGCTCAAAAACACGAATCTCTTCGCGTTCCAAAAGCCCCAGTAATTTTCAGTTTCACGATTTCCTCAAAAAGGTTTAATCGTAATCGTCATTCGAACTAGCACGCCTTTGAAAATCGGAGAATTTCGCGCTCTCGAGCAGCCGACAGGCACAGAAATAGATAGAGAAAGTTGAACAGTTGAATGAAAGTGCCCAGAAATCGTCGGTTTGCAAGGAAGAAGCGCTTATAGAGCGGCTTGAATTGCATCGAAGATTGCGTTCAATTTCTTGTCGCTATCGATGTACCCGTCGCCTGAATAGATTCCCGTTAGAGACAGAATAAATAAAGATTGTACCTTTAGTAAGCTTGGAGTGAACCAATTGGCCATTGACGTTGACCTCAAGAGCACCGGAGGTCTCCTTAGTCGGCTCAGAAGTGATCTCGACCTGGGAGGCTTCGAATTCGTCCAAAATCTGAGCCTTGAGATGCTCAAATTTCGGACGGTAGCCTCACCCGCCGCAGTAAATAACGTGGATTTTCACAGCCATTGTCTAAAACAAATCGTATCGAGCATTTTCATCTTCAGTAAATAATAGTTTTACAATCGAATATTTACATGAAAAACAGAAAAAAGGGAAATTGGAGTTTGGAAGTGCCCACTTATTTGAGTCTTCGTTGACTTCAATACGATAGGGTTACAGTAGATGGTGACTGTATTCAGATACTTCAAACGTGGTGATAATTCGTTGACTGTATATCAAGCTTTGTCAGTTGTGCAGTTAATTACTATTAATAAGTTTAACTGTCAAAAACTATCGAAAATTTTACTCAAATAACAAATATCTGCAATTGCGGGAAAATTTTTTCATCGAAATTTAATTTAATGTTAGTTTTTTAATTTTGCTAAATCAATTGTCCAGAAATCAAAATTATTAACGGAAAAAGAAATTTGCTTAATCAACAAAAAACTGACTCATCACTTGGTTTAACGAAGCGGCGGCGACATCAAACAAACAACGCGCCCCTATTTTTGGTAACGGCCTTGGTACTCCTCTTTTTGTCTCTCCTAAAAAAGTGAAAAAGTCGAAAAGAGTGTCTTTCTGATTCTCCGCTGTTGCTGATTGGTCAAATTTCGCGCCGTCGGGGGCGATCGGGCGCGCGCACGGGCCAAGAAAGGGAAAGAATCCGAAAAACGAGCTTTTCGCTTTTCAAAGAAAGAAAACTGAAAGAAAGACTTCGAGAAAATTATGAAGGGATGAGAAGGCATTGAGAAAGATAAAAGAATAGAAAGGAAGAAAAATGGGAAAACAAGTGATGAAAGTTGAGTTATTAGGTTCGGGTTAAAATTATCGTTTGTTTTTGGTTAAAAAAGTGTATTTTTGATAAATAAAATTGAATTGAAAATAAAATTTCTGGAGAAAATAAGCATTTTGATCAATAAACTTGTGTTCCTTTGACTGTAAATGCCTTCTTTTCTACGAAACATCGTACATAACCGGCTAATTTATCATTAATGATCCCTAATGATCGCCAATTACGAATTCGATCCCACGAATTGGATCTTGTGTAATTGAGCGAAAAGCGTTTATCTCATCATAAATAATCCAATCAATTGAATTTTAACCTGGGCTCAAGATGGCTCAATTCACGAAATCAAAGCTAGTCGAAAAACGCGAGGTGAAGTGATCCTTGGAGAAGTCGTCAAGCATTTGGGCATTTTCGAAAGCGACTATTTTGGCGTTTCCTTCAAAAGACCAGATGGCTCCTTATGTTGGATCGACCCGGCGAAAACTCTCAAAGCTCAGAAGATCCGCCTCGATAATAGAACTAGCTTCAAGTTCGCCGTTAAGGAAGGGGTTTATCTTGCAATTTTCGTTAGGAATTTCACCTTTGGCCTATTCTTTTAATTTATCTTCAAGGGGATGAAATGTTTGAGGGGCGTCGGAAATAGGTGCCACAAATTGGAAATTGATGCCCAGCGGGTGGGTAGCGCTTCAAAAGGGCGTTTTTATTGTACCTAAACCATGTTCAATCAAAGGTCTCTGTCACCCGCATAAATATTTTTATGGTTGTTCATCCCATTTGACATCTGGCGAGAGTTTCAATTATGGGCTTTTCTCACCCATTTTTATGAAATTAATAATGATCAAAGAAATTATATTCTAATCATTTAGTCGTTGTTGGCTTCACCTTTTTTCAACTGATCTGAACCCCAAGATAGTTCTACCCTTCTGACCCGTGCCAACAACTCCACGACGAATTCACGCGCCATTTGTTTTGCCTGTCCGTAAAGCGGGAAATTCGTCAAGCAAATCTCACCTGTGCCGAGTCAATGATGGCTCAGATTGCTAGTTGCCTGGTTCAAACCGAATTTGGGGACTTCGATGCGGATGAGTGTAATGATACGAAGTACATTAGTGAACTCAACTTGCTGCCAATTCCTAGTGCTGATTTGCTAAATCAAATTAGGTTTGTTTTATTTTCTATTGCTTTCAAATTGAGTTGATTCTTCAGAATCCTGCACCGGCAACGAGTAGGACAGAAGCCTTTAGAAGCGGACATGATAATGCTCGAGAAGGTGCGACAACTGGAAAGCTGGGGGCAGAAACCTGTGAACTGCCATGATGGGAGCAACGCCTTTATCAAAATATCCTGCTGTGAGAGTGGCATATCAGGCTCGGATTGACAGATGTTTATCTTTAATTTTATTTCGAAACTATTTTCAAATTCCTTCTGTCGTTCTTCTCCTATAGAAAAACTACTTTTTCGAGATGATTTAAACAGTATTAAAGGCCCTTTACAGTCTCTTTAATGCCTCTAAAGAGTGACGTGTTCCCTGACAGTACTCTGTCAACCCCGACGAAAAGTCTTTCAGGATACTTTATTACACACCTGGCGTTGGAGCTCAATACGAAAGCTATCTTTCAAGGAAGGGTTAAATTGATACACATTGATTACCGTAGCAAACGAGGAAAACATGAGCTAGTCGACCTTTGAGCGTATATTTCATAATCGAAAATGGCTTGAGAAAGTTAAACAAACTAGGAAATCAGTGAATGATAGATGAAGTTCTGTAAAATGTCAAATAGCGCGATAAAACTTGACTTTTATGAAACTCACTGACTTAACCCGTCAAAGCAAAAGCAATTCATTTTGAAACTTCGGCATGAAGACGGCACTCCATCGGATGTAAAGACATTTACCTTCAGTAGCCGAGACGCAGCAAAAAACTTCTGGAAATGCACAATCGAGACGCATACATTCTTCAATCTCCGCGTCGGCCCACCTAGAAAGCCCAAGGTAAGACACTATCGGATTCTGTTGCGTCGGAGAATAGCTTTGAATTAAGAATATCCTGTTTTCTCGTGGCTCGAGCTTCCGGTACAGTGGACGAACTTTGGAGGAGCTTCGAACTGCGAATAAAAATGCTCCGGCGAGGAATATTACTTTCACGAGGAAGAGTAGTCAGCGCGCTAGAAAAACGCCAAGCATCAAGCCTGGTAAAATCAATTTCACTCATTTTTTTACTAAAAAATCTTCAGACTACAAAGTGGACATTTCCGAAATCCATGCTCCTCATCCGACGCCATCTCCTAGGCTACAGGCAAAAGCACAAGCTACTGTTGCGGAATCGACGAAAAGTGATTTCTCGGAGGTACATTATTTTGCATGTCTTTTTCATGCTTTATATAATTAAACATGCAGAAATACAATATTCATAATTCATTTTATTCCCTTGTCAAAGTAGACAGAAAAAAATCGATTTTTTCTTCGCGATAAGGGAACAGAATGAAACAGAATAGCTCCATTTGAGGCCGTTTTCACTCCTTTTCTTTTAGATAACCGAGCTAGCAGAGATGAACAATTTGAAATCAGATGCTAACTCGATTCCAAGGACGGATATTGAATTGAAGCCGGATAAAAGTGTGGCTGAAGAAGAGATCTACGATGAGCCGAGGAAGTTGAGATGCGATGTGAATTACTCTGTCTGCAGAGAGATCCTAAATACCGAAAGAACTCACCTCAAGGTAAAATTCTAGTTTTTCAAGCTATTTAGACCTATTTTAGGACCTGCAAGTTGTTGTTCTCCATTTCCGAAACGCAATAAGAGATGAAGCAGGAATCCCCGAGCAAATCATGTCGCTCCTTTATTCAAGCCTCGACCCGATTTTCGAGTTTCACAAAAACTTCGTCGCGGACCTTGAGCAACGAGCTGCAGAATGGGAAAATTCTATCTCCGGCCAACAAACAATCTCTGAATTCTTCAAAGTGAAAATGCGCGAATTCGCGTCACATAGTGGAAAACTTGAAAGGATCGAAAGCGTGTTGCATGAGGTGGAAAGCTCGCTGCAGAATTATCCGAGGTTCTTGCAAGTTTGGAGAGCCTTTGAAGGAAGGAAGCTGTGCTATTTGCCGATTTCGATGTTTTTGTTGAAGCCGATTTGCAGATTGTTCCAGTATTTTAATGTCATCTCGAGAATGGAGAAGCATGAGGGCATGGCAGCGCAGAAGGAGCTTCAGCCAGCTGTGAACAGGTTCGTTACTTCAATTGCTTTTTTATCATAAATTTGTTGACAAGAACAGTAGTAGTTACTTTTGCTATCATATTTTATTTCTATATATTAGTACATTACTCTTGCGTCAACAAAAATACAAATTCAACTCTTGAAATTTGCGTAAAATGGTTTCTTTTTGCATAATTTTCATTGTATATGGTATTTTCTAGGTTAAAGCCCGTCCTAAACCGATGCCTACAATTCCAAATTACCTCCCAGTTGCAACGAGAGCTCGTCGGAGCGGACCATCTCCTAAAACCCGGTCGTGAATTCGTTCGAGAAGGTTATCTGAGAAAGTGGGCTGGGCCAAAAGGAGGCTTCAATGCTAGGATGTTCTTTTTGTTCAACGATTGCGTCTTATGGGTAAGAATTTTATCATGAGCTCTTCTAAAAGAAGTTTAGACGACGTCGAAGATCGACCCTCCATCAATCGGAATGACGTCTTCGAAGCCTTGGAAGCTCTCAGTCGAACTACCACTCAACAACGTCTCGATAGAGCTTTCTGATATGGACCGATCTGCTCCAAACTCGTTCGCCATCAATCTACCTGATGTCAACACCGATCGACAAAACCTTAACTCTGGAAAAGTCACGTCAATGATTCTCTCTGCATCTGATGGTAGCCAACGAGAGAAGTGGATTAGGGATATTGAGTTGTATTCGAACAAGATGAAGCATTCAACGGACCTCTTTTCTTCGGTGGCGAATGGAGAGACGACCTCGAATTTCCATGTTCACAATATTGGAAATATCGGTACCATAGTCTATTTTATACTCTTATTTACATTTTTCTAAGATGAGCGATTAATCGATGATAACAAGATGAAGCAAAGCACAACGACTCAAGTTTGTTGGTTCCGCTACTGCACTCTTGGATTCAACGACCATCTCACAATGTCTCAGAATGTCATGGCTGGGTAAGCAGTTTTCAATGGACGAGATTCAAAGGATTATTTAGTTATTTGATGCGTAAGTTCAAGAACAAACCGGCTGGCCTGGGTCAAGATCCTTCTACGCAACGAAGCTGGCAGAAATTGTGGGTCGTGTTGAATACCTTCAGGAATGTTTTTCATATAATTGAAATAATTATTACGGTTTCACATTTTCATGTTGAATACATTTCGAAAACTCTCAACAGTATTCACTTCTACAAGAGGCACCAAGAATCTGCTCCTCTGGCGAATCTCCCGTTACTAGAATACAAAGTTCACCCTGTCGATCCGTCAACAATTCCCAACTGTAAACACCAGTACATCTTTATGATCAAACTCAAGGTAAATCATAAAATTCTCTCTTTTTTCCAACCTTTTCTTTAGAAGCACGAGTATCATTTCGCCGCCGAGACGGAGTACTCTTACTTGCGCTGGATGGAAACTCTTCGCATTGCGACTCTATCCGACTAAATCTAGCTCAATTATAATGTCTAAAATTTTTAAATTAACTGCAACTACCTGTATTGACCTCTCATTGTACTTTCTACTCTTTCTGATTTCTTGAATCACCTTTCCTTTCTTTGCCTTAAACTTTCGCGTTTTCATGACTCGTATCCGGCAAAAACATGTTTGAAAAACTACGAGTACACAAACAAAAAATTACCCCTTTCCCCGAAAAACTACTTCTTCACGAATTTCTAAGTATCTACTTTCCAACTTAAAATTTTGAGAAAACGGCCAAACGCACAAAAAATACCAACAGCATTCTACTCTTCAAATATTGTCTTTGAAAAATACTGCAATTTGTTCCAATAAAAGCTTGTCAATTGAAGTTTACAGTGTTATCAAGTGTTTTCGCTATGAATCTAAAAATATTTTCAATCGGGATAAAAGTAGCGACCTTTTTACGACTTTGTTTATTTTAAGAATTAATTGCCCATCTCTCTGATTTTGGCTTCATGGAGCAGTTTGTCCCACTCACCTTCAATGAGAAATCAATAGCTGGTTTACGAGAGAACTACAACCTTAGCATGTAAGATTATCTCACTTCTTTGTAATCGTTCATGTTGCTCTTGATTTGAGATATTTGATTGACATTTGTTTCAGAGGGCAGTTTCAAGCATCGAATTCGGTGAACAAAGAGGCGTTTTATCAGACCAAGTTTCAGGTATTTCCTCATTATTTCCCTGTTAGTAGCATAGACACTCATATCAAATTTCTAGCTCGCGCATGCGCTCATCCTCTCCGAAAATCTTGATGATATCAACGAAGGGATCGATTTCCTCAAACAACTCATACGCGAGCATGAGAATATGACGGCGAATCGCGACTACGCGTATTTCATCGCCATCGGCCTCCTGCGTCAGAAGAAGTACGAGGAGTGTATGCGTAAATGCCAGCAGATCTTGCGCGTCGAGCCCGGAAATCATCAAGTCAAAGGAAACGGGTTTTGTTTTCCTCGTTGATCGCAAAAGTCGATCAATCCGATTTTTGCCGCTTAGACGAGCATGAATAAAATCCATTGATAGATCTCTCGATCGCAGCTGAAAAAGCTTTGAGAAAAGAAGGGCTCATCGGAGTTGGAATCGCCGCCGGCGCATCCCTTTTTGGAGCTCTTGCTATTGGAGGCCTTGCAGCTCTAGCAGCGACAAAGAAACGATAAAGACTAACCAAATACGATTATATTCATTGAAAAGAAACAAAGAACAATCTCCAAATACTAACTACCTGTTAATTGTTCCCTATTATCGAAATGGGGCTCAGCACACTGTTCAGATCTATCCTACCAATATTTCTTCCTACGGAAAATGCTTACATGTGAATTTTTTTTAGCTTGATATTTATTTTTGCTTTTAGAGATGGAAACTCCTGAATCGGAAAACTTCATCAGTGAGAACCCGGTGGATGATAGCGTTTATTTCAAACGTACGCATTTTATGTTATTGATTTGCGTTCGCTTTCGGTGCTAGAATCGTTATTTGAGAACTCTCAAATACGGTATTTGAAATACCATTTTTTATTAAAGTTATTTATGAACTTTTGGACACTTTTTGACCGTTATCCCTAGCAAGAAGATTTTTAGAATGATAGGAGGGTCAATCAATGTTGCATTACCAATGTATATTTTTCGAAGTTAGACCGGAAAAGATCATATTCGCGCATCAAAGTCACTTCCGGTTTAGACTGAGCCGCTTAGCTTAGTTATGAAGTTGTCCTGAATAGATGAAATAAAAGAAAAGTACTTTTTTGAGATGACTCTTGAGAACCAAAAAGCCTCCGCGGGCAATGAATGCGCTATCGAAAACAACCAAAACAAAAACGATGATGGTGTATCACTTGAATCAAGTGGCTTGATAATGAAATATTTGAATGCATAAATTTTAGTGTCCAAAAGTCATATTTATATGTCTTTCCCAAACTCTTTATCGACTTGCTCTAACAATCATTTTCAGCCTCAACAAAAGTGCCAAAGGTCCTCTCAAGCACGCACATCCTGCTGGCCTTGGGATCCTTGGGCCTTTGCATCGCCTGGGTCATCAAAAATTACTCTGGCTTCACGCTCGACAATGGAACTTATCATTTTCTTCTTATGACGCTGTTCATTATCTTTACTTCTGTTGGTGCTACTTCCTTCCGAGTCTTTACCTTTGTTTCTCGTCCTGTGGCCAAGGTATTTTTCGTAAAGAATATTACTTGTCAACCTTTTTTTCTGAAGCTTATTCATGCTGCCTGTCTCACAGCAGCTTTTATCATCGCTTCAGTCGGTTTATGGACGATATTCAAATTCCACAACGACAAGGACATCCCAAACATGTACACTCTCCACTCCTGGCTTGGTCTTACTTTCGTCATTCTCTTCGGTCTCCAGCTTATGGGTGGCTTGTTTTCCTTCCTCTTTCCTCTCGTGAGTCCAGCGTTCAGGACAAAGATTCTCCCTGTCCATCGTGCCAGCGGAATCATCCTCCTCGCTGGAATCGGTAAGTTTAAGTGCTGAATTCAACTTTTGATGCTTCTTCTTTGTCTAGCTGGAATCGCCATGGTCGGCATCAACGAAAAGCTCGTGTTTGAAGTTGGAAAATACAAGCTCAAAGACGCATTTGGAATCATTCCAAACGTTTTTGGACTAATTCTGTTCCTCTTCGCCTGCGTGGGAACATTCATTCTGGCCCGACCCGAGTACAAACGCGAAGAGAATAGAAGACAAGGTTTAGAAATGCAATAAAACGCAAAATATCTAAATCAATATTTTTCATTCCCTTTCTTTCGCTCTACATAACCTTTCTGTCGATTCAAATCAGAATGATCATGACGTCAATTTATACTTCGAAGTATACTGTGACTGCGATGAATAAACTTGTTGATATATTTAGCTCTATGGACCAAAGAGTATGGTGTTTTTTTTTATCGTAGATCCAAAATGAACCAACAATGGAAAAAGAGAAGCCATTGATCCTTTTTGAATCCGTGATCTTATTCGAAATCAATTTTGCGAGGCCTTGTTGTCGATTTATAAAAATCCAATTTGACGAAACATCCCAAATAACCTATTGGACATTCCACTGCTTGACAATGTCTATTTTTAAGCTCGGCTGGCAACCTGTGTAGAAAACCTTAGGCAGGTCCTGCAAGAGCTGTAATAATAATCCGCGCAGCGGCTTTTTCGAAACAAAGCCGCGTAATTCCACAGAATTAAAAATAGATACAGGTGGTTATTGAAGACCCTTGGCAAGGTTTTCTACACTGGTTCCCAAGCCCAGTTATGTAAACCAGCGTATGCATTTCTGAACCTTTCTCCGAGACAATATTAAACGAAGCTAGAACTATTAGACCTGCAATCCTTTGAACCATTTATTTACCTTCTTCCTGATTCCTGCCTAAAAAATAAAATCCTGAAGTTCAAATTAAGACTAAAGCCTTTCTTTTTGAAACAGAGTTAACGAAAAGAAGGTGATTTATTTTCATTGTCTTGCACAGCAAGTTTTGAAAACGGAAAAATAGTATTTTCCCGAAAATAAGAGCGGGGAGATCCGAAGTTCTCGGTTAGCTCAGCTGACGAGAGGAAAAAATAAAAAAAAACGAATAAAGCAAGAAGAGTAAAAATAAATTACCGCACAAAAGTTTTTGAGAATCAAACGAAAGATTGAAGTAAAAAGGGTGCCACCGCGCGGGCAAGAAAGAGAAAATGTTGTTCGCGGGGTGGCAAAAAGTAGAAGAAGAAAAAAACGAATCTGTTTGTCGAATTTGTTTGGAGAATATCGCTGTATTAAGAATTTTGTAGTGGAATATAGTTTCCGGCGGTAGTCATTATTTTCTGTCGAGTGGTAGTAGAATAATGAGCGGTTTAGGCTTTCTGGACCCAGGAGGGGACGAACACGGGCGCGTTGACATTGAGCCGGCTCTTGACCGGTGGCTGACTCGTGCGCATCGAGAGGTTCGTCATTTGATCCATCATCTTAAGCTATCGATTAGTGCCAGTCACAGTCATTCCCGAAATGACCTTTGTTGCTACTGTAAATCTTGCGCAGTGACATTCAAAAACATACCAATTTGCGTCTGTTGGACACAAGAGTCCTCCTTGATTTCAAGAAATTAAATCATCTAAGAATATATGAACTCAGTTCAAAAGTTCCTTGAGATCTGGGTTTAGGAAACATATGCTTACGAAATGATCAATTTATGTCGGAAGTATACACAGGTCATAATGGTTTGATCCAAATTATTCACAGCTGTCTTTCGATATAAATGCGCTGCATGTTGGAAATTGTTATAATCTTTAAGATGATACTTGAATGAAGAAGAAAATTCCATATTTTTATTAAAAAATAAGGGATCTTATTTGTAATTTTATTTTAAAACGAATAAACTTCAACTCAAAGCTAGAAAAGTTGTTGTGTATCTATGCGAAAAATTCCCGTAGACATTATTCACCCCAGCAAATAGAACAATTTTATAGCGGAATTATCATCTCGACGTCAAGAAAACTCGAGGACTCGCGTCAATATTTACAGTAGCAACAACAAACACAGGTCATGTGTTGAGATATTCACGCTCTTTCAAGCTACGGTAGCACTTTCAAGAGCTGACGTAATTATGAAAGAACCCAGTCCCCCTCACAATAATTAATTGGGCAATTTGGCCGTCCAGGGCGACAGGAAAAAAGCACACATAAAAATATTTGAAGTTTCACGTGTGTCACGAACCGTAGAGATCAAAAAATTACCTGAAGATCACCAGAGGCTTGCTCTTCTTGCATCATGAGGCGCTCGAGTTCAGCGAGTCTGAGCTCTTCTTCAACCTCTCTCTGGAGTTTCTCGTCAGCTCCTTCTTCCATCAGCCACTCGTAATCTTGCCATGCTAGAATTCCCCCTCTCAATCCATGTTTTCAGTAATCGGGACTTACCGCTGTAAGACTTTGACATTTTCGTTGAGTAAGATTATTTTTCGCTGGAGTTTACCGGTAGATTCTCTTGGTGTGGCAGAATTGCTTCTCTTACGAGCCAATTTCTAAAATGAAAAATGATGAAAAAAGTGGTGGAACTTGAGTATGATTCAAGAGCGTTAGGGCGCCTCTAGGAATAATCCAGTGTCATCATAAAAGGGCGATTAGTCATGAATCAAATAAGGGAGCAGTTGAACTTTACTCATATAAAAAATCTGTTTGAAATGGACCCAGTTCTCTAATAAAAAAAAACGATGAAAATCATGATGAGAATCAATTTATTAGAGGGAATCACACTCGTATCGCATAAAACCGCATTATTGCCATGATTGATGCGTTTCCAGGGCTCGTAAAACAAGTCCGATTAGAGGAAAAGATCAACTCATTTCCGGTTATCGCCTGTAAGCCGCCCTAAAAAGCTTTCACTACTCTCTTTGAGCGTCCAAAATAAAAAGGGGCCGTGTTTTTAAAAGGGCACTCTCAGTCCTCAAAATAAAAGAAGACCCGTTGCGTAAGATCGGACTCTTTTGACGTCAATAAAAAAAGAAAATCATCAGTTTTTCTCTATCTCAAAAACAATGAGCGCTTATCGCGTGACCGTTTTTTTTTTCGTTTTCATTTTCAATTTGCTGGGAAGGAGAATAAATATATTTCTGAATAAATTTGGACGCGTGTAAAAATAACATGGCTTGTCAAATATTTGGACGGGGGATTATGTGACACTGGCGAGCCGTGAAAAAGTCATGGGACTTCCGTCTCCCCAACGCCCCTACTTGAGGGGCGCTTTGAGAAGTTCTTCAAAATTCAAAAGCCGGGGAAATTCGAAACAAGACGGTTCGATCCTATTCTGTATGCTGATAGAATATTCTGAGGGAATCGAGGCTATTCTTTTAGCGTCTGAAATTTCCAGCATTTTCTGATTGATTTTTTCGCGGCTTGATCTTTCTGAAACGCGAAGCCGCTTGCGGCTTTTCCGTCTTGTTTTGGGTCGAAGCCGCAAGCAGCTTTGCTCACAGGGACATTTATTATTAAGTGCACAGAAACCCCAGTAGTAAAAAATATTGGTCCATGTGAAGATGAAAATTCTCGCGAAATCAACAGTTTTTTTTATGTCAACGGGTTGACAAGCTTACTTGAAATTACCGCTAATTGTGGCAATTATTCCCTTTTATGGGCTTGTTTTTCTTCGCCTTGTCTCTTTTAACACGAGACTTGCTGATGAATTATTATGTAATTATGCCCAATTTCAACTTTTTATATCAAAAAAGTTTTCTGGAAAAGCTCCAAAATGAGACAGTTTTCCTTGATTTCTGTATTTTGTATAGTCAGCATTTTTTCTTTCTTGAAATACAGGTCATTTCTCGCCAAATTGGAAGAGAATGAATGAAAAATGAAAGTAATATATCATATATAAAGTTAATACGCATATAAAACGGGTAAATCGGTTATTTTCCCCATCGAAAATGAGCTATCTCTCTATTTATAATTGAGCGGAGATAAGCGGGGAACAGGCCATCCTAATGTAGAGATGGATTGTTGAAGGGCCCCTTTGTTTCGCCAAAGTAAAGATCCGGGTGAAAGGCTCTTTATTTTTTTGACTTGAAAAGAGAGATCCTTTCTTTTCTAATTTCGATTTTATTTTACCATCTTAGTCAAAATAAATAAAAAAGTAAAAATTTTGAGGTGGTCTTACTCTGAGAATCTCCTGTAGAAAATAGACCGCATGATTTCGAGCGCTCTGAAAAAGCGGATCGAAATGCCCCTGAACTTGAGCAAAAAATCGAATACAGATGGAAACAAAAATCGATTTCAATTTGCCACGTTTTTTGTTGCTCCTGGAGCACTTGACGCAAAACAAATTGCTTATTGAGTATTTCTGTCAATCAACATGTTCTGCAATAATCATAATTATTTTACCAAAGGTGTCCTCTTTGTAAATAGTTTAGTCCCTTATCAAGTATTATTTCAACTTTCGAAGAAAAATAATAATTCTCTATAAATTTTCTTCATGATAATAGAAAAAATAGGGCCTTTGATAATATCTCTAGAAAGAATCATTTTGACCCTTTCCGACCTCTCTGTCTCTCTTTTTTTTATCTTCTCTCCCAGCGCAGTAAAAAAGCAAATAAAAATAAAGAAAAAAACTCGTGATTTACCTGTTTTCGAGATTCTGAATTTGAAAACGCTCTCAAACGTCTCTTTAAAATTTTTATCTCTCCCTCGATTTTCCCCCTTAGGCTTAAATTTTTGAATTTTCTCTTGATCCTGATCTTTTTCTTTCAAAACGAACCAATCTTTTTATAATTCGCCGGAAAAAATCGGTTATTTCACTTGACCTGAACTGACCTTTTTGGACTGCCGCGGAGTTTTTTTCTTATTTTCTTTTCGAAAGAAAAAATGAAAATTCTTTTGATGATATTTTTGGATACAAAGGAATAGGAGATCGAGGGCGAACCACTGCGCCCTCCGGTGGTGGCGAACGAAAACTGATGACTCATCATCGAGCGGTTACGTCATCGCGCCGCGCTAACTTCAAAATTCAAATGACTAATGCGAGCTAAAGAAAATGATAGAGAAAAAGAGGGAATTCTAGAATTATGAAAATGAAAATTGAAGAAAAGAAACCAATATGCAGAACACAGAGCTCATTATGATATAATCATAGTCAATTGAAATTATGCTCTAAAAATATTTTTTTTTCACTTCAAATTTATTATTGCTAAACTTAATTTTAGATGTATGCTTTCGTATAATTAAACTTAAATCTTTTAAGATTGAAAAAATAAAGAATGAAGTTGACAATCACCGGTCCTGGGGACTCGATTTGGTCCCAGGATCTTTCGCCCGATCTTGACATCGCAACACTCAAAATGCTCAGCGCTCTTGACCTCAATTTAGGTGCTTCTATTAATCTTCCTATCCTATCCTTATTTTTATGTTTTCATAGACTTCAACAACATGGTTTTTATTGCAAATGGACAGCCGCTGCTGGACGATTCGATGAAAATCGAGGCGACAGGACTGAAGGACGGAGACATGATTATGGCAATGCCGGGAAATTTTCTCAACAGAGCGAGTCAAACGGATTTGCGACAGTCGAATCCAAGAGGGCGGCAACAAGCTCCAGATTGGAATGCGAAGGCTCAAGAAGTCCTAGAACAATTCAGGTAAATGATGAAATGAAGCGAAATGTTGTATTTTTCCTTCAGATCTCAACTCGGCCGCCTTCAAAACTGGCCAGCTCTGCAAGAAGCCGTCCGCGCTGGAAACCTCCAAGAAATCGCCCGAGTTCTCCGCGAAGACTACGAGAAAAAAGTTGCTCAAGAAGAACGTCTCCGTCGAGCGGAAGCAAATCCAATGGATCCAGAAAACCAACGAATTCTTGAAGAACACATCCGACAACAGAACATCGACGAAAGTCTAAACACAGGGCCGGTTTATGCTACTTTTCTAAAAGTGCACCCAACTGTGTGTTTTTATTAATTTGCCCTTTGAGTTGTTACAGTTAAGCCGACTGTTTTCAACCCTAACCTATTGAAAATCGATGTGGCCGATGAATTTAGGGCGCTGCCTCTTTTGTTACAGTTGATTTCGATATTTACTATCCCGCCGACCAGCATTAACCTTAATAGCCATGGAAAACTCCCCGGAGCTTTTTGGAACGGTAATTATGCTCTACATCAGCTGCAGCGTTAATGGCATCCCCGTCAAAGGTGACCTCGCCGGTTCTTTATCGCCCTTTTTCATCGTTTCATTTAGCGTTCGTCGATTCTGGCGCGCAGATGACGATTATGAGCCAAGCCTGTGCGGAGAGATGCAACTGCATGCGTCTCCTGGACACGCGATTCTCAGGCATGGCCGTTGGAGTCGGAAAACAGCGAATTCTTGGGCGAGTTCACACTGGACAGATTCAAATTGGCGACACTTTCATTCCTTCTAGCTTTTCAGTGATGGAGGATCAACCGATGGATCTGCTGATAGGATTAGGTACGTCCTAGTACGAAATTAACATATTCAAGGGGAAGAGGCTTAATTTTAATTTATTAAAATATTTTAGACATGCTCAAAAGACATCAATGCGTTATTGATTTGGCGGCGAATGAGTTGCGCATTGGCTCGACTGGCACTACAGGTACGAAGATAATTTTGGATACTGTAACTTATATTTTCTAGTAAAATTCTTGTCCGAAGGCGAGTTGGATTCCAGAGCGCGGTTAGCCGGCCCAGCTGCGGAGCAAGCACAAAGCGAGGAAATGGTAAGGCCCAGCTCGCTCATACTCAAATCTAAACTCGCTCTCTTCCTCTCAGGAAATCGAAAAAGCCCTGGCAGCTTCGAAACGCGAAGCAGAAGAAGAACGCGCTGGTCCATCCTCGAAACGGGCCGACACAGGAAGCAGCGTCTCCAAAGAAGTCCAACAAGTGATGAGCACAGCAAATTGCTCCCAAGATGTCGCAGAAAGAGCCCTTCGAGAGACAGGAGGAAACTTGGACAGCGCAGTACTGAAAATTCTGACAACGAGCTTTTCCAAGAAAAAATGAGAAAAAACACATGATCAGTTCTTCTTCTCAATGAAATTCTTTCTGTACAATGTTTCAGCAAAAAGCGTGCAGCAGCTCCTTTTTTTTCTTTCTTCAAAACCTAAAACTACTTTATTGAAACTTCGACGACTGGTACATGTAACTAACCGTTTTTAAATTCCTGGAGCTGAACAAAAATTATTAAACATTGACGAATCATCGCTCAAAAAAACACTGAAAAAACTTATTGATACAACTTTTATTTTACTATTTCTAAGGAAAGATATTCTATCTAATAAACCTATATTGTTAAACCCTCATTCTTATTTTTCTTGTGCAACTAGAATGTTGAAGAGGGCTTATCTGAGTCGGGCGGTCCTTTCGCAGCGAGAGGCTTCCTACTCCAAGACCCCTCTCAAGAAGACAGGCGCTTTCGGCGATGTCATCCACAACGATGCCATTTTTAAGGGACGAGCGCATCTTCTCGACCAGAAGAAACTTGCTGCGCCTGCTTCTTGGGTATCTTTTATCCAAAAAGATGAGAATCTTGATCGTTTCTTAGAAATTGACCGCTGCTGACTTGAAAAACACGAAATCAAAAATTGACGATGAACAGTTCCCAGTTCCAGAACACAGGTAAGCCTTGTTCTAAAGTCCCCTTGCCATCAAAAATCAAGATACAACTTCCACGCCCGACCTTTCTTCGGCTTCCGGGGTGCCTACGTCGGACAGCGAATTGAGTACGACGAGATTCTTCCTCGATGCAAGGGCAAGCTCAGCGGCCTCGAGTGGAAAGGACTCACCGAAGAGGACCGATACACTGCCAGAAACTGGTACATCAGAGCTCGTAAGTCTTTCTGATTCCTTCTCGTTCTAAAAAATGTCTAGACCAGAAGAACATCCGCGAGTCTAGCCACTACCAATACAAGAACTTCACCCAGGGCGAGCGAGGAAGCTACATGTTCGTCCTTATCTTCTCCGTCGCCCTCTGGTTGATGGTCAATCAAGGTCTTCCCTGGGAAAACAACCGAATCTGGATGTCTGGCAATCCAGACAACCAAGCCGAAATCGGAACCAAGCCAAGCTTGATCATGTCAACTCCAGTTCTTGGCGATATTCTTCTCTTTTTCGTCAATGGACAGTTCCTCCGAAACGATTGGGGAGCTGATCAGTACAGGAAAGCGTTTCGAAAATCCGCATCTGCGTTTCTGACGCACAGTCAGTCTTAATCTCGCGGAAAATGGCCCATCTTTATTTCATTTTTTCGCTCGGCAGATGCTTCCTAGCTATAGGAAAGTGTGGGATTATTTCTTAGCGTCATTAAAGATATCCTCTCTGGGCTGAGCGAGACGGCGGAATCGACCCTGTCGCCGACCGAGATCTTCTCAAGAGACGAGATCTCGTCGGAGTCACTCCACTCGGTCTCTGGGAAGTGCGGGAAAACGGAAAAGTCAAGAGCACGCCTTCCGACTCTTTCCGCTCCGAACACGAGCTCTACGCGGACGGCGCCGAAGGCCCATCCCAAATCGGTCCATACGATGTTTCCACATGGAAGTCTGGCAAAAAGATTAACTCTGCTCACGAAGGCGTCGGCCACTCTACTCAATCTTACATCTTCTCGACTGGTCAAGGCTGCGCGTACCATTCTAGAGGATGAGAAAAGAAACATGTTCCTGCTTATTCTGTTCAAATGTAGAAAAAACACGAAAGATCACTACTAAACGTATTTATTTCCAATAGTTCCAGATGGAGCTACTGAGTCGTTCAAAATAAAATAAAAACATCAAAATTTTCTGCGTTTTTATCAAATTTCTTTGCAAAGAAAAAAAGAGTTACGATTTCAGGATGACAAATGAAAGTTTACTTGAACACGCGTTGCCGGAAGGGCGCAAGAAGCTCATTGAAAATCATGAAAATTTGAAGAAAGTTGCAAATTATTGGTAAATGAAGAGATGCTTTTTGCTTTTATTATCAAATTCTAGTGAGCAAAATTACCTTGGCGCTCACAACAAGGCCGCCGCGCTGAATGAGACGAAAAAGTACACAACGCATAGTTTGGCTTCAGTTGCTTATCAAGTCAATACGCTTGCATCGGACATGCTGATGCTCCTCAAGGAGCAAGAAGATGAGCTTATGCGGCTGACGTCGTCGATTGAAAATTTAAGCGACAGGGTTGATATTCACTGTGAAAAAGTCTCCCGTCGTGAAGTTGGCGCGTTGACCTACCGACGAAATATTTCAAGGATCGACCCCATCAAAGTTGTTTTCGATCAATTTTCATGGTTTTTATCGTTGGTTTTAGTATCCTGCGAATCCAGAAAGAGCTGTAAAATACATTCGCAAGGCGATAAACTACAACGAACTGGATGACATTGGACATGGTTTGCGAACAGGGCAACCGGCTGGAATCAGGCAGGCGAAAAACGCATCGATAAGAAACTCTGTTGGAAGCAGTGGCTCCACCGGGACCCTTACGAGACCGGGACAGGAGCAAATGTAAGATCATCTGTGAAGTCAGTTAGTAAAAATGATCTTAGGCCTCAATATGGAACAATTAGACCAGTTGCTGCGCCGAAGATTCCTTTTGCAGCTGGTGGAGTTAGCCAGGTTCGTATCTTCTTTGAAAATTTACTTATTGCAAGAAATTTAGTTCAGTGAGAATTCTAGTTTTTGCAGGTATTAGATGAGTTGAAACAGAATCTAAAGTGATAGTTTGAACTTTTCCGATGTTGGTTGGGGCTCCCAAGGCCGACTTATCAAAGTCGAGATGCCAACAGTTCCCCTTGAGTTAGAGGAAGAGGAAATTTTCAAAGAAAACGAAGAGATTTTCGGAAAGTATTATTCGAGGCAGATTACGCATCTGACAAATAGCTCGTTTTTGAGCATCACTGAAAGCTCAGATACGGAAGTCGAGGTATTTTTTGACAAAAGCGAAGAACTAACCAGAAATAACTCGCAATTTTAATGGATAAAATGACGGCCAAAAAATAGACTTGAACCCGGTTGTAACCGATCTCTTTTAGGTCAGTGTTGATGGTCAGTCAAATCGGCAAAGAACAGCGTCAGCTAATAGCTCTCGATATGGTAAGTCAATCGCTAAAACATCAGACTTAAAATCTTCCCTAGGAATTCCTATGTCTGATTCAAGCCTCGGAATGGGGATGAATCAAAGCTATGAGCAAGCAGTTCCCTTGCCCGACTACTCGAATCAAGTTTCTGATCAGGCTTACGACCTGCCTCCTCCACCGGATGAGCTCAAGTTCAACATGGATTCGATATCGCAATCGAACTCTTCGATAACTAACGTAACTTTGTCTTTTGGTTTGCTTTGAAATAATTCTTGGAATCTAGGGTGAAGATTTGCCCGCGCCACCTGCGAATATCCTGCTGGAAACCCCCGCTGCAGGTAATTTCAAAAGATCTTAAATTTGGATAAATCCCTGCATCAAAAATTATAGCGCCCTCTTTTGGCCTATTCGGCTCATAAAGACACTTGATTTGAATTTGATTCACATGAATTCAAATGAAACATAAAATTTACTACTGTATTCCACCCGATGTCACTCATGATAAGAACTGAAGAATTTTATTAAAATGAATCACAAATAATTTCATCTCAATTCCCGCTAAAAATAAATGAGAACATCCGAATCTTTGTCCTTCTTTATTTTAAATCTAAATGTCAATAAAGATCTTCCACCACCTTCCTTCGAGGATGAAATCATGGCAGCCGTAAATCAGCCTCCTCTTGAGCCCGGTTGGATCAGAAGAACACCAGCTGATCCTACCTGGGCGCCGGCTCAGTACCAAGAGAAAGGTAAGCAGCAGTCAATATGTCTCAAATATATCCGTTTTGCAGTGTCAGCACTTTACGATTACGAGGCAGAACGGGAAGACGAGTTGACGTTTTACGAAGGTCAGGAGATTTACGTTATCGCAAAAAACGCTGACAACTGGTGGGAAGGCGTCTTAGAAGGGCGAGTCGGCCTCTTCCCTGGGAATTACGTTCAGTAAAGCATTTATTTCCTTCTGAAAGAAAACTGACCTATCTGCGCATCAAATTATTGCTCACATTCCTATTCGCATAATTTCTTCTCTACTCTGCACAATTCAAAAAAACCAAAATCACAAAAATACTAATATGAAATTCAGCTTCATGATTCGCTCCTGTACTAATTAACGCTCTTGATTTACGCATGAATTTTCAAGAATGCAAAGTTGATGGAACCTATAGGAGGAAATGTCGATCTGCCGCTATATCCCGCATCGTTGCTTGCCCAGGCGCTGTAAGATATTTTTCGTAGCGGCGGTTTGCTTTATCTGCATTCATTGGTACACTATCCAACGACATGGGCATCATACTGCTTACAAAGTAAAGTCCTTATTTCTTCGACCATTTCTCATTCCTATATTCAGCGACATCGTCAACCAAAACCGACCCTAGATCACGAGTTTCTCGTCGCACCCAGGCCTAAACGAAATGCTCAGAATTCAAAAGAACAAACTCCTGAAGACTCAAAACTCTCTTCAACTACAAAAAAGTCAACGACGACAGAAAAACCAAGGCCTGTTCGCGCAACTTTGAACATCATCAAGAAGGAATTCGCGAAGACGACTGAGAAGCCAACAACTAAAAAGAAAGCCTCTTCTTCGACAAAGTCAACATCTACGGAGTCCACAACAACAACGACTACTGTCGGCAAGTGCTCTCCAGGAAGACCAGTGATGTTTTTGAAAACTCACAAAACGGGATCAACGACTCTGGCGAATATTTTTCTTCGATACGCAGAAAAATATAAGGTACTTTTTACATGAGAACTAGCAGTTTTTAAGCTTTTATGTTTAGCTGCTTGCAGGATTACCTCCAACGCGAAAGTGGGAGCTTGGCGGTTACCCAGCTCCATTCAAAAAAGCTCTCGTCGACCCTGTTCCAAAGACCCATTACGATGTGCTCGCTCATCATGCGCGATACTCTGATGAGATTCCTGAAGTCATGCCAGAGGACACTCTTTTCGGTACTCACTTGCTCTGACTTTGAACCTATTTGTCCATTAGTTACATCAATTCGTGATCCAGTTGACAACTTCGAGTCTGGTTTCGGATTCTTTCGCGACTACCCTTACCCTCAATGGCTCGGTGATCATCCTCAAATTCACGAGTTCCTCGACAATCCGACAAAATACTACGACAAAACGACACCTTGGCATTTTCGCGCAAAAAACTACATGGCCTTCGATCTTGGCCTCGAGTACGAAAACGATGACGAAAGTTACATCAAAGAAGCAGTCAAGCTTACTGAGAAACGATTCGGATTGGTGATGATTACCGATCGTTTTGAAGAGTCTGCGATTTTGCTGAAGCATGAGCTTTGTATGGAAATTGAAGATGTTGCTTATCTTAGGTAAGAAATAGGCGAACAGCGACTACTAACTCTTCGAAAGGCTAAAAGTACGCAAAGAATCAGATAGAAAAAGCATGTCTCCTGAATACCAAGACAAAATAAAAAAGTGGAACAAACTGGACACTGCCCTATACGAACATTTCAACGCCCTTCTTGATAAAAAAGTGAAGGCTTTCGGCAAAGAAAAGATGCAAGCTGAAATTGAAGAGCTCAACCGTACGTTCTACTTTGTAGCCTCAAAAATAACTGTGCTTTCAGAAAAAGTTGAAGAGCTCAACTCAAAATGCATCGAGAGATATTCTCAATTTGATGCCAAACCCTGGATTTCCCGGATAGTTCTTAAGCCCAAAGCAGGAGCTATCTGTGAGACCATGGCACGTGGGGAAGTTCTCTTTTCTGATACTCTTCGGTAAGCGACTTTTTGAAGCTCTTTTCTTATCAATTCATAGAACTGCTCAAAAGAAAGGAGTGGCGACGAAGAAAAAGATCAAAGTGATCCAGCCAATGATGGAAGAGCTCTTAGAACTCTTGCGCAAAGAGCAGGTCAAAATCCTCGGAAAAGATGCAGTTTCTTTCTCTTCCGGAAACGCTGGCTCCCGTCAGTAAAACAAACTTTCTGTTAATATTTTTGAAGCAACAGTTTGACCAATTTTTGTGTGGCGCGAAGATGGGCAAATGTTGTATTGTGTTTTCTGTACTTATTTAGAATTTTATATCAATTAGCATATTTTATCTGAAGCATCTGAAATTTATCCAAAGAGCTTCCTCGCAATCAATCCGACTTCTACATTTTCTGTAAAACTCCATTTTTACTTCCAAGTTATCTATTACCTGCATGACCATTTTCCCTTGCCTAATACAGATAAAGACTCCTGAAAATCTAATTTATCTTCTCACAGAAAATATGCCTGTCACATCTGCTCTCGCTGCCAGACTCGCAAAAAGAGGAATAAAGATAAACAAAGAAGGTCCTAAAGAAGAGATCTTCGCAGAAAGCAGATCTGAGCCTAAAGAAGAAACAGTAATTGATGAATTCGGGTAAATTTCTTTGTTTACGATTTCTTTGTCGAACGAATTTTTAGAGAAAAACTACCATCAGAGTGGGACAAAGCTTGGGATAGTAATTACGAGTGCTGGTATTATTGGAATAAAAATTCGAGAAAAGTAGCCTGGTTGCCGCCTGGAGATCCTGAATGCGAAATCGTTGAGCCTGCAAAAAGTTTTAATGCAATTCCTCACAAATATGAATCTAGCAGGTATTGAATACATCACATTTATTCTTAATGGGGGAGAGTTGTGAGAAAAAAATTATGCTCATCCATTTTATGCAGTTGCTATATCATCAAACTCATCTTTCTAAGGCTTCTATCTGTCAGAGATCGCCATTTTAATACATTTTTTAAAGAAGCCCTTCCTATACAATCGACAGTATCGACATTCGAGCACAATTTATGAAAGAGCTCGTCGAGCCATTCTCCCATCGGATTCATCTTCTGTTCTCTTGAAAAAAAACCTCCAAGAAGAATGAATCCGTTCCGAAAAATCTCATTCCTAAATTTTCTTCTCTCGAGAGCCCAAGCGACAGTTTTTTCTTTCCTCTTGCTATTTGCTTTGTGAGTACATTTATTTAACAAAGAACGCTCAAGTTTTTACGCAGTGAGCACAAACAAAATGCTTGTATGAATGAGTCTGCCCCGATCACTGTAGTTGAAAGTTTATTGGTGAAATCATGATGTCTTTGAAAGTTGTATTAGTCGAGACCGCGATACGCGAAGACGAGATGATCGAGACGACCGGAACCGCGATCGAGATCGCGACCGAGACGATCGAAAACGACGCCCCGACCGAGATCGAACTGACAGAGGGCGAAGTCACCGAGACGATGATCGAAAAAAGAAGCGTCGCGAGGAAGAGGACGACTTCAACGATCCAATGGATCCATCCGCTTACTCTGACGCGCCAAAAGGTAAGGTTTCTTTGGAAATCAACTCGCTCAAGTCCATTTTTTAGGGAATTGGAATCGAGGAATCCCTCGCCCAGGAGAATCAGTCAGTACTGCCGGTGTTCCTCAGGTCGAACTTTAGCAACTTTTTTCATATCTGTCAATAATCCTGCCTTTCTGTCAAATAAAACTTGTCAAATACAATTTGTTTTCACCTGACCGAAATTGGAAAAGACCAAGGATATTATAGCTGCAATGCCCATCTTTTCTTGGCACCGTCGTTCTTGATTAGTTGGCTATATTTTTCTTATAAAATTTAACTTTCTTATCAAAATATTCTTTCCTAGATTGTTAAAAGAGAGATGTCAGAAGGCGAACGTTCAAGCACTGACTTGAGTGAAGAGATAGAAGAGCTTCAGTTTGCAACTTATGAAGAATGGTACGACGATCACGAGATCGAGAGAAATGACGTGAAAGAAATGATAGGACTGTTTACCGAGAGAAATCCGAATAACCTTGACAGGCGATCTTGGATGAAAGCCTTCGAAAGTATGTCAATTTCTTTCAATCAAAACTATCTATGATTAAGGAAAAGACAAGAGCATCGATTACTACAAAACGAAAACGCATTCTGACGAGCAAGTGAAATATGTTCTTCGGCATATTCAAATGAATCCGACGATCACCCGATTCAATGTCAAACATGAAGCCTACAACTGTATTATCACAGGTAAGATAGACTCGTGTTTCTTTTTTGATGATGTTTTTAGGTGCAGGCGGCTATGAAATCGACATCCGAACCAATTACCCGCTTCTACCCACTGTCTGGACTTTTGAGATGCAACGGCCGGACAAGAAACCCTTCACTTTCACAGCCACAATCACGATCTACGAAAACGAGGACATTCACGACTTTGAGGTGAAAACCTACAAATCGACTCCAATGTATGAAAGAAACGGCATCGTTCAAACTGCATCTCACTCATCGTGGAACGGAGGCGCAGTTGGACGATGGGATATTGAGCTTCACCTACCCGAGTGTCAATCCGAATGATTTTTGAAATAATATATTATCACCTGAGCGCCTTCACTTATTATCTGCCATTCATCAAGTTCGCTTATCACAGAAATATAAACACTGACAGTTGATTGTATCCCCTAAAGAATATCAGCAGTCGAACATAAGACGTTGATTTTTCGCGAGTTTTATTTGCATAATGCAGCATGCGCTTCTATAATTTCGTTTTTTAAGAAGAGTTACGTGTTGGAAGCAGAATTTCAAGTAGAAAGATGTACATACGCGATAACAGATATAACAATGATGAGCATAATCTCATGAGCAAGGCAGATCGGCATTTCGCTAGAGCAAAGAATCCTGGCAAACGGAAGTATGATAAAGAAGACGAGAAGAGAAGTGAAGATATCCTCAATTCCCCTATTTTTACAACCCCTCGAGTCCGTGATCCGCATGATTCTACCGCCCAGAGTACTGGGCCCCAGACTTTCATGAAAAATGATGCTCAAGAGGTTCCAACATTGGTGTATGCTAACCGTTTACCGACCCAAATTGTCGTAATTGAACACAACCTTCTCATGGAAAAGAAGGACCCGATCCATAACTGGATCACAGAACTTCCTCGCCTGAAACACTTGATTAATGAAGGAAAATTTCACGTCGAGGACAATTATCATTACTTTCATGCTACTGATGAATGTCCACCATTGAAACTCAAGTCATCTTTATTGAAAGATCATCTTGGTAGCGAAGAGAAGATTAACAGATTTCCAGAAAGTTGTATGCTCAAAAAGCGAGGGAACCAAGCTGCCGTTCATCGAAGACGAAAACATTATTTCGGAGATATGATAGGCTGGTATATTGATAAACATCCAAATAACTTCGATAGCAGATATTGGAAGATTCAAGTCAAACGTAAGGGGTCCCCGGATGATTCTTAAATGAACTTAACTTTTAGAATTTCATGATATAGAAAGGTGCTATCTTTATGGAAAAAAGAGCCACCCAGAAGATCATTTGAAGTTTCTCATGGAGTATATGAGCTGGAACCAAAAAGTCACCAGATTTAATGTGAAAGTGGAAGCTTTTACTACCCTTGTTGCAGGTAATCATGATAGTTATTCTCTGGAATCATGTAAAATTCAGACTCAGACGTCTACAAAATCGAAATGCATTCGAACTATCCTTGGTTACCAACAAAATGGACCTTGAAAATGCAACGAAAAGATCGAAGACCCATCAGACTCGAAGCTCATTGTACAATTTACGACAGTAACGATTTGCGTGACTTTGAACGAAGCCCACTTTGCAGGTCGAAAACGATCTACGAAAACGGTGCATTTATTCAACAAGTCTCTCATTCATCTATGTGTGGAGGAGTTGTTGGTCGATGGGATGTGCAGATCGTTTTCTAGCTACGTTAGTTTATCACCTGCCAATCACTGATCATTTTGCTCAATACAGTATTGACAATACTAGTTCTGAAATAAAGATAGACACATTGATCAAATGAAGTGGTGCCATTACAGGGAGAGCAAACTTTACTTAGAAAAGATAATGAACCAGAAACAAAACAAAACCAGCTCGAACTCATCTCAATCATTTTAGAGAAGCGTTGCCTCGGTTGCTGGAGTCTACGAAAGACGTGATATGTATTCAGATGAATATGATTTTTATTTGGAAAACGACGATAAGGTATAAACGACACATTCCGCCTTGCTTTTCATAATCTTTATTTCCAGGAAAATATTCCAAATAATTCTACTATTTCCGCCAAATTTGTTCCGCGTTCTCAATCCCGAATATCTTCCAAAGCAAGCCATCGATATGACTCGCAGCACCTCCGTGAAATTAGTGGAGGATCAAACATCGTACGTGTCGATCCACCATCATGGGATAGCGCTGTTGCCGACTCTCGGTCTTATGCAACGGTTCTTCAAAGTGCCGAAGAAACATGGAATTTAAGCCTCGAAGATAGTCACTCTTCACTTCAAAGTGTTTCTCTAAGAGGAACAAACAAAAATCGAAAAATGGTTATTCTTGAGCTCAATCTCGACATACAAAACGAAGAAGACTGGGACTTTTACATCGGACATCCATCCCGGCTGAAAGCTCTGATGAATCGAGAAATGTTTTATAACAATGGGGACTATTTATTCTTTCATGGCACAGCAGAGTTCCCGCCACTAAAAGTTAAGACCTTACTTTTATATGAACGTGTGTGTCCTCGAAGCCTGAGAAGACAACGAGGAAACTCGGCGGCGATTCATCGTCGAAGAAAAAGATATTTTCACGATATGCTTGGCTGGTTTACAGATCGTTTTGAAGATAATTTAGATAGAAGATATTGGAAAATTCAATGCAAACGTACGAACTTTTTGAATAAAATATGTTTAGCGTCTATTTTAGATCCAAATCCTGCTATAGCAACACAAATGTATAATCGGAAAAGCCACCCAGACGATCATGTAAAATTTCTTCTTGATTACTTGAGCTGGAATCGACGCGTTACAAGATTTAATGTGAAAGTGGAAGCGTTTACGTCTTTAGCAGCGGGTTTTAAATATTCTATTAATTTGAACTCAACAAGGATTTAGAGTCTGATATCTACAAGATCGATATCCACTCAAATTATCCAAGACTTCCGACTATATGGACTTTGAGAATGGAACGAAAAGATGGAAAACCATTCGAACTTGAAGCCCAATGTACAATTTACGACCCAGAGGACATCCGAGACTTCGAACTCAGTTCACTATACGATTCAAAAACAATTCACGAAGAAGGTGCCGTTATCCAACAAGTTTCTCACTCATCGTGGTGCGGAGGAGATGTTGGTCGCTGGGACGTTCAAATCTTTCTCTAACCTTTTTTCTTATCACACAGTTCTCACCTCTGCAAAATTGCCACAATAAAACAAAAATTCACTTCACACTTAAACTTTTCAAGTATCGGCTGTTGCAACTTCAAAGAGCCGAGACAATGACCTGCAATTTTGCGAAACTCAAGCCTTATTTTCAAATCAATATCTCAGCAAGCCTTCGTTTCCCTCAATTCAAGAGCAAGGCACTGTGAAAACAAGTAATTCCCACATTGGTCCCCTGCGGGCGAGCGCACTGTGCTCCGCTGATGACCGAAAATGCCAAAAGGAACCTTAAAACATTTCTGATGCACCTGTCTTAATTCTTCATTTTTCATGATTCCTTTACTTGTTTTAATTGTTAAACTATGCTGGGCGCAAATGCAAATGGGCCCAAGCGGCGCAGAGGTTTTGGCGAACATGGGGATTAACGTTAATGGAGAGAATAATCAAAATGGTGTTGAAGAGATTACTGAAGAAAAATTTAATCAAACAGAATACTTGAAAAATCTACAATTGAATCCTCCGGAAGATTTGAAAGCGCTGCCACTGGATCCGCAATCTATCGAAGTGACATGGAAGATTCCAACTAATCTAAGAAGAGATAAGTTGAGGTTCCAGATACTTCTTAAATATTTCAATGCTAGGAATGTGTGAGAAAAGCCAGACATTTATTAACCAAACCAAAAGTTAACCTAACTTGTTTTCATCCACAATAAAAGACAATCAGAATCACTTGCTACGACACTAACAATCAACCAGCTTTTTCTGGCTGAAGATGACACAAAACCAACGATCGACGATCTTGTCGGCGGAAAGTTTATTCTGAAAAATCTAACAAGAAACATCGAGTATCGAATATCTCTTCAAACAATGATCAACTACATGGTTAATGACACCGATAAGCCAGGCCTCATGAAGCCAGTTGAGAAGGTTTCCTATCCATCCAATTGGGTCGTTGTCGACACAGCTGCAAAGATCTTCACTGGGTTGTTCAACTTCACTCAGATACCATGGGACGATGTTTACCTCGATCCCGGAAACGACAAAACGCAAGAGAAAGCTGAGGAGGTCAAAACAATTGTCAAACGAACTGTCGAAGAAATCTCGCAAGAGTTCCTTTCATCGGGCAATGTTCACTTCTCTCAAAGCCCAAAAAATAGGACATTTGCGAGAGTAGACATGTTTTTCAAACTCGACGCATCAGCTAAAGTAAACGATCTCAACTCTAGGATTCGGCATGTCTGGCCTACGGGAGAAAATCGAGGACTTGATTTCTTCTCAATTGAAATATCCGACTTCGATGAATGTGGGACCGTCTGGGACGACTGTAATAGAGATGCGAAGTGCACAAACATGGAAGGCGCCTTTCGCTGTGAATGCTTACCTGGATATTATGATCAAAGTCGTATTTTATTCTTGCCGATGGGTAGGGTTTGTAAACATACATCCGTCGACGAGTTAATAACGAAGCCGACGGAAAAGCCTTTGGATCCAAATGCTCGGGATGCGTTCATTAATGAACAGTTCTCCTCGCAGCATGACAGAAATTCACCTGCAGTAGATTTCGCTTCTCGACTTGGACTCGCGAATCTCGGACCACCTGGGCTCCCAAGTGGAAGTTATGACATTTTGCCGAATACGATGAAACCGGGAAAATGGACAGATGGAATTGACTGGCCTGGTCCGCTAGGTGTTCGAACAAGAACAACTGGACCTACAAGCTTGTTCATCAACTGGCAAATGATTGACCACGATACGTATGGAAACCGATTCTTTTATGTTCTTGCTTACCATGACGTTGGCGCTACTGAAGTGAAATGGAACGAGTGGCTTCTTGGATCTAAAGTTGACAAAGTCGAAGTCGATGGTTTAACGCAGAATCGACAGTACAATATCAAGGTTGGCGTAAGAAAAATGGATATCGCACATGGTGAAAATACAACTACCGCGTGGTCCGACCCTGCTGTTGGAGAGACATTCATCGCCAGTTACAACGCTAGAACTATTTTAGCAAAGACAAAATGGGATAGCTGTTACAAAAACAAATTCTCTGGAGCGCACCTTAAATTAGTTTCACAGCTGCAGTCTAACTCAAAACTGCTCTTTTCTTCGCCAGCAATGAATTATGGCGGTAAAGATCTGCGGTCAAAGTTCCTCAAGTCTGATGATTTCCGTTTCGAGTCTTCAGAACTCAAAAACGTTGTGGTCTTCTGGCGCCTCTATTTCAAACCTTTGGATAAATCATGGGAAGCTCCAGCTCTTGAACAGTTACTGAAAGACATGCTCTCTGGCGTTATTATCTCGAAGTACAACTTGAGAAATGTGCCGAAGTTCGAAGATGGAAATCTTTTAGCTAGGAACTCGAAGTATATGCGAATTTTTGACATTGACGAGTGCGCTACAGATCAACATGATTGTGACATGAACGCTAGATGCATTAATTCACCAGGAGATTTCAAATGTGTCTGCAAATCAAATTTCGATGACGTCTCAGCTCCATACCCACCAGGTCGTTATTGCAAAATCAACCCTGACAAGCCAGTTATTGATTACGATGATTACATCGATACCGCCGTCGACACATCCATGCCTGAAGGTTCCAAGGCTGCAGAACTTCTCGCTGGTCAACGACCAAAGAATGAGCACAACTATAATCATGGAGTCTGGCTACGTAAATACTCAATGTGCACTCCACTTAACCCGCGAATGACCCAACCCGCTGTTTACGTGAAATCAGGGAGCTCAGAAAAATGTGAACCCGTTTTCATTTATAAATCGTCTGCAACCCTTGCTCTATCAGACGTTCAGAAAAGGTCATATAAACCAAGGGATGTTTACGACAGGGAGTCATTTACTTATAAGAACTTGACGCTGAAAATGGATCATCAAATCAATGAACTATTAAACTTCGAGCTCGGAAGTGAATTCATCAAGTCCTCTGTTCTCGGGCTTAGATTGTCTGACAGACGAGAGATGGCCATCGAAGTAGATTTTCTCGTCTTCTTGCAACGCCGCGAAGCAAACAGTACCGCTGCATACAAGCAATACAACCCAAATCAGCTTCAGCGGTCTTTATGGGAGATTTTCTCCGAGTATAGACCTGGAAATGGCGACTTTCAATTCCAATTCGACAAGACTGACACTACTGTAACCGATCTCAATGAGTGCCTGACAAAAATGCACGACTGTGACAAGCAAGCTGACTGTATAAATACCGAAGGAGGATTTGAATGCTCCTGCAAGCCTGGATTCAAAGATAGCTCTAGAAAAGGTGAAGGACGAAAGTGCCAAGATCAGTGTAGGCCAAGCCCTTGCAAAAACAGCCAGCAGTGTCTGAAAACGAATCTGGTCGGAATGCCTGTTTGCAAATGCAAAAGCCCGTATAGAGGAGAGTTCTGTGAAATCGTCGATCCACTTAGAAAATTGCCAAGTTTTGGTACGAAGTCTCCCACTGCTGCACTTGTGCTCATAGTTGTTGTTGGGCTCATCATTATCCTTGCTATTCCACTACTTTCGATGATCTGCTGCTTTTTCTGTCCTGTGAAAACAAAGTACTCAAGAATGCTTGAAGACAGGATAAAGAAGAACCACCAGTTTTCCGAGAGACAAAAATTTCGACGAGAAGAAGAGGAAAAACGTCTTGATGAGATTTATAAGCAGCGGCAAATCAAGGAAGAATTTTTCAACGCCAAAAACAGTGAGGAAGAGAAAATTGATCTAAAAAATCTTGGATTCAAGTCGGTGGCGGATTTTGACCCAAAACACATTTCATCAAGGTTTTTTTCTTTTAAATTTTTCTTTTCGCCAACCTTTTTAGGCCCGAAAATCTTCTAGCGACAAGTCAACGTATGATGGAAAGTACCTCAATCATGGAAGTTAAAAACCAAGAAGATGATGAGGTCAGTGAGACGGGGCCTGTCATTACCCAAGTCGGGTTCAAACCTCTTGTTAATTCGACAGGAGATATAAAAGATGAAGAATCTAAGACCGAGAAGAATTCCGAGGGAATAGGAACGGTTTAAAATAAGTCAATTTTTATCAAATAGTTTCATATGGGCTATATGTAACTAAAAATAACCGAATAAAAGGATCTTTGATGGCTGACATTCTAGCGATCGGAGCCAAGAAAGTCAACGAAGACGAAAAAGGTCTCGTTGAAGAAGAAAACGTTCAGGAGTCTAATGCTGTCGATGAAACAGAAGCGCTAGAAACTTATGCCGAGACAACTGTGAACTCTCATGGAAACATGAAAACGGAAACTCATGATGATTCTTCATCGACTGATTCTGTAACGACAGATAGTATCACATCGTATTCTGGTACTGAAACAATCACTGAATCACGACAATAAATTATTGTAAATAACTTTATTTAATTATTTCTTTCAATGTCAAAAATAACAATTCTTATAGTTCATCGCAAATAGCAAAAATCCTGAGTACAATATGACTTACAATCCTGTGGCTGAGTCTGAAAGACAATCGGTCGTTTACATGGACCCTCATGGTGAAAAAGAGTTTCAGAGGAAACAATACTTGTGCCGTTCCAAACGATCCGTTCAACAGCGTTCGGACTTGAAATTTCAGAAAAAAGTGTAGTTGGGTTCATACCTTTCATAACCAGCGAAAATCATCATCACATTTTCCAAATAAATCATTGAGCCTTGACTAAAACCCTAAAATTATTTTGAAAATCGAATTATTCTAATATTTTTTCGATAACATTTTTCAATTCACCGACAACAGTCCAGATTCCATTTCTAAAATAATGGACCATTTTGAGATGTGAAGAGCCAATTTTTCCACCAGCAGTAATAATTCCATTTTCAACGGATACACAACTATGTTCGTAAAGATTGCCAGCTGGATGGGTCGATTCTGATCTCCATCCACTTTTTTTTGAGAATTTTAGAAAAAAAATTATTTTCTCTCACTACCTAAATGCTAGAGACTCAACAGTATTTGTATTTGATCCAGCAACAATTGTAGCTTGTCCATCTAACAAGCACATAGATGCGATACTATGAGTTGCTTTCATGTCGTACATTTCAATTGATGATTCGCCATCAAACATTTCACATTTTTTGGAAGAAGTTGTTCCCCCGCATAGTAAAACTTCGTCCAGAATTTCAGGTATCGTGACAGTAGATCCATCAGTATAGAAATTGAATAAAAGCTTTTTACCGGTATCGTGAATTCCGCAATCTGTTATTTTTACGATCTATAATTTATTCAATTTTAAAAAATCATAGAGTATTACTTTATGAGAGTCGACCGCTCCACCAAACATATAGACCTCGCCATTTAAAATTGCTGATGCTGATTGATATAAGTACTGATACGTTGAGGTTGAGTACGGAGAATCATAAAAACGATTTTCCTTGAAAAAGTATTTTGCTACATTTCTGGTATATTGAAATTAATACCTTGAATTTCCCGTCCAATGAAATAATGTAACTAAAGGAGATCTTGTATTGACACATAACTCCAATGTATGGTTGGCAATTAAAGCCGCTCTTACATGGACATCCTTTGGGACATTCAGTATTACAAGGGCATTTGTTTGACTCTTCCGTAAATAATGTAAAACAGTGGTTGTAACACTCTCGATTGGCTGTGCAATAACTGGTGCATTTTGTTAGTCGCTGGTTTGCTTCTTGTATACATTGTCTGTAGTAAATATTACCAATTTCGGGATTTTTACACGAACAAATAGGATTTGAACACCCCTCACAGCCATCAGGGCAGTCAGGGTAACATGGACAAGCATCGTAGCAGGCTACCGAGAATTAAAATATTTTCAAAACTCAATTTAAATACCAGTATACTCAGATAAACATGCTCTTTCGCAAGATGAGGAGTCGCAAGAATCTCTGCAAATAAGAAAATCCTCATAACAGAATCCATCACACTTCTCAGCTAGATCTTGATCCCTGTAAAACGTCGTTTATAATTAAATATTTTATGATTATATAAAGCCTCACGCGCATGTATCGGTAAAAGGTTTAGGTCTATATATTTCTTCGTAGACCGAGTGAACCCCGAGAAATAGGAAAATAACCAAATTTAACATCTCTCACTTCGATTATGAGACTTGAAGTACGTTGACTTGATATGATTTTTTGCCTCTTGACCTTTCTCGTAACATTTGCATTTTTTCGATAATATTAGCACTCGCTTTCAAGATGACGCATTTTAATTTAATTTCCTAATATAGTGACAGAAGTATTGAGTTGACTACAGGACAAGGTTTGGTTCTTTTCATCAATCAGCACCTCTTCTTGTCTCCTCGCTGGGCCTCTTTCCGGATCACCTTTCGAAAAACGCTGCCCAGTTGTAAATCTTACACTCGACTTGTCGCAGGAAGAATACAGCTCCTAGCTCTATTACACTTTTCCTAAAATATGAGCGAATTTACCGAGGATCAAATTGAAGGTAAAGAGATTTTGCAAGACTTTATTTATATTTTCAATTAGCATTCAAGGATGCTTTCGAGCTCTTTGACCGAACCGGACAGGGCAAGATCGCCTGGGCTGAGTGCGCTTCTCTTGCCCGATGCTTCGGCTACAACCCAACTAATCAGTTTGTCCTCAACCTCCTTACTACCGGAAACCCAGAAGAAGAGCCCGAGCTTCCACCAACGAAGCAAGAAATGGCTGAAAACTTTGTTACCCTGGACGAGTTTCTCCCTCATTTGTGGATTGTCTCGCAGGCCCCTGATCCAGGAAGCTACGAAGACTTCTTCGAGGGTTTGAAGGTTTTCGACAAGCACGGTGATGGAAATGTCAGGTAACGAACCAAACTTCTTCCTTGATTTCAACCAAATTTTAGCTCAGCTGAACTCAGACACGTTCTCGCCAATCTCGGTGAGAAGCTCACTCAGCAGGAGATCGACACTCTTATCGGTGACCAGGAAGACTCTGCTGGCAACATCAATTACGATAAATTCATCAAGACCATCATGCACGACAAGGAAGGCTCTCCCGACGATTGTTAGATGTTTTTTTACTGTGTTCAAATGTTTTGGGGAAAATTTTTGAATAAACTTTTCAATTGAGTTCTGCTTTATTTAAAGTAGTTTCCCATGAAAGCAAATGATGGCTTGATGTGCATTTTCCCTGACTCCATGTCTTTCTCAAATATGAAGTCTAAAATTGAAGAAATCTTGCATTCTGACGGGAGAAAGCTTACCTGCTAGGTTGGATGCAACTTCCCTGTCGAGTTTAGCAGCAGCTACATTTTTCCTTATACTTTCATATGAAGGCAAATCGAAGGCACACGCGACGAGCAGAAAAACGTTAAAGATAATCATCGCAAAGTTTTTGTGGAATACGTTTTGAGTCAGGCCTGTTCTCTGTTAAATAAAGGCAATTTTTGTCCGATTAGTTAGGTTAATACTCAATGAACCACTAAAGAGACAGGTACTGGTGTGGAATTCAATAATTATCATGGTTATTATCGAGGGCATTGCGGTTGATTGATTTTAGTAGAGATACCACTGATCATATCAAATAAAAAGAGTTACAGCATTATCTGACTTTATAACTAACTTTGAAGGCATATCATGTCCCTTGGTGAACCTTGACGCTCCGCCATTTTTCTTTCATCAATATAGTGGTTTTCCTGATTGAATTAGATGCATTCAATATCATCTAAGTGGCCTTGAACTGATCATTATTTAATGATTGTACCAGTATAAAACGGACGATATAGGAAATGAGAGGCTAGAATGTTTTTCTGTAACGCGAGTAAAGCTCTTTTATTCACAATTATCGTCGGTGCACATAATTTCTTCAACCAGCCAAGAAAACTGCCTCGAAGTTCTGATATTCATTCCAAGCCAGCAGATGATAAGAAAGCCATGACCAATTTTATAACGAAGTGGGCGAAATCAATCTGGGAAGATCCGGAATTAGGTGATTATGAATCTTCTGATGCTCCTTATGATATTTACTACATGTTATAAAAAAGAGACGCTATTAAAATACTTGATGATCGAAACTCTTACGATATTTTGCTATAAAAAGTCGATTATTAGCAATGATTGCTTCTCAAGAATTCAGAAAATTAAAATCACATGTTGCATTAATAACCTGCTGTTTTCATCGAAAATACTCTCATGAAAATTATTTATTTCTAAAGAGTCAATATTTCCAGGGAAGATATAATTTGCTCGGCACATTTTGCCAATATATTCTTGCCGATAATTCATTGACGATTGTATTTTTGGACATAAAACCATTCAATTATCAGACTTATCTCTATAAATACTTCGCTGGTTCAAGATATTCAGTAAAATATGAATTTCGGAAAGGTGTTTTTTCTCACGACTATTTTCGTCGTAAACGCGATTGTTCCGCGCGGCCTTCAAGTTCCAGAAATAAATCTGCAAGAAGTCATGCAGAACATCTTTAACGAGTGGAAAAAGCTCAACTGAGAAGGTGGAAAGCCTGAATCGAAACGATCTGCCATTTACTCGTTTTTCACATAATGTCTGAACGAATAAATGTAACATCCGGAGATAAAGATAAACGCAGGTTGCGTCAAATTCTAAAAATGAGGAACCCTTTTCTATCTATTAATAAACTTCCGCTGTATCTGAAACCACAGGATCAACAAAAACCAGCATGATTCTGAATTATTGTCGTTGAGAGTTTATAACAAGTCTGCGATCTTGACCATTTAGCGATGGCGCTGATCAAACGCCAGCTGATCCTATAAAAGTGCCGATCATTAACCTTGAGCGGAAAAGGTTTTGCGAAATCCTTCAAGAGGTGCTTACCAGAATATTTTCCATAATAAGACAGAGACGAAAGCTTCCAGGTTCGGATTTATGGAATGAAATATTTCTAAAAGCTACTTTTATATTAAATTATTCAATCAACTCGGCTTAGAATCAATTTCGCGTCACGTCCGCGGCTAACCATTTTACTGCATCTCGGTTCGTTTCACCATGAAATTATCCACCAATGTTAGAAGTAGGCATATATTTAGGGCCGACGCGCAAAAAATCAACCCCAAGAAAGCATCAACGTAGAGAGCTGAAACTTCGGGACATAATGTAGTTCGACCCAACTAAAAAAATTGCTATTGAAAATTTTTTGGTCTGGTCACGTGGTCACGTGATACAGGCCTCCGAAAAGCTAAAAAAGCTTGACGACCTTGAACGCCTGATCAAGGTCGATCAGCTCATACCTCTGAAGAAAGAACTCAAAAAGTTATTCTTATAGAGTAAATAATATTTTTGGTGGCGCAGTCACGTGAGGCCGTAGAAGGGAAAAAGGCCCCAAAAAATGGGTTAAAATATGGTAAAATCAAGCTTTCATGGGTTCATTTAGTCAAAATTGGTGTCAAAAACAGCTGTTTTGGACGTTTCAACGAGCTCTTCTGCGTCACGTGATTGCACCACCAAAAATATTATTAGCTCTATCAGAATAACTTTTTGAGCTCTTTCTTCTGAGGTATAAGCTGATCGACCTTGATCAGGCGTTCAAGGTCGTCAAGCTTTTTTAGCTTTTCGGAGGCCTGTATCACGTGACCACGTGACCAGACCAAAAAATTTTCAATAGCAATTTTTTTAGTTGGGTCGAACTACATTATGTCCCGAAGTTTCAGCTCTCTACGTTGATGCTTTCTTGGGGTTGATTTTTTGCGCGTCGGCCCTACATATATTCATGAAAAGAGCTGCTTAAAAAGCTTCAATTGAGCTTGAGGGTTTCGCTATTGATTTTGGAATAGACAAAGGGGGTCGTGAATTTGTTTAGGTTAAAGCTCTCTAACTTGACTTGGGGTGAGATGACACGTTCTACGGCTGCTACACATTCCAGAAACCTAATTTTTACAAGTGTCTCCAACTTGCAACTGCGCACACTCTAGAACAGAAGCTTATTCGAGGGCAGAGAGGAATACTATTTCAAAGAAATTAACAACTAGTCAAATTTACCCGCGTTAACGGACAAAGCATCGCCTCAGAGCGTATTATACGTATTTGACATTCGAAGACATAAACCACACTGGAATCAGTAGAACAAAGAGATACTCTGGCCGATGATAGCTACTGATAATTTCAAAAAAATTTTTGCGGGTCTGAAAATCGTAAAAATTCTGAAAGTGCAGTTTTCTTCAGCTTGTTGAGACGAGTCGAATGGTGGGTCAAACTCTTGATAACTCCAAGGATTGACCGGTTAACCGGCTGGTTACCGGAAAATACGTTTCCGGTCGCCGTTTTTGTTCTAGATATGCTAGGATGATGAATGAACCCGGAAACTGATCCTTATGGTCAGTTCTACTGTGGGCAAAAAGATATTGGTCAAATATATAGCGAAACTTTTTTTAACTATAAAAATTCTAAATTTTGTATGTATTTCGTTGTCGCTGCACCTTCCTAATTTTCGGTCCCATTTTCATAAGAAAATAGAATTTTGGTGATAAGCATCTTATGGTTAGAGATATGATTCTCATTTTTTCACCCACAGAAGAACTAACTTCAAGGACCAGTTTCCCGCTTTTTTTGTCATTCTAGCATTTCTAGAACAAAAACGGCGACCGGAAATGTATTTTCCGGGAAATTGCCGGCTAACCGGTTAATCATTGGAGCCATCAAAAGTTTGACCCATCATTCGACTCGTCTCGACGAGCTCAAGAAAACTGCACTTTCAGATTTTTTATGATTTCCGGACCCGCAAAATTTTTTTTGAAATTATCTACTAACTCCTGTTGTAAATAAATCTAATCAAGCATCAACCAGAGAAAAATCCACAACAGAAATCGTTAAAAAAGAGCTTGATGAAGACACTCGAATTTTTGCTGCTTGCGCTCACTGATGCAAGAATATTAGGTATGTTTAGCTTAATTTTGTCCTTGGGGAATCGGGCGCCCGACAAAACGGTTCATTGCTTATGAAATTGACGAAAGAACCAAATTATTATTTAAACTTAATAATACTCTGGATAATGGAACGAGTAAGAACTAATTCACGTTATTCCGCATACTAAGCGTTAATGTTCGTATCTGTCTGGTAGACAGTGCATTTGATTTAACATTATTTCAGGTTTATACAATGGATCATTGCTAGTAGAAAAATCTTTCGCTGAAGACTCCCTCTTCAGAAGACGATTTTATGTAGAATTTGAAGATGATGCTGATTTCAATTTGACTGTAGATACAACTGATCCATTCAAACTAGTCATTGGATATGAGAACTACTTATTCAACTCATTTGGGGACGATTCTTCAGTCTCTGTCAAAGTCGGCAAGCAGGTAGAAATAAGTGGTGTTGATTTTTGGTCACAAACTTTTTAGGTGGACAAAGGAATTTCCGAAATCACAGAAAACTGGATTGAAATACAGTTTGAAGACCAAGAAAAGCCGATTTCCGCTGAATTGAACGTAGTTACGTCGACTGAATCACTATCTGCTCCCCTTTTGTCTGGCTCTCTTTCAAGCTCCGAACAAGAAAGGAACAAATTGTTCACTGGCTCTTACGGTGCAAATTTGCGAAACATTCTCTCAGTCAGTACGTCGGTTATTATTCCAGGTAAAAGTACTTTTAAAACTGAGGAATTAATAAAATTCTTTCAGACTTTCCATCGAACATTGACTATGCAACGGTTCGAGAAACCATTGTCAACTTCTTCAAAATGGATGCAGTTAACCAAGTTCAAGTTGTTGATGTTCGAAACTCTTCGCATGGAGTTGTTTTCGATGTCTCCATTGGAGTCCTTGTCCCCCAAGCAAAAACATTTCTTCAAGGCTGGAAAGTCTACATAACTGACTTGTTCCGAATGCTTCAAGTTGAAAACGGCGTCGATGCCAGCTTCACTGCTCCGATTTACAAAGTTGAGGCGCCGAGAGCGAAGAAAGCGTTTATTGCGATTGTTACTCTCTGCTCTGCTATCATCGTTGGCTTCTTGGTCGCGTTCTTTGTCGTTGGACTCAGAAAGGAGATGACAAAGAAAGAAATTCTGGGAGGCTGGTTTCTTATCAACTTCAGGCCAAGTTTGTTAGTGATGGCGGAGATGCTCTTGTGGTGGGGCTACAGGTAGAAAGGATTGTAAATCTCAAACTCATTGAAATTAAAAGCGAGCAACTGAACATGATTTATCCATCGCGCGACAGCTTTGGGATTGGATTCGTCTTCATCGCTGCTTTTGGGTTCATCTGTTCATGTGGTCGAAGCGTCGCGTATCTGCTGAGGATAAATCGAGGGAACAAAGAATGGACATTGCCGTGGTCTCAGGGGAATATCGCAAATATCATTGGAATTTTATTTCACGATATTCCTGTTCCTTTTGCCGTCTATTTCTACTACACGAAGTACTACTCCGTGCTTAGCAGCTTCAAGTTAACAGTGATGGTTTTTCAAGCTGCACACATGACGCTTTTCTTGAAATATTTCAAAACGCAGAGAGCCGAGAATGTTGCGAAAAGAAAGGAGGGTACATTCTCTCTTGGACATGGCCTGACTTCGCTTTTGTTCTTTTTTGCACTTCTTTCGCAGGTACGGTTGATCATCTATCATTTTGTCAGCTCATAAAAACCTTTTAAAAGTTTTTATAGCATTGAACTAAGATTAATTAGATAATGATGTTCGCCAGAACCGTCGCCTTACAAACTGGTCGCTTGGCGGTCATGTCCGGAAGCAAAATATCCGCAGTTGTACGAAAAGACTTCACACCTAACTATCCGAATTTCGAGGATGTTATTGGACGATCCTGTATGGACACTTTACTTGATGAAAATGGCGCGTTTGTGAATACTCCAAAGTAAGCTTTTGAAAGATTTGCCTTTTTAAGAATCTTTAAGGCCCTTTCGAAGCACGTGTTTGAATGGCATCGAAACAGGAATAATCGTCATCTTTGGTATAACACTCTTCATCGGACTGCTGACCCTTCCTGTCTACGGACATGCTTACTTCAAGATGAGAAGAAGCAAGACTTACCAGGATACTCAACCGATGGACCAAAGAAAAGACCAAGTCGAAGAAGTCCCAAAGACAACAACTAACTAAATACCTTCAACAATGCTCCTACAATACGCTTTTAACAATTCACTGCTTTTCAAAATAACTTATCGCATCACACGATGCCTTTTTTGCTAAATAAAAAACATTCCTGCACAATCTAATCGGATCAAGTTTTCAAAATAAAATAATTTTATAACAATTTGTTATTTTTAAAAAAATGAAGAAGGCACAGTACGAAAACATCTTCAGAAAGGAGTTGATAAATTTTAGAAAAGCTTCAAGACTTGTTTCGCTCTGAAGACCTTGCGGCAGACCGGACAGTTAAGTTCTCTCTTGACGGTTGAGTTTGAATCACCTGAGCTCGCTCCGTTGATTTGCATCATTATGCATCTAATGCAGGCCTAAATTTATTATGTAAACGATCAAGAGAGACTGCTGAAAAATTACAGTTTTCGCAGTCAAGAGAAATACCTGATGGCAGCATTCAGTTATGCAGGCTCGCTGGCGGCTTGTTTCGTTGTAGATTTCAAGACAAACCGAACATCTGATCATGTTGTTGAGTGTATCTTCGTTCATAACCATCAAATCTGAATACATGATTAAAATATCGTCGTCACGATCAAAAATGCCTTCAGAGGTTGTTGTTCGCATAATGTCGCGAATAGTCTGCTCCATCGTAGCAGCCTCATGTCTAGTTCTTCCACAAAGGATAGAAGTGTCCATATGAACATCCTGATCGCCAGAGTTGTCGATCTTCATCCTTTTTTCGGGGCGTTTTTGGCTTGTTGAAGTTCTTCGCTTCATCCTCTCCTGAGTTAAAGTCCAGCGAGGCATCAAACTTGAAGTTTTACCTTGAAAATCGAGTAGATTAATAAACTGAGGATCATCTAATAAAACAACAAGGGATGGAGCGAAATTCTAGAAATAGCGATTCTCTTCCTTGTTTCCAAGTTTCCAGCATTGATAAATGAAACGATCGAAGGTGTTCCTCAGCCTTCTTGGCGCAGTTGGTTAGCGCGTCAGTCTCATAATCTGAAGGTCGTGAGTTCGAGCCTCACAGAGGGCAGTTTTTGCTGATTCTAGAGATTTTTTCTGACAAGAGAGGATTCAATTGCTCTTTCTGCATGCTGGCATGCCTCTGCAAATGTTAGCCCCGATATCAAACGACGATTCGACTACAAGAATGAATGAATTGCCAAATACTGATTAGCATTTTCTGTATTTTTTGTTATTTTATTCAGATTTTCTTTCTTTAGTGAATTTAGAACTGTCAAAAAGCCAGGCAAGCAGTCTCAGAAACAGGAGTATGACAGTATACAGATGAGTTGAAAAAGTTCTTACTGTTGACTCGATTCTAGCGACAGTCCTTACTTGAAAACGTGGGTGATGGTGGTGATGATGATGGTGTTGATGAAAAACAGAAAAGTGATCAAAGACGAACAGGCTGTATGAAGAAGCTAGTGATGCTTTTACCATTCAAAGATAACATTTGACTTTATAAGACAAGCCAATTATAAATAGTAATCAGTCTCCGTACAGCTGTAGATTACGGCTTGAGGTAGCGAAAAAGCAAATTTGGTATTTGTTACTGTTGAGTCTCGGATGAATGGTTTATCTTTGAAATTATTACAAGAGTACAGATGATAATGAGTGAACCATTGTCTACGCAAGTCGAAAAGGTACTTTAGAAAATGTAAAAAGGAGCCTTCTAGTTGGGAAAAACGCGAAAAGAATAATTGAAAAGATCCGTGAGGAGCTTTCAATACTAGAAGCTTCTTTTACAAGTCTCAGTTTAGAAGTTGAGACGGCGAAAGAATTGTTTTGAATAAGAATACATCTTTTTTCATGGGCAGATAATGGGCACAAACCAATCGGTCGGAAGTGAATTTTACGAAAAAAAAAGAGAAAATAAGTGGGAACTGGCGGAAGCAGCACAAGAAGATGTGAGTTTAGAAACAAAACAAAACGAGTGTTACGCTCTTATTGTAAAAATTGTAGAAAAGAAACCGCTTCTCAAATATTTTAAAGTGAATATCTATTTTTGATTTTCTCGAAATTGAAACAATTTAAAAGTCGTCATTTGGAGGCTCGTGGTGAGGATAGGCGCTGAACTCGTTGATCTTCTGTCGCTTGTGCTCGTAGACGGCGTCGTCGAAGAGCTGCAGGGCTCGTTTGCGGCTCACTTTTTCTGTTCGAGGTGGAGAAGACACGGAGAAGTCGTCAAGTGTGTTCTGAAATCAGATAAAGATGAAAAATCGACGTTCAAATAAATATAGAAAGAGCAAGAGATCGATGCGCTCTCTCAAGTTTTAATGGCAATCAATTACCTGAATATTGCTGAGTTCTTTGTTGCAATTAGTGTTACATCGATGTATGCATGGCTGGCTACTTGGACCAGGTCGGGGCGAGCGTCGCTGCGGCGAGTTTCGATTTCGCTTCGCCAGACAGGTCTTTTGGCGCTCGAGTGGCGGAACTCCTGGTGGAGGAAGAAGAGGCGGTGGCGAACGATTCGCCATCTTTCCCAACATTTCTTCTCGGCGGATCATCCGGCGTCGCGTTCGAAGCCACTTGACGGACTCTTGATCTCGCTGCACGCGGCCAAGCTCCTTTGATTTCTCCCTGAATACATTTACTCAGCCGCCACTCATAAAATAAAGTAGAATAAAGGTTTTTAGCAAGACAAAGGGGGATTAGAGCTACTCTCAAATTTGACATAATGGAGAGTTGAATTACCTGACAGAATTGAAGCTATCCTTCGACTCTTTGTAGAAATCTGTCAATTTGCAAGCAGCTGTTCTGAAGGCTTGATAATTCTCTCTGGATTGGTTCGAGTACAGTTGAGCGATCGCCAAGGCTGCTTCTCGAAAGCCTGAATAATTTTTTAAAACTGAACCGTAGATGAAGAAGAGTTTACCTTTTTCGAGTCTGATGAGACTCTGTTGAGCTTCCAGATCTCTTCGTCGCGCAACTTGCTCAAAAGTCGCTTCCAGCGCGGCGATTGCATCTTCCTCCCAAACAGAAAGGTCGTCGCACATTTCTTTTGCAAACTTCCGAACGTTCGCTACAGGAAAAACTAAAAAAAGAATAAATAGAAAAAACTTCTTCCGCTTTTATTCTAGAGAAAATCAATAAAAGACGTCTAGAATAACCCAGAACAGTTTTTGGTAATATTATCTTGTCTTGTTCGAATTTGACCGGATTATTCGAAGAAATTCTTGAGCGAAAAGGTGTTTTGAAGTGTCTGGGTACAAAAATGACTACCCATGATAATTGGCGGAGGAGATATTCTCTTTTCTATAAAATGTCTCATTGATCACAGAAGTAAGATTACATAAGTAAAAGTTAAATTTATTTCTCTGAATCAAACTTACCTCTTTAAATTCTACGAAAACTTGAACTTCTTTGTGGATCTTTCGTTGTAGAATGGGCGCTCTGTATTCTTGTGAATATTATCTTCCCTCTCTTTCCCTCTCTTGCGAAATGGGGATTTGCTTCGAGTGAAGAGGAAAATCTCGTGAGTTGCCCGGAGCTGAACGACGTATTTTCTGATGGGAGAGTCTGCGTGGCGCGCGCGATTGGCCCCGTCCTGGCCACTCAGAGGGCGAATTTCGCGGATGAGCGAGCCGAGCTCCTCCACCACCGTGCATCAAGTTGCAGCAAAGCCCCTTGGCTCCCCTTCTTCCTCGAGTATTCACAATTCTATCGAGAGAGTAACCTAAGAAGAGCGTGAGAATTGGAGAACTGGTGGAACGCGCCTGAGGGCGAAGTGGAGGCAATTATCAAATAATGGCACGAGTAATTAGGAAGGGCTCTATTTTGATTACATAACGAATTTAACACGTTTGGTCAGCATTATCACGTAAATAGGGTGTGTGGAAAAAACAATTGTCTATAACTTCAGCCATTTGTACCGCTTTAACACCGCTTATACAATCAAATCATATTCTCCCAAATAATTAGCCTGAAAAAGATATGCTCTGCTAGGCACTTGTGCACACAGTACCGTCACAAGATGTCCCGCTGGCTGCGACTGTACAGCTGAACAATCCGGCGCCGGTACATTCGTCGATTGCAAAGGCCGAGGACTAAAACGAATTCCGACAACGTAAGAATCTACTCACGGCTGAATGAGTAAATTTTCAGTTTTCCGGACGACGCGAGGACGATCGATCTGTCGGACAACGAAATCACCAGGCTCGATGAAATCCAGGAACTTGAGCAGCTGATTACGCTGAACTTGGCGAACAATCGGATATCCGAAATCGATCAAGATTTTTTCGATGACCTCGACGCTCTTACCACCCTCCACCTCTCTCACAATCATTTACGGTTTGTTCATAAATCATCAATTCAAAGCACGACTCAAATCTAAAATTTTAGATTTATCGAAGACGATGTTTTCGAGTGGGGCCCTGAAAACCTTCGGCGATTTTACGTCGATCACAATCGTCTTGAATCCATTACTCACTTCACATTCAACAACTTTGAAAGTCTTGAAACACTTGACATCTCCTCCAACTTCCTCTTCTATATCGACGACAACGCATTTGAAGACCTCGAAAACTTGCGATCAATCCGTCTTCACAACAACTCCCTTGTGAGTTTTCGTCCTCACTGGTTTGAGGACATTCTCTACAACTCTATCGACATCACCCTTCATGACAACCCATGGTCATGTGACTCCGACACAGCTATTCTACTCGACTCCAATGAGTTCGACACCAATGGGTCTTCCAAAAGAATCCTCAAGGATGCAGTCAATGCTGGAAACTCGCGACTAGAATGCTCCAAGCCGGAAAGTCTAAGTGGCAGAAGTCTTTTCGACCTGAGACGAGAAGAAGTTGAAGACATATCTGAAGATATCAAAATTCGATCGATCACGAGTTCGTTTGAAGTGAACGAAGGCGAAGCGATTCTTCTGCGATGCGAAGTCACAGGAATTCCAGTGCCGATCATCGATTGGTTCGCCCCCGATGGTGATGAATACTCAATTTCCAACGACGATTTTACGGACGTCCACATGCATCAAGACGGTACTCTCGTCATTTTACACGCAGAAGACTTGGACGACGGAGAATACACCTGCACTGCTAAAAATAGCAAACACTCTGTCGAAGCAAAAACGACTGTATCTGTCAGGCGGTCCAATGTGGATAAAGATTTCGAAGTGTGCACTTACAATCCTGTCGATAAGACATTCTTCCACGATGTTGAAGGATGTGTATCACCTGTCGAGCAAGGAACTAGTTCTCCCATCGCAATTCAAACGAGCGAAAGAAATACTGCCGAAAACTGTCCCCGAAGTTGCGAATGCTCTTACAAAACTGCTGATTGCTCTGATCAAAGTAAGACTTCCATGATTCCAATATCTCCTCATCGCTCTCTTTAGATTTATTACAGTTGCCGAGGGTGGTTCCTCCGTACGTCAAGCAGTTGAACTTTCAAGACAACGATCTTATCGACTTGGATGGTAATATATGTGAAGATTTCACATGGCTTGAAGAGCTACTAGCAGATCAGAACTCTGTCACCACTATAAGTCGCAGCGCCTTTAGCAACTGTCGAGCATTGACCAAACTGACCTTGGCCAATAATCAAATACGGCTGCTTGAAAGTGGTCAATTTTCAGGGCTCACCAAGCTGGAAACATTAGACCTTAGGTATTTAGAATCGAATCTTTTCTGTAATTATTTCATTTATTTAGTGGAAATCTGATTCAACACATTCAAAATGGCGTCTTTTCCGGGCTTGTTAGTCTTGAGAGGGTATTTCTAAGAGACAACGAGATCACGCAAATAGCATCAGATGCATTCCACAATCTTCCAGCTCTCAAACTCATCCATCTCCAGGAAAACAAAATATCAAGACTCGAACGCGACTGGATAGAGGGTAAAGCAAATGCATCAGTATCAAATCTAAATACTTCTTTCAGGCGCAGCTTCGGTCACTCTTGCAACTATAGATCTTTATGACAATAAAATTGATTGTTCCTGCAGCTTGAAAGAATTCGGCGCTCATCTAAGCTCGCCAACAAGCACAATTTTCAAGCTTATCAAGCCAGACGAGCTTTCATGCTCCTATCCGATATCGTTGAATGGGAAGCCACTGTCAGAGGTTTGTTAAATATCGATGAATCTCGTGATTATTCTGTAGCTCGATTTGGATACCCTTTCGTGCCAAGATGACAACTTACCCATCTACGATGATTACAAGGAATCTGGTGGCACGCATTTCATGACTTTCTTTGTTGGAATCATATTTTCAATTGCTGGATATCACGGTTATCAAAAATGGAAGATCTGGAGAAGTCGTCAGCCAATGCCAAGTCGAAGACGAGGTGAATCCCTGCTATAATCAAACATATAAACATAACTTCAAGGCGGTGTTAATGCAGATCTTGACTCCGGCTTGGCTCCACTAATAGGAGGATCAAATGACGACGAACGATTTGTATAAATAATGTTGCACTCATGCATATTTATGATATAAAAAGTATCATAAAATGTTTATCTATTTAGACTTTATTACTTATCAAGACTTAGAACTTATTCCAAAAGTGAGAACGGTGCGTTTCTAAATTGCACTTTTCTGTATTTTCGTTACTGTAATTTTAACTCGATCAAACTTATCCTGCCTTTTCCTTTATCCGAGTTTACCTAAATCTCTTATTTTCTGTAGATGCTCAATGATGGGCATTGAATTTCTTATTTCTGTACCTGAAAATGCCAAAAACATGAATAAAAAAAAGCCCAGACTAAAAAAACAATCCTTTCGGTTTTCGATAGAACACACCGCCACGCACTCGGGCGGGCAAATACGGTACTATCGAAACTTTGGATTTATGTACTTTGTGTGTTTATCGCAAGTGACAGGCCGGTATTTGCGGTATCATCGTTTGCATGGGTTAAATATTAACCCTTGGTGGTTCGAACGAGAGGGCTCCAAAGGTCCGAAATTAGTCTATCCCAGACACACCATTTTCGTAAATTTTATTCGTATTTTTTCGAGAAATCCAATATTTTTTGAGCATTTTTCGAATCCCTACTTCAGTATAAGGTAAAGCTGGCTACATAACGTACATGTGAATATTCAACACAACGTTAGGGCCTCTTGCCTACCACTGGATGGGAACGTTCGACCACCAACGGGTTAAAACAGAAATAGAGATGCAGAGAGCTTTTGAATAGAGCATTGTTTTATATTTGGCAAGATAATTGTTATTGCGAGCATAGTTTTTTGATGAGGAAGTATTTCGTGGTCGCTCATTTGAATATTTGATTGTTCGAACATGGAACCAATAAACCCAAGAGTACATTTACAGCATCAGCGCTTGCATAAATTTAAACATGATGAGTCTTCCTGGCATGCGCATGGTCCAACTCTCGATTCTGGTGAACAAACGTCGCACATCCAATCGCAAAAGTCGCCAGAAACAGTAAAACAAGAAAGATAATTATGCAAATCCAGGTTCGATATAAAGACGCTAAAGTAACCCTCGTACAGTCAGAGGCGGAAGAATGTGTTTACTCACGTATTGGAAAGAAAAAGCGCCGGAAGAATGTCGTTTTCTCAGAATTGATGCAGTAATACTCGCCTGTGTCGAGCTCGCTTGCATTGCGCAGGTAAAACTCCCACTGACCTTCGACATTTCGACTGATTAAGTTGCTCAGTAAACTTTGACGGACTCACTCTCTTTCGAAAGAAAAGCAAAATCATAACGTTGGAATGTGTCAATAATTATCAAAGTTTGAATGAGAGGAGCCCAATTCTTGAGCCTTCGTTTTTGATCGCAAGAAATAAAGTTTCTTCTTTTCTATTTTTTCCATATAAATTTCGCCTGAGCTCCACCTCAAAAATCATCTTACCGCTTCGAAAAAGAACATTTTAATTACATAATCATAGTCCGAGTCGCATGACAAGGCAATACTCCCGCCAGTATGATAAAAAGTCGTTTGCGATATGAGTATAATTATTTCTCTCAACGAAAGCATGGTCAATCGCTCGTCACTGCCACTTGATGCTCTAATTCACCGAGAACTGATGCTGTTAAAAAGCGCTGATTCGGAAATCGATGTTCCGAATTTCTAATGAAAAGCAATCATTGATATTAATTAACTGCCGATTGAAGCTAAAAATAAGCGTCAGCGAAACAGGGATCTCTGACGAGTACACAAAGTCATACCTCTCGTAATGAATAAAATATTGGGAAAGGTGTGAACATTGGGAAGCGATGTGGTTTCCCATGCGTATTTTGTACAGTAACTCGCTGTGAAAGGTTGAATGAAAGGATCTCAAACATATCTTAGAACTATGAAAGAATGATAAAAAGGCATTGCTGACTCTCTCTCCGGTCTTGATGATCGTATCAATCCTCAAAAACAAGCACCAACCAGGTGAAACATATTCTAGCTCATTTTTAAATGCGGCTCCCTGGTGAGTTAATGCTTTCATTTTTTTATAAACAAACGATTCAGAGAGCATGACTTTTGCTGAATTCGACAGAGTGCACAGGCGATCGTTGCGAACAGTAAACGAGGTTCTCGGAACAAGACTCTTTCATCGAGAAATTCCAGCTAGAGAAACTCATTGGGATCCTCCAAGCAGTTATGGAAGCAGGCCTACAAATCATTTGCAGCAGAGAATGAGTTCGTCGCGATTAGATTCTGGGAGGGACTTCCAATCACCATCGACGACTATGAGTTACGGAGGATATGGTCAGAGACATTATGAAGAAAGATCAGGTTCTTTGCCTAGGTCAAGCATTGGAGCAAGACGGCCAGAAAATATGGCAACCAGAAGACATCAGTATCACGAGGAACCTGCTTCTCAGTACAGTGATGGATAAAAATTATAATCAAGACTTACAGCTGGATCTAACTGCGGTTAGGAATACCTCGTGCGCTAAGCATTTTGATCCTTATTTTATCAGGAAAAGGGTCATCCTTTTTCCGTTTGGAAGGGATTGTATAAATGTCTGATGGAATGAGAAAGCTTCTATATCGTTGAATTCAATTGCCTATGCGAAGAAGCTACCAAACGCGGGCCCCAGAGCATCGAGGAGATTTGGCGCCCTCCGCCGCGCGCTTTTCTGAAAATAGGCCGAAAATAGGAGCGCGCAGCGACAAAACGACCTCGAAATCAAGCACCCTCTCTCTACACTCATCCCATTTTTGAGTCCGATTTCGATTGTCTAACAGGTAGGAATCGTCTCCATGCCCTCTCTCTCCTATCCCTCTCGCCTCTCACAAACAAAAATCTTCTAATCAAAGAAACGTTAGCTAGCCTCAAATGGAAGTTTCATTTATTCGGTTTTATTGACAAAACTGACTGGAACGTTAGTGCCGTACTTTCTATCAGCAGTGAATAAAAGGTTTTTGCCATTGAATTTGGAGGAGAGTGACTCAAAGTCAACCGTTTTTGGTACAGAAAGGGTTCTCTTCCAGTTGTGTGCTGACTCGATCTTCACTCCTTCGATGATTTCTGATGTTTTTGATGAGCCAGAGATTTGCAGCTCTCTCTTCGACTCGTCCTTGGTGATTTTGAGGTCTTCCTTCTGCGTCGGAAGCGACGCGAGATCAATTCTTGCTGACCAGGTTGTAAGAGTGATCATTTCTTGCGAAATGGAGTAGGGCTGGTAGCGACGATCACGGGATTTGCGCTGGATCGGGCGGTCGAATTCGGGAGAAAAGGGAAATCCGGCGATTTTAATCATCTCTTGCTTTTTTTGTATCTCTTGGAAAGATTTCCCAGTATGAATGTGCTCTTGCTGAAACAAGCCCATTTTATACTGTTGAAAACTTGGAGAACATTCGGGAAATCAAGTGTAGAAAATTCCAGAATATAACAGAACATTCCAGAACCAATGGAACATTCGAGAAGACTGGTATCTTCACTGTAGATTCTTGAGAAAGAAGATTCCAGAACATTCTACACTGGAAAAAGAACCTGCTAGAAGAGACGACGACAGTCATCAGTGGCTATAAATACCGAGCGGGAGATGGCTTTCTCATCACACCAGAGATACAAAAACCAACGAAAATGTTTACTTTTTCCAACGAACACTTCGAACCGCTAATGAACCAGGTCTTTTCTGAGCTCGCCCATTCCGCCAACAAGCGTGGAGGATGCCGGCAAACTGCTGAGAAATCGAGCAAGTGGTGCAGCTGCATCAACCTTTCTACCATCCCCACCAAGGCCGAGGAACTGCACGTGAAGGTAGACGAGAAGAGCCGCACTCTGACCGTGTCTGGACAGTCTGAAACGGAGTCTACTCGACGAGACGGATTGAAGATCTTTTCAACTCACGTCTGGACGAAAGAAATTCGAATTCCAGAGGATGTGGAGCTGAAGACGATCGCGTCCAAGTTGCACGAGAATCAGCTCACTTTCGTCGCCGAACGAGTGCAGAACGAAGAAGACAAGCAACAAGAAATTCCGATCGAGATCGTCGATACTCCTGCTCATGACTGAGACAGTCGATTTTCGCATATTCCTTTATTACCTGATTTTACGGAAAACACATAGATACAGTATTAACCTGCAATAAACATAATCCTGAGTCAAAAATTTGCTATATATGCTGGCTAGAACCGACCTCGTTCGCTTAGCGTCATACCGCGTAGAATAAACCAGTTCTCGTCCGATCACTGAAGTCAAACTACGACGGGCGGGGTTAGTACTTACATGGGTGACCGGTTGGGAATACCTCGTGCGCTAAGCATTTTGACTTTTTTGCATAAAACAATCATTCTTTTTCACGACTAAACTTTCTTGATCCTCAATTATCATTTAATCGAGCTATAAGAAGCTATTGAAAAGATCCTACAGTGGGTTGCGCAGGTACTGCACCCTTTGTGATTGCGGCGTTGCTGAACCCTTCGCCCGCGCTTTTTCTATTGTTTCTTTCTAGACTTGCTCAAAGTGATTGCGTGACTGGTGCACCCTTTACCCGCTCTTTAGGGGTGCACTACCTGCGCAACCCACTGTAATGTTTGCGACTGGGAAGTATTGATAGTTGAGCTTGCGTAGTGGGCTGCGTGGCACTTGTGAAAAAGCGCCCTCTACCGCGCGCTTTTCTGAAAACAGGTCGAAAATAGGAGCGCGCAGCGACAAAACGACCTCGAAATCAGGCACCCCTTCTCTTTACTCATCCCATTTTTGAGTCCGATTTCGATTGTCTAACAGGTAAGAATCGTCTCCATGCCCTATCTCTCCTATCCGTCTCGCCTCTCACAAATAAGAAAATTCTTTCGAAGGAGAACCTCAGAACGGTTCTCCTTAGACGCGCTTTTTCTAAGGTGGGTTATTTCACCGACTTCTTGATTTTTAACCCTGGAACACCATACCTTTTTGGAATCAGCAGAAAATTTTAAGAACTTTGACCGTTTAAAATTCTAGAAATCTCCACTTCCGGTCGATTCTAGAGCCGGAAGTTGACGAAATATAGGACTTAGGGT